ACACGGAGCCGCCTGGCAAATTTTTTTTCCTCTTGTAGCTTTTGCTCAAGCTCATGGATTGCATCAGCATCGCCCGAAAGCGTTACACTAGAAGCAGCGTTGCTTGCAGCCATAGCGACGCGGCCCTGATATTCTTCTTGCTTACAGAGCTCGATCGCCTCTTCGGCAGACATACCGACAGCCATCATTGCTCCTGAGTTACCGCTCTTTGCACCAACCTGTGATGTTACGAGACCCCGGAGGTAAGCGATTCTGATAGCGTCGGTAGCTGTCAAATAACCTGCGGCGTAAGCAGCAGTAATTTCACCCGAGGAATGGCCGACGACAGCTGTGAATGTGATTCCAAGATTTGACAGAATACGAACGAGAATAATTTGTAGAGCTGTGCATAGCGGCTGGGATAAAATGGCGTTTGACATATCTGCCGCTGAATTGGAAAGCTCCTCTAGGAGAGTGAAAGTCGGGCTATATTTGGCAGGAAGCTGGTCTAGCGAATCCTGCATCTCTTGAAGCCAATCCAAGGCTTCTGGGGAGTTACAGATTACATCCATCCCCATTTGTGGCCACTGTGCACCCTGACCGGTGAAGACGCCAACAATCTTTTTCAGGGTGTTTGCGCTTCTTTGGTGGATGAATCGCACAGAATGATCTTTACTAGCAGCGTCAAGCTCAGCCCGGATCTTGGTGAGAAGCTCGTTGGTGTTTGGCGCCCATAAAGGCAACCGGTATCTTAACGCAGATCTTCGTTGCAGTAAAGTCCATGCTAGGTTCATGAGGTCAACATCAGGATTAACTTGGAGATACCGTTCATAAGATTCTAGAACGTCAACCAGCGACCGTCCTGCAGCTGCCGAGAATACGAACGGGAGTAGAGCAATGGAGGTGTGAGATTTTACCCCGTTGATTCCGTTGATTCCGTTTATTCCACTTATTCCGTTCACTCCGTTTACAACCTGTTGGGGCTCGTAGCTTTCGAGAATAGCGTGGGCATTGGTACCGCCAAATCCGAATGAATTGACCGACGCCCGGCGTGGAACACCTGGCGGAAGAGATGGCCATGGCATGAGCTTTGTAGGCACCTTCACGTGTTTGGAAAGGGGTTCAATCTCCGGGTTTAACTTTTCGTAAAGGAGGTTGGGGCTGATAGAACCGTTTTGAATACTTAGAGAAGCCTTGATGATGCCGGCCAGGCCTGCTAGCCCTTCAGTATGTCCGACAACTGTTTTAATAGATCCGACATATAGCAAATCTGTCTCATCTTCTGTAAGCTTATCACCACTCTCAGGAGGACCGAAAAAAGCTTGATGAACGGCCGAAGCCTCTTGCGGATCGCCTGCTTTTGTTCCAGTTCCATGTGCCTCGAAGTATTGACACCGATCCCAAGGGTTTCGAGGATCAAGCCCAGCGCGAGCATAAGTGTTCTGAATTAGTTCCAGCTGAGACGTACCGGAGGGCATGGTCAGGCCCATCGTGCGACCGTCTTGATTTACACCCGTAGCTTTGATAACACACTCAATCGGATCACCATCAGCCACCGCATCAGATAGTCGTTTAAGGACAACCGACGCGATGCCCTCACCGCGGGCATATCCATTGGCATTGGAGTCCCACATGCGGCCACGGCCATCCGGGGACAACATTGTCATCTTTGCTGTGGTGATGAAATAGCTGGGATTGAGAAGCAAATTGGTCCCCGCAGCCACAGCAACGGAGCACTCCTGCTGTTGTAGAGCTGTCACAGCCTGGTGAAGAGCCACCATGCTGGACGAGCAGGCTGTATCAATCACTACTGATGGGCCATGCCAGTCAAAAAAGTAAGAGACTCGATTAGCAATGCAACTTCGGGCACCCCCAGTGGCCGCATAAGACGCAACAGACTTGAAGTCCACTGGGAAGAATTCTCCCCAGTCACTTCCCATAACACCACAGAAGACGCCAGTAGCCGAGCCCTGAAGCTGGTCGAGACGTTGCCCAGCTGCCTCAAGAGACTCAAAAACTGTCTCCAGGAGCTGTCTTTGTTGGGGGTCCATAGTTCCAGCCTCCGCGGCCGAAATGTTGAAGAAAGGGGCATCGAACGATCGAGGATCATCTGAGAGGAAGTAACCTTCCCTGGTATTTGTTGTTCCTGGGTAGCTTGGATCCTTGTGGTAGAAAGAATCAATATCGAACCGGTTCGATGGTGGTTCTGACGCCACTACTCGAGGGTTTTTGAGCAATTCCCACAGCCGAGACGGTGAAGAGGCGTCGCCTGGAAATCGGCATCCTGTTCCCAGGATTGCAATCGGTTCTGCCGACATCTGAAGGCAGTAAAAGGGAAATCTCAATGAGAGAAGTCAAGATCGTTGAGTACCTGTGACGCTGGTGTTGAATTTACAGATTTGTAGTTAGATTTTAGAGAGGTTGAACTGTCAATCGATGTAGTTCAGTCCCAACAAATAGAGGGATTTCCTTATTTTTCATTTCTTATCTTAGCTAAATACCGGTATGCTGATCATGCCGTAGTTCATGGAGTATCTATTGTGAGTCGGAGATTTAAATGACTATTGATCTGATCTTAGTCCTATCGGAACTTCCCCGGCACAAAGCCCCGAAAGGTAACTCCGACACCTCACTTCACGGAAGCCATGATTGATCAGCTTGGGTGTCATTCTATGGTTTGTTTTTCTTAGGAATTAGAGCTCTAGACAGTGACCCAGAAAAATGACAACAAGTCCGCGAGGGAATCCGTACAGACTCGTTTTATCAACCTTACCCCAGCCCGCATACATGATAGTATCTCTTCGACATACTAGACACTATGAAAGATCAGAATGCTCCCTTGAGGGTCATCATTATTGGGGGTGCCGTCTCAGGCCTCACTCTGGCTCATTGCATGGAAGCTGCAGGCATCGACTATGTTGTTCTCGAAAAGCATAACGATATCTGCACCAACATTGGCGGATCCCTTGCCTTACAACCACATGGAGCTCGCGTCCTCGACCAGTTGGGCCTTTTTGAACAACTGGAGAAATTGACAAATGATATTACCAAGTTTCACACATGTAATTATGATGATATGCACACCAGTCTTTTTCCTACATGGACTATGGAAAGGTGTGTCTCATGTTCTACCTACTCACATTATGGCACGGATATTCAATCATGGAATTTGCACTTCAGGACACAATAACTAACAGAAGCGGAAAAGCCTAGGGTACCCCATGACAGTCCTAAGACGCACGAACTTTCTGAGAACGGTGTACAACGCGCTAAAAGATCAATCCAGAATCAAAACGGGGACCAAAGTCGTCAGGATTCGAGCCAATCCTACAGTAGATGCTCCTCTCATTGTTGAAACTGAGGTCGGGACCCAGTACACAGGCGATGTCATTGTGGGGGCCGACGGAGTCCACAGTATCACTCGGTCTGAGATGTGGCGGATTATGAATGAACAGCAGCCAGGGTTGCTAACGGAGAAAGAGAAGGGCAGAATGACTGTCGACTACATGTGTATCTTTGGCATCTCAACACCCAGTCGGAGTCTCTTTCCACCCGGTGAGCAGGTAAATCGCTTTCAAAAAGACGTGGCGGTATTTATACTCCACGGTCACGATGGCACTGTCAGCTGGTTCATTAATATCAAATTGGACAAAAGATATGTTATGCCTCATGTCCCCTCATGGTCACGCGAGGAGACCAGAACTCGCGGGGAAAAACTGGCAGGTCTTCACTTGTTAGACGGCGTCTACTTCCGAGATGTCTGGAAATCTGCTGAGACGATATCATCCACCCCCGTGTACGAGGGTATGTTTCAAGTGAGGACATTTGGTCGTATTGCCTGTATTGGTGACAGTTCTTTCAAGGTAAGATAGTGTACTCTAGGCACGCTAGAAGCATTTTTCTAACCCTGTAGGTGTCTCCTGATCTTGCACATGGAGCAAATCTTGCAATAGAGAGTGCTGCTGCCATTTCCAACACACTGCACCGAATAAACATGAGCATCAATACCCTGAACAGAAGGCCAACAAATGCAGATGTTGAGGAGGCACTGACAGAATGGGCGAGATCCTGTCAGTATAGATTGACGGAGACCAACATATATTCACGGTTTGTAACCAAGGCAGGAGTCCATCACTCCTTCGTTCACCGTGTCCTTCACCGTGCTGCAATGCAATACACCCTCGACGTCCAATTCCACAGGTATATGACCATCTTGAACAAGGGAAGGACGTTGGACTTTTTGCCTTTCCCCGATCGGGGCAGGGATGCCTGGGAAAAGTATAAGGGAGCAGGTACAATGCGGACAGTATGCGCCGCTGCATTCTTTCCTGTTGGTCTGATACTTTCTATTTTCTCAGTATTTCGAGAAGTTGTGATTTTCCCTTCGAAGGAGGAGAAGAAAGCATTGATGTAGGATGGGATGTCTTTTATACAATTGTTTGTATGTTCGATTGACATCTGACAGTTATAATGCTATGTGTTCTTTTGGTAGACAATTACATTTCCTAGATGTCCAAAATACCACGCAGACAAATCTCTCCGATACAATTTTGTCAGTGACGGCCAGTGCTTGCAAATGTGTCTCATGTTGAAAGCTTCTTAGGAAAGTCGTAACGAACGATCAGAACCCGAAGTTTTGAAAATACCCGTGGTAGCATTTTTGTTTGAAACTACCCTAGGTAAGTGAAAATTCAGAATAGCCTCAAGTCTTGCGTAGATGTAAAAGAGTTGATGGAGGATTGGTATAGATTCTGGCTTAGGACTAATTTGACAGTAGCCGTGACCTAAACCATAGTAGCATCTGATTACTACGGATATAATTATAGTATATTATTAAATTAATATAATAATAATATTTCTTATCTAAATAATTATATATATAAAAACACTATTTAAACTTAATTTTTTTTAATATAATATGCTCAATCCAAGATTTCAGAATGCAGCATGCATCACGTGACACTCCCCCGGATCTGCAGCTGCATGCAATCGCGCTGGCAACTAAACCGCGCCGCGGCCGACTCAAGTGGATAATTTATAATTTTTGCCTAGTCTAGCTTCACGAACGGCGATGGCTGCCCCTCCCCCTATTCGCAGACACTGATAAAGCCACGTATCACTTGCGACGTGACGATCCACGAAACCTTCAACGCTGGGGCTTGGATATCTCACGTTCTGCCCCAACTCTCGCTCCCGCCGGTGCGGCTTGATCGTTGCATCAATATCATCGAGAAGAGAGCTGGAGCCAGCTATCACTGGTCATTGAACTGTCGCGTGCGGAGGATGCTGGTACTGCCCGTCCTGCTCCACCCATTATCGATCTGACATCTGCTTCCTCAAGCTCCCGCGCAGCGCCAATCAGATGGTGAACCAGAAGAGCTGATATACGCTCGTCTTCGCGCAGTCCATAATACCCAGTTCGACTTCGACTCAATAGCTCTCAGCAGTCCCCCCTCAATCCGTGAACTTTCGTCGTTTCCAGTCGCCGTCCGCCATGTCAATTGAATCTTCATGGGTTGTGATCGCTCTCATTACCCCATTCCTTTTCACAGCTTTTTGGACGCTCTCCGCCACCGGCTCCCCTTTCACTGCGTCCTTTCGAACCCTGTACAATAAGCGCATATGTCTGCTCATCGCGCATCCCGACGATGAGGCCATGTTCTTCTCGCCAACAGTGTTGGCGCTTACTAGACCGGAGCTTGGGAACCATGTGAAGATATTGTGTTTGAGCACAGGTACAACAGCCCTTTTCCAAACTGTGATCCAATCTAACTTATTATTCTTATATTTTTTTTACAGGCGACGCAGATGGGTTAGGGGAGACGCGCAAGAAAGAAATCCAGAAAAGCGCCGTCCATCTGGGACTCCGCCACGAATCCGACGTTTTTGTCATTGACGACCGATCGCGATTCCCCGACAGTATGACAACGGAATGGTCTACACGCGATATCTCAGCCCTCCTCGCATCCGCATTCGCTCCCGAGCTCTCCTCTTCCAAAAACCACAGCAGCGCCAACGGAAACGGTCACGCAGCAGAAAACGGCCCAAAAGCTACAATCGACGTCATTCTCACCTTTGACGAGCACGGAGTCAGCAACCACCCCAACCACCGATCCCTCTACCACGGCGCCGTTGCGTTCCTGAAATCGTTGATGAAAGACAAAAGCGGGTATTCTTGCCCCGTGGCATTATACACATTAACAACCACCAACATTGCGCGGAAATATTCCGGAATTTTCGATTTTCCGCTGACCATGTTGCTTGGCGCTGTCAATACTATTAGGGACTCGCTGGGACCATCGAAATCGGCGTCGTCTTCAAAGGACGCGGATTTTGCGAATCGTCTTTTGTATGTTAGTTCGTTTAATCAATGGGCTCGCGCGCGGACGGCCATGACTGATGGTCATAAGAGTCAGATGCTCTGGTTTCGATGGGGCTGGATCACCATTGGACGATATATGTTTGTGAATGATTTGAAGCAAGAGAGAATTTGATTGTTTTGAGATATTCCTGTATATACATACACACCGCTTACTGCGATGATTTTGTATCATCAATTTACTAACAGAACATAAATAATTTACGGTACAATTTTAGATTTTAATTGCTTGTTTCCTTTATGTACATATGTAAGTCGAATTAATCATGAGACTCTCATCGATGTGTAGATCTATCAATACATTTCTCTAAAGATATGCAGGATTGAGGAGATTAGACCATCTTCAACATCATACCCAACGCCCGGATGGCTCCAAGTCAACACGAAAGCTCCCATCTTTCATGTTACTCTCAACTATAGAGAAAACACGACTCAGTCCCAATGGATGCCCAGCAGCCTCCCCCAAGTAGCACTCCGGAATAATATCATGAGACTTGGCCTCGGCTCTACCTTTCACGGCATATTTGTTAACAGACCTGCTTTCTTGGGAGTAAATGTACAAATGATTATCGCCTGGTGCATCCATTCTCCTCCAATTTCTCCGAAAAAATCCAACGAATGGCTCCACAGATGCATATTCGCCAAGGTGGCTCCTAATAGAACTCCATAAGTAGTCGTCAATAGGCTCGAATTCCTCGTCGTCGGCAATGAATTCGCCGCATTTTGACCAGCGAACAGGCTCATAATTATGTGGACGGATATTTCGGTGCTGGTAGATTGTTCTTCCGTGAAACTCGATGCTACCGAGACCACCGTGAAGAATGGCAAAGAAACATTCGGGGATGAAGTCTCTCCACTGGGCGAGAAATTCTGGAAGCACTTTACGGGCCCACATTGCAGGGGGGATTTCTTTCAGGAAATGTCCCGAGTATCCAAGCCGCACGATTCTCTCAATCAGTGTTCTTTGCTGTAGCACTTCGAGGCGCAGTATTTCGTACTCCCGCAGGGCCTTCCAGACTTTGGGCGACTTGCACGCATTTTCCAGTCGATGATGGTCGGGAGAAGAGTCGACAGAAGCGCGGTGTGGATCAACTGTTAATGACACTTCCATGCAATTCTCCAAAACCTGTAGCGCGTGTTTTCGTCGTTTCTTCGTCTGGACTAAATGTTTATGCGCATCTTCTAGCACAGACGTGAATTCTTCCAGATTGTGGTTGTTGTAGCTGATCCGAGATAGGTTTCGATACAGGTGCATTTTCGAGTGCGAGGGAACTTCTTGCAAATTTCTACCCATCCCATACACAAGGTCCTGTGAGATTTGACCAAGCAAGGCTTCATCAGGCTTGTTAAACTGTTTGGCGGCCAGTACATAGGCTCGCTCAAATAGTTCTAACCAGACCTCGTCGGTGATCTTGATGTCGTATGTTCTCGAAATGAATTCAACAGTTCGCAGTGCTGTCGGGAGATCGTGATTGATGCCGAATGCGTGCGCAACGGCCCAAATCAAGTTAATTGTAGGATACAATGGCGATGATCTAGGAATAGGTTTAACTGGAGGATGATTTTCGTAGCCGGCATCGAGATGGAATGGGAAGATGCCCCAGGTTTCCTCAAGGACTTGCCTAACACCCGGAACGAAACCGTCTTTGGCATGGGCTATCAATGCATTGATATGTGTTGCCTCGTCTATGTCTATATTGGCCTTGCGCATTTGGTAGAGAATAGCAAGAGTTTGCATGCGCACACTTTGGGAACCAGTTCCAAAGCCTCTATAGCCTCTTGCTCTACCATCCGTGGTTGATCTTCTATTGGAGTAGAAGGGAGTTACACGTAAGCGATAGCGCTCTTTTCCGGTATGTACTTGGTCCCACAGCCCTGTAGTCATTATAGAATTGTAGCATTCAAGACTCGGTGATAGGTTCTTATTTTCCAAGCTCTTCCAGATGGTTAGCGCGATAGAGAGATCGGCGGCCGATGCAGCACAGCGAAGGAGATGCGTATACTCCACAAGCCCAACATGGCGGTCTCCTCTAGATCGCATGTATAGAATCGCGAAGAGACTGGCGAAGTATTGTCTCAATACTTCTTTAAACGACTGGTAGCCCTTTGAGAACAAAACATGGTCGTGTATTCGCCCGAGGATGCGCTTGTACGGTTCGAGAAAGTGCTCCGGGGTAATGAGAAGCAGGGCCGAAACGAAGACGCTGTCCGGCATTGTCGCGATAATGGGTTCGTTGTCCAGGTCTGACATGGCAGCAAGAATTTGATCTGGCTGGCCGCCTTGGAGGATTCTAGAAAGCCGTTCGCGTCGGGCTACGACAGAAGACCCGCCGGAAGTTTCTTCTGGGTTATAGTTCCTCTTCTTCAACCGTGAATTCAGTCGTTTCGTCAATTGCCTGGCGATGCCTGAACTGTGCGCATTGCTGTAGGCTTGTAAAACATCTACAGGGGCCTTTGTTGGCAACGTATCGTGCTTGGCTTTTACCGGATCATATCGTATAGAAAAAATAGAAGAGTGACGGATAGAAGAAGACGGCGATCGATGTCGATGACTTCTTGCAGGGCTGGTGGTTGGGAAACAACAACATGCATGGATAACAAGAGGGCGGCGTGAAGTTTCACGCCGCCAGACGACTGGCCGCATGGATAAACAATGGCGTGGAAGGGGTGCATCAAGCGCTCAAAGAACAAAATATGGAATCATATAAGAAAGGGCTTTAATCAGAGAACTCCTGAATGCCCAGCGCTCAGCGGCCCCTCACAGAGCTCGCTTCAAGGCACAGAACAGCAGGAGGAGGAGTAATAACAAAAGGAGGACGAGTTGGGGGGGAAGGCGGGAGGTGGAGTTGTGCGGAGGAAGAAACCCCGGATTATGGTGGTACCAGGCAGGGTCCGGCCACATTGGGCATGGCCCGACGCTCCCCTGTAATTCCAATTCCCTGCCCTCTCGCCATCTTTGCCATGTTGGTTCTACTCCCCTCACAAACTTGTATGCCGCTACCAGTCCCATCAACAGGCCACATTAACATCGCGATTCAATCTTAACGCCACTCTATTAGTTCTTCGCAGTGAGTTCCTGACTCTGGGGCCCCGCAAAGTGAAGCCTCCACCCAATCCCCACCAGATTCGCTAACGCGTTTTAGGTGGGTGATCTGACGACGACGGCTATGTCAATTATTAATGTTAATAATTACAGATGCTCAAACACTAGCTGCCATGCTAGGGACTAGAAAGATGGCCTGAATTGCAGTCTTGTTCATTATCAGCTACCATCCGTCGACCTTTTACAATTTGGGACAAATCCCAGCATCGCGCTCCGCCGCAGTCACCACCAGTGTCGATGAGAAATACTATCGGAGCACAAATAGTTGTCTCATCAACAGTAATTTTGGATTGATGCTCCAATATCCTTTGAGCACCCGGCCTTCCGTGAGGCTATGTGTTCCCCCTGCACACGCTAGTTAGATGGAATACCTACAATTTCTGGATAACCAGATACAGATAGTCCCCGACAAGTCGATGACTCTGATAACTCCTGACGCATGATCTATCCATGGCCTTCGATTCAGCTTCTGTGCATTTGGTTCCCTCAAAACGTTACATATTAATTCTTCTAGTCAACGTCAAAAGAATGCGATGCACGTAATGCTACATGTGTAAATCCGGCCGGTCTTAAAATCTCTGGTAATGATGAACCCAAGCAGAGCATCTCTCTTTTGAAACAACGAATCTCTCGCCAGTGTTTGTCTCGCTCATACAAATAGTATTTTATGTGTGGACGGCAAGTAGTCAGGTCATTTTTGTCAATACTCCTCCCTTTGGATCTCGCTCGATTATCAACTGGGGTCTGTATTGAATATTCAATGGTCATCAACAACAAATGACCCTTTAGGTCTCGGCTTATGGCAACCGTATACAATCAACGACTTGCCAGAGAGAATATTTGATATATCTTGCGTGTTCTCATCTCATAACTGGATCTCAGTCTGATCAGCCTTTATAGAAAACGAGGCTGCTGTTACTCCTCCCGGAACTGGACTATTGCGACTCGCCGATCCCTCAGTGATCACTTTAACCTTCAAATTTATAATGCTACAAATACCAGTAACATCCTTGGAACGAGTGCCGGTTTCTATATTTCCAATTCCGTGTCCGCCACTGCACTGCAACTACTTCAACTTCATCGCCTTCACCCACTTCATCAGACCCGATTGGCTCCAGCACGCGCCCTGACTCAAGTGCTTCCTCTAACTCAAGTACTGGTCTGTCTCCTGAGGCGGACGCGAGGATTGCTATTGCAAGTCTCGCTGTGACTACCATTGGCGTGACTATTGGGTGTAAGCATTCTAGAATGAAACGAAGGACTTCAACCGAGGATGCTTAAGTGATAAGAATACAAGGGACTATACGGGGTATAACTGCATTATAGAGAGGATACTCTGAATAACAATTATATTAGAAATTAGAAATCAGAATAGTTCAAAAATTGCTACTTTTATGCCAAGATGAATATAGAAAGCTTGGTAGTGATAAGAATTATAACATCCATTAGAAAATGACCGAGGTATTATTAGTGTGGTGCTAGCGAGCTCTAATAATATCAATATCTGCCTACGGAGCTAAGCCTACAGATGTAAGAGTGCGGCGGTGCTGGAGCCAACCAGAGACCTCAACATAATTTCAGTTATGCCGCTGTCCGCGCTAGTTGAGTCCCTGAACGTGCCCCCCAGTCCTAAGCTGCTGTGCTTGGGCAGCTGCGTTCTGTAGCTTTTCTAAAAGTAACTATTGGCAAAGCAGATAGCCTTTGGCTGGCATTACAGCGTGGCCCCAATATTTCGGCCTAGTGAACTTCTTCACGGCTCCCAATACTTCTCGCCGGAGGCTGAGCCGACGAGTTCAACCCTCGAAAGGTCAGTTGTAAAATAGTTTGGCCTGGATACAATCGATCTTACCAGTTTCGCGCGGTATTCATTCTATATTATTCTAAGTGGGTTATCTTTCACTGAATAATGGAGTCGCAAACCACAGAAACTCCAAATCGAGAAGTTGAGGGGAAGGCGAAGGCAGTGCAAAGGAAACATATCTTGGCTTCTGCTAATATGCCGGGACAAAACACTCTAGATACAACTTGTACCAACAAAGACCAGTCTGACAAACGTGTGGAAAGATTCTTCAAATGGGCACTGAACGTTGCAGTCCTCGCCGCCGCAATAGTGTTCGGCATCTGGGCACCACTATCGTACAATATCACTCTTGATGGCAACAGCAGCAATGATGCATCGTCCAGCTCAATGCTCAGTGCAGTCCTGGCTGCCAGCTCTCAGGCATCCATAGCGGCCAGTACCCAGAGCGCAATACTGGAGGATATGAGCGGCCGCATGGGTGCAATTGGGCAGCTCTGGCTTGTAGACTTTTGTGCTACACAGACTGTTAGTAGTCCCCTGACCCCAAAATAAGCATTAAACAAAGTACAGAGTCTAACGACGGGTAGACTATTAGCGCCTGCCAGCAATTCAACAGCGAAATTAACGTCCCAAGTCTCGTCAGTAAGCTCGCATCAACAACTGCCACGCAGAGTTCCACTGCATCCAGTAGTCCGTCAACTACAAATACACCCAGTAATGGACACACAGTGTCAACCCACATTTCCGTGCCAGCAATTCTAGGAATTGTATTTGTAGCGCTTGTTGCCGTTGGATGGCTTATTGGTGTATATGTTCTCTTGTCACGAAGGCGTCAGATAAGGGGCGAAGTGGAAACATGATACTCTCAAAACTGAGCGGCATATCAAAAGTCCTTTAGCGACCTCCTGGTGCCTGCAACAAAGATAATCTGAATAATTCCAAGGGGTCTTAGAGGCGTCGCACTTGATTTCTACGTCTTATCAATTGGTATATAAGACGTCTCGCTAGCTATAACGCATCCTTCTACGCGTTACATGTAGGGTGAATGTGTTGGTATTGATAAAAATCACTCTTATAACATAATTTCAAATAAATTCAACCAAGCCCAACACACCCGAATTTGGCGTCTCCGTAAGCATTCCAGCATGCCCGTAAGTCCCTTCCATCAAGATAAGCCTAAAAGCCAGAGGGTAACATGGTTCAAGGCGGGCATTTACGAGGGGCAGCCATGTCTCAATATTTGCTGAGTTTGGGTCAAAGAAGAAAGGTCCAGTCCGTAGTATAAATAACACTTGAAGCCAATTCCCAACAGCCCAAATAATAGGTCTATTAAAAATTCTTAGACATAACTGAAAGTGGTCTCTATTTATCACTACTTCTCCAGCAAGAATGTATCAAATATTCTTTCTATTGTCCTTGCCAATGAATGAGGTTACATAAAAAATCGACCTGAAAAGGTTCTCACTGGTAAACCTAAGGAAATGCAGACAGATTTCACTATTTCATTGGAAGAAACGCATATATCTAAGCATCACAGCTTCTATAGAACTCTGGTCAAAATTGTGACTCAAATCACGGTGATCTACCCAGAGACCACTTGATCGAGTAGCCCTAATACTCTCAAGTTACAATGCTTGCTACGACTATACATCAACATTTCCACGAGTTATCTAGAGTATAATGCATATAAATAAAATATAGCTTTTCTTTACAATTTCCATGTAAATTAAAATTAAAGTTACAAAATATTTACATTGTCTTCTCAATAAATGTAAGAGAATTATGAAGTATATTGTAACGTAACAGTATCGCATCATACCATATCAAGTCTAGTCGTATTTAGTAAGTCTTGGCATTGATCGGCTTTCACGCCTTAATACTTGCAAAATCCCGTCGAGCTGCCCAGAAGCAACGAGCTTCCCCAACTGCTCGCCATTCTCTATATCTCGATCTTTCAAGCACTCAGAATACCCCATTGACGCGAACGAAACACACCTTTATCGCGCCATGGCCGACGCAGAGACCGGTGGAGCTTCAGTGTCGGAACCGCTCGACCTTGTGCGGTTGTCGCTGAACGAGATAGTGTTCGTCAAATTACGCGGTGATCGTGAATTAAAAGGCCGACTTCATGTGAGACATTCCTTCTTGTCTGTGTCAGTCCTGGGTCGCATCGAAACCAACTGATTCGGGGGTACAGGCATATGACAGTCATTGCAACTTGGTTCTAGGCGACGTTGAGGAAACAGTCTATGTAGTTGAGGAGGATGAAAACGAGGAAGAGACAGTCAAGGTGTGTCAATGCACTTGCTAGCTGATGCGTTCACGGGTACATGATGGCTGATGAATCAAAAACTGGCAGACCCTGAGGAAACAGGAAGAGATGCTTTTCGTCCGAGGTGAGCGCGCGCACGCAGCCTGGCTCCTACCCTCTATATACTGAAGTGCTAATCATTTCAATTTCAGGCGACTCCGTCGTCCTCATTTCGCCGCAGGCATCGTGATTGCAATATAATACAGCCATGGCAGATAATCTAGCTCTTGAATTCAAAAAGTGTTCGCAACCGTTGCGAGGAGGGAACATCGCCCTTGATTTTGTATGATCCAAGGTCTACAAGCAGCAGTACCAAGTGAGGGAACCGGATTCCACCATCTGAATCGTTCTGGAGGTCACTGGAAACGTACTTGACTTACAAGGTTGGCCAATAGGCTAGCGTGAGCTGTGAATAATATGCATAAGAGTCATACATGGGAATATGACCGAAAAAGCAAGTAGCTACATTGTAGACAACAAAAATGAGTCATCTATCAATGCTCCTAAATAACTAGACTTCCAGGCTCCAAGACAACAAGGCAGACCGCTGAGTCACAGGCACTCTGTCACTCCTGCGCTGCGCCGCCTATAGATAAAAGCGGAGCGTGCCCCGCACCCACTGCGTAGAAGCCACCGACTCAACACCCTCCAGACACCTTTCTACAATTCCACAAGATCTGAAGCTACCAATGTTGACAATATAGCAGCTGTACAATACCAGATTGCGCCTTTCTAACCGCGCACACTTAAAAGAATGATATTACGAATACATGGTTGATTGCGCCAGCGGCGACTCCAAGACTACTTTCAGATCTCAGTGAACACAGCTAATCCAATTCCATCGACCATGCCTCAAGTCGGTCCAAAACAAACACCTGAGGAGCGGCGCAGGGGAGAGCGAGTATGGCAGGCCTCAGAATTATGCTCTAGATTGAAGCTGACCACGCACGATCACAGGCGCTGAGCGAGTTCGCCGACTACGTTGCGAAGGAGCAAGAACGGCGCTCCATTCTAGACCCTCAGAACCCTTTAACTGCCCCTAGCGACAGTGGATATTCGACTGCAAAGCCTTCCGTGGTGACCGAAGAGCATGCTGAACTTGACATCCTCGATCAGCTTGGTCTGAGCGACGCTCCAAGCCACGCTAAGCTCAAAGACCTGCTCTTAGGCACGTCTGCCGATGGTGAAAATGGGCTTCAGATTCTTGCTGGAGTGATCCAGAACCGCATTGACGAAGGCCATGGAGAGACCTTGTTCGACTTGGGTCTAGAGGACACTGGCGATTCTATGGGTTTTGACTCCTCTCAGTGGAATACGGCATTTGAGAGGCTCGAGGAGGCAGCAAATACCATCCCTGCACGTTGTCGCATCCTGTTGACGTACAACGTAGGCGGTCCACAGGAAGCCCAAGCTAGCGCTGAGAAGGTAAAAGGATGCTTTGGGAAAATCATGATCCGGCAAGTCCCGGAACGAGTCGAGGAGGTCATTGAAACCCGAATTGCTGTTGTGGGGAATGTCGATGCTGGGAAGAGCACCCTACTAGGTGTTCTGGTCAAGGGAAATCTCGACGATGGTCGTGGTAAGGCTCGTGTCAACCTATTCCGTCATAAGCACGAGATCGAAAGTGGTCGGACTAGCTCGGTTGGTATGGAAATCATGGGATTCGACACTCAAGGCGAAATTGTTGGTAGTGACAAAGGCCGTAAATTGTCCTGGGAAGAAATTGGTAAGAAGTCAGCCAAAGTGATTTCTTTCTCTGATCTCGCTGGTCACGAGCGGTATCTACGAACCACGGTTTTTGGAATGCTCAGCAGCAGTCCAAATTACTGTTTGTTGATGGTTGCAGCGAATAATGGTCTAGTCGGTATGAGCAAAGAGCATTTGGGAATTGCCTTGGCACTAAATGTTCCCGTCATGGTTGTCATCACTAAGATCGATATCTGTCCTCCACAAATTCTGCAGCAAACCATTACCCAGCTATCGCGAATCCTCAAGTCTCCCGGTGCCAGGAAGATTCCTATATTTATCAAGGACATGGAAGGGACAATTAACACCGCCACTCAATTCGTCAGTCAAAGAATCTGCCCTATTTTCCAGGTATCCAACGTCACTGGTGAAGGTCTTGACTATATCCGAACTTTTCTCAATATTTTACCTCATTATGGGTATTACAATGCTCAAGCACCATTCGAGTTTTTGGTCAATGATACTTTCTCCGTCCCATTCGTCGGCACGGTAGTCTCAGGTGTTGTCAAATCTGGTGTCGTGCATGCTGGTGATACTGTGCAAATTGGGCCAGATTCGCTTGGCCAATTCGTCACGACGACAATCAAGACCATTGAACGCAAACGGATACCTGTGAATGTCTGCTCTGCTGGCCAGTCTGCCTCGTTTGCTCTGAAGCGCGTTCGACGAAAGGAGGTACGAAAGGGGATGGTTGTGGTCGCCAAAATGGAGAACGCACCCAAAGTCTACCGTGAATTCGTAGCCGAAGGTATTATTCTCTTTTTATTTTCGCAAATCTAATTGACTAAATATAACTAACTCCTACAGTGCTAATCCTGTCCCACGCAACAACCATTCGCCCTCGATATCAGGCAATGCTGCACGTTGGAGCGGTGAGCCAGACCTGCTCTATCATTGACATTGATCGAGCCTATATTCGGACCGGAGACAGGGCACTGGTTGCATTCCGCTTTGTGCAGCGTCCAGAATTTCTTAATGTCGGCGATCGCGTGTTGTTCCGTGAAGGGCGCACTAAAGGCCTTGGTATTGTAAAGAGCGTTGGCTATGATCCAAGCCATCCTTTGAACCCTGAGGCTGCTGCTGCTGCTGCTGCTGCTGCTGCTGCTGAAAATGGGAAGCCTAAGGAGGGGCCTAGTGCATGATTTTCCTTTTATTTTTCGTTTTTCAATCGTCTGATCTCCACGAAGGCCTTTAGATTTTCCGGGGCGTTGCGTTATTGTTCAGATTTATCATGCATCGTACACTGGAAGGGTTGAGATGTCGGGGCTGCATTATGAAAAAGCCGTTGGTTTCTCCAAAGTCTGTTTGCTTCGTTTTGCAATGTTTGTTTCTATTTAATGTATGATGTATCTTGTGAATATACCTCCTCGTCAATTCCATCGCAATTCAGCTTTCTTTGCCATATATGCTTACTCTAATACCTTTTCAACCCGCCCTCGCCCCGACAGCAACCCTGAATAATAGAATAGCAACACGTAACCATACATACGCAATAGTGCAGCACCTGAAATGACACGTTGTACTTGTCAATATGTCCATTATGTACATATTACTACATGCTACGATTTGCTGGTGGCTAGTTCCGCAATAGGCAAGATCTGCGCCGTGACGTCACGAGTATGAGATGTCCTGTCGTCGGCGCAAATCGCGAAAACAGCCAATAGCAGAGGCACAACCAGCAGCACAGGGATTGGGGCGTGACGTAGGTGTTGAAGGCGAATTTGTTGGATTTAACCTCCTAATCTCTCTCTTGTTCTTGAATATATACTGTATACATTTTGATATTCAACTGCCTACATGCCATACTGTACTATACATGTTTGTATGCTAAAGAGCTGACTTGTATGTTACCGATATTGGCAGCTGCTGAGATAAATTATCAAGCAAGACACCGGATACACTCGCTTATCTTATTTACCCCACCATGGAAACTGTGAACAAGGTTGTCGATGCTGGGTACAGGGTGATCTGGGGCGAGGAAGCCGACACCGCGACAGGGTCAAGCAACAACCAGACCACAAATCAACCGAGCAGCCTCGAGTCCGTCATCGATGCAGGGAAAAAAGCACTATGGGGGACAAGCGGGAGAACCGATAGCGACGACACCACAGCGCACGGTGAAGAGCCGATTTCTGGTGTCAGAGGGCTGGGAACGGCGACGGATCCGTATGATGCTGGGAACCGAGAGGGTAGATATCCCCTCGATTTACTCCTTTATAGGTGTATGGGTTGCTGACTCGCAGTAGAAGAGGAACGCTCTGCAAACCCGGTTGAGCCATTCCGATCAATGGCTGCTGAGCAACGAGATTTCGATGCGAGCGAAGGGACCAGCAGCGGTACTGCTACAAGTCCTACTCATGGTACTGCTTCAGACACGCCAGATTTATTGAAGACATCTGTAGCTGGGTTGCAACCTGATCCGTCGGAACCAAAGAACATCAGCAAGGCGTCCTCAAAGCTTGTGGTGGATCCTGGGCCTGGACAGGGGTTGAAGCACACGAGCGAGCCATTGCAGGAGGAGAGCGAGAAGTTGGCCAAAGACTTGCAGAGCGGTACTGAGGGGAAGAACAATGGTTTGTTATTTTTCTTCTTCTATGAGACTTAGGTTCAAGACTTACATGGCGATAGTTTCTGCAGCACCAGTACCAATAGCAGCCGATCCCGTCTCAAAGTCTAGCAGAGACGACAGCAAATCGTCGTCCTCAGGAACATCCTCGTCGAACGGCAGCCGCAACGAAAAACAGGGCCAGCAAAAAAAGACTAAATCGGGCAAGCTTGAGAAAGTTAAAAACAAACTTCACATAGGAAGCCATTCGACCAAGGCATCGAAATAATGTCAGATGATGGTCATGTATTGCTATGGTTGGACATTCTGATCCTCATGCGCGATGTAACAGACCAACCACATGCATTTACGATACAAAATCAATTTCCCGATTAAATTAAAAAAAATAACAGATCAGGATGGACTCAACTGAATTCACCATTTCTTTCCGAATACCATGGTTGTTTGTACGCGCAGATCTGCATCTCGGCTGAGTGATTCCCCATGTTTATGGTTATGGTTTTTCGGGGCTATGTGTATGTACATGTATTTTATCAGAATGAATCAATTGATGCATTCTATATTTATCAATTCCGAATGCATCAATTGATGCACGAATGTTGTACAAGGATTTTAATCTCGAAAGCAAGGCTGATGAGATAGTTCTCGGGGTGTTTCCAAGTCTCGGTTATTGACATCTTCTGGTATGAAATTATAGCTCACATTACATTAAATTTAATAATAGTTAAATGACGATTGTTTCTCTTCTTCCAGCAGGAATTGATCCTGGTGAAGCCCGCCGATGGTCAAACCGAATCGAAACACCCGGCGACCCTCAATAAAAGCCCGAGTCATAACGCCAATTATATGGACAATAGTATTATATTTAGATATAGCAACTAAAACAACAATACATAATAATAATAAAATTCGAAGCGGCTGGAGTAATATCGTACTAAGATGCTAAAAAAAGAGAGATCCTTTCTTGCTTGGGGCTAGTGCGTGTTGTGACGGGCGGATATTATCTCCAATTATAGAAAATATTATTCTCCTATCGCGATTATCCCGGGTCTGTGCTATTCAGTAGGAGACTAGTACTGATTAGCCAAATGGGATATTGAATAGAACAAAATATTGTCCATAATACTTTCATTGATTCTGTCAGCAGCGAATTAACATCTATTCTTGTTCGTTCTCAGGTGGATTCTGGAATAACGCCAAGCGCGGCACATCATTCGGCCACAGTGGGAACCTCAAAGTTACATCCAACATGTGAGTAGTGCTCCCCTTAACTAGTACTTACTTCTAACAAACACACACGTACCTGCCTAGAGCCCCTTCTTGTTTCCGGTTCGGCATGCTCCGGAGCGAACATTAATTGTAATCATGAGACTTGCACATAGTTGCTACTACGCTCACGGTACTACCATACTACCAACTCTGTCTATGGTGTGGTTGGGACACCTGTGAACTGTCCCATTAAATGATAACGTGGTTACAATCTAAGAATAATGAATGAGATCTTGGAATGCCTGACTCCCAATATGCTTTTACTTTCACATTTACGCTGGATTGTAGAGTATGTGATTAAGCCCTCAGAGTTTCACGCGGTATACACGTGCTCTCGGTATCCCAGTATCCGTGGCTATCTAAAGTAAAGATTGGGGGTGAAACAACCTTAGCCCCGACTCCCAACGATTGAATCTGACAGTAGAGAAAGTTTCTAGGAATAGTTACATGAACGAGCCGTAAGTAGCGCGACCAAGCGGACTCTCATGTACTAATGTAGTGATTGATAACATCTACTATTCGATATCTGGGGGGTACAGCAGTAGGTCGTATCGATTGCAGACTCAAGTTTCAAGTACCATCGGCCAATGGCAACTAGCCAATCGCGCTCAATCTCAGAATATCGACCCTAAACTCGGAATTATTTGATATTTGCGCCATCAATCGCAGAAGCAGACGTCAACCATCTGACATCGACTCCATCAGCCCAGAGTCCAGGCTAGACATCAAAAAAAGTCTACGGTGGATATTAATAGACTGTAATTTTTGCGCCGGCTGAACTAATGTTCGTGAGCAATCAAACTTGTCGGCGATCCTGCCGCTCAGTGATCCGTGATGTGCCTAACGTGCAAGGATGTTTTTAGAATTCGGGGCGGGTTGAGCCTTGAATCCTTGAGAACTTGTTAGCATGTAGTCGAGTACTAAAGATGGTACTAGCGGCGTTGTCCCTGATGATTTCTACTTTAGGCTTTACGCTGGTACCGACTGCTAATAAGAATGCATCAATGTAACTGTTGGCGGTACATCTAGCCACTAGGTCTATGCAATGAGCATCCCGCGAACACCTACTCCGTGGATAGGAGGAGAGAGCAGCTTACGGGCGCTTTTTTATTCTTCTTCCAGTTATTTTATTATTATGCCCAACAAATGCACAAAATCAAATACCTTCCGAACTGGATACCAGGTTCGCACGACCCTACGGAGCACGGGCACCAGACGATAGACGGCGTTTTTGCCCCAGGCTAGACTTCATTGATATCAATGTTGGCGTATACAACGATATTGATGCACGACACGTTGACGCTGCACTAGACTTATACGCATGGTCCACTCTGCAAGTAAAAATAATTTATTACTGCGTTGGATTATGGATAATGGGTCATGGCCCGCGCTCCTACTGTAGAATTAATTAAATATATGCTCCGTAGCACTTGTTGTCTTTTGGCATCATGCCTCGCTGTGGCTGAATACCAGCCAAGTATAATTTCGCCTAATAATAACAATAATAGCAGTAATAATGAATTACATAACGAATGCGGAATAGAATAGTTAGTTATACGCAGGAGCAATTACGCTGCCAATTGCCTCGATCTTGTTTTGTTCTCAGTTTTGTTCTCCATCGCTCCACTGGTGACACTCCACAGTCGGCATAAATTAATAATTCTGTTGATTCCAGACTTCTAGAACCTCAGAAAGACTGATTATTGGGCAGGACATACGAGCCAGGGGAGCTACACCGTGATCGACGAGGGGACCAACAGGCCTACTATCACCGTATCAGTACTATTATGCGTTGTTTCGATGCAGAATCGTGTATTTATACTGTGTAACACGGCATATCGCACTATTCGCCGAACTTAGTAAGACCGGCTTGATCAGGCTAGCCCCGGCCCATCCGAGCGGGTCAACGCCACACCCATTGGTTGAAGGCACTGGCCCCGCCTTCCTGTTCCTGCCCCCGTGGGCCCGTGCTTGCTTTCTATGTCGCCAAAGGTACAGAAGGGGCTAGCGCGCAGGCACAGGGTGTTTTATGCCCGGTATTATACGGAAACCATTCCAGCCACAGCCCCGGATCGCCTGGAGGAGCAACTCCTACGTACTAAATACTGCATATGGACTAGCTTCACATTGCTAGGTTCGTGATTCCTGTCGGCATTTGCCTCTAGCCCTGCGGTGCTGCCATTCCTCCTGCACAACATCTATCCATATCCCATTCATCTTGGCCTCAATGCTGCCTTTTCCTGCCGCTGAGAGTGTTCCCGTACAGAGCATTCGTAGTCAGAATCATCGACCAAGAGGGGAACAGAGAGCAGTTCTTATCATGGGGCACTCTCGCTTGCTGAACGCGTGTTTTCAGCCCCCTGGAGCGGCCCCGAGGGCCTCTTAGACTGCTAGTCTGTTAGAACTGCTACCACCTCCGTGCTCGTAGCTTGCCGTAGTAGCATCGCGGCCGCGGGACTGGATGCCAGATGCCACAAGGCCCCCAAGAGCCTAAGAGCTAAGGCCAGCCTAAAACGAAAGGCTGAAAGACCGGCATTGGCGACGACGGACTACGCCTCCTGGTGGACCAGCCAATGCAGATCTTAGGACAAGCCACCGAATCCTTGCGCGATGTGCTTTGCTCCTTTTTTGGTACCTGCGTCGAGCAGGCTAGTCTTCTCTCGACCTAGTGCTCAGTTCGATCCCCAAGCGCTAAGTCTCACATTGTTCTTGGCCCATCCGATCCTGATATGAAACGACAAATAGGCACTCTGCGGTCGATGCCCGGATGTAACTGCGCGCCGAGCTAAGCTTTGAATTCGGAGCGAGCTTCGTACGCCGCAGACTCTCACTCAATATCGGTTTCGAAATCGCTGGCTGCGACTGTTGGGACATGGGTATTGAACTCTGGGGGGGCTGGATTAATTCCAAACGCACGTGGACTGCGCTTGTCAGGATCGGTGATAATTATTAATAATTATAGAACATCGACAGTACGGAACGGACTACATAATCGGCCTTCTTCCCTGCGTTGCTGTTGCATTGTTGCTCTCATACTCTGTTTGGTAACTCGAGGAAAATCCCTCCAACCTATCTATACCTCTCCGACCTACTATACCTCGACTATCATCCTACTTTCTCCAACATGGGCCCTCGAACAGACCCCGAAGCTATTGAGCGTCGACGCATGCAGAACCGTCTTGCACAGCGTAAACGAAGTGAGTAACTATACCTACTATATTTTATGCAGATACTGATTCTATTAGGACTTAAGAGAGCTCAGATGGCAAAGGAAGAAAAAGAACGCCAGCAACGGCTGCGAGCAGCCCAAGCAGCTTCTCAGTTAACCTTCATCAACGACGCCTACATGCCAACCAACCCAATTCCTGCTCCTCAACCTCAACAGCCGCTACCCAAGGAGCAGCCAATGCCATCACCGGGTCTCTTTGAATATCCTCCTTCTTATGATGAATTCTTTTACTCGTCGTGCTTCCCCTCGCCACAAAGCTGCTACGACTCCGACAGCTCTCCATTCTTCAATGACTATCCTTCTCCCGCATTATCATACGCTCCATCCACCCCACCTTTGAGCATGTACACTCCAAGTCTCGACGAAGACCTATCCGGCAGCTTCAACCTCGACCCATCAATCTTAATGGAGCCTAGCTCAGGCCAACACCCACTAGATGCCTTTGGCCTCACCCCACTGCCATCAACGCCTTCGCCTCGACTTCAACCCGAGCGGCACCGTTCTACATCACTGCCCACGCCACTCACGCCTCCACGCTCGGTTCCCACATCTGCACCGCAGCTAATTGACCGAAGCTGCACGCCCCTGACCCCGTCTCTGAACGGCAGCAACTTCAGCAACCACCACCTCTACTACAACGGTCTCCCCACCAGCTCGCCCGGCAGCAGCAAGATGACCGGATACTTTGGCCCCGAATTCTCAAACCCAAACATGCACATGCTGATGGGTCCGGGCATGGATATTGAGAACGTTGCTAACCGGGGAGGCCGGATACCACTGCATTTTGCAGTGCGTCCTACGGCGATTTGACATGATCTGTCACGGACATATAACTATAACTATCACTATAACATTGAACGGCCTACTTGTTTAAGGGTACATTGTTGATGCCCATTGGGGGACATAGCGTGATGGCGTTTGGGTTTTGATTGGGTTTTGTATTTGATTATGAGCTCGATGCGAGCTGTATATAGTAACATTCATGGAAATATTATTATCTACAACACACTCCACATATGTAATGGTTCATATTAATTACGTACTTCAATCTCTTATTTTACTGTTGGGCAATCACTTCAAAATGCTGTTACGGCCTTTTAAGGCTTAGGGCTTCCAATTACTGTTAGTAACTATGTACGTACCTGAATCCACGCCTACACTAAAATCTCACATCATTCAAGGGCTACTTGTATTAGAATTATATTTTTTCTCAAAATGATTGACGAGATCTTTTACCCATTGTAGAAAATGCGTATTCCATTGCCTATTTCACTATTAACGTAAATCGCAGCTCCGTCTTAGTTCGATGGACATTCTTACACATCATTTACATAAACACAACAGCACAGATTGCCCACGCTAATCAACAGCCACTCCATGTACATTTCGAAGCATCAATGTCTGTATGACGATTGTAGTAGACACAAGACGTGATCTGTGGTATGGTATTACCTCTATCATTAACAGTAATATTATATACACGAAACCGAACTGCCTGCTGCTCCGCAAGACGTAAACGCAGAATAATTTCCCATATACTCATCTCTAGAGTTAATTAATCACCTCTTCCCCTTCCCTCCCTTCTTCTTCTTCCCTCCCGACCCAGCTGGCGGCGTCGCTGCAGCCGGTACTGTTGCTGCTGGTGCTGGTGCTGGTGCCGGCACATCTGTCATTTCCACATCCCCAGCACCACCAGTCCCAGCCCCAGCACCGTCATCCTCCGAAATCTTTACGCCCGCCGCCAACTTGCCCAGCCCTGAAATCAGTCGGCCCACTTCGGCGGCTTTGTTCGTGCGGTATTTCAGACAGATTCCCGTGACGGGGTTATACGTTTTGAGTGTGAGAGTGGCTACGGCCGGGGGAGCATCTGACGTCGCTGGTTTTGTAGTTGTTGGGGTGGTTGTGTTTGGAGCTTGAGGTTTTGTGATTTTGTTGCTTGGTGTGTGGCTGCTGGGGTAGGAGTATTTCGTTGTTATTCGCGTCTGAAACATTTGTCACGTTAAGAGGCTGCTGGGTTAGGGGATGGTGTGGGATGGGTACATACGGCTTCTGGATATGCCTCGAGTAATAGGGAGGATTGCTCCAGGAATGCGTTTGGTGTGGATAAGAAGGGCATGGCGATCGCTTGATCAGTTCGATTCGATTTTGGCTGCAAATTATTGAGAGACGAGCAAGCAGAGGGATGTTCTGGGTTTGTTGCTGGAATGTAGGTAAGTCGTGTGCGGATGATTTTTGATGTGCGGGGAGGGAGCTAAATCAGAGGGAGATACGGCTTGGCACTCGTCCGCATGAACAGTTCGGTATCAACTTGCAGAGTATATGTCAGCAGCATGGGTTTATGAAATCAGTGTTATATGCTATTTAATTACTAGGTAAATCATATGTTACACTATTCAATGTAATACATCCTGTTGTCCATAAGTTATCCAAATCCCACTTCCAACATCGACATACCCCAAGTACATGTGTAGAGGTCACACCGCCGTATTGCATTTCACACAAACCAGCTTCGGCTTGCCCATCCTCATCTTGGTCGCTCTGAAATTCTTGCCGCCACAGCGCGGACAGCGCAGGACGTCATCTACATCCTCGCCTTGGTCGCCTGTGCTCCTACTCCCTCCCTCCCCTTCTACTTCGTCGTCATCATCGCGCTGGTCATCGTCATCTTCAGATACAAATGATTCCATGTCGCTACTCAATGCGCTCGGCACGCTGGACTTTCGACGCCCACTGATATCGTCTATTCCCGCGCTGTTTGGGTTGAGTAGGTTTTGTTGCTGTTTCGCGTTCGCGGATTTGACAAAGTCTGCGCTTTTAGTCCAGAACGCGTAGCTTTGCCCGCTTTCGGCGAAGTGTGGTAGGTTTTGCAGATTTCTGGTTTCTGTTGTTGGTTGAGGCTTGTGGGTGCTGCTGTTGTTGTTGTTGCTTTCGGATACGTTGTCGACTGAATATGTACGAGGGGTGGCAGTGCCTGACTGCGTTTTGGTGGTTACGCTGCGTCCAGGGCTGGAGTAGCGTTGTTGATTGAGTGATTTCCGCGGCGAGATGCTTCGCGCCATGCTGCTCGGCGAGCTTATACTGGCGAGCTCGGTGCCAGTCACCGAGCTTCTCCATGCCAGTATCTTTTCCGACGGCGATTTCGACGACGCAATACTATGTCGTGCCGAATTCGACCGACCCAATATCTTCTTGGAGAGTGTCGACCCGGCGTCCCAGTCGCTTGGTCGTTTCTTGTACGCGCAATCCTGGCGGAAGACCTTGATTCGCCCGGAATAATCCGCGGCGAGGATGATGTTACCATCTGGATGGGTGGATCGAGCAAGATAGGCAGGGGAGCCGCGGGCTTTTTGGTCCGAGGCTTTCTGGTCCGAGGCCTTTCGATCGAGTTCTCCGGGTTGCTGGGGGGCCTTGTTAGAGCTGTATACGGATGAGCGGTTGGAATTCGGCGTGTTGCCGAGAGTGATGGGAGGTGGGTTGCAGAGGTCGTATAAAGGGTCACCTGCAAACCCTAGGAGCTGCTTGGTGGTGGTCGGGGCCATGACTGCACTCGTAACGATGGATGTGCGCGTTTCTAATTCTTCTACTGCACGCTTGTCTGGTTCTCTGTCGACGGACCCTGTAGGCCAGATATATGTACGTCGATCTTCGCTGCCGCAGATAATGAATTTGCCGTCATCGCTGAACGAAGCGCGGATCTGACTGGTTGAGTTCTCATTCCCTCGGTACTTCGCTTCCAAGATTCGATTTTTGAAATTGTAGAGCCGGATTCGAGAGTCGTTGCTTGTAATTAACAGTTTCACTTCGCCGTTTGGATCGTTAGGGGGGTGGAAAATGGTATCAATGCCAGTAATCTTACTGCCCTTTGCGTTTTTCCCTCTTGCCGAGCGCACATGCACTTGAGCATTCGCTTTCAGCCCGTCTGTTTCGTAGAGAATACACAACCCATTGAGACAGCCCGCAATCGAGTATTTGCCATCTGGGGTGAAAGCGACAGCGGTGATCATATCCCGCACTGTGGCCCAGAATGCCACACTTTTATCTGGAATACTCCATAGTCGGAGCTTAGAATCGAGCGAGCCAGCAAGGAAAAACCTATCGTCGCGCGGATGGAACTGGATGGAGGTGACAAAGTCGCTATGTTTAAAACAGCAGAGACACTCGGCTCGACTAACATGCCACAGTCGAACGGTTCGATCCATTGATGAGGATAGAAGAAAGTTGTTCTACCTGCGTCAGCATCACGAACTACATAGTATCAGTTCCGGGGCATACCTTGCTCCAGCTCAGATCCAACACACTCCCCGTATGTCCCTTGTACTCACGGATAGGCTTGGACTTGAACACCGGAGCTGTCAATCGCCATCGAGCGTCGCCCTTGATCTCCTCCTCTTCCTGCTCATGCGCGGCGCGGGCTTCCACATTGGTAATGACCGCCCAAACGCGGACGATCTTGTCTTGACCGGCGGCTGCTAAGTATTTACCATCCTTGGAAAACACCATTGACCAGATAGCCTTCTTGTTCGACTTGTCCTTTGCGTCGTCCCCATCTTCCTCGCTGCCTTTGAGCTCCTGCGCCAGGAACACCTTGTCGAAAACCTTGTGTTTTTTGTAGTGCGCCTTGACTTTGATGTACTTTGGCGGCGGTGGGAATCGCGGAATAAAGCCTATTGGATGCGCAAATATATCATCCATGCCACTGGGTTCGCCCGTGAGGGATTCTGAGACATTGTCAGGCGTCTCACCAGTCTGGGCCTTTTTAGTCCCGATGAAGCGGCTGAGAAATGAGCCTCCTTTTCTATCAACATATCAGCTAGTGCACTAATCATTCACTATGATATACTTTTTATACTTTTTTTCCTTGCTTGGCTTCACACCACCAACGGCATCGGTGCGGCTGATCGCTTGTTCCGTCGGACTCGGCTTATTTCCGTCTCCGCTCGAGTCCTGTGCGTGCGAGGTTTGGGATGATCGGAGTTTTAGGGGGATGGACCGCTCGGTCTGGGTGCGTTTTAGAATATGCTAAGTCGCGTCAGTTCAGAAAGTGCGGCAAACAATCGCAATGCTGGAGGTAAGATGTACCTGCGACAGAGGGTCGATTGGGCTTTCAGAAGAGCCGTTCAAATCCTCAGGTGATGCAGCGTGAGACTTAGCGCCGTTGGCCTCGATCACAGCAGTCAGCGAGAAGCTCTGGTGGCTCTCGTCATGCTTCTCCTCGTCTCCATCTGCGTGGATTTCAGGCGGCGCGGCACTTGTGATTCCTATACGTCGTCGGACGTGTCACAATCTGTCAGCCGAGGGTTCTGGCATATGACCTACATACATCTGCTGCACGGCCGGAAGGGGCCGGCATGTCCAGGCCGTCAAGGTAACTTTTCAATTCTTCTTCCTTTCTTTGATAGGAGAGGATGGGAACAGTTCGCGGCCATACCATTTGATAAACTGGACTGTGCTATGGCGGATTGTCGCGTCGAGTCGGTCCTCCTGCTAGTCGCACCCTCGTGGTTCCTATTAGTGTCCTCGGTCACGGTCAAGACCTCGGCCATGGTGGACGGATTGGTAGGGACGCGTGGTAAACATAGCACTTATACAGATATGAGAAGGTAGCAGTAGTAAGATCAAGATCCAAATAAATAGGAATAACAAGAATGTACGGGCGCTGTAAGCTGATATGGACAAGGAAGATATCCAGCCGGTTTGGGCGATTTGGCCGTACTAGTGACATCAACGGGGCGGCTCAGCCTAGCCTAGCACGGATATTCGCGTATCGGTTGGATTGTGCCCATTGCTTTGTATATATATATATGTGTGTGTGTGTGTGCGTGTGTGCGTATGTATATGTCTGTCGAGAACATGTCATATTATACTATCACACGGTGAAACATGATGGTTCGTAGGGAAATAATACCAATTCATGGTGGTTGCGCAACAATGTATATCAACCGGAAACGTGCCAGCCAATCAGAGAGCTCTCCCGCGTGCTTGACAGCAGACCAGGACTGTCGCGTGGACACCCTTGCTTGTATCTTATTTTACCATTTTATTATCTTGCCATTTAATTTTTGCGATGTTGAGCGACTCGTTCCTTTTTTGACAATCAATGGCTCGTCAATGGGAGTTGTTCCGGTCGCTCCGTATATATACTTATATACAATTGGTAAATACATAGATATAGACTCGAGTACATACGTACTCTATTAAGGACTACTGCAGCTTTCCCGCACGGTCTTTGGCAATATCACACATTGCCTACACAAATCATTAGATTGGATGTCGCAGCCTGACTGGAAAGAACACACCTGAATATTATCCTGCACTTCCAACGCGAGATTAGCTCGATCAATGCGACTCCGCATATCGACCATGATCACATCTCGACCTCGGCCATTAACAAAAGTCCTAAATATATATATTGCATAAGCCTTCCACAGATACATCGATGTATATGTAACTAGGCCACAATCAGCCACTTACACATATCTCAGCCCCGGATACATCTCCTCGTACTCTCTGTTCAGAGCATCCAGTCTCGCCGCCAACTCGGCACTATTGCTGCTATCATCGTGACTATTAAGATTGGCTTGCTCTCTCCGGCTCAGCTCACTCAAATGAGCCTGGGCAGCGGGCGACGGGATCCCTAAACGTGGATGAGAGCCGAGAATTGCATACAACGTCTCTTTTTCGGCTAGCGCATTGTCGCGTTTGGCTGAGAGCGTGGAAAGCTGGGTTTGAATCTCATCGATGAGCGCATCGTATGTCGGGAAGGTCTGCTTGGATAGAATGGGCTGGACCAAGGCGTGTAGTTCTGGCGAGGGCTCGAAGAGTGTGTCAAGGGCGCGGAGTTGGGCATCGGCTGGCAGTGTGGACAGCGATGTGATGGGCGGGATTGTGGGGGTTGACATTTTTGATATAAATATATATACTATTCACAGTCCGGATTCTTTGATTTGTTTCATTTCTTCTGAGATCCTGTGGAATTGTGCTATTTTATAATAGAATATTAGATGTATCAAATCTAGATGGTAGTGAGTGGGACAGGCCGTCTCTATCGGAGGCTGCCGATAGCCTGCCTTCGCACCCTGTACCAGCACTTCTCCACCAGTTCCTTCTACAGCACGTTGGTGCCTCAGGCATTCACACATGTCAACTAAAAGTCGACTCTGGAAGAAACTGCTGGCATTTGTCCAGCCAACTCGGGTCCACCGACAAGATACATGGTTAATTAGCTCCTAAATAGTTCCTAGTATCTAGAGCTTGGCACCAACTCAATAGTAGATAATAATTATTAATATAGCAATATTAATAATTTAATACTGCTAGCCAAAGGTGAAACACAGATCAGCATGTCGACGGTCGAATGCGGCAAGCCCGCCTTCTCCCAATCTCGGTTCTTCCCTAGCCTTCATCGGCATGATTTATCAATTTATTCTTTGCGCATCCGCGCTGTTCGTGTACATACCGCTCAGACTTGGGCTGGGTGTGGTAGAGAGGATTGAGAGAATCGACATGTCGTATCCACTCAATCGACACCAACAATAAATAGAATAATACTCATGTATCAAGGAAGAAAGAGAAGAACGAGAGGAAGAAAAGAAAGAGGAGAAATGCAAGCAATAGGCCCGTCTAGCCTGCTCAGGCTAGACAGCTCCCCACAGGAACAGGAGGAGGCGGCCCAAGCTTCGATTGGCCCGCTTATTGGTCTGTGTGGCCCACCTGGCTGGATTCCAGCAGCCTGATTGGTCCAACAACGGCCCAGCAGGGATCGGCTTGGACTTCCCCTGAACCGCTCCAGCGACGACGATAGTGCGATTAGTTCTCAGGTTATCACTCCTCCGAGCTGTCAGGAGCACATGCGTGCTTGGATATTATTCATAATTCCTTCCTATTGCTCTTATGCCCGTCCGAGTCCGATCAAAATAAAAGGAAAAGGAAGGGGTGAAGTTGTAGGTGTAGGCGTAGGTGTAGGGAAGTTGGGCGAGGGTATCGGGCTATTGTTCTTCCTTAGACCCTTTTATACCTTTTCTTTATTGTAATATTGGAATATTGAATAGTCGAGCCTTAATCCTAGTATGCGAGTATTATTTGTTCCGATGACTCGCAGGCGGGCGACGAAACTTCTGGGTGCTTGCTGCCTCGTAAGTTACCCCCGTTTTAGTGCTTGCCGCGCTTCGTTGGTCACCTCTCCCGTCCTGTGCGGCCACCACTACTCACTATCTACTAAGCTATCAGGGATACGGGCCTGTCTTGTCTTTTTCTTCGCTCGCTCTTTCTTTATAAGTCTTCGTTTTGATGATTGTATGTTCCCTCTCGATCCCTCCCTGCACGTCTGTTCGCTCGACCCGCCCAACTCGCAAGAGGAACAGCAGCTGCTGTGCCCGTCACCTCCCATGCGGCAACCGCCATGTCGCTTAATGGGTTAGATGATCCCGCTGTCATCGATGCCTATCAAACCGCTCTGGCTGAGGCTGGAGGATGGTGAGTGATCCCTATATATTTTCTTTCTTATCGTGCACACCATGCGATCTCGCCAAGAGGCGGAGAGGATAGGAGGGGTGAGAAGAAGCAGCAGCAGCAGCAGCAGAAGAAGAAAATTGACAATGCTAACTACGTCCTTCCCCCAACTAGGCTCCTTCTCAAATATGCATCACGAGATGAAGTGACGCTTTTAGGTCGAGGGACCGGCGGCGTCCCCGATGTGCGAGCAGCTGTCGATGCATACGAAGAAAAGTCGCCGCTATATGGCTTTCTACAATATCGGAGGAGGAAAGTCGTGCTCAAATACATGCCTGATGGCGTCTCGCGGCTGATTCAAGGTGATGAGCCTTTGTCTGTCAGTTTCAGCCAGGACTGACTCGTATTACAGCCCGTACCACCGTCCAATTCCATTCAATCCTCGATAAATTCTCCCCGCAAGATACAACCTTCGAATTTAAAACAGCACCAGATCTGACAGAGAGCGCCTTGTCTTCCGCCTGTCTTTTACACGCCGCATCAGGGTCAATGACGTCTTCTTCTAGCTCGCTCCGTCGACGCAGGTTAATGGAAATCGCCGAGGATGCAGAAGAAGGAGGTCCGGCTGCCAAGGTGGACTTGGAATCGCCACTATCGCAGGATTCTTCGAAAAGGCTAAGTCAGGCGTCTGATATGACGGCCGTGCCGCCGCCAACCCGAGGCGATGACAGTCCTTCTGAAGCCCGCAATGTCGTTGAAGACGAAGCAGACGCGCGAGCTGAAACGGCATCGGTGCATTCTTTATCGCGCAAGAAGTTTCTCGATCAATTGGCCCAGCAACCGTTTGAACATCGAAGCTCGACTCAATCCGCCCGCCCGTCCCTTCAGGAATTGGGGCTTTCAACTCCGTACCGACAGAAAGTCAAATTGGGTCCGCGGCCATCTGTTGATATCAATGGCCGTCCACGAACGGCAGGGAGCATGTCTCGGTCCCAGGAACAACGCCCAGTAGCAGCTCTGCCTGCTGGCGTCCGTTCACGGAAGCCCGCAGGAAATGCTAGTCGGCCCAAGTCGCAGCCTGACGCGGTGCCAGTTCCTACATTAGCTTCGTTAAGAAATGCCCCTCCAGTTCCCTTGCTGATCCCCCCGCCGTCGATATTCATACCGAAGCCGAAATTATCGCCCGGAGCCAAATCAATGAATGCGCTTCCGTCATCGGGCATGTCTCCTGAAAAGCAACGATTGATGAAGGCGCTTGAACTACGCAAAAAGCAGATGGAGAAAAGGACCCAGGAACTACAAAAGAAGGCGACACAGCGTGAAAACACGGTGCCCCAAGATCCCTCCGACGACAAGGACAATGCCAGCCATTCACAGAAGACGAAGGCTATTGAAGAGGAGCCGACCAAGATCGAGGCTGTCGAACAAAAACCAGTTGTCGCTACGATCACAGTAGAAGAACGCAAGCCATTACCAGCAGATCTCGCAAAAGCCGACTCTGCGGTGGAGATGGTTGACAAAGCAAGAGACAGCGATGAGTCGACGTCGGATGTGCCTTCAAAAGAAGCGGAAGCTGAAGCTATCCCTATCGTGATGCAGGACGATGCTCCCAAGAACGGTGCGGAAAAACTGCAATTCGAGTCACACGAACCTACGAGTCAGATCTCGAGTCAGATCTACGTGGAGGAGACTGCATCAGAATCTACAGTGCCAGAGTCTACGGAGTCTACCAATGTGTCGAGCATAGGCGCCGATGATGAAAAACGAATGTCTGAGCCAGAAGTTACACAAGATAACGCAATAGACATGGAGACTGTGCAATCACAAAACAACCAGGAAATCGACCACGAAGATGGGGAAGGGGAGCGCACGCCTACCGCGCCGGTGGCTGCTCAGGCCGTCGAAGACAGCATGGTTGAGTCGCAAGAAATCATCATCGCGCTGGCTCATGACGAGCATATGCTCGCTGAAGTCCAGCCCGAGGCGGTTCCTCTCCCCGAGCCCGGGGCGGACGAAGAGGAGCCTGAGGTCTCCACCGCGGCTAGCCATGTCGCACTAGGAGCCCCCACCGCTGAGGCCCTCCAGCCGCCCCTCTCGCAGCCCCAAAACGAGGAAAATAATCACAGACAGAAGCGCATTGCTCTTCTCGAGCCAATCCAGGTGCCGACACCGGACTTATCGGACGAAGACAACCTGCTCTCTGATGATTCATTTATGGAAGAGCTGAAATCTGCCACCTTTCAGGAGGCCAAGCCTGTGTCAGTGGGTAAGGGCCCCTTGGCTCCCGACGGAGAGCCACGAACGCCCTTGGAAGCATGGCAAACACGCGCCGTCTCCAACCCAGGTCGTCGACCCAGCGACTTTAACGCTATGCCTATCGTTGGCCGATCGGCGTCGGCGACCTATCCGGGAGACGAGAATCAACAAGAGGATCCTATCCCTGTTCTCGTGGCTAAGAAAGTCAATGTGTCTTCGGGCATTTCCAAGCGTATCAAGGCGCTGGAAATGTTTTCGAACAATCGTGATAGCCCTACCAGCCCTGCCTTGAGCGTTCCTGCTAACAATAATGGCGTCTCCTCGCCGACGGCGACTGCTTTTGAGAAATTCCGCAAACGAGCGTCTTTATCCATTAACGGCGGCCTTCCCTCAGGACCCCCCTCAACTCGAACGTCTTTCGTTTCCCCCTCACCAGAACCTACAAACTCGTCCTTGCGCCGAAAAGAATCGCAATCACTTTCAAAAAGCAACTCCGTATCGGTGACTGCTCGTATCGTTCGAGACCCCAGCACACCTCCGACTGACGTGAATGCGGATCCCTTGGAGTCAAACGCACTGAATTTACAACGAAGCCCCTTGATCGTCGAACACAATTCTCCGGAAGCATTAAACTCGTCTATGAACAGCACACCCGAGCTTCGTCCTCGTACATTTTCAACGAGAGGTCTCAGTCGCAGCTCGACTGACACCACCATCCCTCGTTCAGAGAGTCGAGCATCCTCGCGTTCACGAATGGATGATAGGAATGCTGATCCAAGGATGAGCCCCGAGGACAAGAAAGATTCTCGTACGTCTAGATTGTTTCGACGGATGTCCTCCCTGACGTCTCCTCGCAAAAATCTAATCAGTCCAACCCGAGTAGAAAAACCACTACCATTCCCACAAGTAGAAGGAACCGAGCCCGTGCCACCGCAAGCGGTCGACATTGGCGAAGTCAACGTACAGTTCCCCGACACCTTGCTCTGGAAGCGTAGGTTCCTGCGAATCGATCATCAAGGCTATCTCGTCCTCACCCCTGGTAATATGGATACCGGAGCGCGTAATATTGTGAAACGATACCACCTCTCAGAGTTCACCACACCATGCTTGCCTGATGAGGATCGACAAGAACTGCCTAATAGCATTTTGCTAGACTTCCGAAATGGCAGTACATTGCAGTGTGCCTGCGAATCCAGAAAGGGGCAGGCTGCGATCTTACAGAGTAAGTGATTGTACTTGACTCAATATGATCCATTACTGACTAGAAGTAGCTCTCGTTGATGCCCACAGTGCCTATCATCACTAAATTATGGTAGCTCATTTTTTGTCTTGTCTAAACAGTCGATCTCTGCATTTCAGTGGTTATACCCCGGCAACTAAAAAGGTTTTGTTATTTTATTTCGGACATTTTGTCGTTGTATATTCTCTATCTTTGATAAGATCTCAAGGTCCTTGAAGAGCCATGAGTTGAGGAAATCATTATTCTTTGATATTGCCAACTCAAGCCAAACTTGACTTCTTTTCATTTCATTTCGTTTCGTTTCCGGGACGTTGTACAGATTCTCTCCTTACAAATTTTGTTTCCTTCTACTGAATATTTATCTGCTTGACGCAATCTGTTTCCTACCACTGCTGCTACTTCTCTTCCTGTTTGACCCAATACGATTTTCTGTTATAGTCACTTGACATAGTGGGAGGCTCCTTTTTCATCTATAGACGGTTATAGAACGAGTTGCTCGTCAATTCTTGACTGGTTTATCTTGCATTTCCCTTATATACAGTATTCATCTAACGCCTAGTCGGAGTATGTGCATTTACATCTATCATTCGGCAGTGCCATCCTTCTTCTGCCATTCTTCCAGCAGCCGGCGAACCTTCGGTCCCCAAACTTCCTCGCCAGCCTCCAATTCGGAGTATGCGAGGACCTGGTCGGCTTCTAGCTTGTAATCACCTTGTCGTGTGCGTATAAGAGAACTCATTAATCCGCAGCTCCCGACTGCTTTTCCGAGATCGTGTGCTAACGATCGAACGTAGAACCCGCCAGATACGGTCATAGTGATCTTTACTGCTGCTGGGCCAGGAACGGGCATATCTTTGTTGGTCGATGTTGTTTCTGGCTCAGTTTCCTTCGTTGCTTCTGCTTCTTCTGCCGGTTTTGTGTCTTTTTTAACTTCACTGATCTCGCTTTCCTCAGGCCTAGTGGTTTCTGCGTCCGTCTTGACTCGTTTCGATACCTCATCCAACTCCGTCTTTTCAGACACCGGTGAAGCAGCTTTTCTTTTTCCTACAGCTGGCTGAGCCTGCACCACTTCAGCCTCTGCGGCTGACGCAACCGGTATCTCCGCCTCCTTATCCAGCATCCTCTCCGCCACAGCCCTCTCCTCCCCAACCATCTCCTCCTCCGGCCACCTATACTCATGCGTCCCCGGCTCATACCACTCCAGCACCCTCAAATCAAACACCTCAACTGGCACCGACTTAATCTCCACGGGCGGCTCCTTCCCCTCCCTCGCATACTCATACAACCTCTTCCCCTCAATCCTCTTCGCCGAAAAAATCGGCGGCCGCTGCATGATCTTTCCGCGAAACTTGTCCCTCAACGCCTCCTCTACCATCCCTCTCGTCACATGTTCATACTCCCCTCGCCGCACCACTTTCCCCAACCGGTCATATGTATCCGTCTCCGCACCGAATAATACCACCGTTTCGTATGTCTTCGAACACCCCAGAAATGACTGCAATTGCTTTGTGCCCTTGCCTACCCCGGCAATCAGTACCCCCGTCGCCATCGGGTCAAGTGTGCCTCCATGGCCGATTTTGATGTCCGGTCGAAATCGTTGCCGTCGCTTTCGTCGCCAGTTTTGGTCCGCTTTGCGTCGTTCCTGCTCGTCCTCGATCCACGATCGGAACGTGTTGGATTTGCTGAAGTGGGCTTGGAGGTCGCGGACGACACCCGCGGAGGATATGCCTTGGGGTTTGTGGACAGCTGAATTAGGCATAGGAGGTCAGATTAGTTAAATAAAAAGTAAGAGGGGGACTACCGAATATCCCCTCATAGATCTTTTCGCCAGACATTGCGGTGCGGAATCGAGGTGCAGTTACGCCGCGCCTGATAAAGCTCATGAAGGAGTCTGGAAATATGCCAATGAGCGGTTGTAATTGTATGGATTTTAGACAACAAACGGAGATCGCAACAAGTCATTCCTTGGTTGTCTAGCATTGAATGGTTTGTTTTAGTTGGGGATACGGAGACGGGAGATTTTCCAGCGGAGTTGGAAAGTTTATAATACGTAAATAGTTTACACGGCTGGTAATAGTAATACAGCAGCCCTCCAGATTCTTCTCTCTCTAGTATTGGGGGTTCTTGATGTGAAATCCGGTGAGTGGGATTGGAATTGACAGCAATTGAATTGGATAAATAAATTTGCTATTAATATTCGTTAGTGATGTGGATGTGCGATGACGAGTGGGCTGTCGTTCGCTCGATTGGCTTTGTAATAATACTGCATTTTTGTTGTTGTACATGACTTCCTCCTTTGGACATTCCTGAGCACAGGACAGCTCTCATCCAGGGATCCTTCTTCTACATCTTCTTATTATCATGTACACGGCCATAATTATAACTGCCTCAGTCACCACCACGCTGACTAACAAGCCTCAATGACTCGGTCGGAATGAGCCGATAAGATGCCGAGACGCGGTCATTATTAGTACATGTATTAATTACCACCACGAACGATCGCAGTACCAACACCGTGAGTCGATGCATCTGAGATCCCTTCCACCACATTATTGATACCTAGATTGTATTCTTTATATGCCCATATTCGCTCCTGCCCTCCTAATCCCCCTGACCCTGTTATGCCTCTCTCTTATCTACTACTGCCGATCCAGCAATAACCAACATGCGAAACGCCGCCTCAGACTCAGACCCATGATGACGTCCCGCGAAGATCAAGTCCTCAAGCCTCGCGACCCGGCTGTCGACGATGAAAACGACTGGGAGGAATTCAGTTTGACCGATGTCAAGATCCTGATCCCTGGGAAATCCCGATATGCGAATTTATTAGCTACCACACCGGATAACCCGGTCAGAGTTATTGGCTGTCTGGATGAGGTGGAGGAGGAACAGGCCCGTTTAGGTACGGACGTCCCCGCGCTTTGACGTTGTGTCTGTCTATTTTGACGCCGCGCGAAGCTGGCTGTTTATCTTATGTGTTCAAGTGTATATGTATATGCGTATGTCTTAGATGAGCTAATTTGTTAATTGTAGTGCTTGATGATGACTACCTCTCGAAACGCATCGTCATCGAAAATGTAACCCACTACGCTTACGGCCAGCATGCAGACGGTGAGATCGGTGTCTGGGTCGCCGGCCAGGCCGGTTGGTATTCCATTGTCCCTGCAAAGGGGTATAGACCGATGTACAATGATATGGTCGAAGCCGTCGATTTGCTTTATTTTCTCGTCGACCGACACCAGAGCCAGAAGCACCGGCGGCGGGCCGGGGAACCGACCTTTGAATATTTGTGTGAGGAGGTGTGTTATTCTATTACTGTTGTATAACTGTCAGTAGAGTTTTTGGGCTGACGGATGCAGTATGTTAATCATACGCATGGAATCTGCGAGGATGGTGATGACTCAGCGGAAGTCATTGATAAATTCCACAGCTTCCTGCTGTCACAGATGATACAGGGACGTGAGAACGTGCAGTGGAATGAGACGGAAATATTCAAATACCTTGCGAAGAAATTCCCAGTGAGTTGACTTATCTATATCTGTCCAGCAGTCTCGTGCTAAAACATATAGGATGAATATGAACGGATATTGGCGCTGCAGCAGAAACCAGATGACGAAAGTCCTGCCAAGCGAACCGAGCCCAAAGCCATCGATACCCATGCCGTTTCGAAAGCACAAGCAGATACTATATTCAGGATTATCTCCGAGCTCAAAGAAGCCGGTGCGTTAGCCAAACGTCAGCTAACGCTCGACCTCGTCACCAGCACGCTATGCAGTCGGTACGAAATCGACTCAGATGACCACGCAAAAGACGTGATAGGCGCCAATGCTGCCGCTGTGATTGAGCAGATGGAGCGGTCGGACTATGACTGGCACAAAAGAGCGATATATCGGGAACTGAAACAGGCGTCTGAGAAAGAAGGTATTCGGCAGACTGCCGCCACTCCACTCAGACCTCGCCTTGGTATCGATGACGATAGCTCGGAGCATGAGAGTGACGACGAAGATGATCCCCGCGCGCAGAGGCGCCGTGTACGCAAGTCGGTTTTGCGGCCGATATCAACTAAGAAAGCGAGCAAAAAGACTCGCAGCGCGACGCGAGATATGGACGTGTCTGATGACAGCGACATTGGCGAGAACCTCGAAACACCTAGCAAGTCACGAGGCGGTCACAACCTCGTGCACGATCCTCCACCATCTATTACACAAACCGCAACAGCAATAGTAACTCCAGCCGCGTCAATCAACGGACGCGCGCGTTCGATACTGTCAGAAACAGATTCCCTGGCCATTCGAAAAACACCGCTGCAAGAAACTCACCAATCCGGGAATCTCACCGGTCCCGATCTCACTAATCTACCAGACGATGTCTGGGCGTGCTCCGTACAAGGATGCGGAAAAGTGATACACAAAGCTAGCTCCAAACGATCCAAAGAACTCATCCACGACCACGCGCTCACACACGCAGAGGACACACAGGCCAAAATTGACCTCGTCTTTGCCGAGCAACGGCTCAATATCGGTATGGGCGTGGACCATTTATTAAGCCGTATTCGAGAGTTCGGGGCCCTTGAAGGTGCGTCGGTAGACGGGGATACGGCTGTGAAAAGAATACGGCGATGAAGACGGTCATATACATGAGCACAGATTTGACTGCCTATTCGAGGGAATCATATCCGAAAGAATACGGCTGAAAGCTACAGGCTGTTGGTCTCCTATACGAGATATCGACAAAATGGTATGACGCCTTTTATATCAAATTTGTTCTTCAGGCTGACTGGTATGCAGACATATCTGCTAACTATTTGGATGTATGGCAGGTGAAAATAAAATATGGTTTCTCATACTGTCTAGACTGGGACTAGCTTGATCTGCAGACTCGCCGACTCGAAGTTGGATCCAGCTTGGCTTGCTACATGTACACGCTAGGACCATTGTTCTGTAAGAACGGGAAGGTTCTCAGATAGATAGATATCAATTATCAATGCCACCATGAATTGATCCTTCAATTAAACATTGAAAGATAGGTATAGACTATGTACTGTACACCTAGAAAACACCCGACGCCTGATTTCAAAGACGTTCTTTTAGTAAAAAAAAATAAAATGATTCATTCCACAAACATGAAATCATTACTGCATCGCCTTCCTCCTATTCTTCCCAGGCCTTTTGGCCGCTCCACCCGATTTCTTCCCTCCAGTCTTCATTTTCTTAACTGAGAACCCGCGCAAATCAGACGATGACATGGCGTCACCGGACTTGGCGAACCGTTTCTTACCACCGAACCCGTACTTTTCGTTCTTCTTTTGTCGTTTGGAGGAGGCCCCGCCGCTCCCTTTGTCGGGCTTAGAGGTGGCGTTATCGACAGCGATATCGAAGAGGTCTTCATCATTCGTGGTTGCTGATTGATCGGTTTTGCGTTCTGAGATGTTAGTATTGACATTCCTTAAAAAAGACTGAAAAGGTAAGGACGTACTTCTCTTCAAACTATTAATTTTCTCCAACGTCTCCTTCTTCTCCTTCTGGCGCTGCTGCAGCTTCGCAACCTGGACCTGTTTCCCAAACTTCTTCAAATCTCGCTGTCGTCGAGCATCCGCCGACGCCTTTTTCGCGGCCGCCTCATCATACAGCTTCTTCTTAATCTTCGTCATATGCTCATCCGTCTTGATCATTTCGGCAAAATAATCCGTAGGCCGCGTGAACGGCACTCCTTCCTTTTTGAGCAACCGCCGCGCGTCGATGGCAGCTGCCTGGCAGACTTTGTAAAAAGCCAGTTCACGGGTGAGATCATCATTGGGGTCGGGCACGTCCAGGGGTTCATTGGAGACTAGCGAGTTGTGTTCTGAAAAGGCGGTTTGGCCGGTTATGAATGAGATACGTTTGATGGAGGTGTTGATAGCGGCGCTGTTGTTGATTGTTAGACGTTGATGCGGGATTACGTCTGCGCGTTCGTCGCCAGAGAGGTCGGAGAGTGGGATATCTTCTTCTTCCTCTTCTTCATCACCCTCTTCTTCTTCCTCCACGTCGTTCTGGTCCTCTTCTATTTCCTCAACGGCTTCATTTTTGTCTTGGTTATCGTCCTACCGAAATCAGCTTCGAACAATATAATGTAAGGGTTAGAATGCATACCACCTGCTCTTCTTCAACATCAACGTCTTTTGCTTCCACCGCTTTCTTTCCCTTCCTCTTCTCTGCCGCCTTGGCTAGCTTTTTCTGGCGCTCCTTTTCATAATCACGACCCTTATGGGCATCCAGAGCCAAGAGCAACTTGCTACTTTTAGCCATTTCGAATAATCCCAACCTCTCAGGGTATGAAGATTAGGACATCGATTGAGTAATGTCCTTGAAAAAAAGTGACTTCGGGAGCGGAGCTAGTAGCAATGATAATTTTTTGGAGACGACGCTATACCCGATATAGATTGGGATCGATAACCGGGCGGACTAGACTGAGTATGGTTAGACCGCGTCTTATCAGCGTCGTCCATGGTTAGCCGGACCGCATTGAGGCGAACTGGTTTGGCATGAACTGTATACCAATACAAATAACAGTGTTTTTCTTCTTCTTTCCGTGTAGGCAAGATTAGGGGGGAGAGTATATTCTGCCAATCTGTCGATCCACCACGCAATGGCAACGGACACGAAAGACCCCTCGGCAAGGGGGAATACAGCGCCTCAGCATCTTCAATCACAGGTACACAACCTCAATCCCACATATATAAACACACATCTACATTGCCATTGAAAAGCTAATAAATAATAATTTGATACAGACACCATCAAGCGAAAACTCAACAGCCCCCGAACTTGCCGCCGCCGTCGACGAGTTACTCGATCAACTGCAACACAAATTTGATAACGTGTCCACGGAGATCTATGGGAAGTGTATGATGGCCTTCACCTCCTCTTATATATATATATCTAATTTATTATTTGTGAGCTTCGTGAGGTATTGGAGCTGATTTTTTTGTAGTAGATGATATGGCTCGACGCCTCGATGAACTTGAGACTTCGTTGAACACGTCGCAGGAAGGTTCGACGGCCGCGAAGAGTTGAGGTGTTTCTGCAGAAATCGAGCTTCACAACACTGGATGAATCGAATGTCCGATTCTCGAATATTGAATGGACCCGAATTCAGGTCGTTCTATGAGCCTACTACTATTATTTATAATTTTATAATACAGATAGGATACCAAAGGGTTGTTTATGTTGGATAATATGGAAGTATGATTTATCGCAATTTGGTATCAAATTCATCCTGTCAACCAAACGTTCCATTTGACAGGGATTTACTATACATACAAAGAAGCCCAGAGAGACTTTCTAAAACCACCGAGTAGACATGTCATATCACGAAGTTCATGGAGTAAGCGTTAATTTTTTGAGGGTCAGGATCTATCAGTGTCAAGATTACAGCTCATCCTTACCCTCTTCAGTCTTCTCACCCAAGAACTGGCGTAGGATATTGCTACGCGAGATCAAATCATCGACCTTCTCAGGCGCAAGACCTCCTTTGCTGAGCACCTTCTTGAGACGAGTGAACTCCTTATTCACGTATCCCTCGCTCTCCCGCAGCTTATCCGTAACCTTGATATAGTACTGAGCGTACTGCTCCTGGACCGACTTGGCCACCTTCTGAACCTCATCGGCGAGCTTAACGAAGCTCTTGGTGGGAACGTACTTGGCGACAATCTCGTCGAGGGTAGGGATAGTGCCGGCCTTTTCATCAAGGCTGCCACCGACGACGCGGTGAGTACCGGCCTTTTCGTTGATGTAACTGACGAGTTGGTCCTCGCTGCGTCCGCCTTCGTAGGCAACAGGCTCACTGGATCCAGCGGGGAAAAATTTGATGGTGGGGAATCCCTGCACTTGGAATTCCGAGGCGAGTGATTTGGAGTTCTCGGCCTCGCAGTCGACCTTGGCGATCACGACGTTCTCGTCACGGGCGAAGTCGTTGGCGAGTTCTTCCCAAGTAGGGGCCAGGCTCTTGCAGTCTGTAATAGGGAATGTGTTAGCAGCAGTCAGATAGAAATGTGTATGGATTGGCCACTAACGTCCACACCACGGAGCAGTGAAAGCAACTAGGACATTCTGTTTCTTGCCAACAACATCGTGGAACGAAGACTCGGTCAACATTTGCACATTGCTAGGAGGCTTAACAGCGGCCTTGGCACGGATGCCGGTCTTTTCGGTGATAAAAGCAGTCAAGCTGTCGAGGTCGCGACCGCCGTTGTACTCGGCAGGCTTCTCGCTCTTGCCATCGAACCACTTCAAGGTAGGAAAACCCTGCACACCAAATCTCTTGCCCAAGTCGCGGTGAGCATCGGCGTCAACCTTGGCGATCTGCACCTTGTCTGAGGCGAAGGAGAAGACCTGGGCAAGTTCTTCGTAGACGGGGGCGAGGTTTTTGCAGTGTCCGCACCACGGCGCGAAGAACTCCACGAGTGTGGGCTTGCCGGATTGAAGAACCTCTTTGTCGAAGTTGTTGGGTAGAAGGTCGAGGACAGCAGAGTTTCCAGCGCTGACAATGCTGACAAGCAGCGCGATCAAGCTCACGACGAAGCTCAAACGAGCCATGTTGCAGTATAAAAAAATGGTCGCCTCGATGATGAACGATTTGCTCGAAAAATTAGCGGAATTGAAGAGAGTTATATTATAATATAGATGACTTTTAGATATTGAGAATAATCAGACCATCCACTCAAGGAGTTGACAGCTGTGATGGTGTTTGGGAGTGAAAGAAAGCTGGGTTCCGGCTACGTCGCCTGTTCTTCCAATCTCCACCCGATTTATCAGCAGTGATCTGCGATAAGTGACTCTGACTGGCTAGTCGCCACTGCTCTTTATTATACTTGTGGTACTGGGCATCTATTGTTACTTAGTACTACTGTACGGATCGATTGTTATTATCTCGTGTCATTTTCTTCTTTAGAATTTTTTTAGTAATTATAATTAAGAGTACATCATAGCTTGACCAGTCGATTGTGACTTCGCTACCGATATTCGTCGAATACCATCCGTAACAAGAAGAAACAGTGGCAAGCATTTCAGTGGCGAGATAAGATCCTTCAACGGTAATTAGCCAGCCATTTGTTAGCCTTTTCCCATAATTTAGCATCCTTGAACCCGGTTGGAGCATTTTGAGACGCCGCGTAGACCTGTCACGGATTAGAAATAGAAATATTAGGACTGAGCAAGGCTCAACATACCGCATCCCACAGCGTAAACGCCGCGTCCAGATTGTCCTCAAAGCTCTCGCTATGCTGGAACCATTCCTTGCCCTTAGCCTTGACTTCGTTGGGACTTTTTGGTGATGAGGTTTCGGGCTGGTAAAGTAGGTCGTCTAGGAAAGTTCGGACGGCAATACCCAGACCACAGTCATTATCCTCGATGAACGGTAGCCTTAAAACAACGTCAGTGTACGTAATAGTATAAAAGAAATTAACTCACTTAAAGCTGAGGGAGGTTAGCTCCTCGTTGCTAAATTTTCGATCTACCTCGCCACTCAGAAGCATCGAAGTTAGCACCACTTCGACGAGATCTCTCAACGTCCGCCGAACAGCAGAGACGAGAGAACGGAAGGAAAGAAGCTGTCTGCTAAGTGGCCCTGAATAACCAATAGCTTTATGTTTAAGCTTTCCGATGCAAGCAACCCGAGAGACCAGCAAATTAAACGACTTATCCTCATCTACACACTAATCAGCAACAACAGAAAACTTTGAACATAGATGCATACCTGTGCCTCGCATTGGACCACCAGAATGGTCAGGGAACCACTCGTTCGGGCCTAGTACACCCAGACGCAGCATCTCGACGGCGACGAAAACTGACTCAACTAGCTGAATATTGAGTTCAGTACCAGCAGACTCGAGTGCATCGATAGCTGTGTTGTAGCACAGTCCCCAGCTTGTAAGTTCATGCTTATCATTGACATGCCCGCGAAGCTGCAAGAACCCTAGAATGGCCTGGTGCAGAATTTCTTCTTCCGAAGACAGAGGCTGGAAAGCACAAGTCAGCAACGACATAAAAAGTTATGAAAAGAATAAATTATACAGGAGAGTCTTTGGCGGCAAATGTCGTAGAAACAAATTCTGGGTCTTTCAAACTTTCCGTGGCGAATCGTAAAGATACTCGAGGCGCCTAATAATAAGATATGATAAGGATATATACTACGGCACTTTCTGATTCGAAGGTGACCTCACCTGAAGTGTAGCCAGTTTCGCTGGTAGCTTTATGTGGGTGACTCTCCAGCTTCGGATAGTATCTCTGACGGAGGGGGTGTTTTTGAGCTCTATGGTGCGGCGCGGATTATCTTCATACCACAGGCGGACGTTGATATTCTTAGTCTGATAGAACCGATGGAGACAGTTTGATAATAAACAGATGCCTTGTTCACGGATTGGCATAAGCAGGTCGCCGGTGAGGTGACGGTAAACGCTAGAATCCTCAACACCAAATGGCAAGGAGACTGTTAGTTGGCCAGATGTCAAAGAGTTAGGGATGTTTGAGCTTAGAAGGCCCCTCGAAATGTAGTAGTAAAGTTCCTCAGGGAGACGTTGACCGATCAGTTCATGAACATCAGACGGCGCAGCCTCTGCATCCAATGGCCCAACCCGTCCCTCGCGGTCAGTGATAACATGATGTTTGACAGATAGATAGGCACGCTTGTATCGGTCAAGATATTCAAGATCCTGCACTCGGCGATCTTCTTCGAATTGAGAATAAAGGGCGACGGCGTTACGATTAGCACCGTTGAATATATTCAGTGCGTCACGGGGATTCCATGGCCGTCCAGGGAATGGAGAGGTCTCGAAGGGTGGAAAGGTACGAAGGAAGCGGCCGCCTAAAAGCAGGGCAAAGTCAAGAAATTGCTCGTTTGTAAGCCGACCAAATTCTTCCTTGCAATTCTCCTTAGACACCCAGTAGAACTGACTAGACTCCAAGTCAAGTCTGATAATCAACTTCTCAATATCAAAAAGGAAGGCCTCGGTGGAGCCCCAAACGAAATCGACGAAAGGTTTCTCGGTGCTTTCGAAGTATTTGAGCTGTGCATATGCCATTAGCATTGAGCGGCTATTGCGGATGTTGAATGAACATACCTGGGCAGCAGCGCTGTAAGGCGCAACAAAATAATCTACACCATTCTCATATAAGATCTTCTGCAAGAATCGATAGAGTTCACTCGGTTTCGGTGTGCCTATGTCCACATGTATTAGCAACCTTCATACCAATTAAAACACCAGTAGCTGAGCTCACCAGCATTACTAAACGCATCCACAACCTGATCCGCCTGTTGCTGGTCATACAAATCCCACGCCTGCTCAAACGCACGCGCCGACTCAGCACGGGTCGATTCCGTACGTGCCCAATTCTGCGAATCCTCGACACCAAACTGCAGGCCGTCGAAAACAAACACAACGCCAATACCTAGATCCTTCAGCGTAGAGAGCTCGCGCTCGATATTCGCTCGCAGGGCAAATGGAAGGCCGCCGAGGGCGATTAGCAGTGGCTCGCGGGTCGAGTGATGGTGGAGGTGCTGGTGCAGGTAGAAGGTGGCATCGATGCCAATGACGGTTCCTTTCAGACTGGAAAGCGCGAGAGTGTACGGGCGGTTCGCAGCCCAATCGTCCAGCGCGCGCACAGCTGTAGACAGTTAGTGAATCTGAAGCTTCGTTGTTGCTCCGTAGAAACAATTGGTGGACGTACTCGGCATGGTGGTGGTGAGCTGGAGCTGTCGAGCAGATCAAAAAGCGAGCTGCGGCGAGGTCTCCAGCGGGCCCCTAGGTGCAGCAACGAGTACCGTTGGCAGGTGGCAGCAATAGCTGGATACACTGCTCAATGGTCGGTCTTCTTCACGAATACCGATCAGAATGGACAGGTCTCAACTGTCGCTATCAATTGATCAACGCAACATAGAACAAAGAGCCCTGAGGCAAGAACGACGGTGGAGTGTGCCTGCCGCCGCTAAGCTAGTTGCAGCGGCCTAGCCAATTCTTATTTGGGACACGTGACTGCCACTCACAGATTCACGCTGCATTATAACATCTGAGGTTTCCGGTAGCTGATATTACATGTAGACGGTTCAAGTGTTATGAACATAATGGACCTTTGTGGGTGTGTCAGGATAAAACCCTGGTTATTATAGATACACCAATTGATGTTAGTATATATCTTGACACATAGTACACCAAACTATATATAGAGATTTTTCTCATACATATGTACCACAAACACTGAATTCAAACCAAACAAGTCCATAAGTAGTCAAACAGTATCAATTGACGTCCAAGTAATTTGATCATTGATATGTGGGCTACTTTAAACCGGGTGATAGCAATTGCCATCGGATCGGCCCATTCCGACAACTGATCACAATCACGATTACATAAAAGTATGTCTCGACAGGTACATATGTAAGAGCATTTAATTAGCTCAAGATAAGCAGAAATCGAACGAATCCGGAACGTCACTAAGAGGGTATTTACTCCACCGCATCTAATCTACCCACCCCCCGCATTCCACTGATAAAGACAGAACCAGATCATATTTAACCAAATGCTCAATTCTTTCCTCTACCTCTCTTTAAGACTCCCAATACACGCACAGAAAGAGTGGTAAAGTAAAGAGAACGAAAACAATGGCATCCTCCACCCCAATCCAACTCCCAATCATCAACATCTCTGACCCAACCGACGCCGCGACGGGTCGAGAAATGCTTGCGGCGGCGGTGAAATACGGGTTTTTTTATGTGCATTCCCAGGGCAGTGGATTTTCGGCGAAGGAGGTGGACTCAACTTTTGATCTTGTATTCTGCCTAGTCAATATCAATTTGTCGGGATCATGCTGATGGTTGAGCTAGTCCAAGAAGTTCTTTGCGCTGCCGAGTGAGGAGAAGGAGAAATGCCGGATACGCACTGATGTATGGTACCTACCAGCCATAGGAGAGGGGATTATTGCTGAACTGTGATAGAATCGAGGGTGGTCAGGAATGCATTCTGAGATTCTGGACCCGGAGCATCAACGGGTATGCCAGTATCAACTCTACATATTACACTTTTTATATGTACTGACGGGCCACAGACCGGGGATTTCAAAGAGTACTCGCTCCTCTTCATGAACATGCGCAAGGCAATAGTAACCATCACAGAGCATTGAATCTAGGCGAATTCAAAGACGGGAAACTGCAACAACCACTTCCACCAGCCCTCGCCGACGACGAGCCCGAGATCGCGCACTTCGCCACACTCTGCAACAAGACCTGCGCCGCAGTGCTACGACTACTTGCATTGGGCCTAGAGGTCCTCCCCCTCCCTTTCATTGTTTGCCATCACTGACAACTCTAGATCGATTCCGACTACTTCGTCACCCGCCACGACCCCTCCACTGGCCCAACAGGCTGCGTTCTCCGCTTCCTGTACTACCCCTCGCTCACCTCCCCGGTGTCATCGAGCTACCAGCACGACATCGATGTGCGCGCCGGTGCCCACTCGGACTACGGAAGCATAACGTTGCTTTTCCAACGTCCCGGACAACCGGGTCTTGAGATCCTCACGTCAGAGGGTACATGGGCGCCTGTGCCTGTCTGGCCTGGCCAGCCTCAAACCAACGACAAGGACGAGGAGAAAGGAGGGTTCCCGCCCATATTGATTAATATCGGCGACATGCTGAGTTTCTGGACGAACGGGCTGCTCAAGTCGACGGTGCACAGGGTGGTGTTTCCGCATCCGTCGTCATCGGAGGTGAAAGAGGATGAGGATAGGTATAGTGTGGTATTCTTCTGTCATCCGGTGGATAGCACGAATCTTGTCCCTGCGGTGCCGAGTCCGTTGGTGGCAGCTGCGGAGAAGAGGGTTGAGGAAGGCAAGGTTGGGTTTGGAGGTGGAGCGGGTTCGTTTGGGGAGAAGAGGACGATGACGGCGCAGGAGTATTTGAATATGCGGTTGACGGCGACGTATGGTGAGAGGGAGAAGGTTACGGTCTAGCTAAGTACGGGCTTGGGATTTAAAGTATTAGATGATTTCGTTTTATAGGAGCTTGTTTGTAAGATGGGATTATCGTATTGACGATTGTGTATGACTCCCCTATGATGAGCATGGACATAGCAGGACATTAAGCATGTCTTGAACTGGACTGGCATCGTCGATGCCTACATAAACAATATTAAACAAAACCAGAATGATCAAGACTAAACACAAAATGTCGATTCGTACATCAGTTCAATGATAAGTGCAATGAAATGGCAGATATGTCGTCAACTCAAACAATGCAAAAACACGCAAAATCAAATGCAAGAAATTGTAAAAGAGCCCTCCAGAAACCGTTACTGGATATGAGATGCATCAGTAGTGCAGAAACAAGGTATCTTTGAGATGGAGTATGAACGCCGCCTGGTACTCGTCAGGAGAATGTGCAGATGACCTTTTGAGTACCGAATGCCATGTAACAGGGTGCAAGACGGAATGAAAGGATGAATGAAAGGATGAAAGAAAAGGACAACGCTATGCGGACCTCGGGAGGCGGGAGCCAAATGCATTATGAAACTCAACTCATTGTTGTGGACTGCAGGAGTAGATTGGAAATTATCATGGCGTGCTGTGGCACCAGTGTCGATGGTACACCCAAGCAGCTTTCTGGCATTCTTTACTGCAGTACTTGGTTCGACGGCAGCGACGACACTTTGCGAATTGCCGTTGGTATTTCTCCCATTTGTTGCACTCCCAAAATGCACATTGACGAATTCCTCCCTTGGATTCGTCCTTGCGACAGAGATTTCGCATGACTACACACGCCCAGTACTGCATGTCCTTTGAGTGGTGTCTGACGGTGAACTTTTCAACCAGAGGGAAGAGGTTGTAGTCATCGGGGCGGATGTATTCTTCCTCCTCCTCCTCGGTTATTTCCTCCGTTGGCATACTAGAACCCGTGGGATCATCCAATAAACTCAATTCGTGTCCTATCTTGAGTTTAGGTACTAGATGGGATTCTTGGAAATAAGTCCGAAGCTCACAATACTTCGAAACGTATGCAAGAAGCTGAAGAGCCATAAGGACATCCTCATCACGGGGCATTGCAGTCAGGACGCCTTGTGGTGAGTTGTGATTTCGAAGAAAAGCCGAAAACGGACTTGGGTTCAACGTAGGAGAGTTTGTATTCGCTGGAGCATTCGTCGGCGAGAAGCCTAATGTGCCTGGCGCTTGAGGGTTAGTTGTATTGACAATGCTGCCATCGACAGCGGAGCGGTGTGTAATGTTGAAGGTTTCAGTATCTTGAGTTCGGGATGGATCCGACATTGCCAAGCCACGAGATTCTGTATCATCCAGCAGCGACTCGCCATCGCCTACATCGTCGATTTCCATGCCATTTTGGACGCCGACAATGGGTTCATCCACATCATCCGATTGGCCTTCATCTACCATGGGTGAGTCTTCTCCATTAGCATCGTCAGAATCCCCCGAGCCAGATTGGGTATGATGCAGGGCAGGCCGCACTAGTCGAATGGTAGATACACTGCGGGGTTGCGAGGGTCCTCCTGGTGTTGTGGGTGATTCGGGTTGGGATGTGATGCCAGCCGTTCGTGGGGTGGAGACCTGCATGCTGGGCAGACGAAGACCATCTTGAACCGGCCGCAAACCGAAGCCATCGACAGCATCCATGGTGGGAACAGCAGTAGCCAAAGGTTGCATCGGTCGGATGCCGGGGGAGGCTTGTTGATACCGGAGGTCATGGTATCGTGGGTTGTGGACATCGCGGCCGAAAGTTGTTCGTTCGGGAGGAGACGTTAAAACCATTTGGGGCTGGGGTGAAGGTGAAGGCGCAGTGTCCATATCATTTGAATCATCATCGTTGTGTTGATTGTGTGGATCGTGGTGATGGCGGTGGTGGCGGTGATGATGGTGGTGATGGTGATGATGGTGCGGATGATCGTGGCTGTAGGGCTGGGGAATCTCGATCGACGGCGGAGGGGCCTGTCGACGCGATGGCCGCTGGTCCATTGCGGCGGAGCGCTCAAATATTGAAGATGACGAGGTCAGGCCTGCCTGATCTCGGAGATGGGGTGGAGGAATTAGATGTCTGGATGCAGCCGCCGACCGTTCCGCATCGGCACGCGCGCGCACCTTGTCGACGACCTGGACGTAATTATCGAGGATGGTTGCAATGACAGGGACCATGTCGGCCTCGACGACACGAGTCCGCACGGCCTCAGAGCCACGCACTCCGATGTTGACGACGCATTGAAAGGCCAGACTCCATTTCCACATCTCCATCAGGTCCTTACTCCGGCCCTCCTTCAGGATGCATACTAATCGCTCAATGCCGCCATCGACGGTCAAGATGTCTCGAATCCGCGCGGACGAGGTGGTCAGGTAGGCTAGGTGGTTGAGAGAATTTATTAGCGGTAGGGTCGAGGTGCAGTCGAGCGCTCGTCGGTCGTAGAGGGTTGTTGTGATGTTGACAGATGCCTTATTCACATTGGGGATGCTGAAGTTGACTTCTCTCATGGTGGCACACTTTGTATGAACGACGTAAAAAATAATAACAAGTAGATGATGACAATAATAACGCAAAGAAAACGCAGTCAGCGATGCGTGTTGACCGCAAACCGATGATCGTGATGGGGTAAGAATATGGAAAAGGAGTGGCGGGATGGGGGTTTGGGATGAAATCGGGTCGTCTCCCAAGGTTAGCCACGTCGAAGGTAATACCGCCCCTGAGCGACCGGCAAACACGCGAACGACGGCGATTGCAGAGCGATGCGCTATGGCGAAGACGAAGGAATGGAAAGGTGATAAATCATTAAGAAGCAAGTCGTGTGGTAGGGAATGGTTGATGGGGTGGCGAGGAGGGTGAAATTTACAGTCGCAGCGAGAAGCAGGGTAAGTTAGGTTGGGGCGCGAAGGTTAGGAATAAGAGTAAGCAGGCCGGGCTCGGCGAAAGCGATGGAAAAATGCACCCGCTCTGGCTCTGCTCGGGACAATAACAACAATAACAACAAGAGTGGTTTTTGCACAGCTTTGCTTAATATTAGGGACAATAACGATTATACACGAAGGTGATGATTGTAAAGGCGTGAAATTGATACTGACGCAGGCGGGGACGGCTGGGTATATTATTATTTCGGGCATAATAATGGGAATAATAAGTAATATCAGCAGACGCTGTTACATCCAGTGAGCGGGCTGGCTTGGCCTGGAGCAGCCTTAGCTGCATATCCCTATTTATTCCTATTTCTATTCATACTATGGTGGACGATTGAAGAGTGTGCATTTATATTTATCTGTTATCCTCCAATTGTTCATTATCATCTACCACTAATTAGACAAAGGAAAAAGGAGAGAAAAGCGAAGAAAAAACTGTCATCGCCACCGGGGGTATCTCGGCAACCCTACTCGTCTTCACTCCACCTGCATAGCACACGACATATACTCAATTGACTATTGATTTCGCATATAGTGATTCTGCCATAGGACATAGTCAATATTAGATGCGCCATATTGCAATTCAATATTTATACTGTCGATCTACAATAAACCATGTACGTCTCATCATCTCCTCCCTCCACTTGGTCAACTGCGTTCAGCTGATTCGTGACCAAAGCCAATTCTCATTCCAGCACCGTCCACCTGTTTATGTATGTAATCGAGTATGTAATCGGTAGCATTTTCAGTGATGAATCCTGGACAGCTGCTATGGATCGGCAGTCACCCGACAGGCCGTACAGATATCTCCACATCTCATAAACGCCTGATGAGTTGAAACAAGTCCTCAAAATTAGAAACATACTGCAAGCCATTTTTCACGGTCCAACTCATTTGGTGTTAAGCCAGATATCTGATCGAAGAGTACGAGAGGACAGAGGCTAGGAGAATAATAATAGCTCTGCAGGCTACACGCAACCTGATTGGTGCGCGCTGAATGTGCCCGGGCTATGATTAGAAACCGGCGCTAATCGGCTGCATCTGGCTGGTCTTCACTCTGCCCTCGACACCTATCACATCGGCTTCTTTTTTTATCTTGATCTGCTTCCATGATTTCGTGCAAACCTGTTTGTTGTTTGGTGTGTGTTTGGTTGGCGATCAGGCATCGGCTCGAATGATTGACATCTGCGCGTTTCAGTAGGCGTGCTTGACGCTGTTTATTAATAGCCTGCAGGTGTTGACCAATATTCTAGATCTATAATAATAGAGTATCTGTCGTCAAGTATCAAATCAATTGACTCCAGATCTTAGAAGCTGATGTTCAGCCTTATTCAATACACCTTCTCGGAACCATGTATGCGAGCGGTTGGTATTACTGTATTGCTCACCTGCGCCGATGACGATTTGATAACATGACTATTCATGAGATGAATTAGCAGAGGTTCCCACAGGTAATATCTACAGGTCAATATTAGAGAAGGAAGGTGTGTTGGAAGTCATAATCTTAAATGCATCTGGTTACCTTCTGCTGTCAGACAGTAGACTTGATCTGAGTACAGGTAGAGAGAGGCGGAGAGGCGGGCCCGTGGTACCGGTGGTCCAATCAGCGCGTGCAGATGAAATCATTGCGGAGAACCGGCTGACTCCTTTGATGGATTATTAATGATATTACATGCATGGACGGACTCTGATCTGAATGGCATGCCTATTTAATATTATTACCTATTGTTGATGTGCGATTTAAATTTAATATTTATTTTATGTGCTATAGCATGCATGATATACCCATAATGTATGTTACTGAGAACTAACTATAAGGTACTATCCAGCAGGAAGAATTAGTATATAGAGTATTCAAGCTGCTTTTGTGGGCCGGCAGCTAGCACGCTTTGGCCAGCTCTGCTCCTGTTCTGCAGCAACACGTGATATCAAAGACATCGTCCTGATATACATAGTCAATCAGTATATCTACGCTTCCAGCAAACTGTCCGAACGATAACTGACTAGATATGCACGAGTCTTCCAGAAGACTGCATGAATTTTCGCAGGTTACAGTGGCCTCATACTAACTAAGTTACATAGTTAGTCGGAGGCTAAGGCATACTCTAGACTACCATCGATAGCCTAGGGCCACACTAAGCCTAAGGAGGTAAGTTAGAGCGGCTGCCACTGGCTTAGCAAGCAATAGCGTCTCCAGCGGATGCAGAACTCGCTGTCATGAGTGGTCTGCCGGAAAGGTCTAGGCCTGTTACGGGATAGTGCTCGCTACACTACCCACCGTGCATCTTCCCACAGACCACTGGCGCCCCGCTGGCGATTGCCGTGCGAGAAATACGTCCTCATAATATGACGAGACTGCGGTCACGGGGCCCCTTTTCTTGGATATACAGTAGTAGCTATTTAGTACTATTTAATTATTCTTGTTTAGTTGTAAATGTGGTAGGATGTACGTGTGATGATTACGATTGTTAACCATTCGCTGTTATTATAGAATAGTTATAGACTTATTACCACCTGGTAATAGTAATGGTATATTCGGCCACTAGCCCAGCACTACAAGGCCAGACTAGAGGCTCGCTTTGCGCCCCATTATTATTTTTATTATTATCCTCTTCTGCGGTGTATCCGTACACGTCTCCTCTTCCTGCCCCCGACTCACTCACTGCACTTACACACTCTACACAGCGCTCTCTCACCGCGCTTCATCGATCGGCGCCCTCTCGACTGCTGCTAATATTCTTCGTATTCCATAACAGCATACGCATAGTCGCATACCTACTCAGCTCCAGGCTGCATTCTTGTATTGGCTGTCCGGGTATTCTGCCATCCGTCCAGCGGCCCCCTGATTGGCCCGCCCCTGCTCACTAAGCACTCACCTCTCCTGCGCTTCCCCCGACTTCCCTCTGCGCCTTGTCCTCACTCGGTCGCTTCCGCTTCCCATCCCAACTCCACACTCTCCTCGCCCTTCCCCTGCCGCCTGTTCGACGCTGTTTGTTCGGAGAGGGCTCCAAGAGTCCGATTTATCGCCTTCTGTGCTTCAATTGATCCTCCGTTACCCCTAGTCCACCATGGCGGCCGATATGAGCGGCGAGCAGATGCAGGCCAAAATCACTGCGGCCAGACGCGAGGCTGAGGGTCTGAAAGACAAAATCAAGCGCAGGAAGGATGAGCTGGCAGACACAACTTGTAAGTGTCGGATTCTCTTTTGCCGTCGTGGTGATGATGGTGGCGTGGTGACGATGCCGATGATATCGTCATCCAGCCTCCTGACTCGGCTGCGGTCGCCGTTGAGCTGTAGCCGTTGCTACTCTCTCAAATGGATCGGGCTAACTCGCCTCGTGTAGTGCAGCAAGTGGCAATGAACAACACTGACGCTCTTCCTCGCATTGGAATGCGCCCGCGACGGACATTGAAGGGCCATTTGGCCAAAATCTACGCTATGCACTGGTCCACAGACCGACGACATCTCGTGTCCGCCTCGCAAGACGGCAAGCTGATCATTTGGGACGCCTACACCACGAATAAAGTCCACGCCATTCCTCTACGTTCATCATGGGTTATGACTTGCGCTTACGCTCCAAGCGGGAACTACGTCGCTTGTGGTGGTCTCGACAACATCTGCTCCATCTACAACCTGTCCGCTCGAGAAGGCCCGACTCGCGTGGCGCGGGAGCTGTCTGGACACTCTGGCTACCTTTCATGCTGCCGCTTCATCAACGACCGCCGCATTATCACCTCTTCGGGAGACATGACTTGTATGCTATGGGATATCGAGTCGGGGTCGAAAGTCACCGAATTTGCCGACCACCTCGGCGACGTCATGTCGATTAGCATAAACCCGACCAACCAAAACGTCTTCGTGTCCGGTGCTTGCGACGCCTTTGCCAAGCTCTGGGATATCCGTACCGGAAAGGCTGTCCAGACTTTTGCCGGCCACGAGTCTGATATCAACGCAATCCAGTTCTTCCCAGATGGCAACGCTTTCGGTACTGGATCAGACGACACCTCCTGTCGACTATTTGATATCCGTGCCGACCGTGAACTCAACACGTATCAGGTATGCCTCTCACTCGAAACTTGATTCATTGCGCAATACTGATTTCATATGCAGAGCGACCAAGTTCTTTGCGGAATTACCTCGGTCGCATTCTCCGTTTCTGGACGTCTGCTTTTCGCTGGTTATGACGATTTCGAGTGCAAGGTATAGGAACTCTATAGTTATATTCTTTGGGAATTAACTAACTTTACTAGGTCTGGGATGTTCTCCGTGGTGACAAGGTTGGATCCTTGAGCGGTCACGAAAACAGAGTGAGCTGTCTTGGTGTTAGCAATGATGGTATTAGCTTGTGCACTGGCTCGTGGGACTCTTTGGTAAGTACTAATCCGTCCATATTCAAGGGCAGGACTGATATTCTTGCAGCTCAAGGTTTGGGCCTGGTAATTCAGGCCTCCTATTCTGTGTTTTCATCAGACGGTACCCTCGTATCTATGATTGTGACCAGCACAAAAGCAACATGCCTGCGATTCTGTACGATACACTATTTCTTTGATTTGACACAATTCGGAATGCTCTACCGCCTCTAAGCCGCTAATATTTCTTTGCACACCGACACTCGTAATCGGAATCCCCATGTACAAAGATCGAGACGGTACACGAAACATTTGTCGATTGGCCATTTGCGATTATGTAATGAGAACATATATAGTCTGACCGGATATTGTCGCTATTCGACGTATGGTGAAGCGAGAGTGTCTGCTCGTTCTTTGTTATACTTTGTCATCTTGGATCGACATTTCTGACCTGATGTGACTTCTATCTACCACGACCTTTCCTTTTTCGACCTTTACCTAATGTTTTGCATCGTTGTCTTTCCTCTTGTTCACTTACTTCACTTTGTCCACTTTCCACTTCATTCTGTACCTTGGAGGTGGAAGGGGATTCTCGTCTGGTTCGGCTATGATGTTATTGTCTGTACGCCTCTGTATTGTCTTCTTCAGTTTCATGGCAGCATGTTTTGGGATTCCTTATACGCCCTCCATACTTTTTGCTTCACTATTTGCGTCAGCCTTGGGGTTGCACATACTACGGATTTTCTTTCTTGTCATTGTCCACTTCCTTTACGTTAAACGACGTATAAGCAAGATCAAAGTCGAAAACACCACCAAACTTAATGGCTTTGATTTTGTTCTTTTTCTCTTCTACTTATTTGACTTTTCACTTTCAACCAAACCTGCCATTGAAGACAACTCGATTTACTGGGGGACAGCGCGCAGGTCACTTGAGCTGCTAACTGAAAATTTCTCGTTTTATATCCTTGATGCTTTCTTTTTGCTCTTTTCCTTTTTTCTAGATACAGGCGAATTGATCTTTTGTATGTCTTCTAAAAACTACAAGACAATTTCTTATATTTCGAATCCATACGGACAGACTAGTATGTAAGCACCTAGCCTTGATCATACTTTCAGCGTCTGGCAACGTCCCGGACCGGAATGACTACATGTAGGGTACATGTACTTGGTGTACCTTGCATGTCCTTCGACTCTAACAAAATTTTCAGTTTGACAACTTGGGTTTAACTATCACATAACTCCGCACAGGACTGTCATACTCCCACATACTCAATGACTCGTTATATACATGTATTAAGATGGAACTATTGACACGATCAATAACGGAACATATGTAGTCATCCCTGTATGATCCAACTATCAATATAGACTTAAACCACATTTATTCAACCAATATAGGCGCCAACCGACACAGTCCAGCACAACTATCTTCTCATTGTACTCGAGTGTAGCCGGGTTCAAATCTACTGGAATATTACCACGGCCTAAATCTTGTGCTGTACAAATTTCCTGGCCAACCCCTTCAGGTATTGGACTATGCTAATGTGGATAATGTTGAACTACATATTTACATACACACAGAATGGGCACGACATCACCGGCAAACGATGTCAAAAAGGCTGCCTTCCCATTTTGTCGTGAAATGTAGAAAGTACTAATTCTTGATGAGGAGCATTCCCATGCTACTTTTAAGAGATTTTCAGGCAATAGCCAAGGACACCAGCTCATGCACACCGGGCATAACAACCTACCACTTATTCGCAGTCACTATGACTCTTTACAATTCCTATTCAAAGGCGACGTTATATTAGACTGTTACGGAGAAACTAGTATCGACCTTGTTCTGACCAGTGGGATAATTATTTCCAAAAAGATATATGTAGCTAAATGCCCGCGTATGTGCACCATAGAGATCGGCGCTGGTACTGGCTGTACGGCAAAATACATCCTGTGCACTCTTTCTAATGGCAGTGGTCGGTCTGAAACGAAGCAACTGTGCTTGTCATATGATTCACCAACATATCACCAGAACTTCTCTAACCTACAAGAGAGAACTTCAAAAACTTTCCGCATGTTAGAAGCACGGCACTCAGCTCTTTTGGGACGATCAGAGTAAGGACAACCTGTGCAATCCAGCTGACGGAAGGCTTCACGGCCTTAAGGTCCTAGTAGCAACTCTGCCATATGACATCATGGGTTCTGAAACAGTACGATGTCTCTTTCGAGACGTATCACAGACAATGCCTCCAACCAAAGGGTACATATACGGCATTTTGGTGCAGAATGATAGATTATTGAATAACCCAACATCTTAGAACTGGCATGTGACTACTAAACGCAGGACTGTGGTATCATGGAACTTGAAAATGGACTTCCCCTGTGATTTGATCTACTCTGCTCTACCATCGCTGTCGTTGGACTCCCATCACGGCCCAACTACGGAACCAGAAACGCGTACATGTACAGCTTAGCCAAGTATTGTGTACACAATGATCAAAAGGACGTATCAATTAATTTAGGTGCAATTAACGAAGGTGACGTTGTTATCGAGACCGGGTTACTGGTAACAGCGCTCAGCTAAACCGGTATCATGTTAGAAATTTCTCGTTCTTCGAGACCACTGTTGCAACAGCGGGCAGCCAATTTTTGACACCACTAAATTACTAGATTTTGATGAGGTGGAACTTAACAGAAAAGTACGGGGCAATTGTTCTCCCAAAAGATTATTCTCTCATCAAGAAGCACTACACAGGAGGAAGTGACTGTGAAACACTACAGCTTGACTTGCCGCAAGCGTTAAAAATGACTACTTCACTTTAGATATGAAGGGGATTGTATTCCATTCCTTAACCGACAAGTTGGCACCTGTCGACTGATTGGGGAAGAGGTTGACATTGATTTCAGAGCTCCGTTATATACATGTTCGGTGTCGATTCCTTACTGGCCAATGGAGCTGTGTATAATAGGATGACAAAGTTTGAGTATGGCATCGCAAAGTGCATTGGGTATAGGAGCTCTCTCCATAGCAATAATAATAATATTTGAACTTTTTGCATTGTCTACGGGTAAGACCCCAAGAAGTCTATTTGTTCAATGTGACATAAATTGGTGTAAATATAGACGAAGGGCAGAAAAAATTTATACTATATTCATTTTTTGGTCATATCACTGTAAATGGATTGCAAACAATTTCAAGGCTGACTTGGCCACATCTGAGGTTCTCGGCAAAGCTTCTTTGTCCACTGTCAGCATGACAGTTGTTACATGAAGTTAGCTGAACAACTAACATTTGCCAGTCATGAACTGTACGATTGAATTAGCATTGCAGGAGATTGATGAGACTTCGGTTTTGGTTTTATTATACTCTGTGTTTCACGTAAAGATAATATTTATGATCAACGATTAATCCGGTAATTTATGCATATAGCTATGCATAATCCACGGTATAATACACCATATTTTCGTTTTATCCAAAGACTTCGCCTCCATTTTCTAGATACTCAATTTCCGCTGCTGTTGGCTCGCGACCCAAGGCTGCATTTCTGTGCGGATAGCGTCCGAATTTTTCAATGATGACCAGATGCTTCTTTTCAAAGCTGACCTGATTGGCTAACAACTGTCTTGCAGCCTCCGGCTGCTGTTGAAAAATAGCACGAGCCTTTTTACCGTCCTCAGCCAACGTGATCGATTCTCCTATGTCATTAATCAAATCCTCAACTTCTTGAGACATGGACTCAAAGTATCGTAGAGCAGCCTGGTGGGTTTTCAAATCCTCCGAGTGCATAAGCGGTAGTCCAAACCACATTCTCCTGGCAAGATAGAACTTTATTTCAGGTGACTCAACCACATCGCGGCGGCTGATTGCGCGAAGCGCAATTTCCCTGGCTAGAGGATCGAAGACATTGAACACGACTGCTGATTCCGAACCCCGATAGCAATTCCGCGTGATCTGGTCCAGCAGAAGAATCACTCCAAGCCAGTCTAGAGAAGATGCCGGATTGGTCAATTCTAGAAGCTCATCGGCTGATAGATTCCGTTGTCGAATACCTTCCAAGGTGGGATGGAATTGCTCACTTTCCGCATATTAGTACATATCCAACCAACAGACTGAACCTAGATTTCGCAAATAAATTTATTTCTACTCACACACAGGCACGGTCGAATTCCGGATCTCTGCTGAACCAGCGCGTGTAAGCCTTTTGACTAGGCATGATCATCTCCTCACCATTGGCGAAATGTCCGAACCAGAAATCTACGACATTCTGCGAGCAGACTGGAGTTAAAAGGCTTTTCAGATCATTATTAGAGCTTGTGGGAGGCATTGATGAGAAACTCCTGGCCGTATATGGGAATGTAGATGGTGTAGGAATAAAATAATTTTGGCAAGACGAGGTCAATTTGAATGGAGACTTGAAAGCTCGAGGATTTGGGATTCGTTTGGACGCAGATAAACGGGTTAGAACACGAGAAGTACTGCAGGACCTCATGTCTATATATATTTCAACCGAAGAATAATATGAACCACAGCTCTTAATCAGAATGTTTTAACCCTACGAGATTCTGAAATGTCGATGTACCGCTGAGAGTCGCCGAATGGGCCTAAGCGCGGCACTAGCAACGATTCAGTCGGACTAGCCCCATTCTTTTACCCATCCTCATTATTCGACCACCAGATAGCTACGTCCGGGAGCATGAAAAGAAAGCCGAGAAGAACTAGGTATACGCAAGCCCATCGAGAAATGGAGGACTGAGGAAGGACGAGAATCAAAACGAAGCACCAATAGGACACGCCAACCATCCAGCCAATTATAACACCCGCTAATTCAAATTGACCTGTACTATGACCACCGTAGATCTGACTAATTAAATAGATAGCCTGCTTGGAATAGTCCCTCCAACTAATACAGGACGAAAATGAAAACACAGGAAATAATGAAATTGATCAATCTAGGGAAGGATTTGGTGATTAGTGCACGCTTAAATGGCACCCATCCCACCATCCAATCGATAGGATAAAGTCATCTCCTACACAACCAATGTAATCAACCACCACCACATGCTAACAACCAGACTGTCACTCGACTCCGAGCGATTGTTTCCCCAAAAGTTGAAGTTAGAATAAGATCAAGTTAAAGGCTGGGAGAAATAGCAAGGAAGCCATACCAAGAAAGGACAACATAACCCCGCATCACAAACCTTATTTAAGGATAAGTAGAAGAAGCTTCAAGCATAACAAGGATCACTAAAAAGGTAAAATTAACTCTCTATAAAGTATTCTAGACAAAGACAGAAAAGAATATATTTGGAAGACAGCCTCCTTCATGAAACTGTGGAACTCATACAGTAGCTTTCCCCTATTCATGCTAGGAATAGAAGAAACAACATAGAGCTAGAATAAAGGAAAAATGTTTATTGAATCCTCATTTTTCAATGTAGAAGCTTTGGAATATAATACGATTTGATGAGGTTATCTGGAACCCATCACAAACCCGGAAATCCACCGAAAATTCTAACCTACTAAAGCTACCACAACGTCTGGAGCAATAGAAATCTCAACCCGGACGTAGAAGCAATGTTAGCCGTATGTCTGTAAAGAAGTCCTTTGAGGCTTTATCTACAGTAGTGGAAGCGAGAGAGCATAGCGATACTCCAGAAACCCTGAAAGCCTGACTCTGCGACCTCTGGTTCATACCGACCAATTCACCCCTAAATTCATTGGCAAAAGTCGATAAAGCTCAAAGTAGTCATTGAAGGGTATTTCCTTGGAATATAGACCTAGAAACCACTGTTGAATACTCAATTTGGTGACGGTAAGTATAGAATACTGGATTAGCACTCCTGGAGTTGGCTAATGCGTTAAACCGTGCATGGCTCCAAATGAAATTAATCATGCTGAAGGCGTTTGATATAAAAGGAGCCTTCAATAGCATCAATAATAGAAGTGTTGAGCTTTAACTTAGAACTCAATGGATTCCCATTGTAGCTAGTAGCTTTCTGCAAGACTGATTGGTCAGCATAAATCTCCTACAACTTTAAATCTACTTTGGCTCTGTTGCAAAATTCAGGTCTAGCTTCAGAATCACCATTATTACTGACAATGTTCATACTTATCAGTATATATACTGATATTTTTTACTAGGCAATCCATCATACTAAAGACGTATTGATACTCATTAATGACTACTTCCCTGGCAAACAAGACAATCGGAAGAGAAAACATACCGGAGCTATACAAAGAAGATGGTCTTTGGGTTGAACAATGGGTTAGAAGATAGATGCATGCTTTGCGATAGAGGAAACTGAGCTAAATTTATATCACCGTTAGAAAAGTCAATAAAGAATTCATTGATTTCGAACGTAAATGAAGGTAATAGGTGTAATAAAAAGTGAAATAAGCCATAAAGGTTTATATTGCTCTAGATGGACTACGCTTCCACCGTCTTGCACAACCCCCTGAATCACAAAGTACATCTAAAATCCCCACAACCATCCAAATAGATGTCGAGCCAGACCGGGATCAGGGGGAAAATAAAGCTGCAGCCTTATGCACAAACCATAGCACGCTCATCTACTCGTTGCATCGGGCCGCGAGGGCCACGTTAAAAGTGTGGTCGTGATATTAGATCAAAACCAGGAGGTGATAGCTCTTTGGAAGTTTCCTATGATCAATGGAATGCTGGTCTATCTAGGCAGCAGAGCTGGTCGGCATATTTAGTCCATCATCCTTTACATGTAGTGTAAAGTCATCTAATAGAATCAAAGACCTCAATGTACGGAGAGTCATAGTCAAAGCAAGAGCAATCCTCTGTGGCAGCACATCACCATCGCAAGCAATGAGGAATCCAAGCAATAAGTCGGGACAACGGCTTATCGATGCCATCATGCGGTCAGCTTCAGAACTAAAAGCACGGGGCTTCCCTCTCCGTCTTTAATGGATCCCCGAGCACTGCGATGAGCCACCATCTCGTCGATGACGCTGGAAATGATGCAGCAGATCACCTGGCTAAACTGGCTGCTGGTCCGTAACCTTCTGCCGTCTTGTTCCGTTCCTACGAGAGAAGGTAGTCATCCAAAGCGTGATCCTTGAGAAATGGAGGGTATGAATTGAGGACATCCAATAAAGGTGGTCACCTCGGCCGAATCGACACACCACACCCCATCGCCGGGGCCGGAAGATCCTCAGTGTCCCGCTGGCTATTGGCGAAATTACCGAGAGCTAGTGGTAGGATAAGAAAGAAATCATATATATTACTAGAAAACATGTGAAATCTCGCGACGTCGTAAAGGCCGACGCACCGAGCCCATAAATTCCTCCATAGTAGTCGTACACGAAAGTCGTGCTTAGGTAATTCCGCTGAGTCTCTTGACATGTTAATAAAAATATGTTTCATTATGTGCCCATTCGGCTACTATCAACCAAAGATTGTATTCTGTCGCGAAATCTGAGCCGTGAAAGGTGGCTGATTAAGCCTATGTTAATTCGACCGCAATCCCTGTACAAGGTTGTATTCTATTCCAACATCTGTGCCGAAAATTGTGCATTTTGATTCGGCCACTATAAGTTGCATAACGTTGTATTCTGATCCAACATCCGTGCCGCAGAATGCAACAGTTGATTTAGCCATTGTAACCGATGGTGGTAGCGCTGATACATGGCTAATTCCTACGCTAAATAATCCTTACCTTAGGTAATATGCACGATATTTTATTTACTTGGGCCAAATTTTACTTACCGTACCCAGCTTCTAGGCGTCTTATAGGTGCTCGGTGCTTGAAAATTAGTGGGCGTTGCTCAATGCTTTACGAATTGAACAACATCTGACATAAGTGTGTCATTCCCACGAATGTTCTTAGCTTCGCCCACCTGTCCTCCATATATATTATTTTCTACATGGTCTCTAATTTGGCTTTTAGAATGGTTCAGAATAGGGAATTGGGGGAAGTTGAAAGATTAGAGTTACCTTTGGAGAGAATTAAAAATTTAAGAATACTTCCTAGGACTAGCTAGGGCTAGGGAGCCTTAGAATCATCTATGCAAAAAATTAACATGCGGTGTTAGAAAAAACACCAATAATGTCTGTGCAAATGATTTGGAACTAAGTACCGTTCGACTTTTAAAGCGTCCATCAACGCCAAACCGCCCACTAAGTTTCTAGCAGCTGGATGCCGGGAAGATCCTAGCCCGCCCCTAGACTATATAGCAGTTAGGTGCTAGCGGACGCCGGAAGGTGGAGGTATGTACGGCCCACCTCTCCCGCCTCCCATGGACCCTGAACCTTGAATCGAGAATCCTGATCGCGTATCCGTATTTGTGTAGGGGGCTATGGGGGGGCTTGTAGGGGCTGATGCCCCTCCTCGTGGACAAACGTGTGGACATCATCTGCTGGTAACAGACTATTCGGAGCAGTCACCAACATGCAAGATATTTAGCCACTTCTATCAATACAATGACAATGATAAATTACGTACATTCTGACAAATGCGGGGCCGTATTAAAGCTGTAGTAGTTTACATCTCATATTCTATTGTGCTGTCATTATAGCGTATGGTTTTGAGTTTTCAGAATAAATCAGTTAGAGAGTGGCGACTTAAAAGCAATTTTATGTATCTCAATTTCTGACTCCGGATGGCAACAACATACAACATTAAACTGCTCAAAACTAATATAATCTACGGTACTGTTAATTGGAACGGTCTGCAGGCTGGGAAAATCACTCAGGAGTCGATATCCCGAGCATATCATATTCGACCTCAACCGATCTAGTCAATTGGCTCTACGCACTGCATAGACCATTATCTAGCAAAAGGTAGTTTCAAACATTATCTAAGCTTAATTGTTGTAAATGTTAATCTCTCATATAAGATTAAATTATATATCTTAAAATTAAAAATGTATATCTTAGGATGGGAACTGGGGACTGAAATATTAAGTTACTCTATTCATATTACGGCATATATTGCTTCTAAAAGTAAATTTGACATCAGCATCAGAACCAAATCGACTATGGAGTCGAGCCCAAACCACCTTACATTCTTTATATAAAGCCTTATATCTAAACCAAGCCTCGCTGGCTGTGCATAGCCTTCGATCCAGAGCCAGGTAGACCTCAGGCCCTCGTGTATAGTCTGTCCAGATACCCGTGCACCGGGAAATCTACCACGTGCACTTTAAGTTTAATTATTGCCGAATCCTGTGATTTACAGGGATATTTAATATCACAAGAAGTTTATATGAGTTGGCTGTAGTCCGGAATCAAGGTACAAGGCGCGAGGTATGTTGAATCTCTCCATCCTTGACTCTGAGCACTAAGATAAAATACCCGCAAGAATATGCGATTCACGCAGTTCCTCCTCGAGGCCCCTAAAAAGCTTTAGAGCAGTCCAAATGACCCACCCCGTGGTTGCTTGTTCGTACACACGAGAACTCAATTCCCGCAAACTTCCATATTAAGGACCTTCGAATGCAATCATGAAGATAGTGTTCCCATTTAGTGATTAGATCTGAAAGATCGACTTTTGAGGAAATCTGGACTATAGGCACGGGCAGACCATAAGCAACCTGTCCTGGGCATAATCATATAGCGCCGGGGAAAATGACGAGCTACCCGCCAATGAAGAGAACACGCTCATGAGGCGAATGCCAGTCATAAGGATGAGATAGTATAGAATTTATAGTGAGGTGGATAGATATTTGAATATAGCGCTGAAAATTAAATACGCTAAGAATGGGGCTACATGTATACAAGAAGAAGGAGGGGTATATTATTTCCTTACCCAAGAGGGCATTCGTTACCCCTTTATAGGAAAAGTGTTGCGCATACAGTAAGTTTTTCGAGTCCATATTCAAACACTCGCCACCTGCGTCTAAAGATTTATTAATAGCCTATATCCTGTATTGCTAAACTTGCATGATACTTTTCAAGGTTGGCGCCGTAAACATAATAGCTTACTAAGTTACTTACAGGTGGTTTTGTCAGTGAGGAACTTCGGGCCGGGAATTTTCGTTATTTCTTAGTCCCACAGCCCGCTAGGGTCGAGGCGTCCTGCACCTTGGCAGATTGGGTGTTAGTTATAAGAGGCACTATCGTAAGTTTCCGCACGTTAAAGGAACAAAAGGGTCCAATTCGCTCAGAAACGGCTCCGCTCAGTAATACTAAAGCTAGTGCTTTCTAAAGGAATATCTAGCTTCCATTTTATAGATCGGTTGAGAGCAGATTAATTGTAGATCTCAACTCAAAGTAACTTCGAACCGAAGGTGTCAGCATCGCGCCATTACTGTGTGTTAGTGGAGCCAGCGGTACAATGCTGAGCACATTTTGTTCTGACAATTCACCGGTGTGGGACTATGCTGAAGAAAATAAATTGGCAGTAAGATGTGTATTTATTATACTTCCATAGATAAATAAATAAATGATTACTCTAATTGTCTGATTTATTACGATCTCTTGCATTTCTGGGGTTCTAGCCTCTTAAGTCTCCTTACAGAGCAGATCTGCCAATCTCTTCCATGAGCTTTAAGGGCTTAGCCCTTCCATTCTTATTCTATACATCAATTAGTCTGCAGGTATGTTAATGATATGGCTCATTGTTTTATCGAGGCTTGTTTGACCCTGATCTTTAAGTAACATCGCTGTACTGCCGGCCTAGTTACTTTGGAAGGCGTGAGTTATCCCTTTGTACTCACTGTATAGATGTGAGATATTGAACTTATTGCCCAGGCTGCTCCTTTGCCTTTGACTTGCACCAATTCCACCATTGAACGCCGGACGATTGCAAATTCTGTATTGCTTGTCGTGGATAACAAACATTAATATTATGATGGGAATAAAGTATCAAGCATGATTGCAGAGCTTTATCACACAAAGAGCGGTTATATAAGGAGGCGCATAGATCGACGAACCGACATGAGACCCAACCGGGAAGCTTGTGACCGATGTCACTCTATAAAGACTCGCTGTGTGAGGACAGAACTCTCAGAAGTATGCATTCGATGCGAGAGGCTTGGAGCTTCATGCCATTATAGCCCAGCAGGCCGAACAGGACGGCCACTGGGAAGCCAAAAGAAAAATGTTAAAAAAAATCAAGCTAAAGGCCAGAAAAGCCTCGGTCGTGAAGGCAAGTCTTTCCCTGATGGCCATGGAGTTTGAATCTAACTACCTTAGTCACAGAAGGAGAACTTCGCAGACATGACAAAGTTACTTCAATTGGAGAAGCTGATCAGGCAATCACGTTTGACAGTCGCCAAAATAGCCTATTTTCAGACGTAGACTTCTATGGTCTGTTTTCATACACAGAGAATGACTCGTTGTCTACGTTCCTGGTGGATGATCTGGTGCGAGAAGACCACTTCGCGCCATCTGTTTCTGCGAGCGTGGAGTCTTATACAGGATTGCCCTGCACGCATCTGCCTCCCGCTCAATCATCTCAAGATGGCATTCAAACAGCACCTAAATTAGCGTCAACTCCTTTTATGGGATTAGAATCTGTGAATATCCTTCAAAAGCTTGTCAACATTCAGTTGCGCCTGACAAATTTGGTTCAATCACTATCGACTAGCTCAAACATCCCCGAAAATATTGAGGATGTTTATCGCATCATTGAAGCGTTGACTTGCGTCTTGGACGAGCTTAATGGCGGGGACTCGGTATGTCGACAGCGACCATCATCGCCTTCGAATGGAGCAGCCGTTCTGCTTTTCTCTAGTTGCTATTATAGCCTAATAGAAGCATGTGGGCACTTTGTTCACATGCTACAGCTAGATTTACAAGGATCACGAAAGTCCAGTGCTTCATGTGATAATCTGTCCAGCCCTATATGGTGTACAGGTCCACAATCTGATAATCCGGAAAGTGCATTGTCCATTAGCGTTGGAGCGTTTCGACTAGCAATGCCTAGAAGAGCCCTGGCTGAAATCAACTTGCACCTGGTCAAGCAGACCCTGCAAAACTTGCGAAGTTCTATGCAACGGTCTGGCTATAATAGCTTTACTGGGCTGCGGCCAATTTCACGAGCCAGAACCCCGGTGAGTATCGAGGAGAATGGGGACTTGCCACATACGGACTCAGTCAACTCGAATTCACTGGCTGGTCTAGTGGAAACAGCTCTTTACGATCTAAAACAAAGAGAGAAAGAGCTCTTCGATGTACTCGAAATGGCGAGCAGAAGTGACGAATAGGTGGATAAATTTGGACGTTGCACAAAACATCATCCAATTCATGATATTTTCATAAGCAATGGCAAATTGTGTCTTCCGGCAGATTAGTGTCTTAACATAGCGTTTTATGATAGTGAGAAACATCACTAGTCAAGCGTCAGCAGTACGTGTCGTCAGCACTGACGCCATAGATCAGCGCCAATGTGTCGAAGTTTTACCACAGTGCCATCAACAGCAAACCCTTTATAGCTCGGGAAACCCTTAGTTCGTATTTTATCAGGGCCAATGTGACAATCAAGTTCGCATTTGCAGCTGGTTGGTTCGACAGTGGAAAGCGCCTCCGCCACAAACCCATTACGTACTACTCACAACGAGGTAGTTGGAGACTTGGGGACTGGAGCAGAAGGAGCGATGTAAATGCCGATTTCGGCGCAAGCAGGATCTGGAAGCAGGTCTTCTCGTTTACCTTGGCCTGCTAACAGAGTCTCTCCGGAGAACTAACACTAGGGCTTATCATTCGCTATAATATAGCGTATTTAGCTTGTTTTTTAAACGTGCACGTTCTAGGTGGCTATATTAATCACTCTAGCAATAGAACGAATATTTGGCTAGTAAGGGACAATTTTCATGCCAAGTACCCTAAATACGCTAACTCCGACATGCATCACGATTCACAGCGAAGTATGGCAGTCGCACTATTTACTACGGCACTAAAAGGGTTGGCTTTTAATAGATTAGGTATTTTTTAATTCATATTTTATTTGATAATATCTTATGATCACCATGTACCAATGACCAAAGGCCATAGAATTCCCGCAATGACGAGCAGTAAGGCGGCCATGCCCACATCTAGGACAGGGTTTTCAGGGCCGTTAGGCCGAACAATATCATGCTCGCTACATATACGATCCTATAGAATTGCAATAAAATGGAAATTGAAATTTGGCCGTATGGACGCTTACTTGCAGTGAGACCGAGCTTATGAACAACACCCAGCACGAACAATGAGAACAACTCGCCGAAGTAGCCTCTAAAATTTTTCACCCAACAATGAATATTGAATACCAGAAGTTAATGAGTAAGATATAGAAGGAAGCTATCGTTAGATTTTATAGCTGAATGTTATTTGTATTGTCACGTTTGCTGATAATCAACGAAGCAGTTATTCATGTAAACGAGATCAACTTTTCTTGAAAGCTGGAGGACTATCTACTGGCACTACATGTATGTTAGAGTCCTGGTATTATATAGTGAAGGACATGGATCATAGAGTCAACTATCTATAGAGTTGGCATCTTTTGCTATTAGCTCAGGATCAAATTGCTTTGCCCTTGTTAATATGTAATTGTATGAATGATGGCTTTGCCCTTTGACATGAAATCGTAAAATCCTCGATGATTGGAACTAGTAAGTGACATTTTCCAAGACTTTTCCATGGCCCTCTTCCCAAGGATAATCTTTTTCCATTGATCGAATTAGGCTTTCATGTTGAGGGGATCGTGGTTTGACGATACACTCAAATGGCTCAGGCCGGCTTATGGTCCCCGGAGTGAAGCGGTATGTAGTATCATCTTTTGTGCTAATTTTAAACACGGCGAGAGTCTGTGCAATATTGATGTACAGTGCGTTCTCGCCCAAGATACGTCCCGGACAAACCCGGCGTCCAAAACCAAACACATATTTGCGCGGGTCTGGTTCCGGCCTGTGGACATCGTCAGGAAGATATCGCTCCGGCTTGAAAGCCTCAGGATCACTATAGACATCTGGGTTATGCGTAAATTGCCTGTTTCGCCAGGGTGTTGTTAGATGAAGACAAAGACAACATAATTGGAAGGAAAAGTTTTTGGCTCTTCATCTGCTTTCTTCGATGTACTTACCAAACGTTTGCCAACATCATGGAGCCTTTGGGGATGAAGTATCCTTGATACAAATCATCCTCTTCACTTACATGCGCAAGGGGGATTGGCGATATAGGATGCCACCTCAAAACCTCTCGCACTAATGCCTCAATGTATGGCAACTTCGCACGATCAGATACCGTAGGCAGCCGATGATGGCCAATCTGGAGATCAATTTCTTCTTGAGCCTTTTGCTGAACCTCTGGAAACATGCCCATAGCCAAGAAGAAACACTGCATAGACCCAACAATCTAAATACTATTAACAAAACCTGTCGCGTAACAAGATGGGCGAAGAGGACTTACCGTATCTCCAGCTCCTCCAAACAGTGCCGAAGCAGACCATTGGTTTATCGAGATCACATCTGGACTGGTTTCTCCTGCCTTTATCAGTCTTGCAGTGAACGAAGTTTCGTCAGCTCCTTGGTTTATTTGATGTTTGACGAAGGCATAAGGCTTTATATTCATATCTGTCATTAGCGGACGCCATTTCTTTGCGAGTTTCTTAAAGCCCATTCCTGGAACCCATTCGGGCACAAATTTAACTAAGCCTCGTTAGTTGTGTTTTCGTAAAGCAACCTGTAAGAAAATGGATCGCCATGGGTGAAGGGTCACTCACGAAATGGAATTAAGTCCACAACAAATGCCCCTGGGACAGTGGCGTGCGCAAAGATGTCCATGGCTTTTTCGACTAGGTCAATGAGAGGATCATCTGTGAACGGCTCTGCAATATATCCATACAGAATTCTTAATGCTAATGAGCCTGCGCCTCTGCATGACTAACGAGTAAGTAACAGATGACTTAAATATAGCCTAAAAGTAAACGGGTGAACTCGACTTTTTTATGTGATCCATGATGCCTGCAGGGTCATCTAGGAGCCGTAGCAGGAAGTGTGCAGCCTCAATCTCTTGAGACTTGTCGTAGTTTGCTGCCGTCGACTGGGAGCCAATTTCACGGCCCATAACCTTGCGAGTGTTTCGAAAACGATTATCGTGTGGCAATAGTCCGAGGCTGTGCTCCCAACCTAACCTACACGAGCTTATGAGCCTGGTGAACGGCAGAATGAAGTTGAGAGGCTACCATCTTGACGCACATTTCGCCAGCAAAAACCCGTCGTGGCCGCGTTGAGTACTTCATGGACCGCTTCTCTAAAATGTCTATCGCAATTTGAGCGTCGTTGATAATTACCATGGTCTGACCCATTACCGTAACCGAGCTGATTGGTCCTATCGCACCAGAAATGCCACTGATGAGTATATTTTTGGGCAGATTGGAGTAAGGAGAACAGAAAAAATCACGAACCGTATAGATCTTTATGCTTTGCCCAGTGGTGAGCCTCTATCTCACCCGGTTTAGGTAAATCGTACATGTTTCCGACTAAAGGGAGACCTTTTGGGCCCGGCGGCCGAGGATAGCGGCCAGCATTTTTGAATGACCTGTACAGGCAGATTGCAATGACGGTAATGAAGCAGATGCTTATGTGGAACATGGGTGGCCAAAGGGTTATCATTGTCGCAATTGCTAGCTAGGGCGTGGGGTATGTCGCTTGAACGAGAGAGAGCGATCTTTATTTGTAGGTAATTGTGAGGCAAGGTATCTTACATCAAGGCTACCGTTTATTAAGTTATTCAACGCTTTAACCAACATGAATGCTGGTTCTCCTTGGCTGTTTATAATTTTTCATTTTTTTCTAGCCCCGTAACCATGATCGTCGGTGGGTTATAAGTGAGATTGTAGCTTAAGAAAAACCCTCCGGTTCTCTTCAATTGTAAAAGGGCTAGGCCTGGTTCGTATTTAGTTGCATTCTCTAGTTAAATTATTGGACTAGAAAGGCCGAGGAGTTCTAGTCCTTATTTACCCTGTTGGTTCTGAGAGATTTTGAAAATTTAATGCAGCCTGAGCCTTGGTTGAAAAATTCCGAGGTGAAAAGTAATCTCCATATCCACCGATTTGGTTGATGCCTGCAGAAAAAGGTCATTGTTCCCAGCTGTGACTTCTAGATAGAGCGACTTGAAATTAGGTTCAGCTCACTCATAGAGGTTAAAAGTAATCGATTTCTGTAATGTTTGCAAATTTGGAGTACTTCCAAGAATGGCGAATCACCCTATTTGTTGGTGTAAATGGTAATATTAGAGTAATTGCGCAAAAGGAGACCCCCCCTTCAACGCTACATACGCAGCTATAAGTATGTACAAAGATAGATATCTAATTTCTATGAAATATTTATTCCTTTATTTCTTCTCTTGACGTTTCATAATAACCGACACCAACTCTACAAAAGCTTGATAGCCCAGTTAATAATACTCAATCAACTCCTGGGATTCCATTCTCTTCTCGAATGGAGGAAGCAAGGTTACCGAATATTATATATTATCTCAAGTGGCGAGATTCGGGCAGAATTGGTTGTGAACATCATTAGTCTCCAATGATTTTCGTGAACTAGAAGTTATTCTGAATGCTGTCAACATTTTAGAGTCTCCCTGAAACCATTTTTGTGCGAGCATTCTTATTGTTGTCATGAAGCTCTTAGAGAGTATGCTGCCTCGGACGGAAAGCGGCGCAGTGTTGCTAATCTGAAGGCGAGTCAAGTGGTAATGAACGGTAGTTCCCTCCTCTCTGTAAATTTCGAAATCAAGATGCTTTCTGATCGAATAGAAGCTTCTGTTGAGAGACCTTCCAAAATTCTTCACTATTTAGAGCTTCAAAAAACCTCTCGGCAGCACGACCGTCTCCGTAGTGGACGTTTCTTGAGTACTTCCCACCCCAATTTTCTGCAAGGCATCCAAGAATGCCTTCCCTATCGTTAGGGCTGAAGTTGAACAAACCATCGGTTGGTGGGGCTCGTCCTTGTTGACGACTTCCGATGTTGAGACATAGTTTTCCTAACGCTGGTGCTGAAGTGACAACTACGCTGCTGTTTCCTGCAACACATCCAGCTTCTTTCAGAAGAACAATGTAATCATTAAACTCAAAATTTGGGGCAACACAAACACGGTTCTTGGGTAGGGCATCAAGTACTTCTTGAACCTTCTCCGTTCCTTTATCGTTGTTTGGTCTAGGAATGACAAAGTTTCGCCCAGAATCCAACAGTGCCCCATAGAAGTTCTTTGCTTGTTCTCCGGACGACTCGCTTTCCGCTGAGTTAGTGTGAAAAGGAGCAATTCCGAACTCCTTGAAGGGGATGCTGTACTTCCGCAACACATCGTCAATGGAAATTGCACTGGGTCTCAGGAAAACGTCGAGATCCGGGGATCCGATAGGAAAAATTGTCCCGATCCTTTGACCAGATGCGATGAGGCGATCAGCAGCATCTTGGCTGCTTGGAAAGTGGTAATCAGCGATCGCCGTGATTGCATATCGGTTCTTGTTATCATCGCCACCGGTAAGTTCTCCACCTTCAACGTGTCCGAGTCGACATCGAGATAGGTGGGCAGCATCGGCTGCTGCTTTTGCTTCGAGCCGATCCCCATGCACAATTAGAAGATCGTAGTCGAATTGTTGAAGCAATTGGAACGTCGCTCCCATTGTAGCCGTGGCATTCTCGATCTCGCTGTCGCCAGGAGCCCATGTCTGTCTGGTAAAAACGCCGAATTTTCTGTTCTTCACGATCTCTTCGTAGGTTGAACCATACTCTTTGACCATGTGCATACCTGTGATGAAAATATCTACGTCGAAACCATTGTCTACCAAGATATCGGCCAGGGGGTGAAGCTTGACCCAATCAGCTCTGGTGTTGGAGGAGAAAGCTATACGTCTCCTTTTCTTCGTGATTGGGCTGAGCTTTTCAATCAAGATGTCTTTGTCGCTCTCCTGGGTCAAGACTACATCTGCCACAGCGTTGACGTCCGCAGTATCTGCTGTATTCGCGTGCACATGGTGCCTCACATCGCCCAGCTTCACACGCTGGCCGCTGATCTTGACTTGACCGTTCTTGTGCTTGATTAATAAGAGGCTCCCTCCTCTCTTGCCCTTCTTGTAAATGCTTTTACGACGACCTACTCGACCGGCCCCAGCCTGAAGCACCCAAGTCCGATCTTCAGAGACTTCGCGCTCTTTCTGGCCTTCACTCTCGTCTGAATAGCTTCTGTTATCCACGTTTAAATCCACATTCTCCTCGCCGCCTGACTTTCCACTAGGGCGGCTCCAATTTTCTATAATTGCCTCTTTTGGTACCAACATATCGGGTACCGGCTTTTCGTAATAACAGGATTCCAGAGCAATTCACCGTTTAGATCAATTGATATCATAGAAAGTGGACCGCATTTTAGCTTTGGACGTTGATAAAGAAAAAGGCTTGATATACGAGATAAGGCGACTTAAATACATCTTAGGTTATATTTCCCCCTTTTGATAGATTGCGTGAGATAACTGAACAGAACACGAAACATGAACGGCGTGTTATTCACTTTTACCATACTAGAAAAGGGCCGGATTTTTCACTGGCATTGAAGCACGGATAAGTCGGCACGGAGGCTTTTGGACAGTTGTAAGCTTGACGGTTTGCGTCAGTTCTGGTCAATATTGTCGACGTGCAAATTCACGAGACTGGGCTCGGCAGAAATTCCAAAGGCCAACTTGACTGCGGGCTCCGTGAAGGAGATAGTCTTCCCTCAGAAAAATTAAGAGAGTTCTAGAGACTTGTACGTATAGAGAAACGCCGCCAAGCCGGGGCTTTTAGCGGGGCCTGTAGCGGCAACTTGCGGCGGCTTTGGCGGGGCCTCTCTGCAGGCCCTTTGGCGGGGTCGCCCAGCGTTGGCGTGCCCTGAGAGCTGGGAGCTGAGAGCCTAGAGCCCAGAGCCCAGAGGTGACCCCATCACCGGAAACAGTCAAGCGCTGGGAACAAAGAAATAGTTGGAATCTTTCATATCTTCGGAATCACAATGCTGGCAATCCTCTTTTATAGGCAACCTCCTTTAAAAGCAATAACTCGCTGTTAGAAACTGAGCATCGTGTCAAATTGATTCCATACAGATCCCAAAACCTGGGTGTAGGGCTGAACACTAGTTTTTTCTCTACCCTAGAAACCCCAAAGAAATTCCCTTTATCAAAAGGTAGCATGGAACCCGTCGACTAGCCTAATCAAGTAGTCTATTAACTAATTAAGTATTAGTTTGTTTTTATAACTCCGTACAATCTGATCATCTTATGTCATCCATTTATGATGGATAATAATGTGACTTAATCTGGCGTAATTGCAACCCCTCCCTACAAATAAGCAACCCAACACGGCTTCAAGGATACCTGCCTATAGGCGGGGTTTACTACCAGCAATGCACTATACGTTTGTTGGACTAGGTAGTTGTAAGCTTGGGGCCAGCTTCGCTTCCCTCCCACTTGCTGTTAGCAAACATGAGCCTTTTCTTTAAAACTCCGCCAGCTACAAATTCAAGTATCACATTATAGAGCATCAACGACAAACTACACATCGCGATGCTGAAAAGGTCAAGAACAGGCTCCTGGATGCCCGCCTGGGTTCCAGAGTCAACAACTATCGTCGCGGTTCTGCTTCTCCTCTGCTCCATGTCCCAGACTACCACTAATGGTTGCGACGGCACCATGCTCAACGGCTTCAACATTCTGCCGTCGTATAACAACTACTTCAAACTGACTAATGCCACGAAGGGTCTCAACACCGCTTCTATATTTATCGGTGGCTTTTTTGGCCTTTTCTGGTCCGGGATGATAGCTGACCGCCTTGGCAGGCGCCTTGCTATTTTCTGGGGCTCATTGGTTACCATTGTCGGCATCATTCTGCAGACCGCCGCGCAGCACATCGCCATGTTTGTCATCGCGAGGGTTGTTCTCGGCTGGGGATTTGCCATTAGCGGTGTCGCTAGTGCGGTCTATCTCTCCGAGACTTTCCCAACCCGCTGGAGAGCCTGGGGCGTTGGGTTGCTGAATAACACTTATTACATAGGCGCCTTCTTTGCTGCCCTGGTAACGCTTGGAAGCAGCCATTTGGAGTCGACATGGGCGTGGCGCACGCCATCTTTGTTCCAGGCGAGCTTTTCCGTTTTTAGCATCATGCTCCTACCGTTTCTTCCTGAGTCTCCTAGGTGGCTTATTGCGCAAGGTCTGTACGAAGAGGCGCGTATAGCTGTTGCGCAAACAAATTCCAACGGAAATATTACGGACCCGGTGTCCACAGCAGTATACAAGCAAATCGTCGATACAATTGAATGGGAAAAGAAGCAAGGCCGGACCATGAGTATCAAGGAAATATTCAAAACACCAACATCTCGCAAGCGCGCTCTTATTGGGGGCTCTGTGGGCCCTTTCTCGTGCATTGCAGGCAATATCATTGCGTCCTACTATCTGGGAGCCGAACTTGAAACTGCAGGCATTACCGACTCCAATTCCCAGCTGAAGGCGGTAAGTATTTCCCCGCTAGCAGTGATATACATATTCTCATGAGAATAGAACGTCGTATTGAACGTGTGGTGCTTCTTTTGCTCTCTCATCGGTACTCAGCTCTCAGCATCATGGGGTCGAAAGCCTACAGCCTTACTGTCTCAGGGACTTCTCATAATCTGTCTGTTTATTATCGGCGGCTTGGCTAAATTGAACGCGGACAACCCTTCTGGTGCGTCTCAGAGCCTAATATATGGTAATGTTGCGGTTATGTTCTTGTTTCAAGGATTCTATTCCATTGCATGGACACCGCTGCTCTATCTTTACCCCCCGGAAGTTATGAACTATGCAATTAGAGCGAACGGCCTTGCATTGTCAACTCTTGGATTGAATGGTCTTGCGTAAGTTCAACTTTAAACCATATTTTTAGCGGTGCTTATACTGATATGACTATAGGGTATTTCTAGTGTTTCTCATGCCAATCGGTATCGGGAACATTGGGTGGAAGATGTACATGATCAACGGCGGATGGGACATTATCACGTTTATCATCATTGTAAGTGCCTGTGCTAGTGCCTGTGCATCATATTCTCTTTCACTTTTCCCATCTTAAAAAAGTACGCGGAAAACGAAAGAGTTATATAAGATGGAGTAAAGCTAATATTGGCAGGCTGTATTCTGGGTCGAGACCAAGGGCAAGAGCTTGGAGGAAATTGACGCTCTCTTCGGGGAGAAACACTCTACTATCAATAATGTAGAGGAAGTGCGCAAGGGCATAGAAAAGGTGGATGTCGGCCAAGTCGATCAACAATTACAAGAGGAGATCGAAACTAAGAACGTATAACAGGATATATAGAGTAAAAGTTATTAGTCATGGAGTTTTATACTTCGAAGTTGTTCTCGTAGACAGGAAGATATTAGAGAAAAATGTTTCATATATGTGTAAGCTTCAAATGATCTTGCTAAATCTTCTAATTTGTGCTATAGAGGATATTGTGTCTTTTCAAGGGCTAAGAAGGCTCCTTATTTTAAGAACTATACCTATCCAATGCATGTATTAGCTGAGATGATTCTTGGTGCATGTAAGGAGACGCTTTGAGGTCTGTCTTAATTATTGATATTTGGATTTTTAAGATTATGGTTTGGCACTGCCGAATCCTGTCAAGAAGGGGCGGGGTTTTACGTACCTTCAATACGCAAAGCCGCCGTTTTAGGGCTAGACGCATAAGCACGTAAAATCGCTTTTTCAAGGTTTGAACTATTGGGGCTGAAGTAAATACTAGAAGTTCTGCAGAATGATACTCGTACACTAATTGATGCTATATAAAATGTTTATATAGCTTCTTCTTCTACCGCGAAATAATTGCGATTCTCCCTAGAAATACAATTCGTCTCGATCTCTTTTTATTATTCATGGCTTACCTGGGTTTAAGAATGCAACAGTAGAGCACTACGACATCATTGAACTTGACCCTCGAGGAATTGGCTTGAGTACTCCGGTCAGATGCGATCCTGATCTCTATAACGAACGCGTATCACTTTTTCCAACTAACGAATTGGAATTTGAGGAGTTGGTGAATGCAAACATGGCCTTGGGTGAAAGTTGTCGTAACAAGACTGGCAAATTATTCTTCCGCCTTGACACCACCAGCGCCGCGCATGACCTCGAAGCCGTTCGCGTCGCACTCGGGGAGAATCATTTGAACTGGCTGGGACTCTCCTACGGAACTATGCTCGGCGCAGCGTATGCAGAATTATACCTCGAAAATGTTGGCGTCATGGTTCTAGACGGCAACGTGGACCACTCACTAAGCGAAACAAGTGCCTTGCATGGTGATGTGTAGACATACGAAGATACACTCAACCAATTTTTCGACTGGTGCAATATCACTGCTACAGAAGAAGAATGCCCACTGAAATGCGAGAACCTTCCACAAATATTCGATAATCTGGTTGCACAAGCCGATATCTCGCCGATTCCGGCTCCTGGGTGCAAAGGAAACTAGAGTACTTGCCGAACAACTGTAACGGGGGAGGATATCCGGACTAATATCTAGGGCAATGGATATCTGACATTCGTAGATGCCCAGCCCGGGGTTTCGAATTCTGGGTTGTCAACTCTAGCTCAGACACTTAAGGAGACAATTGCAGGTAACGCAACGGGGCTCTCTTCTACCCTTGCCACTAGTGAGACAGACTCAGCATTTCCAGGGATTGCAATCGGGTGCTTGGATTGGTACCACAACGCAACTACCTTGGCCGATGTGATATACAAGGGGCAACTTGCGAACCACCTTGCACCGTATATCAAAGGCGCAAGCCAGACTTACCGGTATCAGACCGCCTGTATCGGGTGGCCTGCGCCGGTGAAGAACCCTAATCATGCTCTTAACCAAAAAGCAATGGCGAAAGCACCACCTGTGGTCATGGTTAATTCCTATTATTACCCAGAGGCGAGCTATGTATGGGCAGAGGATCTAAGGAACCAGATCCCATCGACTATTCTACTTACTAGGAACGGAAGTGGACATACTAGCTACTCCCTCCGGGAGAAGCCTCGGCACTGATCGATGATTTTCTTGCTAATGGAACGCTTCCGGCTCTAAATACTGTGGTGAACTCGTGATTTTCCACTTGGTACTATGCTTATATAATAGGGCCAGTTGGAGTATTGATGTACAGACTTTTGTGCTATTAGGACTGTTATTTTTTTTTAGGAGGTTTGAATATATACGTTTTATTAATGATAGACAAGCACAAGTATTTCACGTATTTACTTTAGCGTATCAATAACAGAACTATTTTAAAGATACGAAAATCTCCAGGATAAACTGCAACGATTTACAATTCAGCACCCCATTCTCATCATCCCTGTTTCCTCTTCTAAAACTCAGAGGTCTATCAGTTGTCGAGCCAGGTGAAAGGCCCTAGGAGCAGGAATTGATTAAGCCAGATAGTGTAGATTATCAGCGGGATTGAGCGGGATACTTAAGCACATGATAAAGCTAGACCGACTATATGTTTCAATATTCTATTATTTTAGTAGGTATAAAAAGAACTTTGAAATAAGGCAGAAGAAATACAATCCGGAGACTCTTACATGTCAGTGATGGCGCCTTCGCTAGAGGACAAGGGCAACCCTACCCGGACAACAAAAACCAGTTACTCGTGAAGGATAGCTAAGTTATTACGACACCATAAACCTAATAATGCCCACTGATCCATCTCGGATACTTCCGAGTCCACGGCAGGTATACCTCTCCCCGAAGGTCGGGAGAACCCGAGGGACCAATTGGGTCCGTACAGCTCCAGTGGACCATTGAAGGAATATATTAACAAGGAGTTCTCCAGGCAATCAATTCATGTGGGATTCAATTTTTCTTAGTTTACAATTTCACTCTTTACCATTATTGTCTCAATATGCTCTCTCAAGACTCCAAAATCATCATTGTCGGCGGTGGTGTATTCGGGCTGAGCACATCGCTCTGGCTCGCCCGCGCGGGCTACAAGAACATCACAATCTATGATCGCTGTGCATTTGACAAGAGCTTTTACAACCCATTAAACGGCTGCGATGGTGCTTCGGCCGATATCAACAAGGTATTTCGCATGGCGTATGCGGATCAGGTCGAGTTAGCCTTCCCACCAAGTCTGATGGATTGTTTGGATAACTGATCTATCGTAGATATCAACAGCTTGCCATTGAGGCAAGAGACATCTGGCAGGCATGGACCGATAAGATCATGGCGAGTTCGCCATCCGAGCTCCCTGATGGACTTACTCCAGAGGATAAACTGCTACATGTCTGCGGAAGTTATTTCCTTGGTGAAGGGACGGTACTTCGGGACTACTACAGAGATAGTCTGGTGACAATGGAGAAGACGGCGCCTGAGTTTCGCAAAATGCAGTTCCTCAAGGTGGGAAAGGTGGGTGATTTGATCGACTGCTTCGGCCTTAGGGATGAACTAGCTGACCCTTGCGGCAGGACAACGGCGAGGAAGAAGCACGACTGAGGAAGATTAGCGAAAAGTGGGTGGAAAAATACCACGCCATTGATGGTATTAACAATGGCAACACCAATGGCTTTATTGACATTCAGGCGGGAATTACCATTGCAGACAAGGTGGGCCACTTTTCTCACATCCAATGCTACAGGTTCGCTGATAGAAACAGGCCTGTGTCTACACCAGGTTCCTTTGCGAACAAGCCGGCGTCAATTTCGTCCTTGGAGACCCCCAGGGCAAGCTGTCTAGCCTCATTGTTGAAGACAAGGGTGTGCAGAAGAGAGTCAAGGGCATCAAGACCTACGACGGCCTCTCTCACTTCGGCGACCTGGTCATTGTAGCTGGTCAGACTTCAAATTCCTGCATCAATCTATTAACTGACAACTTTTAGCTGGCAGCTGGACTGCATCAATTATTCCTGAGGCCCATCACACAGTTGAGGCGACAGCCGGCACAGTCATGTTCATTGATATCCCCAAGGAGAGACAGGACTTGTGGAAGAAGTTCCATCCTGACAACTATCCCGTATGGTCCTATCGCAAGGGTGATGGAGATAAGTGAGTTATTGTCAGGATTTTTTGTGTGGAGATAATATGTGTGTTAACGACCAACAGCTACTATCAAGGAGGTGGCTTTCCAATCTCGAAAGAAGGCCGACTTAAGTTTGGTTTTCGTGGGCGCAAGGCAGGTTGACCCGGTTCTCTTAAATGGCATGAGCTAATGCTGGAAAAGTTCACCAATTACCAAGACCACCCTACACAGCGTTATCTGTAAGTTTTTGAAGCTTCGTAATAACTATGATACAAGTTGACGACAGTGCAGTCGCATTTCTACCCCGCGAACCAAGTATAGCAAACAGCCGATTGACACCGTTCCACTATATGGCCTCTCGCGCATGAAGGAGGTTATTGCGCAGGGATTCCCCGAGTTGGTGGAATTTGGATTTACAGACAGTCGGGTAAATAACACCAATTAGTGTACGGTTACATACTAACTTGGGCTCAGTTATGCTGGTATACAGACAGCCCAGACAATAACGTATATTTGCCTTCCACATAACCCTTAAATTAACTGACTTCTCCTAGTATGTCGTCGACTACGTACCTAACTATTCAGATTCCCTCTTCATTTGTACGGGGGGCTCGTAAGTCCTCATCTCCAAACCCAGAATACCAGCTAAAGTCTATAGTGGCCATGCCTTCAAGTTCCTACCGATTCTAGGCAAGGTAAGTATTTCTCACTCACAAACCCTAGATATTTGGGGTTTAATTTTGTCGCAATAGCATATCAAGAATCAGCTAGAGCGAGTTCCAGATCAGTTCACTGCAGCATGGAAGTGGCGCGTCGCAGAGGAAGGAAAACCAAACAACGGGCTACTTGAAGGCGAAGAAGGTCCTAGAGAGATGTCCAGGGTTGAGATGGCCGACCGTGAGTTTTTCATTTGTCTTTTACATTGCTCGGCTGATCGACTGTAGGTTGTGACTTCAAGATGAAACCTTTCAGTGGAAGTGAGAATACTGCGGTAACTGATATCACGAGTCAAGTATCCCGACTATAATAACAGAGGAATACTCACAGTTTCTAAATACGTACTTATCGCTGCGTCCAAATATTGAATACTTTCGTTGTGACTGACCCTACACCGGGCTGCAAGCCGAGGGTGACAGATCATGGAAGATTACAGGACAAAATGTAAATTGCATATAGAATTGATAATAATCTTCATCATGAAACAATCAACTAGATACATCATAAGTCATAAATTCATCGATAAATCCCGCTAGAAGCTCCTCCATTTCATCCGACATGCCCGTGTTTGCAATATCTGCCATCCACTGGGTCAGCGTTTCCTGATCAGTTGGATCCGCAGAAGCCCTGGGATATGACGAGGTATGCACTCCGTTATTTCTGTTTACAATCATGGTCATAGTACGGTTTGCAAGCGTCTCAAATAAATCTCGATACGGTGCTGCCTCCTCCCAAGCCTGAGCAATCACCACAAGCACCATGGTTGCGTCCGTGCAGGTCCTGCTCACGTCGTCGTATTGAATGGTGTCACGGATCCCTGGAGCGGTCCACAGGCAGTGTAGGTACACGAGTCCTGCAAAAAATATACAGCGGAGCGTCCCCCAGGTATGTCTGATAGGAGTGCCGACATACAGGCGCCGGTACTGCGTGCAGATATCCTTGGCGGCTTTTATGCAGTCTGAGAATATAGTATTGGCGGAGTCTCTGCCTTCTGCTAATTCAGTCCGGTAGAGAAGGAGGACCGTGTAGTTATAGTTGAGCTCGTACCAAGCTCTCGTAGCGAATATAGAGAGCGTGCGGCCAGTTCGGGGTATAACCTGCGGAGCCGAGGCTAGCCACTCATCGAGCTCGGCACGAAGCTCTTCTATTCGAGACCTGTAGGTAACGTCATTTGCATTAGCTAGTGCGTTTTCTGAATATAAAGAGTGATGTATGCGAGCCCATAGGCACCGAAGTCGAAAAACATGTATGGCAGTCGACATGCTGGTTGGGGGATTATTGGGTGACCTAGGGGTGCCTTGGAGGGTATCGGTAATGAGTGAATCATTAAAGTCCATTGGAAACTAGGAATTCTCGATTAGAAAATAATTATTCTAGGTTTACAAGGCGCATACCTCAGCGCTGACTTCGTGCAGCGGCAGTGACAGTGGCCGGCCGAGCCACAGCGAGACCATACACTCTATGCCATAGGCACACCAAAAAGTTCGTCTTCGTATTTGGAGATGGATATCATTGCCCAGCGGACCAAGGAGCTTGTTCTTGCGGTGGTAGCCGAGTTCGATGCATTGGCGCAAAGCGAGGCCAGTTACCTTCCTGCAGAGGTTAGACTATAATATCAACGAAGGACGTGTATACATTTCTAACCACAGTGATGGGCCGATAGGAGACCTCAGAGAGTACATGGCGTAACATAGGAGGGCTTGTATTGTCTCTAGGTTATCCAAAGAGAGCACGTCCGAATATAGCTGGGCCGAAGTATAAAGTTGCTAAGCCATTAATTGGGCCTGGTTGCTTTGGTCTCGTTGCAGTTCATTCTCACCTCTGCTAAAGATTGATAATTAGGGAATAGAAGAGCCCCAACGGCATATACCTGAATAAATATTGAGCATGAATCAATCGTAGACGGAAGAAGTACCTACCATGTTCACAAAGAATAAAGGAAGAGAGTTGAGACTCGAGTTGGGAACCTCGTGTGACTGCGTAGCAAGCGTCTTTTCCCAAAGCCTAAACGTCGGCTCGTGAAGAAATGGATACTGAGGCTGAATATTCGCAAAGTATGCATTGCTAAGTGTGAATGCCAGTTCTTCATCCGGCAAAAAGGACATGTACGGCGAAGGAGCCCGTCTGGTCAGCAGACCAAGTAGAGGCTTCGACCTCTCCGGCAGATGGCGACATAAAGACGAGTTGATTATGTGTGAAAAGGCAAATGTGGATGAAGAGCCTAGATACTGTGGCTCTGTCTGGGTGCTTCTAACATCCAAGATTCTGGCTTGGAGAGAGAGATCTGTCGTCCCGTCCCCCTCATCGGAAATCAACGTGCCGTGTCGACTGCTCCCTTGCTGCCTTTCTGGAGTTGGAAGAGAAGATGAAGAACCCCCAACCAGAGAAATTTGATTTCCATCTTCGAGAAAAGCGACACGTGCTTCCAATGTCTCTAGATAGTTTCGCGGCCGATGTTGCTTTGTCTCGGGGTCTTCGAAGAGACAAGCTAACGACTTGATGAGCAGCAGAGAAAAAAGAAAACAAGAACAACATACTCAATGACAGACGAGAGCAGTTGGCACATGCCGGCGTCTGATCGTCACACTGCTCCCATTAGCGACTACATTACGCCGTGTCCAGATAGCATACCTTGAGCTTCTTCTCCTTGCAGCTCACACACGCACGGTGTGTTCTACGCCCGACCCGCCGACGTGCGTGCCGCACGCGGCTCCTACTGTCCCTGCTCTGCTCCATTACGTCTTGCTGAGGTGAAACCGATTAGGTATTGGCAAGACCTCGAGGGATGCAAGAGAGGGGGTCGCCTGGAGCAATCTGGGTATCCATCTGTGTGGGGAAAACAATGAATCGCGCCACTTCCGACTGGCTGCTCGTATTCTTCCGAGATTCCATTATCCCCCGGAAATGTCCGGTGTTAATTATTATCTCCCCAGTTTTCAGTTGAATCTTTATGCTTTGTTGGCGACCTACTCGTGATATGGACCACAACTGCAGAGATAAGCGGGCTGGGTGATCAGACCTAGCTTCCAGCGAGTATATATGTGACATGGGGTTCCCCTCAACCTAAGTAACAACCAACGCAACCTCCTGTCTAGAGAATCTAGCACAAATTGATCATAAAGGAATGGCATTTCAAACCATCGTTTATCGGTCACCCCTAGCTACATATGCTCGCTCCATCCGCAATGCGCCTCGACAAGTCATCTGCAATGGCAATTTGGTCTTCACTGCGCTGATCTTGGCCTTAAGCGCTGTTCCCCTGAGTAAGTACTCGTTACCACTTCCCTGGACTTGCTGACATTGAAAACTGTCTAGCATGGGACCAAGGCTCATCGTCCGTCATCTCCCTTCTCCCTGGCTTCCAGCACCATTTTGGTATCAGCTCCGGCACTACACCAAGTGACATCAAGACGTTCGTTTCCATCGTCTACATCGGCTACGCTATCGGCGCTGTCTTGTCTTTCTTCATCAATGACCGCATCGGCCGCTTATGGTCCTACCGCCTATATATTTTCGTCTGGATCGTCGGCCAAATAACCGCCGCTCTCGCCCCTAGCTTGACGGGTTTATGGGCCTCACGCATCGTCTCAGGTATGGGTCTAGGCTCGCTCAGCGTTATCGGACCAATGACTCTTGTGGAAATCGCGCCAAGTGAGACCCGTGGCCTTCTAACCTCGTGGTTTGTGGTTGCCATGGCTATATCATCTTTCACGGCCATCTTCTGCGTTTATGGCGTTTATCTCCATCTACCGCCTAGCAACCTGCAGTTCCAAATCGTGTGGTTTGCCCCTGCTATCTTCATGTTCCTCTGTGCCATCTCCAGCTTCTTTATCTGCGAGTCCCCTCGATGGCTTTTGATGGTCAATAGACGAGAAGAAGCCGTCAAAGCTCTCGTCCGTCTTCGCGGTTTGCCCATTGATCATCCCCGTGTGCTGGCAGAACTGTCCGAAATTGAAACAGCGTTGGAACAAACCGGAACCAGATCCAGTAACATTCTGGTCTTGCTCAGGGCGATGTTTACGGTACGTTCTAATCTGCGTCGTCTGCAACTGAGTCTCATCTCCTACGCTTTCGCACAACTATCTGGGGCCAACTCTATCACATCTTACTTTGTTCCTATTATGAAGCTGTTAGGTGTTGGGGGTGGAAACGTGGAGAGCATGTTTCTTAGTGGAATGTACTCCTTCAGCAAACTCTGGTTCCTTCTGTTTGCTTCATTCTTCTTGGTTGATGGTCTTGGTCGTCGACGGTCACTTTTCCTCGGCATCACGGTGCAGATGCTTTCACACATTTACATTGCCGTCTTCATCAAATACGTCCAGCAGGGACCCGTGTCCAACAGAGCATCCCAAGCGGCCATCGCGGCCGTTTTCATCCATGCATTTGGATACGCCGTGGGTGAGTTGCGTATTACTAAACCCCTTTATCCTAACCTAACCGTTTCTGTTAATAGGCTTGTTTATTCTTCCTTACGTCTTTGGCGGCGAATTGTGGCCCAATCGCCTCCGGACTCTCGGCGGCGCACTGGGACAGACCTTCCATTGGTTGTTCATCTACGCCATGTCCTACAGCCTCCCGGAGCTCCTTGCCTCGACCAACAACTGGGGAGCATTTCTGTTCTTTGCCGGTTTTTGCTTTCTGGCACTGGTGTACGTGTTCTTCATGGTGCCTGATACAACGGGCATAAGTGTTGAACAAATCGATGAGATTTTCAACAGATCATGGTTCACTGCGTACAAGCACACGAATCGACTAGGGAACGTGGAAGGTGTTGAAGACATTCCAAATGAGACTTCCAGGATTGAAACCAGAATTGCAGATAAGGAGTAAAATTAAGCACATCGTGACATCTAGAGCGAGAATATGATATAACTTCTACTTGCCTAATATAAATGTATGAAAGCATATTAAAATGAGATAGAAAAGAAATCCAATACTCTCCCTCGCTCTCTTTAACCCCTACCATACAAGGAGCAAAATACCGTTCATCATCACTATCAGTCCCATGCCTACAAGAAAAGGAACTGTATTCACCATCTGCGCCGCACCACCTTGACCAGAAGACGTCGATCTAGACGTAGTTACAGTCGCATTAAGTTCAGTCGTCGCTGTCGCTGTCGCTGTCGCCGTCGTCATAACCGAGGTCGTAGTCGCTGTCGTACTAGACACACGATCGGAGTAATCCGCCGCTGTGACGGGTACTTTCGTGATACACGAAGACGTCGTGGTAGTCGAGTCGCTTCCAGAAGAGAAACAGAACGGGAAGCAAAGATCTCGTTTCTCGTCTCTTTTTTTGTTATCGTGGGTATTGCCGCCGACACAGCAGTATTGAATATCACCGATGCTTTCGGCTGTACCGGGGCAGCAGACTTCATAGGTCTGACCAAGTGTGACTTGGGTAATTGATTGGGAGCCAGAGGAGCAGGAGTCGCGTTGCTGTTGGTTTGAGGGGTTTAATTTCAGCGGGTATAAGACATTAGTGTTGGTAGTTACCTCGATTCCATGCACCACGGTACTTAGGGCTAGGAGTGTGATTGTGAGCGATTTCATGGCTAAGGTGTCGTTTAATATCTATCTCAGTGGTATTTAATATGGTAAGTAGAAGACTGTCCCATTGGCAAGAATAATATTCAAAGAAGTCATTGATTTGTTTATATACCCTCTTGTATACTTGTATCACCAATACTGGCGTTATCTCCCAATGCAAGTCATAAAATCAAAAGGAGGCCGAGATGCGAAATTATATCAGACTCAGCTCCGGCTTCTTTATTAAATTAGCCACCTCAGATACGATATTGCCATATTGATTGAATTATATAAAAATAGAAAATATTCAAATCACTAAAAATTGTCTACGTATTGGTCACTGTTCAGTTGCGCGTTGCCGATTTTCGCAAACCGGTATGAATTCGGCTTAGCTTCAGCAAAATTTCACTTTTAGTCTGCGAAAGGGTAATTTTATATATTTTATAATGGCTAGAAGGTGGCTTACGTGAGGTATTGTTATTAATATTTAAACTGCTGCACTCGCAAAAGAGCTCAAATCCGGCTGGTGCTGCACGTGTTAATCCGAGCCCTACCCTTCCACTTCCTTGACACCTGCTAGGGTTATTTACTAGTATATACTTTCATATGCCAGCAATATCATATAATGTATTTGAAGTACATTGCAATTATTCATACCCCAATTGATTAATTGAGATTTACACGATTGTCAACTCCTCTTATTTATCGAATGTTCTGCTTAACAATTTGGACATTGATAAGATCCATGCATGCCATCCCTTATCAACAAGTGTGACCAGTCAACTATTGATTTTCGATATATATGTCGATGAAAGCACGCGACACGCCCACGTTTCTTGCCTAATTGAATACAAAACAAAACCCTAAACCTAATTGGCCCCTCTATGCCATCCGAAACGGCACGCGCATAGATTAATACTCTTGATGACACGGAGTCGCTCGGCTAGACCGTGCGGGGGCTATATCTGAGAGTATGAGACTAATCATTCATGCGTTGTTGATTTATGCGTTTGTACGTATGGTATCAGCCCCGGCTGGCTGTCTATTATCATTATCTAAGAAACTAACATTGAGCGATTGCTATGAAACGTGTAATAGAGGAAGGGAAGGGTGTATGGACAAAAATAATCGACCACAAAGGAAAAAGAGTACAATGTTCAGATAGAACACTGAAACTTAAAAAGGCTCCTTGTGAACCTCGGCTTGTATCTCTTTTCTTCTACTCCATAGTATGCCGAAGTAACTAATGGCTAATTAAAAGCCGAACCGGACCAAACTACTAAGAAATCAGGATACGTAGTATGACAACTGAGATTGATCGCTGTAGACAAGTTCCATGGTCGGATTCATCCCGTCTACATGGTAGCTTCAGCCTGGGTACCTACCCCGGCAACAGTCGCCGATGTTAGTATAGAGTCTACACAGTAGACAGTAGACGCAGCCTAAAAGCAAGCCGTCTAAACAACGTAATGTTGTTAGTATATTGCAGGGTTAGCCAGGAACGCGATCGTTGGCTAAAGACAAGTACGAGGCGATTACGACAGCACGGCTACGAAGGAACAAAGATGGATCAAAATAGGCATTAATATTTGCGTCCAATCATTGGGGGCGCCGAGTCCGTGCTGACGACGACTACACAATATTCAAATATTGTACAATTTATACTCATATTATATGTAGAAGTATACTTGAGTATACTTAAATATACACGAGATACTATATGAGTAAGTATACAGCATACAAGATATAGTTCACAGTACATGTGGGAAGTACCCCAAAGTATCCCGAAGTACATGCATGTGCTGATCAGCGCACTAGAATGTTCGGCGGCTTCTAGGGGAAAGGGGGAAAGGGGGCCAATCAGAACGGCTGTCGGCGTCGGGATCGACATGGATGAAACAGGCTAACAGACGCGAGTTTCGAAACTGACGCAGATTATTCTGTTCGTTCTATATGCTTGTTCTCTTCTCTGATAGTTGTTGTTACAGATGCAGTGGATGTGTATTGTGGGCACTGCAGCAGAAGAAAACACCCCTGATTCTATTAGCTCAAATACGAATTCCTCGAAGTGATCGTGCAGGCCATGTCGCACTGAGATATCGTGGCATGTCGCACTGCAGCTCCTGAGACAAACTCAAAAAGCAGCCAGAAGGGCGCCAAAAAAAGAGAAGAAAGGAACACGTACTACTACTCTGAACTCATCAACTCAGCCTTAAGCCCTGCGCCAACAGCACCCCTAACGACGACTAGAGCAGCTCCTAGGGAGGCTTAGCAGTCCCCGGCGTACGCTGATTGGTGCCTTGGAGCCTACCAGCCGTTCTTTCTTTTCCCTCTTCTTTTTAAAAATTTGGGGGTTCTGCTCCGCTCGGCCGGTTGTCCTGAAACATCCCGCACCTCCTCCATTGACTGCACTTGGCACCACGGTCTAGCATCCTGTCTCGTCTTGTCTTCCCGCTGGTGATTTCTTAGTCGCCAGTAATCAGTTAGTTCTTGCTTCTTAGTCGGCCCGAGTCTGGCGCCCCCGTCACGCTTGTCCTGCACTGCTCTCGTGACAACCTCATACATAAGGTCACCCGCTCCCCTCCTCTCTCTCTTTTCAATATGTCCTCTGCTGCCCAAGAAGAATTCGACGCCCTCGTCCAGGCCAATAAAGACTCCTCGCGTGGCCACCCTGAAGACCGTCACTACGCCGACGTCGATTCCCCCCACCCCTCCGACGACGACAACGACAACGACGATCGCCGCGACGAGTACGAAATCTCCGACACTGATTCCGACTACGCCGACCACGAGAAAGCCCAAGACAAGAAAATGGTTTCTCGCACCGGTGCGTACACCGTGCCGACCACCGTCTTCGACGCCAACACAGGCCCCAAGGGAGTCATCGCCGATGCGCAGTCCTTTGAGCGCGCCAAAAAGAAGTCCTTCCGTCGCACTCTACTCAGCGCCGCCGGCCTAGACTCGTACTCGAAGAAGCTCAACGAATCGCAGTCGCGGCTGCAAAAGAGCAGTCCGCCCAGTGAGAGTGACGGGGAAGAGGAATTTATGCGCCGGTGGCGCGAATCACGACTGCAGGAGTTGCAGGAGCGCAATCAGCGCCGACAGAGCCCGAGCAAGCGGGTGTATGGAACGGTGGTTGATGTGGATGCCGAGGGGTATTTGAATGCCATCGAGCGCGTGTCGTCGGAGACTGTCGTTGTCGTGTGCATCTACAACCCGGAGGTATGTATTCTTTCTGTATTTGCGTTTCTCATACTAATTAATGTTCATGCAGTCTGCGGTCAGCTCGCAGGTGGAAGATGCGATCGCAGCACTCGCGCGCAGACAGACCACGACCCGGTTCATCAAGCTACACCACGAGATCGCCGAAATGAACAACATCGACGCCCCAGCCTTGTTAGCGTACAAGGCAGGCGATGTAATTTCTACAATCGTGGATATCCAGCGACAAATCCCTGGTGGCAGTGACATTACATCCACCAGCATTGAGAATCTGCTCAAACAGTACGTTGTTCTACTTCTTTAAATACGATGTTTTCTAACAAGGTGTAGAAACCGTGTCCTTTAATTCATAGAATGCCCGGCACAGTCTGTCGAAGTAGAGACCATCTACTTTAATATTATATACCCTCCAGCATTATACCACGGTCGGAGTCTCGAAATTTGAACATACTACCTCTTTTCTTTAATCACGGCGACAAATCATGGCCGGTCCATACCGTTGATCAGCTCATTGAATTTCTATTTCTTTCTGTCTTTTCCTTTTGGTTTTCATTTCTGGGCTCAGTTTCGTTATGTTTTCTCACGTGAAGATATCCCATCTCTAACTCTCTCCCCTTTTTTTTCGTTTTAGAGTAGTATATGCACTAGGATATAATTTCGCCTTCCTTTCATTTTAAATATTATATGCCGCACCGCAAATTGTACAATAGAGAAATAGCCACTATACACGCCTGCATATCAATGTTTCAATTGCAATCAATATCCCAGTCTTAATTACCCCCTTATAACACGGATAACAACCCTGTTCCCACGTGTCAGCACATCGGCTGATAGCCTGATACGTACTAAGAGTATGCTATGCTTAACACCTACCACCCATGTCTATAGCAACTGACACCCAACACTCACCTGCATTTAACTGTTGGCACCACGTGGGTGGGTGATAAAACATGTCATAGACTGATTTATAGCCCTGCGGATCGACTAGAGAATCTATAATATATAGTCGCGCTTAATACCCGAATTTAGTAGCCGCTTCTAATGTTTGTGTAGGATTAATTTATGCCTTATATATGTTGTTATCGTGTCTCAAAGCCATAATATTCACTGGCTATTCTAGCTTAGTGTACGATGCGTAGTTGAGATACCAAAAAACCTCCTACTATTGTCAACAGTGTATATGCCTGGCTAAGAACAATTGGATTGGTATACAAGGCAGATACCATCAGTTGATTTATATATGAAAATATGGAATGATAGAAGATAATCAATTCTTAATTTCACTCGAGTTCTTTCTCTTATGGTATTTTATTGGACATAGCACACTCAATTGAAGACGCCAATTTTGTACTAATTCAAATAGACTAAAGAGAGTGGAATGAGGCTTTCTTAAAGCAATTGCCAATCTGAATATAACACATTGTTTTTTAGAAATTGTATCTTTCTCACCTGACTTCTATAATCAGAGGAAAAATTTAGTAACTTAAATAATTATTTGATTGTTACACTGATAAAATGTGATGATTCTTACTAAATTCGACTTTTGACATGTTTTTGAGAAGAAATGTAATTGATTCATTGCTAACAAGTGTAAATAATACTTTTTTTTTAAACGATAAATTGAATTAAATGGATATATTTAGTTACTCCTCTTTTAGAATCGTGTAAACCCAGCAGTCGGGTTAACTAAACGCAGTGCTTTGCACGCATCAGAGAATAATCATAGAACTAGAAATCTCTTCCAAAGTCATTTGGAAAGATAATGAATCGTTGATCAGGTCAGTATACCTTAGTACCTGGGAGAGTCTCGGCAACACTGTGCCTATACGTATTTATAGATATGGATCAATGTCCAGTGGGTATTCATCATTTTTTGAACCAATGTAGCAATGATCAATAAAAAAGAAGCAAGGAAACGCCATTGAGTTCGGTAACTAGCAATAAGATATTAATAACGTACGCTGAAGAACGAGGATTATCAATCCAGCTACCAGGTTAACGATCGGGAATGACCATAATACTCGAAACCAACTTGAAGAAAAAAGAGATGAATAGTCTTGTCGAAGGTTTGTTGTCTGTTTGAACTTTTATCTTAGAAAGAAAGTCATGACCCATCTGAAATTGAAATTAAACTTGAGAATTGACTCGCAAATTACCGTAATCGATTTAATGAATGGCTATTGCATGTCTTATACGACGCCTCGCTGCTGCACAAAGTCCCATAGCATCTTGAGAAGAGAATCCGGGAGGGTGTAGAGGTCGACATGGAATTCGCCCTCTAAAAGAAAATTAGTGGAGTTGTAGTTTCAAGTTTGTACTGATACTCACGCTCAACGTCGTTCACAGTATATGAATCGGCGGATTTGTTATCGTGCACCATTTGGACTACCTGCAGAAGATCATCTTCGTTGAGCTTCTGGAGTCCGTCGGCTAGTTTGTCCATGTCGACCTGAGCATCATTAGTTCTTTCTTTCTTATCAGATGGCTGATCAAAAGGATTGGGGAGGCGAACACTCTTATCAGTTTTCTTCTTCTTCTTGGCGCTTTCTTCCCCTGTTGCACCGCGTTTTGCCTTTGTCCCGTTCTCATCACCAGGAACTGGACCGGATTCCCGCAACTTTTCCAGAAGAGCTGGCTTGGGATGTTTGAAGGTCTAATACCTATTAGAGACTTTACAGAAAAAAAGAAAAGGAAAGAAAAGCACAGCAAAGTAAAGGTTATTCAACATACGATAACATGTTTCGACTCATACCGGTTCTGCTGAAAGTGGAGATCATGTGTAATCGGATGCTCCTTATCCGCAAACAAACCAATTGTCATATCGAACTCACCCCATCCTTCTTCTTGGATACGGAACGGCGGGTTTTTGAGAGCTGGCACACAAGACATTGCACATTAGCCAACACTCCCATATAGTTATACTGCGGAAGATGTACTTTGAATCGCTCGGTCGCCGAAACTGGGATGTAGTCGGTAGACGACTTTGTCGAAGAGGGTTGCTGGCACCTGCTCGCCATGCTCGTTCACCAGGAAGATCTGAATGGACCATGAGCGGAGAGGGAAGCCTTCAACGCCGGAGTCTTTTCCCTGGCTGTAGAATTGAATTAGTCATGTCCCAATATTTGTAGGTAGTATATCTGGAGTTAAAATATGCGGGCGACATCGGAAGCGTGAGAAGGAGAGTGTGCGAGGGTCGAGTCGAGGGAGCGAACGAATGAACGTACATGACTTCTTGCTCCGTCACCAGCTTCACTGTCCGCTTGACCTGCAAACCCACCAATTAGCTCACCCTGGAACCATTTAAGCAATTAGAGTGCCCGCATCATGCATAGGAAAGGATATGTAGGGAGGAAGTAAAACCGCAACCGCTCCGCACATCGCAGGCAGGCATGTATAACACAAACAAGATGGATAACTTACATCAGGCATCGTGAATCGAGTCGCCCACGTACCAGCTTCTCAAAAATAGAATCTTCTTCAGCACGCGCAACCTCCAAGGAGCTGTTTGAGGGTGTGCTTTCGTTGGTCGTGCTGACCAACAAACCTAGCCGACAGCGACGCGATAGCAAACTTTTGTCAAAGGCAGTGTCAGTGGCGCGTAGACTGCCAAGTTGGGCGTGGATTCAGCAGGGGAGACGAGTGTCGAGTAACTGAGAGCAGAGTGAGCAAGATGGGAAAGAGAAAACAGTCGCGAGGTCTTCTTACGGACAGCAATGCGGCGCGGAGTTGGAGATGGATGAGGTTAGTTAAGCAGGCATAGTCGAGCAGAGCTGGCAGGGATGGTGGGGTCAGCTTCGGCCCGCCAATCACAGGCCACTCTTTCTCAATAAGTTCATAACGGATTACATGGGATTATGTTTACAATATGTTTAAATGGTAAATAATCATATCATGCTATATGTGCATTCCGTGCAGGTTTCATTGATATCTTGGGATCGTGGTGCTCTAACAAAACTCTACCGCAACCATCGCAATGTCTGCCAACGGCAAGGAACCTGTACCTTGCCATCGACCCAACTCGTAATCATTGCCACGAACCAACGCTACATTGACTGCGACCTCTCGTGTTTTGTGCCGTAGCTATTGTTTTGTCTTGTGTGACGAAGGGTTGGCGAAAGGGGGGGGGGGGGGGAACTGCATCGATAACCGAGGGATGTGGAGTGAGTCGGGGGGAAGTTCATGCTGTCTGCGTAGGGGAAGAAGGGGGTTGTGTTGTGAAGAAACACTTCATAATAGGCAATGTTGAATACGTGGGTAGGTGAATTTGTTTAAGCTTCTTGAGAGAACAGCTTCTCATTCTCTTCCTGGGCAGTGATGAACGCATCCTTGAAAAGGTTGGCGTCTGGATATAGTCAGCAGCCCACTCTCTAACATTGATGATATGCCAAACTTACTTTCGCTATTGGCGAAACGGATAGCCAGGGTCTGAGCTTCGGGCTCTCCTTCGCTAACATCGGCAGCTGCATTCCACACCCAACTGCGGTCACTGCCCACGTTTGGAGACAATTTCATATCAGGGACGACTGTTGATGTTAGAGTCAACAGAAAAAAAAAAGAAGAAGAAAAACACATACTGTAATGATTGGCGCAGACCTTAAGAGTCTTGTCGCGACGCATGACCAGGCGAGTCTTCTTGTTCTCCTTGTGCTTCAAGAGTCGGACGTCACCAGTACCACGTTCCTTCCACTCGCGCGACTCGCGATCAAACTTGAACAGCTTGGCGCGCATCTTGAAAACCTGCTCCTCCAGCTCCTCATTTGTCTTTGTTTCAACTTTCTCGGTCAAATGGATGACAGGCTCGAAGTGGACATCTGGAGATTCTTCAGTGTCGTCTTCCTGTATTTCATCTAGTTAGACGAGTTGAGTCCTTTCAAAATTTCGTCGCGCTCAAGGAAAAAACAAAATACTAACCTCAGCTTCAGCCTTCTTCGCCTTGGATGATCCTGATGGCTCGTCCACGTCCTCTTCCTCCTTCTTTTCCTTCTTAGGACCGCCGCCGAACATGGAGAAAACGTTATCAGTGGCCTTGGAGGCTGCTCCAAAAGCAGTATCAGTGACCTTCTCCGTCACCGGCTTTTCCTCATCGCCAGTCTTCTCGACAGCAGGTGCTGTGGTGGTCTCCTCTGTGGCAGTAGTGGTGGTGGCGGGGTCGGGTTTGGTCTCGGCAGCGTCAGCCATGATGAGAAGTCTTTTTTCTGCGAAAGTTAAAAGTTGGTGGTTGGAAAAAAGAAAACAGGAGAATTAAAATCAGTATATTTATTATCTCTCTTTTTTTATTATCTCACGGGTGATGTCCAAAGATAACAGCACCAAATGTGAAAGGTATATGTTTGGAAGAGATTGTGGAATTTTTGTGAAAAGGAGGAGTGTTTTTGTTGTTCCCCGCCGTAGCCAGAACCGCCTCGCCGCCTTAAGGAAAGCGGCACTAGTGGCCCACTAGTGAAGCTTGCCCCTCTGTGCAGTGTAATAGCTGTTGTTAATATCGTCACTGCATGCATCTACATATATATTTACAATCGCCAATATAGAATTCTGATAGATCACAATTCTATTTACTATCTTAATCTTTTATATACTCTATTGAACAGCGGCTGAATGAGTATAGGGTATTGCATTCTCATAAGTCACCTTAATTCTGTAGGCAAGGAAATACGAAGTGTAAAGTTATACGCATAAAATACGCCTGCTGTGAACAAGGAGATCCATCCATAACCGGCCGCCTGCCCAGCCATCATTAAAACAAAAGCACACAAGAACACAAAAAGAGAGCTAGAGAAACCATCCAAAGCCTGTTCGCCGATTACACCATACCAGTCATCAAACTTTCTTCTTCGCATGGCCTCGTCGAGAATGGGGCCGTCTGAAATTTCGCTCAGTGAGCTTCTTTGCGGATTTCTGGGCTCGTACTAGCGAGTCTAGAGTCTTCAGTTCTCGGAAATCGATGTCTCGAAAGCGTTTCGTAAATTTGTCTAGATCCTTGGAATGAGCGGTAATCGAGTCAACGGCATCATTGACAGCCTTGTAGAGCCCCTTGTTCAATGCCTTGCTCTGTTCGTGCACTTTCTCCAATGCCACCGAAGCATCGGTTATTCGTTGTAGGGCGTTGCGTGTAACAACCTCGCTAAGCTCCCTTGATCGTGCAATAATAGCATCTCGAGTTGTCTTGAATTGTGTAGGGTTATAGTGAAGTGATTCTACTTCCCTTCGAAGAGAATGCGATTTCTTGACGACATCGCCCACCCATACTTGAACGTCAGTGGAAAGCCGTGTGTAAATATCCGACAGCCCGGTCTGAGCAGAGCCCCAGTCTTTCATGATTTGTGACGAGACGGCTTGTGCAGCTCGCTTCCAATTCTCGATCTTCAACCAGGGAGTGCCAAAGTCTGCTTCAAAAGTCTGTGTCTTTGCCCGTCGCGACTTCACAGAGACGGTCAAGTTGACAAGGCCGTATGCATCCTCCCGGTTCAGCCGGAGTGTGTACACGCCGTCAAATAGTTTGGAAAGTTCATAAGAAAGCGATTGCTCTCCGCGGGTGACATTCACATTGAATTTGTTTTGTTTCACTGCCGTGGGTGGCTTGATGATAACATGGCAGTCTCCAACAACCTGGAATTGAAACTCATCACCGTTGCTTTGCGGATCGGCGAGCAGACTTGATATCTCAGCAAGTTCGCTGACAGTCGATATGGAAAGCGACTCGATACGGGAAAGATCAGTGCTGTGGGTTCTCAAGGCAACCGACGTCGCTCCAGCTAGTTCTGTTGATGAAATGATTTCTGCAGTGATTGTTGCGCCTGGAGCGATTCCGGTGGTATTAGAGACAGCAGAACTAGTAAATAATTGTACGCAAAGAAGTGCCAAAACACGAAATACAGTATAGCCTAATGAGACAGAGACAGCGAGAACAATTGACAGCATTACAAGACGTAAGAAAGGCGCAAACTCTTGGGCACGCTCAGTATAAGGCGAAAAGAAATGTATCGTCGGATATTTTTCGCTATCATAGAACACTTTGGATTTCAGTGAAGAGAAGAGTGGTGGTTTTGTAGTTGACGTTATCTTCGAATCTCCACCGGAGAGCGATGCGAGATGTCGGTTCAATTGACTGGGAGTGATTGATTCGAATGTTTTGACATCAATAGGATATCGTCGCAGAACGATTGTTTCTCCTGTCAGCGGACGACGAGATTCTAGACAAAGGTGTAGGCTATGATAATCTAGATTAAAGAAATGCTGGCTAGGCTTCTTCCAAAACGGCTCTTCTGATATGACCATGACCGGGACCCCATGAGCTTTCATGAAATCGTGAGCGAGCGTCCTGGTATGCACAGCAGTCTCGGAATCACCATCAGAAATGAAGATGATGGCGAGATCTGGTACGTTCCATTCGGCCTCTGATTGAATGTGGCGCTCAGATCCATTCCAGGACGATGTGCAAGATGGACGGTTCTTGAATTTTAACGTAATTTGACCAGTCTTGACCGATGCAGCATCTAAACACTCGTCAACGATAAGTTGTACATGAATAGGAAGAAGTTCTGCATAGTTCGGGGTAGCTCCAATTCCAAAAGATGTGGGAACGACGTGATACCGAGAAGACTCTGTAGAGCTGGTTCCCAGGTTACTGGTAGAGCTCGATACGAGGACATCACCGATTTTATCAAGAATGATGTTTCGAAACTCTGGATTTCCCACATATAGAACACGGAAAGGTTTATCTAACTCCAACCCCTGTTTCGTCATGGTCTGCTGTATAGTGATGGCAAGATGACTGTGATCCACTTTCATCGGGAGCTGAGTCCTCAAAGATGAAACCTCCGTATCATCGAGAATGTGAATGGTATGTTTGAGCTCAATCCGTTCCATTTCCGGCCAGTTCTCAGGCTCAAGGAACTCGATGGCCTCAGACGACTGCATCAAGCAAGCCTTGGTTGTAATATTGCTATCATCAACAGTAGAGTCATCATGAGCGAAGAAAGGCCTGGGGAGCTCCTGTGAGTCCGAAATAACACTTTCCTTATCCCCATACTCGTCATTATAATGTCCATTATCATCGTCATTGTCATCGTCCTCGTCGTCGCCGTACGTGCTGCTAGTTCTCCCATCGAGACTAGTCACATCGTCGGCGCCACTCTGACCGATCAGAGAGACCGTATCGGTTTGTTCTGATCTAGCGTCATCTTCAGATTGGATGTCTGACGTGCTGAGGGTTGTCCAACTTTCGCTGAGAGAGCTTGATGGCCGTTCGGGGTGGAGGTTATTAATCGACATTGCCAGCCGTGATTGTGATAACAACTCCTCGACAGACCGGCTGATCGGAGGGAACGTAGGATATCGGAGCCTGGGTGCAGTGCTACTATCGAAAACAGCACCGTATTCCACCGATTCTGGGCTACTGGCCATGGTATTAATATCGCATTTGCTGGGTCATGGGAAGCTTCTGGGAGGAAGGCAGTTAAGCAAGCGTGACAGGGAGGGGCGGGCCGGAGATGGTTGAGTGGGAGATCAAGATATGGCAGGAAGAGAAGCGACTGAAGAGATGCAAGTTCAACATCCACGATGCAAAGGAGCAGTAGGAACTGTCGTACGGGAGAGCTAAGAAGTAATAAATCAAAGAAAGAAGAGGACACTTTACGTGCTTGAACGAGCTGCAAATACGTCTCGCTGCCTGCCTGGATAATAAACTCCAGGTGTTGACCGAGGGGGCCGATACTAAGCCCGATGCCCAATGACGAAGTCACTAGTTGGTTACTAGTTAGTTGTTGTGGATGGCCACGCGGGAGAACCGCCTCTGGGATTGTTGACGCCGATCGGAGTGGATGCCAGGTAAACAAGGAGACAAGAAGGAAAGGGTGCTTCTTTCCCGTGGCTGCGGTGAGACGCAAAAGGGAAGCAGGATGGCAAGAGAGATGGGCGGTGATAGAGGTTGATTGATTGCTTAGAGAACTGGATGCTTATTTACGACGATGACGGGGGGACAACGAGGATAAGGCGGAAGCATGCGGGGCACATGACGAGGGAGGTACTTGCTTTCGCTGCCCATGTAACACCGTCTGTTTTCTTCTATACAGTGCGATTTTTATCACAGCGCCTACGCATATTATCCGCAGAGTAATAAATATAATATATGGTAAATGATATATGTACAGTGTCCTTATTCTCTTGTAGACAGCGAGAAGTGCAGATAAAACCGGCTGCGATAACAAACGGCTCGACGGATGCCTATCAGTGGCTAGCCTCGAAGAAGCCTAGCGCAAGCACGAGACCCCGCTGGGCAGAGTCACGGGCATCACCTGAGCATCATTGCGTACACAATCAATCCAGTAGGTATATGTATATATGTGCAGATGTACATGCACATACATATATGAGGGCTTATCTAAGGGTATACATATACAACATCTGCCTGGTAGGCAATAGGTAACAAGGTACCTGCCTTCGACGTGCTTCAGCCTGAAACAAGCTGTATCACAGAGCGGGTCTCCGTTTGTCGGCACCGCTCATTCGCTATTCTAGATGCGGTCTAGCGGGCAAACTCACGTATACTTCCAAATCCATATATTATTGTCGCTATCTCCGCCGCCATTATATTGGGCCTCGCATCCCAGCAGCTACCACTGAATGTGTTGTGTGGGTAGATGGTGATAAAACCATACTCTTCTCCAAGTTGGGCATACTGGGCATAGTCATAGCAAAACAGCGCCACCCTCCTATTAAACTAGATAAGCATGATTATAAATGTGACTTGATCCAGCCCACTTACAGTAGTGCATAGCGACGACAATTCCGGGGCTTGAAGCCAAGTTCTTGGGCACGTAAATGTTGAACCCGACATTTGTTGAATTGAATCATAATTGGTGACTTCTCCGAACTTACCAGGTGTGATAGCAGCCCTGGGAGCCGCAAAGCCTGTCAGGGTCACGATGAGGGGAACATGTTCTATGCGAGCGATTGTTGCAAGAAGATAAAGGATCGGCCTTAGTTCTATCGCTCCGCGCTTAGGAATTCTCAGTGTCCTGGTACCCAAAAGGGGGTACATACTAGTATAACACTACACAAGAATACTACGATTGGCTGAATGCCGATGGTTACATGCTGGTGTCGGCCCAGGAAAATCGCGCCATTTTCTTTTATACAGGGGAGTGTCGCCGAGTTTACGCTCGATTGAGCGTTTTTGGAACTTTCGTTCTCGACTCGCATGTATGATCTTCTGATATTTCGATCAGATAAGGCAAAATGTTGTAAAATGTGTCATCCTCATACAGATAAATGTCACGTAATAGACTGAGACCTATGAGAGATCGAAGCGCTGATTTTGCAACTATTGAGTCGATTCAAAGGTTGGAGGAAGAATAAGGTTGCTTCCGATGACCTTGAGAGCAGGTATGGCGCATTGGCGTCTTTATCTAGTTGTGAATCTCAGTATCTTGTTCGCATACGCCACCTATATACTAAGACGATTCTAAAGCAATCGTTACCAACATGCATTTATCATGCTGGTAGCCTTAGTAGTGTGGTTGTCAACGGCAGGCCCTAACATTGTCCATGTATTATGGAGTACTTGCTTGTCTTGCCCTCGACATTAACTCTGGGAATGGGGGATGTCTTAGACGGCTGCTGTTGTATGCAAAAGCACATAGAGACCTTGGTCTCCCCACTATTTGGACATCCGGACAGACGATCCCTGAGGTCGCAAATAGAATAAATTCAACTTCAAATCTGAAGAACCGCCCCAGAACCCAATGGCTGGCCCTGATTTTAGCCCGAACACGTGCTCACCACCCTAGAGAGTCGAGAGTCGAGACTAAGTCTTAGACGTTGGCTGTGGGAAGCTCCGCGGCCAGCCATGTAACGTGCTTTAATTAGTAGAGACTAAACGGCGTAGTGCATTAGTCCGGCCAGATAAGCGCAGCCACCAAGCAAACTCTAGTATGAAACAATTCGGAATGCAGAATCAGGCGGGAGAACGGGAAGAAAGGGATTGGTCGTCGAAGTAATGATAATATCAATTCTATTGATTATTTCTGTCCGAAGCTGAAGAGAGAAAAGGGGGATAGGAGAAGGCAGGAGCTGAGGCCGAGCAGCTGGGATTCCTGGGAAGACGCGGGCCAATCCAACCGCGCCGGGTTAAATCCGTCCCAGCTGATCGTCTCTACAGCTCTCTCCACTCTCAGCCCTCTCGCGCTCTCTTCGTCCAGGTCAACCGATTGCTCTCTGCTGTAATTCGCCCAGCTATGTGGAGTTCCATTTTGGCCGGGCCTGCTTTTGGTATCCACATCCATGTCCAAGACTCCCAGCTGGAGACATGCCAGCTGGGGCATTGCAGGATGTGGAATGATGCTATTTTGTCCTTTCAGCCCTGGATTTTGCCCCGCCTCTAATCGGTCGTGGAAACCGCGCCAGTGGTTATCCAGGACCTCACAAGATGGGCTAGTTTAGAGGGAGGTCAGTTCGCGGATGTTATTTATTCACGAGTTGGAACTCGTATCCTTATCCACGCTCGATTCTTGTCGTCCCGAAATTCCGCCACTGCTGTTTCCCCGCATCTGTCAGTACCTACTATCGCTTGTCAAGTCGCGCGAATTGGCAGTGAACTGCGTTGTCGAAATAGCTCAACCGCCATTGTTGTGGCGAGAGGCAAGGATATAGATTAACAACAATCAACCATGGATTTCGAAGAGGACCCAGACTTTTTGGCTTCCCGGTCGGGCAGCGGAACCCCCCGCAACAACAGACCAGTCGCACAACAGACGCCACAGGAGATTGTGAACCGATTCTGGGATCGCTTCAACACCAAGCATCCCGGCAAGGTATTCAACGTGCTGCCCGATAACCCGTATGCTCGAAGCAAAGCTGCACAGAAGTCCAAGGGTGAAATTGACGGTTCCACGGCAATCAAATCATACGAACAAGCCAGGCATGAATGCGAGTTGGCGGTTGAGCGCATAGTGAAAGAATGCGAGCGCATCAACCAGAAATACACCGATCCGCATTTTGATCTCGAATTCGACTTGAAGTTTGGGAAGAGAAATTGTCTCGATGGACTGGGAGAACAAAACCAAGAGATGCGGCCGCGTGGGGTGAAGAGAGTGACGGTACGGTTTGCTTTTCACATATTGGGAAATAAGCAACTTACCCATAGTCATAGGATATTTTTGAGAATCCACAATTTTTCATCAACGGCCCGACAGCAGGCGATGTTCGCCAAGGGCGAGATGGTGATTGTTGGCTCATGGCCGCCCTCTGCACCATGGGTAACAAAGAAGATCTAATCAATAGGATCTGCGTGGCTCGCGATGACAAAGTTGGAGTGTATGGATTTGTCTTCTACCGAGGTTCGATAACTTCTTCCTTGGAAGACACGAATGGAGGCTAACCTTTTTTCATAGATGGTGAGTGGCAGCATTGCATCGTCGACGACAAGCTTTATCTCCGAGCTGCCGACTATGATGAGTCAATAGACGAAAGGAACATTTGGGATGATATTAATCGCCAGGATACCGAGGAAGAATACCGCAAAGCGTGGCAGACTGGTTCTCGAGCTTTATACTTTGCGCAATGCTCAGATGATAACGAGACGTGGCTACCACTGCTGGAGAAGGCATATGCCAAGGCGCACGGAGATTATTCTGCTATTGAGGGTGGATTTGTTGGGTAAGAACCGAGCTCTAGGAAATGGCTTTTTCTGGCCAGATTATTTTACTGATCATTTCATAGAGAAGCAATCGAGGATATGACTGGCGGAGTAACGTCCGAAGTTCTATCGACAAATATTCTCGACAAGGACAAATTTTGGAAGGAGGAGTTGATGAACGTCAATAAGCAGTTTCTTTTCGGCTGTGCCACGGGGATGTTCGCAAACTGGCTGGAACCAAACTATAAAGGACCAGCACGAGATCGCAAGGGCATCTCTGAAGGTCATTCCTACTCTATCATGGATGCGAGGGAGGTCAATGGCATCAGATTACTTCGCGTTAGGTGAGAGAAACTGGATCCCTTGTACCTTATAAGTTTTGCCACTGACTGGCATAGGAACCCTTGGGGACGGAAAGAATGGAGCGGACGGTTCAGTGATGGAAGCGAAGAATGGACCCCAGAGTTGATGAATTTGTTGGGGCACAAATTCGGAAATGACGGCGTAAGACATTCGAATTCTTTACGAAGTATTAATCTCACGTTCAGGCAGGTATTTTGGATTTCATACGATGACCTTCTCAAAAAGTATCAGCATTTTGACCGAACGCGGCTCTTCGGTCCTGAATGGACGGTTACTCAACAGTGGACTAGTCTACACGTGCCATGGTCGGCCGACTATCACACCACCAGATTTGGTATCGAACTAACTCAGACCAGTCCTATTGTAGTGGTTTTATCTCAGGTAATATCTAGAGGATTATCGAATAGTTCCATGTTGACAATTTCTAGCTTGATACTCGATACTTCCGGGGCTTGGAAGGTGAATACGATTTCACTCTTCAATTTCGTCTGGAAAAAGAAGGCGAGGAGGATTACATTGTTCGCAGTAGTACTACATACATGATGTCTCGATCAGTCAATACCGACATCACTCTAGATGCCGGACGGTACTCTGTCCTGGTGAAGGTAACTGCATATCGACGCAAAAACGCGAACAACCCGGAAAATGTCGTGGGTAAGCATGCATCAAGTCGAAGAGAGAAGCTGGTTCAAATTGGCCTCTCATACGATCTGGCCCACACAAAGGGACTTGATGTGGAAACAGAAGGAGAGAAAAGGGAGCGCGAAGAACGCGACGAGAGACACCAATTCGTCGAACGAACTAAATTGCGTGAGCGAACTGTCAAGAAACTGCAGAAGCAACATATCCGCGAGAAAAAGATAATCGCCAGAAAGGAGAGAATGATGGAACGGGAACATTTGAGAAAAGCTGCTGCCGCTTCTTATCATGCCGAGCCACTTGAAGAGATAGGAAGTGAACACCATTTAATGGAGGACGCCAAGATGCCAAATGGTAACGGAAGTGTCAACGGCAATGGGTACACCAATGGAAACGGCGCTACTCTCCCAACAAGGAAAGCCCGCATGCCGAGCCGACCACCCCGACCAAGCCTCAACATGAGCTTCGCAAGGAATAGCCACCGTGACGAGGCAGAATTACTACAAGACTTTGAATTTGACTCTGACATTGACATGCCGCCCGAGGAGTCCCCGGTTGTTAGCAAACAACCCGCTTCCTTCCCCGAGCCATGTGCCAGCGGAAATACAGATCCATGGAACGCAGTATGTGTGGTAGGCTTGAAGGTCTTCTCAAAGGATCCGCAATTGAAACTGCATGTCTCTAGACCGGAATGTGGTGATGGTGAAGCTCCACTTGATCGCGACGACCCAGCTGTGTCTGCGACATTGGAGAGGAGACCATCGTGGCTTACTGGAGAGTGGAAGAGGTGATATTCTCACTGTAAGAGAATGATTCATATCTTACTCCATGTATTCTTACTTTTGTATTATAATTCAATATGATTTCAACTTGAACAGTATGACCTGTCTTGTCGAGAATGACTCATGACTGATACTAGATATTGACTCGTCTGTCAGTCATTAATGATCAAATCTACCGAGTCATCGACTGGTATAAAAAGCCGACAATTTCATGCACTTAGATAAATCGAACCATCTCTTCCACTTCCCCCTTACAATACCACCACAACTTACAGTCTTTTATCCACCTACTTGAAAATGCCCTCCAATACCAACGACAAACCTGATCCTTCCCTCTATCCAGTCCCTCAACTAGGCAACTTCCAAAAGTTCTGGGACGAGCTCAGATCTATTTCTCCACAAGACAATCCCAAAAGATACCAGCACAAAGAGGAAGCCCTCAAAAAGTTGTACTTCCTTCGTGACACATCTCGGCTGTCAAAAATCGGCGAAAAACTCTCTGCTATGCGGTACAGTTCCGATGGTAACCGAGTAGATGATTACCGCATGATAATCTATGTCCTTGACATGCGCTGCTCGATCATTTATCATCCCTTTTGGAATCTTGCATCAAGGCAGTGCGGGAAGCTCAAATCTGCGGAGTTTGTTTGGGAGACGTGTAAGGACTTGCTGGGTTGGTTCTATGACAAGTATATCAACGAAAAGTATTTGGGAAAGATATTTCCTCCTCAGATACCGCCGGCAGCGGACCAGGCGTTTAAAGATTGTCTGAAGCAGTTTGCTATCCCTAGTCCTGAGATGACCTGGACTAATGTGAAGAAGTACGACATACAATCGGATTTTAATGAGTGGTGCAAATTCATGGATCTAAAGAACGGCTTATCGAAGCCGGACTTAGCCGATGCGAGTCCCAATCCTTTACAGATGACCTCCACCACTCAAAAATCACAACGAGTTGATCGCTCCACCTATCGAAGTCCCAATCCTTCAACGATGATCGCCACTACTCAAAAACCACGACGAGTTGATCGCTTCGTCTGTCCAACTCCCAATCCTTCAACGATGACCTCAAATACTCAAAACTCACGACAAGTTGATCAACCCGTCTACCAATACCCTCAAATAGGCGACTTCGTAAAGTTCTATGACCAGTTTAAAGAGTTAGAGGACAAAAAGCATCGGCATTTGTACAAAGAAGCCCTCGAAGAAATCTACCTTCTCCATACTCCTCGAGAGGACGCAACTGTCCGCCTCCAAGCAGTTGGTGAAAAGCTCAAATCAGCGCAGCTTCGAAATCTCCCTGTATTCCAACCCATCGTTGATATTCTCGACATGCGCGCTTCCATTGTGTGTCATCCCTTTTGGGATCTTGAAGGTAGACCGGACGGTCTGGAATTACAACCCAAGAAGGTGTCCATTAGGAAGGCAAGTAAGGAAGTGCTGGATTGGTTTCATAAAAATTATACCAAGGACGATCCTAGAGCGATACCGCAGGACAAGCTTAAGCTCGTGCAAGAGTGTCGGGAGAAATTTTGTGTCCTGTGTACTAAAAATACGTGGATTGATGTGAGGAAGTACGATGTACAGCTGTCATTTAAGGCGTGGTTTGAATTTGTCAGCCACAAGCAAGACATATCGATGCTAGGTGGGAGTCCTAATCTTCGGGACTAAGATTTGGATTTTATATGGGATTCTTGTTTGGTTGCTATTAGATTGCATGGTTATATAGTTAGAGCGTTATGCATTTATAATACAGGATTCCCATTGGCAAATCAAAACTCCGTTCGTCAAATCATCTCAGAATGCAACCAAGGGTGTATAGGGGGCTCCTTCATTCGTGATGTTAATGCGTTTGATGGAGCCATCGGGATTAAACTCCATCTTGTCAATGCAAACGTAGCGATCGTTAGCTGCGGTATCGTCGAGTGGTCGTCGATGGTAGACGATGTACCAGTCGTCAGTGCCGGGGATGTTGAGTACCCCGCTGCTTCCAGTACCCTGGGCGATTTTTGCGTCTGGGAAGAGAATGTGGGTGGCTGCTGTGGTGAAGGGTCCTAGGGGCGATGTCGTTGATGTCACGTATTCCACGCCGTAAGAGTTGTCGCCCCATCTTATGAAAGTTAGTTATCTTCTTTTATTCCTGGTCTCGGCTTGTATTTGGCGGTGATACGTACCCTCCAACACTGTACATGTAGTAGTACGTCCCGTTTCGCTTAATCATATAAGGCGCCTCAACATAATTAGGCGGCGTGAGCTCTACAGGCTGCGCCTTGAGAGAAATCATATCCCAGCTCAATTCCGCGCCTAGTCCATGGGACCAACCGCCCCAGAGGAGGTAGGCACGGCCGTCATCATCAATGAACACGTCCGGATCAATAGGCTCGGCTCCCATCTCAACATCCGGAATCAATGGCTCGTCAAGCGCATCTATAAAGGGACCGGCAGGCCCTGTCCTCGATACTGCGACACCAATACCGGCACCATCTCCAGCCGAGAAATACATATAGTAGACTCCATGCTTCTCTGTCACAGTCGGCGCCCACGCGGCTCTATTTGTTGACCAGGTCACATTGGCAAAGTCGAGGATGCGTGCGTGTCTGGTCCAGTTCACCAGATCCGGTGACGAGAAGGCGTCGAAGGATGTTTGTTTGTCGTAGTCCAGCGACAGCGATGGGTAAATCCAGTATTGGCCTTCGAAGATGCGGGGGTCAGGATCGGCATACCATCCAGGGAAGATAGGATTGCCCGAGTATGTGACATTGTTAATGGTGGGCTTGATATCGGCCGGTGGCGAGGACGACCAAAAGTTGAGGCTATCGAAGTCGAACGGTTTCGCAGTAGCGACACTGTAATTAAAGCACAACGCGATGAGCAGTGCTTTGCTAGCTTTAGCAATGAAGGACGATGACGGCGAGGGGTCCGTAGATGCGGTACAAGTGGAGAACGCCATCATGCCCGTAAGATAAGATTTTAAGCTTCTTCTTCTTACGGGTCAGATCTGGATGCGCTGGTTCTGGATGTCCTTGCGAGCAGTGCGTTGATTTCCACGCTGCTCGACGGAGATTGACTGCCCTTGAAAATAAATGAATAACAATCTCCGGCACATTTTAAAAGATGGCTTATCGTTGTTGACAACGGAGGCTGACCCCTGCCAAGCTGCGTTGGCTCTTGGATGTTACATCTATCTTAGATCGTCGGCGTGCCCGGTGGAGCCGGATAAATTCTTCACAGCCAAAACAACGCCAGTCTAGTCGTTGGCACCGCTCACCCTGTTAAACCATAACGCAGCCTCACTGATGGCGGAATCGACTTGTAGATCGGCCAGATCAGCTGCATCATTATTGCTGCCATTCTTAGCGTTAGCGGTGCCAATAGAGTCAGACCTAGGTAGGCAAGCGAGGGATACTCTCTGTTCACCGTAACCTTTCTCGCGACCCCAGAAGCATGCTCGTCGCAGGACCGACACCATCTCCTTGGCTTGGTCTGCCAAGACAGAGTCTTGACTCGCGAGGGGCTTGGCTCTGCGTTTCGCGTTGTTATTGTTATTAAGATCCTGGTCCACCACGGCACTGCCAGGCTCCGTAGGACTGCCGTCTAAATAATTTGTGTTGGAGCGGGCGAACAGCTTTACCAATGGTAAAGTCGCATCAAGCTTTTCAACGCCGTCTGCCACACCACTATTTGCACCGTAGTCAAGACCATACGGGGGCCATCGAGAGAGCGCCTTTCGGCGTCGTGCGGGTTGTTCGATATTGTCATTCGACTCTTGCGCAGAAGAAGCTTCCTCGTCGGCCTGTATGTAGACATCCCACAGATCGACCAAGTCTTCTGCGACATTTGGTTTCTTCAGGACTGGTGTAGAGTATTCCGGACCAGTGTGATACTTGGGGAAAGTCTTCGGAGGGTCTTTCCCTGCAGATCGTAGAAACAACATCGGGGAAGCGAAGGCATCGAAATACTTCGAAGGCGCTTGGAACAAGTATTCCCTAGCTCTCAACAGCGGGACTAGATCAGCTGGTGCTGATTTCCTCCTGTGTCGTGAGCCTTGCTTTATCTGAGCTACCTGTGCTCGTAATAATTCCAACTCAATATCCTGGTCGCTCTTTGTTCCCACATTCTTCTTCTTTATATCGTTGGCAACCGCCTCCGCAATATCATTTGGGTCAACAGTGCAATAATCGTCTAAACCAGTCCAGTCGCATATAGGCTCGTATGCGGCAATTGCGTGTATCGTTTTAAACTCTGTCAACGCCAACATAAGGGCGAGCGAACCACCAATATTTGTCCCAACGACGCATAGCTGCTCGGGGTCAATTGTGCCTAAGACCCAATCAAGCCCGGCGAGCGTATCGTGTACTGGAGTCGGATGCCTATGAAACAAGGGAGCGTCTCCATCTTGTGGTGACGGCGATGCATTCATGTAGCCCAATCGATAATTCACCGTGACCACCGTCGATCCCGTTGTTCTTGCGAGTAATTTCTGGGGCGTCGCATTTTCGGTCACTGCCGCTTCGTCAAGAAAGGGGAGAGTAGTCGTTGTCTCGCGAGGATGTGCTAGTTTTTCATTGGAGAAGATGGGCCCTTGAGGTAGGTAAATAATTGTGTTGGAATTTGCTTCTACACTGTTTGTCGTTGGTTTGAGAATACTGTAAATTTCACCGTCATGGTTAGCCGACATCACTCATGAAACAGACAGAATCAACACCGACTTTAGCTTAATCGAACCATTTCCACCAACCGGGATATCAACACAATTCTGGACAAATGAATCCGCAGAGATGGAAGCAAATGCTCGACGCGGGACAAGCTGGGATACATCGCTGCGCTTGACCCAGACGCGACGCGTCGCTGGTTTGGAAAAATAACATGACCCAGTGGCACCTTTAATCAATGTTCCAGAGCAATTAAAAAGGAAGCGCATGACGCCATTCCATGCTCTGTACTGAAGAGCTTGGGCGTAATAGGCTGTGGAATGTTAAGACGCCGTTGTGGTCTGGACAGCATTGAGGAAGTACCGTTCATTTTTCCAGAAGCTTGGATGGATAAGATAAGCCCCGCAAAGATTTACCAAGCCATCTCACCAGTTATATTTCTTCAAATAACTCTGGCTCGCTGCTTCCTGAAATTGCTTCTGAAAAATTGAAAAGTCGATTTATTTAGATAATCCTCTATAGCTAATTTATCAAGTCTTTCCCGTGCGGCTTACAACAAGCAATCTATCTAAAATTTAATATCATTATTCCCACCTATCATGTCAAAACAGGATTAGCCCTAGGAATCGTTGTCAAAAAATGATTTCTCTCTACTTATCATTCTTAGTCACGTCCTCCCAAGAATTTCGGATGGCATGCCAATACTGGTCTTGGAACATTTGCATATGCCTCACATGCTTGCTTCCCCTAAAAACGCAGGTATCGACGTCATATCCCCTTATTTTAGCCTCAGCTATGTGAGACTCAATATCCTCATAAGGGATTAACTCGTCTTCTTGACTATAAAGGTACAGCTGGCGCGCTTTCTTGGTTTCAAACTCCTCATTGATTAAAGCCGCAACGCTGAAAACCGATGCAGGGACCCTGCCAATAAGCCACTCGAAAAACCGATTTGTTGACAGAAAAACTCCCCAGAGACTTTGCGTCACAACGAATGGCCAGGGGAACCAGTTTGCTGTACCCAGCGTCATCCCGCGAGACCAGATAATCAAGTTCTTGAATGTCATTACTGGGCTACCGGGTGTAGAGTCAAGAACGAGCAGATCATGCGGCAGGGGCTCGTTGTAAACCTCACGGTATGCATTCAAGGTCGCTGCGAGGAATATTCCGCCGGTATTAGACATGACATGCACCAGGATACGATGTTCTTGGCTCATGCCGGTCTGCTCTGCCTGAGTGTTTGGTGAAGTAGGAAATAGAGCGTCAACTATTGGCATCATGGCCTGAGTACGCTGTTCAAGACTCATATAAACTGCCTTTGAGATTGGTGCCAGCACAACGATTTGTGTCGAGTCTGGGTTCAGCTCTCTATACCCATCGGCATACTTTACTAAGTTTTTTGGTTGTGCGTCTCCCCAGCCAAATATGAGAGTTGCTCGGACATGGTGAGGTTTTGAATGTGTTGAATTATCTTCATTTTCCTTGTCGGGTTGGCGGATAAATATTTGATCGGACAAGGCAGTGAAGCCAGGGAATGACGGGGCTCCTTTGTCCATGCTTATATGTTGTTATGGTGTTGACGAGATGCAGCCAGGGTCACCACGGACAGTGAAAGCCAATCTAGAGGTACGAAAGCTCTCAATAATTGCTTCGTACATACATAGCCCTAGGTTTTAAGAACAGGGACTAGCAATATTTCGTTGGGGAGAGTTACGTCCGTAAGGCTTAAGCAGGCCCGCTGTAAGCCGCACGGATTACTCAACAATCAAATTTAACTAATTTAACTTATAGCAGCCAATATTTACGCAACGAGAAATGAACACAAATAATTCATAATTGGCAGCCATCGTTGAGATAACACTAAAAGATTATGTGAACTTATATGCAGTGCGTTAAGCATCAATTGTTACACCGACCCCTGAGTTGAAGCCGTATCGGCGCATTCAGACCAATCAGAATGCTTTCTTCAATGCAATCTAATAAAATAGACGCTAAACCCCGAATATTTTTGAAGGATTATCATCTGAATAGAATAAATACATATAATAACAATGTGTGGAGGCCTCCCTATTTTAATTACTACCCAATCAATAACCGATGTATAACATTTGAAAGTTAGGAACATATATACATCATTTGATACATGTAGAGTACAGATGCAATGTCCGATATGTACTTAAACTTTCAAATCAAATGATGTATTCAAGCAATAAATATTTACCAACTTTGGTTTGAAATCTATATACGACTTAGATCTTTCTAATTCTAGAAGACGAGAGCGACTAGATATACTCACAGTATCTATCTATTACACATTGTAGAAGCGCTATGTTTTGCATCTAGGTCAATCTCTCCGATGCGAAGGACCATGCCCATACCCGCGGCCTGGTGTAGCAATACGTGGCAGTGAAGAAGCCACAATCCATCATTATTCAAAGGAAACCGCAGAATAGCATACCCCCTTCGTGGGACGTAAACAGTATCTTTGCGCAGAGGATTCAGCACGTTCACAGGTCCCGCCTGGTCTACTGAAGCAGCATCAAATGGATTGTATCCTCCGAATTGTGTCGTAGATTGTACGGCAAGAACGTAAAATTCGTATCCATGCTTTGAAAATTAGCTAGATATACCAAAAGCTGTGACACTGTTTTCCTTTCAACTCACTAAGTGAAAAGGATGCCCTTTATCATCCATGTTATTTAATACCAGGTCAATCCATCTATTATCCCCGGATTGTTGATACCAAGGAACATGCAGGCTCTGGATTGAACTTGGCTGCTTCGTAGCCTTGGCCCAGTCTTTGGGGTCCAGCGCAAGGAGTGGTTTTCCCTTCGGATCCTCAATCATCCACGACGTGTGGTTCACGATGCCTACGGGTCGATTGTGAAACGAGGAGCGAATCTGCATTGCAGTGTACAGCACGGAGGTTTCCATAGGTTTCTCAGGAAAATTTGAGCTAGAAGTTGCGGGAAGTCCTGATACCTCCGAAAGAAGGATATGTGATGTTGGACTGGGTTTCACTTTTGTTTCTCGCCATGACGTACCCATCGGTCTCTCGTTCCACACGAGAGGAAAGGATTGAATCCGCGTAAGAGCGTAGTTTTCAATTTGCATATTTCTTGAGTGTGTTAGCATTGCCATGTTAGGGTAGTTTTATGAAGACATTGGCTGGTAACTTACTCCCCGTCCAAAGCAAATGTGAGCTCGGTTTCTCGGCCCAAATGCCTAATCCCCGAATGACCTTGCGTATTCTCATGCAGAGAATTATCAAGAATAATATCCATGCGCTCACCAGGGTAAAGAACACCCATTACAGCTGCAATTGGAGTATTTCCAACCGGGTTTCCACCGTCGACGGTGATGAGACTCATGGCTCCTTGTGAAATAGATAGAGTGAGGCCGGAGGAAACCCTGCAAATCACAAAATTAAATTAGAGACGATAAAATAAGAAAGAGGTATAAGGTAACGAACCCAGTGTTGACTACTCTGACTCTCACACGATCTGTGTCTGCGAGCCTTATTGATGGTTTTGGAACCGAATGACAGAGGACTGGCCGTGCCTTGACAGCCGCCGAACAGTTGAACGAGCCCTCACCATTAATAAGGAAGGAGTCTGGTGCAGGCTAAATAGGATGCACGTCCATGTTACTTTCAAATTTTATAGGATCTCTCAATGATAATTTGGCAGTTAATATCCTGGAGAGCTTAGTTGATTCATACCTCTTTCCCATAGTGCCTCGAATCTTGGTACCAATTAAACACAGCGTCAGCTTGTTGATGATACCAGTCTCCCACAAGTAGAAGCTTTTCTGTCTCGTACTGGTACGTCGACAAATCGGATTCCATTCCTGGATCAGTCGGTTTGTGTACCACAAGTCCACCGAAGAGCCCATCGGCTCGCTGAAGTCCCGCATGGGCATGGTACCTGGTTCTTATTATCAGTCACAGGAAATGTAGGATACAGATGTCAGAATACCAGAATGTTCCGGACTGGGACTCATCAATTCGGAACTGATATGTGAAGTTCTCTGATGGACCAATGGCACACTGCGTCAGGCCTACTACGCCATCCATATGATTGGCCCCTTGACAAAGTTAGCCTCACTGTCTAGATATTCAGGATATTCATGTTGAATGCTAGCAACAAAAATGCTATGCATACCTTTCATTGAAAGTCCGTGCCAGTGGATTGAAATTCCATCATTGTCGCCGTTGGATATGGAGTTATAAACATTGATCACAAGCTCATCTCCAGATCGAGCTTCGATAGTTGGGCCTGGAAACTGCCCTGTGATTTCATGTGAGTATACCCTCTCTGCCTGGTTTCACTCCTGTAGGTATAGAAAAGAGGCATGTGTGTACCGTTTATTAAATAGACCATTTTCTTAACCCCATCTGGAGCGCGCTCCTCCATGGTAACGTCCCATGCCATGCGAATCGTCTGCGGTTTCCGAAATATGTGATCATTTGGATGTAGCGCAAACGCATCACTGTCGCTCTCTTCCAAGATGCTCTGATCCGACTGCCCATCGGCACTAGGATAGTGACTATCGTTAAAACCGACGAGTCTATCACCGGAAACAACGCTGGAACCAGGCACGAAGGTATTAGGATCATTGACCCAGAAAGGGTACAACGTAAAAGCAAAGTAGAGGAATGGGGCCGTAAGCAGAAGTACAGCAAAGCTAGCAACCGCCACCACCCGCCGCGTAGAGGTCGCCAGGAGACCTTGTAGAACCGACATCGTCTTCCTGTAATTCCATCCCATCAAGAATCTCAATGGGATGGAGGATGGGGCTCTGTAGAGTGAGTGCACTGTGAATGGCATTAAAAGTACAACGACTACTAACCCCGGAGGGGAATGGATTAGCGCTTACACAGTGTGGGATTGTGGATACGTACTACTTTCTTAATCCACTTAATCGACAAGATCGTCACATCGCCTTAGTTTCCGATCATTATGTCGGCTCGAGCAGCCACTCCTCGCCGCGAATGGTTTGAGTTCAATAACCCATAATCATGAATTATGCAATAGGAGCGGCTTTCGGCACTGTCAGACCTTAGAAATTTGGTACTTCAACATATGGTGGAGTAGAGGCCCTAGACGGCGTCACTGTTGCAAAGCTAGTGGCTCTAGTGTTGAATCTGGGCATTCTTCATCCAGGACCAATTTCGAGGTCGGGCGAAATAAAGCAGGAAAATGATTAATTGGTAGCTTTGCAGATAATAAAAATACAGTCAGAATTGTATCCCTAGCTTTACACATTTCGGCTTCTACTTCGTTTGCTTCTACAATTTTGCCCCAACTGTAAAACTATTTATAGTATCTGATAGATGAGCCCTAGGCCGCTAACACTAGTTGGTGCAGTAAGTTGGTACAGTACAGAGCGCCTATGTGACATCGTGAATTTCCCGTCATACACGTAGTGTCAGTTGACCTAATCTGATTTGGTTATATGTCGCGTGTTGCCATCTCTGTCTAAGGCTCTAGTGCATACTGTCTAATAATAACTCTAATCCAGTACCAGGAGGGGTCCCAATTCATCAGTGATCGCCCGCTATTGAATTGAGCGTCCTACATACGGGGCGCGCCGTATATACTGTTTAGGAAAGTAAAAGGAACCCCATTGCGTTACATCAGTCTAGTCTAATGCAGGTGCTTACTCTTAGCCTCCTAGACATAGCAGACTATATCGAGTAATAATCATCAAATATAAACTACAAACTTTAAATGTTTATTCCACAAGGTTAATAACACTACTTCGCCCTCTCTTACTTACCTTGGATTTGCAACAATTATTTCAAAAATTCAGCCGTAAATTGTTGCTTATCACCAGCAAAATGCGTGCCGCCGGCCTCGTAGCGGCCTCGGCCGTTGCAACAGCTGTCCAGGCAGGATCGCTCCAAGATATCAAGCATATTGTACTGTTCATGCAGGAGAACCGAGCATTTGACCACGTAAGTTGTGCCTAGCTGGTTCGCTCTATATCTATATATGCACACTGGATTGACGAAGGAGCTGGTAGTACTTCGGCACAATGGCCGGCGTTAGAGGGTTTGGTGATCCCAATGCCCAAGTCAACCCCGATGGACGCTCCGTTCTAGAGCAGTGAGTACCGGAAGTAATCGAATTTATCCTAACCATTATTGAAACCCTACGACTAGGGCCCTCAGCTCGACGCAGAACGGCGCCGACATATTGAAGCCATGGCATCTTAACTACCTCGGACATGACGAGTGGTATAATGCCACGCAATGCATGGGCGCTGGCGACAACGGCTGGCAGACGATGCACACAGCCTACAGTGGAGGCTTAGGAAACCAATGGACGGGTGCAGATGGAGGCTACAGTCTAGGCTACTTTACGCGGCAGGATATCCCAACTCATTTCGATATCGCAGAAGGCTGGACTATTCTCGACATGAACATGCAGAGCCTCCTGATGTCCACTGATCCAAATCGGATCATGTGGATGAGCGGTTCAGTCAATATACCAGGATCACCCACCAACTTAGACGGCACAGGCGGCATGATCATTGACAACAGCAACACGCCGGGTAAGTCCAACATTCCATTTGAGACTACAAACAAGTTAATCCTATTTTCCACCAGGCTGCGAGTCTACCGGGGTCAATTGTTTTCCGTTCGTGTGGAAGACGTTCCCAGAGTACCTCGAAGAAGCCGGGATTTCATGGCAGGTGTGGCAGGATCTAGACAACTTCGAAGACAATATGTTAGCGTACTTTCAACAGTACCAACAAGCTCCGAATGGCTCAGCCCTTAACATAAAAGGCAACTCATACCCAGGCCTCGATGCCTTCTACGGCAACGCGTCTGCAGGTACCTTGCCGCAGGTAAGCTGGATCATCGGCCCTCAAGAGCAGGCAGAGCATCCACCGAACATGCCCAAGGACGGAGCGTGGCTGCAGCAAAAAGTCGTTGAGGCCATTACTAGTAGCCCAGCCTATAATGAGACTGTGTTGATTATCAGCTACGATGGTGAGGACTCCCATTCCACGCGGGAAAAATCTTACTTATGGTGAATGCCCGGTACAGAGCAAGGAGGCTGGGCCGACCATGTCGTGCCCGTAGTGCCAGAAAAAGACACGCCAGGCGAATGGATGACAGATCCGTATAACGGGGCATTGGGAGATGTTCCGGTTGGCCCAGGTATGTAGAACTCTTGTTCTTTGTCGTATTTTTGTGCTCAATATACCACATATCTTCCCTTTGCCGTTGTAGGCATATGCGTATTTCTACGTGTATGTCTACGGACTGCACCAAATAGTTTGACCACAATTTGTTCTGAAGCTCTCAAGCTAATCACGCATAAAAGGCTGGCGCGTTCCTCGCTTCATCATCTCACCGTGGACACGCGGAGGCAATGTCTTTACTGAGCCATCTGACCACAACTCGGACGTCATGTTCGTCGAGAAATGGGCCGCAGCTAATGGGTATAACTCCGTGCATACCGAAGCCATTACGCAGTGGCGTCGTACTCACATGTCTAATCTCGTCAATGCCTTTGATTTTGACAATGTAAGTAGAATGCTACTCTCGCTCAAGTTTCCAAAATCTCACCACCAAACTAGCCCGATTACTCGATCCCTACCATTACCACGGCCGCAGAACCTCCGTCGAAGCCCGAGGATCCAGGAGACTACAGTGGGAACTTGGACCTTGGATCGCTGACGGGTCCCTGGGTTGGCCCTGCTAGCTGCCTCGCTGAGAAGAAGGCGCAAGTCCCCATCCCGTACGGCGTGAACAACGCGAACCAAGATTTGAGTCTGGTAGTCGAAGATGGCTTCAAGAGAGTACGAGGAAGTATCACTGAGGGCCGTTATCTCACCATCGAGACGGAGGGACAGGCCCTGACTAATCTAGGAAACGCGTCTGTTGGTCTTTCGCCTGGTACAAAAGATCATGGTGATATCAACCAGCGGTGGATCGTCCACCCAGTTGGGGGACCAGGTTATGGCAACATTTATTATGTCCAGTCTGCTTCAGACTTGACATATATTACTGGATTTCCGGCTGCCACAACCCTAACCGCGGACGTGAAGAATGCACAAGCCATAACTATCACATATACCCCCAATGGGGCCACATATAATCTGATATCAAACGCCACAACTTCTAGTGGAGCTGTCAACCGTGGAAAATCGCGTCGCAGCGCTCCGAGAAACATCGCCGGGTCATCCCTTTCGTTGGAAGATCTCGGAGAAAAACCCTTTGAAATCTTTAGCGTGTCGTACAAAAATTCCAGTAATACGAGCACTCTCCTATATGACGATGGATTTCCCACATTTACCTTCGACTATTCAACGCCGGAGCCAAATTCTCAGAACTGGGTTGGCATTTATAAGGCCTCGGACGGTAGTCCTAGCGACCAGAAGTCGCTGGCTTATAGCTGGGCACCGCAAGGCATGGGGAGTGTGGTAGTTCCGGACCCAGGGCTTGTACCAGGCTCATACAAGGCATATTTCTGTGCAAACAACGGCTATACGCCGCTCACCGATCCCGTCACGTTCACAGTTAAAGATTATGGGGGATCAATCTCTTTTCAACAAGGGTCTCGGTTTACTTTCACTTACTCAACCGGATCGGCCAACTCGAAAAACTGGATTGCCATCTACTATGCATCCGGAGGCGGACCCGATGACCAGCAAAAGGGTGCGAACTCATTAGCCTGGAGCTACGCTACAGATGGCAGCGGCAGCGTGACGGTCTCCGACCCGGGGTTGGCGTCAGGTTCCTATAGAGCCTACTTCTTGGCGAATGATGGGTACAGCTGGCTAGCTAACCCGATCGTATTCAATATTTAAGAGTGAACATGTCGGGGGGCTCAGCGAGCTAACCCTAAGATCACCTGATCCACCTAGGTCTGACCTGGTGAGCGATAATCAGACTCAGTATCGATTGATAACGTCAACTTTGTTCATGTATATAATTACAGGGTACATATAGGTGAGTTCTGTGAATACATATAGACATTCAATGCCACAGTTCAGCTTTTAGATGGTCTCATTTACCATGCAAGACTAGATAATCAAGTCTGCATCAATGTAGCATGTCCAAATAGGACTTGTTGTTAACCTCATTCGGAAGGATAAGTGTCCATAGCGTATAGAAAAGCAAATGAAAGACAAAGGGGGTGGGGGTATGTGTTCCAGTTGTTATATCAGCATTCTCCTCCCATCACAATAATATGAAAACAGCTTTAACCAAATTGTCGGTTCCCATGATCCTCCATCGCCCATGCCTCATAAAAAAGATACTCCATAAAAAATACAGGTGAAATTGCGCCAAAGAAAGGAATCGTGAATGAATAGGGAGCGAAGAAAAGTGTTGACCGAAGTTGAAGGAGCAGACTTTCGCAAGATATTTCCCGTATTTAGGAATGCATTGGAAATGATGCATGCTTGACGAAGCTATATATGGCATACACTACCCATGGAACCCGGGTACTCATCGTTACTACATTATCCGAAGCAAGTGAAGTGCAAGCGCAGAGGGTCGATTAATATCCATTGACGCGGCTGCGGCCGGAGTAAAATTCACTACCTTGGGCAAAATAAGGGTGTGCACAGGCTTGTTTGGCTGAGATTCGACGTGCCGGGTCATACTCGAGAAGCATTTCTAACAGCTCAAGACCAGCTGGCTCCAGACCCGAGACAAGCGCGTTGGAGTCGCGTCTCCATTTGGGGAAGGAGGGCTTGAAATCGGGGAATGAGGTAACACCGGGCCAAGTATTCTCGTCAGGTGTGCCAAGGAGACTAAATTTCATTAGCAAGGGAATAGATCGATCGCGTCAGTGCTTTATCTTACCGGAAGATCTTGAAAATTTCATCAATTTCCGAATCACCCGGGAACAGTGGCTTGCGAGTGCACATCTCAGCAAAGATGGCACCGACAGACCACATATCAACACCGGTGGAATACTGTCGTCCACCAAGGAGAATTTCAGGAGCACGATACCACAGAGTAACGACCTACATATTAAAGTTATTAACCTAGACTCTCACCCGTCCCTGCATAAACAGAAATACCTCGTGAGTATAAGTCCGCAACGGGACACCAAATGCACGTGCAAGGCCAAAGTCTGCTAATTTAAGGTTGCCTTCCCTGTCGATAAGCAAATTCTGTGGTTTTAAGTCGCGATGTAGAATTCTGTGGCTGTGACAGTAGCGAACGCCTTCCACAAGCTGTGCCATAAATTTCTTCACCATGGCTTCACCCAAGCCCATACGGTTCATATTCATGTTAGACCCATCTGGGAGGGCCTTTCCACGACCGCCCTCACTGACTGGGAGAGCTTCCATATATTTCTTTAGGTCGAGGTCAAGGAATTCCATCACAAGATAGAGCTTGTGGCCATCGGCGTGAACGATATTGAACAGCCGAACAACGTTAGGGTCGCTCATCTCTTTCAGTAAAGAAATCTCGCGAATGGCCGTACTGGGAACACCCTCATCTTCGGCTTCCAGGCGAATTTTCTTAAGAGCGACAATACGATTGGAGTGGGCTAGGTCTCTGGCTTTATACACGACACCGTAGGTACCTATACCGTGTTTAAATTAGTACATCACAATCGACTGGTATTATAGAACTCTAAAATTTGAGGTTGACCGGTGATAGCTATAAAGCTTGTCGCCTGGGACATGCTACATACCCTCTCCAATTTTCTCGATTTTTTCGTAATTCTCCATGATTGAGATCTGACACGCGTCGAGGCAGGTTTAATTAGGTAAAAGGTGATTGTCGAAGCAAAAACTTCAGTCTGTCGGCTGGATGGATAGATAAGATGGCAAGGAAACCGGTGTTGCTAACGAGTGTTCAAACGAAGGAAGGGGGAGCTGGCGCGCGAAAACGATGCAAACACCGCGAGGGTGCTGAATTGGCGGTTGCTGGTTAGTAATGTACGTGTGACGATTCCAAAAGCCTTCAAGCGGTCATCATCATCATGAGGCCGAGAAGCTTGAGGACCACAGGTGCCGTTGAATTGACTGGATAATAGCGATCGTATAGCGGGGTGTTCAGCTGGCGTTCTGTACACAAACAAAGGCGCGAAGGCGGTGAGGGGCGCCGCGCGGCCACGTGATCACGCTATTTGGCTTCTAGAGCGTTTCCTTCTACAACGTTGCTCTTTATTACGGACGAGAGAGTTTCTGGAGGAGTGTGGAAAATCAGACGTGCCCCTGGTATTATACTATTGTTATAGGGATAAATATCACAGACGGTGGCTTTGTCTGCGTGCCTTCGTATGATTTCCCTTTAACTGTGTAGAGCAAGCTACCGTTAGCCACTAGATCCACTATATTAGACAAAGTTGTATCTACGATGTCTGACAGCAATATTCTTGAAAAATCAGATATCAAAAAACCTCATCTTTTGTTTTTGAAGTTGTTACCTCTCGTTTCACCGCTTCAGAACCCCTGTATTCATAACGGCAGTATTTTTCCGAGTATACCGGATAAGAAATTGTGAAAGTCAACCTCGGTGGCTAATATAATTTGTTGAACAAAATGTATTCCGACGGGTATTGTTAATCGGTACTCCGCCAAATGGCACACTAACGATCTTCTCAGAGGCAAGCGAAGAATGCAATACAAGGCCCATGACCGTTAGGTTGTGGCGGGATCTTGTTATCACTCATGATGATGGCGATGCCAGAGAGGTTACCCGGCTTCGCTCCGGTGGCGCATGTCTGATTCGTCAGGGTTTGTATAGTATCATGTGCCTAAAACCATAGACGGAACCTGTCCTGGTGGCTATGGCACTGACCTAGACAGGGTATTCACTTCTGGCAGGGTTGCATAAGCGGAGAGAAATCAATCCATATGTGAGACAGAGACTGATCTAAACCAGTTAAGACAGGTTCTAAGTAATCCCCAGATGATAGAGATATATGAAAGAGCATAAACTCTAAAGAAGAGCTCGCATCATGAACCTAGCAGAATTGGTGAGAAGTAAAGATCCACAAAATCGAAAAGCATCTTGAATGACATAGGACGAAGTCGTTGATAATGAATTAATGTCTCAAACCAAGGTTTCACGAAGTCCCGTACCGGTGAAAGGAGGTCGAAGCAGGGGGTTGTGGGTTGTTTGATAGAAGTGACTGTACAGATCCGGGGCTCCATGCTGTAGAATTTCCATTTTGTGGGCTAGCACGGTAGGCATCACCATCTGGATTGCCATTCGAGTTTTTTGCAATTCCGTTCATTAGCCGTGGTCTTTTTGCCTGGGGACCACTGGAAGTATTTCGATTGGAATCATAAGAAGCGTAAGATGACGTCTGCTGATTGGATGGACCGCTAGAATGAGACTGAGAATGCCCAACAACTGGGCTGGTTGTGTGACTTTCTGGTGTCGAGGCGTTTATCTTGGAGCGGTACGCAGAATCTAATGCTGGGTCCTCGGTATCCCCGTAGGAACCTAACCCGACGCGTCCCATACTTTTATCATGGAATACAACACGTCTCCACTTAGCAAGAAGATGGTCATAATCCCATCTTCCAGCCCCAGGTCCAATAGTATCGCTATCATGTGCAGTCAGTTCACGGGCAGCATCACGAGATAATGGGAGCATGTCGGGAGGGAACAGGGCAAACTCGCGAGGCCATTGGCAAGATCCTAGCTTTTCAATTTGCGCTCGGAGTTGATTTGCTTCCTGCTGCACTCTAGCAAATTGTTTTTCGGACTCTTTCCGTTTCTCTGTCTCACGCGCAAATGCTCTAGTAATCTCTAAGAGCCACGCATCCTTTTTCACATCGTTCGGTAGCACCATCCAGTTTTGGTAGGCTAGATCGAGATGTCGTGCACTCATTTCGTCGTGTTGCTGGGCTGTCCGATTAATCAGATTCGGGTCCTGCGCGACAGAACCGTCACGAGAACCACTTTGATTTGTCGAAGGTGTAGCGAATTGTTCATTTCGCCACTGCTCAATATGTGCTCGAAGGGCATGTCGAACAACCTCAACTTGACCTACACCGGGCGGGTCTAATGGAAAGGACCCTGTGGTAGGAAAAGGGTGTGTAGCGAAGAGCGTTGGTGGAGCAGGAAGCATGTGTAGTACAAGGGAGGGATACGTCTGAGCTTGGACGTCGAATTCGAAAGGTGCGAGGCGGGTGCGTGTTGTCTCACTAGACAAAAGAAAGTGGCTTTGTTAGCATATAATTCCGTGAAATTGCGTGAAATTGCGGCTAAGGGGGGAGGGGGAATCTGCCAGCTCACGTCGCAGCTTTAATGCTATCCAAAACTTCACGCAAAGCAAGCTCCAGTGCTCTTGTGTTATCCGCATCTTTCGTCGCCGCGACACGATTGGAATAATCCCAAGGCCCGCTTGGAGCTGCGCGCGACTGAAAGGCTGGGGTACGCGTCGGATTTGCAGTCTCCTGCGACACCATCTCGGGAATATTGTTTATTACACCGGTTGAATGCCAGGTCGGCGTGTTGAATAAAAACCGTGGGCCTTCTCGCGGTCGCCCGGCAGAGTCGTGGGTCGTACTTCCTGCAGAATCGACCTGGTTCTTTCCACTGCCAATGTCTGGACTGTCACGTTTGCCGGAGGTACGGGCCTGTCGTCGGGTGATGCTGCTGCGAATGCGACGGATCTCATCGACGTTGTGAATGCCATCGGGTTTTTTCTTGAAAAGATACTGGTCGAGGTGCCGACCCAGCGACGAAGACGTAAAGGCCTGATGACAATACTGACATATCTTGTCCTTTGCCATGGGCGCTTTGCCTGCACCGGAGTGACTGCCGTCATCTCCGGCAGGAGAGCCCTCGGGGCTTTTGGTTTGGTTGTCTGTTTCTACCATTGTTGGCGTGCCTAGCGAAATGATATGGTTCTTGAATAGGGGAGGAATTGCGCGAATCGTCAAAGCTGGAGCAAACTGGTTCTGCGCGACACCTCCTGCATGGTCGAACGTACGCAGGGACTGGTGGAGGGTTCAGCACAGGCGCACAGAGCAAACATCAATTGCTTGAACTGTAAGTCCTGGCCGCATTGGCAGAAGTCAGGCAGCTGCGTTTTCAAATGCTCTGAGGTGTGAAGAGGAAGATTCAGGGTTCGAAGATGCAACAGAAATTTCACGTGACTCTCAGCAGCTACTGGCTAGAGCCAAGTCAAGATTGGCCGCATCAGGTGTGTGGGGCCGGCGCCCGTGGTCTCTTCTTGTTCAAAAGACCCAATTACTTCGACTAATTATTAACTATTATGGCAGCTTATGAACTAACCACACACTAGGACAGTCACAGATGTTAGCGAATTGATTATGCAGGGTGGGACGTAGAGGTGCTCAACTCTAAATCGACTTTCGAAGTCATTGTGTAGTTATGATTCCACTATACCGATGCGAAGTGTATTATCAATTTTTGACAAGAACTTGATTATTTAGGTGTAATTCCAACCTTCAATGGCAACAGTATTTTGAATACGAGTCTACTACTACTATGCATACCATCCGAAGGGAACAGAATTCCATTTTCGCCGTATTCCCGAATATTGAAGCGTAGTTCTTGAGAGAAGCAACTATCATCGAAAGCACCAAAATATTGTGGAATCTGACTCTACACTCCGCTTGCGCAAAGGCCTGAAAGGCTTCACACACGAAGAGGGTATAGAGTTGTCTTCCAAGAGTCTACTCTATCAATTGAAAGATACAGGGAAACTATCGAGAAATACGCTATACCATCCCTGGACTAGTGGGAAACCCGCTTATAGCCGAATTACCGAAGACTGGGGAAGGAGTCGACAGTATTCCCTAACTGTACATCTCTTGATAGCCTTTGCTAGCCCCCGGCAATATATGATTTCATTCAGTAAATCCACCAAATGAATGATGCGAAGCCGTGAAACTACGCAGCAGACACCGCCGGCGAGGCAGAGAGCTAAGCGGGCATGCACAGAATGCAACACACGCCGAGTACGCTGTGATGTCGTCTTGCAAGGACAGCCTTGCTCAAATTGCCAGGCCAGTGGAGGAAAATGTGAAGTCGTACCATCAAAAAGGGGGCGGTGAGACTTTAACTCCAAATATTCCATGCTTATTATTCATCAAATCTCATATCCCGTCAGTTACCCGCGCAAGTCTCGAGAGCATCGTGCGTCTACGGGGATAGAAAATCCTGCATCCCCGAGACGTGCTGGACATATTGTTACTACTGTGCCATCAGGGGCGGCTTCGCAACTTCCAACGCCTAATACTGGCGGAAGCCACAATTTAGACCCAGACACTACAACTGACCACTATGCTCCAGCTTCTGAAGAAGGCAATACCTTCTTCTTCGGGGAATCAAACCTTCTCACTTATGTAACAGGAGCACATACCGGGGACGGACCAACCAGTAATACAGGAGGTATTCAAAAACAAAGACTGTCCTATCCCTGGTCAGCTGACCGTGCGGTCCATATGGAGAACACAGCAGGTGGTCATGTTGAATCAGATCGGGAAAAGTTCCTGCGACAGCAAGGTGCACTGACTTGCCCGGACCCTGTCGCCTGCTTGCCTGCTATTCGGGCGTATTTTACTTGGTTCCATCCATGCTTTCCCATCTTGGACCGGGTTGACATATATCGCCGACTACATTCGATGAACATTTCGCCACTACTGCTACAGGCCTTGCTGTTCATCGGCACAAACTATTGTGATGAAAAATCTATGGTGCCAATGGGATTTAAAGATCGTTCTGAGGCAAAGTATCTATTATACAATAGGGCAAAACTACTTTATGAAGCAGACTGGGAACAAGACCATATTACAACATTGCAGGCTTTATTTCTAATGAGCTTTTGGAGAGGAAGTCGAAGCAGTGCTCGGGACGTTCGGTACTGGCTAGGAGTAGCGATAACTCATGCACAGCTTTGTGGTTTACATAGATCGTAAGGGGTGCTATCTCTTTATCTATGGAAAAAGTTCCTGAACACGATCTTAGAACACGTTTCACGACTAGAGACAGCGAAACTGCCAGACTACGCCGGAGAATTTGGTGGGCTATATATGTATTGGATGCTCCTAAATAGTCGTATAAGGCTAACAGTTGATAGGTCCGTGAATTACAGTCATCCTCTTCTCTGGGCTTACCGCGACGCATTCGAGATGAGGATTGCGACATCGAAACACTCACACCTGCAGATTTAGAAGAAGAACATGACGAGTCTGTCGCAGCCTCTTTTGGAAGGTGTGAGCCAGAACATGTGGTTTATGTTATGAAGATGACGCACATGGCTCGATTGCGTATGAAAATCTTCAGTATTCCGCGCTTCGAATTTATATCTAACAATTTTCAATAGTTGGAAGGGTTGTTGACATTCAGTTCGCTCCAGGAAGCCAATACAAAGCCACGGTTGAAGAACTAGAGACAGTGAAACAGGATCTGGAGGAATGGAAAGGTACTTTACCGGACAACATGCAAAGGGGAGTTGGAGAAGGAAATTCCTCTGTCTGGTCCAGTTTGCTTAACTTAGCCTACAAGTTCGCTGAGCCTTTTCAGATTTTATTGATAAACATGACTAATGTTGGATTAGCCACTTACGAATTTTAATTCATCGAAATGGCTTTTTACGCAACCCCAGAGGCCAAGACGATCGCGATAAGCAAGCTGCTACCGCAGCGGCGAATCAAATCAGCAGAATTGCAGAAGACATGCTTTCGCAACAGACCATTCAATATGGCCAAATGCACCTGTACAGTATTTCCGTTTTTTTTGGTGACATAGAAACAATTACTAACAAGCATCATTCAATCTATGCAGTATAACGGGCTTGTTCGCGGCTCTTTGTATACACGTTATCAACATCCGAACCACAGACGGGGTAAATAAGCGATTAGCAGAAAATCGCGCTCAGATATGCCTACTTGGCCTACACGAGATTCAAAAATACTGGCGTATTAACAATCTAGTTCTTGACTTTTTCTTCCAGTATCTCGACGAGTCCACTGCCAGAATTTTGCTTGCTGCAGATGCGGACCGTCATGATTTCGGAAAGTCTTCGTCTGATCGACCTCCAACAGTACTTGCAGGATGTGACGGATCGACCATCCCACAAAATGCCTTGCCTTCTATACCACAACGAACCTCGACGCCTTTGGCTTCAATTGCAGACCCATCTGGTCCTCCTGAGGATCAATATTGGAATTTTGTCCGAATGAATTGTGATGGTGATGAAAATAATATAGATAATGGTGACCTTGGATTCCTCTGGGATGCGCAACTCTATGCAAATCTGGATTTCCTGGAAAAATGCCTGTAATATCTGTTTTACCGCTATGTGCATATGAGTGTTAAACGTATCATTATTTATGAACATATTTTCTCCGATGATTAGTATCTTGTTCAAATACTACTACGCTCCTTATTTGACTGAAGATGACTTGTGGTGGATTGATAGATTTCGGTTACATGTGTAACATCACTGCCAGGCATACAATTAAAACGGCTGCATGTATATTGAAGGTAAGCTGTGGGATAAATTGATGCTCATCTTGACATTATATTCAAAAAAAGCCCCAGCTAAGTAGTATAGACCCCAGGCCACAATCTCCGAATAAATTTTCGCCAAAATGGCAATGTCAGTTCAGTTGTATATGGTGTTTTGTGGTGACGGACGGTTGAAGGTCGGAATTCGTTTTCCAGTCATCGTGCTGTTACATTTCCTCCAATATTAGTTTAAAGTTTTTTGAATTCCGGTATTTATCAGCGCCTTGCATTTCGAGTAATAAAATGCTTTATTACAATGCACTCTCAAGCTAATCTTATCTAGAAATGGTGCATCGGATTTCGGATTCCAATGGCTGGATAATGAATTGGATTATCACAATGGATAAATCGATACCTGTAAATAGTGAACTATCGTTAGGCTGATATGTTGATGCTACCCTGAGCAATATGTCAATGTTGATGACAAGTCCTAAAAAAATTACATATCAATTCCCACAACCGCACCATGTCAGATCCGCGTCGATCCGCTGAGGCATTGTTAGTAACAAAAAAATCCCTTAATTTGAAAACTTTCCTGTGTCTAGTAATCTACTTTTTACAACTACTGGCATGATATCTGCATGGGCCGTAGAGAATCTTCTCCTAGAATGGCCGAGGCAAAACGAAGCATGTTATCCAAGCTGTCGGATCCTCAAGCGCAGAGAAAGGCCGGCATCTCGCGGTAAGGCACTGCAAAAATAGTTCACTCAAACCTACATCACATACGATAAGCTCTACGAGGATCCTCATGTGGACATCGTTTTCATTGGCACGCCACATGGTTATCACTTTAGGAATTGCATGGCTGCTGCGTCAGCTGGTAAAACGTGTTATGCGAGAAAACCTTCACGATGGATCGCAACAGGCAAGAGAGATATTTTATTTGGCGCGCAAAAAGAACGTCTACGTCTCAGAGGTGATGTGGCATCGATATCGCGTCGTTACCCGAAACTTCACGGTACCGAAACCTGTCACTTGAAGCGGGATTGTTGCTCGGCATTGGTGTCTATCGCTCACCTGGATGATGGTTGATCTTCACGGGGTCAGTGCATTACGGGATCGAGAGAAGCTTCATTCTGTCTGGCCGCCCAGACTCATGAAGGAATTAAAAAAAAATTGCAATCCTTCAAGGCCCATCAAACGGCTGACAAGGTATTGCGACTTGTACTACGAATGCACTTGCTCTTCCGGATGAAGTATTCGCTATGAGACATGGAACCCGATGCTTCATTGAGGTTTCGGGCAGGACACCGTCTACGCCAGGATCCTTTACTATATACACGAATAACCCGAAAGGGAACCCATATCGCTGTATGTTCAAGAGGGAAGACTTTCCCAGCAAAATTAATGAGTTCCTGCCGGTTGAGCATGGCTTTGCATAAGAAGCTCAGAATACGGCGCTCGATGTCCTCTCGGGGCGAAGGGAGAGTGGTGTCATTCCGTGGGCTGAATTGATTTATATAACGGAGATCATGGGTGAGATTCGATACCAGGGAACAAGGGATATCCAGGTGAATAGATTAAGAGTCACCAGTTTACTTACTCTTTCTCAAAATCTACTGAACTTTTGGATCAAATTATGGACATATGAAATTGTATCATACATTGGCAGCTCATGTATCTCTTAACTAAAATAATCCTAGAATGAAAAGATTAGGAAAGGAAAATAAACAACTTCTAGCCTTTGTAGTCGAGCCAATCCCTGAAAGGTCCTCTTTTTACTAAAAATAGGCTTATTTGATAGCTACTACTTTTAGATGTTCCATGCATGAATGTTACTCTTAGAATAAGTAATATAATGTGATATATATGAACTGCCTTAGGAAATAAAGGTAAATACAATATGTACACCCTGGAAATACGATATTTATCCTGATTGTGACTGACACCCAAGCTCTAACTCCAAGCCGTTTTAGATCGTGTAGCGAAAGGCGGGGTGCGTATGTCCTAACCAATGTTCACTTCCTTCATGTAGACGGTAATCTCGAGAGCCGTTCTCACGTTGCTTGTTTTCCCACCGGCAATAAAGAATCTGGAGAACAACCGTGACGATACATAATACAAGGGAGCCCAAGCTTACAGAGTGGCCAAGGGTATAGTCGGGCCTAGGAGATTTTAATTCAATAACAAAATCCATGCCAAGAAAGGGGGGTTCCTTACGCGTCTTGGGATAGATAAATAAATGTTGCAATAAAGGCAGAGCAGTTTGCAAAGGCAATTTGAAAGCCAATGCCCGTTGCTCGAACATAATGGGGTGCTAGATTATTGGATAACCAGCCCTAATAGTTTATCAATTAGCCTATGAATGTGCGAGATCACATCATTAATGACTGTACCATGATCATTGGAGAACCGGGATACACTCCAATAGCAACTAGAAAGGTTCCTCCGTAGCGAACGCTATTTGTCTTAGCGGCTAGAAGCATAATATACCCAACCATGGCTAACACACATCCGACAACCATAATCGGGCCTCGTGCCTTTATTTTATCAGATAAAGTTGAAGTAAGAAGAACCAAGACAAAAGCAGCGATGTTTGGTGGGACAGTGAACAATTGGGCCGTCGTCGATTTGTATCCCATTCCAGAGATAATAGAAGGCAAGAAGAGAGAAAAACTCTGCGAGTCGATTGTTAGCATGACCTTATTTCCTTCCACCGATAGAATCTTAGTGGTATATCGTTTTAACTTACGTAGAGAGGAATTAAGAGGAAAAACCATGCGAATGAGCAAAACCAAGTTTGCGGGGAAAGCATAGCCATACGGACCCAATGCCAATCGAAACGCTCTTCATTGACATTCTCAGTATCAGTAGCGCCGTGTGAGTCTTCCATCATGCGGTGAAGAGCTACAATCTTCTCTTCCTCCGTCAAAAACTTCGCGTCTGCGGGAGTATGAGGCATTGTGAAAAAGCAGATAATCCCAAAAATTGTGGTAATGATTCCCTCAACTAAAGTTCGCACAATTATTAGAAATGAAAACAACCTGATTCCTCCTGAAACAGATCAGACTTACTGAAAAATATCCACGGCCAGTTGTTATAACCACCATATTCAATCTTGGCGAGTCCAGTAGCTAAGAGTCCACCGAAAGCACCACTTAACGGAGCCGCGCAGTAGAAAAGACCTATACGATAAAGCATCTGATGCCGTCGATAGAACATGGCTAAGTATACGATCATGCCACCGAGAAGGCCACCCTCGCAGAGGCCAAGTGCAAGACGAGCAATAACTAGTCCGGTAAAGGACTTTGTGAAGCCTAGACATGTGCTAGTCAAGCCCCATGCGGTGATCAGAGCAGGAAGGAAGATCCCTGCTCGGACATGTTTGACTACCCAATTACTAGGGACATCAACTAGAATATAAGGAATGTAAAACACCACAAGGGCAATGTTGAACTTGTCTCCGTCTAGATGGAGATCCTGTATAAGCCCGTCTATCTTCGCATTACCGATATTGCTTCGATCTATGAACGCAAATAGCCTAACAAGAGCAGGAAAAATCAATGTTATTACCCCATATAAATCCATTGGAGATAGCGACGTACCATATACCAAAAAGCCAGGGGATGATATGCGTATCGAATTTTCGATCCACAATCTTGTCTATCTGATTCGGGATTTCAAAAGTAGGTTGCTCTCGACGTAATACCTCTATATGGCTCTCATTCGGCTTCTGCAGCTCAATTTGAACGTCTTGACCGGCTGCCATTATGACGAGAGTGATGATCTGTATCAATAATGTAATTGGGGATGCTACTTTCTAAAGACCCAAATAATATCCAAGGAAAAGATTTCTCAACAAACACAAAGTCACCATTCATATATCAAAGGTCGGGGTCTTGCCGATCTTATATCTGTCTTCCTCCTGACCCCATACCCCACAAATCCCCTCAGAAACAAATTGTCGCCTCCAGCGGGCTTCTGACCGAGTCCATTCATATTAGTCCGTGCGTATCTATAATAAGCCAAGAATTATTGCTCGTTGGTTCAACCTTTCTTGGCAGTAATTTTACGTAAAGTGTTTTAATCCATTAAAATCGATATTTCAAGCATGAGTAAACTCGGATACTCGTTCATATTTGTGACGATATGTGAGTGGTGGTGGCGTTATCGCAATCTTTGAATACCCAGAGAAACATCAGTACCTGTAATTATTATATTCGGAGGAGAATAGTTCCTCAGTTTTTCTATGTCGGCTCTATCATTTGGAATGAAGATCCAATAGTAAGTTCTCTACAAATTACGGATGCTTTGATTGACCATTGATGATCTCCATATCTAAGATTCCGCTAATAGGACCTTCTGTCGATTGATAGCCAAATTCATTGGGTCACCTATCTGACTTGGTTTAATAGCCGAAGTAGGCTATTTGTTCCTTCAGCCAACCGTAATGAATGATTTCGGCTGTAAGTACACACGCTTACCACAACTCTCGGGTTTTGACCGGCGTGAATTTACTTTATTGGCATATTCTAAGAACATTAATATCCCGCCGTACCTATATAATGACACGATGGCAAATTAATTTTGATTATTTAACCTCTGCCTGGTGTTAGGGCATTTTGTAATTTTGCAGAATGAGCAAATTAGAAACAGGAAATAAACCATTGAGATCTGAGCGCTATGAGCAGATCAAGCAGATCAAGTATCCTTGGTGGTTTGGGGGGTCGGCATCATGTATGGCGGTTACAGTGTCTCACCCACTTGATTTGAGTACGTATGCCAGTGGCTGCCTTCATATGAACGCGATTTGATATCATTGTAGTTAAAGTCAGGAAGCAAATGCAAAACGGTGGGCAACAAGGAACAACCAGGACTGCCATATCTATCATAAGGCATGACGGTATCTCTGGCCTGTATCGTGGAGTATGTGATGAATATTATTACTCTTGTTTTGATCTATATGACCATGTCTAACAAATTCCCTAGTTATCCGCTGGCATTATGCGGCAGCGTGAGTAAAATATACATTTATTGGAAGATTTATTCAATTGAGTAGAAATGGTCACTAACTGGGTGCATCAGTGACATACGGTACTGTTCGCATTGCCAGCTACGAAGCAATGAAAGAGAATGCGATTAATATGGGGATTCCCCTCAACCCTGTACTTCTGGGATTTATGGCCGGAACATCTGGCTTCGTTGGAGCCATATTCGGCAATCCATCTGATATTGCGAATATTAGGATGCAGAATGACAGTGCTTTATCTCCCGAGAAACGGTACAACTACGGAAATGTTTTTAATGCCTGGAGGCAAATGAGGCGTTATGAAGGCTGGTCTGGATTCCGACAAGGTTTATTGCCCAACTGCTTTCGTTGTGGCTTGATGACGAGTTGTCAGCTGGCTTCATACGATTCTTTCAAGACATTCTTAGCCAATTCTACTCCGCTTTTTGAAAGAGGAGAAGAAACTCCTATGTTGCATATCTCAGCTTCATTACTTGCTAGTCTCGTTGCCACTACTGTTTGCAGCCCAATCGATGTTGTGAAAACCCAACTGATGGGAAACAATAATTCTCAACGAGGATCGGTTCTTCAGGTCGTTCGCTACCTTTCGAAGACAGATGGCTTCTTTTGGATCTTTCGGGGCTGGATGCCCAGTTTCGTTCGATTAGGACCGCAAACTATAGCGACTTTGGTTCTTTTAGAGCAGCATAAGCGAATATACAGGAAGTTAATTGTCGACCCACAGGATTAAGGAATGTATATAGAATTCTCGCATATGTTATAGCTCATTCAGCACTGTCCCTCCAATAACGCATTTCCTAAGCGAGCGGCACACGCCCAATTTCCATATAATTCTGGCATTTTTGGGGCCCTCGATATTTCGCCACTTTTATAAGAAAATATAGTCTCAAATTGATATTATATACAAGAATGTATGTTAATATTAATAAAATTAACACAATAATAATAATAATTTTAAAAACTATGCTGTAATTCTATGTATTTTTCATACATCTTTGTTATCTTAATAATTATTAATAATTATTTAGTAAAACCAAGAATATATTATATTGAAAGTACATTTTATATTACATATCATTTTTAGACTATATTTTCTCATAAAGTGGCGAAATATTGAGGGGCCCAAAAATGCCAGAATTATATGGAAATTGGGCGTGTAGGAAATGCGTTAGATTATATCAACGACTCCACGGTTTCATTCTTAGATACTGTACTGGAGCAGTGTGGCCAAATAAAGAAGAAATATTCTAAGCGTGTATCTATCTGTATTACAACCTATCTTCTACGAACTCCAAACCCAGTGATGTATTCTCCGACAAAGGCTGACACGCAGTAATTACTGGCATGGTTTAACGATTATATAGAGTTAGGACTCTCTCGAGGCTAACTCAAGATGCCAAAATACACGCTAGCTGGTGCTGTCAGGGAATTTGCCTGTATCTAGCACTCTCCAGCATCTCAACACCCTCCCCATCTACATCTTTCATCTTCTGTCTCGACACAATCTTACTCGGGTGAAGGACATTGAACAGTAAGCAGCAAGCAAACATCGCTGATGCATCAAAAATATAGACATAAGCTTCTTTTCTCTGAAAATACCCATCGCTGCCTTGTATATATTCAGCAACACGGTAAATTGATCGAACCATTATCAGCGCACTAGCTGCATACAGTGTGCTCATATACCACGTCTAGGGGATCTCCGTAAATACGATCGCGTGAATAGGGGTTGCAAGCATTCCGCGGTGAAAAATGACTGAAACGACGATAAAGAAGGCAAAAAACAAGATTTGCACAAATAGGCCGATAATGACCATGTTGGCCGAGGTCTAATTTATCCTGAGTCTTTGCAGTCGCGAGCATGCCGCCGCCTGTGATCGCCGGTTAGGAATTATACATAGATTCACCGTAAAAATTTTTAGATAAAAGCATACATCCACTCTGGATCAGAAAAGACAAGACGTCCCCCGTTACAAATATTTTGGTTAGCCATGATGGCCTCTCAAGAGAATTGATTACTCCGTTGAGCATGCGAATAATACGCCCTAGAATCATGTAGATCGATGCTGCGAAAAGAGACGGCTGGATCAGGAACATCCTGCTTCTACTACCGAATAGATTACTATAAAATGACTCGTACACTGCAGGGACGCCTGCGCCAACCTATGCACTCAGCCTAGCCGTCTAGATGCCTCCTGGCTGGCTCTGTCTATCATCCGTAGCCCAGTTCCGAAGCGGCTGTGCTGGTTGACGCCAATGAAATTGTATTTCATGTGAACTCAATTACACAGTTTATGACGAGTAAATATAATTGGAAGTTATTAGATACGGCACCTATCGCATGTGACAAGACTGCTCAAGTAGACAGAATAGAATATGAATTATCCCGTAATAGCAGCTTCAGGTATCCGTAACTTCATACTAGCAGATTCTCAGCAAGGATCTTCTGGGCCTCTTCTAATTAAGTCTTAATATTTGACGGCTCCTCACACCTGTCATTGAAGCTGTAGACAAGACGCAACTCATCATTAAATGTGTAGACGGTAATCATACTTATGCCAATTACCATCTCAACTACCATCTTACAATACTTGGTAACGATGGTACTACCGTACACTTGCTCCAGGTAACGATCTGTAAGCCCTAGGTTACTCACGAGGGCATCCTTGGAAGGGGGTTTTGCCGAGAACTCGGGCTGCTGGATGGTGTGGCACATGTCCCGTATTAAGTGTCCCTTGATCCCCAGAGCCTCTTAGTTCTCCTTGAAGGTTGTCTGGTAGTGTCCGTTGAGCGTCTGGACCATGTTCCAGAAAGTACTTGCAGGTCCACTGTCCATAGATACATCGTGTATTAAGAGGAAGGCGCATTCGGCCGTTTTATACGGCCCCAGTAAGTACGCCCGCAGGTTGAATTGGCCAGACGTCACATACTGCGACTGTGTGGTGACCTGGTCTGCATGCTTGATGATTGCTATGACGTATGATGCGTGGTCAGCCGAGGTGACACTGATGTTCTTGTTATTGCACACCCCGATGACTGTTTGAGCCATCTCCGTAGTCATGGTAAGTTCGGAGTTCTTGCATCTTTCAGATGGTGCTGACCCGTGCTTCGAAACTTCGAAACGGGACCAACGCTAGGTAAACTGTCACCTCTGAGAATGAGCAGTTTATTTGCTTTGTCCGTAGGCTCCAGCGCCGAGGGATTGTAGTCAAAAATCTCTTCAATGGTGGGTGGTAATCTGATATGTTCGTCACCAAATTGAATATCCTTCTTTGGCAATGCTACTCACCGATGCTATAGATAAGATAGGGTAGAGAGCGAAAGAGGAGCTTTGATGACCTGGGTACGTAGTACAATGTGGCCTGCTTGATGGGGGCAACTTTCCCGTAGGGCTCCTCTGCATTGGACGTAGAAGACACGACAAATGTTGAATCGTGCCACTTTTGCAATGCAGCCTTGTTCGGCACTTCATATACTAGATTCATGCCTTCAGCTGTCGTTGCGATATGCGGCTATTCGTGTCTGAGATGCTTCCAAGCATGTTTCAGCGCTAGCTCGATGTCAGCCACATTGATATGGACTTTGGGCCGCGAAAATGCCAGCGACCGTTGGCGAGCGATGCCGCAAAGTTTTCTGTGATGATGAAGTAACTCTCCAGCCCGTCAGCGTGCTTCACTGGGAAACAAAGTTCGACACAATCTGTGCGGTCGCTGCCAAAGTCGTCAGAATGAGCAGGATGGCGGATATTGTCTCGATTCCTAGACCTCGGTTTGGAGTGCCTGCAGGTATATTGAGAGCCATGGTGGAAGCTTTCCTCTTTATCCAGCTTTATTCTTGATCGGAAGATTGATGTAAATAACAGCATAGCAGCTATGCAGAAGCTAGCTACACTTTTGTCGACCACATCTGCGCAAATAAGTTGTAGCCGGAAGATCAGAAGTCAGCCCAGCGCGGACGGGTTGTACGTTCTTGTCAGACTGATTGTGTGAGCCGCTAACCTGCGATTCTCTGTCTGATCGCGCCTTGAAACTCCCAGCAACTGAAATAATGCCCAATGAGATTAATCCAATGTCAAGAGTTGGAAGAATTCAAAAAAATTCAAACCCGTAGTTAAATAACATTGAAGTCTTTGGCCTAGAGAAATGTTGGGTCTTGTTATCCAGAGAAGATTATGGCGGCGTAGAAGTGACAGACACTAGTCTGTGGCAGGTAACATAAGCCAATGTAAGACACATGCTATCATATTGCACACGCCGACAGGCAACAGTTAATGACTGTCTTGACTCTTGAGGCAGTTGATGCCACAAAATCACATAGTTGATAGAGCCAAGCCTGAAAGGCGATACGCTTACCCTAAAAGAGTAGACTGATTCCAGCCAATCGGATGGTAGAACAGATTCGACACCTGGAAGTCTGTACATTTATTCGTAAGACGCGACAGGCATTGCCATCGTCAGTCTTTTAATCAACAGAAATATGCCCAACGTTGGACGCCCTAGCCGTGACTGTGAGAGCTGTCGAAAACGTCGCGTGAAAGTCTGTATATTAAATACCTTGCAGATACATCTATCAACCAATTCTGACATTTTACTGCAGTGTGATCTAAAACGCCCTGGCTGTACACAATGCCTGCGAAAGTGTCAACCTTGTCCCGGATATAGGGATGAATTGGAAATGCACCTTCGGAGAAAAGACTTCGTTTCATTCGAACTCGGCCGACAACAAGGTGTTCGTCGAAGACGAACAAATGTAGGTTCTTCAAAGACATCTGCATATGAAAGGCTAGGTTGTGTGGGTGAGCTGGAGGCGACCTCTATTAATTCCCACCTAAAACCGCCCAGCTCTTCCATCACACCCCCACCATGGAATCTGGAAATATTTGATCGCACATTTATCGCACAGTTCGTAGCAAGAATCAGAAACAAACGTCACAAGATAGACAATAAGCATGCGTGGTTGCTGAAGCTACCCGAAATTGTCACGTCTCACTCAGCGCCACCTGCTCTAAGACATTCTACTAGAGCTGCTGCGACAATGTTTTATTCGCTGCTATACCACGACCTTGCAGCACACACTCAAGCATGTCGCTGGTACAGTGCTGCACTCAATGCCCATCGGAAATTTTTGTCGAACTGCCAATCACCTGCCACTCCAGGGACCAACAAGAATGTTATGGATTTGACAGGGCTAGAAGTTGTCGCTACTTCAGTTCTTCTAGCGGTCTTTGAGGGGTTTGCGTGCACAAGTCCATGGGGATTCTATCAGCACTTTGCCGCATCATGCAATGCTATCAAAATGAGAGGTCCTGAAAACTGTCGTACTGGGATGATTTCCCAGATATTCTGCTCCTTGAGAAATATAGACGTACGTATAGTTCTTCTCTTTCTTCTAACGAAAACAAAAATATATGACGTACTCAACACGGTTCTTAGATATGTATCGCGCTTTTGAAGAACGACGAGCCCATGTTCTCGTCCCATGAATGGCGCACAATACCATTTTGCAACTCTCCGATTCCTCACTCACGAGTAATATTCGACATAATGCTTGAAATTTCAAGCTGTCTTAATATACATGGCACATGTGGCTCATTGATGGCAGCTATAGAAATGATTCCAGACAGTCCCTTTCGAGTCGGTATCGAGGAAAAGGCATCTCAACTACTTAATGATCTCGATAAATGGTGGACTAAATTTGTCAATCTAAATAGTACTTCAACAGAAGATTTTACCCCACTTTCAATAGTCACACATGACGCTTGGGACGACAAAAGCCACGGACTATTGTTGCATCCTTTCATTTTTCAAGACGGATTCACAGCATCTACAGTTACACTCTACTGTTCGGCCTGTATAATTGTCATGAAAATTATGGAGGTCTGCGATATTATTGGGCCCACTACAACTGCTTTGACGGGAAATAGTAAAGGCCATATTATCTCCTTGTGTGATACCATCTTCACTATTGCGTCATTTATGGAGAGGTATCCCTATTGTGGCCTCGACTTTGTGCGCTGGGTTTTCCCTCTCGTTGTCGTCACTAATTTAAGTCCAAGCAAACCCCAGAGGCTTCAAGCGAAAGACATGATGAAACGGTGGAATACAACCTTGGGGATTAGTGGCATATGTAATGTGTGGATACGAGGATATGAAGAATGAACTTCGCATCTTACATGTATGAATATAGAGTATATTTTATGATAGACTTCACAAATCTTATAGCATTAAAAAATTCTAATCTACATTTAGTGGCTGAAGACTTCCCAACCATTGATATGAGATATGTTTTCGCGCGATGTAAAGAGATGACTTAGAATTCACATTTAGTAGCTTCTAGGAAGTTGCAGAACCTTCTCGCTAACGTAATTTAGAATCATTTCGCGGCTAACGGGTGCAATGCGTGGTACAAAGCATTCTCGCAACCACCTCTCGACGTCATATTCCACAGCATATCCCATACCTCCATGTGTCATCACGGCACGCTCGCAGGCAGTATAGGCGGCTTCAGCAGCCAAATATTTCGCACTATTACAAGCAGTCCCAACGGCCTGGAAAGAGATTGAGCCCTCCTTTTTGGAGGCATCGTACATGCGAGCAGCGTGATAAGTGGCAAGCTTGGCTGCCTCCAATTTCATGTAAGCGTCGGCGAGCGGGTGAGCAATGGCCTGGTTCTTGCCAATCGGTCGTCCAAAGACATTCCTTTCTTGGGCGTATTGAGTTGCTTTTTCTAGAGCGGCATACCCTAACCCAAGAGCCTCACCAGCTAGTAGGCACCGTTCGGCATTCATACCATGTAGGATAATCTTGAACCCGTCGTTCTCGTTTCCAACCAGAGAATTGGCGGGTATTTCGTAGTTGTCGAAGAACACTTCATTCGCGTCCACTGCACGGCCACCCATTTTTTTGATCTTTTTCAACTCCAACCCTGGTTTCGTCTTATCTAAGTCAATTGCAAACATAGATAGACCTTCTGTGGGCTTCTTAGTCTCTTCTAGTGGAGTTGTTCGTGCTAGTAAGATCATGATCGATGCCTGCTGGGCACAAGTGATCCAAATCTTTTGGCCAGAAACAAGATATGAGCCGCCATCTCTGGATTTCTTAGCCAGTGTTTTCAGTTTAAGTGTATCGAGACCAGTATTAGGCTCAGTGACACCAAAACACGTTCGCCAGTTGCCGTTGATGATGTTCGGTATGATTCTTCCAACCTGTTCTTTACTTCCAAACTTTGCCAATGGCTGTGTTGCATAGACATTGGCATGAATTGACTGTGCACCAGCCATACCAGCTCCAGACTGGGTGATAGTCTGCATCATCATTGTTGCTTCGGAGATCCCTAAACCAAAGTAAGTCTAGGTATACCCCAAACGCCATTCGTGGAGAAATATAATAAAAGTCCTCTGTACCTAAGCCAGAGCCACCAAGCTCTTCAGGCAAGGCAATTCCCAGCCATCCGTCTTTTGCTAAAGCTGCATGAAATTCCTTCGGGTCCCTCTCTTCTTGGTCGCTTTCTTGCCAATACGTCGCAGGAAATTTGGAGCATATTTGTGACACCGCCTCTCGGACAGTTAACTGCTCCTCAGTGAAACCGGACAAGTCCATGATCCTTTGAGGTCTTGACGTTGAGAAGTGCGAGCAGGATATGTTGGTCCGTAATCTATGCATTTTGTGATGCTGCGTTGTCGACCATCGTGAGGAGGCCAGAGTCGCCCTCGAGATGGGGTGCTTGGCTAAGAGACTTGCGCTGCGTGAAGACGACATTTTGGAGTCAGTTAGATATACATGTGCAATGAAAATTCACTTCGCTCTTAAACAGATTATATTATAATGCATAAGATCAGAAACTTGACGATGAACGTTGCTTTTGATTTGCCGGACATTCAAACTCATATGGGCATAAAGCCGAGTGAATTCGTCAGCCAATCGGATAACGGCTACATATGTTCCCGGAATGATGCACCACGGAGCAAGTCCGAAGTACCATATAGCCGAGTAAATAATGGCGATGACAAGAGGCTACATAGTTATTAACTATTATCAACCTGTGTTGGCGTTAGGTTTGGATTGTAACACCGAGATATACCGAATTTTATACTGGTCAATTTCTCGGCATCCTGCAATTTTGCCGATACATCAAAAGCCGTTAAGAGGCTTGATCGAGGAATCCACCGCACGCGTGCATATACTTCTACTCGACAATTTTTCTATGCAGCAAAATGTCCTGCAGAAATTGGTTTATAGACGGCACAATGAACAATATTCTTCGTCCCATTATTTCCAGACAGTCTTTCAGATATCATGTTTCTGCGACATCAATGTTCCGAACAACCTCCACCACGGCAACAAGCAAAAAAGACAACACCGATTCAGGGCCACTAGAAGGTATTACCGTGGTCAGTCTAGAGCAGGCCGTAGCCGCACCATTCTGCACCAGGCAGTTAGCCGATCTGGGAGCTCGAGTCATCAAAGTCGAGCGTCCACAAGTGGGCGATTTTGCGCGTGGGTATGACACGAGAGTCAATGGGCTGGCGTCACATTTTGTCTGGATCAATCGATCAAAGGAGTCCTTGGCACTAGATGTGAAAAACCCGAAGGATCATGATGTACTTATGCGCCTTGTTTCTCGTGCGGATGTCCTGGTGCAGAATCTAGCTCCCGGTGCGAGCACGCGACTAGGCCTATCGCACGAGGCGTTGAAAGAGAAATATCCATCTCTGATTGTATGCAACATCTCGGGTTATGGTGAGGACGGCCCATACCGAGACAAGAAGGCATATGACTTGCTTATCCAGAGTGAAGCTGGCATGCTCTCAGTGACTGGTAGCAAAGATGAACCAGCCAAGGTTGGCATATCCATTGCTGATATTTCCGCGGGCATGTACGCCTATTCCAACATCCTGACCGCACTCATGCAACGTGCCAAGACTGGAAAAGGACGGAAAATAGACATTTCTATGTTGGAATGTATGGTGGAGTGGATGGGCTTTCCGCTCTATTACACCTACGGCAACACCCCCGGGCCTGCGCGAGCCGGTGCATCTCATGCTGCTATATACCCATACGGCCTTTTCAATACGGGCGATGGCCGTCAAGTGATGTTGGGTATTCAAAACGAACGCGAATGGGCTAATTTCTGTGAAAAGGTATTGCGTAAGCCGGAAATTGCCACCGATGCGAGATTCGTGAATAATTCCCTTCGAACCCAAAACCGGGACGCTCTCAAGGATATCATCCACGACTCGTTTTCAGCTCTCACTGCGGAGGAAGCCATTCAGCTATTGGAAACATCAAGCATCGCCAATGCCAATGTTAACTCGATGCACGATGTCTGGGAGCATCCACAGCTAAAAGCGCGGGGACGGTGGACTGAAGTTGATACTCTTAAGGGTGTTGTTCCAGCTTTGTTGCCTCCTGGATTCATTGACTCTAATGCGCAGTTTGGGTCGGTCCCTGGGGTTGGAGAGCATAATGATTCCATATTTAAGGAGTTGGGTATCACTAAGATAGATTAACATGCATAACCAGACGTTGCATAGAACCAAAAAGTTGTACATCATCACAACACACTACTAAATCAGGCTACAAGCCAGTAAAATTCAAGCCATACTATTATATAGACCTGACTTGATCCATGCAGATTGAAGACAAATTGAGAGTAAAAAGTGCCCAGATGACATGCCTTCCGGATACTCAATTACCTGAGTGGCCAATCCAAGGCTATTTCTAATTTGGTCATCAATGCGCGCTAAACATACCATGCAACTATGAATCGGTATTTTTACTTGACTCTCAATTTCAGTGGCCGATAAGTGTTGTTTTTGTTGTAGTTGTTGAAATAAGCGCCCTCCCAACACGTGTGGTGTTTCAGCCTGATTTCATGTTTTCTTTTCCATTTATGGTTATTAACGCGTATATGATAAACAAAACCTGAGAATTATAAATAAACAGATATTTTACCTAACTAATTCGAAGTCGTTTGCCATTTCTTTACTCAGCTTTCCGTGTTTTATCCTCAGTTGGCCATCAAATCTATACCCGAAGTTGCTTCTCTTTTCTACGTTGGGACTCCTACAATCCGACTACATTGGAAATAGATATATCTATCTGGTATAACAGGAAATCCTCGATATGTCCCCTGAAATCCCTATATACAAGGTGCTCTTAGTGGGCGAAAGCGGGAAGGTAGGTTACTATCCTACTCTGACAATTAACCTGCAAATCCCGCTAAAACAGATATATGAATCAATAGTGGTCTTTTCTCCAATTGTGGGAACAACATGCACACGCAGCATATACAAATCCTAAATCAGGTTTTAAGACATATCCTGTCCAATTTTTAACCGTAAGTGCACTCTTCTAGATTATTCGCTGGATTTACATTCAAACTAATTCCTACCACCACAGAACTGCGGGAAGATACAGCTTGACTTTCTTGGTATTTCTTTGCGATGGTTACTGTCTCTTAAACTTAAGGGAGATGCAATGATTTTCATTGACGATGCTACTTATTTAAACGACACACAGCGACTGAAGGGTAAGTCATTGTGTGAATTATGATAATCAATAATATTATACAAAAGTCTCAACTATTGTTAACCCCATCAATATCTAGCTAATTCTTACCTTCGATGCCTCGATATTCCACTTATCATATGTGAGGGGTCTCCCTCAAAATGTCGTGAAACGGGTTTTACACGCAAGCTTTTTGGCAAAAACATCTTACACGTCAAAAGACTGGGGCAAACGGGAAGAAAAATATTTAATGCCTATAGACCGCTGCTTTGGCTGATGCGGAAGCTAGAGAATAATCCTCAAGTTGTGAGTTGGACTATATCTAAGATACTTCGGGTCGTCAATAGTCCTAGATCCAAGTCTACTGGGCAAGATGCTGACAAATACTGATTATAGGACTGGGTGGGTGTACCCCGGCATTGTGCCCCTACATTACGCCGTGGTAGCATCAATAGTCGCTTGAGTGAAGTCACTTTGGGTGATACATCCACCAGGTCTAGCTCGATAGCATTTACTCCCGCCACGAGTGATGACAGTTATTCCAATAATCAAGGTACAGTACCTCTTCTGTCAGGTCTGGATAACTTTGCCGTAAGAATACTGATCTATATATAAGAGAATACAGACATTTACGACAACTCAGATGAGACTTGCCAAACCACAACAGACGACTCAGAAGAGTTCATTGTGTTCATCCTATGTGTACACTGTATTCGAATGATTGCTATTACGTCCCCAGAAACAGGTTCACTTGTCCGATTGATTCCGCTATCAGTGCCATGTTCACTAGTGACAATAATATGTAGACATTGTTCTGACACCATTGGCCTTGAAATGCCGGACTCGTTGCCGTTTAACGTTGTTAAACACACCCGCATGTACGATTGCGCTGAAACAGCTGCTGGGAAAAAGGTTGAAATACTATTGGGAGATAATGATATGACGTGGACTACAAACTTGCCCGACCTTGCAGAGAGCACGGACACAGACTGTTGCATTTATGGAATACGCACAGATGATGATACTATCTCTAGGCTGCATGAGGTTGAAGCAGCAGATTTGTGGCTAGAACATGTACCAGGGGCGTTCCTTTAGACTTGGGCAATTTATTTTTGCCAATATTACACCGTCAAATAGCGACTCAAAATACTTCTATGAATATCAGGGGATCTCCAGCATTCAATATTAAGTTGTAATATTGAACTCTTACCAGGTCAATTAACGTTCCACGTATGATATATATTTTATGACTTGAAACCCTGAACCCTAAACGTAACTTCTGTCGACATTCTTAAGACCCAACAATTATCATGCGGCGTTTCCAAGCTTTTCCAAGGTCTCTGAATTCTTCGCCTTTCCCTTCTTTGTCCTCCGAACACTAACAACTGTTTTGATGCGCTGAAAGCCATGAAGGTATATCCACGAAAGGCCAAATACCGCTGCAAAGTTGAACGCTATGTAGGCCCAAAATATTGCCTACAGTAGGTAGAGTGAGTTAGAATACCCTAATCGATTACTTCGACAAAGACTTACAAAATCACGCCACTTGTGCGAGTAAAAGATATTGAATCCTCTCGCCTAGGTTCGCATGATAAATTAGTTTCTCTCCCACAAGTCTGGATAGATATGAAGACTTACGAATTGATTTCCAGTTGAGTACTGGCAGAATGAACACATCCCATTTCCTTCGTCTTCCACGTAGCCACCAGATTCCTGAGCAAAGACGCCAGCGTAGCCATGACAGGTCATTCCAGATGGGGGACTGAATTTAGCTTCCTCTCGACTCACACATCTGACCGGCTGGTTATAGACCAGAACGCCAAGGAAAGCCTCAAGCAGATAGTTGAATGGGGTAGTCCAATACATCCAAGATTTCCAGAAAGAGGGGAGAGCTGCATAAGGAACTACAACGCCGCAAAACGATACCACGAAGGTAAAGAATGCCGGTACTAGCAGCGACGCGAAGATCTCGTTAGGCGATAATGCGGCGATGAATTGTCCGAAGCCGACGTAGAATAGTTCGAAAAGTAGAATAAGAATATATGTGAATCCAGATGTGAAGGAATTGCGGGGGAAACCGACCCCCCAGTACCAGCAATTGAAGTATATGGAGCCTGCCACGATTGAATAAGGGATTTCGGGGAGGATGGCGCTCGTGGCAAATGCTGCCCAGGAATATATCTTGGCCTTGCCCTCGCGCGACTCATAAAGATTTCGGAAGTGGAGAAATCGAGGCTGGAGTTGCTGGATAAGTGGAGGACAGATGGTTAATGTCATAAACACTGAGAATAGTCTCGATTGCATGTCAATATAGCTGTGGCCAAGCTTCCAGAATGTGAAGGCATTGAAAAGGCCAGTGAAAATATGAAGCATAAATTTTCCCTTTACACAATTCTACTTAGCCCTTAAATATCTCTAGAAAGCAGGAAGATACTTACGAGAAGATACTCAGGCGAGCGCCAATAAGCCACAAAGGAGCGCTGGGTTGTAGCCATAATTTGTGTCCAAAGTGGCATAGCATATTCTCTGTCATCTTTGGTCTCATCACCAGTTTTTTGGCCACGCCGTGAGCGGACTATTTCTTCGACTTCTTTGGTACGAGTGTCATGTTCTTCACAACTAGCCCAAACATCGCCCCAATCTTTACCTCGATAATCCGGATTTCCAGCACCAATAACTTCAAGCATATACTGTATACATTAGTAATTATTCCAACTTTTCGTCAGACTTAGGTGGATGAATGATTATAACACACCTCGGCAGGATTAGCATCAAGTGCACATTTCTTGCCTCCATTCCTCTCAAAATAGTCTATCAAAGTCCGACAATCCCCGCCAAGCTCCCCATGATACACCACCCGCCCGCCGCTTTTCAGCAGTACAAGATCATCAAACTGTTCAAAAAGCACCGCCGAAGGTTGATGGATTGTGCACAAAACAGCTTGACCTGCATCAGCTAGTCGACGAAGGAACCGGACGATATTATACGCAGCAAGAGAGTCCAATCCAGAAGTTGGCTCGTCAAGAAAAAGAAGCAACTCGGGTTTGCTAGCAAGTTCGACGCCAATAGTAAGACGTTTCCGCTGCTCTTGGTTAAGCCCTACACTCCCAGAACCTACCGTCGCTCCAGCTATTGATCTCATTTCTAGCAGGTCGATGACCTTTTCACAATAATCATACTTTTCTTGCAGCGGAACTTCATGAGGCTGTCGCAGTTTGGCTGAGAATCTAAGACATTCGCGGACCGTCGCCGTAGGCTCGTGGACATCCATTTGCTCGGCAAACCCTGTCGCTCGCTGGAAGCTTTTTGGTAATGTTCTATCAAGAGTTAGATCATCTAATATCATGGTTTAACATATACGTGCCGGCCGTTAATCAGAAAGTCCCCCTTGACAACCCCGATATCAACTCTTTGAGCGAGAACATTGAGAAGAGTCGTTTTCCTAATAGAAATGTTAATATAAAGCTGAATCCACCTGGGTATCAATAAATATATGTTTCAGAATACCTACCCCGCTCCGGAAGCGCCCATCATCGCAGTGAGACGGCCTGGTTTAACATAGCCTTGCACATCGTTCAACAGTCGCTTTTGACCACCCTTGACAGGAATATCGTAGCTCACATGCTGCCAGGTAAATATGGCGGTATTCCTGGATATTCCTTCCACCTTGTGAGTAGAGTGAACAGAATCGCCATCGGCGTTTTCCGGATTTCGATACACATAATCGCTTGCCTCTTCATCACCTGGAACGGTCTTATTCTTGATAGCGTCATCGACATCTTTTGGAGCCTGACCACGGACGAAAACGGTCAAGGAGCTTCCCCCTTTGTTTGGTCTTTGCAACTCCATACCGATCATTGTCAAAGTAACAAATAATATGAACCAGGCAATAATAATGCCCAAATTCCGCCACAGATGAGATCGGGAGTACGTGTATGCTGCTTCTATGTAATTTGAACCTCTGACAACCGTTTGATCCGGCTGACTTCCCTGAATTAAACAGCTTTGATGCTGTGGACTGGTGTTTGGGCCTTCAGGAACCAGATATGGTGGAGTACACTGGATATTTAGGTTGTAAAATTCGTTACTCATTAGCGCCTCGAATGCATACTGGACTGGATTGATCCACATCAGCCATTTTAGCCAGGGATGCATTTTCCATGGAGGTATAAGGTATCCTATTGTATAGTCGCTGTAAATATTTGATCATTCATGATGGAGGGCGGATACATACCAGTGTAAACGATTAATGCTTGCAAGGCAACTCCAGTGATTCGAGTAGCTGGCGCCATTGTTAATATCTATACACTGGACCGATGCCGGCTATACATACCGACGTCAAGAGTCGAACAAAGTGCACCAAGACTTCGAAAAAATGAGTATATCGTCATAGTCAGCGTAAACAAAAATAGCACACTAATGAAGAACTGTGATGGCGTCCGTGATAGATTTGCCATACTGCCATAATATTAGCAACCTAACCTAGAGGCCTCAGAGGTTCGAATGGACGCACAAATATACGACTATATCGAACATGACAACTTGGATGAAGACTAGGGGCACGTCAACGACTACTTGAGCGAGAGCATAAGCAGAAGGTCGATAAAACGAGCTACAAATTCATTAGAATGTACTGTACAATACTTCCAGGTGCTCATCTTACAAGCTTTTGTGCTTCATCAATATTGGCCGACTGCCGAAGGTTGAAGTGAGCTCTGCAAGAGCCAACAGGGAATTGAAAAGAAGCAAAAAGAACATAACACCGCCTCTGGGGAAAACACCGGAACTGGAGGAAATATTAATATGTGAGATTTCATTCGACCGGCCTTAGGACACCCACCTTGTTGGTGGAAGATTGTAAAAGAGGCTCCCGACAATCAGGGCTTCGAACAATAACATGCACCATTTTCCATAGAGAGATTGTCTATCGCCTACCATAACCAAGAACTGGCGTCGTGTAAGAGCTAGTACTTGCTTGTGAAATGGAAGTGTGAAGTTTTTTTGCTTGATCTTGCCGCGAGCAGCTTCTCGTTCATGTTGCTGTTTCTCAAGCTTCTGCTCAAAATCGTTAATGTCCTGGATAGCATCTTTACGAACCTGACTATTGAGATATGCCTTTTCAAATTCCTCCGCCGTGCGTGGAATTCGCTCTTCCCAACCAGATTTGACTCTCCTGGCATGCGGATCACTGATAGATGTCAGGAAGTCCGGGGATGTCCAACGCGGAGGACATTGAAAGCCTAGACTCTCAAAGTATGCTCTAGCCTGGTCTGTTCGACCGAAATAGGCACAGCGTCCTTCTTCAATCAACACAACTTTGTCAAATAATTTATAAAGACCTTCCGCGGCCTGATACAAAGCAACCAAAGTTGAAACACGGGCCATGTTCGTCAGGCTCCGCAAGCTCTGGACATATTCTAAAGCTGTGCTTGCATCAAGGCCGCGGGTCGAGTTGTCCCAGCATTGAGTACTCGCCTTGGTGATCATCGCTTCGGCGATAGACACGCGCTTTTTTTCACCGCCAGATATGCCATGGATTAGCTCGTTTCCGACTTTTGTGTCCATGGTATGCTCTATCCAAAATAGCTTTGATATAGCGGCAAGAAAGGTCTTTTGGTAGTCTTTCCTGCTTTCTCCTGGATTACGTGATTCTTTTGCGGGGGTTCGAGTTTGCAGAGCAAATGATAGAGTCTGTTTAACCGTGAGAGTGGCGTAGTGTAAATCATCCTCGGGGTTATACGAGACTGCGACTATTAGCTGAGTAGTTCGTTTTAAGTGTCGTGGACTAACCTTCAGATCTAAACTGCTGAGCCATAGTCTTAGGGTCTGTTCCTCCATACGAAACGTCCCCTTCAATACTCTCATACCCGGCCCTCTGGTTTCCAATAGTTTTCAAAAATGTCGAGCATCCCGAGCCAGGCCTACCGAGAACGAGGAGCATTTCTCCCGGTCTTACACAACCCTGAACAGTTAGACTGTGTCAGAATAATTCATACCTAGCTATATAGAGGAAGAAGAAATACCGTAAAATCATGCAAGATGGTCTTTACCGGCGCCCTCGTCGTCGCCCCCTTTCGTCCTCGCGTAAGTAACCCTTTCACTAACCTCGGGAGTCCGAGAAACACATCCCCAACCGATGGCTGAAGCGCAGCGCCCAATCCAACGCCTTTCACTGAAAGATTCTTCCATACAACGCCAACATGTCGAGTCTTTTCCTCTTCCGACTGTTCCTGTCTCTCGCGCCCGAACATTCGTGACATTAGCCGCTGGATCTCCGCCCAGTCATCATCTTTTTCTCGCTCTCCGTCGCTGGTTTTCGTGGAGAAGATTCTGGATATTCCTAGAGGGGTATTATCATAGTTGTTGCTTTCACGTTGTTGCGAAGGCTTTGCCTGGTTGTTAGAGTTATTCTCTTCGAATCCATCATCTGCATGGTCGCTCGCGGTGCGAATCGGAGAGAATTGGGCTGGGGATTGAACATGGTTTTCGTTCAGGGTTGGTACGGTAGAATCATTAGAGCGTTTTGGGCTCGAAAATTGGGCCATAATAGTTTCTCTCGCGAGCATATGTTACTCAGCTTTCTCCTGGCCAAATACCAAGCTTGATCACTTGAATAACACAACCAAAATCACGACCATCATAATAGTACCGCCTTCTCTAGAAAGGAAAGAAAAGCCAAGGAAATAGAAACAACCGCGTCGAGGCTCTTATGAACCAATCGTCAATCCATCATCCACGATAAACCCACATTCCGCAACGGCTCCCCCATCGCTGTGAATTTGCTTTTCTTGGTTCGATCGGAGACAAGAGGATCATGACGTCACCGTTACAACACGCGTCAGACAAATCAATAAACTATTAGAATTCATAAATTTCTGTTAGTGGTTATGCAATGGTTATGAACAAGTCATAATTCTGATAAAAGGATTAAATACTTGCAGTTTTTATATATGAAAGAAACTATACTAAAACCCAACTAATTACGCCGCAGCTAGTTTCTGAACTACTGCATGTAATTTCTCCTTTTAAGTTAGATTTTATGGTGGGTCTACCTCTAGTTTATTTAGAAATAATAATTATGATGGTATTTTATACGTATTAAGATGAAGATATTTTTCCAAATGACCTAGTGTCCTTTTATTAATCAATACTAACATTTCAAGTGCATACAAGAGTAATTCTCAGGTGCACTGATTGAAAGAAATGAGAAAGTGACGAATACACATTACCAGTCATCAGAACTTGCTGCACTTACGCCGTGCATCCTGCATATCGCCAATCCTCATGGGCAGCCGGCTTTGCAGCACCGTGCTATTCTCGTTAAACCTCATCCCGTCATACCTCACCGTTGTCTTCCCCGTCACCTTCAAAATCTCATCAACCATGCAAACATCGTTTAACTGACTCGTGGGTAGTGCACCAAAGGCATTCACGACCTCAATTGGACTGAGTGTCACGCGACGTCCGAGTTCCCACCAGTTCCAGAACTGGACCAGGACGCAGATAATTGCCAATGTCATGAGGGACAACGCTCCGATTAGGAAACGGAAGTTTGATTGGAAGGTTAACACTGAAGATGTGCGTTTCACAGGACAATTTTGAGAGTTTTCGTTTGTGTACACACTGATCGAGGACCGGAAGAGATAGTCTTGCATAGCAGTAAGCACGTACTGAGTTGGATCAACCCATTCAAGACGGCATTTGCTGATGGCGGCCGGGTTGTATGCGGAGTTGTTGAACTGATAGAAAAGATCTGAAATGAGAAGGCCTGTGTGTAGGGAGATGTTGCGGGTTTGATCAATAACCAAGGAGACATTCGTTGCTAGCACGTCGGTCACAAAATCGTGGAGACCGAGCAGCGGGCCGGCGCCTTGCCCTTGTGTTGCTGTCGACTTGTCACCGTCCGACACATAGGTTTCAACTACGACAGGAGGATAGAGGTTTTCTGCATCGAGGGAAATGGTGTTGTTGTTTACTATGAAGGGGAACTCCACAGTAGCAGCCTGAATATTGCAATTCCAGCTGATAAGGGTTGCCGTGCAATTCTCGTCAACAGACGAGGAGGACAAAGTTGATAAATTGAGGACGGGAGAGCCGGTTGAATTCGAAGTCACCATTGTATTAATACCGAATACGAATGAGCCCTCGTTTTCTAACGTCGTTAGATCGAGTTTCGATGTCGTTGAGTAACAAGAGTAGTCAATTCCCGAGCCCCGTACTCTCCCCTGACAGGTACCGTCGCATTGGGAACCGGGACTTTGAATCGGCGAATTTAACCACCAGCCTCGAATTGCAGAGGTCGAATTGGGGTATGTAATAATCGTCCCTGTGGCAGCGTTCTGTACCGAGCCTATCCAACCGTCGGGGATCTTTGGTGCTATACTCAAAGTCAAGTCATCAGAAGTGGTAGTCTGACGAATTGTTGTGCTCGTTGACCGCTGCAATAATGGATTGTGCGCAACCTGGGCGACGATCACCAGCCACGATAGGAGAACCGCCCAACAGGCGGCTGCATTCGAGCGTAAAGTAGAAATGTACTTCAGGCCCAGTCCTTTATTCCATATACAATGCAGGCTCTCCAGCGAGGAACCATGACTGGCCGCCCTCCACCATATGACAGCAATGCTCATCGTCAGGAGCATGGTCAGGGAGCCGCTCCAGATGGACGAGAAGAAAGCCAGAAGAACAGCCGGGCTAATAGTCCATGAAGCGGCCGGCTTGTTGTTGGAGATGACCACAATAGCTGCCGCAGCTGTCATGGAGACTAACGCTATCAAGGTGAGCAGCATCGCGGGCCATGGAGCTCGAGGCACTCTGGACCCGCCAACAAATCCTTTGCCTTCGGACATTGCTGTAGAATCATATGTGTATGTTTCGGGTACTGACCAGTAAGTTAGTCAACGGTTATTGAGCTGGAAAGCTGAGACTGGAAGCGGCCTGATACATCGATCATATCAAATAAATTACGATGCATTCCTGATGACCACTCCGTATTCCTCTGTGCAAATAACGCCGGGATTGGCTTAACAAGGCGTTTTCTAGAACATTATGAAGGAACATCAAGATACCAGCTTCAGCACGAGGCTAGCGCTGAAAGCAGGCGACGCCCAAGGTGGGGGCAGGAACTCAAATACGAAGATCAGTTCACTCCTGAGTTCTACATCCGGCAGCGATCTACCGCGCCATCAACACACGGCTTGAGTGTTTTGACATAGTTGGCTATCTCCCGCAGCCGCATCCCCCCTTGGGTCTTGGGATGCTTGGCTCTCACTAGTTACTCGATCCTGGGGTGCCGCCTTGTCGCGAACTTGCGAAGACGCGGCAAGAGGGTAGGATTCGGCCAAAGACAGGGTGATTCATCTGATTCAGCTGTGCGCCTCTTAATATATTATGATCATTGGTTATTCGATGTTGATTCGACGTTAGGCCACCACAGACCTAAAATACTAATGTAGGTAAGCTTAATGACTCATACCCACTGAGGAGACTAAACTTGATTCGTGTATTGTCAGGGGCGAAATGGCATATTGATCTACTCATTAATCCTCCAGCGTCCTTAATAGTCAATGGTGGGCAGGGCTGGAACATATTTTGGCATCTCTAAATGAGGCTACATACTTAAAGTTGAACCTAGCAAAATGCGACATAAAAGTCATCATAGCCCATTACATTAATTGACACACTTTTTCCATTCATAGTCTCCATCTGAAAGCTCAACCTTGCCAATTAACTATCGCATGTATTAATAATTATCATCGTTTTAAAACTTCCCGATTGCGCTACCTTGTTGTTATTCAATTTCAATGGACTTCTCAAACATACAGCTTCTCTCGATCCTCTTATTCTATCTCTCTCTACCACTGGCGACCAATGCCACTCAAGTCTGCGCTATCATTGGCTCTGATGGACCTGTACATTGTCGCTCTTGTCCACATGTTACTTGCAAAATAATTACCACTATTCCTGTTGGGACCAAGCTGAATTTCACTAGCTATGCTGTTGGAGATTGCGCTGGGGATAACTGGTAAGTTGGCATTTTAAGATATAGAAAATTGTATATCTTGTTTATTTATGCCACCTAAAATATGCGTGTTCACTAATGTACGAAACCCTGTGAAAAGCACCTGGGATTTCACTCCAGACGATGATTGCTATGTGAGCGGTTTCTATACCAGTGGAAACTGCAATACCTGTGAGTACACCCTTATACTTCCTGGCCAAGCCGGCATATGCACAGTGATTAACATAGATCTGTGTCAGCGGAATTGCCCTTGTCCAATACGCCATCTACAACCCTGCCAACGACACCAAGTACAACATCCCAAGCAAAGCAGAGCTCGTCACAAAGCACTTCTTCAGAAGCTACTGCCACTCCTAGCTGGGCTCATGTGGTTACCACGACGATGTCACCAACAGCGTCTCCTACATCAGGGTCGAACAGCGTTAGTCTTGGAGTACCGCTCGTGGTGGGTATTTTGACAACAGGCATTGCTTCCTTCTTGTCGTGGGGTGTATAAAATAAATGTATTGTTAGTATTACCTGTTGTCTTTTTCTCCTTGAAAAAATTCTTAAAAATAAAATGATGCGGGCATAATTTGAAATTTATTTTATACAGAATCTATTGCCGCACCTCTCGGTATTGTTCCATACATATAGACTACCACGATTTTTCCACCGCATACAGTCTATTATCTCACCACCAGTGGTCGTAACATATTCATGAGGCGATTTAGACAAGTCTATACGTCTTCATTGTGTCTTGTTTAGTATATTGATTACATACATGTATAGATCATTACAAAAGAAGCAGGACTTCTTAGTAAAAGACATAACTTACTTACACATTACCTATTTCTCGTAGCTTTCTTCTATTGCGGGATTATAATCGGTTTCTTGATCGATATTAGCACGAGCCATGCCTTAATGAGTCCAAAGTCATCAACGAGGCTCCTTAATACTAAGATGCCAATTTTTAAAATAAACATTTACAACTCATTATTGAATTTCGGATTCGACTCATTGTAGGATGTGATCTATCCAACGCAGATCATCCTCAGAATAACATCATTTTATCCAACTAACTAGTTAGTGAATCCGTTCGATTGCGCCAATTTAGTGTTCATGCACCCCATATAGGGTTCACAGCTCCTTAGAAAGCCCCCCGTAAAAAGCGTTTCATGGAGACCATCGCTCCCTGGAGTGGTCTTCATAAAGGGAGTCACGTCTTAGAGTCCATTTCAGGTACGTCTATTCTTGAATATTTCACTTGCAGCAGACTTTTATATACCCTTTTGTGATTTTGGAAGTCCCGTTTTGTAATTCGAGTTTCTAGTTTTAGTGTCTTATCATTGTACAGAGTCTTGGTCTGCTTCGAGCAGAGGGTACCGATTTGGGCGAAGCCAGACTGCGTAACTATCCCTAGGACCGTAGATGGCCCTGGACTAACAAGAGAAAGGTCCGGTTAGTCATTCTGATAACTGAATCAAATATATAAATATATTAAATCGTTATCCTGGTTACTCATTATTTCTCAGGTGCATGGATTGAAAGAAATGAAAGTCAACAGCAAAATCATATATACATGTGGTAACTAAAATATATATACACGGTCGGGCAATCTCCCCCAACAACAATGCCACATACCCCAAACACCCTCCTAACGAATCCAGTATTTACTCTGAAATTTCCACCCGCTGTGCAACAACCACACCTTTATTATCACAGAGAACAAGCAAACTGTTGTCATCGACTGTCACTTCTCCCGCCCAATGACACTCCTTATGCACCGTCGTCTTCTCACCCCAGGTCTTTCCACCATCCTTACTTGTGACGACCTTGACATCGAAATGCTCCGAGTCAAAATTATCCTCCTTAGTCGAGAAACTAGCAACCAGCGTCTTTCCAACCAGAACAACCTGCGGAGCTGCCTCAGTAATCTTCCCCTCATTACTTGCGTAAACCTTGCCGCGGGGTTTATTCCATATCTTCCCATCATCATCGGACGTGACGGACGTAATTCCCGTGTTAGGCCCCAGGCTCTCAAACACAGCTATCATACTCTCCGACCCCTCCGCCAGCCTCGCGGCGCCCAGCATTCCATCGCGCTTCTGTACATCGCCTCCAGAAATCGTCAGCTCCTTGCCCCACGTCTTGCCTGCGTCCGAAGACCGGACAAGGATACTATTCTGATCCTTGCCATCAGTGCGTGTTTCCCTTGAGAAGAATAACAGCAAATCCCCATCCAACCCGTCCATCATAAACGGCTCCCAGAGGCCCAGACCAGTGGTATTAGTAGTCGCAACAGTACTCAGATTCGCCCACGACTTCCCGTTATCGTCGGATGAATACACTGAAATGATATGATGAATATAGTTTTTTCCAGACGCGTCACGCTTCGGGTTGCGGAACGCCAGTAGGATGCGGTCTGAGTCTGGCAGTTGGTGCAGATAGCAGTTGTTTGGTGTGTACTCTGTTTGGTTTTCGCTGAGGACAGTGCTCCAGGGGGACCAGGTGGTGCCATTGTCGGTCGATCGGACTGTTTGGATGGATAATATGCCGTCCTGCATGCCCTGGTAGCAGCCGAGTAGGGATTTGTCGTTGATGTAGGTGGCGCGTGGGTAGCTACCATTTCCCATCACGCTGGGCGAGCCGGAGATAGTGACGTTGGCGGCTGCGAGAGGGAGGAGGAGGGGGAGGAAGAGCGTAAGGAAAGGGAGAGTACACCGAAGTGAAGCCATCTTGAGAGCTTAGAGGTGGATATTGTCTGATGGTTGCATCGTGACATCAAGACGGGCAGGTTCTGCTCCTTATATAGTATTGTAGATCATCCGTTCTGGCCATAATTGCCAATCAGGACATCCTGAGCTGAAAGCGAGCATCATATCATTGGCCTTATTTGCAAATCAAGTAATATTCAGGCTGTAGGGCAAAAATAGAAATGCTGGACCTATCCCGCATGCCATCAGTCTTCAATCCTATCAATTGAGATTAAAGTCGTATTGGCATGTTGAAAATGGAAATGATGGACGGTATCCCGCATGTCATCAACATCAGCACTAATGGTGCCAAGGGCGTCATATTGCGCCTGTATATAAAGGCGCCAATAGTTCAGTGGAAGACCAATAATACCTGCTCATCATGCCGGTTGACATCTTTCTGCTATTTGTCGATCAGTAACGTACCTTCTAGCGCAGATCTAGAACCGGGTTAATCATATCATGTATTGAGTAAAGGGCCGATCTGCGGCGTTGATCCCGCACGGGCTGAAGCCTGAGGCTGCCCGTGGGTAGGCTATTTCCACAGCTAATGAATATTTCCACATCATATATATCAACTAATATCAGTTCCTCATGACTGCTCAAAAGTGTACTCAAGGTTGATTTATGGTGTGATACTAATGCCACAACCAAAATAATAACCATCGAGGCTAAGTAGAGTAGCTGGCTGCACTGAGATCCTTGGGCATACTGAGCTATGCCGAGAGTATATGTACATGTGTAGCTGAAAGAATATAACAAACGCTTATCAATTGATTACACGGCGGCACAAGTGACCGATCAAGGTAATTTGGTGTTATTTATAAAGTACATGTACATACGTGCATTATTGCTGAGTGCTGTATGGAGTAGGACAGGGAAAGTCGGGTAGTGATACCAATGGTCTCATCTTGCCTACTGCATCGGAATTTAAGCTCCGAGCATCAACATAAACTACTCACGCAACAAAGATATTTTTCAATATCACAAATTATGGGTACCGTTTTCATGATTTTTTGAGAACAGCATAGACAATATATCCCGTTCCAATCTCCAAACCTAACTATACACCCAAAACCTCATCTCTCACCTACAACGTACCGACACTATCCAGACAGCCATGCACATCGCATGCCTCATTCTCCATATCCATCTGTGTCGTCGAATATGCGGACGTCTTCGATGAGCATTGTTGAGGATGAGCGGACACTGGAGATGTGAGTAGATTCGCTTTGGGTAGAGGAGAGGGACAACGTACGTTCGAAGCCGAGGGTGGGCTCGGGCGCGAGATGGTGTTGAGGCGGTGCTGAGGCTTGGGGTAATGCCCCTGAGCAACCGAAGAATGGTGTCAGTCTAATGTCCTCGGTTTGTTGTTCTTCAGAGGCTTTATCACAGTCAGCAGACAGACTGTAGAGTCATAGAGGGAGGCTAGCTCAAAGCGGCCGGCGATAGTTGAGAATAGTAGTGACAAACAAACGTTGAAATATCGAAACTATCAAAGAAGCGGTAAAACTATCTGATAAACAGTACACCGACTTCTAGTTATGTGTGGAGGTTTATTTTCACCATATAATTTATCATTATTGCGTTTGTTGTTTCTTGGTACAAACTCAATTCGGTGTGGTTGAAGTAAACAATGACGATATATTTACTCATACATTCTCATATATATACACATATATGCATAACAAAAAGTCCATTCAATGTTCCATATTCATTATAATTCATATCATCCCAAAACTCCGTTGGAAATCCTCGCAGAAAAGTGCACGTTGCCGTGATGCAAATAATCGGGTATCGTTATCGTAATATAGGTATAAAGTATGCAAAGTATAAAGTATGCATGACACGCACTAATCGACCTCTTCCTCGTCCAGCTCCCGTCTCCGCCAGAAGAATAAGGCATGATTCTGGGCGGCCCAGATGGCCAGGCCGACAAGGGCCAGGACGATGAAGAGGATGATGATGATGACTGCGATGGCGACGTTTTCCTGCATTTTGTTGTTTTTTTGGGTCGGTTTGGTTGCAGGTGGAGGTCGGAGAGGGTGGGATGTATAGCTCTGTCTTGATGGAAGTTAGCATGACTTTTCTATGTGCTGCATTGGTGTAGAGTACTGACCAGATGCAGATGAATGACCAAGTTCGGTGAGCTTATCTCCAAGAAGCTTATCTTAGCTTATCGTGAGAATGTGCGACAGAGTTCGATGTCTTGGCAGGATAGTTGTAGTATGGGTAGTACAATATATACTTTATATATAGAATGTACAACGTGGTGGGGAGATGCAGACTGAGAATGCGTAAGGAGGAATGTAGGAAGATGGAAATGCACACAGCAGTAGCACGACGGAGGCCATATAAAAACATTTGTTGATGCCCAGCCATGGCATTTCCGCGGTGGCTGGGGTGTAGGTGGCTGGGCGGCCGCTGGTTGGTCAGAGCGGCCCAGCCTCTTTTCACTGTACGATAAGATAGCGATAACGATAAGATAGCGATAAGCTAGCTCTGTAAAACAAATAAGTATACACGTTCTTGTTGAGCCTCATTGTACAGAACAAACCTTGTCTCTGCTTTATTCTATCTGAAAGATCTGCTACACTACTCGTTTTTGATCATGTTTCTCCTCCCTTGGGTACTACCTGCCTTTGACAGATATTCTATGTCTATTTCTTTGAGTATACGAACTTCATCATCTAGCACGATGTCTTGCTTCCCTTGTTTACTTCGCAAGTGCATACCAACAATTACCTTGTCAAACAATTTTCTCCTTGATCTCTGGATATATTTACCCTCGACTCCTCACATCAAACATGCATCAGCCTGCTAGCTCAGAATTATAGAGCAACATACAGCTAATTAAATAAAGGCATACAATTAAATATACAATCCTTGCTTTCTCCATGTCCAAATCAACCACCCTCACAATCCCCCCCGCCCCTAATCCCGCACTCCTCAGATGCATCATCACTCATCCACTCAGAAAGATGCGAACAGCTACATACTCCAAACGACGCTGTCCGAATGAGCCCTCGTCAACAGCAGACTCCTCTCCTTACCAGACCATACACACAGCCCCACCCACCGCCCCATTGCCCTGGCACTGGCAATGTCACAAATGCAATCATATTTGGCGAATCGCCGTACGTCGGTGTCTGGGGTGCGGGCATGCCATGTGCACGAAGCGCGAGGGTGAGAGGGGGCGGGATTGTAGGATGGGGTTCGATTATGAGGGGTGGCAGCGGCGGTTTGCGTGGAGGGAGGTGAGACAAGAGGAGAAAGGAGAGGAGAGGATTATGACGTTGAGGCCAGGAAGAAGGCGGCTTGCGATGGTCCAGTCTGAGCAGAGGGTAAGGAAGTATAGTTGTTGGGAAGATTGTATGTATCCGAGTCAGTGTGCTCATGAGAGGGTGAGGTTCAAGGGTCGGTTGGAGACGATTAGGGAGGACGAGTATTGAGATGGTCTTGGGGGTTTTGGTTTATGTATATCTGAATTTGTTCTGTAGTCTAATTAGCCGTCTGTAATTGACTCGCGATTGATTAAAATTACATGCTTGACCAAGATGATAGTTTTGGCATATCAACCTAATATCTTTAGTCCACCCTTCGTGTATCCTTGTTTCTTCACCCCATCGCCCTTTGGTTTGCTTCCCCCATGTCCACCACCTCCCTTTCCTCCATGATTTCTGCCCTTCTTCCCCCTCTTATCCCGTGAGTCGACCGATGCCGGCCGGACTTCTGTCATAGCTCGTCTTAGCAAAACCGGATGCGAGCCGATATATTTCCCCTGCATCTCTCGAGCAGCCTTGAAATAGTCGTCGCCATCGCTGAAACTGACAAACCCATACCCCTTGCTCTTCTCTGTCCGTTTATCACGAATGACACGCGCTTTCTGAACAGATGGATATTTCGCAAACGCTTTCTTCAAGGAGTCATCTGTAACCTCGCCAGCAAGATTACCCACAAAGAGACGGAAATGCGCTGGGTCCCATTCTAGCAGCGTACTGTCAGTCCACGTCTGGCCGCCGCCGGATCTGAAAACTGTTTTTGCTCCAGCCTCCTTCCCGGCCGTGGGTGTTGGTGTGGAGGAGGCAGATACGTTGTGCGACGAAGGGGTCGAGTTTGCGCCCGTCGCAAGCGCGCCGGCTCGGCCTGGTGCTTTTGCCTGTGCAACAACATCGCCCTCTCTACCCATGTATGCGCTCTGCCATTGTGCGATTTGAGCTTCTGTTTCTGGATCCACGCCGCTGTCGCGTCCGTAGCCTTTTCGCTCCTGGCCGGGTAACGGGAATGGGTTGGCTATATGAGGAGCTGGCCCTGCGCCATAGCTGTTGTTGTCGCCGTATGAGGACTGACCGTAGTATGATGCTCCGGATTGATATGACTGTTGCTGGTTCTGATATGTCTCCTGATAGCCCGACGCAGCGCCCTCGTAGGCACTGGACGACTGAGGCGGGGCCGAAACAGCAGGACTGCTCGTACGATATGGCTGGTTCGAGGCTACGGCACGAGGCGCAAACGCTGTGAATGGTCGCGAGGCTGCTGGTTTCGCATAGCTACTGCCGGTGGAAGCGCCATAAGTGGTGCGGGGAGACGAGTATGACGGTGCCGCAGAGTAGGCGGGCTTGAAGGATGACGATGCCGCGCTCGAAGAGGCTGGGGGCCGTGGTGGCAGAGAAGCAGGTTGTTTGAGACCTGGAGGTGGTGGCAACGACATGATGAACGACTCGCTCCTCCAATGCACAAACGAGCAGCTGACAGTAAAAGACGTACCTAGCAGGCTGACCAGCTACGCCAAGAAGTGATCTCACTTCTGGATCAGTGGTGAGCAGAATTCAGAGGGCGTGAATGGCGAATGACAAGAAAAAGCTGCACAGTCGGCAGGTTCGAACGACGTCGAGATTGGTCCGGCCCGTTCTGCCTGTGTGTGGGCGGTGCCGCGATCAATGAAAAGATCAAGTCACGGGATCTCGGATAAATGATTCTGCGGCCGCTCCCCATCTGGCTAGTCTGGGAATGCAGTGGCGCTGACTCAGCAGTCCCCCCACGTTCTCCCACGCTGACCGAGAAGAGCAGTCCAGATTCATTATTAATTAACCTCGGGAGGTGCTAGAGAATTGTGCCGCCGGGCTCAAGCTCTGGGTAATAATCATGATAATGCCGCAAATCATCCGCGAATACGCTAGTTCGAGCTACGGACTGTTGGCGATTGAGCGGCATGGAGGGGCTCACCGGCGTCGACATTTGCTGCCCCTCCAGCGTGCCAGAGCTCCAACATGCCCCGCTACAAGCACACTTTATGGCTAGCTCAGTATCGCGCTGCTTTTCTCCCGGACAAGAGTGTTCCGGCCAGGGCTCCGTCGAGGGTTATATCCGCGTTTCGGCTATTGAGAGACTACTCTCTTCAACATTGACTGCAGTGAGCGTAGTGAGTGTACTGAAGGTAGGGGGACAGCGTCACGCAGAGAGATAGTCTGCGTCATAGGCTCATCGACGTGCCCCGCCACTGCAATCAGGTTGCAAGTTGCAGCCAGCGACTACTGGTCATTAGTACTAGTAACTGCTCAGACTTCCGCAGCCTCCGTGGAACCATCAATTCCCGTGAGGCTAATTGTAGTAATCAGTACTAATCATCAGTAGTAATCCGTCTAGTAATCAGAATAGCCGTAGTTGCCTCTCTGGTCACCGGACTGGCCAGAAACAAACCGGGCTTACTTCTTGCCTTAACCCGCTGCTCCGCTTCCTCCCTTCTTTTTTCCCCCTCACACCCCAAGCTTGCTCTCTCTATCTCCATCGCGGCTGCAGTCTGTGGAATACATCCTACAGACTTCTTCTTCTGCAAGCCTTTGCTTATACCAAACCGTGCTCTCGACTTTTACTGAAAGTGTCGTCATGGCGCAAGCAGTGTGAGTATTTATCATCACCACCGTGTGACCCCGCCATCCGGCATCCAGCTGTTGCCGCAGAATCTTCCTCCTTGCAGGTGGTAAAGCGTTAGCATTCGTGATGAAGTTCTCTTCATCGGATGGCTAGAAGACAATGTTGCTATTGGGAATTGACTACAATGGGGGCTTTCTCGTGATGGGCTATTCCCGATGGCAGTGTTTTTACACCTCTCTTCCTTTTCTTTCCTTTCTCTATCTCTCCCTCGCTCTCTCACTTCCTTTCTCTCTAGCATGATCAATTGACTGACTTAGAGCCCGCCTTGCCGGCATTAATGTCGGCGCTCCGGCGCGGTCTGTTCCCAGTGGTGATTTTGGCCTCATTGGTTTGGCCGTCATGGGCCAGAACCTGATTCTGAACGCGGCCGACCATGGCTTCACAGTCGTTGCCTACAACCGTACAGTCGCCAAGGTTGACCGCTTCCTCGAGAACGAGGCCAAGGGTGCGTTAAGGGACGCGAGCAATTGCATGATCGTGTATCTGACTCTAAACAGGCAAGTCGATCGTCGGTGCTCACTCCATTGAGGAATTTGTCTCCAAGCTCAAGAAGCCCCGTCGTATGATGCTCCTCGTCATGGCCGGAAAGCCCGTTGACGACTTCATTGAGGCCCTCCTGCCATATGTCGAGGCTGGCGATATCATCATCGACGGTGGAAACTCGCACTTCCCCGACTCCAACCGCCGCTCCAAATACCTCGCTGCTAAGGGCATTCGCTTTGTCGGCACTGGTGTCTCCGGTGGTGAGGAGGGTGCTCGCTACGGTCCCTCTCTCATGCCTGGTGGTAACGAGGAGGCCTGGCCATACATCAAGGACGTTTTCCAGAGCATCGCTGCCAAGAGTGACGGTGAACCCTGCTGTGACTGGGTCGGTGACGAAGGTGCTGGCCACTACGTCAAGATGGTTCACAATGGTATTGAATACGGTGACATGCAATTGATTACCGAGGTGAGATCCAACTGCTGCCTAATCTTAGACCTACATCTAATATGCCCTCAGGCCTACGATATCTTGAAGCGCGGTCTCGGCCTCACCCCCAACGAGATTGGTGAGGTCTTCGCCAAGTGGAACACTGGTGTCTTGGACTCGTTCCTAATTGAGATCACCCGGGACATTCTCAAATACAATGACGACGACGGAACTGCCCTCGTCGAGAAGATCCTCGACAAGGCCGGCCAGAAGGGTACTGGCAAGTGGACCGCCATCAACGCCCTCGATCTTGGCATGCCCGTCACCCTGATCGGTGAGGCTGTCTTCTCTCGATGCCTCAGCGCCATCAAGGACGAGCGTATCCGTGCCAGCGCCGTTCTCCGCGGTCCCACCCCCAAATTTGAAGGTGACAAGCAGACCTTCATCGACAACCTTGAACAGGCTTTGTACGCCTCCAAGATTATCTCCTATGCCCAAGGTTTCATGCTTATTCAGGACGTAAGTTGCTAGTGTTTTATTACATGGATGTCTACTGACTGGTTGTACAGGCTGCCAAAGAATATGGCTGGAAATTGAACAAGCCCTCGATCGCTCTCATGTGGCGCGGCGGATGCATTATCCGCTCTGTTTTCTTGAAAGACATCACCAGCGCATACCGCAAGAACCCCAACCTTGAGAACCTGCTCTTCGACGACTTTTTCAACAAGGCCATTCACAAGGCCCAGGACGGCTGGAGAGACATTGTCAGCAAGGGCGCTCTCTGGGGCATCCCTACCCCTGCCTTCAGCACCGCACTCAGCTTCTACGATGGCTACCGCACCAGAGACCTGCCCGCCAACTTGCTGCAAGCGCAGCGTGATTACTTCGGCGCCCACACCTTCCGCATCAAGCCCGAGTTTGCCAGCGCCAACTTCCCCGACGGCAAGGACATCCACGTCAACTGGACCGGCCGTGGCGGCAACGTGTCTGCTTCAACCTATATTGCTTAGACTCGCTGCGCTGATAGGGTAGCCTTCAAACCAGAACTAAACTAAAAAACTACGAGTAATATTGCGTGTGCAAAATGGAATATATGATTAGAATTTGACTTACTATGGACGTGTCTGTCTACCCTGTATTTAGACGCAGTAACACAACACAACAACGAATGGATATATTGGTTTTGTCTATAATTTCTCCTTCATTCCACATCTCTATATAACATTTGAAATATAGTTAAGTTTGAAATATATAAATTAGAACACATGTATGTAAGAGTTGGTCCGCGCTAGCCCGATCAGGCCGGCAAGGACCCTGCCGCGCTGGCCTGGCCAATGACGGCGGCGCTGCTCCTGCGTCGCATGTCCAGAGCGGCCATCAATCCATCATCTCACTGCTTTCCCTCGCAGCCTCAATCACTCTCTCTGCTTCCTGCCACCAAGGAAGCGCTCTGCTTTTGTCGCTGCTCTTTTGCCGATCATCTTTTCCGGAATCAGTGACTTTGCGAGTTTGATTCTTATAATTACTTTCCTCTTTTTCTTCATCCTTTTTTCTTTCTATTTCAAGTCCATTTTACGTCACTCATTCACCAATTTGTTATTGTTTCCTCTTCTTCTTCTGCGCTTCGCTTCTTCTCTTGCTGCATCCACACCAGATTCCGAGCTTTCGATTGAACTATAAGTCTACCCTGCTTTGATTCATGACCGCCGGGTTTCATCGCCTGAACAGTCACAAGCGCTAGATCGGACAAGGACAGCAGCTTGGGCTGTCTTCGCTCCACCCATCTGTCCGGGCACCGAAACCAGTGATAATCATGGCGGATAGCAAGCGCCAGAGTGTCGGTGGCAAGACACAGAGCCAGCAATCCGGCGGCTCTCCGACAGCTATGATTCCCACGGAGGAGGCATTGAGCAAGGCAATCGGCGGACGGTAGGCAGACTCCTCACCTCATAATTTGAACCCATACTTTGAATTCAGCATCGCCAGGTTACTCATCTATGTAGTATACGGGTCACAACCGCTGCCCCCAACGCCTCGACTCTCGAAGGTACCTTGTTCACTGCCTGCCCCATCACCAACCTCGTTGCGATCAACACATCGAACCAATCATCAAGCCCCACAAGTGCCCAGCAGGCCGGCGATTTCCATATTATACCCATCTCTCGCATCCAATCCTTCCAACTTATTTCTCTCGCGCCGTCCAGCTCTGACGGTGTCTCTTTCACAACCGCCTCCCCTTCAATCCACGCGCTTGACACGCGTGCCTTGAAGTCTCGTGAGGCCGCTGCAATCACCAAGGTATTAGAGGGCGAAACCCGACGGGGCAAGGGCGTGACGCGGGAAGCGCAGGATATCTTCGATGCATTCAGCCGCACTATGCCTGCGAGATGGGATGGCACTAGTATCGTGATTGCAGACGCAGTGGTGATTTCCAAACCGTATCGTGTCGACGACTGCAAAGCCCTAGTTGCAGGGGACTCCGCAGCCTTGACTCGCGTTCGCAAGGTGGTATGTATATAGTCGATTCCTGTTGATTTTTCATAATCTTACCTTCCCTGTAGTTGGAAATGGAGCGCAAGAAGATCGAGCTTCGCAATGCTAGTACTACAATCGGTAACACCAACCATTTTACTCGCAACGCCGCCCAGAATAAAGATCGTGTCGCTGTTCCCGGCCGCCTTGATTCTCCCACCCCAAGGAAAGGGGGCTAAAAATATCAAGCCTGTTCAACTACTTAAACTCTTGAGGTCGACAGGCTCCCCGATAGGAATGGAATTATCTCTCCTATGGAGTATAACGAAGGAATCAAAATGTAATCGATGGTCTTAACCCCGTCGAGCTTATTAATAGGAAAAGAGGGGTATCACTTTAAACTGCTAAAAGATAAGCCCAGCATGGAGTTGGATGATGGAGCCGGGAACGATGATGGTTTCTATGTGGCCGCCGACACTAGACTATTTGACGTATGCGTATGTCAGTGCACTAGCCCCGAATTATTAAATCAGTCATGTATCTGGAGGAGAACCGATTCTCGAGATATATCATATAACACAGTTATTTCCACATCATGATATCCGTTGATAAGACTGCGCTATGTATACTTGTATGTAGTGAGTAGCTCTCAACTAGTCAAGGAGCTTAATAGTCAACGGGTGTGTTGATATCAACGCTTGGGGTTATGATAACATGGTCTAGATTCTTAGGGATTAATTCTATACAGATTTAACCCAACAGATCTAATATCAGTGTCGGAATTTATATTTGCCTAAGGTACTAGACCACGTGTAGAGTAAATGCCCTTTTCCTGCACAGGGTTATACTCTATTGTTACCTCAGTCAACATTCTAGTCAACCTGAATTCATGTTATTAAGGCATTTGCGTGCGATTTCTACTGTTCTTCCAAGTTCCTACAATAATAGACCAGTTGAACCATGTTGAACAACGTCAGAACTGATTGACTATCGATATATACATTAGGGCTATATCTGACAATTCCATACAGGTCGCATCATCAGTGCAAAATCAATTGCTGGACGAATATATAAGCCCCTTCCATTTAAATTTTATTTTTGATCATCCTTCTGATGCAACCGGACAAAGGTTCTCCCACAAGTCTATCGCTCCATTGGAATTCTCTATCGCAATATAATCATCTCTTTTGCTGCCGGTGATGTCTGCAAAGCGAATATCGTTACCACCAACGCCCACTCCGGAAGCCACCTCACCCTAAGACAATATTTCTCAGTATAAACTTTTCAATCCTTGGGGTTCATGCAAACTCTTACCCATTCAATCCATGTGATATTTCCACCTGAACTTGCCGTATTCAGCCAGGCTTTCACCGAGCCAGTATCAGTATCGATCCATAGATATTCAGCCCGGCCGTCGCCTGTTCATACCAATTGATATTAGTTCTGCATAACCAGCAGATAGAGATTCCACCGCTCACCATTCAGATCAGCAAAGACGACCTCGGATCTATTTGCACCGACCCCAGTTGCAACAGTGCCTTGCGGAATCCAACTTGACTTCCCTGTCTCCCCAGCTCCGTTCAGATACGCAGTCACTGCACCTGTCTCGGACACCCACAGATAATCATCACGACCGTCGCCATTGAGATCAGCGAACACGACTCCATTCCCATCCTGCCCCATTCCTGACGCAGCTATTTGCCCTTGTTGAATCCACGTAACTCGTCCTGGGTACGCAGTATCATTCGACCCGGCATTCGTCCAGCAATCAACCGAACCGTCGTCATTAACAACAAGGTAATCTGCCCGCGAACTACCCCAAATATCACCGAACCGTACCTGAGACGCACTCGGCGCAATTCCACTCGCGATTTGGTCTTGTGGGTACCATATTTGATTCCCTCCGACGTCTGGCCCGCCGTTTATATACGCTGTCACGGACCCCCCGTCGCCGAAGATCAGGTAGTCGTCCTTCCCATCACCTGTGAGCTACATCAGCAACAAGTCCGTCAGCACAACTGCTCCTCATTCTCACCATCTATATCAGCGAAAGCAATATTTGCGGATCCCGTCCCACTCCCGATTTGATTCCTCGGATTCCACGTCGGAGCTGATGAGCAGCCTTTCCCAGATGACCCTGACAATGGCACAGGATCCTCTATCCACCCATTCCTTGACGCATTTTGAATCCCTGCCACCCAGGCCTCCCCCATCTTCACATACCCCCCATCGACCGGATGAATGCCATCAATCAGATCCGCCGTCGTAAGCAAATCATTCATATCAACCACCATAACCTTCTTCCCAGCACTGGCACGTGCATCCACAACCCCCGGGATCGCGGCATTATACACTTCTCTTCTCGCATTTGAATCTTGATCCGCCTCAACTATAATCTGCGCCACCAGCACCGCCGCATCAGGACACGCACTTACAACTTCATCAATCAGCGTCCCAAGCCGGTCCGGGGCTGACCCCGGATCCACGTTTCTGAGCATATCGTTCGTGCCCGCATGAACAAGCACCACATTCGGCCTCATCGCGGACAACGAGGCGTTGACGTATGTCGCGATTTCGGAGATTAAAGCCCCGTCGTAGCCTTCATTATACGGATCGGGGAGATCACCGGATACTTGACTCCCGACGATATGCGATGTGCCGTTGTTCGTATTTGCAAGCGACGTCCAGAGTTGCAGTCGATACCCATTGCCGTCGGCGTTCACCGGGCCACCTTGGTAACCATGTGTGATGGAGTCGCCGACAGGCATGATGCGGAGTTCGGGGGTTGATGAGAGCTGGTTATGGGTTTGGCGTGCTGAGAGTATGGTCAGTTAATTCTCGAAGTTGGATTGTTGAGTCACCTACCCCTGATGTTTGGCACGCCACCGAGTGCTCCAACGGACCATAGGAGGCTTGAAAGGGTGAGTATTGTGCTTTTCATCTTCTCTCCTTTCTCCTTCCTACTATTCAACCGATTTCCCGCACGTAAATTAAATAGATTATCAGCGTGAAAGACGAGCTGTAAAATACAATCGATCAAACCCCTATCATTACAATATAAACCCGCAGGTTATATCTCCCTAATGAACTTTTTCAGGCCAAGTACAGGTTACTACAGAATAAATAAGAATCCCCCAAACCATTCGTCAATTGATCCAATAGGCGGAGATACTACGAATGAGGAAACCTTTAGGATTGATGACTAGCGCTAAGCCGCACTGTGTCTTAAGGCCCTATTTGCTGACACCCTAGGACCCTCAGCCCTAGAGTCTAAGGAACGGGACAATTCTTGGGTTAGTGAATAAGCCTTTTTATGGTATAGTCAGGGGCCAAGTCATATGCACTGTAAGTTAAGTGGGGTTAGGAAGAGATGTGGGAGTTTGGGATTGGTGTTGATTTGATCGATACAGGGGGTGTGACAATAACAGCAAATCTCACAATATAATAGTCGTCCAGGAATGTAAACACAGAAACAGAAAGGAAAAGAAAAAGTGTCGAATGTGGTAATGTCGCGAGATGAAAGGTAGAAGGATCACCATGCTAGTAAGATATAAGATTTAGCTATCGCCCCACTGTCACATCCACGCATCTTACAGTTCTAATTAGACTAGCATGGAGTCTATATCTTACTTTTATACGACGGATAGATTATTTTAGGATTTTTATAAGCCAATAAAATTCCCTCTGCGACGAGGGTATAAGAGTCAGATGTAACGCATCGCAATGGTTTGAAGTAGTAGATCTACTATATTATAAATTGAAAATTTGTCTTTCTAATTCATGAGCTCTGTTGTCAGATTGTTGCTTTTTTAATAATCATTGACAATGTGTTATGATATATAGCTACTGTATCTCCTGATATTGCTTCATTAGTGTTGTATAACTAACTCCAAAGTGTGTTTTTCGTGACAATGAATCATTAATTGAAAACTAATCATTGCGAAGAAGTAATTGCGAGATTAGTTGGTTGCGTATTATTGACGCTATGTGATTTTTTTTGCAAATTTGCTCGATTTGAGTCTTGACTGGCCAGACTAAAAGCCTTCCCCGTCCATATAATAATAGCTTAATTAGTTTAAACTTTGTAATGACCAGCGCCTGTCGGCCTTCACAGCGGTCAGAAAGTCTAATTGGCTAGCTAGGAAACGCTTGGCTATAGGACGCAGTATCTCAACTCCTAAGGGAGAAATTTGGAATGATTATTATTTCAAGTGCTATAATTTTTTGGTCAACTAGCATGACTTAGTCGGGTTAGTTGGTCAGCTGGTTAAGTTTGAAGATCAACCTCTTCCGTACGATCTCGTTGTTTCCTTGTATTTTATTCCTTTATCTTGGTATTCAACACGCATAATATGATATTCCAGTGATCGTGGGCACGATGTCGCTTGGGACTATACTCATTGCCACATCATTTTCCTCTTAATTTCTCTCAGGTATCTATAAATCCCCCTACACATATCATTATTGATTAGAAGCCAGCAAATATTTAACTGGCGTTTGAGTATATAGATAAAACACAGATTTCGCTGTTTCTAGACCTTAATCTCCACCCATCTACGAAGCAACTTGAAACCACTAACTCCCTTTTTCAAACTATATTCCTGCTATGAATTCTAAGTATTCAGGATACCAGCCTGTGGATTTCTAGCCGAAAAAACCTAGAGAGGTAGCTTTAAAATCTCCATGAGTAAAGGCACAAGGGTCGGCGGTGGCATTGCTTAATTTCTTCGCAAGCAACAGAATTTTTCCATATTTTGAGGTGGACGCGAATATATGTGTTGAAGCTGAAGAAAAGCGATGGGTGTAGAATTGTTTCCGATTTGTGAAAGGGCCTAAAACGTGATTAGGAACTTAAGAACTTCATGGGCAGCTTCTGATGACAGAGCTGATAGTCTCTAGACTGGGAGGTGATTATAAACGCATAGAATCCATATATAATTTTAGTTTCTCTAATTAGGGTTTCTCAGCGCCAGCCTATAATTGATCGGTTGAATTCTTGAGAGATATGCCCGGCGATCTCGTCATCAACATTGAACTTCTGGTTGGCTGGGCTGTTTGGGTGTTCACTGCAATTAAGAACTTTCGGGATAGGGAATCCAGCAGCCTCTTTTATTTGCATGGAAATGGCTTCCTCTATGCTTTTCCGGCCTATCCATTTCGTGATAAGCCCGAAGGGCGGTTGCACAATGTTGACATCAAACGGAATGTCAAACCAAGAAGAGTACTATTGAGATAAGCGATGTAGAAACCCGCGAAAGATTTCATAGAAATCTGGATGTCTTGCTTGGCGTCGAGGGACCGGAGGCGTTCTTTGCAGGACTGAAGAGGCGAGGGTGGTGGTCGTAACCAAGTACATTCTGGTCGAATTATTGATGGACTAAATGATATACCCATTCTTCGTATCAAGCCGTTTGGCAACGTAAGAAAGTTCCAAAGTTAAAGACATCTATGGGACAGAGGTAGAAATCTGAGATTCAGAAAACGTAAATGAACTCGCAGGTCCAATTACTTATTTTGTTTTGTGTTAAAGTGTTGTGTTGTTTATGTCGACAGTAAAGTCGTTTGGTTAGTAGATGGCTTTTTTTTTCAACTGTTTACATGTATAAATTCTATTTCTCAAAACAATTCATAGCTATTGAGCAATATTAATATTTCTCTATAATCAAAAGCCCAATTTGATGCTGATATAGGTTCAAAAAATACTCTATCAAGCTCTGACAGTGTTTTGATCCATCAACACGCTTTTCTCTTATTGGACTGCTTCTATATTGATTCTATAGCAGGACAATAAAACATTAGTAATGATGGAAGTAGAATATGAATGTCCCACAAATCTAACATTTCTATATGATTGAGAGGTATTATCTAGTTAAAGATTTAAGTCTTTGGAAAATCAAGTTAGACAGTAAGTTTAAAAGCTGCGCCATATGAAACGCAGCTAACTAATCGTTATTCCCCTTTACACAACACCATTGTTTCCACCCATAAATTAACTATTCTGCATCCAGCGGTTTTTGGGCATACACAACATGGCTAGCTTTATATCAGCGTATATTCAACGCCATACTTCGAGTAGGATGTAACATACAGGTTGTGCTGCGCTTGAAACCTTGGGTTTTTGAGGTCCTTCCTAACGTTGACAAGAAACACCTGGACCTCTTCAGGCTTCCATCCTGCGGTGTTTGTAAAAAGGTGCAGCGATATTCCCTCGAGGCCCTCGAGAAACTGGTGGTAATCTAACGCACCAATCTCTTTCTATAATGCGGACGAAATGTCAAAGATCAGCATACAAAACGGCACAATGAAAGTGAGATATGTCGATTACCAGCTGTTTGTTCTTTGGCCATACGCCCACAGGTATTGGCAGCACTTTCTCATGGACATTCGTGAACCCTGCATCCTTCAACCACCCCTCTAATTTAGGTCCAGGCTCCGGTTCAACACCAATTTTTTTCAGTCCCTTGACGACTAATTTTGTCCATTCGTCCATGGGACAGCCGGGAGAAAACTCTCCTTGAGTGGAGTAAAATTTCATATCGAAGTCTTGAAATTCAACCCAGCCACCCGGTTTGGTGAATCTGCCATGAAGTTTGCATGTCAGTGTTACATCGCATTTTCGGTATCAAAATCCATTCGGGTTCTCACTTAAATGCTTGATCCATCAATCTCGGCCAATCCTTGATGGCGCCTGCAAGATAACGTGCATGAATGAAGTCGAACTTCGAGCCGTACAACCACTCATTCTCCATATCATCGACTTCAAATCGTACATTTGGAGGCACCCTGAACCAACAGACGAATTTAGAAAACGATTTATTTACTTAAAAAGGCTTTAGGGAGGGAATTATTACAAAGACGGCTGAATAGGGCTAAGGTCATTTCCCAAGACCTTTAGTGGTTGGTTGTGTAGAGGTTAGTTCCTATTTTTGGTTTGGAATATAGTTCCGGGACCTCTCACCTCCGCTGATGGGAATTTATCTCCTACGGGAAATGTCAAAATCACTATCCACAACGATTATAACAAAAAAAATCACAAAAAAAAATCACTTGAGAATCAAGTCTCTTACCAATATCAACAGCCCATATTCCGGTGCCAGTGCCCAAGTCTAGAATCCGCTGTGGGTTGGTCCCGATAGGCGCCAGATGCAGCTCGCCGTCACATCGTCGGGTTAAAATTTCATGAAAAAGATCCAAACGCTCACTTTCCATCTGATATTGTGGACGTAGAAACAGTCACTAACTACTCTCTTCATGCGTCAAGGTCAGAAATAATAAACTCTGGTACCTCATCGTTCGGCAGAAAGTACACTAGTAGGAAAATGATCAGTACATATGTATACGTGACTTCCAAGATATGAAATTCATTTTCTTGCAGGAGAGGATGGCTCACCCTCATCCCGGAATGCATGATAGCGACGTCCATTCTCGTATCTATAGTTTCTAACGCTCGACATCAAACTCGTGGTGTAGCTTTCACTGTATGCTTGATCAGTCAAGCGAGTTCATAGATTCCTTATGAGCTTTACTTCTCGTCACCATAGGCAGATTCCGGCGCATCGGCATCTACCTACAAGTCATGGCAGTAGGAATTATTAGAAAGACAAAGTATCACGAAATCGAAAAAAGAAAATACCTCTGACGCCTCTATGAACTCGTCATCTCGGACTTGCAATGACTGTTCCAAGGAGTTTTCTGGTGCATTATTCGAAGCCATGGCCACGACGATCTACGCTCGTTTTTATGCTCGTGTAGTTTTTGCATTACCTGTCGAGATCAAGACCAAAATTCCTGGAGGAAGAGCGGCGACAACTCAACAATGTCCCTCATCATACAACAAACCCACGCTAATTTTGACACTTCCAATCGATTCGTCCGGAACAAGTGGTGTGACAGCCGCGGAAGCCATCCAGCTGCATTTAGCCCAATCCGGCATCATCAGGCCTTAGTTCGCGCTGGACCCGTGATAACTAACTCAAAACTCGTTAAATCCAGTTAAATCACTCTCCACAGGGGATAACACGAGCCAGAAATACTTCAGCTAGGTATGCCACTTGTTGAAACTTTCACCCGGCTATTCGTGCACACATTGCATAGTCTAGTCTGCTCAGCTTGCTGCATAGGGGGGATTCACCCCACCCCCCGGTCAATAATATGATCTGTCCATGGTTCGCTGTTCCTATGGGGTTGATGTCCAACATCACACCCCGGTCGTCGTCTGCGCCGCTTTTTGAAAGAAATTGACTATTCCTTTGTTACCTGATAGGCGATGTTTTTATTTGTTTGGAATTCGACAACATGGCTCGCCGGAATTGTCGCCTTCCTTGTTTGGCTTGCCATTTACCGCCTTTACCTGCATCCATTAGCCAGGGCTGGCTTCCCTGGCCCTAAGTTGGCGGCGCTGACAACCTGGTACGAGGCCTATTATGATGTCGTTCTCAAAGGCCAATACATTTTCGAGATTGAGCGGCTGCATCGCAAATATGGTAATCGTCTCCCTTCAATTGATACCTGCAAAAAGGCAATGCATATAATGTCGACTTTGTGGCGCGTCATTAATTGATTTCGTTTTGTCGAGCAGGGCCTATCGTGCGAATTGGGCCGAATGAGCTGCATATCCTCGATCATGAATACTACGAAAAGCTTTATAACATGTCAAATCGACTCGACAAATCCCCGTACTTTTACTGCATGTTGGGGAATCCTAAGGCATCATTCGGTACCATTTCCGCAGACCTACATCGCATTCGCCGCAGTGCCTTGAACCCGTTCTTCTCGCAACAAGCAGTTTCCAAGTTTTCTAGCCACGTCCAGGCGATCGTCGATCGCTTCATGCACCGTATAGAGACCTGCGCAGAACGGGGCGAGTCAATCCCGCTATCTTATGCATACCGCTGTGTCACTGTCGATATTATCACGGAATATATCTTCGGCCATCAATTCAAGCTACTTGACCGAGCCGACTGGGGGAAAGAATTCTACTCCGCATGGCGGAGTCTATGGGAGTTGTCTCCCACCATTCGTCAATTTCCCTGGATGATGGACGCTTTTATGGCGATGCCAAGATGGTTCACTGCGTTAACAAACCCAAAAGCTTTGGAAGTTGTAGACCTTTTTTCAAATGTGGATGAACAGACCAAAACACTATTAACGTCAAACCCCAAGGAGATCGAATCGAAACAGCACCCAGTTGTGATCTGGGAATTATCCAAGACCGACATACTTTCCCAAAGCGAAAAGACATTTAGTCGACTTGCGGTTGAGGCAAACGGACTGCTTGCTGCAGGCTTCGAAACGACGGGCAGTATTCTGACCCATACAACGTATCTCATACTTGCTCATCCAGATGCCCATCGTAAGCTGTTGGTGGAGTTGATGGAGGCGATTCCCAATCCAGGACAAATTCCGAGTTTTCAGAACCTAGAAAAGCTTCCGTATCTTGGTGCCGTTGTAAAGGAAGGACTTCGGTATGAGATTGAACATCTTAACCTATTTTCCCCCGAAATTAACACCCTTTCTATAGCCTCGCTGTGGGAGCATGGTCTCGTCTTCCGCGCGTGAATCGGTCCGAAGACATGCAATACCGTAATTGGGTGATCCCTGCTGGTGTAAGTACTTTTTTTTTTGTGGAATTGCGGATAAATCTCCGTCAACTGATAGAAATCACAGACCGAGATTGGCATGTCTGCTCTCTTTATCTCAAAAAACCCACTTCTGTTCCCAGATCCAGAATCATTTAAGCCGGAAAGATGGCTCAGCGTGAACCCTAGCGATGATCGCTTGGAGCAATACATTCTTGCCTTTGGTAAAGGGACCCGATCCTGTGTGGGGATTAATCTAGCCTATGCGGAAATGTACACTATTCTCGCTACGCTTTTTCGAAAATTCCCCCAACTTCAATTGCACAATACAACTGCTAGGGATGTTGAACATGTCCATGATTACTTTGCGGGTATGACAAGGGCAGGCTCCCATGGACTACAGGTAATCGTTGGCAAGTAACAATATAGTTATTGCAAGGAGAAAAGGTAGCAGAAGATGATATAAACGGTACCGATTTTGATTTATGATTCTTTCCACCGTTTCCCGGTGTGAAGTCCGGCATTACCCCCAATCCTAGAACGTTCATGGCATGCGCATGCTCTTATAGGGCATGATGCTGTCAAGCCCCACCGCTCGTTTTGAGGGCTAAATCCAACGCCATTTATACAAGGTCGAGTGAAACAACCAGCCGAGGCTAATCGTATGTTGTAAATATTGGCACTCTCTATCGATACTCATGTGATTAATCAAATATTTAGTTATTGCATAAGTTCTTTCAATTAATTCCTTACAATACATGTTTGCCATCAACAATGAATGGAATACTCAAGTCCAATACTGGGATCAGTCAATTCACGTACTTTATCTCGAAGGGAACTTCGTTACTAACATCTCATTAGTTAATCATACCAAAGGATTAACTGGCTAAAGTCCTTTCTTTAAAATTAAAATATCCCATTAAAACCGACCATGTTGAGAGATTCTATGAATGATATCTTTAATTCATTTCTTAGTATAACAATATTTCACGCTCTCGTCTTAATATATCTACTAAAGTCTATTGTTCAGAGGAACAGTCGATAATATCTCTTTCGCAAATGCTGTAGTGGTAGCAGCAGCATAGCCTTGTCATTGTTTATTCTTATGAGAGTCAGAATAGTCAAATATACCGCCAATCAGTAAAAGCACGGAAACAGGCCCATTAAGCTAACAGCTTCCATTTCAAAACAAAGCACGCCATCCTTTGCAGGACGGTCCCGTGTAATGCGATCGCGTATTACTTGGTTCCCAGACGCTATTAGGCCATAATATATCGGTAGAGTGTCTGACTGCTGATCTAGGCGATATGCTCCTTATCTCTCAAACATTTCAGGCAAGTATGATCTCCAGAATCTAAATGGGCGTAGTCAGACTGAAAAGGCCGATCAGTTGTACGGTTTGGTGGCTTAAAATTCGACCACATGTTGCCAAGCTTTTCCTCCATAGACTCCAGATGCCCACATATCTTGCTTTTAGTTAACAAGTTATTGGCTTGGAGTTTTGGGACTGCAGTTAACAGAATCCAGTTTAGCTTGTTCAGTGCCCCAGTATTTTGAGAAAGGGACCCTTGTATAGTTTTCCCCATGTCGTATTGAAAAACCGCTGAATTGATCCGAAACCACAATATTACCTAGGCGAATTCCAGTCTTCTTGGTGGCAACTCCTCCGTCTATGCCAGCCATCGGCCGAATGTCAATGGAGGGGAACGAAGAGGTCATATCCAAAGCAACTCCTGTTGCCGAAGTAGTTCCGTAAACCCTGTATGTAGACCGGCTATTACCACGTTATGGGAGCCAATTCTTCCCAACGTGTAGCTATTTTGGTCTTTTGATCTTGTAGATATTTCAAAGTGTACTTCATCAAGCATTGCTATGCATGCAGCCATCTCTATAGGCAAGGCACGAATTAGCCCTACAGTGTATTCTTCGTGGCGATTGGTAATCGGAGCTGAAGATTCGTCAGACAAAATTCTTGAACGATGTTGACTATCAAGTCTGTTAATTGCACCGAGATACGAATTCTCTCTGTGCAACTCTAAATGATTCGGCTGGAAATCCATTTGTTCTTCGAGAATAAGCTTAGACAATCCCTGAATCGTGTCATTCTCTAGACTCCTGGAAATACCTCTCGTGGAGGTAAGAAAAGTCCCTGGCGATGCTAATGGATTCAATTCAAGTGTAGGTCGGCTAACCATCACATTATCTAGGTCCGCCTCGGCGTAGCTTCCGATGATAAGCTCCTCCAGAGGAGCAATGATATATTTGTATATCGTCTTGCCTAAACCAAAAACCTCAGTAATGTACGGTTTTAGAATTGCTAGCCGCAAGCAATGGCCTATTACATCATTGAGTAGACGATGCGTATCCTCCATTATGAAGGGACCTCCAAGTGGCTGTAGGGCCGTATAAAGTTCAGCATCAAGAATTGGACTCCTATCAATCTCAAAACACTCAGGGTATTCCTGCATTTTCACTTCTATAGCCGTCCCCAATTCGATTTCCAGCAGCATTATAGCCAGATAATGTATTCCTGAAAGAGAAGGCAATCGAAGAGTCTCTTTATCCGTGGCATGTATCGGGTTAAACTCCGCCGATATGAACAGCTCATTCAGAACTACTCCAGAATTAGAGCCACGCCTTTCAAACATAAAATGGACACGGTCTCTGATCCACGGGCTAGTTATCCGTCCACTATCATAGTACTGCCAAGTAGTCCTTGTCAAAAAGAATGATAGCAGGTACCTCCCTCTTTGGTTCAAATTGTAATTGCCGAGTATGGATTTTAGCGAAACACTCCTGGCGTTTGTGATCCATGTTTTTCCCCCTTCGCACCACCCATCTAAATCTAAATGAAGATGCTCGTTGAATAGTAGAAATGATAATTGCGATTGTCAACCTCCGTTTAATTTGTTGCAAAGAGCTTTACGGTCGAGAGGATCATTAAAAGTCGATTGGTCTCCACGTTCATATGGGTCACTAGACGGTGACGAGTTAGGTACATTAAAAAAAGAAATGACAAACTAGGAAAGCGAAACTTACCGTGTTAATATGTGAACCCGGGTGTTTTACCATAAATGAGAAAGCTGACCTTTCTTTTCATGCGGATGGGTTAAAAACAGAACATTGAATGCCGGACTTGACCTTCAAACTTGTCTTTTGCACATTCGGAGAGGACCCGGTCGTGTTTCGAAACCTTTCAATACTTTCGATCCTCGAGAATTGGTTCGCGACCCCATTTTCTATCCCTATAATCACCTCCCTGCCAGCTCCAATCGACAAGCACCGGCACAACGATGGACGCCGAGGACCCCGTTGAAGTCTCATATGACGTCTTCCTCACTGATTCACAAATCTCGCGCTATGTGTTCCATACCCAGACCGTGATATCGAGGTCGGAGGCCCATATGACGAAAGCAGAGGGCAAAGTATGCACTCTTTTCCACTTGCCTGACTTCTAGTGAAGTGGCTAAAACAGACTAGAGAATCTTTTTCCTTTCACCCGTGTCTGCAGTGGTTCAATTACGCCCTCAACTAAACCATATTGACGCTACTGAAGAGACTTCAAAAGCACGAATTATGCGAGGAAGAAAGGACTTCGACGAGGACGCCGCCAGAGAGCCTGATGCCCGACCTGTTGATGTCAAAGTAAAATCGGCCGAGGGTGGTGAGGGTGTTGTTTCAGAGACAGTCTAATTGTTGAAGAAAATGCAGGACGAGCGATGGGATCCATATGGTTGGGTAGATGCTGAGGTAAGTCTCACATTCTCTTTGCCTATAAATAGCTCTTAAACGCTGACTGTCAATAGACCGAGGAGGCATGGTATACTTACGAAAATTACATGATTCACAACGAACCCGACGATCTCCCACAACTGGAATCAGCTGTCGATGGCGAAATTGCACCGCCTGTGGACCCTGCTCATCCAGCAATGACTGGATGGGCGATGAAACAGAATAGACAAAAGCAAAGGGAAGTGGCCGAAGCCGAGCATCAATAATTCCAGTGAATCCACAATCTTGTATTTTGCGGTATGCCGTTTGCTGTGCGCCGTAAATTCATTGATCTTTCGAACCTTGCATAAAATACCGTATCTGCATGTAATGCGGCATTACTTTTGTCTTTTTTGATGTGTATAACAACGTCTTCTATCTGATGGCTAATGACACGATTGATATCGGTATCTTATATTCATTATCCTCTAAATATGGCTACATGAATGCGATCCGGAAATGTGACCCGGCGGCTGACTGGGCCTAATACCCACCAACCAAGCCTTCTATACATGCAGGACGCCGATCTATGCCATGACAGATTACATATTGCAGGGCACTAGCAGCAGCAAACAAATGCGGAGTTTCTATAGAACCGATTTAACCACCGACGTCTCCGGTCTATTGCATACTATTGGATTACTATACTTTTCTCTCACCCCTAACCAATCAAACCATCTGATGAAGCCAAGGGTGGTTACACGACACAAACAAAAAAGACGGTGTCCTGCCCGAGAACAGTTGACTATTGCTCTACTGGGTTGAGCCCGTTTGCACTCAGATTGATTGAGTTCCCGTTTTTATCCCTCAACATGATTGTAGCACACTCGAACAATCAACAACCACCTCCAAAACTAGATAGAGAGTGAGACTACATCCAGCTTATTTTCCACTATGATGCCATTGGACAATAGCTCGAACGAGAAGGAACAGGGCTGGAATACGCCCAACAACACAGAGCACCTGCAGTCATCGCAGCTCGAAAATGATGACACAGCCGCCTCACACAACGCAGCCGGTGATAACGACGCAGTCTACCCAACTGGACTAAAGCTTGCCATCATCGTCATTGGCCTGGAGCTGGCTGTACTTTGCGTCGCCCTCGATAACACTATCATCACCACGGCCATTCCGCGAATATCAGATCAGTTCCATGCTCTTTCCGATGTGGGTTGGTATGGTTCTGCCTATCTGCTCACGGTCTCGGCCTTCCAGCTCTTCTTCGGTCGCATGTACAGTATCTTCAATATCAAGCGAGTCTTCCTTCTCAGCCTCTTCCTCTTTGAAGTGGGCTCTCTGCTCTGCGGTGTCGCCCCGAACTCCACCGCTTTCATTATCGGCCGCGCTATCGCCGGCTTGGGCTCCGCTGGACTATTTTCTGGTTGCATGGTCATTGTCACCGTTAGCACCTCATTAGAAAGACGTCCATTCTTCAGCAGCATGTTAATGGCCATGTACGGGATCGCCAGTGCAATTGGCCCGCTGCTGGGTGGCGTCTTTACTGATAAAGTCACCTGGCGCTGGTGCTTTTACATCAACCTTCCTCTTGGTGGCATCACCGCCGCTGCTATTATAGCCTTCTTCAAGGCGCCACCCGCAGTATTGCAAGAATCCAAGACGTGGCTTAAGAGCATTGCTCGCTTCGACCCTATCGGTACCCTCCTTTTCATGCCGTGCATCATTAGTCTTTTTCTCGCGCTGCAGTGGGGTGGTACGACGTACGATTGGAGCAATGGGCGAATTATCGCCCTTTTCGTTGCTTTTGGTGTTTTGTTAATTGCTTTCTTCGCTGTGCAAGTCTGGGTTGGTGATAATGCCACCCTTCCGCTTCGCATCATTACACAGCGCAGCATCGCCAGCGGCAGCTTCTACTCCATGTGCGTCGGAGCCTCCTTTTTTGTCACTGGTTATTATATCCCTATCTGGTTTCAAGCTATTCGTAATGCGTCGGCCGTGCACTCAGGTATCGACTTATTGCCTCTGATGCTTGCCATGACCATCACTACCCTCGCCTCCGGCGCAATTGTCTCCATCTGGGGCTATTATACCCCTCTTATGTACGCTCTGGTTGTGGTCGGTCCAGTCGGTGCTGGTCTGCTAACCACCTGGACCGTCGATGTCTCCGCGGCCAAGTGGATTGGCTACCAGGTGATTTTTGGTGTTGGTATCGGCCTGGGCATGCAGCAGAGCTTTATCGCCTGTCAAGCCATTTTACCTCTCCCGGATATCCCTATTGGAACCTCCGTAGTGGTATTCTCACAGATGTTTGGCGGCTCGCTGTTCATCAGCGTTGCTCAGAATACCTTTACCAACCATCTCGTTTCCGGCCTGGCAGACATACCTGGTGTCGATGCGGCACAGGTCCTCCATACAGGTGCTACTGAGATCAGTAGCCTTATCAAGGATCCGAATATGCTGCGTACTGTTCAGATTGTCTACAACGACGCTTTAACTAAAACATTTTTGGTTGCGCTTATCATGATTTGTCTGTCCGCGTTAGGTGCAGTTGGTATGGAGTGGAAAAGTGTGAGGAATAAAAGGTCTGAAGCGACTTAGACAGACAGGCTATTTTGCAAGTGCACTTTCTCGATAGTTACTATCATCGCTACAGGCTTAATCCCATGCCTTGCGGATAGAGGCATTGTTCTTTTCGTAAATGTTTTTCTTATCCAAAACACTTGTCCCACTTCTGTTTCTGATTTCTTACACGTTTAATGTAGCATATTACACAAACTAATCGTAATTCAAAAATATGCCTTGTTGTTGGCCTGCCGGGTAGCATGTACCGGACACATTAGATTATGACTGTTTCTCCATGTAGCCTTAGCTTTCTTCGAGCCAATTTAGGGATTTATATAACGATTAAAGCACATCTACCTTTTTCTTGCATTTCATGTCTGATAGCTACAAAAGGACACCTTGAGGATTCCAGATGTCTTCGTCGTTACCAGAAGTGGGTGATCATCTAATGTTCCATACATGTAGGGAAGAATACGGTTAACTATCTCGAATGGATACAGATGGGCTCGTGCCCACGACCGATACGGTATTATTCATCAAACTAGTTTACTGCGACGCAATTAATTTCAGTATTGTGGCTGATGTTTGTGCTACGTCCGAAATCGGACTTTCTGGGAGTTTAGTCGCGGATGGTCGTCCTTTTAAAACCCCGACTGTAGAGAACAACACTATACAACATTAATGCTCCTAAATATATATAATAAGCATTCATGGTAGGGGAATAAAATCTTCAATTATTCTCTTATTTTTCTTTTATTTATAATTCAACGACTCAGACTAAAGCCACTTATCTTATTTCCTTCTATGGTAAGTGGCAGCATCGCACAGCAGCATCACGCAGCAGCATATCGGTACATCAATACTATCCCTGCTTAGTGACACAATACCAAATGAGGCTGTTACGGTGCACACTGAATATGTCATAGCATCATCCGTTCAGACATAACGGCTAGTGAACATTTAGAAATCCCTGCTTTATGACAGAAAATCTAACATAACAATTTTCATACGAAAATCAGATTTTCTTTTTGGAGATTCTATAGATCCCACAAAATCCCGGGTCCTCAGGAGGTCGAGGTGTACCCGCTCTAAAAGATATTACTATTTCTACTTCTTTCTACCCCTCATATCGATACACTTGGGGTAATTACCATATTACCAAGCAGCTATAAAATGGAAAGGATCTAACGGTAACAGGACCACAGATCCTATAAAATAGATTTAATGTTCTAGATCATTAGTTCTCATTAGTAACATCAATTGATCAGGTATGAACTTTAAATTATCGGCGTTGACTCCGCTCACATAAGAGCATCCATGAGGTCATTTCTTCCTGGAGTTATTTTCCCCGGAATCTCAAGTGATATTGTCATGTGGGACCACTTGCGACATTCAGGAGCCAGTAAACTCAACTATTGACGTCCCAAATAGATTATCAACTAACTCCAATTCATATCCAATTAGTCCTTTCTGTATATTACTCCGATATCATTCAGCGTTTCAAATAGCTGCCACCACCGATTTGCAGCTGTGAATCGATAACCCAGACAAGAATAGTTACGTGATCTGCATAATACATCGTTAGCCACATGAGATCGGACACACGGCAATATATTTACTCCGTGCCGTTTGTTATCACAGTTCTGCGGTTTTGTATTGCAGTAACGTAACAAGTGGACAGGAATAATTATCTTGTTTCCCACATGCCCAGACCCCCCCATGATATGCAATCAACTGCTTCTCTGACCCTCACGAGTCTTATCTTTACACAGATCAACAATCCCGGCTATTTTGCGATAATACGACATCGCTAAGATGAAATCCAATCCCCTTCTCAATCTCGATACAAAAATCGGCGATGCATGGTTTCCCAGAAAGTTATATAATTCGAAGAATTGGCAATATTTATGTGTTCTTAGCGGGCAACTTGCCGGCATATCATATATACTATCATTCGTGGCAATAGGAGGATTACCCCCAGTACCGTCATACTGGGATGCAGATCGTGTTCATGAGCACTACTTCAAACACGAGAACGGATGTAAGGCAGCGGCGATACTTTTGATAATGGCTGGGGCTTTCTATCTTCCCTGGGTAGCTGTTATATCCAAGCATATGAGGCAGATCCCAAATGTTGATCCCATTCTTTGTGATTTGCAATTGGTCAGCGGCGCCGTCGGATTCTGTACTATTTTTACTGTGCCAGGCGTGATCCTTGCTACACTGATATCTCGCGACTACGGACCAGAATTGACTCTACTACTCAGTGATTTATTTTGGACGATGAACAATATCACATGGCCTGCATTTTGGATACAGAATTGGACTCTGGCATGGGCGGTGTTTGCTGATAAATCTCCAAACCCGATATTTCCCAAAGTCGTCGGGGTGGTTAATGTAGCCGCGCCTGTTGGGGGGTCATTAGCATCAGGAATACATATGCAGTTTTACGGTCCGATGGCAAGGAATGGAGCATTAGCATTCTGGCTTCCTCTGGGTTTATTTTCAGTCGCGTATGCAGCAGACACACTTACCCTGCTCTGGAATATCTGGACTGAGCCTGATATGGATGCTGAGAGTGAGTGTAACCTCACTGCAGGCTAGTGGGAGGACTTTCTGCGACATAGTTAATAGTTAATGACAGCATCCAGTGGAATTGACTGAAGCATAAATCTTGGGCTCGGCTATCTCACGACAAGAAATCGTTTACAATGTTACTCATCCATGGGTGCAATGAAACATGGTTTATGGACTCTCAAAAAAAAAGGGGGGGGGGGGGGGGTCATGGCATTAAAGATAAGACAGGATATAGCTTTTATTTATATTGTGATGTGCCCAGGAATTTATAGTGTCTTTTCACTATCATAATATATAATCTATCTTGGACTGAAGGCTTTTATACCATTACATGTGTTAGTACACTTAGGGTTAGGGCTACCACAAAATCGACCACAACCCCGAAATGTGCCTAGGATCACTACATCAATCCTCAACGACTTCTCTAGATCTACACAAGTCTCGGTACTATTCAACCCTTTACTCAATTATCTATAATAGCTTCAAACATAACATTAGCCACAGTCAGGATGGAAAATTGGAATTCTAATTATCTCGCCGCCTCCTGAAAATCTTTTCCTACAGTCATGGAATCCATCCACAATAGCTGCGCGTCGCTGATAGAGAAGCTGGCCCAAAAAATCAAACAAAAAAATTATTTTTTGCGCTTTATTTCGTACATTTAGGAAATGTAATTTTCTCAACTCAATTTAAAGTGAAATAGTTTCCTTGGGACAAAGGTGACAAAGATGACCTTGGGTCATGTAGCAAGCGTCTACCTAACAAGGTAAACTGGGCAATAGAAAAGAGAATTGTATAACAGAAAGTCTCATCTTACTGGTCCTTTGTACTTTTCCAAAGCATTCCTGGCCCGATCCGGGAAAGGTACAAAGTTCAAGGTAGTTCCGCCGTTCAAAGCTGTCATATACACATAAAACGACATATCGAACGCGTATTTCGTCACGTAACGGTGATAGAAACGATGAATAAACAAGTGATGGACTCCCGCTCTGGTGATAATTCGTGATCCGCTACTGAGCCAGGCCAATATCTTCTGGTAAGAGTTCGCCCATTCTGTCAGTGCTACATCAATATCCATACCTGTCGGTCTCCTTTTCGAGGTAGTCTTCTCTTTATTTATTATCAACCCTAGCTACTATATATCTATAATCCGCCATATCTCAGAATTAGTGATACTGCGCACACCGTCGGCGCCAACAACGATGTCCCCTGTGTACTGGCTCCCATCCTTAGTGTCAATAATCAGAGGCAAATCTATAGTTATATAAACACAGACCCCAACAGCTTTAATTCTCAATTTGACTTTGGATTGATACTCTAGTGATATGTAAAGAGTCCTGAGAAAGTTCATTCATATAAGGATAGTCATAGGATACCCTTGGTTTTTTTCGCTTCCGTTAGCTATCATATCCTGAAATCTGAATATTATAATTAAACATCAAGAGAATAATATAGGTAAGAAAATACACCAAAACACATATTTCCTATGCATAGCTTGGTTGAGATAGGCAAGAATCATTCTCTACAGATTTTTTCGCGGACTTGTAGCGAGTTTTCACAATTCTAAGCTTGTATTGAAATTAAAAATACAAATTTTTACAAGCCTATAGTTGTGGTGCACGGAAAGTGAGTTCTCGGAGTTACTTTTCGGGCTTTGTGGCTGGAGAATATATAAGATGCCCACAGTTGGGATAGGATCCACATCAGTTGTGGATATTATCTCTCCGACAGCGCAGTAATAGATACTCTATAAATAAATGGGGTGGGTAGAGCACAGGTGAGTAAGCCTGAGAGGCACAAAGCTAGATAATAACTTTATCGCTTTGAGACGGGACTACATCAATAGATAACCTTCGAATGTAGATTCAAACATCAACATTACTCAAGGACCTTGACTCACCTTTCTTGCCGTCCTTGACATTTCTATCTTACTTTCATTCAAAATGCAGACGGAACCAATTGCCATCCTAGGAACAGGATGCCGATTTCCAGGCGATGCCTCTTCGCCATCTCGTCTGTGGGACCTGCTAAGAATCCTCGGGTGGTAGCATCAGAACCACCATCAACTCAGTTTAAGATTAATTCTTTTTACCATAAGAATCCAAGTTATCTAAGAACAATATATACTAAAGAAGCATACTTCCTCTCAGAATCCTAGATCATTTAATACTCCCTTTTTTAATATTCCAGCTGCCAAGGTGGCGAATATAGACTCCAAATAGATGCAGCTTCTGATGACTGTCTTCAAGTCTCTTAAGGCGGCCATACTACGTCTCAACCAGCTCCAGGGCTCATCCACTAATGTCTTCTATAGTGTTATAAAAGACAACTAGAAAAAACTCCTTCCAATAGACTTCAAGACTATCGCCTCATATACAGCTGTTAATAGTACTCAAAGTTATATCACTAATCAAGTTTCCTACCTTTTAACTAATATAAACTATCAGTAGTTCTTAATACTACCTATTCATCTAGTATAGTAGCTCTTCACCAGGCTATAATAGCCCTACAACAGTAGAAATGCTCTATCACCATGGCTGCAAGAACCAATTTGCTTCTCAGTCCCAGCTATTTCATCACCACGGCAAAAATAGCAATGTTATCTCCCAATAGCCATGGCTGCATATGGAATGCTCAAGCCAATAGATATGCCCACAGGGAATCAGTTGTCCTAAAACGATTACACAACACTGTAATTAATAGTAATCCGATTGAGTGTATGATCAGAGCTATCAACATAAATCAAGATAGTCGTATAATAAGACTAAGTATGCCTTCTAGCACGTCTCAACTACAGTTGATTCAAACCACTTATACTCACGCTGGATTGGACACTCAAAATCTCCAGGATCATTATCAATATTTTAAGGCTTATAGAACAGAAACAAAAGCTAAAAATTCATAGAAAGCTTCAGCCATTCATCATACTTTCTTCAGCCCCCCCATAAACAACAAAATCCCACCAAAGACAAGGTAGATTTATTATACATCAGATCCATCAAAACAGTTATCAGACACACCAAAGGCCTAGTGAGATTAGCCAGGATCATCAAGGCGTCCCCCAGTATTCAAAACGGCTCAATCGCCCCCAAGCTACTCTTCAAAGAGCTTAACTCGGAAATCCAGCCATTTTCTAAACATGTCAAGGTTCCAACAAAGCTAATGCCTTGGCCATCTCTTCCACCAGGTGTTCCACGCCGAGCTTCAGTAAATTCATTTGGATCTGGCGGTAGCAATGCCACGCCATCCTCGAAAGTTACAAACCCCTGCGGAGTCAATGGAGTGAATGAAGTCATTGGAGTCAACTGAGCAAAGTCTCACTCGGCCTCTACTGTACTTCCATTTGTATTTTCGGCAGCTGCAGGGCGGTCGCTGGTTGACGTTCAACAATCTTATGAAGGGTACCTCCAAGAAAACCCGGGCGTTAACCCTATGAACCTAGCATGGGCTTTACTAGAATGCAGATTAGCCTTGAGATACTGGCTTGCCCTATGGGCATCAAGCATTCAGGAATTGCTTACCAAGATCTAGGGTGAGCTCGACACTGCAAGGCAGACTCATTCTGTGTGATTCACTTATCAAAGAAGCATAAACTCACCGAAACAAATCGTTGACATCATCACTAGCTAGGATGCACAGTGGACATAAATGGGGCTAGTTATGATTTGTAACTCTCCAGAGACCTAGGGCGAGATCTAAGAGATGTAAGAGTCTCTTAACTAGCTCCCTACTAAATACCAACCAACGTTCACTCTTATAGAGGAGCTTTCCAATTTAGTGGCTGATATATCAAACACTTATTTATCTCAGCCACTCTACACAACTCTATAGATTATTCTTATCCATATTCTATCAATACTTAGTATCAAATTTACAACAATCATCAACCATTTTTCAAATAAAATTACTACTACTTACACTACAGGATATTTGATAGCTACTGACGCTATTAGAATTGCTTACCTTTGGGATCTTATAACATCATAGACTGGTGCAAAGAGTGGCAGGTTAGAAGCAATGATAGCTGTTGGTATATCTGCTGAAGAAGCAATCAAGCTCTATAAATAATACAGAAAATCAAATATACTAATTTGATATCTAAATGTCCATCTCAAGAGAGTGTCTCTATTTTAAAACACCAGTCAATTATTATGCGATTAAAGAAGTAGAAAGGTCCTTAATTAAAGAGTCAGTTTTACGGTTCCAGACTAGAATTTGCGGCGATATTAGACTAGAGCTTATTTTATATGACCCGTTGGTTAATTATTACACAGTTCCATATAGGTGCTTCGCGAAGCTCATGCTTCTTGTTAGGGGCCATGTCAGGTTCCTTACAAGTCTTGTAATAAGCGCGTCCAGCTGTATTGGAATCAGCTGGCTCGACCCGGAAACTACCTGGAGTATCTCAACCGGACTTACTGATTGAAACCCTAAATAACTCCATGTAGACTACGGTCCGTCTCTTTGGTATTCGCAGACAATGCTTTAATTCAATAGAATAGACATGGGAAGAGAAATGGAAGGACATAGATCAAGGATGCAGTATGCCGGGGATGTGAGGTTTTTGGAGTTTCTGATAGGGTGTATATAAACCCCATTGGAGAAACTTTCATGTGTGACAAGGTTGTTTTCTACACAACCAAAGGATATTCAATACCCTCCTCCAGGCTCTCCTTCAGCCCAACCCACCCATATCGCCCAAAAAAATCCCGAATCATTTGCTCCGCCTTTGACGATGGAATTATTTCACTTTGATCTCGTGGTTCATTTTCAGGGCATGGCGGTAAGTTGTTATTAGGCCGAAGTTCCTTCAGAATACAAAGAACATCTGTCCAGTTAAAAAACTGTGCAAGGGCGAAAATCCGCTGTGATTGTACAGGAGGGCTCAACAATGCGATAACATGCAGTCGAGCAGTGTCTTCGACATTCACATACCATTCTATAAAATGAATCAGTAAATTTCAACAAAACTACTTTCCCTTTAACGTAAACATTCTCACCCGGGGATAAGTCCGAATAGCTGTATCATCTCCATGAAGAAGATTCGCAGCTAAGGTCATCGTTGAGCCAGAGGCCTCAGGGCAAAGAATTCTGCCAAACTATATTTTATCGAATTGTTAGTAATGAACTATAGGTCTATAGTGGCTCCCTCGTGAGCAGTTTTAGGGGACCGTACGTTCATATTTGGCAAGATAGAATTCAGAACAAAGTTGGGTTTATTTTCCTTCATCCAGTTCCATGCTTTCATCTCTGACTGAATTTTTGAGGCGGCATAATTTACCTGCCCCTTGAATTCGGAGGGAATATGTACATCCCATACAGCCTCGCTAACTTCCATGTTCCAACTTTCTAAATAAGTGTGAGCTTGTTAGCTATCAATATTGAAATGTATAACTTTATTCTTACCTTCGTCAATCTTGGTTCCTGGCTTATGAGGCCCAGGCGTAAATGCAGCAACTATTGAGGATGTTAAGACGACTCTTTTCACTGAAGACTCTTTCGCGGCTGCCTCCAATGCATTTATGGTTGCAGAAGTCACCCAGGGGATAACTTCATTTGGATCAGGGTTCATTGATAGATCTGATGCCTGGAGTTACTAGATATTAGGATACACTTCATCTTTTTACATCAGTATCTCCCTTACCACGTGAGCAATACCAGATACTCCAGTAACTGCATCCACCCATGCGTCTCGGTTGTCCAAAGAAGGAAAGAGTATGGTTGAAAATCGACCCTCCCCATACTTTTCATTAAAAAATCTATTCAGCCATGGCTTTTCAGATCGCACAGATCCTCGCACTCGGTAGCCAAGTTCAAGTAAGATATTGCACACATGAGATGCAATATAACCGTTTGCACCAGTCACCAGAATTGTTGACTCTTGTGGAAGAGCATAAGGGCCAGAATTATCCATATCAATTGATTGTTTTCAGAATAATTGGTGTTATTCAAGTGTTCCTAGACAGTTCTATCACACACTTTATGTAATTCCTTAGACATATGACGTGACGGCCTTTCTAAAGAGGTCCAGTAAAACCCAATTTACCGTAACCAGCCCATGAATCGACTTGTATTATTGGAAATTACCGAATCTAGAAGTGATATTGCATTGTGTAATTGAAATAACGAGAGTTTATTATTATAACAATGACTACAGCGGCCGAGCATTATTTGCCCGTGGGAAGAGAGTATTTGATAGTACAAGAACAAAAATAGCCGGAAAAGAAAGTCCGAATAGTTATTGATGTCACAAGAGTCGGATTAACTTTTTCATCAAATCGACAAGATTGTCAAGGAGGTTGTGGAAATATGATACTAAAAAAAGTGGAAAAAGGATGTAAATCGGATGTATTTGACGATACATGTAATGGAAATTCGTAGGATAAAATATGATAAAACAAAAAAAAGAAAATTTCTCATAGAAAACATGCAGTGAGCGTTTAAACTTAGGTGACCAAGATTGCTGTCAGAATATGCTTACCTCACCAACACAAAATGAAGGGATCAAAACAAATTTTAACTATATCGCTATAAAATAATAGCGAAGTATATCCAATATCTTCATCCGAAGGCACTGTTGATGAGTAGTAGTAGTAGTAGTAGTAATAGATTTCATTGACCTGATATAGCCAGCTTCCATACTATCACTGCCATGCAGAGAAAGTGTGTAATTACAGCGCCTTGCAAGTGCGCTTTACACCAGTTTGCAACTCGACTCTTTCTTGGGGCCACTTCCGCAATTTAATCCATGCTAGGTTTAGTCTTTTAATTTAGTAAGTTACGAGTAGTAACTTATTGAACAGAAATATACAAACAAAGAGGTGCTTTTACCAGACAAACCATCAACAAAGAGACAGAAAGGGAGCCTGAGCAAACTAGCCAGATGTCACCTTGTCTCTTCAAACTTCTCCAAGCTAGGAGTGATAACCGAAGCCTTTGCGTCCTCAAGACTGGAGCCTTGGTTTATCTAGATATAATGTGGAAGCAGCTGCCTTGATGTAATACGAAATTACACGTGCGTCTAGTGCATTCCGTCGGCTGAATGCGCCGTTGTACAGGGGGGGCTTGGGCTGGGGGCTTGGGCTGCATGAGCACGAAGATCCAACACCCAACTGGCAATCCTCGTAGTGTGTAACTGGTTGCTGGTGTCACCCAGAAAGAATATGGAGATGTTAATGATGAGGCTCAATAGTGTACCAAATGATCCTCCCGCATCATCTATCTGAGGGATGACCTACGGAACGAAAGTAAGCAACAAGCTTCCCGCCTGACAAATGATCATTCTACATTTATTTCTTCCCTTCTGCGTCTTAGAATAGCCTATAAACTTTATTTATCGTTGACTGTTTCAATACTGCCCGATGCTAGCCTCGTGCACTGCCCCTCCTCCCACGGCCGGTTAGTACAGTTTTGTGGTTGGTGAGTGCAATGGCAAGGCTGGGCAAGCAGCATAATATTCCCAAAATCCAGGTGCGGACCATCAAGCTTCATCGCGTCAATAAGCTCGCTATCTAGCCCAGGAGACAGCAAACTTTGTACATCTCTGACCTGAATTGTTAGATAACCCTTGCTATTCTTGACCGCAATGCGTCCCAAAAGCAGGAACGATTTTGCGGTCGCGATCATCTGTGCCCTTCCTCTCGAGGCTGACGCCGTCGAAGCCGTTTTCGATGAAACTTACGACCGGTTGGGAAAATACTATAGCAAACAAGAAGGCGACGCAAATTCATACATTAATGGAAGAATTGGCGGGCATAATGTGGTCCTGTGCTACATGCCAGGAATGGGAAAAGGAAGTGCAGCAAGTGTTGCCTCAAGCTTACGGGTCAGCTACGCTGGGATCCGGCTTGCTCTAGTTGTTGGTATCTGCGGAGGGGCTCCGTCACCATCCGCTAATCATGAGATATTCCTAGGTGATGTTGTCATCAGTGATAGCGTGATTGAATATGACTTTGGCCGAAAATACCCTGGTGGTTTTCAACGAAAGACTGGCGTCAAGGACATGCTCGGCAGGCCAGATCGAGAAATCCGGACTCTGCTTAATGGCCTGAGGGCCGAGAAAACCTGCAGCGAACTTGAAAACCGGATACTCGAGTATCTTCACATGATTCAGCGAGCAGGGAAGCAGTGGTGCCATCCACAGCTCAACGATGTTCTTTTCAAGGCTTGCTACCTTCACAAGCATTACGAGCGCGCTTCTCCTATCAGATGCTGCTGTTCGGAGAGTGAGTTGCCGCATAATATTTGTGAAGACGCATTGAGGGATAATTGCGATGATCTTGGATGTGACAAGAATCAAGTGATTCGTTGTAGAAAAGCCCTGGAAGCAGTCAAAGTCTCTGCACATATCGGAACAGTTGCCTCCGCTGATACAGTGATGAAATCGGGACAACAGCGTGACGCTATTATCAGAGAGGAAAATGTCATTGGCTTTGAGATGGAGGGGGCAGGAGTGTGGGATAATGTTCCGTGTATTATTGTCAAGGGTGTGTGCGACTATGCGGACAGTCATAAAGCCAAAGCATGGCAAGCATATGCGGCAGCAACTGGAGCCTGTGGTGCCAAAGCCTTCCTAGAGTACTGGACGCCTTCTCAAAAAGAAGGTCAGTGAACTTGCTACAGGCCAAATTTTATCTATACTAAATATTTTGTTTTATTCTTGCTAGACACAAGCGAAAAACGTCACTTGATGATCCCTTTCCCGAAGAATCCACGCTTTGTGGGTCGCCAGCATGAAATTCACAGATTAGAGGAATTAATGTCTAGGGGATCGAGGAAACTTGCCATTACTGGCTTGGGAGGAGTTGGGAAGACCCAGGTAGCTCTAGAGTTGGCTTACCGCATGAAAGAAAAAGATGCCGAGTGTTCCATCTTCTGGATTCCATGCACAAGCTACGAGGCTGTTGAGCAGGCCTGCATGACCATTGCACAGATGGTGGGAATCCAGGATGTAAAGCCAGCGGAAGTGAAGGAGTCCATCAAAGCTTACTTTACCCAAAAACATGGAAAGTGGCTACTAGTCTTCGACAACGCAGATGATATGGATATGTGGACCAAGGGAAGCAGTACTGTTCCAGCATTGAAGGATTTTCTTCCTTATAATGACCAAGGTCATATCATCTTTACCTCTCGCAATCGAAAGTTGGCCGTCAAACTAGCATCTGCTGATGTCGTACACGTCCCTGAACTCGACAAGGAGACCGGGTTGGAGTTTCTAGAAAAATCTCTGATCCAACAAATCCTGATCACCAATGCTGATACAAGAATTGCTCTTCTTGAACAACTTACTTTCCTTCCATTGGCTATTACGCAAGCTGCTGCATATATTAATGAAAACGGTATTGGGGTATCCGATTACTTGCTTCTTCTAGAGGAACAGGAGGCAGATATTGTGGAGCTGCTGAGCGAGGATTTCGGTGATGATGGACGTTACAAGGATGTCCAGAACCCAGTAGCCATGACATGGCTAATATCATTTAGTCAGATTCAGAAGACAGACCAACTTGCTGCTGACTATCTATCACTCATGGCTTGTGTTAATCCACGCAATATTCCGCAATCCCTCTTTCCGCAGCCAATATCTAAAAAAAGGATGGTTGACGCTCTCGGGGTTCTTAATGCCTATTCCTTTATTGATATCCAACCTGGGAATGGCTTTCTAACCCTCCATCGTCTGGTACATCTGGCAACTCGAAACTGGATCAGGAAGGAGCAACAATTTTCGATTTGTATAATAAAAGCGGCAGATCGGTTCAAGGAGGTATTTCCAGATGACGATCCTACAAATCGACAGTTGTGGAGGGAATATTTACCTCACGCCCTTTTCTTATTGGGTGAAAGTGAATTCAAAGTACAACAGGAGCAGTATATCAATTTTCTCTGGAAGGTGGGGCGGTGCTTGGATAGTGATGGAAGGTACAATGAAGCAGAAATGCTATTCAAGGATGTTGTGATGCTAAGACAACAAGGATATGGAGATACACACGTATATACTCTAGCTAGCATAGCCGACCTCGCATCAACATACTGGAATCAAGGACGGTGGAAGGAAGCAGAAGAGCTAGAGATACAGGTGATGGAGACCAGGAAGCAAGTACAAGGACCAGAGCATCCTGACACTCTAACCAGCATAGCCAACCTCGCATCAACATACCGGAATCAAGGACAATGGAAGAAAGCAGAAAAACTGGAGATGCAGGTAATAGAGACTAGGAAGCAAGTACTAGAGCCAGAGCATCCTAAAATTCTGAACAGCATGGAGAATCTGGCATCAACATACTGGAATCAAGGACGATGGAAGGAAGCAGAAGAGCTGGATGTACAGGTAATGAAGATCAGGAAGCAAAGATTAGGGCCAGAGCATCCCAACACTCTAACCAGTATGGCCAACCTTGCATCCATATATGGAAATCAAGGACGATGGAAGGAAGCAGAAGAGCTGGAAGTACAAGTGATGGAGACTAGGAAGCAAATACTAGGGCCAGAACATCCCAATACTCTGATCAGCATGGCCAACCTCGCATCAACATACTGGAACCAAGGACGATGGAAGGAAGCAGAAGAGCTGCAGACAACAGAATTAAAGCTATGTTCAAAGACACTAGGGCCAGAGCATCCCGACACTCTGACCAGCATAGCTAACCTCGCATTAATATACGGAAATCAAGGACGATGGAAGGAAGCAGAAGAGCTGGAGGTGCAGATGATGGAGACTAGGAAGCAAATACTAGGGCCAGAGCATCCCAATACTCTGACTAGCATAGCTAACCTTGCATCAACATACTGGAATCAAGGACGATTGAAGGAAGCAGAAGAGCTAGAGATACAAGTAATAAAAACTAGAAAGCAAGTACTAGGGCCAGAGCATCCCTCTACTCTAACCAGTATGGCCAACCTTGCATCAACATATGGAAATCAAGGACGATGGAAGGAAGCAGAAGAGCTGGAAGTACAGGTGATGGAGACTAGGAAGCAAATACTAGGGCCAGAGCATCCCAATACTCTGATCAGCATGGCGAACCTGGCATCAACATACTGGAATCAAGGACGATGGAAAGAAGCAGAAGAGCTAGAGATACAAGTAATGGAGACCAGGAAGCAAGTACTAGGACCAGAGCATCCCGACACTCTGACCAGCATGGCGAACCTGGCATATACTTTGGAATCTCAAGGGAAGCTCGCAGATGCCATTGTTCTAATGCAAAATTGTTATGAGCTGCGCAACAAAGTATTAGGACCTGATCACCCGGATGCCAGATCTTCCTCTGACGACCTCAAAAAATGGGAGGATTAGCATATTTCAAATCAAACACCCCCTCCAGCACCCTCTCCAATAGAACATTCGCAGCATGTACCGGAAGTTTCGAGGGACATACAGAAGCTGTGGTGATTTCTCAGCCGTCCCTTCAGGAGCACGACAAGCCACTCCATGCTCAGAGACAATCAGCTGCACATCTATTCACTAGGAATCACCCTCTTCTCACACTTTCCAGATCAATTTCACCAGCACCGGGACGTCAAGACCTACAAGAGGTTTGATTGATTTGGCATTTTGGAGTCGGCGCGATAAGGGTGGGCAAAAGGTAAATCGACTCGTAGAATTAGATTAGTGCCGAATTTGCAACTTATAGGTCATGTCTACTGTACGTATCCTAGGTTGGTAGAGAAAAGTGAAGTCACAAAACATTGTCATCATACAATCCCGCAGCTCGAATATCAAAGCTATTGACTTTGGCTGGAGCTTTATGAGAACGACCGCTAGAAAAGATATCCTTTAAAACATTCATATTGGGCTCCCGAGGTGCTTCTGAACATTCCAATAAGTATGCCAATGGATATGTGAGCTCTAGGATACGTACTACTAGAGCTTTATACCGGTCATCTCACCCTAGGTAACAATTTGTATGATGCAGGTCGACTACTTCGTGAATCCATCTGGCTTTCTGGGTAGAAATCCGGCTAATAGCCCAGATACTCAGCCCTTTGGTTCACAGGGAAACCCCAACTTTTCGGATATTGCCAACCGACCAACCGCTAAGGAGCTCACGCATTTCCTATCAAGTGACGAAGCACTCATTGGTTTCATTTACGGTTGCCTCCAGCAGGGCCCAACTCGTCGAATGAGCCCTCATGTAGCCCTCGGGCATCAGTTCATTACTAGAGCTCCTCCCAGCCGTGAACCGTGAAGGTGGCACCCTTGATCAGCGGGAAACCCCTCCAGCATTCACATGTTGATGCCAACAAGTTCGTGGCTTTTCTATCGTTGTGACAAGCCTGGATCCCTCCCCTCTCCTATATCCCCTGACTAGGGCTTGGTGGTTGGAAATGTTTGAAAACCAATAGCCTTATCATGACTGTTGAGAACAATGAAAAGCGTAGCGCCAATTTGATTTCGGCTACAGCTCTCGAACAGGAGATAACTATGATTTACATTCCTAATTTTATTATGATCGTTCAGCAAGCTCGAAAGTCACAGTCGTAAGGCGCTACGAATTCAATAGAGACCGACTTCGTAGCTGATCAAAAATTGAAGCACGCAACAAAGCCTGAGACGCTGAGCGATACCGAAATGACCGCAGTTAATGAAGAGTTACCAGCCGCTTCTCTGGAAAATGAAGACTGTGAAGCCCCAAAGAAGTCGACAATTCGGGTAACTGCGCTTCTTGGAAGCGTACATATATAGTCACTTCAAATGTTATTTCTACGAAGCGATTTATTATCTATATTAAAATTTAAAAGATAGAGGAAGAGAATGTATGGGAAATTTTACCACAAATTTTATATCAAGTTGATTTGTAAAGATATAAAATATCTCGGCATCTATATTTCAGGCTCCTTCATGCAGTTATTTCCTTTTGAGCCTTAATCAGAAAAGATCAACATTCGTTAAATCACAATTGCAAATTTATATCTCAATCTAGGTTAATTGTTAACAGTCTGTTTTTTTAATTATTAATATTCCCGTCGAATACTGCAGCCTTGTTTGTAGCAATCATATCCAATAATAACATCAGTTGCCCATATTTCTCAGAAGTATAAACCCCAGCAATAGATGCACTCGAGAAACCAACCATGTACGTCGTTAACGAGGAATCTCCGGCAGATTCATCGCTGCACTGATACAAGACAAATGACTGAACGCTTGCGGGACATTTCCCATAGCTTCGCCACTAATAGCCACTTCTTCGGAGAAAATTCCCAAGTGATTGGCGAAGGAGAGCACGTTATCGAAACTTGCGATGGCTTTTCGCCGCAGATCCTCGCCGCTGGGGAGGGTGTTTGTGTATCTTAGTGCCTGGTGCAGCTTATTAATAAAGACTATATAAAAATGGAAAAAGAAGAGGTACCCGAAACATAGATTCAATAGCCCAAAATGTGATCATGATAAAGGCCCCTTCTCGGCCACCGACTCCTGTGACAATGTCAGTACATTCTTGTGATTTCTTGTTTCTTTCTCAGTGATGTAGACAGACCATCCTGTGCCTTTTCATGGTCATACCTGAACACCATACTGGCACTCGTTAGACCATTCTTCTCCGGCGGCTCAAGAACTTTCTCCAATGTGCTCAAGAAACGGCGATCATTTGGTTCGACGAAGAGCACTAGAGGGGCAATCATGAGCGCAGCATCAACGACTTCTGTATTCTCATAGCTTTGAGAGAAAAATCCTTTTTCCTTATTGAACCCTTTGGTCATTATTTCGTCGTATAGCTCATCGCGTACACGGACCCAATCGTGTCTATCCGGGCATGGAAGAGTAGAGTGTTTCTCTGCAAGGCGCACGCCGCGATCGAGAGCAACCCAGAGAAGCATCTTGGAATAAAGGAAATGTTGAGGCTTTCCACGTACTTCCCAGATGGACATGTCCGGCTCATTGCGTACTTCCATGACATAGTTCACCATTCGACGGATTCCGAGCCATTGGTCATACTGAATCGGCTTTGCATTGGCGTTGTACATATAAATGCTATCTAGTAACTCGCCATAGATGTCTAGTTGAGTATGGAAAGCTGCGGCATTGCCGATCCGCACGGGCTTACTCCCCCGGTATCCGTCTAGATGATTCAGTTCATATTCGGGGATTTCCGAGTCACCTCTGATGGTGAACATTATTGGCAAGAACGGACGGTGTTCATCTTTCTTTTCTTGTTTGGCTAGGGGGGGGAAAACGCGTTTGAAGATAAATGTAATGTATGCTTCTGCCTCTTCCTCGTATCCATTTTTCAGGAATGCGTATAGAGTGAAGGATGTGTCGCGAACCCATGAGTATCTGTAATCCCAATTGCGTGAGCCACCGATATTCTCTGGCAAGGAGAATGTCGGTGCGGCAATGACAGCCCCTGTTGGTTTGTATGTCAACAATTTGAGTATCAGTAAGCTTCTCTCCACAGTCTCACGATAATGGCCGCGAAATGTGCACTTGTGGCTCCAATCTGTCCAGAACTCGAAGGTCTCCGTTTCTAGACGAGAGAGATACGATGCAATTTGGGCAGATCCGGGGATAGCCTTCTCTGGGCTGTGCAGGACAAATATAATGTCTTGTCCTTCCTCCATATGAATGTCGGCCACGAGACCCGGTCCAAGGAAGCCTGGCCTGTCTTCCAATCTGAAAACGGTTTTTGGGTGACCTGGTCCCTCCCTTCGACTGTCCACCCAAATGTCCAACTGCAGCCGTTCTTGAAGCCCATCGAAGTATACTGTCTGCAGTTTGTTCTGTGAGGTTTCATTTGACAAGTTGGAACGAACCGTGTGGCCATCTTGAGCATAGTTAAAGGCCGGAAATAGTTCCATTTTCAGTTCCATCTCACCCCGACCACATTCTAATCTACGGACGATACCTGAGTGCCTTGCACCAGTCTTCCAGCGGTTCCCGCCCGGTTCTGTGCAGCCGCAGTACCCGGTCAGATGCCGATCCGACTGCGGAGACTTCACGTTGGAGACAGGGAAGAAGTCGTACAGATTCAAGACCCCATCCTCGTGGATCCATCGTGTCTCAAGGATGTTCGTGTAGGGCAGATACCGTTGCTTGCTGATTGGTAGACCCTGTGATGGCTCTGCCATGATACTAAAATGGCCACCTTTGTTTTTATCGAGTAGCCGACAAAAGATGGATGGGGAGTCAAAGACCGGCCAGCACATGAAGTCCACGCTTCCGTCCTTGCTGACCAGCGCAGCCGTGTGCATATCCCCGATGATGCCATAGTCCTCAATGGGCCGGTATCCTTGAGTTTCGCTCATATTGAGACGATGTTAATTAGAAAGCTGAAAGGCGAGTTACAGACGAGAGCAAACAAGATATGGGTCCTTTTGCATTTATATATATTTATGTTTATTCCTGGAAGAGAGCAACGACGGCCGTGCTTGGGACGACGTTCAAATAGCACGAGCCATATCATCATGCCATATCCAGCTCGCCGGTGTTTCCGGCCGACGACGAGGATATGGCATCATTATCGCAACACGATCCGCCGTGAAGAGCAAGTATACTATCGATTTTCTGGGCTCCTGTGGCCCTCCGACCGTCGAGTTTCAGTGCTGATAACCAACGACGGCTTGAGTGCCCTCTTGCTCTTCCGACAGAGTGGACCGGCAAGCAGGTTCCCACCGGCTGCCACGCCTTGCTACGGGATAACCACTGTTTGCGCTGTTTCGCCAGACAAGTTCCCATCCCAGGACCGACAGTATGTGGTCGACTCTCATGCCGGACCTCAGTTCCAGTGCTGTAGGATTGGACGGACGCCAGACCAGCGTGACCCCGGATTGGCCGCGCTAGGGCATATAACTGGGGTGGCGGATCGCTGGCACAGACACTTGAATTCTAATTGCCGGTGCTCGAGCGCAAGACCAATGGTTGAGCTATAGAACGACGACTAATGGCGTCTCTGCAGTCTCTGTGCAGCGTACATAGTGGACGATGGATGGTGGACACTCTGGCGTGTACTGGGAGAAGGAGGAAGAAGACGAGAAGGAAGGCAGCGTACATAATACTGTTCTAACGATAACTATGCCTCAGGCCGCGGGGCCGCTAGCCCCGACTCAGCACTAGCCCGATGGCCGCGCTCCTTCTGCTCGCTCGCTCATCTCCTCTCCTCTCCTATCCTGCTGCATTCTTCATCCCATCCATTATTCTTATTCTTCTTCTTATTCTTATCGTTGCTCGTTCGGTCCTCCGTGCACCCTGCACCAAGTGGCCATCCGTCGCTCCCTTACAATCAATTCCTTCTCCCCTCTTGTCCTCTCCTTTGCTCCCCTTTTCTTTTGTCCACTCAGCAGCCCTTGCGCAGTCCACTTTCGTCTGTCCCGTGGCCGAGGCCAGACCGCCTATTAGATCATTGCATCAGCACGCGACCAACCTCGCCCCTTCTGGCCCCGACCGACTTTGCCTTGCGTTCGGCGAAAATCTGGCCCAGCACTGCTCCGTCCACAACATTTCCTCCCAAAAACTAACAGCGATTTCGCCTGCTGTGTGAAATAGGCTCGTTCCGGTTTTCCGATGTGACCAGCTCGCCTCGCCGAGAACGTGCAGCCGCTAAATTTTCGACATGGCGGTTGGGGCTTCACGAAACATCACCGGCCACCACAGGCGGCGTAGCTCTGTTTTGACTGCTGCTGGCCCCTCGCAGCTACATGCGGTGCCGACCGAGAACTATGTCGAACGAGAGGGCCGTCTGAGCCCTAGAGAGGATGGTCCCAAAGGTGATGACCAGCGGTCGCTCACCCAAGAGGACACCGACTCCTCTGATCTTTCATCCATCGCAGAATCGAATGAAGCCGACTCCGACGACGGTATTAACGATGATGAGGAGACTGGTTTGACGGCGAAGCAACGAAACGAGCGACGGCTACGAAGGAAGAAGCAGCGCAGAAAACTCGATGCCAGAATCGCCGGAGTCAAGGGCAAAACAACCAATGTAACTGCGGATAAGAGTGTCGCTATGAAATTGATGAAAAATGTAGCCTTGATCGGCCTGTGGTATTTTTTTTCATTGTCCATCTCAATAGTAAGTTTCGCATGGTCGAGGGTGTAGAAGAAAGCTAACCCGGTATGACAGTACAACAAATGGATGTTCTCAGAAGACGACGTTGTTTTCCCGTTCCCCGTTTTCACCACCAGTCTGCACATGCTCGTACAATTCACACTCGCCGCTCTTATACTCTACTTCATACCCTCTCTCCGTCCAAAACGGCCTCATTCCGCCTCCGACGAACCTGAGCCGATTATGTCTAAAATGTTTTACCTGACTCGACTCGTTCCATGTGGCACCGCAACATCCTTGGACATTGGTTTGGGCAACATGTCCTTGAAATACATCTCTCTCACCTTTCTCACTATGTGCAAGTCATCAGCACTTGCCTTCGTTCTTCTCTTTGCATTTGTCTTTCGATTGGAGTCACCCTCGGTGAAACTCATAGTTGTCATCGCGACCATGACGGTTGGTGTGATTATGATGGTCGCAGGAGAGACGGCTTTTGATGTACGGGGCTTCGCGCTTGTCATCGCGTCGGCTTTCTTCTCTGGCTTTAGATGGGGCCTCACACAGATTCTTCTCCTTCGAAACCCAGCAACCTCCAACCCATTCTCAACCATGTTTTTCCTTACTCCCGTCATGTTTATCTCCTTACTTGCCATCGCCATTGGTATAGAGGGTCCGAATGATGTCGCTGAAGGACTCAAAACTTTATCTGCTACTCATGGCCCTCTGCGCGCATCTCTTCTCCTAATATTTCCAGGAGCTTTGGCGTTTTGCATGATAGCTTCTGAATTCGCCTTGCTCAAACGCTCATCAGTGGTCACTTTGAGCATCTGTGGAATATTCAAGGAGGTTGTGACCATTAGTGCAGCAGGCGTGGTTTTCCATGATAAATTGACGGTCATCAATGTATCTGGTTTGGTCGTGACCATTGCCAGTATTGCGGCGTATAATTATATGAAGATCAGCAAAATGAGAGCAGATGCTCTCATGGAACTTGAAGAGCCCGAGGTGGAAGAGTATAGCATCTCACCAGTTCCCGAATTCTCCAATAGACAGAACCGTGCTCCTAACTATGGGCTGGGCCTTGGATTTGGCACGGGTGATGGTGAAACCCGAGGGGCTTACCACTCCGTTCCAGAGGACGTTCCCGACCAGTATCTGCAGAGCAATGAAGAAGGCGATGAAAATGTCAACATCACACCAAGAAATGATGTCCGTCGTGGTCGATTTTCTTTTCCTGTACACGCCAGCGGTACCTTTGCAGCCCCAGGTGGGCTGCAAGAAGAGCTGCAACAACCACAACTACAACCACCACCCCCACAACATCAACAAGAACCTGCTTCGCAGGATGGTGCATAGTCACTGCACGGTGACGACCCACATCGTACAGCATTAGAATAGTTCCTTGTTGTTATGGATTTGTTCTTCGGGTTCATATGACTGTATACCCTGATATATGTATTTTTTTTTTGAACTGTGGGCGTGTCTTGAACGCATGAACAATAAATGCTTGGTCTGATAGATCCAAAATTTGATCAATCAGATGAATAGTTTTATACCCGAAATTATCAGCCTGTCTGCACATGAATGACTTTAGAAAATTTAGGTGACTGAGGGGGATAAAAGAATCACATCAGGAATAGCCTACTTCCAGAGATACTCCAGATACTCCGGTCATACAAGTTTCACTTTTGCACGTGCTTCTTTCTTCACTGTTACACTAAACCTGGTGCAATTTCAATACCTCCCACACGTAGCCACCACTTCTATGCATTTCTCGTTATACAAAAAATTTGAAACATGTTACATTTTGCTAACATGTACAGTAGGCAAGTCCAACCCTCTACATCACGACTGTCAGCTAGATTACTTCCCTTTTTTCCCCTTCTGAAACATATCCGCCAGGTTCTTTTGGCCCTTCCCGAGCTCCTTCTGCTTTTTCTTAGACTCTGTCTCAAGCTTCCGTTCGTATTGTTCCTGATGTTTTTCTCTCTCCGCCCGCCCGGCTTCGGATAATTGGGTCTCTAGGGCACGAAACTCTACACTTTCGGGATCCATTCCGATCAAGGATTCTAGAAGTTTGATTTCACGAGCCCATATAGACTTGTCTTCGATTGTTGGAGGGGCCTTTCCTAATGGTTTCTTTTTGGGTTGGTTCTTTTTCTTCATTTTCGGTGCGTCAGAATCCTGCTCGCTGTTGTTATTATCTCCTTCTTTAGACCGGCTATTCGCTTGGGCCTGGCTATATGCAGGATCAGGTTTGTCGATGGGAGTTTCAAGGATCATGGGTAGGCCCTGGAAGCGTTCTTCGTTCATCACATTGTGGAAGGCACGGAGTCCTAAGAATCCTGTGCCTATGTTTGCGTGGAGATCCCGTTTGCTGCCTCGTGGGGCTTTTGAGTCGTTTAGATGCAATGCTCTTAAGAACTGCAAACCGATTTTATCATCGAACTCCTGCATGAATGACTTAAATCCCTCTGGAGAAATTAAATCGTAGCCATAAGCAAAGCTATGACAGGTATCGACGCAGACTCCAACACGAGAATGGAATTCTTTGGGGATTTGAGAAATTACTGCCCCGATTTCAGAGAGCGGTCCACCGATGGTCGTGCCGTGGCCGCACATTGTTTCTAATACTGGCGTCACAGTGGATGTTGCAGACAGTGCTTTTGTCAACGCCTGTGCGAGTCGGGATGTAGCCGATTCAAGTGTACTCTGACCGACTGCGCCGGGGCTTAAAAGACAATTAGCAATGTTCTAGACTGTCAAGCTTAAGTATGCAGGGAAAACTCACTGGAAATTGTACAACTTGATACCTAGTTTCTCACACCTTTTGAGATCGTCGAGAAAAGAGTCATATGCCTGCTTTGCCTTGACTGTGTCCTCTTGTGCTAGGTTCACTAGGTATGAACCATGTGGCAGAATGTGTCTATTCTGGACTTAGTAAAGTTTCCCTAAACATATCATTTGTAAGCAGGGCAAACGTACTTTGCAGCATCGTACTGATGATCTGTGCAGAATTTCAAAAACTGCTCCCTATGATCATCCTGCAGCGCCGGGTTGTCCCATTTCCTTTGGGACTTTAAAAAGAGCGCGAAGGCGTTTCCCCTATAATCATAATATCAGTTGCCTGCAATTCCAGGAGGGTCCTGAGCTTGAAATACCCAATATGTACACTATTAACCACAGAGTTTTGCACCCCTTAGATAATCCACCATTTAGTATAATTAATGCAAATAATTTTCAATAGGGTAGGCCAACCTTTCGCAGCACTGACGTGAGCACCCACAAACATCTGCAATCCTTTCGTTCTTACATTCAGAGGTACTGCCATTTCTGCAGTCTTCTCCTTCTTGGATGCCTGCTTTTTCGTTACACTCTTGGACGGTGTTTCCTTTTTCTCGGCTTCGATTTGCTCTTCCTTGACCTCGCGCGAGTCTTTCACAGGGGGTGACCTTTGCGTTTGAACAGACTTAAAGTACTTCTTCGATTCAATGATCTCAGAAGTGTCTTCCTCCTCAACCTCTGTTTTCACTTCCGTCCCTTTTTTTTGCGACTTGGTCGCGTTGCCGTTGGTGACGATTCCCCGAGCGCGTTTTTTAGGTGTCTCGGATTCTAGTGCGGTGGAATCTGTATCGTTATCATCCACGTTGATACTCTGTCTTGTCCGTTTTGACCGCCGTGGCGAAGAGCTGAAATCCTGTGCCTCATCAATTGCTCTTTTCTTGCTGACGTTGCTAGCTGCAGCGGAGTCCGAACCAAACATTGCTGGATCCCTGGCAGATGTGAGATATGCTTGCGGTCGAGGTTCTCACGTAAAGGAATGATGAGAATTGACGAAGAGAATCAATAGGAGAATCGATTTCTGGTGTCTAGGGGTCGGGCGAGTTGTATCTTAAAGGACGAGATAGTCATGGATGGTATGACGCTCTAGACCTAAGGAGCTGCCCGCGGATTACGGCCTGCTAAGCCTAATGGAGAGAACCCAACAAATAGTAGAGTACAAGGATTAATTATCAGATTAAAAACAACATGGTGTGCCAAAAAAAAATAATAATAAAAAATAAATAATAAGCTTCCGAAAGGAATCGTTTTACTCTGCAAAGGGCCAATCGACGATGCTAAGACATATAGCTGGTTAATTGAATTGACCCCCATCCCTTCAGGGGCTGCTTCCCCAAGGTAAAGTTCGTTATCAATCATGGCATAGTTTAACGGTTGTATATCTAGTGATGATGAACCCAGTTCAAGTTAATTAATAACAGTCATTAATTATGCAGAGTCCCTCGTAGCTTCAGCACATGGTACCTGGTGTACCGTGTAGAAGATATATATCACGTGCTCCATCACCGGGGCAACATTGGGTTGTTTATCGCTCCCGCCCGATAACCAAAAATACTTTGGATCAACACACAACTTCCATAATAATCAAGCAACCGCAACGTTCGACTCAATAGGATTGGATCGACTGATCCTATTGAACATAACGCAGTCGGACAGATACAGAACTTAACCACAGATTGATTAACTCTACATTCAGGTCGCTCGACACAACGCGGCCCGCCGTCATGCCGGCCTCTGAAGATCTCATCAACTTCGACGTGATCGAAACGCAAAAGGAGAACATCCAGTCTCTCCCAGGAGGAAGGTCCGCCAAAGCTCTAGCACAAATATTTTCCTCCGGAAGCAATGGCGACAGATACGTATCGCCATCGCCTAACGAGACGCGAACATTAAACGATGCTGTTAGGCAGGAGTACGAAGCCGAAATAGAAGCCAGCGCTGACTCAGACGACCCCCTCGATGTATACGATCGATACGTGAAGTGGACGCTCAACGCTTATCCTTCAGCACAAGCAACGGCGGAATCAGGTCTTTTGCCTTTGCTAGAACGAGCTACCAAGGCATTTCTCAACTCCACACATTATAGGAACGACCCTCGCTATCTGCGACTGTGGCTGCAATATATTAGACTGTTCTCAGATGCTCCACGCGAAACATTTGCCTTCCTTTCACGTCACAATATCGGACAGGGTCTAGCATTATTTTACGAAGAATTCGCCGCTTGGCTTGAAGGAGCAGGCAGGTGGGCGCAAGCTGAGGAGGTCTACAAGCTTGGCCTTCAGCGCGAAGCACGCCCCCAGGAGCGTCTACTTCGCAAATTTGATGAGTTCCAGACTCGGTTTGGTCAACTACCGCAAGGCAGCGACGGACCGTCATCTCCCGCTTTACCATCTGTGCGTCCTGCTTTGGCAGCCAAGATCGACCCATTCTCTACAGCACAGACTCCGCCAGTAGATCCCCAGGCGCCGCAACCGAGAGGTATTGGTGGCAGCGGGGCTACCAAACCCGGAAAGCCAAAGATGGCCATATTTAGTGATTCTAGCGACACAGCCTCCCAACCTCCAGTCAGTGGGCAGTCTGCGGGTTGGGATAGCATCCAATCAATCCGCGAAAGGCGAAAGGAAAACACAGTCGAGGCGAAGCCATGGGTTGGCGAAACATTGAAGTCGGAGAAGCAACGCGCACCGGTTCAGAAAATGGCTATTTTCAGGGACAAGGTAAGCACCGAGCAGGTCTCTCTATTCTGATCTCCACATGTTTACGATCATAGGACTAATTTGGTGGCATGGCTTTGGCGTTTTGCTTTTATATGTACACAGTCAAACCCAAATACACAAAATGAATCAAATATCCCCAGCGTGCCAAAGGAAACTCCCGAACATCATATAAGAGAGGCAGTTAACCCTCGCACCGGTAGGAGAGAGCGTGTTTTTGTGAATTTACAGGCTGTTTATCCCGACTACGAGAACCCCAGCTTCGAAATTTGCTTGGAGGAGCTTCGCGCTGCTCACCGTGGATGGCTAAAGAAAGATTGGCGCAAACCTAACAAAGCATTGCAGGAAATTCCAACTAATGCTGCTGGACGCGTTTCAGAACGCCCAGACGAGATCAGCGATAATATTGAAAATGCGCTCGTTGATAGCTTAAATCAAAAGCTTGCAATTGATAGGAAATCAGGGGAACCTCGTGAAGGGAAATTATCAAAGGTCAAGAAAATCAAAATGCGAGAAGTAAACGAGACACAAACAGGTAAGACTCCAAGTCTTGATCAGTTCGTGTTGGATGTGTGTTAATTGGTCAATGCGAATAGTCAAAACAAATCTGGATTCGCCCACAGGACCCAAGATCAAACGCAGAAATGTCTCAGAGCCTACAATGACATTCCACACGCGAGCTGCAACAGATGAAATTTATAGTATTTTCAACCAACCGCTACAATCTGAGACGGCTGATGGAAACCACGGAGATAGTCTCTTTGACAGTGAGTATGAAGATGATGATTATACGAGCGTCGCAGATAGTACTGGTACTGGAAGAATGTCGGCTGGTACTAGTGAGTTTGGTGACGATGATACCAGCACATTACGGAGAGGCAACGACGAAGAGGAAGATATGACAAATGACGGCGAATGGACCGAATTCACAGTGAGCAAGCATATTCCCACTGCGTCTATCGATGGGCAAAACGTAGACGAAAATGTGCCAGAGTCTGCGAAAGAGAGATACATACCAGAGATGCCTGAAAACTATAACCCCCCAGTTGGAATGTATCGCGATGCTGCGATCATGGCTCAAAACCGGCTGCCTTTCATGACACCTATTATTGAGCAGACAGAATCTTCGCTCGCCTCGTATACTGCTGCAAAAAGTCGCCTTTATGATACGAAGACGCCATGTAAGACTGTTCTAGAAGTCGATTACACACCAAAGGATTCGCCAGTCGGGGATTTGCTTCTCCTGACCCCAGATCCAGAAGCAGTCAACACCAATCTTCAAGAAATCCAGTCACCCAGTCCGGCGGTCAAGACAGAATTGCGACGGACTCCTGTCAAGAAAGTCTCATCTCAATCTACGACTAATTTTGAGTGCATAATAAGAGACGAGCAATGCGATCCTACAGATAAAGGTATCCGTAGTAAGATCCTTAATTCGATAGAACCACCACTTGCCTCATTTGGTGGGTTCTATAACCACTCGTCTGTATTCGGGTCCAATGCTGGAGATATTCTAAAATACTCGAAATCACTGAAGAAACCAGTGAAGGGCGCTGACAAGTTACCTACCCCGGTTCTTGGGTTCCCGAATGCTAAGAGAACGTACGCTATCAGGAGAGAACTTGGGGCGGGAGCTTATGCGCCAGTCTATCTTGCTGAGAGTGTTGAAGACATTGACTCGTACCTTTCTGACAGCGAGGACGAAAGTGGCAGGAAGCCATCGCCAGTTGAAATAGCACGCAGGCAGAATTTTGAAGCTATTAAGATGGAAACCGACCCCCCCAATGCATGGGAATTCTACATGATCAGAATCGCGCATGACCGCATGGCGACCTCGCCATCTCTATCCCGTGCGACGGAAAGCATTGTTAAGGCTCATGAACTCCATCTTTTCAAGGACGAATCTTTTCTTGTCGAGGATTATAGAGGGCAAGGCACTCTTCTGGATCTCGTCAACATTATCAGAACAGAAGCAATCACAAACACAGGAAACTCGGACGCTGGAATGGATGAAGCGCTCGCAATGTTCTTCTCTGTCGAGTTATTTCGTACCATCGAAGCTCTCCACGCATGCGGAATCCTACACGGAGACGTCAAACCCGACAACTGTCTGGTTCGGTTAGACGAAATAAAAAATAGATCTTCCTCCCTCCCCTCACCACCTGGCGAGCCCCTTTTCGACCTTGCAGAAGAAGATGCTATGGCCGACCCCAACGAAATCCACTATTCATCCCGCGGCCTCTGCGGCTGGCGTCAAAGAGGACTTATGCTCATTGATTTCGGCCGGGGCATTGACATGAAAGCCTTCCGACCTGACGTCCAATTCATCGCAGACTGGGAAATGAGCCAACACGACTGCATTGAAGTGCGCGAAATGCGGCCGTGGACATATCAAATCGACCTGTACGGCGTCGCAGTAACCATTCACGCCATGCTGTTTGGCAAATACCTCGAATGCGTTCCCGCCGATTCGCGTAATTCCGGCGGCCGAGATTCCTTCAACAATAACAACAACGAAACCCACGGACAACAATCGATAACGGATATCAAACGCTACCGAATCCGCGAATCCTTCAAAAGATATTGGGACCGTGCCATCTGGAGCGATGTATTCGATCTCTTGCTCAACCCATGCACCGACCGATGGACACAAATGGAGCAGCAAAATGCATCAACCACCACCACCAATTCCCCTTCTTCTCACCTCCCCGTTTTAAACTCCATGAAACACATCCGTGAAAGAATGGAGGCGTGGCTAGCCATCAACGCGGAGAAGAAGGGCCTCTCCCTGCAAATTCGGAAACTAGAAGCCCATCTTTCACGCCGGAAGGAGAGGCTTGAGAAGGAAATATAAACAAAACCAAATTGCGGCCGTTGTTTTATTGGTTTATTATACGTATATGCATCAATAAGAAATTCCAAGGCGTGGTTGGCGTTTTGGCATCCCCATATTTTACATGCTCACTATTCCCTGACTGTTATATATATATACCCGCATGGTTCAAATATTTCAATGATTCCCTTTTTCGTCTTGTATCTATTTTAGTTTAAATCCTTTGACATGAAAATATTTTCTCATTCAAATCTTGATATCTCAATTCCTTCATGTCATTTCATAACTAAGAAGGGAAATTGGGTTACCAATTCCTTCTTAACATGATTGATCTCATATGTCAACCGGTTAACTAGGAGTAGATTTGAGCGGAGAAAAGAATTTATAAATTCGCACACTAATGCTACTAATGATAATAATAATAAGTAATCTTAAAAAAAATTGATCTCAAGATGTAAACAACAAAAGCCATCATCAGTTCATCATCTATGTCTGTAAGAGGGTCATTCATTCAATAAACGGTTCTTGTTTTGTTTGTCCCAACTTGTTCCGTTTCATCATAATTCGTATCAGGGAAGGGTTGTTGTTGTTTCGAACGATCACGCGACGCAAGATTTGTACTCGGGCAAAGGATGATGAGGCAAAGAGGAGATTCGAAAGAAATCAGAAGAAATCGAAAAGTGAGAAGACAAGGAGAAAAGAAGAAAAGAGATAAAATAAAGGAAGTTAATGATAGTTATCGTCATATTGACAAGATTGAGGAGTGTAACCATTAGCTTGATGCTTGTCTGAAATAGGTTTCTGGCAAGGAAAGCGAGGTTGACACTAGGTAAAGAAATTCTTCGAGAGAGTGTAATACGTCGATGGCAGTCAAAGACGATATTCAAGGTTGGCACGAAAATTATACCATCTGCAAAGGTACGTCCGTTCGGTGTAAACGCCTTCTGCCATCGAATTGGTTAGGTTTGTACACGATGCGTCGCGGGTCGCACAAAGGGGGGCAGGGCAGCAGAAAAGTCGAAATTCATAGGCGAATCATATCTGTCGTCAATACCATGAAATTCCCAAGTCGCCAATACATGGGAAAAGAATGCTTGGTCTAATGATATCGTTTGCAGAGTCGTACAACTTCATACGAATGGGGATGCACAAGTAGGAAACCGTTGTATCGATCTGCGGTTTAGGAGTATTAGGGAATAGATCTCGACCATTAATCAAAAACGCAATTTTCGTGTTCCATAGGAACTCATGTCACATGATCATATCGTCAGTCGTCAATGAGTCGCGCTTCGTTCTGTTCCATGTCCGAAGCTATCATGATGCATTGCAAAAAAATTCTATACATTGAAGCAAAACGACGAAGAATAATAAGACCCAAGCAGATTTGGACACTTAAAAACTAGTATACCACTGCAGGAGCCATTTGGGTGGTGCTATATAAAATGTTAATATCGATTCGTGACGATTTGGATATGATTTAGAAATACCATTTTAATTCTTCGTAAAAGGCAAATTCAAGATTTGCCGGCGAATTCGCTCGGCATCTGAAATTCCCTCCTCAGTTGGATCGTAAGGTAGCCTTACAGAAGAAGTTTCGTCTTTAGCAAAAAATGCTTCGCCGCCAAAATTAGTCGAGATCTCCGTATTCATAGAGCTTGTGGTAAATGAATCAGAGAGCGACGGAGCATGGCGAGGTGACTTGGGGTAATGGAAACGGGGTTTCTCGTCCAGCTTAAATGGCGACCCTAGTCGCCGCACGGTGTCACTACGGGGCCGAAGCAGTTCCTGTGAATTGTCTTGAGACTCGATTTGCTGATTCCGGGAATTTCCAGGGAAGGTGAAGGGTGAAGTTGGAGAGAATAGTTGTTCGATGCGCTCTTTCGAGCTGAAGCCACCAGATGTAGTGTTACCGCGATTGCGCAGTCGCACACGTCGCTGACCATCTTTCAATTTTCCATCACGTGCTAGATCACGAATGTTGCGTTGAATATCACTCGAAGCCGGGCTTGCATCTAGTCGGTTATGTGCTCGGCGCTTGTGGACATTGGATCCCAAGTCCATCCGGGGTGGTGATCTTAAACGCGATCCGGAAACGTGTACGGTGTCTCGTCTGATCTTTCGGGCTGGGGTGCGAAGTTCGCGGTGAGATGTATCGGGACCCCAAGTATTGTACATAAATGGTGATCCTAGACGAGGGAATGGCTCAGCCACAGCAGAAACAGCCGGAGCTGCTGAAACTTGGATACTTGGCGGCTGGAGCGGTTGGCTCTGAGGATCGTTGAACCAGTTATCGGAGCTGGAGAGTTCCATCGAAGTTGGGCTTGCAGTGGCCATTTGAGTGAATGTGGCAGGCAAGGAGCTGGAAACAAGAGATACACCGAGGTCGCGAGTTCCGAAAGCAGTTGATGTATTGGAAGTGGGACCTTGTCCTGGGGTTTCTTGGGCGGGTGCAACAAAGGGATCCACGGATGGACTGCGAGATGCCAGCAAACGTTGATAGTGTGGCGCAATGGAGAACTTGCGTCTGCAGAGAAATTTGAGACGTCGCCTAGTCGTTGCTTCGGACCTTGGCCAACGGGGCTTGACACTTGTCGACTTGGCACCAGTTGGAGTACTACTACCGCTTCTCGTCTCGGCTTGTAGATTATCTCGTCTAATATTCGACGGAACTGCTTCGTTATCTTGGGCAGTTTTTGTGTCTGGCTTTGCTTTGAGACGATTCCAGGTTTTCTTTGCTTCACGAGCAACTCGATGAGATACACCTAGAGGCGGAAGACTTCCTGGCAGCATTTTAAATGGGGTGATTGTTGGATCCTGCAAGTATATTTGATAAGTATTCCACAGGTGATTGTCCATCTCCTTGGTCCATCGTGATTTATCTTTTGGTACGTCTAATGACTGGCCACGTTTCGAGACTCGGCTTGACGGGGTTTCTAGGAGATATTTTCTCGTATCTTCTGGGTGGAATCCAAAGGGATCATAGATCTCGCTTTCTGGGCTAGTGCAACTGCCACCGAGCGATGGTTGAGTCACATATGTTTCATTTGAGGAGACGGAAGAGTCAGACGCCCGAGAGGACGGACGTTCAATTGGGTCGTCCTCCGCATTGTCTAGCCTTTCAGGAGTCACCCGGGGGAAGTTATATGGAGTGGTACGGATTTGCGCGGGGGGCGTTTTGAATTCCATGCGGCGAAGCGCAGGAACCTGCAAAAGATCCGATGCTACTGACTCCAGAGCGGGAAGTTCAGGCTCTGACACAGCGTCTGAGGAAGGAAATTCGATGGAAGGAAGAGGAACGTCGGGCCGGCTGAGATCGAAGATATTAGGGCCGTCACCTATGCTCGCGAAGACGTTTGCCTCACTGCCGAAGCGTGGACGTCGGATTCGATAGCTCGAATGGTGAGGTGGTGGCGGGACCTCTGGTTCGGCATGACAGTGTTCCGGGGTTCTGGGAATGGAGGGGAATGTGAAGCTCTTGGGTAGAGTTCGGGACAAGCCCTGCGGCTGTTGTGCCATAATGACAGTGTGGATCTCGAGGTCGATGGATCTTGAATGGAATGAAACGACTTCGAATTGCTTGGGGTCCAGTGCGGTGCGACGGGCAATTTAGGACTGGTTGGTGAAGAGGTTGTCCAGGAACATGTCGATCAATCCGTTCTCGTTCAGAGCTCAGACGATTGCATTCATTGTGTCCGCACTGTCATAATACTGATGCCAATAAACCCGGATGATGGATGGTTCCTTCAAAGAGTGAGCCTGAATGTTGTGCCAACAACGCCCGTCCAATTTGCTCGCCAATCCGTTGGGAGCAGCAATCGTCGACAAGTCGTCCGCCGGTCGCCAGAGCTGAGGATAGGAAATAATAGTCGCAGAAAAAAGATTAATGCGCGGTCAAAACAAAATAGAGGAATATGAGAGGCCGGAATCGGCTGTTGTGGTAAGGTGGGAGGAGTCGACGTGTAGAGAGCTGGACGGGTCAGATGGATAACGGTTCCCAGCCTCCGCGCATCGCATACGGCAGGGCTTATCGATTAATTATGGTGAGCGGTCCACGCAAACGGACACAGAAATGACGACTAAATCGAGCCCAACACACAAAGGAAAAGCACAGCAGTCCGTCTGAGGGAGCGAGAACGCGCGCGTCTCTCTGGGGCAGACAGATGGCTGGGAAGGGAAGGGAGAGAACGGTTGGGGAGAGGAGGAAAAGGTCCGCTGGGCAGGCGGAAAGGGGAGGGCGATATTATTGCCGTGCGTGCAGTGCAGCAGGTGCAGCAGCCCACTCACCGCCCGAGTCACTGGACACGCACGGCTCACTAGGCAGGACTAAGCCGCTACTCGCAGTCTGGTATCCGTAATTAATCATTACTTAGTACTCCTAGTGCGCTGGGAGCACCACGTCAATGCTGCTGGCCACTGACAGCAGCCATTGTGCGCCTAGTGAGCCCGCCGCGCCTGCTAACTTGCCAAGCTACTGGAACAGTGCTAACGTTGGTCGCTCCTCAGAACTCGGATAGCCTGATAGCCCCATGGCGCGGTGTGCCAGCCGGTGGGCCCTGGCTCATCGTGGGTTTGCAGGGTCTTCAGATACTCGCCCATTCCAGCTGTTTCGGCGCGGGGAGAGCTACGTCTGGTACAGAGTGGGCACTTCGTGTTCGGGGTCCAAACAAAACAAGATGAAACCAAAAAATGACCGCAACGCGCCGCGCAACTGGATGCTGGATAGTCGACGCTTGAGCAAGCGACAGCGGGATCGCCTGCCTATCCGCCAGTAGCGCGAAGACAGTTCCCTGCACGGGCAAATGACAGTGTTGTAATACACGGAACAGCGGTGGCTAATGCTGGCTTCCAACGGTCTTGCACAATGCGTTACTTCGTGAAATTGAGAACTCTGCTGCCCGTTCCCATTGACCAATGCACGCACGATCTCCTGATTCCGACGAGTCTGCAAGTAAGGGTTCTCCGAGTTGACTGACCGAGCATATTCTCCATAATACATAATCCACGGCTGGGTTGTGCACGTCGACTCAAATTGCATTGGGCAGTCTCATAGCTAGCGCCGAAAAATCTACAGTAGTTTGCCGGTATTATGGACAGGAAAATTCAGGGGGCTGGGTTGGACCTTCACCAGGATGGAGTAGTAACTAGCTCTTTGGGACTACGTACTTACTCCTCCGAGTTAGTGAGGCGACCACACAAAAATGACCATCAAAATCACCAAACACAAAAAAGAAGGCAGAGGTCAAGCGCGAAAGTGGAGAAGGCTCAACGGTCTCCAGCCAGTCGGTGCATCCCTGACTCGAAACTGCATAGTGCCGTGAATGAGAAACGTATTCGTAACTTCTCACGGCGCCGAAGCCTGAACGCGATGCATTGCGCCCTAAGGTGGAAACAAAAATAAAGAAGCCATACTGTAATATACGAGGGAAGCGCACGGTGGGGCTGGCTCGCAGAGGAATGCTGGGCGCTCACACGTGACACTCACTAAAAGAGACCGTGACTAATCAATTGAAGGGAGACCAGGAAAGAGCGGGCAACGCGAGGGCAAAAGCGAAGAAACAACGAGGAAGAAGGAAACAGGAAAGAGCGAAGAGCAAAGAGACGCGTCGGGACCCCGCAAACGCGTCTCGCGCGCGTCAAGTAATATTACCGGGTTTGGTGTCATAGGCGCGTCCTGGCCTATCAGCGGCCGCTCACTGCTGCTCTGTGACTATACTCTTACAATACACCCAACGCACGACACGCTGTCTGCATGGGCTCCCAAGAGCCAGAGGCATAAAGTGAAGCAAAAGAGCACCGAGCAGCACAATTGAATCCCTTGGCCGCGCTACACGCACCTATCAGAGCTCGTCGTCCTCGAGGCAGTGGGCAACAACATAATCTTGCATCGGCCGGCATTGGACTTCCGAAAAGCTCTGCTGATGTGATCATCCTGGCAGTCGGGCTTTTACTTGCAGTCTGGACTTTCGTCTGTTATGGGGACCTTGCAGCTGGCAGCCTATCATCCGGACTAATGATGACTACCATTTGCTTGTGTTCGCTACACCAGACTCTCGTCGAAGTCTCGTGCTCTGTGGGCACTCCTTGCTGCTGCTGCGACATGTTCCAGCTTCGTCTTACGCAGACTACCAACGAGCACCGCAATCTGCCGACCCACAGGAACCAGTCAATGACAATGTCTCTGCTCGGGCTATGACTGACAGCTGTATTGGGGGCGCACGTAGGGCATCGATGCCGGGGCCTCATTGCAAGTGGCAAATGTGGCCACTGCCATCAGCCAAATCCACGAGAAACACCTGTCCGGTTCCTAGACGCAACCCAACAATATCATGAAACATGAATGGAGCATTCTCAAACTCGCACAATACGTATCGCGACCTGACTTTGCGGGCACACATTGGTGGTCAACTATCAGCCTCCGCAGCTCAGCGAGCGATGTATAGTTACGTAGGACGTATGACGATACAATAATATAATAGTTCAAGACAAAACACTTGTATCACGAGATCCTCTAGACTGCAGTATGCATGTCTTTCTCATTATTTCTCCCTGTGATGGATCCAGCCAGCCACTGCCCCATCACAGTTACACCTTGGTTCTGATATGCGCGCTGCGTGGTATCATTGACTTGAGTGTGGGATTCGCGACCCGACTTCGAATGTCGGTCCCACCAGGTCAGAAAATTGAACCTGTTGAGTGTGGGGGATCCGCGGTATTTTTATTTCTTCTTTTTCTTTTTGCTGCTTTTCTGGTTTTTTTGATCTTTTACCTTTTTTCATTGGCCCGATTTTTGGGCTAGAGGAAATTGGCCTGCACCTGCCAACCAGTATTTTTCATGCTGACCAACGACGGCGAGGAATTTGTTCACCGTGCTGACGGGCTCGAGACATTAAAATAATCCAAAGGACGTCCGATCATGAGGCGCTTGCAGCATATGCCCCTAGCTGCACGAATCGAGCGCTTTATATATGGCCATTATGAATACCGCTATTATTACAAGTGCAGGTTGTCACGAGACTAACCAAAGAAACGACTAACTTGGGCAGGAAGCAACCTAGAACACCAAAGCCAAACCCAGGTTTCCCAGGACAAAACTTTCTTGTCGAGGATATGCTCTACAACGGAGTTCTTAGTTATAACAGACGTGTTAATAATCTCCGTGAGCATCTCCAATGCCGTAGAGCCCGCGGCCAATCGGAGGCCGTGCCAGAGAGTCAATCCAGAGACCAGCCAATCATCGTTAGCGCCACCCGGTCAAAGCCAAAGTCATGATGGGAGCAGTCACGACTCCCCTCTCTTCCTTGATCGTCCAGATGCTAAATAACACCCTCTATATGTATGATTGGTGATTTTTCTTTTCTTCTAATTGCAGCATAATACCCCTCTGTCTGTCAACATCATCCACGCGCCTTTTAAGCCGTAGCAAGAGTGATGGGGGACATCGGCGTCGTTGTAGACCCCGCAGTTACCAGCGTCGACCCAACGTCCCTCCCAGCAGCAGAATCAATTAATGTCCTCGTGACCGGTTTTGGGGTACATCTCTACTTCTTCCCATGTATAGTTATACATTGAAACCTACTAATCCCCCATCACAGCCTTTCAAAGACAACAAAGTCAATGCATCACATCTGATCGCAACATCCTTGCCACCAGAAATCACTGTGCCACCGAAGAAGCCAACTACGGGCGTACCTGTCCCTCGAATAATCCACATCCATGTGCATACTACCCCTATCTCCGTGTCTTACTCCTTCGTGCGAACCCAGCTCCCATCTATCCTAGATAGTTTCAAGCGAGAGCATGGGAAAAGACCCGATTTGATCATCCACATGGGCATCGCCCCGACACGCAAGTATTATTCCGTGGAAACGCGGGCATATCGGGACAATTACCGAATCACTGATATTGACGGGAAACTGGGGTTTGACGATGGCGAGAAGATATGGAAAGCAAAGGGATTGCCGTCAGTACTATGTCCATTACCGAAGGAGACGCAGGGAATCGCTTTAGATAAAGCTGCACCACCATCTTCAATCGAAAAGGAAGAACAGCAGCACGGATATTCTCCTAAGATTATAGTACCTTATCCCCCCAATGAACATTTCCGGCAGGTTTGGAAATCGTATGCGCCAGCGGAAACAGATATCCGCATTTCGGAAGATGCAGGGAGGTATTTGTGTGAGTTTATATTTTATTCCAGCCTGGCGCTGGCGCTGGAGGAAGGACAGGATCAATCGGTGCTGTTCTTTCATGTCCCCTCGGCGACGGATGATGCAGCTCTTGAGCTGGGAAATAAGGTGGCTGTTGCGCTTATTAAATCAATGATGACGTGTTGGATTGATGAGGCGTAATGGATGCAATATTTGATGCAGCTTTTGTCTGTGGAGACAGATATGAGGGGTTTGTATAGGTTATTGCTCAGTATGCAGGCCTCTAACACTGCATGTATTGGTCTGAATCAGTCTAAATAATTAAATGTGAATTTAATGATTTCAAACTACTATATTAGTACATATGTAAGCTGTACGGAATGTATGAACGAAATTTTGAGACCGTCTAACCGGGCACTACCTAATCCAGTCTCAGATACATGTATCAACTGATGACACGAAATATGGAACATATCCTTTGTTTTGTATAGCAGCACTCCAGACGAGTGTACTATATATTATCTCTAGCGAGTTCGCGGGTCAATATATCCAGAATAGCGCAAGCGGTCTGCGCTCTATGCCTCACTATCACCGCTTCTAAATGGCCAGTGCAGTACTGGCAATAGGGGAGTATGGGACATCCTCCGCTGCTAGAATAGCAGACAGTATGCTGCAGAGTGTTCCTAATATTCGAAACGGTTTAATGGTTGGTATTAGCGGTGGAGCACCAAGCTCAAAACATTGTATTCATTAGGAGATATCGTGGTCAGTATCCCAGGCAATGGACAAGGTGGCGTATTTCAATATATTTTGGAAAGACGATATAATATCAGAACTTCCAAACTACGGGATTTCTGAACTAACTACTGACTATCTTATGTACAGCCGTGAATGGGCTTAAGGTTCAATACGAAAGCGATGATCACGATCTAGAGAAGTCTATCGAAAGTGTACTTGAAAAGAAGAAAAGATTGAGGAAAGCTTACAAGCAGTTCGATTCTGTTAGTGATCGGCTATACTGCAGTCATATTACGCATCCGCCAGCCGATCTTATCTTAGGTTCTCTGAAGCAATTAATTCAAGGCCAGCTTTCTATACCTGACACAGTGAAGGGGTTTTACAGTCGCTATATGCGAACGAATACTCGCCCATTAGTGGAAGTCTTCTCAGATGCATTATATCATGTTACAGCTTCCTATCAAAAGGTTATTGTCGTTATAGATAGACTGGATGAATACGAAGGGTGTGATAAATTTCCCCGCGAAATTTTCAAACTGCAGTAAAATACAGGATTGAATCTATTTAAAACTGCAAGATCCATCTAGGAGATTAAAAAAAAGTTCTAAAATTGCGTCAAACTAGAGATACGAGCTAGTAATGCGGATATGCAAAAGTATCTCTATGAGAAACTGCAGGATTTTTAAGCATTTGGTTAAGAAAATGACGACCCGTAGAAAGAAACCAAGAGTAAGATTATTAAGGCGACCCATAGAATGTATGTGTTGGATTATGCTAGCTGTGTATATGGATGAATGTAGCTAACCTCGTTAAATTCTTACTAACACAGCTTTATATTGACTCGTTCAGGAGTGAGACAAACCCCAAGATGACAAAGCTCGCTCTGCGAGAGTTGAAGACTACATCTGTGGTCCATGGAGAAGAGTAAAAGTCTATATACTAGATAAAGCTTACCAGGAAGCAATGGAATGGGTTGGCAGCCAAATGCCGAAGCACAGAGAACTTGCCATGCAGGCCCTCACCTGGATACCATGTGCACGTAGACCTTAGTTGCCCTTACAGTTGCGCTATGCCATTGCAGTAGAGCCCGGTCAAAGCGAACTTGATGAAGAAAATCTTGCTGATATTGCTTTGATCATTTCAGTCTGCGCTGGAATAGTAGCTGTGTAGAAACAGACTGCTGTCATTCGTTTAGTTCACTACACAACTCAGAAATATTTTGAAAGAATGCGGGAGAAATGGTTTCCTGATGCTCATGCTCCTCACATCGCAAGAACATACGTGACATAAATGTCATTCAAATTGTTTGGAATGGAAGATTGCGAGGACATTTCCCCAATACAAATATCCCCTTGCCAAGACCAGTTGGCTTTTGCTGAATATGAGCTCGAGGTGTGTCCGCGTTGCCGGGGCCCTGGCTCACAATCAAGCCAGTCAATCCTGAATAAAAACTCGATTTTGGTCTAAAACCCGGGCTACAGGGGCCAATTCAAAAGTCTTGGTGATTTGAGGGTATGCTGTTTGCGTCTCACCATAATGCGCCAGAAAACACGTCAACGACGCACCAGCAGGGCCAGTGCCGACAATGAGGTAGTCTGAGTAGACTTCAGCAACGCCATCAATGCTGGGAAATCCGTTCACCTGCGGGATTTGCGTCATTGTTTGTCGTTATGCTTGTCAGCGCAAGATTGAAGCAATAAGTACAGGTGGGAATTGTAGAACCAATGGCAGGCTGTTGGACGAAGAGTTTATATTCTTCTTTTAAGCATTCCTTAAGACACAAGTCGATGACATTTCACACCTTTCATACCTTTCATACATGATGCTAGTAGCTTTGACTCGTAGGCCTATCTACCGGGTTGTTGGGACGTGGGCTCTATGGAGAAAGTGGGACAGACATTAGATTAGATTCCCAAGTTTCTGTGTGTGTCCGTGGGCTCTGCGGAGAGCTGGCCGGGAGAAAAATGGGGAATTTTGGCATGATATTGGTCAAGCATGACTCGCAAAACTGTATGTGTGTATTTGTAAGCGCTGGGGTTCCAGTATTTGCGGATCAGTGGCATAGGTATGGGGTCCCGTGGTTGGGTTACCCCATTTCGGCCGCACTTGTCGAGGTTCAGCGAGCGGATCGAGGCATGTGACGAGACAGGCCGCTCATTCCAAAGGTCGGCTCTGATTTTATGTATTATTATTATTATATTCAAGTTTAACGACCGTACCCAGACTGGTCTCTCGGTTATGACAGTCTCGACTTAGTGGGCACAAGGGGGCTGTTAGGGGACTAAACCCCAAACTCCCCACGCCACCTGCCCCATTTTGTGCCTAGACATAACAGCGCTCAAACAATTTGCCTGCCCCAAGCCGCTTATCTGGGTAGGGCGATTCGGGGGACTTATAGGGGCGGTTGAGGTTCCCTCTCCCTCCGCGAAGCCAAACGTGCCGGTGTCGCTCACCTGTAATTTCTTTCTAAAAAAATTTTCATTTTGTTTTGTGTCTTCCAACAATTTAGCTGGACCCGGAGTTTAGTGGGAGAAAGATTGTTTCACTTGGCCTTCAGCCGGTATTAATGTCGAATAATCCTCTAGTTCTGCATCAGTCTATCTAATGTGCTCGTCATGTCTAAACAACATGGCCAAGGCTGTCGAGCTATTTCATTCCTGAACATACTTAGCACTTTTAAGGTGCCGTATTTCAAGTCGGTAGCGCTCTGAGAACGTAGACGTTGCCATACAACAAGTGAGGAAATGAATAAAATGATGGGTAACCAGATAGACAGATTGGGTTTCGTAGGCTTCGAGCCTCTATCACAGTGATCTAGCACAAGCCAGGCAAGGTCCATTGCTTTGTCCGGAATGTCGATTTGTTTTGAATCGACTGCGTTCGGGCTGAGGCTAGCAGATCCTCCATATCCTGCCATACGAGGCAGCTCCCAAAGCGCAGGGCAAGCTAGATGAAGTTTGGCAAAGCAGTGAAGCGCAAGAATGTCGTTCTCGACTTTATCCCGAAAATGGTTCTCCCACTGAGAAAGGGCAGTCATCATATCAACCTTTAGGCGCCAGCACTCGGAGTTGACGGATAGAGGGGCATAAGGATTGCGCAAAACATTATCATTGGGAATGGAAAGAGGGAGCGTCGACATATGACATCGCTGCATGTAAATAATATCGCTTAGCAGGGCTGTAAGTAGCAGAAGGCTATCTTCTGGGCTCTTCACATCTTGTGGCAAGGCTTTGCCATGAGCGAGTAAGTTGTAAATAGTGCGGAATGACCTGTTGGTCGACGGCATCCTGATTAATAGCTCGCTGACAGAATAATTGAGAACCGTGCCGCAATGTATTGCGTGCATGACATCAGTTAATAGCATGTAATTGATTAATGAACTATATCCATTTGATTAGCGGCGAAGACCAAGGCAGTTCAATCCCGTTCAAACCTTTTAGTCCTGAATTCTCTCTCTGATAAATCACTGGATGCTAAAAGCGGCGGATAGTAATCGGTCAGATGTAGACGTCTTGAAATCTGTAAATTGTAAGGACTCCAGAGCATGTTTGACAGACGCTGGTGTTCGGCTGGGCATGTAGCGCACTCACAGTCGCGACATTAGCTAGTAGCCCGGTGGCTAGTCTACAGTCCCTTCTGTCCGTCGATAGGATACCGTAAGTAATTAAGAGGGCAGCCTACAAATGAAGTAGTATTAGCAACCGGTTGTACTCTATTGACTTTTTCCAGCGCCGTTGGGGCTTCAAAGACGTTTCAGAGGTTGTAGAGATACAAGCACTTACCGCCAGCACCGCCTCCAGAAGACGAGCTTCGCGGTTGTCGACTTCTAGCATGACGGACCATAGGTGCACACCAGCAACAAATGAACTTGCGGAGACATCGGCAGGGAACGTGCCATTGCCATCTGGATGCTCATTCACAGTCGCAAGGGGGGAGGTGACCGACGAAATACAGGCGAGCGCTAGTTGCAGATATGGGGGGATAGTACTTAACGTGCCCACAATATCAACTTTATCTATGAAGATGTGTTGTTTGAAGCAAGTAAAGAATCCCTCCTGTAGCCGAGCCAATTCATCTTCGGACGGCATGGCCGGAACAGCTGAAAGTAACGCCATTGGGTATGTATACAACTCAACAGGATCCATCTGAGGTGCAGTGACATCCATATCAGCCGAGCCAAATTAAATCCTTCGGTGGGAAGCAACTTAGACTCACTGAAGTCCTTGTGATGTTCATAGTCTGCGAGTCGTCTATGATTGGCACCGAACCCAGCAATACGTCTTCTTCCGCGTCTTCGCTGTGCAGCAGCGCGACTCGAAAACGATCGAGGAAGGTCACTGCTGGGCTTTCGTTGGCATCGTGCACATCCCACCGAGTTGGATGCCGTTCGCCTGGCCAATGTCTACAGCCTGCGTGCTTTGGCCGATCCAAGGACATGGTGCTACAATTGGCCTCTGGATGTGTAGAGTCCGTAGAGGGTGTAGAGTCAGTATGGAAAACTACAAGCTTATAAGAACGGCGGCAAATTGCACGAGTCGGAGAGCCGGTTTAAACGGCTGTTTTGACTTTGGGGCCCCGCTTTGGCTTTGGCTTTGGCTTTCGCTGTGGTCCCAATCTCGACTCTCGATCTCTCACAAAATGCGGGTCAAGAGAGACGCGCGCTGATCAAGAGAGTGGCAATAAATACCCATTGAGCTACCCCGCCGATCCCCAGATTCCCCAACCTTTCAACCCTCGCGCCGAGTTTGGCTTTGCCACGGTGCCGCCGTCGCTGATTGAGTTACATGTACATCATGGATGACTCGAACAATACATTCCCAAGCTCAAGGCGCGATAAGCAGGTGCGTTGGACATATTAGTATTTTTGCGTTAGAAACAACCCTGGCTGTTGGACATTTACCAGCCAGCATCCCTTCTTGATCTCAAGGCACCGATAGGCTAATACGCATACAGTGTGACATCTGCTCGCGGAGCTTTGCCAGATCGGAACATTTAGCGAGGCATCGAAGAATTCGTAGGGGCCATTTCTCTAGTCCTAGCTGGCTGTTGCTGAACGAATATCCTGTACTAACCGGTTCTGGGCCTTAGACACCAAAGAAAAGCCATTTCCATGCCCTCACTGTCGCAAATCTTTCCAGCGCGGTGATGTCAGGGCTACCCACGTGAAGAAGTGTCATGCGACCTTTGGCGACCAGGACGCCGAGAATGAAGTTGCAGGCCGTAAGCGCGTTCGCATTGCATGCGACAATTGTCGCAGGCGGAAGATGCGCTGTGATGGCAATGAGCCTTGTGGCTCTTGTCGCTCGATACGGTCTTCCTGCCATTATGCGGCAGCGCCAGCTTCACCATCCCCATCAAGCCACGATTTGGACACACAGGGCGTCAACAGAACCATCTCGACTCGAGCAGGGACCGACCCTCACTTTAATATCAACGATGATAGTGTACCTCTAGCGCCGCTGTCACCCACAACCTCCCTTTCTAATGCCGAGAATGGCCCCTTTCTGAATGCTCGAGCGGGTGCACTTGGAAACACCCATCAAGACGCATTCGGCATGCCTATCCAAGGAGATCCAGCAATACCCTTCGATGCCGGCGCAATAGACAATGCACGCTGTCTGCCCCTTCCCGACACCGACCTCCTCTACCCACTCTCAGATGCGGCTGGGGGAGTCGAGTTTTGGCAGGTTCCCCCTGCAGTATGTAACCCACGTCTATATTTGATGGTGGGAGAACTAAATAACCTGTGTTGTACAGTACGGCCAGATCTGGTTTGATGGTTCCGACTTCACCTTGAGTGAAGAGATTTTCCATTCGACATCACCAATCTCGAACCATGTGTTCTCTTTGTCAATGCAACATTTGACGGCTACCATGCAAGAATATTTCGATCGAAAATCCCGAGCGCCTTCACCTTCGCTGAACAAAGCTAGCAAGATGTGGTATTCGGCTCCGCCAAATATGGATGACCATAACAAGGACATTGTTATGGTATTCCTGAGCATCTTCCAAAGACACATACCGGAGACTTTCCCCCTGTTCAAAGAGTCTACCCTCGGTCGTCAAAACCTAGCCGCATTTACCCTTGCTATGGCCGCCACGGGTGGGCTCTTTTGTACAGTACCTGGTAGCGCCGAGGTCGCCAAGGCGATGTATAATGACGCCCGAAGACTGCTACTGGCTTCGGTATGCCCATTTTGTTAATATAACTGAATTGGTCTAATATCTGCCAGTTCTACGTCCGCGATACACTAGACGGAATCTCTACTAGTCCGCAAGACAAACTTGTAACGCTGAAAACAGTAAGGCTCATTCCAATCCTCCAGTAATACCCAACAGAGCACGCTGATTGGATTCTGTTAGTTTATACTTCTAGAACTATATGGCCTTTGTAGTGGTGACAAAAGATGCTATGAATTTGTAGAGGCTTTCCATGGCAGTCTCGTGCATGTGAGTTTGCCCACTTCGGTCCCCCAGCCCTCGTAGGCTTGCTCACTAATTTGCGATTAGTCGGCACAGGAATACAGTCATGAATGCGAGGTGGCAGGATTAAACAGTGCAAATGAGCGGGAAAATTCTCGGTATGCAAGTCACGATTTACTTTGGCATGACGACACGTTAACGCCAGTAATTAATTCCAGACTGCTGGAAACTCTACAGATTCTCGACTGCTATCGAGTTATCATCATGCAACGTCCTCCATCGCTGTCGTGGCATCATATTGATTTATTTGCGAATTCACTTTCACCAGAAAACCGCATATCTTCTTTTCACAAGGTCGCCAGAGACCTTACTGATGGTGGCCACATGTTGGAACCCATTCGCCCCACAGAATCCTGCCTCTCAGGCCTAGCAGGTTTATGCTCTTATCTATGGCCGGCAACCTATTCAAAACAGGATAGATATTCTGGGGATGAGTTTCCAGACCAAAGCACATCTTTCTGGAAAGCTGATTTCGTGGAGCTAGCCTGTGATAATTGGCTTCGAACAATAGGTCAGGCCGGCAATAATTCTTCTCTTGCGGTTTATCACATGATGAACATCATGCTTCACGTAGACCTTGCCATGCTGCAGCACTTCGCGCATTCTGCTCCAGGATCGGCCGGACGAGACCCAAAGAAAAGCCTCGTAGCCAGGGAGATTAAATCATGGAAAGAAGGCAGACACTATAAGATCGCACATTGGCATGCCGAAGGCATTATAGTGGCCGTGGAGAGAGCCTTAAACGCTTCCTCAAACAAAGCAGAGCAACAACTTCCACCGCGATTGAAATCCGCCAACACCGAGACACGACGGCTTCCATACGAAGCACCACATGTCCCATACGCTATTTATTACGCTACACTTGTGACGTGGTGCGGCGCTATCACGGAGGAGAATAATGCTGCGTCTGCATCAGCTGCACAAGTTTTTATTGCGCGAGGAGAGAGGATTCTGTCCCTACACAGAGTCCATATCGCTCAGCTTTTAGCACGCGTACTGTACGATATTAAGTAGAATAATTGTTATTGCCAAGCATGGGGACTAGTCATGGTTTGGACTGAACCCAATATAATTTTAGTCGTCTCTCATAGCGCTCTAAGAGACTCCTAGAGTCCGAAGCAAGTGGAACGAGTTCTAGTGTGCCGGCCTGGCGGCTGTTTCCAGTACCTTCAAACCACTTATTCAACGGTGAAGGGGGCTTTACGGTTGCGGTAATAAAAGTATACCAATTTTCACGACCTACAAGAAGACCCCACCAGGTCCAAGGTGACGTTATGCATGGCCTCCGATCTTGAAAAACGTCCAATCAGATCATTGCAGCCCTGTGTGGCACCTAAGCTAGGGGTATTTCAACCTGGAGCCGCTGGGGTACCGATTGTCAATATCCAGTCGATGGGGGCTAGTTCCTCGGCAAGCCGCTGGATAACGGGATGGGCTACAGTTTGTCCTCCGTAGCTGTAGAACCTCAAAGCCCAAAAGGGCCCTACAGTCCCACCCTTGAATACCACCTAATCCCTCCTTTCACGGTCCAAGATACAAACGATAATCTCATATATCTCAAATCTCTATTTGACCTCTTACAACACCGACCAGGTCAAACTATGCCGAATAAATTGCGCGGCGACCTTCACAAGGTTGACACAACATCCTTTGATTACATTTATGAGGAGAATGTAACCATCCAACTGCAGAATGGACGTGGAATTGTACGATGCAATGTTTTTAGACCTAAAGCCCCGCCAGACTCCAAATTCCCCGTCCTAGTGACATACGGACCTTACGGCAAAGACGTCCACTACTCAATGTGAGTGTCACTATTTCCAGGCTGTATTGTTTGTAATTTTCTTCTCACATTGCAACTCAGATTCCATGCTAGCTCGTTCGCGGAAGTTCCTGAAGAGCATCACTCGCCACATTCAGCTTGGGAAACACCCGATCCTGGGTTTTGGACGCGCAATGAATACGCTATCGTCCGAGCCGATGAAGTCGGGCTTGGTCAGTCTCCGGGGGTGCTTAATACTATGTCTATGGACACCAGTCTTGCATTCAAGGATGTGATCGAATGGGCCGCCTCTCAATCATGGTCCTCTGGTAAGGTTGGTCTACTTGGAATAAGCTACTATGCTGGAAGTCAATGGCGAGTAGCAGCGCGACGACCACGAGGCCTGGCATGCATAATCCCTTGGGAAGGAATGAGCGATTACTATCGTGATCGCTGTCGACACGGTGGGATATTGTCTAATACATTCATTGACTTTTGGTGGAATCGACAAGTAAGGTCCCAAGGTCCCCTTGTAAGATAAATCCTTCTAACGGGGTTCTCGTTTTAGGTTATTGTGAACCAATACGGTCGGCCTGGAAGAGCTGCCCGCAAATGGGGCCCAGATACTATTGAAGGTAACCTAGGAGAAGACGAACTTCGCGCTAATTGCCATGACCAAAATGTGGACAATGTCAAAAACCGTTTCCTTGACGATGACTATTATGCCACCAAGGACTATAATATGTCCGATATCGAGGTCCCACTGCTGTCTGTTGGAAATTGGGGCGGTATCTTACTTCATTTAAGAGGTAATGTGGAAGGTTTCATGAACGCCGGTTCTCAACATAAGTATCTGCGATTTGTCACTGGTCGACATGATCTTCCTTTCTATACCAAGGAGTGCGTGGACATCCAGCTGAGTTTTCTCGATGCATTCCTCAAAGGCAACGACCCTCAAGGTTGGTCGCGGGGTGAGCAACCAACAGTAGAATACAAAGTTCGAGTGGGCGATGTCGGATTCAACAACGCAGCTGCTGAAAGCGCTTACCCTTCACGCTATGCAGACGAATGGCCAATCCCCGGAACAAAGTATACCAGATATTATCTAACCTTGGCTCAAGGATTAAGTGAGGGTCCCACTGCTCAGGATGAGGGCAAGCTTTCGTATAAGGCGTTGGGTGACCTGAAAAATCAACACCTTATTCAATTCACCAGCCAGCCATTTACAGAGGAGGTCGAGTTCACAGGCCATGTTGTTGTGCATTTGAACGTATCGGTCACAGCTCAAGAGGACAAAGCCAATAAACCTAGTGATATTGATCTTTTCCTTACCGTCCGTCACTTGGATGCCACAGGTAAGGAGATATTCTACACAGGTACTGTAGGTGACCCCGTGCCTGTCTCCAAAGGCTGGCTCCGGGTCAGTTTACGGGCCACAAACGAGAAAAGTCCGAGACATACATTCTGGCATCCTCATCGAGAGTATTTATCGGGTGACCATTCTCCTCTTATTCCTGGAAATATCTATCCAGTAGATGTGGAAATATGGCCTACGAATGTGGTGATGTCGCCTGGCGACAAGTTGGTGTTTGAGATATCCTCGGGAGATACCCAAGGTGCTGGACTGTTCGAGCACAACTCAAAGGATGATCGAGATGAAAAGACGTTTGGTGGAATAAATCATGTTCATTTTGGAAAGGAGTATGAAAATTGGCTATTGATGCCAGTTATACCGTCCAAGAGAACCTAAGCCTGGGCATCAGATATACTATGAGATAAAGAACAATTTCAACAATCCAAATATACATGTAGTTGCCAGAAATGTCTCCAGATGTCGTGACAATTGATGACTTGACTTGAATCTTAAGTGCATTGTAAAGATACCACACCTCAATAGAACTCTGTCTCTGCTAAGTGAAATTGCCATTCTTTCACTTTTTCATTTCATGAGTTTAACATCCCCTTCTAGAGCTAGCACGGCTTGTACGTCTTCACCATTCTCCTCCAACCGGATATCTCATTATTTGATCATTCCATTTACCTCCCGTCGCCCGCCACATTCGGTTCAGAGTCTGTTTCACACATCAAGAAATTAGTTTGGTTTCTCCTGTAGTGGGACCATTTCCCCAATATTTCTGCGAGGCTTGGGTAATCTCACTCCCATCATCCAAACACCTGAAAACATAGCGGTGACAATTCCTCCCTCAACCCAGTCCTGTCCAGCGGCTCGATCAGATACTCGATGTGTTCGGCTCGCTTCACGGTAGGCAGGTATTCCTCGCCAGTGCGATGGCCAGTTTCGATCAGGTTGTAAAGCTGGTTGCTGTGCAGCGATTGAGGCAGTGTGGTTCTGGTTTGAAGTAGGCACTGGCGTCTGCTCCTGCCCTGTTTCTTGAACATCGTAAACGCGAAGTGTTTCGAGGAGAGTCCTCGGTTCTAAAGTAGTGGTTTCAGTTCTAGCCATTATGCTTTGCAAACGAATATTATGAAGACTGAGATGTAGAGGGACAAAGTTTGGCAAGTGTGAAAATCGCAGGCGTTCTGCGCGAGGCTCTCTCTGTCCAATAGCGTTACTACTAGAGAAGTGTAAAGGCTCTAGGCTGTCAATAACATTAAGCTGTAGTGCCGTAGGAAATTCCCCAAGGTTGTCGTGGGCTGGCCACCGTTCCCCCAAGCGGCCGGCATCAATGGGGTCGGCATAGCGAGACGGGATATCTTATCCGTACCCCATGCTTGTCATACAACACTGTGTGTCCACCTCCACACTGCGAGCTACGAGCTCACGGCCCAATAGATGGCGCATTTTGCATTGACTGCGAACCCGGGGCTCCCATGCCGACTGTCTCTGATAGGTAACATTTAAGCCCTATTATGACAGAGGACACATCCCAGTTCACCTCATGAAGTGAGAGTTACATTTCGAAACAACCATTACAATGACGAGCGACTCTTTCTCACGCATCCAGATTTCTTGTCTAGAGGCTCGTCCACAGTCGATTCGCCTTCGCCAAAATTTGTTCCACTCTTTGCACGCCGCGCTGAAATCATCAGAGAAAACCATAAAAAGTGCGATTGCTGAGGATACCAGCCACGATGAGTGGGAGACTAGTCTCGAATATACACTGGCGATCTCCGAATTGCGTGAACATTACTCCTCATTGGATCTCGAGCAAGACCTGAAGAGACAAAAATCGGTGGAGGACCTGCAAGGAACAACGAACGTGGGCATAGTCTATATTATTCCTTCGAAGCAGAACCAGTTTTACTCTGTCATATCTGCCCTTACGGCAGCTCTGGCGGCTGGGAATTGTGTAGTTCTGGAGGTATGTACATAGCACATCTATGATGGCGAATCTCAGAATTTGGCCGCCTAGTTAACTTGTCAATTATTTCAGCTACCCACGACACTGACGCAGGTCTCCGCGGTTCTACGTGCTGTGTTGCCCAAAGCTCTAGATGCGGACATCTTTGCAATTATAGGAGATAGGATCTCCAAGGAAAATCTCTCCAAATGTCATGTTTTGGACCAGACTGGTATCATTCCAGCATCACTCAGAGATGGAGGCAACGATAGTAATAGTGTCAATCTCCACCACGAGAGGGTAGTGGCAGTTGTTGATCGATCTGCCAATATCCCCGATGCTGCCTCGATCATCTGTGCATCGAGAGCCATCTTCAATGGTCAATCCGTCTATTCGCCGGCACTGGTGTTAGTGAATGAGTTTGTGGCTGATGACTTTTTGTTCCATCTTGCACAAGCCATTATATCTCCAATGCATAAACAAAAGGATATTTTATCAAAGTCTTCCCATCCATCAATGGGGGGTCCGAATGGCCATTCTCAGATCAAGACCGAATTCGAAAGCAAGGACAACCTAAATGTGATCATATCAGGGGAAAATGGAAGCATTGTTGAAATCAAAGATCGGTCAGTAGAAACATAATTTTAGAAAGTCTAGTCTCTGGCTAATATTCTATTTCCCGCAGGACACAAGTACTGGTGGGACGTCAAATTGACAGTCGAGTCATCAGTATCTATCGAATCACCAGCCTAGATGATGCTATTGACCTATGCAATGGGTAGGTTATATTTTCCCTTCGCTCCCCAGAGGCAAACATCTAAAACATGAAATTTGGATCCCATTCTAGATTCCAGACTCCTTTAGAGGCATCCTATGTTTTTGCAGCCGTAGCCGAAACAAATTATCTGTCACGTTTTATCGATGCACGCATCTCCTGCATCAATCATATTCCTTGTGAACTGATGGGTAAGACTTCAAATCCAAATGACCCCCTTTTTGCATTTCCTTCTGTACGATTTCTTGTTGTAACCAAACGCATGACATTCATACTATCATCCCTTTCTCATTTTTATTAACAGCTTACAAGTATTCTGGTTTACTGACTTCTTTGCAAAGTGGGCCCCTTTGCACCAGAACACCCGACCATCGCACCAAGCCCATCTCCACGATACAGTCCGGCATTATTCCGGTTACCCCGTCCAAGGTTCAGTCACGCGTCACAAATGAGTATTCTCTGCCTGAAATCAGCAATTTCAAGGTCCACGAAAGTACTTGATCCATGGAGTCGGCCCATTTTACAAACAGCCCTTCCAGCCATAAAACAAGGGGATGGGAATTCTGTCGGTTTCTTTGATCAGGCATTCATCATGGTTGGCATTACATTTGCCTCGGTCATTGCAGGTGGTGCATTTACTCTGTATCAGCTGTCAAAAAGGCATTGGCTGGGATACTAAGATGGAGGTTTTGGGCAAACCAATCAGCTAGGGTTAGGCCTATCGTGTATTAGGTTTAGGGTTCGTATTATACTATTGTTAGTGTGGGAGGAGAATCAAGGGCCATTGATGGTGCACTGATTCTAACGTACAAGTAGACTCTTATTAATACTACCCATGCGTGAGATATCATTACAAAAGCCCTCCAAAATTAAGACTATGGTGGTACTAGATTGATGAGGTTAAGAGTAGTTACTATCGCCAATATCTCCGACCGCTAGCTGCGGTCATCTTCTTTTGTTAACTATACTACAATCCCAGCCATCCTCGGAAGAGGAGGTTTCTCCTTGTTTTTTTGATGCTGTGCAACTATCTTCATTTGATCAATACCAGCCAGGTACGACCCAAATGTGAATTGCGAGTTACACATGTTGACCAACTCCCAGGTTTCAGCAGCCAAAACGTTAGGTTCGGCTACATCTTCCCAATCGCCAGCGGCACCAGCAGCGAACAATGCTGGCATCCAATGGTCATCCGTAGCTTGAGCCTCGCGATACGCAGGGTGTTGCATCAGCCTAACCATCGCTTTCCTCAACGCCGGTCCCCGATTCCGGGTCACAACATCTACGGTCGCTTGTCTGAAATCCAGAGCCCATGACTCAGGAGGTCGCTCTTGGCCTAAACTCTCCCGATAAAGTAACATGTCAATCCAGTTGTTTCGATACAAGTTATGGACCGCACCACCGGTGCCAATGAGAAGGTAGCCCTCTTTACGGAGAGGTCGCAGTGTAGCCCCAACTTTGACATGATACCAAGGATCGTAGCGTGCGTTCATGGAAATGATTGTTACCGGTGGGCATTTAGTAAAGTCTGGAAACATCTTGATCAAGACCAGGAATGTGTCGTGGATCCAATCAAAGGTCGGGTTTGGCCCGACGTTAAAACCTTCGGCCTTGAGCATGGACATACAACGCTCTGCAGTAGCCAGATCAGGGTTGGGCTTCCAGTCTCTGTACAGAGAAGGATTGACGAATGGGCAAGCGGATTTGCCTGGGCTGGGATTTGTGGCAATCTCAATCTTATCATTTAAACAAGCCCAGTGAGCACCCTGCGTAATATGAGACGTCAGCCCCAGTAGACTTCTCGGTTTGAAACTGAGAATTTCGAGTTATAATGAATACTGTGTCAGGTTATATACCATCATAATAATGCCCTTCACATTGTGAGCGAGGGCTTCATCACCGCATTTCTTCCAGTAGTCGCCGGCGTCTGTCTCGGCTTCGAGCATGCGAGTGGAGCCGTGAGAAAAGAAGTGTACGGGGGTTTTCTCTGCAAAATTGAATTAGTTTTCCAGCACCTTGATGGGGCAATTAGAGAATGGAAATATTTACCCATGACTGATGGTGAATTTATGAGTTGGCTGAAATGCTAGTTACGACAAAGACAAAAGGGTTGAACGACGGTGGCCAAGTTGGACCAGATAGTTTAGAAATAATTGGGTCCTCGAGGATAGCGGGGGCAACTCTCCAGGTGATATTTACGTTCGTAATAAGAACGAGTTGCAAAGAGCTCGCTGTACTCCGTCAACCCCAATGTTCGAAGCCATGAGGAAATTCGTCAGAACATGAGCAAAGAGCAGTGGAAAATGGGGTGTGTAATTGGGGTTCCGAGATGACCCACAATCCATCTACCTTGCTGCTGCGTAGGTGGTTCCCCAGTACTCGACTTTCCCAATTAGCTCATTGATTTTTAACATCACTGTAGAGACCCTATAAAGCTATTGGAAGCGTCTTGTTATCCAGAAATCAGTGTTCAGTATTCAGTGCACAAATATCCTTTACTGTTCTGAAAATGTCTCCTCAGTCTCGTCCACCGACACATGGCCAGTTGGCCAAAGCCCTCCCAGGTCTCACGGCATATTTAACAGGCCACAATCCTTCGACTGGGAGCACGACTATCCAGGAGAGGCGACCAGCGAAATGGCAGTCAATCGATGAGGGCGGAATGGCGTTTAATGTTCCATTCACCACCTCAGAATTCCCAGTATCCATGAACAACGACATCGACATCATCAAGCATGACGAGAGGTTGCAATCGGGAAATTTGGGCATCGTTAACCCTGGAGGAACTGTCTTGCGCTTCGTAGACTTTGCCCCTGGGTTTGAATCTATGATGCATAGAACCAGAAGTCTTGATTACGGTATTGTTGTTGAAGGCGAGATCGAATTGATTCTCGATTCCGGCGAGAAACAACTTCTGCAGCGAGGTGATGTTTGTGTCCAGAGGGGTACAAACCATGCCTGGAAGAACCCCAGCAAAACAGAATGGACCAGAGTAGTTTACATTCTACAAGATTCTCAGGCGGTGGAACTTGGAGGGAAGCCTCTGAAGGAGTATCTGGGGCGAAGTGAAGGAGAGATCCCGGCTAGTGGAAATGATTAAGACAGAGGGTGGCGACACTATTGGGGTTTCGAGGACTCAGTCAGATATACACCCACTCGAAGACTAGTCGTTAGTTGGAAAGTTTGGAGTTGGGACTCAAAAGACTGACAGACTTAGCCATAGCTCTTTCCTCTACTTTCAAGCCCGTGAGGATTATCTAAAATTATTTTTTCTAGAATACTCAATATCACTAATTATAAGTGATACATCCTCAAAACTAAGACTAAAAGTGTAATGGTCTAAGGCATGTGTACATTCTGATTATATATGGAAGATGATTCTAACAGTACATAAGAGAGATCTAGGGCTCATATATATAGCCAAAGGTATACAAAGAACATCTAACTATAACCTGAATGGCTTCACCATGGCGAAAACCTTTAGATCATGACAGAAAGGTCGAATTATGATGTATTTTGTTATGCCTCTTCAACTATTTGCTAGGGTTTTCAAGAGTTCAATATTTCTCTTAGTATTTAAGCGAGATAGAAACCCTGAGACGATGGTGTGCAGCGAAATACAAGTTTAAAAGTTAAAATTACTGTTTATAAGCCTCGCCGTCTTTTTTTGCGTCGCTCCTTTCTATAGAAACCAATGAATCCTATCTAAAGTCTAAGTAATGAAATTGTTGCGTTGACGATCAATCGTGTGATATGGTGCAATGGATTAGAATCAAAGAATGTTGACGGGATCAAGTTGATTCAAAGTCTGCGATGTCGACGTCTGTGTCTAATTGCAATGCAGTCTGTTCTCTTAAATCGGTTGTGCCTGTCGCTTCGACAACGCGCGCCTCAACGATCTCCTTAATGGGAAGGTTAGACAGGCGACTCGCTATATGCTGTAATGTTGGCAGCTTTTGGAACCCATAATCACGAAATTCAAGCTTCGCAACAGAAGCTATCTGCACTCGGTCTATGATGGAGGAAGATGCTGGTGGCGTAGGAGAAAACGTTGGATACATGGCATCATGGCCATTGCTACCTGTTCGGGGAATATATTTAAAATGTAACAGACCCTCGGATGGTGCATATGTTTCTCTCGCATAATCCTGTTTTGGGGAAACTTCTTCCAGGCCATCCAAGGAGATTACACCAAAGACAGTTCCTCCCCAGCCCACTCGAATCTCGAGCTGACCCTTGCTCTTTTCCTCCTCATCAAGTGTAGCGAAGACTTTGGCATAGCCAATCTCCTCCCTTCCAGTAATAATAGGATCGGCAAGGTTCTCAAATAATACACTGAGATATTCCCCCCTCTTCTGCTCATACTTTCCCTGGCAGACCACATCATGGATGTAGAGCCCACAGTGGTTATACCCTCGACCCGCCAACCAGGGCAGGTTCTCTAACCGGGTAAATTTGATCGAAGCATAGGACAGTCCATCTTCAGCCTCGTCTGCATCGATTCGGAAGCATTTATGCGGAAGAAGGGAAGAGAGTGATGCCCGTGGGGCTCTAAACACCACGGTCACAACTTTTGTCTTTACGTTCTCCCAGCCCAAATGAGCATCACCAGTATCCAATTGCCGCGGTCCAGGTGCTAGACCGTAGCCGAGCGGCATACGATGGAAGATGCGAGATTGACTCATGTTTCAGAAGATCAAAAAAAACTATATAATTCATTGAGTGTATGAGTTCGCGCAAAGGGATTGTCACTATTTATTAGGTTCCACAAAATGAATCAGTCCCCTTCAAAAGTCTGAAAATCATAGGGATTAAGATAGGTACATGCTGAACCGGGAATATTGCTGACATCCTTTGCCATCATTTTAGTCAGCTCGAAGGATGCTGGGTCAAGTCAACAAATCGTTGGTATATTGGATTGGGGTCCCGGCGGGCGGACTGGGGTTCGAGTAGTGGAGTAGTACCCCAGGAGTCACAATGCGGTTTAACACGAGTTGACAAATTGATGACTACTTAGTTGACTTATGTATTAACTGTGTTTTCATTCATCTAATGAAAATTAGTGACTAGGCAATAAATACACTGCTTGTCAAATAGGTGATGAAAACGATGACCAGAAATGATCAATTACTGTAATTATCAATAAAATTACTCATGTATTCATGATGAACGTCGTCTGACTACATTACACATTCCAACAGGGAATCAAATCAAAGATAAAAGGCAAACAAGATGAGGCTGATTAGTCCCCCGGTATGAATCGTTAGTCCAGGTCGCGATGCCGCACCGGTCTCTAGGGGTGATCCCGGAGAAGCAGTCGTAGAGCCACTTCCATTTGTAGTTCCAGAACCGGAACCAGAGCCGGAGCCTGAGCCTGGAGAGCCCCCTGATCCGCTGCCCGATCCGCTTCCTGTTCCTGAACCCGATCCCGTACTAGAAGACCCTACCGCAGTGCCTGTGCCTGTGCCACTGCTTCCAGAGCCTGATCCAGAGCCTGATCCAGAGCCTGATCCAGATCCTGAGCCTGAACCATTGCCAGATCCTGAACCGGAGTTAGAACCAGATCCTGAGCCTGAGCCTGAGCCTGAGCCTGAGCCTGAGCCGGAGCCTGAGCCTGAGCCGGAGCCTGAGCCTGAGCCTGAGCCTGAACCTGAACCTGAACCAGTGCCTGAACCATTGCCAGACCCTGATCCAGAGCCGGAGCCAGATCCAGAGCCGGAGCCAGATCCAGAGCCAGAGCCAGAGCCGGAGCCAGAGCCAGTGCCTGAACCGGAGTTAGAACCAGAGCCTGATCCTGAGCCTGATCCTGAGCCTGAACCTGAACCTGAACCAGTGCCTGAACCATTGCCAGACCCTGATCCAGAGCCGGAGCCAGATCCAGAGCCAGTGCCAGAGCCAGTGCCAGAGCCAGTGCCAGAGCCAGTGCCAGATCCAGTGCCAGAGCCAGTGCCAGAGCCAGTGCCAGATCCAGTGCCAGATCCAGTGCCTGAACCAGCGCCAGATCCTGAACCTGAACCGGTGGCGGTGGCGGTGCTAGGGGCAGTATCAGTAGCTGGGCTGGTTCCTGTACCCGGGTCACCGACTGAGGGCGATGTTGTCGGCTCTTGATCTGGCAACGGAGTTGTAGAGGTTTGTGGCGGAACACTCGTTGCCGTCGACCCTGGAGCTGCAGGTGAGGTCAAAGTCGGCTGGGTGCCCGATGTGGTAGTGACCGGAAGCAATCCAGACACCGATGTCAGAGGATAAGGGGGGTCGTAAAAACTGCCCGATGGATGTGAATACAAGAGAAAGAAAAAGATAGACCCGGGATAAAACGTACCCGCCCATTGCATTGCTTCCACACGATTTCCAATCTGGCTGTAAGGATTTCACGCGATCTGGAACGACGATAATCGGATGGCAAGGATCGTAGGCTAGATAGTATTAGTCACTTGCTGAACTGATACAGACTGTATAATCAGAAGAGGAAATGGGGGAAAACTTACTAGAAAAATAGTTTCCTGCTTCCGGATTATCAATCGCATAGGTATACCCCGATGTTTTGGAGCAGTTCTGACCCAGGACCTCGAAATTAAGTGGCGCCGGTGTTGTACTCGTATAGTAGGTTTCCGTGGTAAGATACGTCGTCCAAATGACGTTGGTGCCGCTGGTGCCAATACTCTGCGTTTCAAGTTGTACCGAAGATTGTTCGACGAACTGCACAGTGGAAAGCTCGTCTTGGTTGAAGGCGACGGTGGTGTTTGTGAATGGCTGGCCGACTGTTCCGCAGTAGTCGTATGCATACAGGGAGGAAAACCCAATGTAGACGCTCGGCGAGACGCTTACACAATGTCAGAGCTAGCTAGTAGGACTTGGATATGTGTAAACATACAATGTGATGTCATTAGACGTGAAGGACGTTACAAGGCTGGATGGCGCGGCTATTGACAGTTAGTTACCATGTTGCCAAGAGATCATTATTCGTTACGCACGGGTTTGCCAGTACAATATCTCGACTGTGGCTGCTGCGACAGAGCATGAGTAGCACTAGATACCGGATTAGCAGAAACTCCCTGGACTCTGGAATAGGTATGGGCACTCACGCATGGTGACGTCGCACTACCATACCAGTTATTATCGTCACCGAAGTTATTTCCAGTATATGTGTATGTCGAAACATAGACTTCCTCCGATACAATCGTTGTTGTGGCCCCGTCGGTCGTCTCGGTGATTGTAGTCACTCCAGTCCCGATACTGGTTGTTCCAGTGTGCGTACCCGGGTTCGTGGCAGAAAGCCAGTCGGATAGCTGGGTCATGCATTCACATAGTTGAGTCGGGTTTGTCGAAAGGCCGGAGTAGGCGCCCAGGATCACACCCACGAAGTCCGTATTGTAGCACGCAGTAGGGCTGCCAGAGGTGACGATGCCACTCAGCGAATGCCCAGTTGCCGTGGGAGCTGGGGTGATGGCGGGCGTGGAAGCGTTGCCAAATACCACTGCATACACTCATTAATGCCTGTGCCATCAGGACTCGGAATTAAACCAACCTGGCGACCCCATCGCGCTTTCCAAAATGGACAGCCCGATTAGGGCTCCATACGGGCGAAGCTGCATTTTCTCCTCTTGTTTGACAAACCGAATAGTCAACAAAATGGTGCTGTTACGGCCCTATGTGCTTTTCCACGCTCGTCACCGTCTGCAGTACATAAAGCTAAATAATAATAAAAATCCGGGAGAGTATATTATTTATAGCAAGCCGCAGCAGCCACTGCGGCTGAACGCGCTGCAGACGGAAGCATCCCTTCACGTTCAGGCTTTACAAGCGAAGTGCGACGCTGTCTGCTTAGTATGGACTAGACCCGGGGGATGTTTACTTCGTCCTCTAATAACTAGTAAAAATTTCTTCATCGCAGCAGGTTACCTGACCAACAGCTTTCTTCTAAGTGCTCAGGCAGCGGTACACTAAACAATTTCCGAATGACTGGTAGTACGTAAGTACCTAACTACTTTGACACTAATACCATGTACAAATAATTCTCCTGCATTGACAGTCGATCGCTTGATACCAGCCAATGGTTTGACGAGTAACGTAGCCAGGGCGAAAGGGCTTCCTAAAGCGGAAATTGTTCGTCGGCCGGCTACGTCTGTGCCTGTCCAATTACGCGCCTCACAGTGGAGGTTGACGTGTTTAGACCCTTCACCTTATTTGTAATTGATCGCACAGAAAATATTGGTACATTATTGCAAGAGCCAACAATGCCAATTATTATCACAATAAGGTTGTCGTTAGCATGTACCATGAGAGTAATGCATCCCCGAATAAAGCCCGCACCTTGATCCCACATAAATTAAGAAACGGCCAAGAAAAACCAGCTCTGCGAGCCTTCGATCACACAGCCCGCGCTGAGCGCTCCTTTTCCCGAAGAGGAATAAGACATGCAGTAGCCAATATCTAGAACAGCCAAACTAGACAAATCCGGTTTAACCTACCCGGCTATGACTCGTAATAAGCTGCTTATATGTTGCATTAAAGTATAGCTTAGAGTTATCGAGAGCAAATTAAGCATCTCGGCGGTTAAGTGGGAGGGAGGAAAACTGAAATCCATCAGCAACAGAATCCTCCCGGTAGCAACCAACAGCAGCCAACAGCGTCAAGAGGAGTACGTACACCAGCGGCTATCCCTGATCCTGCAAGTTAACATCCCGAAGAAATTAGCTTGCTGATTTGTGAGGAGTTAGAATTTCATCTACTTGCTTCTCCGCGACTTGAGATGCGATCGTGCCAGGTTACTGAATAGTGGCAGCTTTTCACAGGAGCTGGCACGTAGGGAGAGATGCGCGCAGTAGCAGCAATAGGTATCTTGTGCGCCCTTCTCCAGCCATGCCTTTCCAAGGAAATCGCCGCCCGCGCTTTACCCGCTCCTGTGGAGGTATCTCCCAGTCAGTATTTGTGAGTGTCTTTCTCTTTCCAGCCTAATAAGTTTACGACATTGAACTCACGCGTTGGGCGGAATTAAGTGAAGGGAATGATGGACCATGGTCTTCGTTTGAGCTGCGCGTTGGCACTCCGGCACAAAGTGTTCGTGTTCTCCCTGGCACGTCGTCGACGTCAACAATAGTTGTTCTACCAATGGGTTGTGGCTCAAGTGCGCCATACAACTGTGCCGACCTTCGCGGCGGGCTTTTCAACACAAGCGCATCGACGACGTGGAGCGAGATTGGGGATTACGATCTAGGATTTGAAGATAGCTTGGGTTATAGTGATGCAGGAGAGTTCGGCTATGATACTGGTGGGTTCTGCTCTACAACCCTAATAATGATAGCACTGAATATAGTAGCTAACTCGTTGTACAGTCGGTCTTGGGTATCAAGGAAGTGGAGGACCGACGATCAACCATTCTGTGGTCGGCGGAGTCGCAGCGACAGGGTTCTATCTTGGTATATTTGCATTAAATCCGCGACCAACCAATTTCACAACTTTGAACGACCCTCATCCTAGCTTTATGTCTTTGTTGAAAAATCAAAGTTACATTCCCAGTCTTTCCTACAGCTACACGGCTGGCGCGCCATACCGACTTAACAAGGCGCTCGGCAGACTTATCCTAGGCGGGTACGACACTTCCATATTCGAGAATACCAACTCGTCTTTTGGCTTTTTCAGTGATCAGACCAGGGATCTCACAGTCAGTGTCTCGTCAGTTACGACCAACATGAGCGGCGAGACAAACCTATTACATTCAGGATCTATCAACCTTTTAATCGACTCTTCGGTTGCAGAGATTTATCTGCCTATAACAGCCTGTCAAGCGTTTGAGTCAGCCTTTAATCTCACGTATAACAGTACAGCGAAACTATATTTAGTCAACGACACTTTGCACAAGCACCTTCTAGCTGCCAATCCTTCAGTTACATTCACGATCGAAGCAGCGGTGTCTGGCGGTTCATCTTTTAACGTCACTTTGCCGTATGCTGCTTTTGACTTGACGGCGGAGTACCCGTTGGTTTCGAACAATTCCTCGTATTTTCCTCTGAAACAAGCTGCTAATGACACGCAATATACCCTTGGACGCACGTTCCTACAGGAAGCGGTTGTGATTGTGGATTACGAGCGGAGTAACTTCTCGGTGCACCCGCGTGTTTGGAATGCCAACGCTGTGTCGAATATCATTACTATAGAACCTGTATCATCCACGTCAACAGCCACATCAACGCCGACAGCGAGCGTTGGGCCAAAGCCGAGCAATAACGGGAATAGCAGTATCAGCAGCGGTGCGATTGCAGGAATCGTCGTCGGGGCCGTCGTAGTTATTATCGTCATAGGTGTCGCAGTATGGTGGTTCTTCTTTGTCGTTCCTCGAAGGAGGGCACAAATGGAACAGAATGACCAGATAGATGTCAATCGTATTGGCGAACTAGAAGATGGTTCAAAAAACAAAAACTGGTCCGAAGCTGCCTCGACTGGCCTACAGGAGATACAAGGCACTGAACCCAAAATTCTAACCGAGTTGGAATCTGGAGATCAACCCAGACATAGGACCGAGTTGGATTCTGGAGACCGACCTGGTGGAGAACTGGATGGGCGGGAGTTGAGAGTACACGAATTGCAGGGCAGTGAGGTTCCTGAGATGCAAGGCTAACTTTGTTGAGCTTTATATACCCCATCCGTACAATAGTCCATAATACTGTATACAAGTTAATATAATAAATGAATAGTTTCTCTGCATACGTAGGGTGTGTAAAACAGTTGGCAGCAACTCTTATGCCTTGCATGTAAGAAAAGTGATCGGCGCCTGAAAGTTACTGCTACGGACTACTACGATACTATTTTTTTAAGCCGCTTTACTCCGTACCCTCACAGAAAGCTGACCAGACTTCTACAACAATACACTTCTCTGTGCTTTTTACGGACTCTTCATCACCGTACGCGTAGATCTTTATCAGGTTCACCCAACTTAATTTTGAGACCCCGTCTATTTATGCCAATTTGATGTTCATATTACACAAACAATGTTCACCAACGGTATCACCAAAGCATTAGGCTATGGAGAAACAGCTTCATCCTCATTCGGTTTGCTAGGTGAGGGACTTTTGAATTTGCGATATTCATCAGGCATATAAGCTTGGTTTCCAACCCGGAGGAAGGAAACCAAGCGACATCTTTTGTATAATTTTTGACATAACTTTTAATATAAGCCAACTCGGCTTCGAATAGCCTTCGGATTGAAGCCTTCTATATCTGTCTAATATAAACCGATAACTACCTCCCTAGTAGCCTTGCTCTATAGTCTCAATATCGAACGGGGAAGCTTCAACTCACCCACATCGAGTCTTTCTAGACACCCATGGACACCGCCCTGTCCTGACTGTGTTACATTAATATACACATCAAGAACAACTTTTCAGTTATAAATAATATTAATCTATCTTTCTATACTATTATATTATTCAAATTATATAAATTTAAATGATAACTAAAAGAGTTAATTATTATTAATCTAATTCTTGGCCGGATCCGGCCTACGTAGGGCGAGGAATTTCAAAAATTCGTTCCGTAAGCAAAAGATATTTCTTTCCCATGAGGCATTTCTGGGTCCTGAATTCCTACCCACAAGTGACCTGTGGGATGGGTTAGTCCAGGAATGTCATGCCCACAATACCTTTGACTTTCTTGTTTTGCGAAGCTACATGGTACGATAGCATACCCCCAGCGCCAAGTCCATTGAAGACAATGGGGTACGGGTCGCGTTCCAGCTCGAAACTATAAAATCGTCCGTGATTTGCACCCAATCGTTACATGACACTGGTTTGCCTCGCACTACTTGAGTGCATCCATATCCTGGCATATCAATAGCACAAGTTCGAAGCCTGCTGTATGTAAAGACACTCCAAGGATGCTCGACATTTGACGCCCGTTGGTGCCAACCCCATGATGAAGAATAACCAGAACTTTAGCTGCAGGGTTTGGCTACCAGTCAAATGGATTGTGCGAACATGGTTTTGCTAGCAGTCTTCTACAAGCGAGCTATCTTTGGTGAATGCTAGGTATTTCGGCTCTCATATGTAGGTGGAAATCCCATTTTCCGTTGAAGTGTAAGGGTTTGAGTCGTGAAATCACGTCAAGTCTCGAATCAATACCGACGTGTAGGAAAGCAAAATGCAACCTCTTAGAAGCTGATAGAGTCTGTTATTATTTTGTAAACTTTAGAGCTGTTTAAATAAACCATTACCTCAACCTGGCAAGCCGGACCCGCATTGCAAACCGTGAAAAATAGAGATAGTTGGCGTCGGAACCAAGGTTCCCCTGAATTTGCCTTCAGAGGCGCTTTGCTGGCCTCCACCATGCGCAGATCATTGGAATATCCATTCGAGACGTCCATTAAATGGAAATGCCGAGGCTTTCAGGAAATCGAATGCTATAATGAGTAAATTTTATCACAATAATATACGTGAAGTTCATTACCCGGCCCAAGGGGAGGTTTTAGTCTTCCGGCTCAGAAGGTAAAACGGTTAAGATCTGAGATATCGATAGCGGCAGCTGTCTCAAGACGTTCAACGGCCATGACAGTGTGACCATCTCTGTTGCCTTCTCACATGACGGCACACGCGTGATATCGGGTTCGAATGGTAAAACGATCAAGCTCTGGAACGTAGGAACACGAAAGCAGGATGCCTCCATACCAAACAATAGTTATAATATACTTAATGGATTAACCTTTATAATTTCCCTGACAGTAATTCGTAACAAAAACAGGATACCCTATGTGTATTGTATTGACAATTAGCGGCGGCGTCTTGAGTTGAGCCTCTCTACATCCTTTCTGGTTAGGATTCTGACGCTGTTGCCCATCGGGTAGCTGATAACGTATTTCACCCATGAACGGCGCACCCCAATTTCCATACAAGAATGGCGAAATATCAAGAGCCCAAAAATGCCAGTTCTGTATGGGAATTGGGTGCGCCATTCATGGGTGAAATACGTTAACAGATAAGATAAACACCTGACAGTTCGGCCACCTGCCGGAAAAGCTTCAAAATTCGAAAATATGAATTTTCAACCCCTCCCCCCCATATTGAGAAAACTGAAACACCATTTTACTCATTTCAAGCGCCTCTACTTCCTCTCTGCAGCCTTTTTTGCACGTAAATCAGCCTGTTTTGGCTCAATATTTTGTTCTTCTTCTTTGGCCTTCTCCATAGCAGATTTTATACTTGCAATCGAGAGAAATACGCTCTGTCGGTTCTTTTTGACCTGTTTCTTAGATTTTTGAATTCGAAATCCATCTAGCTGATGGGATTGGCGCACGTTATTGACCTGCGAGCGGCCCAAAGCTTTGGCTGTTCATTTGCACCATAAAACGCACACCTCTTGGAATCCGCGTTGTTCGAGAAAACTGATATAACGCGTCAATTACCTTTCGTTCGCTTTGAGGCGTCTGGAAGTATAGATTTGAGAGTAATTTGGAACTTGGAGGTGTACATGGCCTTTCTGCAGACTTCTAAATTTGAATTTGAGTCTAGTTGCGCGCATTAACACGATTTTATAGCATGATTCCTGACGCTTTGAAGCCCGATTTGATATGTAAACTAGTCAAATATTGACTTCATATCACCCTGTAAGCATCCAACAATTGACGCTTTTTGATAGGTGCAGCATCATGTAAGATGTGAAGTCTTCTTAATTTCTTCCCGATATGCGGTCTTAACATTGAAAAAACGCCAGAATCCAAAGGCTGCAACAAATGAGAAGCATGTGACGGTAAGAACAGCAGTCGCACTTTCTCAATATGGCATTTCCATAGAAAATCGATGGCCTCATGCGCGCAATGGCCATCCATTATCAAAAAGTCGATAACTATCGGCTTCCGGCTTCGTTTCCGGCAAGAAAATCTCTTCCAACCAGGCCTGTGCTATCGCCGATGAGGTAAATGCGATTGTAGTCTGTGTAAAGCACTAATATGGTGGTTTTTAAGATTCAAATCATGAAGAATTAGATATAGCCTCAATAATCGACACCCACTCGCGCGTTTCTGGATTTTGAACATAAGGCCTTTTTAAGAAGCTTTGCAAAGCACTCAGTAATTCATACATAAGCCTAATTTATGTAAGCCCATGCTCATCCATATTCCAAATATGGCAGTCGGGGACCTTATATTCAGCTATTATAGCCTTATATTGGTCAAAAAACTCATTAGCCTCAGGCTGCGTTCCCAATATTCTTTTGGGGTCAATTTTTCGTCCTATGCGCGTGGCTATCTCAGGATGGCGTTGTTTGAATCGCTGCACCCATCCTTTCCCTATAAAATGTTTCTCCCCATTTTGCCGAAGAATATAAGCTGCCATTTCTCGTGTAAATGGGATCGAGGGAGGCCTTCCTTGTGAATCCAAATCCAGGATCCAATTTACTAATAGCTTCTCTTCGGTAGGAGTCAAAATCTGGTCTCTAGTGTGCGCGCTTCGATAATCTTTGCAGCCGTTGATTCGGCTGCCTAAGGTCGATCGAGGCACATTGTATGCCTTCGCTGCTGCGCGGACCGATTTAATTGTTCCAGATTCCAAATCTTGAAGCGCTGCCTGAATCGAGGCCTCATTTTGAGGACTTTTTGGCATCTTCTTGTTGAGTGGGAGGTTTGTAAAATTCAAGCGACGCGTTGTTGCAAGGTGGCCGAACTCGTGGTCTTACACCATAAACCTAGATCATGCATGATTCCGCTAGGGCAAGTATAACCGAACGTGGAAAAAACGCTACGTCGGCCCGACTCGGATTCACTGAAGTTTCGGGACCATTCTGTCTTCGCGCAAGCAAAGAGAGTGTAAAAAACACAAAAACAAAAAGGAAAATTTACATACAACAGCTGGGATTCGCTGGTGGTCACCCACCCAACTACTAACCAGCCGGCGTGTGGCTTAAGTACGGCTGAGCGGACGGGAAGCCCTGTTTTCCACACCCTATGGTCGTATGTGGAAGAAATTTTATTTAAAAGAGTCATGATACCAAGAATAGCACTAGCATTACTAAACCCGAAACACCAGCAGAAGTGGGAGAAGATCTTTCAACTAGAGAACGACGGAGTACGTGCGGTCACCATCGTTCCACTTAAAAATACTCGGGCCTTTCGGTATCTTCGCATATCTACAATCAGACTGGAAATATAATTATATTCTGTAATGCCAAGAATTAACAATTCTCAGAACGACAAGGCATAGATCCCTTGCTAGATCTGCCTCTGGTGTACGACAATTGATCAATCCTTGATACCATACTAGTACAGCGCTCAACGAAATAGATGTTAAGAACATCCAAGTACATACTGAAACTACATAGAATTTAAATTTATAGTATTTTTAAACATCGGAATGTTAATGACAAATGCTTAAGTTAAATCTTTTGTGAATATCCATTCCTTATATTTTTACTAATAAAAACAAGGAATTTACTTGTTGAAAGAGCGGTGAGCTGTATAATAACTGCCAGAGATGGCCTGCAGATGTGAGCAGACAACAAAACAGGCATGATTATCAAGATACTGCATGAGGAAGCTACGCTCCGATTTGCCGTTTAATAAACTTCAGCTAGCCGTTAACGACGACGATAAGTTATAAAAAAATTATTAAATAATTATTGAAATAATCAAGATATTTCAGAAATACATAATATTACAGTGTAATTTCCAAAAATATATACACTGGCAGTGTGGAGGAATTATAGGAAGACTTGTCTATATAAACACACTCATTTCTATATATCTAGTCTACCTTATCAGAGTTCTATAATATAAGTTAATTTGATTACATTGACAGGGTCAGCAAGACAATCATACTTGAAGTTTCATAGCACTTCAAGTCATTTCTCTTACTTTAGTTATATTCTACATTTATTAATCTGTTCGGTAATCTTAGTATATCGTTATTAGTTACCCTCAAGGAACCTCTGTGTGGTTCAAATCATGAAATTTCTATAGAAGGTTCCAGTGAGTTATAGACCGCCTATTTTGCTATGAAGGAGTTTTAAATGAGGTCATGTCAGTTGCGTGATTGGCGAGTAATACATCGAACAGTAATTGTGATAGATTTGACGATCAACTCTAATGCGAAACCGGCGGTAGGTGATCGTACCAATTAGAAAATCTGAATTTCTTCCTATTCATGACGTTATTAGTCAACCAAAGACCCCCGTACATCGCGGCAGAGGCTGGGTCGAGGACCGCCGACAAGACACTTGGGGTCCTAAAGAGGCTCGTTAGCTACGCAAAGGGCAGAAATGAGTAAGATGACAACTGGGAAATAAACATACCCGTAATGAGCGAAGGAATCGTATTCCGCCTTAGCATTATTTATAATATTTCCGAGTGTAGCAGTGATAAACAGCTGCCATTCGAAGGATATAGAGAACCCGTTGCCTACATCTCTATTGTACCAGCTGTCGAAAACCAGTAAATCTTAGTGAATGGCCTCGTAGTGACGCAGAACTGATTCCAAACGTCCGGGAGGTTCATATATTGGAAGACCATTCCTATGTAAGACGTGGACATGGTTAGATTTGAGACTCTGCGCTGTGGAAAGCCAAAGACCTTAACTTGCCTATTTCCTTGGCTGCTTGCAGCTGTGCATCTGGAGTCATGCGTGAATACTTGCCCTTGTTAGTTGTCGCTTTATTGCTGAACATCTGTAGATTCCCGACATTATGTCAGCCCCAGTCTGGGGGGAAAAATAAATGTAGAGAGGTAGAAACACTTACAAGGCCTTTCTTGCCGTTGGGTCTCGCTAGAAAAATAGTCAGGCGATCGAGATGGCCTTCACTTCCTAACTCGGATAGAAGGACCTTGATTAAAGGCCTTTTTTTTGTTCCACTCCACGGGTATCCTTGCTCCGGGCTCGTTATGTATTTGTCCGTGTCTTCGCATAAGAACTTGGTGAATACTTGGTTGTCAGACGGGTTTTGTCCTTTTAAAATGCCTTGATCTAGCCAGTAGGTGAAGAAATCGCCAATCAGCTGGCCCTCAAGAACGTGTTCAGCTGTGATTGATTAATGTTAGCAAACCTTGTCTTTGTCCGTCACTAGGGAAAGGGGTTGGGGGTGGGAGAAGTTGCACTTTGGTAATCGGTTCGGACTTGTTGCATCTTGGTGGGGTTGGTCTCCTCGGGGATCCAGGTCGTATCATAGTTGTCCAATTTGCCAACAGTCCAGTCGATGCAACTGGCGCTTGTGTTGCCGTAATATTTGGGGATACTATTCCACTTTCCACCATCAGCAGTCTCCCAGGGCCAGTTGTGGGCCTTTGAGAATGACGGGTATCTGCCATCTCCGAGGACCCACTCCTCTTCGCCGCAGACACTAACTTTCTTGTAACTCATAGTCGCCGTTCCAACTCTCCGCTGGTCCAGCTCATGCAAGTCTTCGTCCTCGTCATCGTTCCTCTTATAGATGCCACCAGTGCTTATGGGATACCGGCCAGTTGGCCAATCTCCATCTTCCGAATTTGAATACGAGTCGCAATCAGGGCAATCTGTCATATCACTCAAAGCCGGAAACAGGTATGGCATGCAGGAGGAGCCGCAGCAGCTTCCGAATGATAATATTCTTTCCCCACAAAAGAGACAACGGCCTTTGCCCCAGCTCCACAGATTCTGGGCACCGTCCAACAAATTGGAGACCTGGCCAAGCATGCCACCCTTAGTAAAATCATCGAGCGTTGGTAATTGGCCGGATTGGATGCCAAGGCCATCCAAATAATAAGTGGGATCGGCTCTGGAAACGAGAGACTCGTCGTCGCTGCGCCTTTGCTACCGAGAACAGTAGTAACGCCAACTTTATTGGGATAGCATACTCCCTGGTTGGGCTCCAGCACCAACAGATCTTCTCTGTCGCGCCAAGCCACACCCTGATAACTCGAATTACCCGTTATCTCTTGTCTGTTTGTTAAGGCGTTAGTTAATACTTCTTCGGCTAGAATCTATCGGAATTGAACAAGGTAGATGGATAAATGCTTACATTCCCTGATTACCTTGCGAGATGCTCGTTATCGTCTGGTAATCCGAGCATGATAAATCACCAGTACCCCCTTGTCCGTTGTCTCCCGGGGTGAAAGTGAATTGCGAGGCTGTATCGTAGGACATGTAGATCTAAGGAGAATAGCATCAGCCCGATATATATATGCAAAATCCCACCTTGGTCCTCCCTTCTCGTTCAAAACTGCTCTATCGACTTTGAACGCCGCCGCAGCCGTTTCTTGTAATATCCCAGCTTCTCCATCGTGTCCCGATCTACATAAGGCCGCTCAAATTCAGGTTCAAATACATCTCTCACCACCCCATAGCCAAACTGTACACTATTCTTATCATAAAGTATTCCAAAAGGGTTCTTTCCAGCCCCATAAAGAAACTCCTCAACTTCATTATCTATCCAAATTGCCCGTCCAATCATCTTACTAGTTCTGAGCGAATTAACTCCAATTACTACCTTTGGCCGGGCCCACTTCTCTCTTTTCTGCCAGCTGCCCAGTCTTTTTCGCATCTCAGCTAACATATCATGATAATTTCCTTCTGGATCTAAAAATATCAAAAAACTCAGCTCTACAGATCTTAGAGTCTCTGGCAAGGCAGCTAGAAATTCTATCACGTCCGCCTGCTTCACCAGGAACTGAGATAACGCGAAGTGACGTAGACGGTGCCATCTATCCACTGGAAAGATGCTCCTCAGTGGAATAAAGTTCTTCATATCTCCATCACTTCCCGCATGAGCAGCTGGGTCTGGCTCAACACTAGTAGATAGCGCTATATGCTCCAGATCTGGGGCACCTGCTAGCATCCGGCTAAGATTTCCGTTACGGAAGGACACCCAGTCATTGTGCCACTCGCCACCAACAATAAGGGCGAGGTCAAGCTGCTTAAAGCCTGGTTGCTGGAGTAGCGCTATAAGGTCGTTATATTCTCTACATGGACTTTCAAAGATGCGGCAGCTAATTCCACTGAGTAGGCCTACAGCATCTAGAACCAGCTCTGTAACATGATGATGATCTCGCATTTTAGCCAGAATCTGCGTCACCATGCGGAATCCGTGCCACGGATCCATACTAGCGTCGTCAAGGTCCCCAGAGGGAGGTGCCTCTGGCCCAGAGATAGGCGTCTTAGGGGCCAGCCAGCCGTAGCGGATTGGATAGTTGAGCTCACGTGGGAAGTTGCGAATCATTGGGGTCTGATACAGCGGGTGGAACAGAACCCCATGGGTGGCAGGAGTGATAGTGACTCGCCTAAGAGAAGGAAACCGCTCTAAGGCATAATGTAATGCGGAGACATCAGCTCCAGATGTAAGGACTGTTTTCTGCTGCTGGAATAAAGTCTGGTAATATGTCCAGGCCTCCTTGACTGAGATTAGCGCAGCAGCACGCTGAGCTGTGACAACATGGATTGGAAGATCAGGATCATCAGGCTTTACATGCTGAGTCAATATATGATGTAGATTCTCCTCAAGTTCGTGTCTGAACCAAGCTGGAGGCTTGTCATTGTTAGGGGATGTCTCATCGTCTGAGGAGTCAGAATATTGATAGTCTCGTGTGATGGCCAGCAATGAATCATCCCAGACAATTTCAACAATGCCCCTGCGATAAGTTTCGTCATTAGCGATGGCCCTTGCGACTTTGATATTACGTGGATTAGCTGATATGAAGACGCGGTCAAGTCGCAAGCGTACAGTATTACGGAGGCCTCTACAAGTCAGACGGGCGTTTTTGAGATCGCGGTTCGGCAGAAGCTCGAAAATAGACGTGAGCAGCTCTAAGGGGAGGTGGAACAAGTAGCTATAATTGATAGCTGAGGTCAAAGGATCTGAACTCATAGCAGCTGACAGCAGTTGGCGACTGGAAAGTTGAAAGCGAGATGAAGTGCATGCGGGGTTGCTTCTTACTCTTAGAATCTATTTCCACTAACCGTGCCCTCTGTACGGCAGCCGATAGTGAGGCTGCGTGCTCATAAATCAAAATTACGTGTGTCGATAAAGCTTTACTAGTGAACTACGAATTATGTCGCTAAACCGCTTATCGTCCGCCGTACTCCATCGCCCCAACCGCTCCCGTTGTTGGTGCACACTGGCTCAATCCAAATTTTTTATAATTATTATAACAAATAAAAAATTATATATATTATTTTTATTTTATATAATATATTTTTTAATTATTTAACTTTATATTTTTTCAATAATTATAAATATTCTTATAAAATAGTGGGTTCTTTCAAGGACGCCATATGAAGTCCTAAAATGCAGCTCTCAGCAGCTCGTAGTCAATGGCAAATCCTTGTTAACCGCCTTATTGCTTCAAAAGGTCGCGGGGACTTGCCGAGCCGCCAACAATCCGCTCATTGTTGCCAAGAAACATGTTTGCTTCAGTAACCTCAGGCAAGACGCTCATTATGTTTCGTTTTGTTCCTTATATTTCCATAGATCACCATACATAACCAATCAAATATTCTCAAATTGTGACTTATTCACCTTAAAATATGACTGTCGTTAAGGATCGCTTCTAGTCCCCAGACAAAGCTTTCTTGTGGCCTCGGTCTTGCTGGGGTCAAATTGGACCCCATTTTGGCGTCCCGTCGGCCGCGCTAGCGGCTAGTTTCAACGTTCGGCTGACCTCTGTTGCTGACCTGCTCTGGGCTATAAGGCCGATATCATCCATAAATGATAGTGACAGGGCCTCTGGAGCTTGTTCCTCAATAGCCCGAAGGGAGCTCCTGATATAGAGGAAGAGGATTGGCGAGACTGGGGATCTCTGGGGGAGCTTGAATTTGATAGGCCTCTTTGGGCCAGTATGGCTATCAATAATAAGGCTTACCCGGCGGTCGGTCAAAAAGGACTCGATCCGGAGAATGAGGCCCTTATCACGGCCTGTGGTGTTCAGGGCGCCTGTCAGCTTATTAGGGTCAACATGATCGAAGGCGCTGTTAATGCCAATAAAGAGCGCCCTAGTTATGAAGCTTGTTGGCCCACCCTCGTTGCACCTGGTGCATAAAGATTAGGGTGGTCAACCGTTGCGCGGCTGTGGCGTCCCCCCATTTGCCCAGGTTGTAGGACCCCCTGGGCCTCGCAGTGGCTGGTTATCAAGATTGCCGCCAATTTCTCCACTACCTTCCCTAGACAGCTTAAGATATCTTATATATTGACTTATTTAAAATATTTGGTACCTATGATCTAGTTCAGAACCCAAGAAAACGCCCCTCTAGCAGTTCCATCTGCATCCTGTTTCCGACATCAACCTTGTCTTCTAGGTTAAAGCGACCAGCCCTGCTTTTAAAATCTAGGATCAAACTTTGAAGCCCGACTTTATACTTGAGCAGTCTTCGGGTCAGCCATCGTCTCACCTAGAGCGACCTCTTCATGTTTTTTGTCGACCATAGCCGACATCCCAAATCCCACACAGAGAGCCATAGCAACGATCTCCTCAAGCACACTCATGCACAAGTAGATAGTGTCGTTGCCTCCTCCGGGGGTAAAATTATGGTTGGTGCTATAATCGCCTATCGCTGAGTAGACCAGCCGGACTAACAGGAACGGCCACGAAAGAATGATAGCAAAGAACAACTTCTTTTGCCACACCTTGATTGAGAACCAAAGTTGGAAGCCCAGCCAAACCGCCAGCGCGCTCATGATAACAAATACGGCCAAGAATATGCCCATGGCCGCCTTGATTTCGCTATTTGGGTGGAAGGAACTTTTGTCATCGAGGATGCTGACTCCCACGATACCGAGGATGAGGCCTAGGAAGCCGGCGAGGGTCACCAGTCTGAGGAGCCGGGGATTAATATTTTGCTCGGTATCGCTAGTAGAGACACCTTTTGTTAGTTTAAAGTAATTTAGAATTGACATTCGCCAACTCACATTTGTCCCAGAAGTCCGATATAGGTCAGCAGCAGAGGTGCAACCCCGATCAGCTCACAAACGATCGCCGCGATGTAGATCCTCTCCGAGGTATTGTTGATTGTCACCAGCGTACAGATGCTACCGATTATTCGTAGGAGGGCGAGCGTGACTACAAATCGCCAGCTCTTCCCTCCAGCTCTCCATCCAATTCGTTTCCATATGAGTATTCCTATGACGAATAGCACAGGAAATACTATGAGCTGGATGATGGCGATGCCGTCGCGGTAGTCCACAGTGCCCATTTTGTCGTATAATAGTATCGTGGTACTATAGTAGCGAGAAGATGGAGAGGAATTTGATTTCCATCCGGAATGAGACCTATTGGTCTGCTTTTATGTTCCTAAGCCTTGTGAAACCCCCCACAGCTGCCGCAACACCGCCTACTCAGAATAGTCGTCCTTGCCGTTATCATCGTCATTATTATTCGGTCATTATTTTCCGTTGATTGGCGGAGCATCTCATCTCCCTACATAGGATTAGCCCTATATATCTATAATCAGCTAATTTATAGACCCTTATTTCAGCTATATCTAAAATTGGTAAAACGCGTATAAATCTATTAATACGACTGTTAAAAATATATATTATGGAGTACGCCGCAATTGAGCTAAAGAAATAAGCACTATAACCTAGTAACACAGTGGCTCTTCTAAAAGTTTCTATAGATAATCCGTTGTTGATTTGTTAATCTCCTATGTCCCAGAAAAACGTAGTCTTAAGAGAGCTTTGCTAGGCTTGAATAAGAAAGGAGCCTTAACAACCCTTCTCTATGTTACATAGATGGCACCTCATGATCGTATTCAAATTCAATAAAGGTGTAATGATATATTTGCTTCCTTCGTGTTTCTTCCAAGTAACCTTATCAAGAACAAAAAGGGGATAAAGACCGTTGGGGGCCGATCAACCAGGAACATGGCTTCTGGATGGTTCAGCCGGAACCTGCATTTACGCGCCTCAGCTCCGAGAACCTTAAAATCTAACATCTAATTATGACGCAACACATGGTCAATTAGTCGTGGCTTGTTGGTGGTTGTTGGATCTAGACCATGCGCTGATTGGGCAAGCATCTCACCTACCAAGATAGGACTAGCTCAGTAGACCTATAATTGTTAGAGAATATGGGCTAATTTTGGGAGGCTCCATTTGACCAATTAGATGAAAACACTTGTAATAATGAGGGGTTTGAAATCTTCAAAACCGAGGACATCCCCCCCTAGTAAATTGGGTGCAAGTTTGTCAATTACACACAACTATCTGAAGTTTCCAGAATGTTTCACGCAAGTAACGCAGGGTAAAATTGCCACGCTAAATCCAGCAATGATTAGCCCGCATTAGTCATTCACCCCTATCTAGAATAGGTAAAGCCTTCGCAAATCTTAACCTTAATAAGGTTGGGGATTATTATAGTGTTTTTCACGTCACCTCGCATAAAAACTGGAGGTCGACGTGTATTTGCGATTAAGGAGAATCTTGAGCTCCGTTGGAGAATGCTTCGAGAACTTGGCGAATGCCTTGTAGTCAGCACCAGGCTGAAAATTCGGATTTTCTTTTCCTTTAGCAGATAAATATGTCCCCGTATACTAGGGCTCGCGGAAGAGTTTCTAGGAGTTGTGGGAACTGTCGAGCTATCAAGAGGCGCGTGAGTCGTCCTGTCTTCTCAAGTTTACTCAGCCAATGTTAATTGTACCGTGTCTCTGTTCAGTGCGACCAGCAGCTTCCCCATTGCGGGCAGTGCGTTCGACTACGTGAAAAATGCCCCGGTTACCGAGATGAATGGGAGCTTGTCTTCCGCGACCAGACTAACAGGACCATTAAGCGCTCCAAAGAGCAAAGGGCCAAAGGAACTGCCAGTAACCTACCCCCGCCTACTTCCAACTTGAGAACCCGCGTAGATGAGATAGGAGTCAACTATTTTTTCCGCCACTTCGTCATCGGCGGCCGATCCAATTCCCGCGGATGCCTCAACTACATTCCGTCTGTTTATCATGCCGATGGCGAGCAATTTACATTGGTTGCTAGCATGGCAGCCGTAGGCCTTGTGGCATTGGCTAATTTGACTCAACATCCCGAGTTGGCCAGCCACGCGAGAGCCAAATACTTGGAGGCAATCCAGAAGGTGAATGCTGCGTTGGCATCGCCTGTCGAGTCCGTCAAGGACAGCACCTTGATGTCAGTAATTTCGTTGGGGGTGTTTGAGCACGTTTCTGGATATGAATCGTTTGCTCGACATGTCCATGGCGCTGCAGCACTGGTGGCTGCCCGAGGCAAGAGCCAATTCTCCAGTCCTGTCAGACAACTCATGTTTAATCAAGTGCGCACAGATCTGGTGCTTGCATGTTTCCGTGGTACAGAACCATTTCCGGAGAATATTTTAGAGCTACAGGAAGAGGCAGCCAAGCACGCAGACACCTCTACTGCGTGGTGGCTCATGGGGGTGCTGGGTACCCGATGCGCTAGACTACTCACGAGCGTCAGGGATAATCAAACGACTGAGGAAATCTCTTGGTCCGAATTGCTGGAGGAAGCAACTGTGTTGGAGCGTGACTTTGAATCCCTCGTTCCTGTCCTCGCTATACAGGAACCATTTACAACCGTCCGAGCATCTGATGGGGACCCAAACATAATTCATAATGGTTTCATTTACCACTTTAAGGATCCTTGGTCCATCAGGCTTTGGGTCAATTTGCGAACTCTTCAAATGGTTACCAGTGAGATCATTTACTTCGTTTTGATCAAGATTCTCGCGGAGGATCTCGCACCGTCCGTCCGGGAGCATATGAAGCTGGTACTCCGAAGAACACTGCACACACTGTCCAGACTGGGGGACAACATCCTTGCCATCGTTCCACAGGCTTTAGAATTCATGTCCTCGACACCTAATGCTTGCCCCACTATCGGCTTCTCCTTCCAAGGCAGCGTGGCGGGTGGTTATATGCTTACTTGGGGTCTCTACATGGTAGGGAAATGCTTGGCCACGAAAAGTGAAACTCGAAAGTTGGTCATCCAACTTCTCCAGAACATCGGTAGGAGCACAGGCATCTCAGTCGCGCTGCAGCTGGTCGAGAATGTAATAAAGATTGATCGAATGGTCGCTGAGTATCATTCATCTAATTCTTAACGTTTAGGTTCTGGTATCAGCTCACCTACCACATGCTATCGAATGAAGATGCATACATGTATTACATTTCAATTATTAGTGACGCTTAAAATGGCGTTAAAGAGGACTATTCCTGACCTCTAATAGCCTGTTTCATAGTGATATAGAGTTTATCTATATTAGGACACGCGCGATTGACACCCCCGATCAAAGATTTTCAATCTCCTTTTAGAACACGCAGGGATATATAGCTTCTCAACCTCCTTGCACTTAGCTAGGTAAAACAGCCCTCGGTTTTTTACAGAGATTTAGCGTTACAATATTCACAATTGCATACGAACGCAGTAGGTGCCTCATTAAAAAGTCTTGATTTGGAGTAGGGGATATTTTGGCAAGCTATTGAATAATTGCGTTGATGTTCTCCTCTAGCTTCCGACCTTCCTTCCATACAAGACCTTATTTGTATTGTCACTGTATAGCGATTCTTATTCTTATCGTAAATTACTGGGCCTTTAGGTGATATGTACATTTTAGTAGTTTATATAGATCTAAAGCTACGAAACCCCACAGTGGCCTAAATTTCAGTGTCTCTGTATTGCCCCTCATTTTCTAGCCAAGTCGCTGGTCAAAGTTCGATAACTTCATCGCCAGCTAACCTGGCATGTCCGTCGCAATGAATACTGAGACGCTGTTGCCGTCCGTTCTTGAGGATGTTAAGCTCGCAGGCGTACTGCAGCTGAATGTTTCCTCAATATCCTACCTGGCGACGCACTAAAGGAGAATCGTTACCGCCCATTCCGCAAGCTTGAAGAAGGCCAATTTTCATTTGTGTGGTTAGATCTCGACAGAGATACCAACAAATATTTTGCTATTAAAATTGGTATTACTTAGATGTCACAGCGACAAGCTTGGGAGTTTTCAGTTCTGTGTCAGCTCAGACAGCATCCTGTCCCGTCACACCGGGCTGAGCGCCTTGTCGTCGAGCTCTTGGATGATTTGCATCACCAGGTACCCAGTGGCACACACGCTCGTGTAGTATTCAGGCCACTCGGGCGGCAGCTTGAGACTATGTTTGATGACTATTTAGAACGCCCAGCACCGCCTTAATTTTATCGCAAGGTCTCAATTCAAGCGTTGCAGGCATTGGTTTATCTTCACAAGCAAAATATCATGCATGGTGACATCCATCTCGGAAATCTAATACTTGCTTTAACGTAGGAAATTGATTCCAAATCTGAAGACGATATCTGGAAACAGAATACTAGAGGGAACAAGCTAAACGATTGTGACGACTCATTTCCATTGGATGACAGTCTATTCTTTTAGACACGGCTCCAACGAACATAAATATTGTGCTGGTCGACCTTGGCGCTGGCCATATCCGGCTCAAGCAGAAAACAGTACTTACGCTTATCTGATCCTTTATCGACACCCGGAGGTGGTGGTTGGGGCATCGGTAAATTTTAGGGCCGATATATAGGCTCTCGGCTATATGGTATTTCGAATAGTTACCGGGTTGCCTCTGTTCGTCATTGAAAACTGGGGAGATATCGACGAGACGAATGTGGAACAATCGTATGGCTTCATTGAGAGGCCGGGATCTGTACCGGACTCGATTCGTGCCCTAAACTAAAGCAGAAAAAAGTGGTCTTAGTTGGACAATCGGCTGGTGCTACGGACGTGTTTACTATTGCCACTCTTCCTCAAGCACCCTCTTTCTTTAAAGCTGCCATCGCGGAATCGATCCCCGGTACCCAGCTCACCTTCAATGTGACTCTGCAAAGCACTGGTGCGTCATATGCCAAAGCGCTTAATTGCAGTGTGCGTGACGTGAGTACGAACCTTTCCTATCTTTTTTTCTGGATGGAAACTGACCTCTACAGAAACCCTGTCTAAAGTCCAAGACTGTCGCCGAACTGAAAGAGGCGTACACAAACGATGCCTTCCTAAATGAGGGACTTGGAGCATCTGACCATATTGGTATCAACAATCCATTAACGCATGCTTTCTGGCCCTATGTAGATGGTCGTCACTGAGGATCCCTCAAGTCGGGGGCCACAAGTCCCGATGATCATTGGATTTAGTATGCGCATTACTATTCTTATCTCCCCTTCTACATGAAGACTAACCAAGTGAACTATAAAGATCAAAGAGAAGGCACGATGGATACCCTCACCCAGTACGACAGCGTTGAAGCTGTTAGAAATGCCAATGCATCTCAGTATACGGAATTCCTCCGTGACAACTTTGGCACTGCCGCTCAGCTTGTTGAGAGGTATTACTCTCTATCTATTTCGAGTCTCTAACCGGCAACTCAACCGGGCTGGCTGTTGTTGAAGCCATAGCAACAGTCGTTACCGACGCCTATTTCAAATGTCCAGGATATCAGGGTGCAGTGGAAGCCGTACGTAGAAAGATTCCAGTATGGACATATGAGTTCACTCACAACTCTACTTGTGTATGGTTGGACAAAATGCCTCAGTCAGTCATCTCCGAATTTGGCGTCGCTCACACCGTCGAGTTACCATACCTCTTTGGTAACCTGGATTTCAATTTTAACTCGAGTTGCAATGCCACACCTGCCGAGTACTCTCTCGGCGAGAAAATGAGGGGGTTGTGGACGGCAATGGCTGAAAATGCTGATCCATCGACTGAATCTGTCCATTGGCCGCAATTCCAGATCACAGCGAATGGTTCTTCGACTCCGGGGCTTATCATTGGCAACTCGACTGAACCTGGTTTAATTGATTTCTCTGCTTGTAAACTGTGGGCTCAGGTTAATGCCACTATTTTAGCAAGCAATGCGACAGCAACAGCCGCGCCAACACCAAGTGGAAGTCCAACAGCTTCGTCCACTCGTGTTCCCCCGACTAACGGTGCTGTAACTATTCTCCCTAGTTTCGTCGGTTGGAGTGTGTTGATGATGGCATTCGCAGTATTTTTCTAGTTGCAGGGCCAAGGCGAGAATGAGAATCCCCGTTCATAGGTTAGAATATTTAATGACATTACTAAAAACCAGAATATTTTGAAGAATATAAGCCAATATGTCACTCTATAAAACTGGAAAATAAACGGTGACTATTCATATCTATCAACTGATATATAAGATATAGAACCCCCCAACCTACACAGATAGTCACAGGGGAGATCGTGGGTGCCCGTCCCGATCTAGTTCGTGTTGAGAACCTGGGGTAATCATATACAGAATACTTCAACTTCGACTCTACATGGCAAATTAATCATGTCGCGTGCTATTGCATAATTTATGCAATTAATGACATTTATCTGTTTGTGCTGTTTGTCTACCCCCAAATATTACCCAAATATCTCTGAGTATTAATTATCCAGCTTACCACGATCTAACGTGGGTAGGACATCCCCACCCATTACCCGCCAAGAAATGGGTGATGGGTTGCCCATTTTTGGTAGACCCGCGGACCGTGGCGAAGCCTGCGCGCTTGCCTCCTCTGTGTGCATCTTGCCGGGTCCTTAAGCATATAAATTGGACAATTAAGTAATAGAATCAAATTATTTAGTGTAATAAGACATAGATTACTTCAGGCTTCTATAAAAGAATCTAGGTAACTAGAAAAGTTAGTGAGAAGTTAGATGAGACTGTCACAAGAATCGATAACTTGCAGCCATTGAATACGATAGTTAACGTGATCCACCACCCACCAAATCACACAGGCGACCCGATCACTCAAATACATACAAAATGCAATATTTTACGTCTTCATTTACTGGCCGGCTAGGGCTCGGGTTAGCGGGGCACGTACCCCATACTGGCTATCTATCCGCGACGCGCGCGGCTGCACATAATTCCTTCCTCATGCTTAGAATCCTAGTTCAATGGTACCACAGATTCATATTTATGCTGATCGTAACAAAAGGTACCCTTAACGTCAATAAAGAGCGCCCTAGTCATAAGCTTGCCGGCCCACCCTCGTTGCACCCGGTGCATAAGGATTAAGGCGGCGTCCCCCTATTTGCCCAGGGCGTAGGGCCCCTGGGCCTCGCAGTGGCTGGTTATAAGGATTGCCGCCAATTTCTCCACTACCTTCCCTAGACAGCTTAGCAGGCTGATCGCCCTCCAGGCCTTCACTAGGGCATAGTTAGGCTTGCCAGGCTTCTCTAATACCACGCCTTTGACCACCTTCTAGGCTGGGGGATGCACCCCTAAGCGGAAGCATTGCCTCGCTAGGGCCACTAAGCGTTCAGGGTCCAATGCCCAGACTAGCCGCCAGGCTATGAAGTTAAGCTTGTCAACTCTAGGGGCCTTTGCAGTGCTTTGACTGAATAGGGCCTCGTGCACCCGCGCGGGCGTTGTAAGCGTATGGGCTTGGCCACCCAGCCTTAGATGGTTTATATGCGTGTATGAATGAATAATAATAATAATAATCTAGAATAGGAAATCGAGAGTGATTATATACGTTGAAATTAAAGTGCGCTTTATTATAAGAATTTCCGATCCTGTCGGAATATTTGGCACTAAGCACATTGGGAAAGGATTCGAAACGCCCAAAATTACGATCAACAACGCCAAAACAGCACCCAAAAATTCGACATATTTCAAATTTCAAATCCTTACCCCTGATGACAAATATTAGTGTAAATTTGCATATAAATACGCCTAGATAGATGAGTTCTTTGAAACTCAGGCTTGTATCTCAATCCAATTGAATTTTCCACTAAACTCAATTTGTTCTAACGCGTAAAAAGTCCGACAGATCCACTTTGTCATGTGACCTCTGTACTCTGAGTGGCTGAAAGAGCTGATTGTTTATCATGTGTTTATTGACGCGGAAATAATAATTTTAAAAATCAGAGTCAATAAATATGCTACTATCTATACATCATCTATTCCATCCACTATTTACTATCTTAATCATTCTATCAACCTCTTCTAGTATCAATATGGATACTGATATATCTGAGTCCTTAAGTTCTCTATCATCGCCTCCAGAAGATTTAATTGATGCCTCCGACACGCCAACAGGCAGACGAAAGCCTTCCAGTCCTAGACGAGCGAATCGAAATATCAGAGGAAAACGGCACATTAAAAAGGCGCGGTTAGACAAGGTGTTACAATATATGAGCAGTACAGGTATAAGCATTGAAACTTTTCTTCGAGCTTATCTAGAATGTCCTGATGTGCTACGCTCGACCACCCATCGTACCCAGGACAAGCGGCATAAACGGATTCGCGATGCACTATTTTCCCTTTTACAAGGACAGTCAGAGCAGTCGAACTTTCTTCTACAGATTATTAGCAGCTTATTACGGTCGGAATTTGATAACTTGATGGAGACAACCTATTTTGGTCAGTTCGACAGTACTACGGCAGATCCAGAAACAATCGATTTTAGTGAACTAGAAGGGGTGCTCAAGGAACATGCACCAACATGGAATCAGATTGCTCGAATACTTTTATCTAACGATCGTATGAAGCATGAGAGCTATACTGGCGATAAAGATAAAGTGGCTGAACGTCAAGTTAAACCGCTCTATCTAATCACTTCTACATTTTGCTTTTCTCGTGCGAAAATGAGGTGCAATTATCTACCTAAGTTAATGGGGTACTATCTATACAGTCTCGGTGTGAACCGACGTGCATTAGGATTTCTAGCAGACATAGGGATATGCAATCATCCTCAAGAGATCATCAAGGGAGCTAAAATGATCGCAAGGAAAGAACAGGTATGAGATTAATGTATTTGTAGGTAAACACTCTAAATATTTCTATTCCTATAATACTAATATTTTAAGGGCTTTCACCATGGTGAAAGCCCTTAAAATACAGTGTCAATCCATCACAAAAGACTCGAATCCGCTGGGCCAGGCTATTTCCCCTCCTCGTGGTTTTTGACAGAACGGCGAATTTATTAACATGAGCGAGTAGTTCTTTTGAGGACGAACAGGGAGCAAACCGGGCCCGTTCATCGATCGGGAGTGCGGCCAGGAAGTCCGTCTTCGCTTTGGAAAAGAGAGCCTCGCAGTCGACCACAGAGAAAGTAGAGGTAGAAGAGCTCAGATTCGGCTGGCTGGAGAAGTTTTACGAGGATTTGTTAGTCTGGGTACCATGGTGGGAGGGACGCCCTTACCTCATTTTTCATAATCGCAAAGCCCTTCGCAAGGAAGGCTTGGAAGAGAAACGCTGTCAATCAAAGACTTAATTTGAAATATGAGCCTTAAGAAACGGCGTTTCGTTCACCTGGTGCACTGCCTCACCACGGAGGCTAGAAGGCTGCCTGGCCTGCAGGTCAACCTTGTGCCTTCACCAATCATCAGCGCTTCCTAGAGAGAAGGAATCGACATTGAGGGGGGACAACACTTCGCCGCAGCCTTCCTAGTTGACCACTTAATGATAGCTTTTGCCAATCGAACTGCTCCATTCATCATGCCGCAACTGATTTTATGGTGTTCCTCGTAAATCCCCTTGCGAACATGGGATGCGCAAATATTGATTGGTCAAAGTACCATTTCCGTCCTATTTTCCTACTGTGCAGTGGTACGACTAGGGTAGCCAAAAACCGTTGGCTAGCAACCCCGCTAAGTCACAACGTTCAGTAAAGAATTGAATTTTCTAATGTAGCGAATAGATGTAAATCAGTCTGAATCAATAGCTGAGTTATTAACACAACGGCAATTGGAATTCAACATTGAAGGAAAGAAAACGTATACTACATACGAATTAAAACATCTTGAGGTTTAAACATATCATTTCGTAGAAAAAGGGCATGTACTGGGGCGTGAATCTGATATTTTAGTCTTCCAGGCATTCATTTCTTCTTGTCCCTTTCCTTTCTTTTGGTTAGGACCAACTTCATGAAATAAATATCCACCTGGCATGTATTTCTCGCCATTTTTGCCACCTGGTAGCACACCTCCAAGAATCCACGTAAACCACGCAGCTGGACCCCATCGGTTCCAAAACGTGGCTTCGACGTAGTATGGATGAGCTAAATAGGTATTATGATGATAACGTCCTGTTTTCGAATCTTTCTCCGAAAACTCACTAACAGGAAATATGCGTGGAAGACAGAGATTGAGAAGAAATATGCGCCGCAGATCAAGTATTAGGTACGTGATTGCATGGGCAAGAAGAGAGGGCTCTTCAGACCTATTATAGAAAGGGTCAAAATTATGTCAAATCGTTTGGCTTAATTGTAGCTGACTGAAACACCCACATCATAGCATATCGAAGGTGCTCTCCCATTAGCACACCAACACACTGACGCATGAATGGCACAAGTGGAGATGGAATATAATGCAAAAGTAATGGCGTGAGCTCATCGGCAGTTTTCTTGTTTGTGCTTGCTGGCACGAGGTGGGTGCTCTCGTATTGACGGGCCCAGTCCCTGATATCTTCATAAAACTCTATCCCATCCTTCCAAGTATCGTTTTTCAGATACCCAGCATACCTGATCTCCATTGCATCCCCAATCCCTTTCCAAAATGTACCTGATGCGCATATTTCCATTTCTGTCAGTTGTCGCCATTCGTACCGATTTATCCACGTGATCGGCTCAGTGATAAATAGACTTAGTGTGTACAATAAATCTTCGTTGCTGATTTTTCCAGCCTTGATGTAGAAGCTATGCAAATAGTTCATCCTAGCGATTGCCTCTCGGGCTCGCTCCTCGGAAGGGCCATGGTAAATTAACTCGCCAATGAGAACTGCAGTATCTTCGTATCGTTTACTCGCATTTACAGGAGTGCTGAACATTCGCGTTTCACTGAGAAGGTTTGATATTGTTGGTATGCCGTATGTCTGTAACGGTATTTAGTATGCTTGGTTGCTATATCTGTGACTTGTCTCAGACTGATAATGAGGTTATCTACCTTGAACAGTGCAAATTGTAAGGATGCTCTGGATATCGTGGGAAACTCGTATTCTCCCCAGCTTCTCACGATTTCCTGTGCCTCTGCACTGGTCATTTTTGACATCGATTCTCGTGTTGTATAGCCTGAAGTTTTCACTTTAGATCGGATTCGTTGATGACGGAAACAATAGCAGAGCACAGAATAGAGCAAAACAGAGGCCATTATCAATGAAGGTGTCAAAACTTTTTCCAGAGGCGGCAATTGAGTGACGGAGTTAGCCCTTGCGCCGACATAGCTCTGCAAAGGCCTGACCACAGAGTCGAGCAATACAATGCTTTGATCTAACATCTCCATGATCGTGGGTTTTCGGGAAAGACGCTCCACTAGCCAAGCTGATAAGCGTGCATAAATCCAAAATAAATTAGAAGCCTTCAGGAGAGGGGAGGATGGCATTTTGTAGTCCCGACTTTCTCAACGATTTGGAACAATGATTCGGGATCGGCATTCCACACTCACACCTATTGCGGGACCGAGTATTTTAGTTGGCCGAAGAATACGGATGATGTAAAAGTAGATGCATGTTTGGACTACCCGCAGTAGAAGCTAAGCAAGGGAGGATCAGCTAATTGGAAGCAATATTTGAATCTAGCCGGCATTCGATTTATTCGACGTAAGTGATGCATAAAATTAATGATTGTATCACGCATCTATACGGGAAACAGCTCAGACTCGGTCATGTTAGTTTTCATTACCATGTAATCAGTTATACCTGAAATCTCTCAATAGGATGAAGAATGATCCATTCTGAGTGGATCTCGTAGGCCTCTTAAATTTGAATAATATGCATAGAACGGCCTAGACACAGTGTTACAAGAATATCGGAGACAGATCCTCTTAGTTCGAAATTTAAAGTTGATGAATGGGCGAGATATATTCTAGGGAAGGCAAAGCTAGATGGGAGTGGCTGTCTCACTGAGGTCGAAGAGAAGGCATTGAAGAAGACAGAGAATCGGGCATCGGAAAGAGCTGCCGAGTTTTTATTCTAGACAGGAAACACTGTGAGTTTGCAATAGAAGTCGAAAACTCATCAATTCGGGCTCATATAGCTGTTAAGCAAGTTGTATATACATATTTATTGACATGGTATCCTTCGTCAATGCCAACATCTTGATTCAGATTTATATTTCCTCGTCATTAGTATTCTTTGGAGGGACAGGGACTTGTTCAAGCTAGTATCACTCTGCAGTTGTATGATAGTGATAGGCGCTGCAAGATTCTTCCCAAAGGTATGTCTGGTGTTCTACCTCTATAAAGTAAACATGTTATAGGAGATGCCGTAATTTAGGCCACAAGAGATACAAAACAGCTGCTCGGATGATGTCAGTCGTACCTATCCGCTTCAAGACTCTTCGCAAGTGTATTCTCCTCGAGTGACCAGATCTTCAAACTATTGTCATATTCTGTTGGCAATGCATAGCCATCTCCCTTGACCTCATCAACATCAAAGTCAGGGAAATGCTTTTGGCCAGAGCATGTTGCCAAGACACTACTACCTGGATGCAAAACGGAACTTGTCGCTGGGTCTGTATCGTGTCATTAGCATTATCTACAAATTTGGCTCATATAATCAACAGAATACGAACCACAATGCATATCGAATTCGTGACTAGGCTTTTGAGAGCCTATAGAAGAATAAGGATTGCTCCAAACTCTTACTGTGCCATCTGTTCCTCCTGCCCATATTTCATGTGACTCGCCATCACCAGTAGCAACGACGTCCGCTTTCATGCGCTGGTTGCTAAGAGCCTCGCGTCCCTCTAACCAGCCTAATAATTGGCCGGTAACACGAATATCATATACCAGCATTCCTCCGCTCTTGCGCTCGGCCACATATAGATATCTTCCACAGGGACTCCAGAGCAACTGCGTGATTCCAGTACCACCGATATGTTTGTCAGCCTCTGTTTTGACGATACTAAATGTCCCAATAAGCTCGCCACTTCCTCTAGATCCATACAGTGCTATGTATCTTGTGAAAGTTCCAGCTGCTAGAATCCCGTCTCCAGCAGGATTCATTGCTAGCGCAGAAACAATACCTTTCATACCTACACCGCCACCAACAATCTGTTTGCGTTTACTAGGTATTGTTGGAAACCTAGTAACTGGACCATCGCTTCCAGTACGAGAGACATCGAAAATGCATATCAAACTATCTGACCCGGTGATGAACTGTGACCCGCCAAGCTCAGAGGGATATAATATTGAATGCGGCGTGATAAAAGCTTCCGTTGTGGGATTAACCAGTGAATATGTTCCCAACGTCCGTGGCGCCAGGGCTGACGACAACCTGATGGGATGATCCCGTACCGAAGAAAGAATAAGAGTCGTCGAGGGATCTTGGAGAGAATAAAATGGATAAATCGCTGTGGCATATACTGGCTCATTTGATGGTATTGTTGAGTAGGGCTCTAGCTGCAGTAACTGCTCTCTCTCTTCTAGAAGATCCGGTGGTCTGCTGTTTGTCAGTGATCGCCAATTTATTAGGCCTGAGTAGGTACTCACAGTATGAACGTTCTGAGGTGGTTGTCTGCAGAATCCGTGATCACTGTAGTTCCATCTGCCGTCCTGTTTCACCATTAGCCTTCGAGATTCTTCGTGATATCATCAGAGCGATTACCATTCTGCACTCTTAAAATAATTTGACTCCACTGTGTCATGATACGTGCCTTGTTTTTCAGAAGAAAGAGGAATGTGGGAGGATTGAAAAACCGCTAGGCATTTCGGTGTCAACTGCACTGAGGGCTCAGTGCTCGTCTGAATTTGGGAAGACGGCATGATTCTGAAAAGAATGTATTTACTAGACTACTTTGGAGTTTGGATTGACCGCGCGCCATCAAGTTGAGGGTTTGAAATCCTCAAAATGCAAATTATGGGTCAAAACCAATCGTCTCATCCCGTAAACGCAACCATGCCAACTGTATTACGAGAATGCTTGCAGGATGAACGGTAGCTATAGATTCGCCACTGTTCGTAGAGGGCACTAGTCCGTATCGGGGATGGCGGGTCGCGCAGGGCGGAATTCTTGGCCTGCCGCAGCTTTGTTTTTATCTGTTTCTATCGCAAGTCGAGACTTCCTTTGCTCGCAGAAGACCTCTCGCGGCTGAAGCAAGGGGCTGACGGCCGATCCTATCTTCTAATATACAAAGCTCAACCGATACAAGTTCCGCTCAGTCCATAATGTTCGCCCCGAAAACTTCTACCGCAGCGGCGGGTGGGCTGTCCATCAACACTTCCTCAGCCAATTCATTATTGTGAGTGCATCACCCTGGATCTTCTTTCTTTGCCAGTCAGCCTCTCTCTCATTTTACAATGAAGTTTTCGCCTCTTGAGCATATTGCATTCAACCGAACTATGAGTAATTGAATCGCTTTGTAAGTTTGGTTTAAAGGTCGGCAAGAAGAAATCCGACTCAAGAGCGAAGGGCTTGAATGGCTTTGAAGAAACGTCCACATTAAATTAGAACATACTAACGTCGTCCAAATTCCAGCACAGCAACTCCTACATCCCAACCTGCAACAGCAGGAAGCCTTTTTGGAAACCAGCAGAAGCCTGCCGGGAGTCTTTTCGGGAATACGACAGCAAACACAACAACTGGAAACACACAGCAGAGCAGTGGAAGTTTGTTTGGTGGACTAGGTTCGAATACATCCAGTGCGCCTCAGCAGAGTGGTATGGCTGGAGGAAGTCTGTTCGGCGCGCCGGCAGCGACATCGCAGCCGCAAACTGGGGGTTCATTCGGAAATGCTGCTGCGAAACCTGCAGCATCAGCCACAAGCTTGTTTGGGAACACAACTACACAGCAGACGGGGACAACTGGTGGGGGCCTTTTTGGGAATAAGCCAGCTGGAAATACTGGAAACAGCCTTTTCGGAAACACAAATACCGCGCAGACTGGCGCCACAGGAGGCAGCTTGTTTGGAAATCAAGGCGCAACAGCTCAAACAACTCAGCCAAAATCACTCTTTGGCTCAGCTGCACCTAGTGGCGGTGCGTCTCTTTTGTAAGTCAAAGCATTGCTGTTTCCTATAATGTAAACTAATCGTCTGTTAGTGGTGGAACTCAAAATGTCGTTCAGCAACAGCAACCACAACAGCAAAAACCTACGTTATCGATATTTAGTGCTCAGAATAACGCACCCCAACAACTACAACAATCTACCGCCGCTCAAGGAACCGTTATCCAAGGAGTCAGAGTTGATGCCAGCAACTTATTGCCTACAACCAAGTTCGAAAGCTGCGCAGATGAGATCAAAATGACCATCGAACAGATCGATACATATGTCTTGAATCAACTAAATATGTGCAATGAGGTTACAGACCTTCTCCCCACGATTGCGAAGCAAGGGGCTACGATACCAAACGATGTTGGTTTTGTGGAAAACAAGCTTGAGACGATGCAACATGCCCTGGAGAATGATGCTCGGGACATTAATAACGTACGCAATATGGTGACGCGGAATGCTGCCGAAGCTCAAGTCGCATTCCGTGCCATTGATAATCTGAAGCTGCCTCTACAGTACCAATCTTCAAGTGGAGGCTGGTGGTCAGTACCAGAGCAACAGCTTTCAGAGCGACAGTCCCTTCGATCATCTATAAAACATCGAAAAAGCACACTGGCATTGCCCGATGATGTGGAAGGAGACTCGGCCACCACGGACTCCATCAACGGCGTTCCCGTCAATCTTGTTGACTACTTCTCGCACCGATCCGATGAAATGACCACCGTTCTCGAAACCTACAGGAAGAACCTGAAGGAGGTTGAAGACCACTTGTATGGCGTTGAAAGCTCGCTGAACAGGCAAATCAATGAATTTGCCTCGTCGCGTAATCGTGCCAGTGCATCCAGCGGCGGAAATGTTAAGACTCAACTTGCGGATCTAGCTGCTGCTCTTGGGGATGTAGAAGCTGGTATTCTAGGGGTTGCAAACAGACTGGGCGGTGTCAAGGAACAGGTCCAAGAACTAGTCATAGGGCCATCAAACTTGGGCGTTGGCCGTCTGGTTTAGATCTTTCAGTGTAATAATGCTTGTATAAAACAACGTCATGCCTTTGTACGTCGATGCCAGCTGGGTTCTCTTGCAGAATACGGGGAGTTGCCGGCGTTTTTTTGTATCTTAGAGCGAATGTTAACGGCGCCGTGTCAGGCCCATTTGATCTATCATCTATCCCATTAAACTACATTTTATTTTTATATGTTTCAATTTTTCTTTATATTATAATATAAATGTGAAAACTAGAATTTATAGTATCTATAGTTATATAGATAGTATTTACCTATTATCTATATAAAAATAAATGATCTTATTAAACGTATGCAGTATATATACAACGATCACTACTTTTAAAGGATCATACCTAGAACTGTCCTGACAGATGAGCAAATAGCATTAGACATTCGAGGACTAAGGTGTATTCAATAACAAGACGTAGCACGAATGAAAGAAACATATCAACTCATCACTGGTAGGGTCACCTAATCACGTGATGTATATCACATAGTTTCATGCCAATTCTAGTAGAATATGGGCTGAAAAGTTATGGACGCAGTGATCCCGAGCCCAAAATTCAGCCACGAATCACTGTAGTAGAAGACTAGATTTAGTAGTGTGCATCGATTTGTGCATTCGTCAATGGTGAACAACTTCCCTATTATCTTCCCAATACCATGCGTCAACTGCTTTGGATACTTTGCCTTCTAGTAACACAGTTGACAGTTTTGATGTTGCTTCTTGAGATGATCCTTATTTCCTAGCAAGGGAAACCTAGAATTTACATTTCCCTGTCCTTTTACCTAGGTAGACGGCGGTTTCTGTGCATATACAAAGTACCTGAGAGAAGTAAGCATTGATTCACTTTAGATCAAGTTGGAAAAGGAAGTAACATACGCCCACTGGTGGGCAAGCAGTTTCCGAGTTTTGAGTGCAGTTCTCATCTTGATCCCGAATATCTCAAGTTCCTCCGGTTTCCACTGCAAATCAGTCAGTTGCTTCACTTGGGGAGATTCAACTTCCAGGAAGCCACCAAACACATACGCCCATGTTGTTCGAGAAACGACGAGAACAGAAGTCCAAGATACCCTGTTCTAGCCGTATTTTGTTAAAAACTCCGATCTCTTGCTGATGCGGATCTTTGGCCCAGTTGCCAATCGGCCAGGGAACTCGGATTTCAGTAACATTGATGAATCCGGCATCTTCAAGCCAGCCTTTGAGGTGCGGGCCAATATCGAAATTCATGCCGGATTTCTGCCCAGCCTCCACCATCAGTTTCCCCCATTGATGGTAAACATGATCATCGCCTAGCGTATCGTAGCTAGAAGTGAAGAAAAGTCCCGGCTCTGCCTGGTCAAACCAGCCGGTGGGTTTAAGAGCACTAAATTCGCCTCAGTATTGACGGTACTTGAGCTGCTTTAAAGGAGTTATACCTGAAAACCTTTTTGTACAAGTCTGGCCAGCTAGGGACTGTCCCAAGGAGTTCACGAGAATGAATAAGATCGAACTTTTCAACATCTAACCAATCTAGATTGTAGTCGTCGATCTCAAATTTTAGGTTTGGCGGCACCCAGGGTGGCTGAATGGGAGACAGATCGATCCCTTTGACTTCGGCCTGAGGGTGCTCATCAGCCATGTCCCTGGTAAAGCAGTAAGCAGCCATGCCATTGAGAGAACACCCCCAACAAAGAGAATGGTTCTGGGGGATCATACATGGCCCAGATTCCAGTGCCGGTACCGAGATCTAGGATACTCTGTTTCTAATAGTTAGCGATTCGACATCTATTTCTGCGGTGTGGATTGCATGGCAACTACCCACTTGTGGTTTTTCAATCGGGGCAAGGTATAACTTTCCACGGAGAGTCAAGCACCAGAGGTGGTGACTGGCACACCACATAAGCAGATATACAAATAACAGATTCCATACCAAAGACAAGCTCACCTAAGATCTTGCTGTTCCTGGGCCTGTTCATCGTTGGGCCCCCAATGCTCCGTAGACCCTGGCCGGTACGATGTTAGCAATTGATTCGCTCATATTCAGGGACAGGAATAAACCGAAGCTCGCACCATACGCATGGTATCTTCTTCCATTTTCCTCACGGTACTTCGTCACGGATGAACTGAGACTCGTAGTCTCTGAGGACAAACTGGCCGCATCCAGCGCAGAGTCATTATCTCCACCGTCATCCGTCTCGTCCGCTCCAGCGGGCTCGGGAAGCTGAGTGATTCCCCGTCAGAACGTAGATAAGTTGGCGAAGAGAAAAGCAGTCCGGTATGTGTGCGGAAGTTGAATATAAACTGTACCTCGGTAGTCACAGCACCCTCTAGGTTCTCTCTTCGGACCGTTGTCGGAGCGGACAGACCTTGGACGATGTAATTTTCATCTGCGGGGGACGCCATGGCCACAGATGCAATTTCAGCAGCTGTCCGGCTTATCGTGAGGCCTTCAGCTAAGAATAAATGAAAATAACAAGGTTCGATGATGTGAGGCCGGGATCCTCTCAAAGCAGGACCAGGCGGTGAGTTTAGCGCGCAGCAATGAGCTGAACACCAGAACGTTGTGGGTCAGTTGTGTGGTCTAATGCCACCGAATTCGAACTACTGTGGTTGACGCCGGTGGATTTGTTGGTACGGTGGGCATTTGCAAGGATTCGACTCCTTCAGACGGTCAGGTTTTCCTCACCACCGCCTTCCAAATTTGGCTAATATTGAAGCTAGTGAGATCTCTCAGAGACGCGCTCCGGAGTAACATTACTCTGTTCAATATCAATATGGCCACCACCCCAGAGCCTAATATCCCCCCTGGAACAGCTACTGAGGCACCTAAGGCACCTGAAGCGAAGTAGAATCTGTACATCTCAATAGAGATAAACGGATTCGTGTTTTAACACTACGAGATTCTGGATTTACATATCTCTAAATATCCTCACAGCTTCAAATCAGTTATCGCCAAGTCCAATATGCATGTCAAAATCAACAAAAAACTCCTAAAATGGCTCATGGCAAAGATCCAAAGCTATCAAGAATGAGATTAATCGCATTATTAAGTGAATTGATTCCTCAAAACGTACACATCGTATATTTTACCATAAAGTGATACGTGAGCTTGAGCTTCCTTATATGACTACTGCACTATCTCGAGAACTTGAAAAAAGAGGTTATACTCATTGTAAAGCTCTTCACAAGCCTTCTCTATCGGATCAAAATAAACGTGTACGTCTTGCCTGGGCCCTTAAACATATAAATTGGACAATTGAGAAATGGAATCGAATTCTTTAGTCTTCCAAGACATAGATCACGTCAGGCTTCCATTCCTATTTGGGAAAAGGAATGGGGCAGTATTAGATCTAAGAATTATTACAAGCGAATTATACCTTTTATTAATAGTTATATTCGCTTAAATTGACAGCAATCTACATATGTTCAACTTATGTAAGTTGGTGCACCTGAGCATGCTAATAAAGATACCATCAAGAAGCTTCCTACAAGGAGTATCTACCCTATTAACTGGACAGCATTCTCGCCTAATTTGAATCCAATATACAGTGGGATGAAATATGTTTGAGGATAACACTAAAAAGGCGGTCATAAAAGTACGCGCTAAAAATTTAACTAAACAAAAAACTGACGAAATCTCTTGTTATAATGTATAATTCCAGACTAGTGCTAAATTATTATGGGGCAATACAAGCACAATACTTTAGTGCTATCCTCCAAATAATTCATCCCACTGTACAGGAGGAGGGGCCGTTCGTATCTCTTGAAGGGTAAACCGCAGCTTTTCTAGTTCCCCCAGGCCGTATATCAGATCCCATTGTCACATATATGCCTAAATCAACGACAGCATGGAGACAGTTGCAGATGTACGTCGTGTTATGGTGATTGGCGCAGGTAAACCTTAACCTAGTCCGAGGTAAGGCAATAGGATAACTGACCAAGGAAACAGGAGCGGCCGGACTCCTCATTGCTCAAGTGCTAAAGAAGGTGCAGTAGATCTGGCAGCACTTACCACATGAAGCAGATAGCTAATTCTTGCAAAAAGCATGGCGTGCATTGCAAAGTCTTTGAACAGGATACAAAAGCCGATGCGCGGCCACGAGACTGGAATTATGGAATATATTGGGCACAATCATACCTGGCTGAGTGCCTCCCACCAGAATTAGTCAGTCAGCTGGAATCGACACAGGTTGACTTGCATACACCGTCAGAGAGTGATTTCTTGCCGATATTCAACTTAGCGACTGGAGAGCCTCTCATTTCCGTGCCCACGCCGTACAGCTACCGTCTGCAGAGGAGAAAATTTCTCAATTTGATCTCGACTGGCATCGATATTCAGGTTAAAAAATACTCCCATAGTCAGAAACTACCAGTGAATCAAACCTAACGGTTATACATAGTATGGAAAATGCCTAACTGCGGTCCACTCTGATAACAAGACGGTGACGGCCCTATTTGAAGACGGCAGCCAGGAAACCGGAAATTTACTGATCGGCACAGAAGGTGCCCATTCCCGTGTTCGTGAATATCTACTAGGCAAGGAAAAGGCCGCATTGATTCCCTCCCGCATTGTGGCCTCGGCCACGATCTCGCGTCTTCCAGAGCAGGAGGTTAATGCCCTAAGAAATCTGCATCCCAGATACTGTATCGCATTCCATCCTGATGGCTACTTCAACTGGTTTGGCAGTAAGTGACCACATAGCCCTCCTGCTGCATGGTTGCATACTGGGAATTAACGATATAAGTCCATAATGAGGCCACACAATCAAAAGACTGCGTATTCATGATCATCTTGTCATGGATTTCAGAATCAGATACCGGCCTATCAGGCACGGCCATCGCAGCCGATCTGAAGAAAAGAGCTAACACGTTCGGGGAGCCATTCAGGACAGTACTACATTCCATCCCTAGCGAGACAACATTCTGGCACAACAGGCTCTCGTCCTGGCCAACGCAACCGTGGGACAATCATAATGGCACAGTTACACTGGCGGGAGATGCTGCTCATCCGATGACTTTCCGTGAGTCGTTTAATTTGATATGTTGACAGTAGATTGATCGATGCTAATCACCTTGAATTCGATATTAGATCGTGGGCAGGGCTTGAACAACGCGATTACGGATGCCGCCTATTTCGGCCGCCAACTGGCAGCCCTTGATACGAAATCACCTGAATCTCTTTCTGCAGCTGTCACCGCTTTCGAAGAGGAGCTGTGGAAAAGAGGAAATGAAGCAGTGACCCAATCCGACGCAAATAGTCTCTCAGTCCACAACTGGGAGGAACTCAAGAGCTCCCCACTCTTCACATCTGGCTTAAAGCAGGGATCTTCGACCTAAGCATTCTAGAACATCTATTTTTCTATTTAACTCGGCAGTGATTAATGGCCCTCTGGGACTCGGAACACCCTGACCGCTTGGACGGTTGCCGAATATCTCGAGCGACCGCTATATTCGGGAAGTCATGAACCCCGTTTGACTGCCTTCAATTATGACACTGGTCCACTTAGAAAGTTCCTTAAAGACATCGTCAAGAGACCTGGATTTACACGACCGGGCGCTGGTGATATTTTGTTCGGTCAGATTTTCCATTATGTCAACAACGGGTATAATTGCAGCCGCTGTGAGGCTTCTTATGAAAAGAAGCTCGCGCCTCGTATAAGCTGTTATTCTGTAATTCATTGAGGTCTCATTCTTTTGGGCAGTGGTGTTTTCAAGAATCCTTGTCATTGTGAATAGTTATGTTGAGGTTATAGTAGTAGTAGCAGTAGTTGACCTGTTGTCGCTGGCTTCCATACTATCGCCGCCGCTACCCAGGGTTGCGCCCTAGCCTGTAGGGTATATGAGAGCAACCCCAGGGGCCAGCCATGGGAAGGTAAAATAAGCTAACTAGTGTAAATAATGCAAATAAAATAGAATATGTAAAAATATGAATAACGCAAATAGTTGATACCGCTCATAATATTCACCTTTTTCACCTCTGATTAGCGCGCCGCGTACGCCCAGTTTATGCGATATCGATGTTCATTTCTCACTAAATATCTTACTCTGGCTCAGCCTGCCTAGCTCAGGCCTACGCTCGCGTATTTCTGCAAACCGTCCTTTACTAGGCCTTGCTTCGTGTCGCTTCCCGCATTCAGGCAGGATGTTGGTGTTTTACTGGTCCTTACTGGTTATGGGCTAACCTGGTGCGCCAGTGCATGTGTGTTCTACGCGCTGCCTAAGCCACGTCAGTGTCCTTGGTTTGGGGCCTTAGCAATTGTCTTGGCTTCGCCAGGCTGCGTGCTTAGTGCTTTGGAGTCAACTGCTCTGAATTGATCAAGCACGTCTGTGTCGATTGTGAATTGCGCGACAGCAATCGCTGCCTCTTTTTCGCCAATTATCTCACAAAATCCGCCTACTGAACGGCCGCCTTGGATACGACTCCACATTGCCATGCGTTCGCGAGTGTTTTGGTGACAATGATGTCTTGGAGATTGGCCGCCGCCAAGGCCGCATGGGCAGAAGGATAGTCTCGGCGTTTTATCCGTCACAAATAGTGGGTTCAAGCTGACTCGTAGTTGGATGAATATTGATTCAGATGCCTTACGCAGGCCGCCTCAATATCGCAGTGTCTTTGTAGTCGGGGCGTCAAGTAGTTTGTGTGTTGGGGCCCCTGCTTTGCCTCGCTCCCATTCTCGCCTCCACGAGTCCTTTGTTGATTGTTGGATTTGGCGCTTTGCGGCTGACGCTAGCCAACATAGCTTTAAAACAGTGTTAGTATTATCGTCAGTTTGAATAGATTGTCTGACGGCCTTTTGTTCAGCGCGCTTGGCTGTACGGTCTGCTGCTTCTTTGCCCTTAATGCCTTTATGCCCAGGGATCTATTGGGGCGTGTTTGGGACGTTATCAAGCGTGCATTCGCTAAGCAGGTCTTGCCAGCTTTGTATAAAGATTTGTTCTGAGACTGTCTGGATTACTAAGTATTCTAGGGCTACTTGGCTATCTGAAAAGATGACTATCCTCTTTTTGACGCATGTTTCCCAATCAGGCATCTCGTTGTAATAAAAGGCGGTTCTCGGAGTGAATTCGATGGCACGGATTTCAGCAGTGTATACAGTCGACGCGCCCTCAGCACTGAGACATGCTGAATATTGCTTATTGATCATAGGATATACCATTGCAGCGGCGATTTGGCCTTTATAGCCGCTGCCGTCTGAGTAGATCATTAGTGGGGGGTTGTGTGTATTGCATAGAATTGTGTGCGCTTATCCCTTTTTCTTGTTTTTCAATGGCTACCTTAAGGGGTGTCTGCCATGGCACCTGGATGAATGCTTGCCGACCCTCCCATGTCCCCGCCACGGCGTCCGGGGGAGCCTGCAGGCATCCATCCTTCTTCCAGGCATGCACCTCGGAGGTATAACTGTTAAGCTTAATCTCATTTTCAGAATGTTGTCGAATTAGGCTCTCTGGCATCGTGTGGGTTGGGCTGGTGTGCAGTTGCAGGGCGGCGTTCTTTGATAAGTTGCCCCATTTGACGCTTAATTGGAAGTAAGTACAGTTTGACATTCAGCGCTTCGGCTGCTGTTTTGCGGAAGGTGCCCCTAATCAGACATGTCGCGCGCTTTTGGATTGAGGCGAAGCCTCATGTAGTCTCATTGATTTGCCTCTTCGTGAGCACCCTGGTTGGAACCAAACGGCCACGCCATGGAGCATCTGGGGAATTATGTTGAGGTCCTGTATACGAGAGGGTTAGCAAAGTCGGCTATCATCAGATTTTATGGCAGCTAGTTAGTAGTCTAGACAATATTGGGATTCTGCGGTCCTAATCTTCTCCGAGGTAGTTACTAAGTTACATTGCCACCTCCTCGTCATTCCGCAATCAGGCAAGCGCCTTGCAAACCGGCTTCCCTTTAGCTTGATCCGTCTATTTCAACACAATTCTTTGAAATGCTACTTGAATTACCAGATGAATTATTTCTACATGTAACAAATAGCTTGAATAGGGATGATATTCGCTCACTTCTGCAAACACATACCCGTCGCTTTTATTTCCTGGTTGATCAATATCATCTGTACAACATATATGGTCAGTTCTAGTAGATAGGTTCTGCCATCATACATAATCATCAAAGTAACAAAATACATACAATATAGCTAGTTTAAAACTCTTCCAGCTGATTGGAAAATTACTATTAATAATAATGGATGGACAACGGATGAGATTAGTATTGATTAGCTCATTAATCACTTCATTCCTCATACGAATGCCTGTGTAGTGGGAAGATATCGAAAGCTTATTCTTAATGGCCATAGAAGTCATTTAAATGCTGAATTTAATTGTACATGCACCGAGAATAATATTATCCTAATCTACATGCCTCCGCACTCCTCTCATCGTTTGCAGCCCCTTGATGTTAGCTGTTTTGCTGTTTAAAACGGCAATACGGACAGCTTAATGAGCAGCGGATGAGGCTTGGATTCAATTAGATTGACAAAATCGACTTTCTTACTGTATTTCCAAAGGCGCGAACAATGACACATAAAGCTGAGACTGTTGGGAATGGCTTCACAGCTACTAGATTAGTGCCATTTGATTCGGATCGAGTTTATCAACAGTTTACTGTCCAATTAAGGACTCCAACCTCCCCTCCTCTAAGTCGTTCAAGCAAATCACAATCATCTTGTTTACAAACACCTCAAAATCCACGTCAATTCAAACGTCACTTGAGTACAATTGAGGTGAATATGACTATTCTATTTATGGATGTTTTTCAAGAGCTGGAACGCCAACACGTTGCGATATTCGTCCAAGAATATAAGCACACTGAAAAATAGAGTTTGGCAAAAGAAACGGCAACGAAACAAAAATTGTTCAATTATATTACTCAATTTCGGTTTCTTACACACCAGCCGGTGGGAGGATAATTATTTTGCACACCGGGCTGAATAGAGCCGCGTTGTTCGGCTTTGGATATCTCGTATCCGGTAAAGCTGAAAGTTTTCGGCTTTCCCCGGCATTTTCGGGATAGAGAGAAACGGTCGGCAACACTTTTCTCTTTCATGAACAACATAGCCGTCACCATAAGAAAATTAATTGGTTATGAGAACCCTGTACTGTAATGAAGTTTACAAATTGTCCAGAGTAGTCCTGGCCAATTACCAAATACCAAGCTAGATCTATAAGTCGCTAGTATGGTATGTGACAGGAGATATAAAATATATGACGGGAAATAATTGTTGTTTGATCTTCTAGTTCCTCTCACAATTCATTGCTGCCGTGAATTTCAACATGGCACCAGTTCACGCCGTGGTATTTGCTTCTATCAAGCCTGGAAAGACTGATGAGGTAAACCGATAAGTGTAAGTTAATTATTCGCTGTTCAAACAAGATACTTCTTAAATCCTCTGTATTGAAAAATGTGGTAGCTATCTAAGATTGATAATCGCTGACCCTGAGAAACACGAATTATACAGTTCGTAGCCCTTCTTGATGGGATATCGGAAATGGTACACGTCATCGAGCCGGGTATTTGCAATTACTACAATTTCAAAATACCAGATGTAGATATATTCGTGATTATGGACGTATATTTTTGCTTCAATGTTCTTGAGAGAGAATATATTAAATTTATATATCATCAGAGTTATGAGGATGAGGCTGCACTCCTGTATCATGGCGAAACGCCTCACTACCTTCAGTATCTTGAAAAAGTAATGCAGCTGTTTGCAAAGCCTCTTTCCCTCAAGATCAATGTGAAGACCCCTAAGAGCCTGATTCCTAATTGAAGTTCATTACAACATTAATATTTGATAGCGCCAATTTCGTATCCAGCATTCACGATGAAACTGGTGAAGACCACATGTGTAATTCACATTTATCAGTTTGCTCCTTCTCACACAATTCCATGATAAATGAATGTCTTTTATTCTTGTACCCGCTTCCATTAATATGCTATATCTAATTCATTTTTTTGAATTAATCTGAGACACATACTAGCTCTGGCTCAAACCCAGCAGGATTATTTGTTGTGTAAGGTACAACCACTCGAGTAATTTTAGTGGAATTAAAATACTTCTAGCTATTCTGATATGGTGTAGAGGATCACTATTCTTTTTTTTACAAGGTAAATAGGTTTATTAATCTATGATAGTTTTCATCACTAGTAGTAGAAGATATCTTGCTTATAGTAATATTAGTATCTCATGAAGGTACAAAATTTTTGCTTTTTGGTTCTTAAAAAATTAAAACTGTAATTTGTTTCTCTTATAATTGTGATCTAATGTCTTGGATTTCTGAAGCTTCTATATTGCTAAGCTTGAACTCGATGAAATAGAGGTGGGAATGTGATTAACAATCTGGGATTCGAGGAATGCGGGGAATGTGGACAAAACAGGATATTCCCATAATTTGCACTATATGTCATGTAATTGAAAGCTTATTCCAAGATATCCCCGTCTTTGTGTTCTCGGGTTTCAATTACATAAAGTTTGCACTTAACTCTCGGTATATTCCTTTCCAGACTCCTCTATTTTAGGAATTTTCCCTGCTGTAATAAACACCGCTCCCATGTAATAAAAAGATCTACGAAGGTTGGAGACTTATATTCTTGATATACAAGTAATTACTACTACATTACTCTACTCTTAGGATTTTGCTACATTTGAAAGTGTTGTTGTTGAGAAATTGCATAAAGAAAACTGCTATTTTGTATGCAATAGGGACTGGACGGCTCGGTGGTAGTTGAGTACGTTAACTACTCCAAATATTTCAAGCTTAGTCAATTTATATTCGTTAGCGATTGCATTAGTTAACATAATCTGGAACTAAATCGTCCAGCACACCGAAGCCAGAGATATAACCTACCATCGGTAAATAATTATCAATTGCGAGCCAATAAAATTTTGTAGAGCGCCAGCTGTTGTTAGAATTTGAAACCGGCTATGGTTCTCAACTTTGTAATCTACAATAAGCTTCCTAGCCAATTAGCTGCAGAACTCCAAGCGCGGGGTAACACCCCATTATAAATCTCCGGTTCCCAGAAAGTATCAAGCCGAAACCCGGGGTTTTCTTGTAGCGCAGCCAACCGCGTTAAAGCAAGCTGTAGCCCTGGCGGCTTCGCCAGTACCCGCTTTCCGATGCTATATCTAAAGGCCCGGGGATCTCTTAACATGCTTTAATTATTTTCAACCGTCCCTTTCTCCACGAAAATATCTAACGAAAATGGCCAAGCTTTCGAGGTACAATATCTTTATCAGTATCGTGGCGGCCATTGGAGCCTATAGCTATGGCTTTGGGTCGAGTGTTTTTGCTACCAGTATTGGCCAGCCCGGGTTCTTTAATTATTTCAAACTCGAAGGTATTAATTATTCAGCTCCATCTATTGACTCTGCGTTAACATTAGAAATAGCGAGCAGCTCACACACGGACAAGTATGTTGATGATTATTATGTTTGAGTGACTTGTACTAACATGCTACTGGCGGTAGCATTCTAGGGGCACTTAATGCACTCTTCTATTTTGGCCTGGCCACGGGCTCGTTAATTCAAGCTTGGGCAGTAGATATAATAGGAAGAAAGCTATCATTTGCCATATCTGCTTTAGTGTCATTGATTGGCAGTGCTCTGGTTACAGGCTCTGTAGCCGTCCCTATGATTATCGTGGTCCGGATGCTTCAAGGAGTGGGCCTGGGAATGCTACTATTCTTAGTTCCATTATACATCACAGAGATTGCACCTCCCCAGCACCGTGGTTTGCTCACTGGTCTTACCACAGTTTTCTTCTCGTTAGGATATAGTGTGTATGTCTGCCAGGACCCTTTGTTTTTTCATTTGTGTTTGACCCTTCTTCTAACATTGCGATACAAACAGCTGCGCATTTATATCAGTGGGCACGTATTTTGCACAAAGTCCCACAGTACAGTGGAGGCTCCCCCTGGGTTTGTCGTGCCTTGGGCCATTAGTTCTCTTACTTGCGACACCTTACCTAGTCGGTATGCATATATATAACCACTCCGGACTCTTTATTTTCCGCCATTGACTAAGAACTTCAGAATCACCCCGGTACCTCGCGTTGGTAGGAAGAAATAACGAGGCATTGGCGGTGCTTAAGAAGATCCACCACGATCCAACTGACAATGACAATACTTTTGCTGAAGCTGAGTATATTCAGATTGTCCGACAGATCGAGTTCGATAAGGGACTGGATACTGGCATTTTGAGTATGGTGAAAAAGCCTTCATGGCGCCGCAGGTGTCTATTAGCATTTTTCATCCAGTGAGTTCGTAGCCAACTTATTACTTATCCCTCATACTAATGATGTGAATGGAGGTTTTCCTCACAATCCACTGGAGCAAGTACCCTTGCCAGTTCCCAAAATCGATTGGACGTTTACACTAACTATTCTTCTAGGTTTTGCTTCTAGTAAATTACATCACGATTATCTTTAGTAACCTTGGAATGACGGGAGTAATGCCTCTCTTATTGTATGGTATGTTGTTGCCAATTTGGGGTATTAAACCAGCGATCAATTAATCAACATGTATAGCCATCATGACTGTGACAAATCAGGTTGCACTCTTCATTGGTATGTTTACAGTGGACAAAATCGGACGCAGGACCCTGTTCCGTAAGTTCTCTCTAACCATGTCAATTATACGAGCATCCTCTAAAATTCTATCCTTGGAAGTCATCGGTTTCCCGTTACTAGCTGTCTGTCTGCTTGTGGAAGGTATTCTGCAGTGGAAATACCTCGACTCCACCAACAAAAGCGGACTTTATGCTTGTGTGGTCTTCATCTACCTCTTCTTTTTTATTTTCTGCCTTTGCATCGATGTCACCTCATTTATCTGGGTGTCAGAGATCTTTCCCACCGCCATCCGATCAAAAGGCGTCAGCATTGGTTTTTTCGCGTATTTCACTGGTGCCCTAACGTATACAACTCCAGGAGCGCTGATCATCAAAAACCTGTATGTGAAACCCCTTAGTGCTTTCGCGAAGATTATGTGGACACTGACATTATTAGTCAATATAACATGTTTTACTTGTACGCAGGATTATGCGTCGTTTCAACCGCAGTCGTGTATTTCTTTGTGCCCGAGACCAAAAAAATACCCGTTGAGGAAATTGGTGCGCTCTTCGGGGACGTGGTGGTTGTTCACTTGACTGCCGATGGACAAGGCATCGTCGAGGAGGAGAAAGGCGTTGTTCTCACTCATGCCGAGTTTGCTGACAAGAATGAGAGCTAGACTTCATGGTTATCTCGATTCCGAGAATAGATACACGGAGGATGGGCGAGATTTTTCACTCTGTTCTCTCATTCAATGGACATGGATGCTAGCTATCACAACTTAGAATCATTTTGCACATGTTGTACTTGTTCAATCCAAGTCTATGCAGATAGTATGTACTGTAATAGGTGATAAAGCTTGACAGCTTCTTTGCTGTCAAATATAAGCTGTGTGAATGTTAGATGGTTCATAGCCGAAAGCTGGGCGTGCAACTCATGGATGGTAAAAATGCTAGGAGGTAAAGGGAGCCCTGGAATTCAGGCTCAGCGAAAGCGAAAGTGAAAGGAAGCACGGCTAGCTTGACAAATCGCTATTTTGCAGTAACTAGTATAACTACTTAGTATTTTTTTAGGCCATTCATCTGTTGTGGTGCTCTCAATTGGTTTTTAGAACCGATTCAAGACACCGCCATAATTACAGCAAGGTTGGCTTCTATCACCCGACTTGGCATGGAGTGTCAAGTTTCTAGTTTCATGTTAAGCATCCCGTAGCAGTCGGCAACTTTTGAGCATTCCGTCGGCGGTGAATTCTTCATCAGCAAGGTGTTCATCAGCATTGGTATCAGAGCCTTATTCACTGGCTCTGGGATCACAGTAGTCCCTGGCCAAATAATTGGATCGTTCCTTAGTATTGCCCTCCATCTTGAAATGCTATCAACTGTAATCGGCGAGCGGTGCATTGAGCTGAATATGTAAGTAACAGGAGGAAAGGATATTGGTTCTACAAAAAATATTGCTTCCTTTTTACAGTAGCAATTGTTGCCTCGATTTCCAAAGTCATGAACGGTATTGGCTTTGCACAAGTCTCGGTAAACAGTTTATTTCGGCAACACTTTCAATGGACTCTGATATTAGGAATCGACTGCCAATGTCGAAACTCCGAATCATTCTGCCAGCCGGCTGACTGCAGATTAACAGCTAGAAAATTCCATAGATCTATAAATGGATGATTCTACACAACACCTGGAGAACACTTTTATGCATGCGGTTGATCTCAACCCCAAATAGTGGACTGTCAGACACAACTCCACACCGGGGTTCAGCACTCAGGACCCTTCTTGGGGGTGTGAATAATGTTTAAATTTGCGGCCATATATCTCCTTGCATTAGCATTGTCTTGGCGTATATTCTAGGAAAAATCAACTACATGCGACTCATCTGAAATTAAATCGCGGGTACTACCATTCTTGATGTTGAGGAGATACAAGTTGGCATAATCCTAGTTCTGATCCCACACATCAATGACATCATTTACTTCCTTCTTGGTGACAGCTAGGAATGCGATTTGTTTACTGTTTGGACTAAATTTAAATTTTGAGATATTCTTCTTATTCATTGGCGGAGTCAATGCCTTTGGCTCTTCCTGGCTATCTGGCCAGCATGTATATAGAGTGCATGAATCTCCCAGGTTTCCATGCTTAGATAGAAAGGGAATAGATTCGCTGTATGGTGACCACTAGTGTGTTTAGTCATTGAACGAACCGTTAACTAGTTAACCTATGTGATGACTTAGGTGTCTTTGTGTCCCTGATCCAAATGGACGAACCTTGTTCGGTTGTTCATCATTTTGCTATTGTGGAGTATATAAATGACTCGACATCTAGAGAGAGCCTTAGGTCAGTTGGAAATTCGAGGTCGAGGAGGTCTTATGCGAAGCTCATGATTGGAAGTGATGCACGATAGGAGTGGGGACGTGGCACTGATAACTGGCGATGCCCCCTATATATTTACAGACTTGGGCTTGAAGGGGTTATTTAAGCCCAAGAATTAGCCGCTTTTTTGGGCGAAAATCTACACTTGAGGAAAGTCTTTCGGTGTCAATAGGGATTATTATAGACTTCAATGCATAGGTAGCAAAATTGCCGCCGGTAGAGCCGCAGCCTGATATTCCAACAAGGCTGCCTCGGGCGAGAGAACTATGGCGTGATTTATATGTCCCATAACGCTTCATTTCGCGTGGGCTTTCATATGAATATCATAGGAAGGCTTATCAGGTACCCTGTAGTGGATCAGCACAGATATAATATGCATTAATTCTTATAATTACGGGAATAACACACACATTTTCTCTCTTCATTTACTCTTATGATTTAATTATTCGAGTTTATGACCGTACCGGGCTTCAGATCATGATCATGCCTGTAATCCACTCTCAAAATTATTTACATACAACGTCAGTCAAACGGAGAGACGTCCTTGGACGTTTTACTCTAGTTCCCTGTGGTGTTGGACCCCGCGTCAATGGATGCAATCATCCCGCTCTGGTGGGGCATCTTAGAGATCTCAGGAAAATCGCCAAGATGCCCCACTAGAAGTTCGTTTTTGTAGTTCTTTAATTTACTGGAATCTACATATCGCTCGACCAATCGCCTTTGCGACTATTGAACCAGTCCTAGATACTTTGCTGAGCACCTTTTTAACATCCTCCAATAATCTTCATGATGCTCCATCGTCACGATTCCCCGGTTCACGGTACATTATCTTGGTAGTCTTCACATGGACCCTGCTATTAAACCTCATTTTGGCACTATCGCGAGCCTCATCGGCGATACCTCTACTGAAGATATTGCCATAAAGCTGCTCAAAGCACGAGGTCAACTATCTCCAGAAAAGTACTCTGAACTACTACAGAAGCTTCTCGTCAGATCATTCAGCAGAGGTTGCTCCGACCTGGTAATTCACCTCGTCCGGCACGAGGAGGCTCCGCTGGCGAACCTCGAGCCGTCTCGAGCCGCACAATGCCCTTCGGTCCCGGTACTCAATGCCCTGTCAGAAGCTGGATGGGATGTCCTTCAAGTCGACCACAAAGCAAATAACAACTGTCTGATTGATATGGTAGTTGAACATGAAGCGTCCGTTCGCTGGCTTATTGAACATGGTGCCAAGGTAGATAGAGGGCAATTTGACGACGAATACGCCCTCTGGCCGCGTCCCGCGCCTCTCCTGGAAACTTGCGCCAGCTTCGCCTCGCTTGACACTTTCAAGCTCATCCACAACAGTGGTGCTCGCATAAGCCGGAGGACATTACACAAGGCTGCTGAAGGCTCTGCGTGTGCAGGTGCGGACCCAGGCAAGCCGGATGGTGGCAGGTTACAGGGCGAGGGAGAGGGGGGTTATGGCAAGGAAGAGAGGGCAAAGGTATTGCGGTACCTGGTCGAAGAGATCGGTCTAAACATCAATCAGCTGGACAGCGATAGCCCGAGACATTTCCATTGGGGGACTCCGATCAATTACGCAGCGAAATCTCGATACGGAGCGAGCACGGTAGCTTGGCTACTGGAGAAGGGCGCAGACCCCAGCATTCTGGGACTGGACAGCAGCCAAGATGCCGAGGGCATTGCGGCTTACGAAGGCTCGAAAGAAACAGTGATGCTGATACAAGCTTGGAAGCGCAAGCATGAAAAATAATCTTCTGTGACTGGCCAAAAGAGAGTTTCCATTAATAATCAACGGTCTCCCGGAAACAGAAAAGCCTTTGACTGCACAGGAACCGCGGAATATCTCCAGCATCCATTATACTCAACGAGTCATCATTTAGTTTGATTACATCTGCTATTTTACTACAACAGGTTCCCGCTGAAGAGCTTTTACAAAATACACAATACTTGAGTTCTCAAAGAGCAATTACAGTGCATTTTCACAATAAGCAAGCAATAGAACGCTCTCATTCTACTTAACAAAGTCGATGTGTTTCTCAAGACCCAGTTAGAACATAACGAACTCACCAATAGCGATGTAGTGATCATCTTAGATATTAGAATAATTCAAATATGTCTCATTCCTCACTACTAACCCCTTCTTACGCGATAGCAGGTGCTGGAAGGGGGTTGTTACGATCAGCTCAAGAATGAATATGTGGTATCATTTGCCTAGAATACTAAGCATGAGGAAAAGAATTGAATAAGGTCCGTCCCTGGGTCGCGGAAATCCCCCCGCACCGAAAAATATGAGGGATACTTTGACTTCAAGCGAATATAACTTTGCGCACAGGTCGAGCTTTACTATAACCCTGTATAAAACTTTGAGGACCCTCCCCCCTATAAATTACATTTGCATCATTGCCTTCTCGCTTGATTCGTAGAGAGCATTCCTCTGCAGCGAAACAATGTCCTTCACTACAGCGCCACCATTAAGCTCTTACCACTTACAGTACTGATATAAGGGTCTTATCTGAAGCCCAGAGCCTTACTACGACGGTAGGAAGTCGTCATCAGCTTTGTGCCTGCTGTCGCGCGCAAATTCATGCAAGGTCGCCACTACTTCCAACCAAAGCAATTACCAATCCCGGCTAGTGCAAAACGACATCGCACGTCCTACATAGTCATCGCGATGTAGCTAGTTAACTAAGTTAATTTACTTATGTTATCCAGTCAGCCAAGCTTGTGGCTGTCAGGCCTATGGCTGTGCAGACGCTAGGAATATGAAGATCCGACTCTAGAGCAGTCAGCACATGCCGAAACTACTTAAACTATCGACACCCCAAGCTCGTTTTCATTCCTCTAAACCCCTTTAACTATATAATATATTTACTGTACGTGCGCGTGCGATTTATCTCAACTTGAGCTTCTTGAGAAGCCTAAGTCGTTTGGGTGTTGTGGAAACTGCCGATCCTGCCACAGGTAAAATGTCTGTTACATGTCGGTTAAGTAAGTAGCAGCTGTCGGCGAAGTAGAGCGAGAATCTTCAGAGGTCTCCAGGTTCCTAAGGAGCTCCTGGGCTGCCTGGTACCCGCGATAGTTAGTTCCAAAGACAAGCTTATATCCTCTAAGTGCTCTTGTATACATGAATTTTGCATCACCTAAGCGGCCTTGATCCTCAAAGAGCATACCATAGTTATAGGTGGTATTAAGCGCAGGAACGTACGAGAGAATATTATCCGGCCCGAGGGCATTCTCGTAGCCTTCCAGCGCCCGCTGGTACATCTTCTCAGCATCCGCCAGCTTCCCCTGATTTTTATAGAGGATATCCAGGTTGTTAACAGTATTAAGTGTCGATGTATAATCAGGACTCCAGGTCTTCTTTTTGCCTTCTAGCGCCCGCTGGTACATCTTCTTAGCATCCGCCAGCCTTTTCTGGTCGGCATAGAGAAGGCCCAGGTTGTTAACAATGTTAAGTGTCAATGTATGATCAAGGCCCTAGGTCTTCTTGTAGCCTTCCAGCGCCCGCTGGTACATCTTCTCAGCATCCGCCAGCTTCCCCTGGTTTTTATAGAGGATACCCAGGTTGTTAACAGTGTCAAGTGTCGATGTATGATCAAGGCCCCAGGCCTTCTCGTAGCCTTCTAGTGCCCGCTGGTACATCTTCTCAGCATCCGCCAGCTTCCCTTGGTCAGCATAGAGAAGGCCCAGGTTGTTAACAGTGTCGAGTGTCAATGTATGATCAGGGCCCCAGGCCTTCTCCTTGCCTTCCAGCGCCCGCTGATATATCTTCTCAGCATCCGCTAGCCTCCCCTGGCCGGCATAGAGGTTACCCAGGTTGTTAACAGTGTCGAGTGTTGATGTATGATCAGGGCCCCAGGCCTTCTCCTTGCCTTCTAGCGCCCACTGATACATCTTCTCAGCATCCGCCAGCTTCCCCTGGTCAGCATAGAGAAGACCCAGGTTGTTAACAGTGTTGAGTGTCGATGTATGATCAGGGCCCCAGGCCTTCTCCTTGCCTTCCAGCGCCCGCTGATACATCTTCTCAGCATCCGCTAGCCTCCCCTGGCCGGCATAGAGGTTACCCAGGTTGTTAACAGTGACGAGTGTCGATGTATGATCAGGGCCCCAGGCCTTCTCGTAGCCTTCCAGCGCCCGCTGGTATATCTTCTCAGCATCCGCTAGCCTCCCCTGGTCAGCATAGAGGTTACCCAGGTTGTTAATAGTGACGAGTGTAGATGTATGATCAGGGCCCCAGGCCTTCTCATAGCCTTCCAGCGCCCGCTGGTACATCTTCTCAGCATCCGCCAGCTTCCCCTGGTTTTTATAGAGGATACCCAGGTTGTTAACAGTGTCGAGTGTCGATGTATGATCAGGGCCCCAGGCCTTCTCGTAGCCTTCCAGCGCCCGCTGATACATCTTCTCAGCATCCGCCAGCTTCCCCTGGTCAACATAGAGAAGGCCCAGGTTGTTAACAGTGTCGAGTATCGATGTATGATTAGGACCCCAGGCCTTCTCCTTGCCTTCCAGCGCCAGCTGATACATCTTCTCAGCATCCACTAGCCTCCCCTGGCCAGCATAGAGGTTACCCAGGTTGTTAACAGTGACGAGTGTAGATGTATGATCAGGGCCCCAGACCTTCTCCTTGCCTTCCAGCGCCCGCTGATACATCTTCTCAGCATCCGCCAGCTTCCCCTGGTTTTTATAGAGGATACCCAGGTTGTTAACAGTGTCGAGTGTCAATGTATGATCAGGGCCCCAGGCCTTCTCGTAGCCTTCCAGCGCCCGCTGATACATCTTCTCAGCATCCGCCAGCTTCCCTTGGTCAGCATAGAGAAGGCCCAGGTTGTTAACAGTGTCGAGTGTCGATGTATGATCAGGGCCCCAGGCCTTCTCCTTGCCTTCCAGCGCCCGCTGGTACATCTTCTCCGCCTTTCCTAGGTTGCCTCGATCCGATAATAGCATACCCATCATATGCAGTGCGTATGATACCTCCTCATCCACTTCTGCCATTGTATCCGCTGTTGCTCGCGCTCGCTCCATTCTTTCTATCCAAGACTCCGCTTGTGGAAATAACTGCTGCTGCTTCTGGTGATATTCTGTGTCGTACTCATCTGGAACAGCATATCCAATTATGAGAACTGCTAGTCGTGATAGCTCTGCTCGTTGATGTTTATCTTGTATATGAAATGCCCACTGGTGCACTACAGGATGAGTACTATGGGTCGAACTTCCATGTAGGCTTTCAATCAAACAATAGCCCCGTAGAAGTCGAACTACTTGCAAGAATTTTACTTCATCATTGGCGGCGTCTCTCAGCCATGCCGACAAGTCTTTAGCTAATGCACTAGACCTATGTACTCCAGCTTGAAGAATCCAGAACGGCAGCGATTTATGGTCAAGGTGGGTCCATAACAGAAGAAGATTTGCTGCGCTCTCATTCTTGGCGCGTATCGAATTATATGAGACCGTCCACGTCGTGTTTATGCTGCGGTTCCCATAGCTTCTCAGCGGTGCCGTGTTCTCACTCTCCATCAGATCCTTCCACTGCTCATTGTATAGCCTAGTGTACGTACTGAAGCTCGTCCCCGTCTCGCTCATATAGGCCGCAGCCTGGGCCAGGGCTAGAGGTAGTCCACCAAGCAGTCGAAGTAGCTCATCACTGTCATTCGGATCTGTATGCTCCGGTTAGTAACACCATGCAACTACTATGCATGTACATAAAACTGCCTTACCAAAGTCTTGGTTGTACCACTTTCGAAAAATAGCCCGCGCTTGGCTCATATCAACAGTCCCTAACTGCAAAGATTCACCAATCTGTTGGAGGTTCGCAAGCCGCGTGGTAATCAGAATCAATCCATGGTCAACCTCCGGTATGTAGTTGCTGACATTATAGGCGTCGATATCGGTCTCTTGCTGGTAGTCGCGGTCCACGTTATCAAATATAATCAGCCAGTGCTTGTTCTCCGTTCTGCTCAGCCACTCTATGAAATCACTGATAACAGCATTAAGATCACCGGTTACGCAAGACGAGTATTTTCTACTTGTCTCAGGAATCTGCCCTTCTGGAATACGACCTGCACAATCAGCAATGCTTTGCTTTAGGCTAGCTTTGCTGCTTCCGTCCAACCAGAATACCGACGTGAACGCAGCTTGGTGCTTCCTGGCAAACTCGGCGGCAAGCTGAGTTTTGCCTATTCCACCAAGGCCATGCAGCACTACCACTTGCTGCCGATAGTCTTCTGATTGAGCCTGTCTTTGTGTCATAAGAACTTGTTCTAAACGTCTCATCTCTTCCGGCCTATCCGCAAATCTACCTCGAGGAATGCCTTTGAGACTGAATGAAACTCGGTACTTTTCAGCGTCTAACACGAATTTATTAGCAGTACAACCATGTCGCAATACGATGTTAGTCTTGGTGATCTCTTCTGCGGGGACGACCCGCAGCAATTCTTTGGCAACTGCCGCCGCTGCCGCCGCAGCATACAGCTGCCAACTCTTATTCTTGTGCGAGTCGGCATAGTCACAGATGCCACGAATCACCGCGGATGGAAATGCATCGGCCAGACCAGCCGCCTCCATCTCAAAGCACAACACTCCGCCGAGCTCAACACTTATCTTGTCCCTGGTCACGCCGTCCTTCATCACCTGGTTCCCCGACGCAATTGTGCCATAATGAATTACCACCTCTTTGGACCTTCGCTTAGGCCGTTCGATAATCATTTCCTTGTTGCAGCTCTCGCAGTTATCTCCCCGATCGTGCTCGTATGCCGCTTGAAAGAGTACATCAGGGCCTGTTGTGTTTCGACTGAATTGTGCCAACCGGTCGAAAGCGGATAGATGTGCAGAGACATCATTCAGACTACGGTAATGGTTTGCTCGCAGCTTTGCGATTGCATCGAGGAGCACCTTCGGCGGTGCGTTGATGAATCCAGTTCTGTGTACTTGTCCGTTTGGACCAGTCTTACCAAAGTCATACTGGACCACTCCACCATGCTGCGAGTGCGGGTGGCCGACCACAACGTCTCCGAGTCTTATATCTGCACTCGTTGTTGGGACTCCACCACCGATTCCCACCATCAGAGCGAACTTGATCGACGGGAATGCTGTTGTAAGCCGTCCCGCGACGGCGGCGGCCAAGTTGTTTCCCATCCGGCCCGACGGCAGACAGACCATCACGACATTGTGGTTACCTATCCGGCCGAAAACATATTGGTCCGTATTGCTACCCTGACTTCGAGGATCGCAGTGTTCTTCGTCAAGCATCTCTGCCGCCGCTGCCGACTCGAGAGGCAGGGCAGACACCCACGCCACGGTGTAAGTTGCTGGCGGACGACGCGGTAGGCTCATCGTCGAGTTGTATAGTCAACGGCCAGTAGAGACAACAGTACATGCTACATAGAGTAGCTATTGATATGAAGGCGTAGACAAACGAAAATATGCAGTCAAGAGAACACGATTTCGTTGTTGGAAGTTGCGGGTCAGCCTTGTTGGATGTTGCGCTGAGCCTTGTGCTTTGCTGAGCCTCGCCGTGTCCGCTGGATCTGAGCGCAAACTCAGGAATCTTATTCGAAGAACCCGTCTGTACTGTACAGGAATAGGGAAATGTCCGATACCGCACTACGTAAGCGCTCTAGACTAACTGCAGATCCCTTCGCACGGATAAATCCGGAGTGCATACTTTCAAGGGCTGAGTGTTTTTAAACCCCATTAACGGGGCTCCGTTTTTGGTCGAATGGTATATATTTTCTGGTTTTCAAATAGAATTCCGGCACGGGGGACTCCCGTGACCCAGGGACCTTAACACAGCCGTGCGCCGCGTTTAGATGACCAGTGTGGGGCACGTGCCTCGTGGCACGTGCCCCGCTATCCCGAGCCCTGGCCGCCTTAGGCATCCACATGCCAAGCCAGCCGTCACATACATGATCAAACTTATCGCATCCTTGCATCAATCCAAAAGCCATTGAAACTTATTGAACTCGCAAACCATTGTCATGTCGAGTCAACCGACCCTTGTCTTCATACCAGGCTCCTGGCATAGACCCACATGCTACGACCCGATCATTAAGCTCCTGGAGCCCAAGTTGAGATGTGTCGCAGTGTCTCTTCCCTCGACAGCAGATAATCCCGAAGCGACCTTCAGAGATGATCTCGATGCAGCCCGGGATGCGATTTCTGCCGAGACAAGTAACCGGCGCAATGTCGTTGTCATTGCGCACTCATATGGCGGCATGGTGGGCAACAGCGCTATCAAAGGCTTCACAAAGCCAAATGACGCTGATGACAGTCGATCGGGATACGTGATTGGACTTATCCTCATAGCCTCTGGCTTTACCTTGACTGGACTGTCCTTCATGGATCCATTCTTCGGTCGTCCGCCGCCTGCGTGGCGTGTGAATAACAAGACCGGCTACGCTGAGCTCGTCACTTCACCACGGGAACTGTTCTACCACGACCTACCAGAAGAAGAGGCAAAATACTGGGTTTCTCAGCTTACGAGTCAGAGTCTGAAGTCGTTGTTCGAAGGCGGCGAGTACACTTATGCCGGGTGGAAGGACGTGCCGTCTTGGTACATCGGGACTGTGGAGGATCGGGGATTACCAGTACTGGCTCAGCGGATGTCAGTTGGTATGGCGAGAGAAATGGGGGCTAGTGTGGAGCATCGAGAGCTGCAAACAAGCCATTCGCCATTTCTGAGTCAACCTGGATTGACGGTGGACATCATTTTGGAGGCTGTTGGTGCATTTACCCATTCCAGGAGCGACGAGTCCAAGTCGGCCGTGGATGAAGCTGAAAATGCTATAGTCGTGCCGGGTGCTGCCCTCTTGAAACCGTTGACATGGTTCAAATTTGGACTGCCGATGGCCTTTGGTCGTGTGTTGGGCAGATGCATTCTTTTATTTGGCTGGGGAAGGAGACTGTGGAGAGCCGGGTTCCGTTGATTGGCATCCATTGATCAACAGAGCTTCTAGATGGCTGTACTAACGTGGGTTCTGTTCTTGTGTATATTAATGACAGAAAGCTTGCTACACTTCGCGACTTGTGATGTAGTGAATCTGTTTTTGTTGAGTATTATATGGACAATGATTGTATGCTACCAATGATTGATATTTCGTGCCATTTTGCAAGGGGTCGGGATGTTTGTTGGTGCTTGAGTTGGGACGAGTATGGGCGAGAGAAAACAACAAGATGAGCGCGGTTATTTTCGTTACAATCAGCACATAGATGAGTATGTGGTATTATTCGACTAGAATACTAAGTATGAGGAAGGAATTTACCGTGCAAGTTACAGCCGCCCGTGTTGCGGTTAGATAACCAGTGTGGGGCATGTGTCCCGCTAGCCCAAGCCCTAGCCGCCTTAGGCATCCCCATGCCAAGCCCGCCGTCACATCTGGGCGCAAACAATTTCTATACTCCATTAACCGCACAAGATCTGGGTGATCACCCTTGACATCCTCGTTGTACTCATCATCATTTTCCGTATTACCTCCTGTCTTGCCTGAATAATCAGAGTATTCCGAAATATCAAGCTCTGATTGGTGGACATGTAGATATCTTAGTTAATACGATTTTCCGTAACATTCTAATGCGATATCAGCCACAGCAGCAAGTCGGAGCTGGGCCCGAAAAAAACCTTCCCCAGCTCATATTAGTCCTACTCCAGGTGGAGAAATTGGTTTCATTCCTATGTCTCCAGATAGTAACTGATAATTGGAGAAAAGGCAACTTTTTCTTCACTTATTCTCCTTATTATTTCTTTTGGGGAGGACTATTATGCTGTTGGTACCGTAAGATGTCTTTAGAGTCACGTCAGCATGGATGGGGCGCCTCCCATCTAAACATCATCATTCTTTCGCTTGACAAATGCTGACGTATTTGGAACAACGTTGCTTTAAAGCAATGCTATCATTAGATTTTAGGCATAAAGCAAATCATTTATCAATCCATTAGTAAATCTATTCTCAGCGACCACCATAAGTCTTGGCTGATGTCCTCTCAATCTATGACTGTGATAATAGCTCAGCATACAGGTCCTGGCACTAACGGCCTGCCCATCTGACACTTCTACACTCTTCCTGAATCCTGTTATGAAACAGAGGCTTGTTGGTTTCTAGATGCCTATTCCTAGTTCATGGACTTAATGAATGTAGTAAAAGATGGATTTGATGCCAGGAAAGTTATCCATGTGTAATCTTGCCTATTATATCGGAAATTCTTAGGCTTGCTGCTGTCAATGGAGACCTCTCAAGGTCGATATTTGAGAACTACCATTTTCACAATTCGATACACGTAGTCTCGATAAATCACGTGCTCCTCTCCTCCAGTTCCCCCACCGAGATAAAATTGAACTAGTAATCACAATGATCGCAGTAACCACAGTCTTCAAGACTACAGGTGGCATAGTCTTTGTACGAAATGCAATCGTCGTCATCATATCCGGAAAGTGTCGAGTGTAAATTGAATATTCCAGATCCAGTATCAGGTGAATCAGGAGGTTGAACTGTGTCAGACCTGGTTGATTGTCTTGACCTGGTTCTTATGTCTGGAGCTATATCCATTTTTGGTCCTGATTCGGTAAATTGGATACAGGCTTGTAGTAGTTCAAGACTGCATCCGTCCAAGTCTGTTTCAAAAGTCATGGAATGTAAGACCTTCACTAAGTCGTGTCTACTCCTCTTCGGCCCCGTTTCTCGCGATTTGTTTGCGGTGTGAGCAGCACCCAGAAGTGTTTTTTGATTTTTTCGGTATCTATAAAAAATAGAGAATTCTGGCGCTTGTCCCTACATTGGGGTTCCAAAATGAAGTTCACAATCTTCAAAGGAACTATATTCTCCTCCCAGAGCGCAGTGAGATCGACCTTGGCATCGAATCGGTTGCTCAACAAGTCAAATGTTGTTAGACTTAACAAGGCTCCGGTGATCTTCTCTGCCAGTGGCTCGAATGCTATCCGGAGACAAGACCGTACGAATTGTATATCAATTTCCTCATCTGAGTCTGGAGAGTTACTCGACTCTTTAGCAGTTTCATGTACCGTGCTCACAGTACTTTTTCTAGGTATGTCGATTTCTGTACCTAGCCTGGAGAGTGTTGACCGCCAATGATGACGATTAATTAGATCTTTCTGATAGCTGTTCACCTCGAAAAATCTATTATGAGTCGAACATCGGAAGTTTTGTAGCTACAATCATCAAAATTTGATTGTAGAACAGGAGAATGGTGATTTGTACTAACTTGTTTACTTTCTAAAAGTTAGCTTCGATAAGATCGCTCCCCTTGACTTCATGAAAACCTGCGTTCACTTTGGGGGCGAAATAACGAATCCAATCCTGGGGCCCATGGTTTATTTGACACACCAATTGCACAGCATAGAGCGATTGTGACATCACCTGTGATGATATGTCACTGGTCTCATACTTGGCCTTGCCCTCTGTCTGGGCCCAGCTCATGAACTTCTGAAATTTCGATTCATGATCAAGGACACGCGGTCTGTAAGGCTCAATTTGAGAACAACAAAATAAGGAAGCCATGTCGTTACAGGGTAAAAGCGTTCTGGGGTGGTTTCCAACAATAATTATCGCCCGCTGAACAGCGCCAAGTATATCACTTGCCTGATGTACCCCTTACATAAAATAGAGTGGTATCTGGATACAGTTTGCGGGCTTTTTTGAAATTCGCGTGAATACAAATATCATTCCTTTTTGGCCAATCAACATAGTAATTGATGGATTGACCAAGAAATCATGCAGGTGTCGCAATTTTGGCTACGCATTCCCTCTACGTGCATGAGATTGGTATCATAGGAAGGAATGTAGGGGCAAAATGCGGTAAGTTAGAGATATCGTGGTGGTGTCCTACTGTGTAACGTGATAAATCAAAAATGGGAAGGGTGATGAGCAAGGCCAATACCTTGAGCAGGTTACTCATGTAGGCTACAGCCACTATCAGTTAACTTTTTTGTGACTTGAATGATGCTGAAGTAGCTTTCTTCACAGTTCCTATTTCGAGGCGCAAACGATTACATATTTATTTGAAAATTAGTCTTAAAGTGTGCTCAAGAACTAGCTCATTATGGCGTATTCAGCTGCAGACAAACGCCGTGTCTATCTGGCATGCAGGCCTATTTTTGCGGGAAACAACGCACTGCTACGCAAAGCCAAAAAAATCCGCGAGCTCGTGATTATACACCACCAAACATCTCTCCGTCCACTGGTCCAAGACTTCACGTCGGAGAAGGTTGTCGATATCATCAAAATCTTGCTTGAAAAGCAGATATTCCAATCAGATGTCAAGGCTAAGATCGAATTTCCAGAGCTGTTTCACTCATCCCCCGCAAGAGATGTTCAGCGAGCTGCATCGGAAAACGACGCTGCACGATCAGCTGCTGAGGCACTAGAAGAAGTGGCTTCGCGAGAGGAAGGAAATGAATCCGATGATGAGGAGCCAACAAGTGTAGTGCATCTAAATCAAAACGTTAGTAATGGTAAGCTTGCGGTACTTGCAGATTTTACTGAATGGACGGTTAATAGAGCTATAGGTTCAACACCGATAGAGCAGCGACCGGATATCATTTCTTTATATCCAATGTATTTTCCATACCAAGCACAACATGCTATTCTTTCTAGGGTACAGTCTGTTTTGGAGGACTGCTGCTTTGAATTCACACGAATATGGAAGCCGTCAATCTTGGAGGAGCAGGGGTGGGACTGTGCCGCTGCCGTCGAGTTGACGAAGTGGACGAAGCTGTTTGTAAAGAAGTCGGAGAAGTTTCCCGAGCATGCGTTCAAGCTTAGTGGGACATCTCTGAACAAAATTCTGTTCGCAACCAACAAGCTTCGCCACACCGCTGTTCATCGACTTCCAACCACCAGTCGGGGAGTCGAAGCGCTAGTAAAGTCAGCCATGATCCTTGCTGAGACACTCCAAGATCCGCTGCGAACCGCACAGTTGGAAGATCTACAACTTGAGATAGACAGTAAGATCAAAGCAATGGAACTCAATAAAAATGTTTTGGAGGATACACTTGGCCAGGAACTGCAGAAGATTCAACAGCAGCGAGAAGAGCTTGATATGCTGGAAAAAGCTTTGGCAGCTAGAATCATCCGCGAGGACCGTGAGAACAAAGTTTTGATTGGGAGTTTGCTGGAAGAGTCTGTAAATCGACTCTTTGATGAAGGGGCTAGTCGTATGAATAGCGGTCCAGAGGATGCGGACCAGATATCAGATGCAGAGGAGAAACAAATATCAACGAATCATGAAGAGGAGTACATGTAGCAAAGCAGATTTCAAAATCATCGACGTTATGGATGTATCGCATGAAGAGAGAACAAATTGAAGATTTATCTTACTGACGAACGATCTGTACGATTTCAACCTAGATGGATACCGTCACGTACGTAGTTATATACCTGCAGCTAATGAATATAGAGAAGGGCGTCTTGTGGAGGATGAAATGCATTAGATATATGGCATCGAGTTTGGCTCTCTAGGAACGATTTCGTGAATTCTTGCCGATCCTCTGGTCGGAAGGGCCAAACTTCGGCTTTTACAGAATGTCATCAGGGGACACCATCAGCCTACCTCCTTCTGTTTCTGGATTGTAAGTTCTTTTGAAAAAAGGCCTTTGGTATTAAATGTGAAAATAGATATACGAATATACTTCCACAACAGGAAAACAGACTTCAGGATACGTGGCGGAAAGTCCTACGACGTCCAAGACTTGACATGATCTCAAAAGCCCTATGGAGTTGATTTTTTGCGAATTCTAAAATCTGAATGTCCACGAGTATTGATAGAAATATCATAGTGGCTATACAAGGCGTCGGAGTCATTGCGGATATCAAAGAACACTTTAGGGATACCTGCGCTTTCAAGAATAGTTTTGAATGAAGCGCCATGGTTATTTGGGATTGAAAAAGTTTCGCTACCCAAGTTGGAGACATCAATGATATAGATTGTCGATCGAGGTGACACATAGAGTAATAATAGAGATAATGAACCAAGCCGGCCAAGTCTAGTACTCTGAAGGTCAAAGAATAGGAAAGGAGGGTCGACTGGAAGGTTGACCAAGGTGTCCAGCAAAAGAAGAAGATTAGAGAGGGAAGAAACAATAAGTAGACCAGTTTGCGCAGTTTCTGTTGACATATTTGAATCTGATAATAAAAAAATATATAAGTTTTTTAAAAATATAGAAATTCGTTACAGTGAAAATGCGTCGAGCTCATCCGCCGTCTCTCAGGCGCATGTATAAAAGGACATCTCTTCTCTTGGGTCGGATATTTGAACCAGTATGAGGGTGGGGGCTCCTTTCATGACTAACCGCCTGACAAGCTTGGATGAATCGGCAATTAGTTTATCCAGAATTCGATATCGAACCTTCGACTTAATTCCGAAGCTTTTCCTAACCTACGTTATCAAGAGAAAGAGTGTGGAGCAGGTGAAGGCGGTTTCGTTATCCGCACCTATTTTTGACCGATTTCGAAACCGGCTTCCCCTTAACCCTATTCTGTTAGCATTGTATGTTAGAAAGGTGAATGCGTATAAATATTCTGATCTGATTACAATATCTTACAACTTACTAATATTCTTGCCTAAATTCCGATAGCCCACATGAAATGGTTGTTGCACCCATCTATCTTTATACTTTTAGCCCTGCCTTTTGTCTCTTGCTAACAAATGATTTATAACACGGTTTGTTCTTTACAAGCGATTCTAATTAAAATAAGGAGAACCACGCAGGGATATCTTTTCGTGGCCATGTCATAGACAAGGCTGCAGGAGTGATCGTCCGCCATCAAGCGTCGAAGTCAGCCTCGCCAGTCAGTCACGCCAGTCATCGTCTGTGATTTAATAAGATGAAGAAAAGAATATTAATTTTCTGGGCATATATATTCGCTTATAATAAATATGCAAATATAATAAATCTAAGAAAAGTCTAATTCCAGAGCTGGGAAGTGAGGCGAGCTACTATAGGGTCATCAATTGCTGTGCAGTTCTTGCCAGCGGTTGATCCGATATGGATTGTGGAGTGAGAGTTCTTGGAATAGCAAACACTGAAAGCCTTGCTTGAGCCATTGACAGTCAAATTGCCAGTTGAGTTGATATCAAAAACAGGCCAGTAGTAGTATCTGGTAGTGTCATTATAATAGGTAAATTTCAACTCGCCGCCATTTGGACTGTCTGTGTAGGCGTTGTATGGTTGGAATTTGTTGGAGTCATTAAGGACGATAAGACGGTTGTTGTCTTTGTTGATGTAGAAGAGGGCGTCTTCAAAATCAACAGAGCTGTCGCGGCCCAACTGGGCGATTAAGTCAGTGCCGTCTTTTCCCCATTTGCTGATGACGATTTGGTCTCTGTCACCAATATTCAGGAGGAACATGTTTCCTTCGACATTACAGCAGCTTCCAGCTTCTATTGAGATTCAGATATATCAGTAATCAAATAGATTTTACTTTTCTTTAGATTTAGGGAAACCCACTGGCTGTAAGAGCTGCCGCGGAGCTCAGACCAACAATTGAGAGAAGTGATAGAATCTTCATAATGGATTGTATTTATAAAAGAATAATTATTTATTGACACTGTTTGCAATAAAATTGGGATGATCATAGTAATATTATAATGAGAAAGGGAAAATTTCTCTATTCTCTATCTTATATAATTAACTAAATTACAGTCAAATTTATAGTACTGTTCTCAATTTATTCTTGATGTCTGAATAGTCTTAGACTAAGATCTAAATATGGCCCCTAAGCGGCTCATCTTGCCGGAATCATCTAGTCGCAAAGGCTCACGGAAGCCAGAAGAAGACCCGCAGCTTCAGCGCCGTATTGACTAGTTAGTTGCTATGATCAGCAAGTCTCAAGGTAGTTAGTTAACTAACGTAGTTCACAAGCGAACCACCATCCCAAACGAGCCGCCACTTCGGCCCGAAAATGCGTCCCGAAACAATTCTACATGATTCAACGCCTCAATAGGCCACAAATTCGCAATAAAAATCATGAAATTTCTCGGGAATAAGAAGGCCCAATCTTATTCTCCAACATCCCCTCCAAGTCGATCAAGCAATTCACAATCATCTTGCTTACAGACACATCAAAATCCACGTCAATTCAAGCGCCAATTGAGTACAATTAAAAGGCGAATAAGCCAGCGTACAGGGAGTCCATTAAGCTCAGTTAATGAGATGATTAATCAAATGTCTAAGGCGTACGAGACGGAAGCAAATAACTTATTATTTCTAGGAAAAGAAGTCCATGGTTTACGGGCTGCACATGAGAAAGAGAAAAGAATACGTCGATTGTCTAAGAAGTAGATATCTTATAAGCAAGGAATTACTAGAGATGAAGCTCAGATGCTTATACAAAGTCAGATTGAGGCATCTCAAAGTGCTATCGCTGCTCCAGCCGAGCCTGAGCTTCCAGCCTCTCAGGTGCGCGTACGCCGCCAATATCAGTGTAGTGAGTGTGGTATTCTCGGGCATAGAAGGCCTCAATGCCGTAGTCGTACGAGTAATTAATGTTTTGTATACAATTATTGTGTGGGTTAGAAATTGAGCTTTGAAATCAATATAGAGCGCATTTTCGGGCGGAAGTGGCGGTTCGCTTGTGAAATACGTTAGTTACCTTAGACTTGCTGATCATAGCAACTAGTTGATACAAGGCTGAAGCTATGGGTCTTCTTCTGGCTTCTGTGAGCCTTCGCGGTTAGGTGATTCCAGCAAGATGAGCCCGCTTGGGGGCTATGTTTAGAAGGATCGTCTCGGCTTAAGACTATTTGGGCATCGGGGACGAATTGAGAACGGCGCTATGAGTTTGACTGTAACTTGGTTAATTATATAAGATGGGGAGTTTATGATAGACTTGTGGCTATTTACCTTGAGACTTGCTGATCATAACAACTAGTTGATACGACGCTGAAGCTACGGGTCCTCTTCTGGCTTCCGTGAGCCTTCGCAACTAGGTGATTCCAGCAAGATGAGCTGCTTAAGGGCCATATCTAGAAGGATTATCTTAGTCTAAGACTATTTAACATTCAGAATGAATTAAGAACAGTACTATGACTTTGATTATAATTTAGTTAATTATATAAGATAGAGATTTTTCTTATCTTATTATAATAATTACTATGATCATCCCAGTTTTATTGCAGTGTCAACAAATAAATATTCTTTTATAAGTCAATCTATTATGAAGGTTCTATCACTTCTCTCAATTATTAGTCTGAACTCCGCAACAGCTCTTGCAGCTAGTAGGTTTCCCTGATATGTTTCTAAAGGAAATTAAAATATGTTCGATTGCTAATATATATCTGAGTCTTAATAGAAGCTGGAAGTGACTGTAATGTCGAAGGAAATCTATTCATGCTGAATATTGGTGACAGAGACCAAATCGTGATCAGTGAATGGGGAAGCCAAGGCACTGAATTAATCGCCCAGTTGGGCTCTGATCACTCTGTTGCAAATACACAAGACGCCCTCTTCTACATCAACAAAGACAACAACCGTCTCATCGTCTTCGATGTGGGCGCTGAGTTCCAACCGTCCAATGCCTACACAGACAGTCCAAATGGCGGCGAGTTGAAATTTACCTATTACAATGATACTGCCATACACCACTACTGGCCTGTTTTTGATATCAACTCAACTGGCAATTTGACTGTCAATGGCTCAAGCAAGGCTTTCAGTGTTTGCTATTCCAAGAACTCTCACTCCACAATCCATATCGGATCAACCGCTGGCAAGAACTGCACAGCCATTGATGACCTTATAGTATATCGCGTCACTTCCCAGCTCCAGGAATAGATAACAAAACCAACTTCACCTTTTAACACTCTTTATTTAAATTTAACCCCCACTTTATAGAACATAAACATCTACTAAGATAAATATTATTAGATTTAATACTAGTGTAATATTTAAGTATTATATATTATATATTTCGGTTTAAAATTACAATAATACTGCATGATCTGATGAAAATATTAACTCTAAACAGACTAACAGTGTCAAATTCGTTCCAAACAAAACAGAACAAGACAGCACTAACTCTATACATATTAAGATATATATAAGCGCCTTGGCAGTGAGGCAGAATTAATCAAACAGAGTGTGAAAAGGTGAAGGAAACACCCTCCCTGTACATGGGTGAGAAGTATCAAGGATTCACCATTCTCAAATATTGTGGTCTTTAGGCGCAGCGGTTTACTGAGCAATACTCCTGCTTATTTAATCATGACCCAAAACTGCTTGCAATTACTGTATTATAAGGGATAGCACGCGACCTGATTAATTTGTCATATAGAGTCGAAGCTGAAGTGCTCTGTATGCCTGGCCCGGCCGCAGGCTCGCCGCTCGTGACGAACTAGGGGAACCACGATCTCCCTTGTGACTATACATGTAAAATTGCCCCACTAGTCTCACAATTAGCATCAACTGTTTCTGTCTTTCGTATGTTTTAGTACTATACAGTGGCATAAACACCACCATCTTAAAAAGTGCGTATCAATTTAGTGTTATTTTCCAATCATCAACACATTCCCAGTACCGTGATTTGATATAGGTGAAAAAGCACCATACAATCGCTTTATTTGGGTCCGCAATAATGGAAGAGGTTCTTCAATCATGGGCATCACCAATCTGGGCACCCGACACAATGAACTACAGGAAGTTTTTTAATGCGTCCGTGTCGGGAGACATGCAAGCGATACAGGAGGTTCTGACCAGCGGAGAAATCGACATAAATGCGTGCCCGGACTATATGGACTGGGAAGGCGCAACGGCCCTGCACCAAGCCGCTGAACACGGTCATCTCGAGCTTGTCCGATTATTGATCTCTCATGGCGCCGAAATCGAACGGAGGGATCACTCGCCAGTGGGACCAAAAACAGCCCTGCATATTGCCGCCCATAACGAGCACCTTGCTATTGTCCAGGAGCTCATACAGAATGGGGCTGACGTGACCACCCGGGGTGAGATGGGAGGCCCTCTTTTGAACTTCGTTTTGTGGAATATACGGAGCGTTTCCGATAAGATATACGAGATTATCGACCTGGTGCTCAGCCAAGGTTATGATATTAATTCATGGTACATGGACATGGGCGGCACTGTAGTAAGTCTGACTCTGTAGGGCCCTATTTCCGCAATCATACGTGCCGGATCTAATTGGTGCCAATTAAAGCTCCATCAGGCGTCTGAAATTGGGGATCTCACGCTCATTCGGTTTTTAGTAGACCGTGGAGCCGACTGCAACTATACCGCCCCAACCTATGAGGACTACACTGTGTTACACAGTGCTGTCACGTATAAGCAAATCGATGCATGCAGACTGCTTATTGAGTTAGGGGCCCAGGTCACTCCTAGCGCCTTTGGCCAAGCCTTTTCTATGGAAATGGTCGAGCTTCTACATCCACACCTCAGCCAGTCAGATATATCGACCAGTGGAATTTTGGATCATGCCTCTGTCGACTTTGTGCGTGATCTGTTGGCAAGGCAGATAGTCAACGTGAATGACGTGAATCTGAGTGGCGAGTCAGCGCTTTTTGGAGCATGTATTCAACGCAAATCCACGGCAAAGCTTGAAGTCTTACTAGAGTTCGGGGCTGATCCTCACGTTCGCATTTCTCGAGTAGTACCGGGTCAAATTTTCAAGGGGGACACACCGTGTCAGTTCAGTTCAATTTGGTTTGAATTTGTTTCGTTTATGATGATGATGCTGATTGTTGCCTCCTCTGCTTAGTGCATTGGGCAGTATTGTTTACTTCTTCCACAGGCGTCACTATGCTCATTCAAGCCGGGGCGAATCTGGAAGCCAGAAACGAAGCAGGGCACACCCCGTTGATTCGACTTGCTATGTCCGGACCGAATGAACCTCGCCTGGAAATTTTCGAGGTTCTTGTAAAGGAAGGAGTAGATGTCAACGCAGTGGACTTGGAACATAACACAGCCCTCCATCATTTGGCCATGCAAAGAATGCATATCATAAGTTCGCTGGAAAACCTGGTGGTCTTCCAATTGCTCATGAAAGCGGGTGCGTTGACTAACTTGGTTAACTCGCAAGGCAAAACTTGCTTGGAATTGTTCAGTTCAAGTGCAATCTTCCGCGAGTCCATAGATGCGCTCTATCCATAGTACAATCTAGGACGGTCTAGTGGTCAGTGAAGCTACACCTAAATCTTTTACTTGATAGTCACGTTGAATGGTGTAGACTAGGTTACAGGAAAAGGCTCTATAAGACATAAATGTATTCGACAATGGTCGGTTTGATGAATGGGCTACTAAGAATTTGTAAATATCAGCAGGCCATCTGCCAGAGAACGGGATTTGATGTTGAGGGTTGCATTAATTGAAGCTGTATAGTGGGCTGACTGAGTACCCCCAGCCGAAACCGTTTTAACTGGATGGATGCCCCGGATTGTGTGACCGATGACAACATCTCTGGCCCATGGGTTTTTGGCCCTCACCGCTGGTTCTTCAGCGATGGGCTGGAATTTGCTGGAAAGAATTGCGAAGGCTTCTTCATTTTACGTACGCAGCCTCCTTACGCCATCAGATCGCCGTCAGATCGCCGTCACTAGAACCCCGACCCCCGATGACGCTCAAACAGTAGTCAAACGACATCGTCTCAACACGCGATGCCCAGTTGAACAGATGCAATCGAATATCTCTGCCGCCACACTTGTCAGCCGGATCGGGGCAAAGATCAACGGGATTGTGGCGTCATTCCTAGCGCGGTGAATGCAGCCATGCCCAAAACTACGTATTTGGAAGATGACAGTCCTTCCTGGATCCTTGGTGATGTGAAAATGGCGCCATCAGCTTCGATGGCGAATTATTAATAATCTGTGTCCCACTTTCGGTGTCCTGTCATATCATTCTCACCACGGATCGCGCAATCGCGGGGAGAGCAGGAGGAACAACTACGTACACGTTAACTGTCGTTCTATGGCAGAAAATGGCTGTGACTTGGCTATTTTTACTCCAATGCCCCTCCAGGCTCGCCGCGCACTTCTTCTCTTCTCTCAACGACACTTTTTGTAAATAAGGTTCATCTGCGGATCCGGGGAAAAGAACTGCGACTTGCTCATTCTAGTTTCTACTGCCTGAGATGGCGCCATCCTTGGAGGAGCCTGTAGCTACTCCTATTCTTCCCGAAGTGCCAGGTAAACTGTCGCGCAACAAGTTCAACTATGAGCCAGGCCGGACTGTGGTTGAGAAGCACGACAATTATGCCTACCAAGGCTTGTTGCCTTCGTTCCCTGACTTGCAATGGGAGCCCATCGGCCCTGTGCCGTACCAGGAGAAAGGCCTGCTCGGGGATCCCAACTTCAAGAACCTCCTGAGCTCGGCCACCGATGTCTTCGATTATAACCCCAAGATCGGAACAGAAGTTCACGGCGTCAATCTTGCCAAGCTGACTGATGCCCAGAAGAATGACCTCGCTCGTCTGATTGCTGTGCGAGGCGTTGTTTTTTTCAGAGGTCAGGACGATCTTGATATTGACGCTCAGCGGGAATTGGGACATTATTTTGGGACACTCCACAAGGTGGGCAGTCCCGGATGATAGAGGCTTGACTGAACTCCAGTACTAAGGCTGCACAGCATGCAACAACTGCCACTCCTAAAAACGGCATCGAAGATGTTCATGTAGTTTACACAGGCGACAACTCTATTGATCAAAGGGCATTGTTTGCTCCGAGCTTTCTGTGGCATTCGGATGTAAGAGGGGCCTCCATCCAATAGAAGACGCTCGACTAATTCGATTATCAAGGTAACCTATGAAGTTCAACCACCATCATACACTTCTCTGAAGGTCATCACCGGTCCACCACGGGGTGGTGGTGGGGACACATTGTGGTCTTCCCAGTATGCTGCATATGATGCGCTCTCGTCACACATGCAGACCTATCTTAAAGGTCTGACAGCTCTACATTCTGCGGAAATGCAGGCCAGCGACACAAGAGCGTCCGGACGCACTGTGCGGCGTGAGCCAGTCACAACAGAGCACCCTCTGATTCGCACAAACCCTGTAACTGGCTGGCATAGTCTGTGGTTCAACCCTGGCTTTGTTACCAAGATCGTAGGCGTGCCCAAGCTCGAGAGTGACTCAATAATTCGCTACCTCACAGAGGTGATGGCAACTACCCAAGAAGCTCATGTTCGTTTCCAATGGAACAAGAACGACGTAGCATTTTGGGACAATCGTGTAACTGTGAGTGGTACGAGATCGAGTTTGATACTTGCTTCTAACGGTAATCCTAGAATCACACTGCATCATATGGCTTTGCGCCCCACCGTCGTCATGCTGTAAGAGTTGCAGTACATGCTGAAAGGCCGTATCTGGATCCAGCCGGCCAGTCACAAGAAGAAGACCTGGCTGCACGTTATAGTCTGCCTCTTGTGAACAAGGACGGGGCTCGGCAGTCCAATTACAACGATTGAACAAAGCTACAGCATGGGATAATAACTGACATAACGACATGACGGGCGAACTGCACAGTTTCAAGGGATAGTTACAAGGAATTCGGTTTTGCACAGTTGAAATTTTTTTTAGGGCATAGTGGCGTTTCGGTTCTAGTATTTACATTCCAAAACGAGAGCTAGAAATGTGAGTGTTTATAGATGATAGATTCGATCAGCCGTTATTCAAGTAGAATATCTTCTGTGGTCGAAATTCCTTTCCCGTTGTCATTCAGGTACTATTCGAACCATCTGAACCTTGAACGGCAGTCGGGCGCAGGTCGTGATTGACCTGCCTGCCTCAACTGTCAACATTGAACCTCCCGTCGAACAACCACTCCTCTCGCTTGTGCCTAGAACCTAAACATCGATCAAGCGAACCTCCTCAGCGTCTTTTCCAAATTATGAACGACGCAATAGGTAGCTCTTTCTCTGAAAGCCCAAGCATTACAGATTCAGCAGCTTGTCACCAAAGTCTCGACCCAATCGACCTCCTCAACAGATTCCGGGACACTGAGCTCACTCGCAATATCTCGACAGGTGATGGACTCATTACTATCGGACATACCCTTGTTAAAACCGCAGATAACGCAGTCGCCGCTAAATTCGAAAATGAGAAATTGCAAATAGGAAAGGAGGGTGCCAGATACCTATCTTCTGTTATGAAAGAAGTATCCCAGGTTCGAATCTGGAATGACCTCACAGAAGAAGAATGGAAATCGAATAGGCCCCTATACTCACATAAATCAGGCATGAAATTAGAATTATCTATTTTGGCTGCAGAGCAACGAGATGCAATGGTAGCCATTTGTCAAAAAGAGGATCCATTAGTTGTTTTGAATGAAACGATCCCGATGTTAATAAAGCACGAGAGATGCACTGTTGATGAGGGCCTAGAGTTTCCAGAGCATTTTTTGGAACTCCCAGATATACTAGAGCATGATTTGAGATCCGAGAAGCTGGAAGCTTCTAGAGATACCGCTCAATTTTTGACATCTGTTCTAGGGTATCTTGATGACAACGATGGTGAGAAGGGAGGCGGCAGCTTCTATTATGTCTGTAACTCGTTACTCCGTTTATATGACCATGGCTCACATCAGGATCTACAGAATGATCGTCACCGGGAAGTCTCTCCGCTCTATATCGAACCTGCAGCACAATATACTCCCGCCTCTAAGTCATGGCCGCATAAAGAGAGTCCCAATTTCTTGAGCTGGGACGAAGGGATTGAAAATACACCTAAAGCTCAAAGTGATCCCCACGAGACACGAAGACACGACGAAAGCAAATACTTCATGTCACAAATACCGTCAATCCCTGAGAGAGAAATCGAAATATCTGAAGGTTCTGACCATCAGCCAACTGCAAGCCCCCTAAAAGAGACCATACCTATTGTTGAAGCCAATGGAAAGAGAAAGCTTCCGGATGAGACTTGTCAAACTGATAAGGATGCTATACAGGACAGTGTTGGTGGTGATGCTAACCCAACAGGGTCGAAAACTACGCGACCGTTCGGGTTTAGAGATAAACAATTACAGAATATCATCACACCAAGCATGTTGCCTTCATCACTAGGAACCCTATCATCCTTTATGCAAACCAGAGGCCAGAATAAGAAGCGTCAAAGGCCTAGCAATGAAAGTCCGTATTTCAACAATCCTCCAATGTCTAATAACGTATCTGTCCAGGAAAGCGGAGAAGTGGCCAAAACTGAAGAAATCACTCCTGAATCGCCTTTCCCTCAACATGCTTCTCAAAATGATCTCTCCAAACCGTGTTTCCGATTTCCCCTGAAGGAGTCGGTAAAACCATTACTCCTTATTCTATCTACAACGCTTCTACAAGCCAACCGTTCCCTCGTACATTCTCTTGAAAATGTGTCTACGACTCAAAATCTACGATTGATATTCCGCGACTACACGTCTCGGCTGCAGACCAAGTCTACGGTGCCTGACACTCCAGGTATAGTTGAAGAAGCAGATATTATCTGTTCTCCTTCAACCGGCATATTACTAACAACATCTCAAGAAACAACTCAAAAATACCTACCTGGTCATGGCTCTCCTACCTTCGACAGTCGGCTAAAAGAGAGAATAGCGCTAGTGGCATATCGATATGAGAGATTATACGTACTTGTCCAGGTCCCGGTTAGCGTTAATGCTATAACAATGTCGTCAATAAGAGAACTTGGCACATTCTGCGTTTCATTGGGTCGGTCGTGCACCGTGCACACATTGCTCGTACCGCCAGACCACATCCTCGAATGGATCCTAGCTATAGCCACAAAATATACTATTGTCCTTCCTGATATGCTTGATGAGAAAGAGACCCAAGAAAGCGAAACTTTATGGTCGTCATATCTCGACGATCAAACCCAATGGGAGCTCTTCCTTCGTCATACCGGACTCAATCCATTCGCTGCGCAGAGTGTCCTTGACATTCTCCGAAACCATCAACCGCAATCTTACGCCACTGATAACGGGGATAGAGCGTCCGATCTGTCCAGTTTTATTGAGATGTCACCGATAACGAGAAGGAAGATGTTCCAGGAGACTGTCGGCGAGAGGGTGTTGCAACGAGTAGAGAGGGGTATTGAGACAGACTGGCAGGTCGAGTGGGCGGTTGATCTGAACTGAATGCGCACGATATATTTAAAATACCGTAGTAATCACAGATAGTCTTTTTTTTTTTTTCAATTTAGAGAGGAGATTCATTAGAGCCTACCATCGAACATAATTGTGGCGACTCTTTGTAACCAGACTACTCAACAGAGCCAGGGCTAGAGTATGATAATTGTATCAATACAAGAAGTTTGGTAAGGAAAAGGAAATATGCAAAATCGCTGAATGAAACACATCATGCATGCACATCAAGGTTAGATTTGACATATCCCTCCCAAAGTGACAATGAGTATTAAATATTTAAATCCTTTCTTTCCTTTCTATTTTTCGCTTTTTTCAGATGATTTTCTTGGTGTGGCGTGATGATACAGGTGCTTTATGGTACATTGTTTTGGGATTGGTTAATGTCAAGACATCGTAGCAGTCCAGGCTGTGACGAGATAATTCGATATAATCACTGATTGCGATTCGGGAGAGGAACGATTACTCGTTGATCTTAGCCAGGATCCTAGGTAGCTAGTCAGTATACAATGCAATCATCTAATCCCGAATACTCACTCAGAGTCCCTGAAAAGAGTGAATTCGTCCTCGCCGACCTTGACAGGGCTACCACCGAACTAAAAATATCTTGATCAGCCTTGACCCTAAAAAGCATTTGATTAGGTCCACAGATTCCCAGCAAGGAGACATACCTGAGGAATCAGAACCTTATCACCGCTAGCGACGCTCATGGGGATCTTGTTTCCGTTTCGGTCAATAGCGCCAGGTCCGACAGCCAGAACTGTGGCCTGATTGATTTCCTTAACGGTGCTCTCGGGCAAGAAGATACCGCTGGCGGTCTTGGTCTCAGGCTTGACGCGCTGGACCAGAACGCGGTCCAGGAGGGGAACAAGGTTCTTGATGCTGCGCAGGGCCTGTTTTGCAAGATAAGAGTCAGTGGGACAATGCGCTGAAAGAATCACGATGAGATCTTGTTGCGTCAAGCTTGGTTGAGCTTGAGGAGCTCCGACAGATGCGAAAATTCGAGGGTACGTACCATTGTGTTAATATAGGGAGGTGATAGATGTCTGGAGAATCAAGTGCGAGTGATAAAATGGAATAGGAGCTGGCTTGATGCTATGCTGCGAAAGGGCTTGCGATAATTCGTGATTGAAGAAAAGATCGAGAGGTGCTCCGACTGTCGCGAGCGAGAAATTTCCAGAATGCCAAGACTTGGGGAGAACCCGGCCGCTGCGGAAGGCAAAGCCGAGGGTGGCCGCCAAAGGGGCTCGTTCCCTATCACTTACTAACTACCTGTCTTCCAGAGAATTGCTTCATTATCTGGCATATCTTCGTCTTTTTGAAAGATAACAGCTAAATGGGATAACGATATATGAAAACCAACGCCAAACCCGTCCAGCCTGGAAAAATACATGTATTGCACGTCCATATCACCATCTACGGTTCCCTCGTCCTCTGCCGCCGCCTCCGCCGTATCCTCCCTGCTGATTGTAACCACCGTAGCCCATTTGCTGCTGACCCTGTCCCCCGTACCCTTGATTCTGCTGTCCTCCGCCGGGCTGTCCCATCATGGCTTGCGCATGCTGCATAAAGGCCATCGGGTCCATGGACGACGGATCGAGACCCTGAGCCATCATACCGGCAAGCATACCCTGCATCATATCAGGAGACATATCTGGCATCCCTGGCATCCCAGGCATTCCGGCCATTCCTCCACCGCCTCCACCTTGAGCTGACGGCGTGGGGGCAGGCGGAGGAGCTCCAGGCATCCCAGGCATTCCACCCATAGTCATGAAGTTTTGCATGTCATCCAATTGCTTCTTCTGGTCCGTAACCTCTCTGCGCAATTCTTGTTGTTTGAGACAATAGCTAGCCCACGTAAACTCGTCGAAGCCGTAGTTGAAAAAATCTGTAATGTCAGACCCAGGTCTTCGCCACGGCTTGTCGTCCTCTGTTGGGAAATCTGCATCCAAATCCGTTGCAGTCACTGGCTTTCCAGTAGCTGGGTGGATTGGGTCGGCATCAACATCGATCGTCGATGTGCGTATAGCAGGATATTCGGTGCCAGGCTTCAGTGTCGCTACTGGTCTGCCTTGACCAGGCGCCGGTGTAACACTTTCGGTTTTTATGGGAACAGACGGCGTGGATGGTTTTATATCGGCTGAAGCAGATCGGTGAGGCTCGTTGACTGCAGCGACATTTCGCAGATGTGCACTTTACAATCAGTAAATGCCGAAAAGTAGTAGCGAAGGAACCTTACAGATTTGAAGCTGAGTCTGCCGGGGCTTCTGTAATGATATTGAAATCATCCTAATTTTTTATAAGCCATGCTTGTGTGGTTGGGTCTGTAGGACCTACATCATCGTCTTCTTCCTCTTCCTCTTCAAGCTCGTAGGGTTCATCCGCCGCGTTCGCATTTCCTGCCGTCTGAGCATGCCCGTTCACTTCATGCTGAGGTGGGAACGAGTCGGCGGGGTCATAGAGATCATCGTCATCTTCGTCCATGGTAAATATAGGGCGTGAGTGTTAATCAAAAGCTGCGGGGTGTTGTTGATCAAGGATGGTTTAATCCAAGCCGGCGCGGAAGCTTCAACTAGCATATAGCTTAGCTTAGCCTAGCCCTAGCGACGAGGTACCAAGCTGTCAATCTTCAAACTGCGCCCTCGTTGACATGTTGCCTCGAGAAAAAGTTTACTTATAATATGAACTCTTCTAAATTACGAGAAGCTCCATATTTAGCTTTACTTGCTGCTTGGTGCTGTCTTGGTTTGCTGACATCTTGATTACGGTCACGTGCTTCCGACAAAACATTGGACTTCGCCGCCGGTAGAAATTTGATTCTTCCTGCTTCCTATTCCCTTTCTCTATAGACGCACGAATAAGTTGCGAACACAGCAATAATGCCACCTTCAACAGAGCCACCAAGTGGCACGTCAACTCCGCGATCATTTACCAACCAATCCACCTCTGCAGAGGAGCTTCTCAAGTCGCAAACCGTCGGTCTAGTTCATCTTTCCGATTTTCGAAAACGCCGGGCAGAAGTTTTGGAGCAGAAAGAGCGCGAGGCCCATGACAAGTCATTAGGCAGATTCACATCTGCCACTTCAAGAACTGCGACACCTTCACAGGGAGATGTGACCGATGGGTAAGTCACAAACCCCTCGCCAATCCTGTCACCTAAGACGAGACATGCTAACAGAATAAGAATAGTGCGTCGACACCTGCAAGTTTATCATCAGATGGCCGACCTAAAAAGAAAAAGAAGGGTCTAGCGAAGACCAAGTTGTCGTTTGGAGATGATGAAGAAAGCAATGACACCGGAGAGGATTCTACTACAGTCAAACGAGGCAAGCTAAAAGTAGCATCTATGAATTCAACAGAAGAAAATTCTGGATTACTGGGGCGCAAGATTGTTGCGAATCCAAAAGCACACCCGCCACCGAAAGCTCTCACGAAAGCGGCGATTGAAGCCGAGGCCGAGGCCCGCGATCTTCTTCGAAAGGAATTCCTCGCACTTCAAGAAGCTGTCAAAGCGACAGAGATTATAATCCCATTTGTCTTTTACGATGGCACGAATATTCCGGCTGGCAATGTGAAGGTCAAGAAGGGAGACCCTGTATGGCTTTTCCTTGACCGATGTCGAAAAGTCGGTGCAGAGCTTGGTGTCGCAGGAGCTCAAAGTAGCGGGCGTGTGAAGCGAGATAATCGTCGCGAATGGGCACGCGTTGGTGTTGATGACCTGATGCTTGTGCGGGGTGATATAATCGTACCACATGTGGGATCCCCGTCCTCTACTAGAACACGTTCACATTTACTGACCATGTTGCAGCACTACGAGTTTTACTATTTCATTGCGAATAAAGTGCCCAGCTTCAATGATGCTGGTGGCCTGTTATTCGACTTCTCGACCGAGGCGCCGCCGGAAAAAAATGATGATCCCCTTGCGGGGTCGAGCAATGAGGATCTTGAAGGAGCCGATGCTGATCCTGTCCTGACAAAGGTTGTGGATCGCAGATGGTATGAAAAGAATAAACATATTTTCCCAGCAAGCTTGTGGCGAGAGTACGAACAAGGAGATGACTTCCTTTCAAAAATGAAATCAACAAGACGCGACGCCGAGGGGAATGTGTTCTTCTTCTGAGACTTTCAGGGAAATAAAGCGAAAACGCCCATTATTGCCTACGAACATCTATGATGATTGAATAGAGGTGCAAAGCTGCATGAGTTGGATATCTTATAGGCCAATCAGGGGAACATCAAAGCTCTCGTTGCAAATATAACATTCTAGCAGAGTCAAAGTCCCAGCTACCATTGACAACCACGCCTGACGGCCGCGGCGCGCTCATCGTTCAAATCAGGCTTTTCCTTTTGGAAGGGCCATTTTTCGAACGAGGATGAAGAAATGATGAATGTCTTACGTGTAACCAATCCCCGCACCGTAAAGACTGAGGAGACTATTAGGGGAATATATCGAAACATCAACAAATGGCGGCCAGTATATCTTCTCAACGACTCATCCTTTCTAGTCGCGCCGAATCTCCTTGCGGGAAGTCTTTCGGGGACTTAACGTAGAGTCGATTAACATGCCAGATGACTTTATATATGCCTAAGCACTTACCCCGTGGTGTCTATCTATCATATCCTCAGAATGGCTAATGTGCAGTCTAAACCAACTCGATACAACGGGTTCTGACCACGGGTCCGAGGCACTGCACAGACTCTGAAGCCTGAACCATCTTTCACTACATAGGAGCGAACGATACGAAGATTAGCAGAGTATATATGTTTAACAATAAATGCAGTATATAGACCTATAACCTGTGTAGCTGAGTTTAAAATAAAGCCGGAGTATAAGTTAGTAGTCACACAATTCAAGCCGGGCACAGCGCTGATTGGGCTGCGCGTCCCTCGTCGTGGGGCACGCACCCAGGTGTACCTCATCACCAGCCAGTCCGACCGATATCGTCCGTCAATCTCCCACCCCTCAAACACGACGAGTCACCCATCTCGCAGCAGTAGCTCGTCCTGAGCACTCGCTTCAGCTTGCTCCCAGGAGGCCGCTTGACCCCCAAGCATATTCTTCTTCGGAAGAGATATGACCGCAACGAGACGCCTCTTCAGGTGTCGGACCCCAAGTCCTGTTGATTCAAGACCACTGTCGAAGAACTCGTGTTGACCGATTGATGTGGACGTGACATCCAGAAACGGACAATCCTCTTTGCTGTCTGTATTCAGCAGCTTTGCCGTTACTTCTCGCAATGTCGGCCACAACACCCTCTATGCCGGCACCCACGTCCGGCTCTGTGTTTGCCAACGCCACCACGTATAACAACGGATCTTTATCACCTCTCGCACTCCTCAAATACCCCCTTCACGCAATCCGCCAAGTCGAAGCTTTCACCTTCGCTACACTTCCGCAGAATGTTGCACGTCTAGTCGGTCTCGATACTTTACTAGATAACGGAGCAGGAAGAGAAGGTGATAACATGGCAGCTGCGGTAGTAGCAGCCGCTACAACTGCTGGTGCGGATCGTGCAGCTGAGGGACTTGCGGATGGTTTTGTTGGCGAAAGTTCTTTCAATTTTACGGATATTCTACAAGCAATGAGGCGATTTAGTGGATTCTTCAGCTACATGACGAGTCGATGGTCTATAGCCTGTTTCTCCGTTGCTCTTATTCTCAATCGTGTGACGATATATGCGTCGACAAGACGCCACCTCAGCCTACCGTGGCATAAGCGTCTGGCTCTCCGCATCGTTCCCATCATTGTGTTCATGGCGCAAATATTGAATTTATTACGCGCAATGCGATGTCAGACGTCGCCAGATTACTCTAGCATTCGTTATGGCCACCCCGAGAAACATTTCACGTTTGACCACGCTAGTGAAGGTGGATTTATACATGCTCTAGGTTCGTCGCTGTTGGCGTGGGAGACAGATCAGCAATCTTGCAGCGCTGTCCATATGGACAAACATGCGGGGAGCACCGATATCCCTTATGGATCCTTTACCTTGCTATGGCCAGTTTTCATGAGCCTCTGCCTAAGTCACTTTGTTGAAACACTTTCATGTGCGCTACAAGGCCGCTCAACTGTGACGGAAGCGGGGATGTCAATATTCGAACATTCGCTTGCATTTGCCGAAGCAGAAACCATGATAAGCCAGTCAATAGGCCTGGGGATGTTTGGGTTATCAAAGTCTAGCTCGGTGAAGGACGATCTAAAATCCGCAGGAGAAGGTTCATCTGCGCTGCACTTGTTAACTCGTACACAAGTTCTTGAAAGGATGAATGTAACTCCCGAATTATTGCTTATAATTCTGATATCATGCTGCAACAGCTTATTGTCTAATGTTCTCGATGTTGTTGGGAAACAGAGCAGATATCGCCTTGTGAATACGACCATTTGGGGACTATGTTTCATGGGAGCCATGGCTTGGGGATTCCTGGACAACAGGTCATTTGATTCTGAAACAGGAGTGCTTAAATTTCCAACGGTTTGCATCGTGGGTTTTGTTCCACACCTACTTATTCTCATCGGGATTGCTGTCTGTCTTTGTATATATGGGCTGGCCGTTCTCATCACAGCATTTGCGTTACCACCAGATCTGCCACGGCCATCAACTTTATGGGAAAGGTTTTCCTGGGCGAACGAAAACATGCAGGGCTCGAATCAGATTCGAAATGTACGTCTCAACATGCACGAAGACTTTTATACCACACTTCTCCGTATCGGGTATGCTGCTTTGACTGCCGCAAGTGAGGCTGTCTTCCTAAACGAAGGACGTAGCGTGGTAGCCCGTCGGCGAACGTGGTTAGAGGATGAACGACTGGCAGAAATCGAAACATCACGACGAAGAACCTCAGTCAGGTCAAGCGCCTGGGGGGGACCTCTGAACACTCCCCTGGACAATCCATCCACATTTAATTTCGACATTTCTCACCCGAAAAACGAGAATTGGGAAAGCGGATACAAACATGAACAGAAAATTGAAAAATTAGCAAGCCATTCACGCCCTGCTCAGTCACAAACAAGTCTCGGTGGCGTTGGTGCATTTCAAGGTGCAGCTCGGTGTTATCATGGATTCGCTTTTTTCAGGGGTATATTTTACTTGATTTCTAGATGGCTTTTACTTGGATTGAACAAAGTTTTGAACCGGCTGGGTATTACGCTACGGCCTCAATGGATGCTCCGATTCATTGGATCCAACATGAAGGGAAAAAGGGCCAGAATGAAGGAGGAGCCCGCATCATTAGACTTTTGGATTCTCACAGACGACGGCGAATTGGAGCTGCCCGAGGATAATGAATTCGATGTGGAGAAAGAGATGCGGAAAAGAGAAGGCTTCAACCAGCCGAACTGGGGAGAGGTAGACGAAGCTCGACTGGAGAGTAAATTGTACAACTGGTGGAGCGCGGGCGGATCATGGGGCAATCAAGACGAGAGTGGCGACTATGTTCCCTTAGAAACCGATTTTGACGATACCACCAGCGTCATCTCCATGCAGACCAATGGTTCGGAGTGGGAGGATTATGATGCTTCCGACGGCCGCCGCACCCCTACACAATCAGACCCTTTCCCTGTTATACGATCGCGAGAAAGCACTCCTCTTCTCGAGACACTGCTAGATACGTCGTCTCTCGCTCGTCTCCTCGACCCTCGGGATCAAGAAAGCAAGAACGAAGCCCGCATTTTAGCAGCACATCTCGTCGCCGACAAAGAAGGACGCATTATGACCCGCAGCCGTCTACGATCCCAAATCGAATCCGAGCGAGCACGTATCTTACTGCCGGCACGCTACCAATCCAGCAGTAGCTCCAGCATCAACAGTGACAAACTCCGCCCCACGCCGGAAGAAGAGGCCGACATTCTCGAGAAATTGATCATCTCTCGTCGTCACGAGGCAGCTTCACAACGTAGTGCCGACGGACCATCACAAACCTCCTGGCAGACTGGTGCCGCTGGCCTAGGGACTGATGGACCGCAGTGCGTTATTTGCCAAACATCTCCCCGTTCGGTCATTACGTGGCCCTGTCGATGTCTCTGCGTGTGTGAAGACTGTAGGGTCAGTCTTGCGATGAATAATTTTGGGAGTTGCGTGACATGTCGTCAGGAAGTTAGTGGATTTGTAAGGTTATGGGTGCCGTAATTTCTTTTCCAGTGTCTAGGTACGAGGTAGGACATTACTTCTGCAGATATTATTGTGTATTCTTATATAACCATTCAATTGTTTATGACTGTCAATTGCATCCTGATATGTTAATACACATTCTCAGTTTAGAAGATTCATACAAGCTGTCGACGATTTCAATTCCACATTCACGATTTTCGTATCCTAACCAGGCTTGAACGTAAAATCTTTAAATCGTCCGAAATCCAGAGTCGAGCTTGCCTTTTCAACGTGATGCTGTCCACCATGGACGAAAGCTTCCCGCGGCGGTGCAGGTAGACGTGTACGGTGGTGATCTGGAGTTGGAATGGACGGTTGGGGAACTACGTATTTTTAGATCAGGGTGGTCTTTTGCTAGGCAAGAACACATACCAGAAAATGGAAGCTTTGGTGGCGGCATCCCTTCGATATCAATACCAAGTCCACTTCGGCTTTTTCTTGAGCTTGCTCCTCCACTCCTCTGGTGTTTGAAGAGTTGTTCTGCACCACTAGTAAAAGTCTCTGGCGATGTCAAAGCATTGAAATGCCTTGACGTCACTCTCGTGGTCTGGGACACTATCGGCCTACTATCATTACCGGTCAAATAATCTATGCCATTCATGGGCACTCGCGTATTGCTCGTGCGAGGTAAGGATTTCAAAGCTTGTGAAACTGAATCCGAAGCAGCAGTCTGGATCTGGGAACGCATGGCTCGGCTTTTCAGCAGATTGTAAAGATTGATCATTTGCGTGTGCTTCTTGCACTTCTCTTGGTACATTGTAATGAGCTCTTCATTCTTCTTTTGGACTTGATCCTGTGCCAACTGTGCCTCTTTTGGCAACCGAAAGTCAGTGAAATGCTATTATCCAATTATCCTCTAGGGAGGGACTTACCAGTAAGTTTGCTTTGTAAAGTTGATATTTCGGTATCAGCACTACTGATCACTTTCTCAAGATCTGTGTTTAAGGAACGGTATTTATCTGTAAGACTTTTATTCAGATACTCCTGGTAACATCTAGTTCACGTAATCTTCGTCAGTGTATGAACAACGAAGACGGAGAGAAAACAACATTTCTTGTGTTGTCTGATACGCCCAAAACGAGAGGGCTCTTCCTGCGCACTCCATGATTGTCGTTGGGTCCAAGCCACTCATCACGCTAGTCTTGTAGTCCTCCGATGGGTTGAGAATGGTTGAAACAGCGTCGTCAGGATTCGGCAGATTTGTCTGGCATGCTGGACAGCTTCGCGTTTGAGCAGTTGGTCTCGAAAGACCAAGGCTTTCGGCACACGTTAGACAGAAAATGTGTCTATTGGGCCATCAGATATAAAGATGTCTGATGTCAGCGGATCATCCCAGCCGCACATGACAAGGGTATACGGACGAACAGGTGGTTACCACGGCCCGGTCGTTCAAGATCGTCCGGCAGGTCAACGTATTGCAGCGAAGGGAAAAGTCTAGTGTTTGCGTCATGGATGCGCGAGGAGAAGGGTAGAGTGTGTATATAGTAGAATTATAGACAGAAAGACAATTGAATCCAGTCAGCGCATGTCAGGTGATGTTTGTTGCAGTGCGACCCCCTCCTGCCAAATCGGGAAGGCGCAGGCCCATCGCTCCTTCTTCCGGAATCAATTCGTTGCCCTGCACAAAGCATCACAGATCAGATTAAAGAAGAACCATACAAGCATCAATTGATCAACTGGCTACATTATATTCGAAGCGACACACTCTTTTGTGCACGTATATATGTGCAGAAGGGCATATTCCACCCCCTTTTGAAAATTCGCATCAATTGCTGTCTCGCAGCATTCTCGGTAGCACTCCTGGCCATGATACAGTAAACTTGACCGGCTGATATATGATTCTAGTGACTGCCGCCGCTCGACAGATGATAAAGCCAGGTTTGGAGGCTCTCGCATTGGATGAAAGATTTCATAGAGAGGGCTCAGATCACTCTGGTAGGACGATCATTAATCAAACATCACAACATGGTCTGGTCTCCGTCGCAGGTACTATTAGTACCTCCATACTCCTCCAGGTGCAGAAATACATCGCAGCAATACATATGTGCGTCACAGCCGGGAGAGATCTGCACAAGCCCTAGTGGGATAGCCAGGGGCATGCTTATGTTGACACCTCGCCAGTGCATACATTCTGTGCGTACTGCATGCTCCTACGCTGTGCAGAATGTAATTTACCGCCAAATCACGCACCGCCTATCAAACTTGGCGGGGGGCAAAAGCCTGGCCTAGCGGGCTATAGGCCGTGTTGTGACTGGCCCAGGACTTGTTTTCCTCCCAATGACCGACGGCGCTGCCTCCCTTCTCCACAGATTGTTCCTTGGCCCCATCCGACGTGAGGTGTGCCGTCGATGTTTCGCCTGGAACTGCTAGTGAACTACTACTTGGGGGTCATCGTGAATTTGTCCTTTATCCTTGCGAGAGCTCCATCCAACCTGCGTGGCCTCTCCGTGACATGCTGTCGCTGGTGACCTCTCACCAATACGTCGCCTCGCACGACTAGATCTCTCAACGCTTTCGCCCACCCCCGAACACACCGTCACTCCTTTCAATTTTGCCATTCGACCTTCGCCGTCATGCCGGGGCGACATGTCCTGGGCCAGGCCATCGTCGCCACCTGTCTCATGTTTGGCCTTTTATACTTCTTCATCCAGCCATATGGAATACAATCTGAGGGCCCTTCGACCGGCGCGAGGCGCAAGTCTAGCAAGGAATTGATCAATGACACAAGAAATGCTACTTTAGGGGTATGTATACGTATCCGCAAGCGAATTGCCGGGTTATACTAACATGGGTTAACACACAGTTCGGCGCCATTTATATAATCAATCTTCCCGTACGAACAGATCGTCGTGATGCTTTAGCACTAATGTCCTCGACGACGGGGTTACAATTGGAGTACATTCAAGCGAAAACAGGCAATGAGGTGTTGGACAAAGCACTGCCGCCCCCAGCGAGTCACACAAACCAAAGATCTGGCAATATTGGTAGTTGGAGAGGACATTTGAATGCGATCAGAGCGTAAGTAATCATCGCTCGATGCTTCCCCCTTATTACTCCTGCTCACTTGTCTGGGTGTTGATTACTGACATGCGAATGAAAAGCGTCGTTGAAAACAATCTGGACTCCGCACTCATTCTCGAGGATGACTCCGATTGGGATATCCGCGTTCATGATCAATTCACTGAATTTGCTGAGACCACTCGCGTCCTGACACAACCACTCGCTGGCTCAACGACTAACTACGCCGATCCTACTTTCTTCGACCCCTCAGAAGGTGGTCAACCAGAACATTTAATCTATGGACAGCTTCCCCGAACCGTTCCACCACAGGTATCCCCTTACGGCGATGACTGGGATGTGCTATGGGTTGGTCATTGCGGCACGGAGGCTCCGAATATCAATTTGGAGGACAAGGATAAATCCAAGCTCTCCAAAACACTACCCCGCGGCCGGGTCATCCATTACAATGATGAAACGGTACCAGAAAACCAGTATTTGAATGTGATGGAGCAGGAATTTGATCCCCGTGACATCTTCCCTCACCATACTCGAACAACGCATCACGTTATGGGTCAAATCTGCTCTCTAGGCTACGCTGTTTCGCAACGAGGCGCCCGTCGCATTCTGTACGAGATGGGCGTAAAAAAATTCGACGGCCCATACGATATCATGTTGCGCGACATATGTGAAGGTGTCAATGAACGCCCTAAAGGTGCAGTTTGCCTTTCTGTCGAGCCTGGGCTGTTAAACCACCACCGGCCCGTCGGTCTATCTGCTTACCACAGCGATATCTCTGAACATATGGCCCCGCCTGTCGATGTTGCTTTTACAGAAAATGTGCGATACAGTGCCCGCTTAAGCATACCAAAATTAATTGTCGGAGACACCGATTACGAAGACCAATGGCCTGATACCGTTAAGATATCGTCATGAAACCAGCTTCTTCACTTGATGACCTTTCACATTTATCCTTATTCTCTCTCGAGGTCGAAGTTTCGTTGCGGGATGTTTGTCGCAGTATACCATTTGCTTGCTTTTCACCTTATTCAATTTTTCTCGCCTCTTTACCATGTATTAAAACGAGATCCCTGTGAATCTTTTTCACCCGGCTTTCCTTTTCTTGCCTTTTTTTAAAACTTTCTGCCTTCTGGGACCATCGTATTACAATTTCTTGTTTCTTCGAAGACTCAGATCTTTTTCACCATATATGGCTCTGTTTCTGTACATTATCCTTGCATTTGGAAACCCTCCAAATTATACTTTATTTTCGTCGTTGTTGTTAAGATAGCATACTGCTTAGGGGCTGTGGGGATTTGCTTTTCTTGTTTTGGCTTTTGGGATGCACTGACAGGCGAATATATTCTTGTTTTCCTCTTTCGAAGTATGAAGATGACAGACAATCGATATGCTTTTTGCATAACAACATTTGAAGAAGCTGGTAAATTCAGATACTTTAAAGTCTTTATTGTAGTGTTCTAGTCATTTTATTCATTACATCATAGAGGTTCTTGTCATAAGAAATAAGAGGGATTTTACAGGCGGAACATCTCGCTACCACTACTGACGCCATCAAAGATGCAGGTGTTATCTAACGGCACATATTGCCTCGTCAGCACCTTTAGGGCTTCCTGCGAAACCAGCCCTCCAGTTAGAGACGAAATATTGTGCAATTCTCCCCCCACGGTGCGGCGCAGTTCCTGCGCGGCTTTGGTCACGCTCTCACGGTTTTCAGCGTTGATAACGGAGTTATCACCCTCTGCAATTGTGACTAATAGGCGCTCAATGGTGGTATTCCAGACATCATCGTTATCCAATGCATTCGGGGTTAGCTTTTCGTTTTGGATTCCATCCACAATGACATCCAAAGCCTCAAAGGCGATGTATGTGGGGATCTTGGATTCTGGGTTGCCAAGCCCGTTTCGAATAGTTTTGAGTGTTTGGTTGGCGTTTGTAGAGATCCGAGGTATCTGTCGGCCACGAATAACCTTGACGTGCGAGGCGTTTTTGCAGAATACCTCAACCTCCTTCTCTGTAACCGGCGCGGTCCTGTCACATAGTTGTGTCTCGATGGAACGAACGGTAGCTAAGACTTCCTCTACGTCTTGGCGAGCCTTGGATTTGAAAATGTTCTGTAAGGTGATATAATCGGCCGATTTTGCTTTCATGTCTGGAAGAGATCCGGGTAGTGGAAGGACATTATGCTTTGTATAGAACGCCTTCAGAGCTGAAGCAATGATCCAGAAGTTATCGTAATCTGTTTTCAAGTTCGTGCATTGATCCATATCGAAAATCTCCCTGATGTTACTCCGTAACGACCAGGGGTTAATGCTCTTGAGAACCGCGCTGACGGCCTCGTCAAAGTTCTCTTCCCCACCCTCTGCATTGTTCGTTCTTGCTCCAGACCGTACCAAGTCCCTGAATGCCGTCTTTTCTTTGTAGTTTTCCGGCGCTTTACCGTCGTGTTCGGCCTTCCACCGATCTAAGTAGTATAGTAGGAGTAAAATATAAGGCACGTGGCCATGGTCGTGATCATCTAATGCTTCGAGGTTGGCGATTTGTGAAACCACAGCATGTAGCTCAGGCCACGGATTGGTGAGGCGCAGATCTTGTGTAGATTCCGGATCGGGGTGAGTCTCAACAATAGGAAACTCTGTCGGAAGTTGTAATGAGAACGAGGAGTAGAAGCCAACGGAACGAACGTAAATCAAGGGAACGCCAAGTTGTTCGGCGGAGCTTGTGATAGCATCGAGGGAGGATCGTTTGATAGGCCCTGACACCACCACCAGCTTGTACTGAGAAAGGAAGTCGGGTTGTTGAAGGAGGTCTGAGATCGGCTGCAAAGAGAGAAGTGGTTAGCGAACATAAGGATATCAACACTGCTGCAACTGACCTCAACTTTAAAGTCTCCGTCCACATCTGGATTGAGTTCCTTCAGAAGATTGCAAGTTTCTTGAGCTCGAGATTTCCCTAGACTGCTTTCTTCTAGAAAGAAGTTGATGCCCAGGTCGGTCTCGCTGACAATGGCTGGGTCGACTATCGTGAACCCACCCACGCCTGGGAGGACGAGATTCTTGAGCGTCTCGACGCCAGCAACACCGCCGATTGGGGTATTCTCTCCATCAATAAAGCCATCAGAGTTGACCAAGAGCACTCGAGACTGCTCCAGGGCCTGTTGGCCGCTGGCAGCCCATAGACGCAGCTGTCGATCGTACTTCCTCTCCTTCGACGAGGGGCCGACTAGCGCGGCAGGAAACTGGTCAGTCATTCTGGAGGTTGGCGCAGGTCGGAGCTCACAGAGTCAGGCTGACGAAGGGGTTTTATTAAGCATTAGACTTCGGCTAATGAAAAGCAAGGATGCTTGGTGAGCAGTATACAACAGCGGGGATGCTCTGAGCAGACTGAGCTGGTAGGCCGTAGCTCCAGGCGCTGCGGGGGTAGTTGCCTTAGCATCCCGCCTGGTCTTCCGACATGCCCCGCCGTCATCGGTTGATTAATACATTCAGCATGATTCTCGTCCTTATATAAAGCGCGAGCCCAGAATTGTGGAACTTTTCTCCATATCAATTGCGTGCACGATTACGGCCTATCTGGGTGATCGCCAATTGACAGCTGTGTCCGAGATCTACATGAAATCGATCGTGCTGCTATCTTCCACCTTTCGTTCCCCAATGTGAGTCCGGCTTTGTACATACGTTTTGACATGTCTTGACATTATCTTCTAGCTGCTCAATACCCAGTTTGGTTGCTCGCACCACCTTCCAAAAGACTTGTCTAGACTACTTCAACCGTCGTCACCAATCAAACATGGCTAGCATTGAAGCATCTAAGCGTGCTGCTGCCACAGAAGCAGTGAAGAACCACTACCCCCTCAATGCAAAATGGGTCGGCATTGGTAGCGGCACGACCATTGTCTACGTCGTCGAAGCAATCAAGAACCTGGGTACCGACACGAGTTTGACCAGGTTCGTTCCTACGGGCTATCAATCCAAACAACTCATTACCAAGGCTGGTTTGACCCCTGTGGAATTCGATGCCATCCCCGAAGGAGTCGTCCTCGACATTGCATTTGATGGTGCTGACGAGGTGGATGATGATCTAAACTGTATCAAGGGTGGCGGTGCCTGTCTATTCCAAGAGAAGATAGTTGCCCTTCAAGCCAAGGAGTTTATTTGCGTTGCTGGTATAACTATCTGTTTGGTGCTGGTGTTTATTAGGTTCAAGCTGACCTCCAGAAACAGATTCCCGGAAACTCCAAAACCGCCTTTTAACAAACTGGGCGTATATTCCCATCGAGGTTGCGCCGATCGCCGCACACCGTGTTGTTCGGAAACTTAAAGAAATGGGAAGCAAAAACCCAGCGATCCGCCTCAACACAGTGGCAAAGGAAGGACCGCTCAAGACAGATCAGGGCTTCTTCATCGTTGACGCGCCATTTCCTCCGCTGTTGACTCCATCAGACGTACAAGCTGGCAAAGACGGCAGTGGGAAAGCTGGGGTTTGGGAAGTATCGACTTTGGCAAACAAGATCAAGGCCATTCCTGGGGTGCTTGAAGTTGGCATCTTCCACGGAATCACGGGTCCTCAGGCTCAAGAAGCCGGGGCTGTTGGTGGACAGAAGCCATTCGCTGCATACTTTGGTCTACCAGATGGCTCGGTGACCGTGAGACGTGCTATTCACTAAGTTGTCTCGCATGACCATATCCGATTAGACCAGCCTTTTCGTTTCAGTCGACAGTTGGAGAATAGATTTGAATGACAACCTTGAAACGTGGCACGATATTTGTATCTTTTTGAATTAATATACTTGATATATATACATGTACAACCTAGCCTTGCAAATATGAGAAGCCATTTAGGACACCGCCAACCCGCCAAAGAACAAATCATGAATCCAGAAACAACAACCTTCTTTTATTCTATTCTTTTACTTTGGCCCCTTGCCTTTTGCTTCGGTCTCGCCTAGCTCACGCACAAATATCTGCACAGTACCAGGCTGCACATCATCCTGGCCATCTTCAAACCCAGGACTGACAGCAATGGCAAGATACTTTCCATTGGAGCTGAAGCTGAGGGCCGCAACGCTGGCCGGGTATTTCTGGTATTGGCGAATTCTCCTCTTCGCAATGCCATCCCACAGCGCAACCACACCGTCGCCGCCGCCGGAAGCGAATGTGCCGAAAATAGGATGGAACGAAAGGGCGTTGACTGGGTAGACAACATCCACATCCTCGACTGTTTGCCGGTGGCACTTGAATGCGTATTTCCGGGCTTGTGATTCCGTAGAAGGATCGAACCATTCCACAGCCACTCGACCCTCAATGCTCGAAGACGCATAGCCTGCATCGTCTGGCATGCATGCAACAGCGCGTGTCATGAATTTGAGACTACTCTCCCGCCGTTGCCAGGGTTCTATTTCAACCTTATTGACTGAGGGAGGATCCACGTCTGCTTGATCGGTTATCATTGCGAGGGACTTGAGGTCGTAGATGTGTAGGGCCCGAGACGCCATTGCGACAACGAGCTTGGTAGGTGAGAGGGAGAGAGAGAACGGTTTCGATGGGAGCGGAATGACTGCCGGTGTAGAATCAGCATTCAATCGATGGACGTGAAGTGTCGAGTCCCATGATGCGGATATGACAATTGAATGCTCTTTGCTGTAAACTACCGATTTGACGCCAGCTTCGTGGGTAGAAAGCACGGTTTGTGTGGATGTGTTGACATCGATTCTGAAAATGTCAGCATATCAAATTAATATATTGTGAAGTGCAGCATACTTTCTCACATCCCAATCCAAGCCTGCGGTAATAATCTCGTCTTCATTCGCGCCGAAGCAGACATCAAGCACGGGGGCCCTATGTTCAAACTTCTGAAGAAGCTTGCCAACACCAACTTGTCCGTTTTCGTCGCGCAGGTCATACAGATACACATTCTTGTCCCACGAAGAGACTACTATCCTAGTCGAGTCTGGATCAGAAGAGAACTTGAGGGCAGAGATGGCGTCACTGGGCGGGGATGCAACGGTGACTTGATCTGAATATAATCAGTAAGAGCTGGACATTGAATTGTTTTTAAAAATATAGCACGTACTAGAGTGTGACATCGTGGCTGGTAGATAATGGCAAGATGACGATATCTGCTACTGGTCTATAAAGCTCGTTCGGCGATGGACCGATCTTAAATCGAAGCTTACTTTGCGGGACATTTTCTGCCAGTGAAGACCGCCCGAGCAAACCAAGCATCGCAACTAACCTCCTCGTTCGTTGATCATCTCGTCTGGTCTACATTTTATTGAAGTGTGAGTGATTCGTTTTAGGAAAATTACGATTTTTCCAGCGGCAGTCCGCTGCACATTCAGCATGCCATTCGCTCAGCTTGTCATCGGACCTCCAGGAGCGGGGAAATCGACTTACTGCAATGGAATGCATCAATTTATGGGGGCAATCGGCAGAAAATGCTCTATCGTGAACATAGACCCAGCAAATGACAATACATCGTATCCCTGTGCGCTGGACGTACGGGATTTGGTGACCTTGGAAGAGATCATGGAGGAGGACGCTCTTGGGCCCAATGGCGGGGTTCTTTATGCGCTGGAAGAGCTGGAGAATAATTTCGAGTGGCTAAAGGAAAGGTTGAAGGGGCTTGGAGGTGCTTGATCGAAATGATGTTGGTGAATATGAGTGCTGACTTGATACGTCCAGATGATTATGTCCTTTTCGACTGTCCCGGCCAAGTTGAGCTATTCACGCACCATTCCTCGTTGCGAAACATATTCTTCCAGATATCGAAACTTGGCTATCGAGTAAGATAAATACACGTCAAATACACTTTAAGATTATACTGATCTCGATGCTATTTGAACAGTTAATAGTGATCCATCTCGTCGATTCATACTGCCTCACCCTTCCCTCGATGTACATTTCCGCGCTCATCCTCTCTCTCCGGTCCATGCTGCAAATGGATCTTCCACACATCAATGTTCTGACGAAAATCGATAACCTGTCCAACTACTCGCCACTACCCTTTAACCTTGATTTCTACACCGAAGTCCAAGATCTCAACTATCTCCTGCCCCATCTCGAAACCGAGTCGTCGCGATTATCACACGAGAAATTCGGAGCGTTGAACAACGCAATCATAGACCTGGTACAAGAATTCGCCCTAGTCGCCTTCGAGACCCTGGCTGTGGAGGACAAAAAGAGCATGATGCATCTATTACAAGTCATCGATCGTGCGAGCGGGTACGCGTTTGGTCCTGCTGAAGGCGCGAATGATACGATATGGCAAGTTGCAGTGAGAGACGGATGGGGCGATCTAACCATTCAAGATGTGCAGGAGAGGTGGGTGGATGCGAAAGAGGAGTACGACGAGCATGAGCGCACGGAACTCGAAAACGAAGCCAAAGCCAGAGAAGCAGCGGCAAATGCGCAGGCTGATGCCGACGAACTTGATTTGCAGCACTTTGTACATGATGGAGGGACGAAAGTGATACGAAAGTGACTTCTTTTTTCTTCGTTCTGTTCATTTACTCTTGATGCGTTCAGCGTTGCATTGCACACTGCACACGAGTGAAACGGTTCAGCATAATATTGCGGTGGGTATCAATCTATCTAATGTACAATAAAACACACTTCTTCTTCTTCTTCTTCTTCTCCTTCTTCTCCATGATAATCATCCCTCTTCCTCCTCATCCATATCAAAGGCCACAAAATCCTCACCACCTCCTGTACTTATCCCCCTCAACAACCCCTCCACACCCTCCCTAACAGCGCCCTTCGTCCTAAACACCTCCCTCCTCGCCCTCCGAATCGCCTCCTCCTCGGCCTTCCGCATCGTGCCCGAGACCCTAACAACCCTAAACACAGCCGGCACATTCCCACTCCTCCCCTCTCCACTTCCACCTCCACCCTTTTTCGGGGCTGGTACGGAACTCATGTACGTAAGCGCTGCCCAAACAAGTCTATATGCATCTCGCGGACACCTGAGGATAACCGTCCCCGTCGCCGGTGACAAATACTTGACTATATTCCATCCAGCCAAACCATCATCAGCATCATCATCATCGTCATCCTCCTCCAAATTTAACCGTAGAGAAGTAAAGGATAGGGACAAACCGTTCAGACTCCCCCCCGAAGCTCCACCGACTTTGCCAACCCCGTAATCACCGAATATGTCGCATATGCTTTCGCGCACGAGCTTTGCGAAGAGGCCCGGGGTTAATGTGTCGGGGGTTGGAGGGTGGAAGGGGAGATGGCGAGGGACGGATGCAGATGATGATTTGGGGGGTTCGGGGTAGAGGATGTCGATGAGGAGGTAGCGGTGTTTTATGCGGACCATTTTGGGTCGCTTTGTGAGCAATTGAGGTCAATGGTGTGGTGAGAGGTGAGAAATGTTGGAGTGGGCCGCGGAGTTTTGAGGAGCGCGATAAGGATTTCTTATCGGCAAGTTAATTTATTCACGAGCCATGTCTGGTTTGTTGACGATATGTAAGATATGTAGCAAGGAGAATCATCATATTATCATCTCTACCCATAATTAAATATTCTACGCCGAGCACATGCGTACCTCATCTCCCGTCTTGTCATGCCATACAGACTACATCGTATAAAGAAAACCGCGTTGATAACCAACAGCACAAAATTTTAAGAAACAAAAAAGGCATGATTGCTGACAAAGACGTCCGCACGGATATCGGAAAAAAAATTATATGCTCACAAGATAAATGCTTAGAGGCTAACCTCCACACGGCCCTCGGCACCCGGGGCACCCTTGGAGGCGTTGGGGAGCAAGTAGGTGATATCATCCCAAGGATGGCGGTACAGACCAGTACGCAGTCTCTTCTGGTCGAGGAAATGAGCAATCAAACCAATGCTACGTCCGAGCACGAAAAGACCGTTCAGAACACCCATCTTGAGGTAGTCCTCGGCCTCCTCGGCGGAGAAAGCACCCGAGTTGCGCAGCAAGTCAATGAAGCAAACGGCAACACAGCCGTCAACGTTCAGGATCAGGTTGTCCTTCTTGGAGGTGGTGACGGTCTCAACGGCAATAGCGTAATCAAGCAACTTGTGGGTAGGGAAGTGCTTGGTTACGTACTCCTTGACCAACTCGACACGGAGATCAGGGTTGTTACGAGACTTGACCTTGTGGCCAATACCAGGGACTATCCACGTTAGTTATCAACAACGTAAAAAGTGAACAAATGATACTTACTCAGCTTGTTCTCCTTGCGCATGGTGTCGACGAATTCACGCGGGCTAAGACCTCGGTCAAAGGCCTTGGTGAACTCCTCGGCAGCACCGTCAAGAGCACCACCGAAACGAGAACCGATGGTTAACAGACCAGAGACCAAAGCGCTGATCAGGTCCTTGCCAGCACGAGTAGTAATAATAGTGTTCATGGCACCAGACACGGCGGGACCGTGGTCGGCAGTCAACATGAGAACCATTTCAAGGAACTTGCTAGCATAGGGTGGCAGGCGGCGGCGGAACCAGAGCAGAGACATGACACCACCAATACCAATGTCTTCCCGGAAGACGTCGGAAATGGGCATACCAGCGTACAAAAGCTCTTGGCCACGATCGTCGGAGATGGTGGAAATGAAAGCGGCGGGCTTACGGATGAGACCCAACTCTTGGGCCCAAGAGTAGTCCATGGGAATCTTGGGGGGAACAGGCTCCTTGGATTCTTTGACGGTACCATTGGCGACGAGCTTCTTGTACAAGTCACCGAGGAGCTGAGGAAGGTCCTCAAAGGTGTCGGGGACGTAGAAGCCAGCAGCCTTCATGTGCTTATTCTTCTCGACGGCAGTTTCGAGATTGGAGTTGGCAGAGGCACCAGCGTGACCAAATTGAACCTCCGTCTTGAACAGGCTGGCGCAGGTACCAATAGCCCAGGCGACGATAGGCTTGGTGATGATGCCCTTCTTGACGGCGTCAATCACACGGTACTCTTCGACACCACCGACTTCACCGAGGAGCAGCAGAATTTTGCATTCGGGGTCTGCTTGGTAACGGAGAAGATGGTCGATGAAAGTGGTTCCGGGGTAACGGTCTCCACCAATGGCGACACCCTCGTGCACGCCGTCGGTCACCTGCGAGATGATGTTGTTCAATTCGTTGGACATACCACCGGACTTGGAGACGTAGCCAACGGAGCCCTTGCGGTAGAGCTTGGAGGCAACGATGTTGTCCATCATACCACCGGTGTTACCGATCTTGAAAGCACCAGGCTTGATACCACCGACGGTGGCCGGTCCAATGATGGTGATGCCCTTCTCCTTGGCGACGACCAAGATCTCACGTGCCCTCTACGACTATTGTTAGTGACGGTCTGGACTCCTATCTCGGATCACATACTCGCTCAGGGACACCTTCGGCAATGATGGCGATGGTGCGAATCTGGGGGTATTCCATCAACTCCATGGTGGAGCTGTAGACAGATCGGGAGGAGGCAAAGTTGACGACGGTGTCGACGTCGGCATGTTTGGCGAAAGCCTTTCCAACGTCTTGGTAGACGGGAAGCAGGGTCTCGCTGGTTCCCCAGTACCTGACAGAACCGCGCATTAGTATTACTCAGGTAGACCGAGTTTATTCAAGCTACGCTCACATTTTGCTGACGAATTGACCGCCGAAGGTGTAGATGATGCCGGCCACGGATGGGGTGGTACGCTTGCAGATGAAGTCGAAGTCGAGCATGCCCTGCACGGCGCGGGGTTGCATGCCGCTGTGTCCAGTCAATTCCATCCTCACCAACAGCAGGAATCCCGGCAGCACTCACTAGACGAAGCATCGTGTCTTGTTGTGGAAAAGAGTATGTTGCTCCAGCGGGCTCAGCAGGCGGGAAGGGGGGTTGAAGCGGGTGATATTATCGTTGACGTTCTGGCCGCCATTGGCAGGAGCGAGAGAAGGCATCGTGGAGTTATTTGCTGGCGGAGTTAGGTACACACATCACCCAGATCCATGCAGTCTTGGTGGTCGTCGCACGGGCAGACAGCACAAGACGACTTACTGGTCAACAACCCCGTCTCTTCCTACGATCGTCACAGTGGCAAGCAGAGCAGGGGGCTTCAATAGGATGGGCAAGGAAAGCAGGATAAACAATCAGGCAGGAAGCGATCGTCTGAACTGAACACAGAGAACAGGACGGTGGTGATGGGTGGTGATGATGATGGTGATGGTGATGGAGGGTAATCGGTGAGCTGGTAGTCCGGGCAGCTGGCACAAAAATTAGTGGATGCCAATTCCAGAAGGAGCACTCGCCGCGCACTAGGAAGGAGCACTGGTCACTAGGAAGGAGCCAGCTCGGGCACTGCAGGCGCGGGTCACTAGCCCGACGGGCTCTTAGTGCGCACTAGCTCGCCTCGATGCCGGAGACTCAACAAAATCTGCTTCCTCTGGCCTTCTTTTGTTGGTGCCTGGGAAGAAAGGGCTCTACCGCGGTAAGCCCGACCCGGCGTAGCGCCCCCAATGCCGTTTTATTCTCTTCTCTGCTCTTCTTGCCCGCTGTTATCTGTGAGGCTATCCGGGCCCCGAATGGCGTCTTCGGACAATACCATCCCACCATGTAGTGAACGATATAGTATGTGCTAATATAAGCCTAAATCAGATCTCCCGACCGATGGGGTAGTCACGGACTCCGAGACTCCCTCGAGTTAGGCTGAGGAGACTCGTCTACGTCGAAGCCAGTCTGAGTAAGACAATAATAGTCGTCTTATTATTATAATTCTATGCCTGCTCAAAAATGGATCGCCGGTGGCCGAGGAAGGGCCCGTATATTTTTTATCTCGACGTGGACCCGGCCAATATTTGCTCTTTTTCTATTCGTGATCCGTTTCGTAGCCATCACTGTGCCGGTGCCTCGCAAGGCGCGTGGAGTCCCGAGATATCTGCGAGATAATGCAGTTGTAGCCGTGCCTCGGTGTGTACGGGGGAGATAATAATGAATACGATAATGATTGAATCTTGCATCCCCCCAACAGCTTGCCGCCGTTCCCACCGGATTGACTGATTGATTGAATCAATCGACAGAAAAAGGGAGGCCCCCACCGCCCCTGCTCGGCGTTGCTCAACGAGACGCCCGGCCCACCCCAGCTGTTGTCCCGGCCTCGCTAGTCGCTGCTCGATCCCCGACGATTCTTCTTTTTCGTGTGAGAGAGAGAGCCTGCTCACTAGACTCAGACTGAGCTGAGAGAGAAAGCTGTCGTTGTCGGTCTCGCCAATAATAACCCTGCCTACCATTGCAGCTAACCACCACCAAGTAAGTGGCCCATCCAATTCTCGTGCCCTCTTGTGCCATCTTGTGCGCATCAACAACTTACCTCTGCTACTCTAGCCTCTGTCATCTCCCACCTGCCTGCTCTCTAATTCTCCCTGTCCTGCTGCCCCTCTGCTCGTTCTGCCATCTCATACCAATTGCTGCTGGGAGCGTCTGCGACATCGCACCCACGGTCATCTCTCGTCATCCCCTGTGCTGTTCGACTAATTATTATACACAATGTCCGCAAAGTCCATCCTCGAGGCCGATGGCAAGGCCATCCTCAACTACCACCTCACGCGCGCCCCCGTCATCAAGCCGACTCCTCTGCCACCGGCAGCCACCCACAACCCTCCCGCCAAGCTGGCCTCTCTGTATTTCCCCGAGAGCGCTGATGTCAACGGTGTGCTCGACCAGGCCGAGGCGACCTACCCATGGCTGTTGGCCAATGGCGCCAAATTCGTCGCCAAGCCAGATCAATTGATCAAGCGACGAGGCAAGAGCGGCCTGCTCGCTCTCAATAAGACCTGGAGCGAGGCCCGCGCTTGGATCGAGGCTCGTGCTGGCAAGGAAGTCCAGGTTGAGACCGTCAAGGGCGCCTTGAGACAATTCCTGGTCGAGCCATTCGTGCCTCACCCTCAAGAAACCGAATACTATATCAACATCAACTCCGTGCGAGAGGTAAGCTCCATCATCATCATCTCTATAGAGTATAGAGTATATAGGATATGTGATTGACTGGATTAGGGCGACTGGATTCTGTTCACCCACGAAGGTGGTGTCGATGTCGGTGATGTCGACGCAAAGGCCGAGAAGCTTCTGGTCCCTGTCAACTTGAAGGACTTCCCCTCAAACGAGGAAATTGCCGCAACCCTGCTGAAGAAGGTCCCCAAGGGCGTCCACAACGTCCTGATTGACTTCATCTCCCGCCTATATGCTGTCTACGTCGACAACCAGTTCACCTACCTCGAAATCAACCCTCTCGTCGTCATCCCCAACGCCGATGCCACCTCTGCTGAGGTCCACTTCCTCGACTTGGCCGCCAAGCTGGACCAGACTGCGGAGTTCGAGTGTGGCACCAAGTGGGCGATTGCCCGCAGCCCGGCAGCCCTGGGTCTGCCTGCCCCCAAGAGTGATGGCAAGGTCAACATCGATGCTGGCCCGCCGATGGAATTCCCCGCACCTTTCGGTCGAGAGCTCAGCAAGGAGGAGAAGTTCATCTCCGACATGGATGCTAAGACCGGTGCTTCCTTGAAGCTGACCGTCCTCAACTCGCGTGGACGTATCTGGACCCTGGTTGCCGGTGGTGGTGCCTCAGTCGTCTACGCTGATGCCATTGCGTCGGCCGGCTACGTCAGTGAATTGGCCAACTACGGTGAATACTCTGGCGCCCCAACAGAAACCCAGACCTTCAACTACACCCGCACAGTCTTGGACTTGATGCTCCGTGCCCCACAACACCCCGAAGGCAAGGTCCTCTTCATTGGCGGTGGTATTGCCAACTTCACCAACGTTGCCAGCACATTCAAGGGCGTCATCCGCGCTCTCCGCGAGGTTTCCTCGACTCTCAACGAGCACAAGGTGCAGATCTGGGTGCGTCGTGCCGGCCCTAACTACCAGGAAGGTCTGAAGAACATCAAAGCCGTTGGTGAGGAGTTGGGTCTGGACATGCACGTCTACGGCCCTGACATGCACGTCAGCGGTATTGTCCCTCTTGCCCTTAGCGGCAAGACAACGACCGTCAAAGAATTCGGTACTGCATAGACGAGTTATAGCAGTTGATGAAATTCATATTCTACATTTCTGGCCCTAGTATTATCTTTTTTTTTTCTTTTCCCCTTCCCTCTTATCATGTACGGTGTTTGTAATAATTTCACGGGCATGGCATGGTATATGACTGGATTTGTTGGTTATCAATGGAGACACGACCGAGGATGATGAAGATAAAACAAGGGCAATGCCTATTCTATATTTAGAGAAAAGTTTATCAGATAGAAAACGAGGCACAAGTTCTTGCTACAATATCACTCGATACATATGTACTCTGGATTAGATCTAGTATTTGGTCATGTCAGGCACTGCCTCTGAGATGAGACGAGTATATAAGGGGATGTTTACAGACACTCTTTTGCTTGCAGACGCATCTTTGGCCCCCATGCTGATTAGTGGGTTGTCAGATTACTTGGTATTTTACCATGGAATTTGATCATTATTGCATAGCAAATGTCTTCTCTTCTTATAAAACTACATTTCTGACTGGTTAGGGGGTTTATGATAGGGTTTAGGGCTATGGTTTGGTTAGGGCTAGGTCCTAGAATGCTTATTAGAGTTGTTGAATTTGTATAAAGAGACTTGGAAATTAGAGGAATAAGCATAGTTAGGTGAAAATACTAAGTAATCTGGTAATGTACCAGAGTGTTTGGGCGCCAACAGAGTGTGTCCATAACCACCCCCATGAATTTGGTCTATCTCCAATACAGAATGCTGTTAGGAGTTGCAATTTCTTTAAATTTGGGAAAAAAATCCGTCTTCCACTTTTCTAGAAATGTTAGTTCCTCAAAACCACTATAGAGCAACTCATTACTTCACAATCTAGCTAGATTTCTGCTCCCTGAGTTTGCTCCTCGTCTCCATTAAACACTTCCCCAGCAAATTTAACCCCCACCGATACCTATTCTTCTCCGCATTCGCTTTCTCATAACCCACTCCCCATATCCTATCCCTCGGACTAGCCTCAACCAACTCCCTCTCACCAGTAGCCAGCAACTTCTCCCTCAGCTCATCATTCTGCGAGAACTTGAGCATGTTCCCCTCCAGCACAATTGCCATCCGCTCATTGTTCCACACATTCTCTGAGAAATTGGGCACTTGCCTGCCTAGTTGTTTGAGGACTCGCGGATGAGGTGCTGGTTCGCCTGCTGCGAGGATCTGCGCTGTGATGGGCGAGGATGGGGCAAAGAGAAGCGCTTTGCGGTGCATCATGTATCTATATTATTCTCATTACTAATCTGTATGATTATGATTCATCGCAGATGGTGATTGAGTACTGCTCTGCATTCTGATAGTGTAGCTCTTCGAATTCACCCTCATTTCCATCCACTGGTTTACGCCATGTGAATGGCGCCGGATACCATTGTCCTAGAAAGCCATCTTCAGCTTCGGGACGCCAGAAAAAGACTGGCCCGGTGTCGCTTTCTTCACTTGTCATTTTGCTTTCTTCGCTTGTCTTTGTAGGTCTCTTTCCCCTCTTATTCTTTCTCCTTATAATCACGAGAATGAATAATTCAAAAGAGAATTTTAGGGGGAAATCTCCTATATTTTGACTATTTTGGCCTATTTTCACCTCTTTTATAGTTTCATTTCAGCTCGCATGCCTGATGTGACTCAAGAAGAGTCATGCGGCTGTGTACTTTTAGCGGCGGCTCAGTGACAAAGGTTTATCGTGATTGATAAACCAGGCAGCTGAAGTTAGCATTTAAGGTTTAAATACGAGAGCCATAGTGGTAATTTCAATTTTAGATTAGGGATGCCATTTATGGAAAGTCGAGAGTATTGTTTGTTTAACGTCGTAACTTGCATAGGCATGATGCAAAGACTTTATACGCCCGGAATTGTGTGTAATTTTTTTGGAGTTTGTACAAGGGGAGGTACTTAACGATGTTAAAACTCAACTATTGTGCTGTAGTGTCTAGGGTATAGAGATTTGTTTTCAAACCCTAATGCCGAGACTACTACTCCATACGCGGTTACTGTGTTATTTACTGCTCTATTCCCCGTTTGAATCATATGATACCAAACGTAAAGATGTCGTGTCTGAACTGTACTGTTACAGCGCTAAAAACACGCTTATATGCCTCCTATGATGTTATCCTAACTTAAGGCAACCATCCTTACACCAGACTTCCACAAAACAGCACAAAATACATGAAAATGGCACGAAATTTTGAGTCCTGGAGGCGTGTAATGATTGTGTATACGATATGTAGTGGCAGATTTACTGCTCCACAATTAGTAAGGGCTGCAAAATGTTCTGAGGGTTTAGTAGCGAATATATGGAGGAAGTCATGGCTGTTTGGTAGTGCTAGGCCTTATCTTGTCTGTTCTGGCTAGTTATTAAGCATTACTTCTCTGATGTTTGATAGGCTGTGTGATTGTCTTGTTGAAAATCCTGGCATGTATGTGGAAGAGATGTCTGTCTTTTTATCGAATGAATTTAATATTCTATTATTATTATTTAGTATTAAAAGAGCACTGTTGTAGCGTAATTAGATGAAAACGGAAATTTTATAGAAAGCGAAAGAGTAAATTTGTTAATTAAGAGCTTTCTATTAATATAAATTATCAGATTTTGAGTTATATTATCTAGCTTTTGTTGATAATTCTGGATGTGATAAATGAATAGGAGATAGACGGACTGGATAGTCTTTATTTGGAGTAACTCTAGTTTAAATATCTAAGTTTCATTGAGGTTAATGCTATCAGATACTGCTACTATATAGTTAAGATGGTATTGCTATATCTGATATTTTTTAAGGCTTAACTGATATGTACTACAGTCTTTGAAATTTTTATTGAGCGGTAACTTTAGCACTGTGGGAGATGACTAGTGTCTAAATCTATTCAAGTTATGGACAATGTATCTTTTTATTGTTCAAGCTGAGTCAAATAGTTGTGTTTTGATGTGGGTTTTAAGCTATTATTCTTGCCTTGTCACGATCCAAGGGCTTTTACCATAGTGAAACCATCCAGAAGCTATAGATAGATGCTCTTTATGTTATTTGTATACCTTTGGCTATATATTGGAGCCTTAGGTCCCTTTCATGTACTGATAGAACAATCCTCCCTATATACTCAGAATGCACACATACCTTAGATCATTACATGCTTCCCCGCTTACCAGATTTCAATTTTATTGAGGAATTTTTGCTGAGCTGAACGGCTCTATTAAAAAAGCTCGATCAACATATGAAGAATATCCTGACCAAGGTTTTCGTACCTTCCTTTGGAAATGCGTTCATGTAGTTGGTGACAGAAAAGAAAGTGTGGAAGGCCACTTTTGACATGCAGGAATAACGGTAAAAACATTTATGTAGGATTGTTATGTACAGGAAGAGCAATCCGGGTTTACTAACTCCCACATATGTTTCTTGGCTCCACTGCGAAGCCCCTGGCTACTTTAGTAGGTTCAGATCAGTGACCTTTTATGTAACTACCTCACGCGACTTTTAGCAAACTAAGTTACAGGGACTTATAATACCATATCAATCTAATGACCTCGCTCAAGAAACAAGGTCAAGGATACGTCATCGCAAATGTGAAACCTGCGAGAAATTCGAAGGACTACGGTTGCGATACACTATATAGCATGATAAATCTTATATGTTCATTTACTCTCCCTACCCTTCTTTTAAATAGAGATTTGAAAATAAAAAACCTCATTTATCTATAAAGGGATAAGGTCGTTACTATAGGGAAGGTCGGAACCTTACACTCCTCCGATTGTAGTCTTGGATAAATGGTCAAACTGTGGAATGGAGAAGCCTGATGTTAGGGTTTGGCAGGACAACCCCGGCAGAAGATATATTTCTGAAGGAGATCTCCCACCTCCTCATACAGATAATGGTTTTCTGCAGGATATGCCCTGCCAAATGTAGATAGACTAGTCTGGGAGGAGCTCAGGTTTATAAACCTGAGCTTCCCCTTGCTTAGTTTTAGTTCTTCAGAGTTCGTCTTGTTCATGAATTGACTCTTGTTCTTGAGCTCTTGCCTTGAAACCGTAACATCATGTACCCTCCCATCCGACATGGTCAGGTTTGTCAACAACTCACGTCTCGTGCACGGGGAGAAGGGAGTGAGTGGATGGATGTTGGGGGCATTGGGCGCTACTTTTGTAAACGGGTTGTGACGGAAAATGGACATAGGGCCTTTATCGAGAGCCGTCTGTCTGTCTGTAATGATGGGATAGACATGGGACAGCTGGCAAGGCTCGGTATTCCTTCTTGCCAGCTGCAACAGGTGTATATACACAAGCACATGTGATATGCGCCCAGTCAAGAATTGAGCATTTCACTTCGATTGAGCCATATACCAGACTTCTTTTGGGTGGATGGAGTCACGAGAAGAAGCGAAGCATTGGTGCATGTTTGCCACCAGGAACTGAATCTGAAAGTGGCTCGATTTTCACCAGACAGCAACCACAAGTTTCTCAATCCTGGTATCAATCCGGCTTGGGTAGGGACTAAAAAATGGTAAATAAGCTCTCTGTCACGCAGCGTGAAATGACGAGACCGTGAATGGTCGGGGGTGTCTGCCCGAAATGCGCTACCCTTGACTAGTTGGGTAGCAAAGGCTCGATTCTCTACTGTCGTATTTGCCAGCTTGCATCATTGCAACCATCAGCAGAGGCTTCATCCTCTAAGAGAACTCGATTTGTTTGAGCATCTTCGTGGCACGCACGGTGCTAATACTTCACCAAGGCGAATACGCCGTATTGTTTCGACACTTGGACCCCCCCCAAAAATCGATCCCTTCCCAGGGCATAAATACCTGTCCGATTCCCCCAACTATTGTGTTGTCTATTCTCTTCAATTCCCTTTTCTTTTTTGGTCTATCCTTTGTTTATTTCACGTTTGCTTTGAATACTATTCTTCCAGTTTATCAAGCTGTCCCACCTTTCGAGATGAGTTATTCACAATTTTCAAACAATGAGCAATTTCTCACCGACAATGAGATTGCCTGTTTCTCAAATGGAATCCCACCTTTCGATAATGGCTCTCAAACATTCGATCCCTCTTGCCTTGCTTTTGATTCCAATATGTGGATGAATCTGTGAGTGGCCCTGTGAACTGACAGAGCTTGCAATAGGCACCTCAAAACGTCGGCGGCTCGAATATATCAGAGAACAGGCGAGACGAAGAGATCTTCCCACAGGCCGCGATAGAAATGTGTGAAGGGGGCAGTTGAGATGAGCCTAGCCATCCACTGTGAATGTCCTGCTCGGAAAGGCGTCAAAATGAGTGAGCACCCTCGCCAAGGACAATTAGGCTTGCGCAATAGACGGGGAGAGAGTTAAAGCGAAGCCAAGATTGATGGACAGGGAGAATCGCCTTTCCGGGTACATGTCATTTTACCACGCGCAAAATAGCCTTGCAATACAATTGCACAATCCCCAACCTGTCCGCTGCGTTGTTACCCGCAATGTTCAGCTAAATACTCTCTCCCCGCCAGGAGTTCGTTCTCGACACTCCTGACGACGTTCGGTACATGAGACAATTAGCGGAGGATCGTTGAGGGCTAATGCTGGCTGTGGGTAGTGGAAGTCTCGATTTGTTGGATGAAAATCAGCACGATCACGGCTCAGATTCTATGCCTGCTCCTAGTTTCCAGGGAGACGATACGCCTAGTTTCGATCAGCTTCCTACCACAGTCGAAACATTCACTGACGGGATGAATACAACTTTCTTTTCAACCGGAGATGACGTCGCTAACCAGGGGGCCGATCTAAACATCGTTCAGGGATCTTGCTATACCACTCCTGAGATCAGCAGTTGGTCAGTAATCAATTCAATCGCTACAACTGATCGTGTGCTAACAGCCCTCTACAGGCACAGGGTGCCAGAAGCCATACCTGGCGAGCTAGAAACTTCATATCCTTCGCCTCGGTTACAGCAAGTTGGCGGGGGTATTCAGAGATCTTTGCCGATACTGCTGCCTGCACCTACTCAACATTCAGTTATGCCGCCCAGGCAACCATCCTCAAGGAACAGATTCCAATGCGAAAAGTGTCCCATGTGCTACCCCCACAGCCAATCGCTGAATAGGCACGCAAGAGACAAGCATGAAGCACCCAAAAAAAAGGCTGGCCGACCTTCCAACAGGTCCAAATTAGCAGCATGATGAACTTGACTTGAAGTGTTGTCGGAAATTATTGGGAGGCGGTTGAGGAGTTAAACATCATGTAATCTGCTAGGCATTTTGGATGTACAGTATGTACCTCCAGAACATTATGCTATAGATGGGCCTCTTGTATATCTCCCCCCCCCTTTTTTTTTGACCAGATCGAAATTCAATATATTTCTGTTCATCTACCTAAACATTTAAAATCTATAAGTAACAAAACATCGTTGTCTTGTTACAGTCATTCTCGAAGGTGGCTTCACCAGTAACACAAGTGTTGACTGTTCCAAGGCCCCACTGCCAAGTTCTTAGCTCATAATTCAATGAAAGTGATTGGCTTTTTTTTTTTGAGCATAGCGCTGCTGTAACTTTTAACCGCAGTGTGCATCCAATCAATGGAGATTTAATCTTCAACAGATCTGTACTGTAACCCATCTTCACTAAAGCCTTGGCAGTGGGGCAAGAAAATAATCATCATCTGTGTATTGTTCAAACCGATATCGAGAATAACTATTATATGCTACCCTCGAGAGTAGGACCATGAATGGAAGATATCTATGAAAGGTGGCCTCCCGGCCTCGCACACCCGACGTCCATATGAGTCGCTGCCACGGAACCGGGCCTACCTACTAACCCAGCTACGAACAGGGCACTCCTGGCTTGCGTCCCACGGTAAACTGCACCGACTTCGCGAAGATGACAAGTGTGAATTCGGTGCGAAGGAAACGGTCATTCACGTTCTAGTAGACTACCCAAACCTTAACATTATACGACAAAAAATACGGAAGGAGATCGGAGAGGCGTTTAGCGACACCTCGCTCATGCTTGGGAGGAAGGGATCAAACATCACTAGCAACTCTGCACAAGACAGCATTGTCCAGCGCTGTACTGGATTTTGCAGAAGCATCCCAAAAGCTTCGTAGTCGTGGATCAAGGGACCTGCATGAGCAGAACGAAAGGCAAATGGCCACCACAGGCCCTAGGCGATGCATAAAGTTCGCCCGTAAGAAATGGGTTCATGTACAATAGAGATTCGAAGATAGTTTTAGTTGTGGTGGCCTGCATATCGCTAGTCAGTGCGAAGGGTCAGGGTAAATGAAATCAACCAACCTGAGAAGCCATAATAACGAAGGGTTTAGTTTTCTGGAGAGCGGTTGGTTGAGGCGGATAAAAAAACAATGAGATTTGATACTATCCTTCGGATTAAACACACATAGCATTCGTAGGAAAGGACTGGACGGGCCAATTCCTAAGGAATACCCACTTGCGGGAATCAATCTGAAATTCTACAAATATAGACCGTCTTTTCGTGACCTTTAGCGTACATCCCTTGTGCATACCTCGAGTTTAAGAAATACTGTATCTTACAGAAGAAAAGATAATCCGCACTGAACTCCTGCATTACGTCAGCATTCCATTTCCTCGTCTCAGGCGCAGGTCATCGAGATAAACAACCACTAGTCTTTTAAAAAAAGCAATTTTAACTTCAATAAATATTATAGAGATTTGACGGGTACTTTAACTCTTCCCTCCCTGTTATTACTTGAACTTATTATTACTGTCAATAATACAATGTTAGAGGATCTAATAAATCGCAATATACCTTAATAGTGCCTAGAGCGGGCAAGTCTTGTGGTGGTATAGCAGAAAGCGACAAAACGGATGGATCTCGTTCGGCGGCGGTGTCAGTGACACTTTGGTCCATGCGCGTTGGGCCCCACACAATACACCTGGGAGTAGCGGACTCGGGATTTGCAGCGGTGAAACTTGACGTGGCAAGTGAATGCAGTTAGTTCCCTTTTGATTGGGCAGAGGGATTCACCGTCGCTCGTAGAGTCTAGCTGTGATTGGATTGTCACTCGGCATGCCTGACTGTTTCAATTCTTGGAGATTTTTTCCTGGTTAGAGAGCGTCGTCCCTAATGTTTCCTCAGCTAGGCATATCGGGTGGATGTTAGGTACAAGGATAACATTGATGCTTCAGTATTCACTTCTGAAACCTGCTTTTTGAAACCCTTGATATTACCGACTACTACAAACCAACTCGTACGTCTCCTCCACGGCAAACTCTTTCACCAGAGCTCTATCCATCAATGTACGACAATTATCACCGCCGGGGCTGAAAAAGATCCGGCACTGAGTTGCACACATTATAGGCACTGCGCGTGAAGGCGACAAGCAAATCATTAATAGCTATTACACAACAATTCATGATAACAAAAAATTTCGGGCATAACAAACTCCTTAGTGATTAGCCTATCATGCTGTATTCCAGACCCTATATCTCGCAATATCCTACCAGGCATATTTCGACTAAATGTTCACAGAGGGGGATCGCTTGCAAAGAATGCATAAAATAATATTCTTAGCCTGATCGAATGCTCTAGAGCATTTCAAGCCACATAGGAACTCTTAGGAAGGTTTTATAACAAAGCGTGTCACTGCCTCTCAACTTTAGAAGTAGCCATGGGACAACCGAATCCAGCGCTACGGTACAGTAAAGATTTGGGGTGCTATACAGCCGTCAAAAAGCGATTATCTCGATGCACCCTTGTTCAATATCCACAACAATATAATCACTAATTGCTGTGCCAAGTATGCATTATTCTATAATGCCAAGGATCACAGGTAGACAGAGGTATGCCAGTGAAATCACACAGGGGTAAATCAATACCAGTGTCTAAGCATTGCAAGTGTTACTAACCAAGTGCCGGAAAGTTACGGCATATCCGGAACTGGTCCAAGGACCTGAACTGTTTGTATATTCTCATAACCTGTATTCATGAATGCAGCACATCTCTTAGTTTGACTTCCCCTTTTGGTTTGTGACAACTGCTGTGTAATCCTTCTTAAACCCTAAAACCAATACGAACCGACCTGCCATTTGTGCCTATCATTTTTGGTGCATCTGAGCTTTGTTCTTGAACCAGATGACGTGATCAGACTGCTCCCAAAACATTCAGTAGCGGTAACCTTAACTAGATGAAAAGAATGAAATGGGTGTGCAGAATTTCCTGGTTTATTTATCAATTGTCACTGCACTACTAATTCAAAATAGACACCAAGTCCTTTTGTCTGACGTGTCCCAGAATGGAAGTCTTTCAGCATTTCATCACCGTTTATCCGTCGGCAAGTGCACGGGAGATCCTCGAGGAGTGTTTGAAAGATATTTCGGAGATTCAACAGCTAGATATAGTTACAGGGATTCTTAATATTGGCGCGAACACTGACGAAAGACTTGCCGAACTTGTTCACGCGGCCTGGGAGCATCTATGTGACAACGATCTCTGGTCTTTCGGGTATGAGTCTTTAGAACAGTATCGTCATCTTATAAGTTATCGGGATACAATCCGCCCAATCATCCAGCGATTCAAAAAATCCAACAAAACAAAGTTCACAAGTGTCAATATTATCGAGAAGCAGTGGAATATGCCACTCGCCCAGGTACTACCGTCTGACATGGCGCCAGAATCGTGGAGCAAACATATTCTTGTATTGTTGGCGAGACTCACCAAGTACAAAGTCAGAGAAGATGCAATTGCATTACTGGAAGATAGCATCAAACAGAGACCTCCCAGATCACGTAATATCCACAACTTGATGGCAAGCGACGTGAGTCGTGTTCTTCAAAACTTGGCAATTCCCAACAGAAACCCAAGTTGCTCGTCACATTGTACGTGGAGCTATATTCTTATTCTCTTCTCAGCTAATGATTATGACAGCTATTCAAAGGGAGAAACCGCAGAAACCGCAAATCTGGGAGGCCAATACAAACCATGGCAATGTAATTGATATGGCAGCTGGTCAACCTTCCATAGAGTCTTCTGAGGGTTGTAGTGACATTGGAGATTCTTTATTGCATCACAGGCCAGGCCCTTACAACCTACTTAGCTGTCAATGTTCTCTGATTTGCCTGCCTCTTGCTGTGCTGGTTGACAGTGAAACATATCTCACTGTCACAGATAGAGTAATGGTGGGACTTGTCCAATGGGCCAAGCAGGCATTGTGGTCCAAATTTTGTCTTTTCCACTTGCAGTGTTTAACGTCCCACAAGCTTGGGAACACGGCAAGCTTGTGGTCACGAAGTGAGATTATCAATCACCTAGAACAGCTGCTTTCGGAATGCCACGAATGTGAAACAAATACAATACCTTTTGCGGACTTCGATGACCTTGGGTCCACTTCTTCCTTTCTCCATGGTCAATCGCAGGAAATTCCAACAGAAAGGGAGACATTTGATATCATTCATGGATAGGATGAAAGTTTCCGGGACAATGTTAGTACGTGCTCTCTATGCCGCTACCAACTTTTTTTTATCTCTGCTTCCATGGCTTGTCGTCGGCCGACGCTGCATGTCGAGCAGGGACACTTTCCACGGTCGATATGGTCGTTCTGTTTGTGACTGGAAATCTGAGCGTTTATATTGATGTACTAGGATTTCGCGCTTTATATGCCAACAGATTTCGTTATTCTTTTACTTGACAAATGCTGACTCTGCATAATGGGTTACAGTAATTGAATTGGCTAAAAATAACGTGTACATAATCAATTTTCTATGGAAGTTCCACTTACGTGGCTACATATTTAATAAGTATTGATGATCTATGTTCTGAGCCTGTTGCTTACATATTTGTGGAGAAATAATATTGTTTAACCTTCAATTATTTAAAGTAATGATATTCTTGGATATCGGGCATAAACTAAATCTATTTTTAATGACAACTTTAAGTCTCTGCCTGTAATAAGTGTTTGATAGAGGATGTAATGGTATGTTGACGGAAGATTTTGGTGAGGGCCTAATAACTTGGTTTGGTGGTGTCATATTTTGGGGAATGTGCTTTGATGATGAGGCATCATCGTCTTTGTCGTATGCTGATGGCATGGGGATGGCTACGCTCATTTTGGCTAATAGTGCGGGGATGTGTTCTAAGGAAAACTAGTACGTAATCAATTTGCTATTTAGATATGGTGATTATATGGCTTTAGCATATCTCGACAAGCTCTACTATTCTATTGATAGGGTATGAGCTTTGGACATTGAACAAGCTCAATATTAACATAGCGGTTTTACTGCCGCCCTCAGGTGAATTGATTTGATAGAGGGGTATGATAACAATAAGGTTATCATCATGTTTGAAAGGTTTAAAATAAGCACAAATAAAGCCAACCAATGAGTTGGATAAGTTCCACCGGAGAACATAAGTGTAGCTGCTGTGTAAGTAGTGGTGACCAATATGATGCCCTAGATTGGCGCCATTGACCCACATATGTTTCAGAACAGGCAAAATGAGGGGGGTACAGTTGCCCGGTGGCTGGAAGTTAGTGCGCGGGTGCAGGAAATTTTTGTTTTCAAATCCAGCACTCATGCACTAAAATGTACCCGCGAATAATCCAGCACCTGTTCAGAATTTAAGTTTGCGACCGTGTAATACACTAGTACCATGATTTTAAGATCTAGTATGAATTCTATCATCAAGTTGTTCGAGGAATATTATGAGTCTTTGCCGCTTATCCAATATTAGAGATTCTTTTATTCTGTAAATCGAAAATAGCTAATAAGATTCTCCCCTCTTGTTCCCGAGAATTTGACTGATTTTCATTGAAAATTGGTGGCATATTGGCGCGTTGAGTTTTGTGGAATTGTTATGGGACGCGTTTCGGAAAGGAAGTGGCCGCTCAGTTGCAGTGGCCACTCGCTTACCGATTACGTTAACTATACAGTACTTATTGCATTAAAATAATAAAACTCTTATCCTAGTTTCTCAAACATCTTTTAAAACTAGCCTTTATTTCTTATTATAGAAACGACATAAAGCAAGATAAGCTTCAAAATCTTTTACGCCTAGAATTGTGTGTGTGTGTGTGTGTGTGTGTGTTTTTGAGTTTTTACAAGGCGAGGTACTTGAAGATGTTAAATCTTAACTATTGTTCTGTAGTGTATAGTATACTCCATGTAAATAGAGGCCCGCCTATTTATAGCACTCTTCAAGTTATTACTAGCATAAGCTCATACTCTATCGCTCCGCCTTGGAGGTACCAAAGATACACGAGAGGCGAAAGATTATCAGTAGCAGCAGTAGTAGTTTCTGTTGGCCTGTTAATCTGCAAATGCTGTAAAGATAGTGAACTGTATTGTAGTAGAATGGTCTTCTCTAGAATGATTACCCCAGTTAATAATATCCTTCTATTCTATATTTTAGAATACATTTACTAGCTAAGCGGTGTACACCATTGAAGAAGATGCCTCAAAAGTGCTCTGACCTTGACCTACTCAATTAATGAGTGAGATTCTTAGAAAAACCTGGTTTTCATGGAAATTTAAAGGAATTTAATAAATTTGTCAAGGTACAGAAACATCTATGACTGTAACTAGTTATATGAACAGTTTGCTGACAAAGACCCACGGGGAGGAACTAGTTAGTCATAAATATTCACGACAAGAGAACTTTGCTTCGTGACTGTTGGATATACATAGGATCCACTAGCCTTTAATTCTTGAGTCGGACCATAGAAGCGCACTGAAATCAAAGCATCGGTTAGAAAGTAAAAGAAATAGCGTCTCGTGGTGCTTGCCGCAATTGTATGACTTACAATTCACAGTAAAATTGCCACCTCCTGCGGGTGTAGGCAGCCAGTTACTAGTCCAATTTGCTGGCGGAGGGACATTGGCTGACTGGAGGAGAATAGAAAAGACATCATTGCGATCAGAACTGCCATTTCCATATACCAAATCGCCATCAGGATAGGTGAGATTACTTCTATCACCCAATGAGTACCTGTTGAGAGGGTTTTGAACTAGATAACTCGAGCTATTATAGACAGTCAAGCTCCAGAACCCAGCGTCAATTACTGGCGGCTTTCCAGACGGAAAATTCAAGATATAGGACTGATTTTCAGACAGCAAAAACCCGGCCGCATACTCTGGGTAAAGAGCCTCATACTGCACCAGCTGCAAATATCCAATATTCGCAATATAGCTTCGCACAGCGTATTGATTAGAGAAATATCCACTGTATTGCGGAAGAAAATCAAGCCAACCGTTGCTGAAAGTCTGTACACAATTTACCAGGGACTCCATTTCAGCGTCCATGTATTGCTGTACTAGTGTGATATTCAGGCCTGGTGGAGGTGTGTAGTGACCATTATCCAAGCCTGCTTTTCTGAACGTTCGCTTTACAACTTGCGCCTCCTGTCTGTTTGCTGGTGGATTATTGTTAACAAAACGTGCCAGAACTTTTAGAAGCTGCGTTATGCCGCTCTTATCAAGGGACTGCGAAGGTCTTGTTGCAAGTGACGAGATTGACCCGTTCCCTAACAGCTGTGGCGTGAGCTTTGGGGCAATTGGTTCAATATGTCGAGGAATTTCCTGGATTTCTATCTGATCCTGAATTCTATGAACTGCATCAAGTTCGGTCGAAGTATTGCTTCGCAGGAGAATACGTGGAAGTGTCAATCCGTATACAGTCGGGAAATTAATAAACCCCAAATACTCAGAGCAGTTTGGCGAGGGAGATTCAAAACCCACTGCCTTGGATGCTCCCACAAACCTCAATAGGTATTTTCCTGGTAAAGTTGAATTCACGGTCCCCAGATTCGCAAAGTTGTTAGACCACCTAGACGCATGATTGCCTTTGTTAGTTTACCCTTATACCCCTAATACCATGTGGTCGGGTATCTGCACATACAGATCATAGAATGGGAATACATAAAAGCGATTATCGTTCACTGGTGGTATTGTCAATACTACATCAGAGTGTGACAAATCTATTGCAGCCATTGAATACAATGTATCCACATTCGGTCTCACAATAGCTGCCGAACTGGGACTCGCAGTAATCCTGTGGTGATAAAGTGTGTTGGAGCCGTTTGTGGCCAAGAGCGAATCAAAAGTGGCAGCATATTGGGTCAATGGATAGCCATACTATAATGCATTAACCGTCCGATCTACATCTGTTGTTTTCTGAACAAGGGATACTTACGGTGACGGCGAAGGCTGTTGCGTTGCTAGCAGATATGGACGATTGTGTTTTCAAATCCCATTTTGATTGATTTGGGTGACCTGCAACACAGATGCTCTTAACGCAGAGGAGCAAAGCGAACGCCGCGACACGGTGAGTCATCATTGTGAAGTAGACTCGTCATAGAAATACCCGAGGTGCCTAAGTGTAAGTGGAGTATGGTTATTTTGTAGTTCAATTTCAAGGAGAATACCTGAGGGTATTTATAGTAGAGAATCTGAGTGATAGGCGCCTATAAATGTATATTTTTCATCGGGGTGTGGCTTAGGTTACCAAGGTTTACGCATCGCTTATGGGACTATTCGCGCTCCCTTCCAACCATAATTTAGCCAAAGAGCATTTAAAACTCTCTCATATATGAGGTTATAAAAAAGAGAGGACGATCAAATGGTTCTCTAGCTTTCATAGCCCTAGATACCGGTTCTGATTGGCTGGCTCGCGGTGACTTCTTCAATGGGTTTAGTGAGAGCGGATCCTCATCTGGGGGTTATAATACGGTGGACTATACTCTGTGCATATGCACGAATTAACAATATGACCGCCATTTTTGTTCACAATTGCGGGGAACTATTACATCGCACCTGATGGCTTGGCTATCAACCTCGGCGACCGGGTCTTCGATTAATTCAATTAAGTACCAACGATGGTGAAGCCTAGCAAAGGCTGCAGTACTTGTCGCACGCGCAAAATTAAGGTATGCTTTGTTTCCGCCTTAACCTCGAAATAATGACAATAAAGAAGAGAATCGTTGAAAAATGGTCTTATCTGTTTAGTGCGATGAGACACGGCCCGCATGTTCGCAATGTCTGAAGGCGCATTACTCATGCCCAGGCTACCAGGATCGCTGGACGGTCATGCACCGAAGCCAAAACGAGCAGTTTGCTCGGAGAATACGTGCTACTAATTCAATAAAACATGTAGGTCTACTATATACTATTACCATATATGGATATTAAACGATAGAAGAAACGAAAATATGGGTCGATTCTCTGGCACTACACAGAGCCTCAGGAAGATGCATGTACTGGCCACAACTCCCGGCCCATGGCATTTCCATCATCTCCAGTTACGATTGATGAGGCAGTTGCCTTTTTTCTGCATAACTATGTTCTGAAACATGGAGAAATTGCCAATGCACATCTCACCCATCAGCAAATGATAAATTCTACCAGATCGAGCGAGGCAGTGCTCCTGGGAATGGGTGCCGTCGGAATGGCATCGCTAGCTAATATCAGAAATTCCAAAGGCTTAAGGATTATGGCGACACGGGAATATACGTCTACTTTGCACCTTACAACCGTATCACTCCAGGACAGTACTTTATGCAAATCCGACGAGACAGTCATTGCAGTTGTTCTCCTTGGCATGTTTGAGGTAAAGTAGAAAAACATGGTCCTTTGCCTGGCCGCATTATTTTTATACGCTAACCACATCCTCTAAGTTTCTCATAAATACCACTATTAATATAGACCGTTGGGAAAAACACATAAATGGGGGAATGGCTCTCCTCGAGCTCCGGGGGGTGGAGCAGATTCATGGAAAGAGCGGACTACAACTCTTTACGCAGCTGAGGTCCAACATTGTGCGTTTCCTCTTACTCTTATCACGATATAGCTGTTTCCATGACGGACTCAAACTACTCTGTGTCTATTCTGGGGTAATTAATTGTTATGGCAGATGGCGAATTGTCTTCGGGTTGGTGCCGAAGTTCCAGCACTCATTGTCGAAATATCCAAAGCCGCGGAAAATCTAAGGCCTGAAGGAGAAAAATACGCAGATATACTTGTCGGGATTGTCTCTCGACTTAGCACACTGCGTGCCGATATTAAATCTGGGAGAATTGCCGATTGGTTGAGGATTCTTGAAATGGCCATGGAAATTGACCGATCTTTTAATAAATGGGCATCTGATGCGCCTGCACGGTGGCACTATGTCACATTATTCCACCGCGTTAATGATGATGCCACCTTGAAGAATTCTCCGCTCTCCGTGAAATATGCGTATTGTGGTCGATATGATATATACCCGGACCTTTGGGCAACAAATGTTTGGAACTATTACCGCGCCACCCGCATGATTGTTAACTGGATGATTCTTAGTTTGCTTGCGTATACGCACACCGGGCCTCCTAACTACTCACCAGCAGTAATAAATACCCTTCAACAAAAGGCCAAGGAAAATACAATACAGCTAGCAGAAGATATTTGTGCCAGCGTCGCCTTCTCTTTCGATCCCGTAGGCTGTCGGTCAATCGCGTCGGGACAAAAGTTGCCCGACTCAACGTACACTGCTGGTGGTTGCTTGGGGGGGTCACTTTTGATTTATCCGATAGCTGTTGCAGCATCGATTTCGCGCTCACCATCATATCTAAGGACGTGGATGCTGTCATGTCTTGAGTATATTGCGCATGACATGGGCATCGGCCGAGCGGGATCGGTACTTTGGCTATTAGAAGAAAATAAGAGAAAGAATATTGACGGCTAGCATAGCATAACTGTGTCTGTTCTTTGGCATGGTTTACTGTTGACAGTGTGACTCTCAAATGCACTTGTAATATATAGCAATGCATTCTCCACGGGTTTACCGCACCATATCAGTGAGAGTCAAATTTACGGAGAAAGCCGAGTCGATGTACACTTGAGACACAATTAATTGATATCAATATTAATTTACAATCATTTATTACTTTAACCGTTCCCGATTTCTAAAGCTAATTTACTAGTCAAATGATACCCCATGTTCATTCTTGTGCTGATCGTAACATAATCTCTTTTTAGGTGCCTTAGGTGGCATGTGGGGGGGTCTGTGGCCATAAAGAAGCCCAAGATACCGTCAAGTAGTGTTATATTTCAAAAGGCAGATTTTTGATTTTCCGGGCGGATATTTAGCTTCTGCTATAGCTTCTTATTCCTTTTTTTTTAATTTCTTTTAGCTCCTATCTTACTTCTACTAGATTGTCCTAAAACCCTACTCTAATTTTCTGGATCTCTTCCTGATATTTAGCATCTCTTTGACGTAATTTGTCCATAGACTCTTCACTTCTGAGAATGGGTCTTGCAGTTCCATTTGGTTCACATATGACTGGTCTGTTTCCATTACTACTGAGTTTGTAACTATGTTTTTTCTGAAATATATAATAACAGATTTCTCTTATATCCTGTTTGAATTACGCTCTTTGTATTTTCTTCTTTCTAATCCTGGGCATAGTTTGATGTTTTCGCCAGTGGTTTTAATGGGGTAGCTAGCACGTCCCAGGACGGCCCGCGTGGGTGCGCGTCGTGGCCATTTTGCCTTCCACAAGCGACTTTTCAGTTTCTTCCAGCAACTAACTCTCTAAAATTACAGGGAGATCAAGTCATGTCGTTCCTCCTCGTATTCGTCTTGTCTCTTATGATACAGTGGCACCCGAAATGTTCTTCCATGTTTTTACACAGTGATCTGTTTCAAACCCTAAATGCCAAGACATAGCTAATCCGTAAGAAGCTACTCTGTATTCCAGTTTGTTCCCGCCCTGAATGGTACATTATACATTACCGAACTAAAAGCTGTCCGAGTAAACCATATTATTGCGAAACAAAAAATACCATTGCCTACTATGATGTCACCGCAATAAAAGGCCATGTGCTAGAAGCGTCTCATCTGTAGCTTCGGCCTCCAGCTAGTAACGTGAAGTGTGCATTAAGACGAATATCTTCGATACCGTATGATTAGATGAGCTTAACAGAAGTTTTGTTGGATGAAATCCGGAATTTTTGTCGGTCCGAGTGTTTCCAGGCGCCGATAAGGAAGCTACTATAGGCCACCATCCCTGCCACATGGCTGATATAACGGAGCAGTTAAAGATGGCCCTCTTCATCATACACGACAGTCCTTGCGACATCAACCTCGTTTGGATGGAAATCAGCCAACCCAGCATCTTAACGAACAAGAGACCCTGCGACAACCAGGTGCCTCCTTTCGACGTCGGTTATCCCTAATTACCTAATGCGCGCTTCGAGAAGATCAAAGCCAGATCATGTTAATGCAGACAAAAGGAATGGCAAGCATAAGAAAGATACATGATGATTATACCATTGCCTGGGTGTGTGCGTTGCCGCTGGAGGCGACCGCAGCCACTGTGATGTTGGACCAAAGACACCCTCCACTCCAACAACCGCCGGGCGATGATAATGCATATGAACTAGGAGAGATTGCCGGTCATAATATCGTCGTGGCGCACTTACCAGCCGGAGTGTACGGTACAACTTCGGCCGCGACCGTCGTCGCCCAAATGCGAACCTCATTTCCCTCGATTCGCTTCGCCGTCGTCGTCGGCATTGGGGGAGGAGTTCCCAGTGCGAGACATGATATCCGGTTGGGTGATGTTGTAGTTAGCCAACCGACCGGGCGCTCGAGCGGGGTGGAACAGTATGACTATGGAAAGACTATCAATGGTGAGTTCCACCGCACCGCAACGCTGAGTCCGCCTTCGCAAGTTCTGTTGACCGCAATGGCTCGACTGCAGGCCGGTGAGATAGAAGGCCACAATCCGAATATGGTAGAGATAGTCTCAGATGCATTACATGCCAGTCATGAGATGACAACCCGATATTCACGGCCAACGGAACCGGATCAACTCTTTCATGCGACATATACCCATCGGGATGGCGAGGAAACTTGTCTTTCCTGCGATATGAGCCACTTGTGTCCTCGGAATCCACGATCGCCGAATCAACCACAAATCCATTATGGAGTGATTGCATCTGGGAACCAGGTTATGAAGGACGGACAAGTTCGGGATCGGCTTGCTAAAGATATGGGAATGCTGTGTTTCGAGATGGAGGCTGCTGGGATTATGAACCAGATCCCGTGCCTGGTTATTCGGGGTATCTGTGACTACGCCGATTCACATAAGAACAAGCACTGGCAAGGATATGCGGCACTAACTGCCGCCGCTTATTCCAAAGTCCTGCTATCTATCGTGCCTGTCAATCAACCTCGGAACTTGATATCTCGAAGTGCGTCTTGGATGGTTCCTTTTGCACGTAATCCACGATTTTTAGAGCGCGAGAATCTGGTGCCGGACTTAACACAAACTATTGTCAAAAATGGAGGACCGCGGAAAAGGGCTATTGCTGGCCTGGGTGGGACTGGAAAGACTCAGATTGCATTAGAGCTGGCTTATGCGCTTCGGGCCAGCAATCCTGAATTCTCCATTTTTTGGATTCCCGCGATGAATATCAAATCGATCGAGCAGGCATATTTCGACATCAGTGAACATCTAGGACTTCAAGGCGTATCTCAGACAGATGTGAGGCCACGAGTGAAGACTTACCTGAGCTCTCAGAACGCCGGCCCCTGGCTCTTGATTATCGACAATGCGGATGATCTAGAGATATGGAAGTCATCTGCTGGCTCCTCTGCTGGCTTCAGGTCTTTCCTGCCACACAGTGACCGTGGCTTCATCCTTGTTACAACGCGAAATCGGCAGCTCGCAACCCTACTCGCTGGCCCAGAAGTGATCAGTGTTAGTGAGATGGATGATCAAATGGCAGTTAACCTTCTCTTTGCATCACTTACTCAGAAAGATGTTGTCTATCGCGGCCAAATTAGTACCGAACTTGTCCGTCAGCTGAGCGGCCTCCCTTTAGCCATTGTACAAGCAGCGAGTTATATTAACGAGACCGGAATCTCTTTAGAATCGTATCTGAACCTTTTGCATGAGCAGGAAGATGTGCTGCTAGAACTACTCAGCCAGGACTTTGAGGATGATTTCCGATACTATACAATACAGAATGATGTGGCAGCCACATGGCTAATCTCATTTCATCAAATCCAGCAATCTAACTCATTAGCAGCTGACTATCTCTCTCTTATGGCTTGTGTTTATTCACGAAGCATTCCCCAGTCACTACTTCCGCCGGCGACTTCTATTATCCAGCAACAAAAGGCTCTCGGTCTTCTTAAGGCTTATTCATTTATCACGGGAGAAGACCATGACCGATTCATCCATCTTCATCGACTGGTTCACCTGGTGAGCCGAAACTGGCTGAAAGAAAAACAACAACTCACTATATGGATCGGTCAGACGATGAAGCGATTCAGTGAAGTTTTCCCATCTAGCGCATATGAAAATCGAACCCTTTGGCGAGAATACATGCCTCATGTACAGTTCATCTTACAAAGCCAGGAGTTGGATATTGATAGCCAGAATCAGGGTAACTTACTGCAGAATGTGGCAGAATGTCTGTATCATGATGGAAAGTATCACGACGCAGAAATTCTTTTTCAAAATATTCTTAGGTCCCTGAGCGCACAACTCCCAGAAGATCATCACGACGTGCTTCAAACTAAGATGTGGATGGCATTGACGTTCCGGAGTCAAGGACGGTGGACAGAAGCAGAACAGCTAGATGTGCAAGTAATGGAGACAAGAAAGACAGTGCTAGGGCCGGAGCATCCTGACACACTGATCAGCATGGCGAACTTGGCATCAACGTTCCGGGAGCAAGGACGGTGGACAGAAGCAGAACAGCTGGAGGTGCAGGTGATGGAGACAAGGAAGATAATGCTGGGGCCGGAGCATCGTGACACACTGAACAGCATGGAGAACCTAGCATCAACATTCCAGGGTCAAGGACGGTGGACAGAAGCAGAACAGCTGAGGGTGCAGGTGATGGAGATATTCAAGACAGTACTGGGACCAGAGCATCCTGACACACTGACTATTATGGGGAACCTAGCAGCAACGTTCTGGAGTCAAAGACAATGGATAAAAGCAGAACAGCTGGAATTGCAAGTAATGGAGACAAGGAAGACAGTGTTAGGGCTGGAGCATCCCTCCACATTGACCAGCATGGCGAACCTGGCGTCGATGTTATGGAGTCAAGGACGATGGACAGAAGCAGAACAGCTGGAAGTGCAGGTGATGGAGACAAGGAAGACAGTACTGGGACCAGAGCATCCCTCCACACTGACCAGCATAGCGAACCTAGCATTATTGTTCCGAGATCAGGGACGGTGGACAGAAGCAGAACAGCTAGGTGTGCAAGTAATGGAGACAAGAAAGACAGTACTAGGGCCGGAGCATCCTGACACTTTAGGAAGCATGTGGAATCTATCCTTTACATTAAAGGACCTTGGTCGGTATTCAGAAGCTTTATCAATGCTTGAAACATGTGTCCGGCTTCAGAAGCAACTACTGGGACCATCCCATCCACATACCATTATGGCTGCCATGGCTCTGGAAGCATGGCAAGCCGAGGAAATTCCTGAGGACCTGTCATCTCTACATGGAGCAGATTCCAATACAGATAGCTCCCCTAGTACTTCGGGTATACGTCAAGCATCCACTTCAGAGTCCGCAGAGCCGACTCTTCTGAAAAGAAACATTTTCTCTGGACTTTATCACTGGTTGTTTTCAAGAAGGAAATAGCCTGACTGGGCCACAATGTGAACAACCTAGATGCCTTACCTATATAGGATAAACTATAGCACACGTAACATAAAACTCAACGCTATTAGAGTTGTTAATTGTACATAGTAAAACAGAAATAGAGTTCCTTTTACCCGTACAATCGTAGAGGGCTCATTGATCTCGCTTGACTACGAGTAGTCTCAGGTACTCCATGGCTCTCAACGGCCATAAAACGGCAGAAGCGGAATAAATTCCAGTTGTTGACAGATTGCCACAGCAGGCGTGCACGTATTGCGTTGCTTGATCTGTTTGAATGGAGTATTCCGGATATTTTTGTGTATTTATGGTACAGGATTTACCGATACGCCGAAATATTTAATACATAACAGGTTTTTACAAAAATACACGTCATTAAGGCACTATCTACGTATAGTTTATGTAGTAAATAACGATGCACTTGATGACCGCCGGTCTTAGCGGTGAGCGAGACGTCAAAAACGGCGTCAAGTGTAGCCGTTTTTGGCTTCTCATTCACCGACACAACGTTAAATGGAGTGTATGTATCGGTCTAGGTTTCCATAGAATACGAAAGTAACATATCTACCTAAATGGACTAGCTTTGAAAGGATCAGAGTATAATCAGTATTTTTAATCACTTTTCTAAGCACTGCCTGAAACTCAGATTATTAAGACGCTATACCCAATATATCACAACAATCATGTGAATCTAGAGCCGTGGTGGTTCTGTCAGCCTTGAGAGAGTCACCATCTGCTCTCGCCTTCTTCATAGTTATCTTATGCTTGATACAGCAATCAAATTATCACTTGCGATCTGGACGCACTTTTGATACTGCAGAATAATGACGATACTAATCTCTCTTCTATAAATAAAACGATGAAGAAACGCAAATTAGAAAATATGTTATTCCAGTCAACAAGCCGCCGCTTCCCTGAAGCCCCGCCAAAAGGTCAACACGACTTCCAGATAGCCATCATATGCGCTCTGTCTGTGGAAGCTAGTGCCGTCATAGCATCCTTTGATGTTGTTTGGCCTGATCAAAAATATAACAAAGCACCAGGGGATTCAAACACATACTCCTTTGGCGCGATCGGAAATTACAATATCGTCCTGGTGCACATGTCGAACATAGGAAAAGTTGCTGCTGCTACTGCTGCCACTAGCCTTCTCCTAAGCTTTCGGAACATTCAACTTGCTTTAGTAGTTGGCGTTTGCGGTGGTGTACCTTTTGGCCAGCAAAAGCAGGATACGAACATTTTTCTTGGAGATGTTGTTGTCAGTAAAGGTCTAATTCAGTACGATCTTAGGAAGCAGCTTGCCAATCACAGAATAGAGAGAAAAGATGCAAATTGGGATACTCTGCCAAGGCCAGGTCCCATGGCTCGTGGAGTACTGGCAAAGTTGCAGACCGTGGAGGTCTGGAACGCTGTGTCTAATAAGATATCGGAACATTTCAGTGAGGTGCAACAAAAATTGGGTGGTGAACTAACCTATCCAGAATTAATTATAGAGGACAAGCTCTTTAGATCGACATACCAGCACAAGCATCATGCGTCTTCACAATGCGCACAGTGCGCGAATGGCGATGGAGGAGAAAACATTTGCGATGACTCACTTACAATGACCTGTGGAGAGCTCCAATGCAATGAGCAGGAGCTGATAGTTCGGAAACGGCCATCTCAATCTTCCACTCCCGCCATCCATGTTGGTATGATTGCTTCTGGTGATACCGTAATGAAATCTGGAACGGACCGAGATAGCATTGCCTTCCAAGATGATATCATTGCATTTGACATGGAAGGTGCGGGTGTGTGGGAAAAATTCCCTTCTGTATTGGTAGTTAAAGGTGTCTGTGACTATGCAGATAGTCACAAAAATAAGAGATGGCAACTTTATGCTGCAGCTGCGGCGGCTACAGCCACCAAAAGCTTTCTAATGACCTTCGGAACTGGTATGTACTTCAGTCATATGATGTGAATGGATAAGCCAGGTTTTAGGTATCGACTGAGTACATCTAATGAATAAACCACAGATTTTCTAACAACGCCGCTTCCAACAGAACTATTCCCATGTTCAGAGCCGGACTTTACAGATAGAAAAATCAAGGTTCTGAAAGAGCTACGTAAATCGCCATACCAAGACCGAAAGGACATCAATGAAGATCGAATAGAGGGTACTTGCAAGTGGTTTGTTGATCATCAGCTCTTCCGAAACTGGTTGGAAGGCAAGTCATTAAACGTACTTTGGGTATCCGCAGATCCTGGCTGTGGGAAGTCGGTTCTTATCAAGTACCTCGTTGATTCTGTCCTTCCAACGACAGGTCTTCGTATAACAAGTTATTTCTTCTTCAAAGACGATTTTGATGACCAAAGAAATATCGTCACAGCGCTATGCTGTATCCTGCGCCAGTTGTTTTGGCAGAAACGTTTCTTGTTCACAGAAAAAATTCTGGAACAGTTTGAAGCCGGCGGGGACAAATTAACCAACTCATTTAGTGAGCTCTGGGACATACTTATTGCCACGGCTAGAAATCATGATGGTGAGATTGTTTGTCTTCTCGACGCAATTGACGAATGTGATGAAAAGGGCAGGTCTCAGCTCCAGCGGGCATTGTTCAATCTCCATAGGACTGGAAAAGAATTGAATCTGAAGTTTCTTCTTACCAGCCGACCATATAGCGCAATCCGGCGGGGTTTTGTGCATTCAGAAAGTCCAGAAATGCCTTGCATTCACTTACAGGGTGAAAGTGAGGATGAGATCCAGAAAATTTCTAAAGAGATTGATATATTTATCAAAGTCAAAGTCAGACTTACCGGAATAAAATTAATGCTTGAAGAGGATGAACAAGAATTTTTGCTTCAAGAGCTTATGCGTGTGCCCAACAGGACATATCTATGGGTCCATCTTATACTGGACTTGATTGACCATAAGGATGATATTGACAAAATCGGGATCATCGAAGCTACTTCCCACCTTCCCAAAACGCTTAATGAAGCATATGAGAAGATACTATCCAGAAGTCGGGACTCCGAGGCAGCTAAAAGACTGCTACACGTTGTAGTCGCGGCTGGAAGGCCGTTGACTCTGAAAGAGATGAACGTGGCATTAGCTCTTCGTGAAGGACATAGATCATTCAATGATCTTCAACTGAAGTCAGAAGAGCGGTTTCGTGAAATTATTCGAGATCTTTGTGGTCTTTTCGTGACCGTTATTGATTCAAGAATTTACCTAATCCACCAAACCGCGAAAGAGTTCTTGATACAAAATTATGAATATAATCAAGTGACACGGCAAGTTTTCCAATGGAAAGGCTCTCTATGGCCACAAGACTCTCACCGTACTCTTTTCGATATCTGTATACGGTACCTGTTCCTTGCAGAGTGGGAATCCTATCCTCTTCATCATGACAAGCTACTGCTGCGAGGAATCGATAACCAAGCCTTCCTTGATTACGTTGCTGAGTACTGGACTTTTCATATGCGCGAAGCAAATGTTGAAGTTGGTGATGTTATTCCATCACTTTTGGAAGTTTGTGACCCACATTCAAGTCGATGCCAGGTTTGGTTCAACATATACTGGTTGAAGGTACACAAAGATACTCCTAATAATTTCACAACTCTTATGGTTGCATCTTACTTCGGGCTCAACCCAATAGTGAAGTATCTGCTTGAAAATGGGGAAAAACGTAATACCAACATCAAGGATGGTAAATACGGGCGGTCTGCCTTATCTTGGGCTGCCGGAAATGGATTTTCTCTTACTGTCAAGCTATTGATTCACCCTTATAGAACAAGTGGCAGTCGCTCGAAAGTCTTCTTGCCCCCGTGGCAAGTTGAAATCGACTCTGTGGATAATTACAGTCAAACACCTCTTTCTCATGCAGCATGGAATGGTCACGCAGACATTGTCAGGCAACTGCTCGATGCTGGAGCCGAAATTGTCTCGACTGATTCAATTGGTGGCACGCCGTTATCGTATGCCATTTGTAATGGACATGAAGCAGTAGTTCAACTCCTAGTCAAAGGAGAAAGAACTTCCAAGAGTGACATCATTAAATCGCTACACTTCCCGGCTGTCGAACTTGGACACGAGGCAGTAGTGAGGTTGCTATTTGAAAATGGCGCAGATCCTAACTGGAAGGATTCATCTGGTCACACAGTACTATCACTGGCTGCTAAGAGGGGGTATGTGGCTATTGTGAGACAACTCCTTGATTACGGAGCTAAGCCCATCACAAATGACTTCCATTACCAAAGCTCACTTTTGTGGGCGGTATGGTATAACTACGAGGACATTGTGAAGTTGCTACTGGATGAGGGTGATGACCCAAATAATCATGATTCTTATAAACGAACGCCACTTGTATGGGCAGCCGGACATGGACATGAGAATGTTGTGGAGATCCTCCTCAAGCACGGAGCAAACCCCAATAAGGGCGACTGCTGCGGTCAGACACCTTTATTTCATGCCACTTGGAACGGCCACAGTGCCGTGGTTGAGTTACTACTGAAGTACGGAGGCGACGCTAAGATGGAGGATGTCTGTGGCGGCACACCCTTATCATGGGCGAGAGAGAAACAAGATTGGGAAATCGTAGAGCTACTTGAGAAGGCACTCACGACTTAATAGGTAGACCCCGAGCCTCTCTAGAGTGACACACCACGTCACGTTTCACCTGTGAGGTTTTCCCATCAATGACTGTTTATTAATCCTCGTGAAAGAAGGAGAGATATCTTTGTTAAGTCATGTCGCATGCAGAGAATATCTTCGAGACAAGTGGGAGGATGAGTGTCATTGATATTGACGGCAATGATTATATAAAAGCCGTCAAGCATGAAGCTCACATCTCCGGAACAGGAATCCTGGGAGTCCTGTCCCAGGGCTACGTGCTTCCGCCTGACAAAGTGTACGACGATATTACCGACTTCGTTCTCACTGGATCGCTGGCATCGCAATGTTGACAAGATCGCCTTGGAGGCGACCTGAGCGACCCAGTTGACAATCCAAAGATCAAGACGGCAATCGTCTCCCCGCCTACCATCTACGGCAAGGGGATTGGTCCCGTTCGACAGCACAGCGTCCAACTTCCATGTCTGGGTGATCAAACATCCATTGATTGTAACTAGAGCCAATCAGAATTCAACCACACATCAACCGTGTTCCTTGGCCGGACAGTACTTACTGCATGTCGCCAATCAAGCAAGAGAATAGTCAATGCAATATAAGATATGTAATATGTAAATAAAAGTAATAGATAAATTAATTAAATTGGGGAACAAACAAAACTCCTAGTGCCAACTTCCTGTGTGGCGGACGGAGTAAATGAAGGAGTAAAGAAGCCGCATGCAGCAGCGCCCACGTCATTGCTGAGCTTGTTTTCTACAGCTAGCCTGTCACGGCCTAGCGCTGTTATATACTCTGAGATGATCGATGCTGATGTTTACTGTCTTGACTCTTGACTCTTGACTGGTTTGACCGACGATCGCCAGGATCGGGGATAGATATGTCGTACAGGTGTTGTCTCGTCTGCTATTTACGCCGTCAAGGCCCTCTCGCTACCTTGATGCTTTTTCTTGCAATGCCAACAGAATACAGCCATGCAACAGCCCTCCATCCGGCGCTACGGTCATAGTAGACGTCGCATCTGGATCCTGCTGGTTGCGCCGGCCATTGGGCTGATGCTGCTGTGGTCATGGCTACAAGGGCCTTATTCCATTTTCCTCGAGCAGATCCTCGCCGCAAATGCACGCAGTGTGAATGATGCAGAGTATAAAAACGGGATGAGCGAGCTCGCCGTGATTCTCAAGACCGGCGTGACCGAGCCATTACAGAAAGTGGCCGTACATATCGAAACCACACTGTCAGACGTGCCTTTCTACGCTGTCTTCTCCGACTACCAAGAGACAATCGCCGGCGTCCCGACATACGATGTCCTTCGCAACGTGAGCGACCGCGTGAAACAGCATATCCCAGATTTCGACCTCTACAACCGCATCCAACAACGCGGCCGGCAGGTTCTAGCTGGCCCCGACCACGGCGACGACTCCAGCGGCCCGTTTGGCCGCCAGAACAACCCTGGCTGGAGACTCGACAAATGGAAATTCCTCCCCATGATTTCCCTCGCGCTGGACCTCAGACCGGATGCGAAATGGTTCGTATTTATCGAGGCTGATTCGTACATCGTCTGGCCGAGCTTGGTAAACTTGCTATCTCGCCTCGACGCCCGCGAGGACCTGTATTTAGGGTCTCCCATGCAAATCGGCACAACCGTGTTTGCGTACGGAGGAGCAGGCTTTGTGCTTTCGAATTCAGCGATGAGGAAAGTGTCCAAACACCGTACGGAGAATGAGCAGCGAGTGGATGATTTCACGGCAATGCATTGGGCTGGCGACTGTGTGCTGGGCAAGGTCCTGCTCGATGTTGGCGTTGCGCTGCATAGTTCGTGGCCGATGCTGCAGCCCGATACGCCATGGGAGCTAGACTTTGTCAGGGAGAAAAGTAATCGACGTACGTGGTGTTACCCGCTGATCTCGTATCATCATATGACTGCGGATGATGTGCGTGAGATGTGGAGGTTTGATCGATGGTTCAACAGAGTAAGTGCTAGACTCAGTTATGACGTGAAGTAGCTTAGTGAGTATCAGTACGACACATCAGCAAGACCGCTCCTCTACCGCGACGTGTTCCGGCACTTCGTCCTCCCTGAGATTCTATCGCAACGAGGTGGATGGGACAGTCTGGCCGAGGACGCAGGAAATCACAGTCATTTTACTCTCGACGGCTGTGCGCGTCGGTGTTCTGACGATACGCAATGTCTGCAATACGCGTACCACGTCAATGGAAGTTGTTTTACATCGCGAGGCGTCAGAAGAGGTGTGCCGAGGGGGGGAGTTGAGTCAGGGTGGATGGTTGATCGGATTCTTGAGAAGATGAGGGAATACGAGCTGGGGTGTTAACTTAACCAAAGATTTATTTCTTTAGATTTAGGTGGGTACATATGTACGTATTGAAGATATTGTCACGTCACATTGGTAGGAGAATCGGATTCAATGTTATTGATTTCTAACGATACTCTATTCAATACATGTCTAATAATTGATACCGTGCGACAGGGTCAATGTTATGTATCAACATTAACTGGTATTTTGTGTTACGATATAGTACATACATCTCGCATTAATCCATTATTTATCGACCCCGAAGCAAATACCCAACCAACATCCATTAATCCTTCTCTAGTTTGATCTCAAGTTACCTACAAACATCGCCAGTCAACATCGTCCACCATTGAGGATGAACCCGTCTAGAGGATGAAAGCAGCGGCGGCGGCAACAGCAGCAGCGCCAAAGTTGGGCACGGCATTAGCGATGGCAGCGCCAGTGTGTGTAGGGGTGCCAGAAGTTGAGGAGGCAGCGCCAGAGCCAGAGCCAGAGCCAGAGCCAGAGGCCGAACCGGATCCAGATCCGGAAGCAGTGGCAGTGCTAGCGAGAGATCCAGAGCCAGAGCCGGAGCCAGAAGGAGAAGATGAAGGGGTGGAAACAGCGCCAGACACGCTAGAGCCACCAGGAGAGTTGGCAGCAGAGGTGGTAGCAGTGGCAGTTGTAGCGCCGCCGGTGCTGGTAGTGGTGGTTTCACCGGCGCTGGTGGTGGCAGCGCCAGTCACGGGGGGGACACTGATAGATTGGCTGGCAGACGAGCAGACGGAGACGACGGCATTGGAGGCGGAGGACTGGTCGTTGAGGTCGCAGTTCTTCTGCACGCAGGGGGTCACGCTGCTGACCAGCGAGGGCTTGGAGCAGTGGCAGGCAAAGTCAGTCAGACTCGAGCAGCCGTCGGAGCTCAGAGCGGTCACGAAGCAGCTCAGCTAGATGAGTCAGTATACAATACTTTAAACAAGGATATAGTGTACGACTCACGGCGCATTGGGGGATGTCCGGGAGCTGGGCCGAGGCGAGGCCAGCGGCGACGAGAGCAACGAGAGCGGTAGAGAACTGCATTTTGATGTTCGAGTACTCGACTGTGTAGCTGATCGTACTGTACTAAGTGTCTGGGATGCGATGAGCTATGCAGCAGTGGCTAAACGACCGAGATCCGAGCATCCCGGAGCGTGGTGCAGGGAGGGTGCAGGGCTCTTTATAGCAGCGGCCAGAGTTTAGATCGAGCGAACCCGCTCCATAATTACAACCAGCAATCTCGTTTTCTGTCTGGGTGGAGAGCTAAAGACTGGCCGCTTGGGCATTCCAAGCGGGGCGCTGGCCAGAAGGTTTGCTGCAGCGAGAGATTGCAGCTTCGGCCATTGGACTCGGTGCAGGCCAGTGACGTTTAATTTCAATCGGACCGATGTTATTACCGCGTATCCCAGCCGGACCAACATGTAACTCCCACCTGGGCACCTCTCTTGGGTAAGTAATTCGCAATTGTCTCGGTGGCAGTGGACCTCAGGTGGGCGAATAAGCATTTGTTAATGAAAAAAGGATTGTTGGAGCAGGATTGTCTGTTTCTGTCGGACAGCCGAATCCGGGGTAGGGCCGGGGCTCGGCCGGGGCTCAGCTCGACGGGGTTTAGCGCGGGCCGCAGCGGGCGCGTCCATTGGACGCCTGTTTTGCCACCTGCCCCAGCCAGGCCTAGCGCCGAGTGTCTTCGTCAGCCAAGCCTGAACGCGGCGATTTTTCCCTTGCTTTGTACAGCGTACAAAACTCTGTACAGTAGTAGTAGTACGGAGCAGACGACAGCACTGGTAAATCGCGATTGTAACTGGATCTGTTCGCATCTAGGCTGCAGGATATTGGTGTTGCTGATCGAGTCTTCCCTCTTGTGAGATACCATCCCACATCGCTGGTGGACTGCGGCTGGCACTGGTCACATTCTCCACCTGCCGCTTTTCTCGATTTCAAATTTTCACCGTGATGCCGAAGCATGTGATGCGCAATTTGCACCCGCGCCACGCCGTACACTAAGGATAGAAAGAATAGATAGATAATTAGATAACGCTCTTTATTCTTTATCATTGATAACGTGCGAAACATACGCTAACGCCGGGTATGAATACATAATACATGAATACATTGACAGTGTCGGACAATCCCGCCTGTGCACAATACAGTGAGTGGGTGTAGATGTAAAGAAATCTTGGCAATGATATCAATCGATATCATGACAGAAGCTCGTCCACATAGGCCCGCTCCTTCACCTGTCCTGTTCCTCCTGTGCCCTCTTTCAGAAGAACAGCCAGAACCTCAATCGGCGGGTTGAGGTCGAGCGCATACGCTCGGCGCCATCGCTTGATCCTCGAAATACCGATGCAGGGCTGTATCTGTTAGTCGAATTCGGCCTCGCGTGGATCAAGACATACCCCGTATTGACTTGACAGGTCAAAATGCCGAAGAATCTTCTCATTCACATCAAGGCCATTCTGATGGACTGCAAGAGATAAGCATCTGGTCAAGCAATTCTGGACTGAGAACACCTACCTCGTGGCGCAGTCCTTCTCTGCTCCTCCTCATTCCAATACTTCCTCAGTGCTGCGTCAGTAACTTTCAGCGCCTGCCGATCCTCCTCTGTTAGGGGTTGCTCCAGCTCTTTCTTTGTCTGTTCCCGTACAGCGATTTCAGCGACATGAGGCTTGGAGGAGCCCGAGGGAGGGGCAACGGGTGCTTGTTCTGGGAGTGAGGTATCGCGGGTGGCTTCCTTGAGGATGTTGGTTGCAATCGGCTCGATATCCTTGATCTGCTTTCCTGGCACTGTTGCGGACGGTTTTGTCACTCTGGTGTTCGTGCCAAACGACAACGTCGACTGTTGACGGCTGGCAGTCCGTCCGGTTGACCGGCGAGGAGGCATGGTGTCTGTAGTTGGTCTTCAATCGGGGTAATTCGAGAGTTGGGTAGACTGTTCTACTCCTGAACCAAGCTTGTCGAGATCTTCGGGTGAGGGATGGTTGGATGGTTGAATGGTTGCCTGCGCAACGAGGCTGGGCTAGTGGCGCCAACGGAGCGGGACGCGTCCAGCCCATATAACCCATATAACCCCATTTGGACATCACCTGCACTGAACATCGATAATATTAACAATAATATCGTATTCAAGATACTTTAGTTGCTAAATCTGTACCTCCAATCATACGCTTCCCGTAATAATAGTACATATTAACTAAATATTATTGAGTAGTTATTTATCAATTGGCTATGTTATTAATATTAATGTCTCTGACCTGATAAAGCTGGGGCCAGCCGCTCCACCTCAAAACTTCTAAACCTGAACAACCATCCATCCAGTTTGCTATTCTTCGTCACGCAAAATGAACAATCGTCCCGTCGAACAGGCGCTGGCGACTCTGCTGCCGACCCACGCGAACGAACTCCCACCCGAACTGGTGACTCTCGCACAATCCCTCATCGCGCAATCCCGCAGCTACGCAAGCAGCTTGAAACCGGAGGAGGAAATCGCCAGGCCTTTTGCATGCGCTGAAATAGCTTGTCGACGGTATATCTATCCAGTGGATAAATAAACGCACATGATGATTACTCACTAATGATGATGCAGGTTGTCTCGACTTCTCAAGCTCCCCCCTCTTCTCGGCCGTCCACCATGTCCGCCGCGAGTGTACAAGAAACTCTACACGTTTCTAGACAATTCAATTGGTACAAATAAAGCAAACCCAAAGAAAGAAGGTACAGCCAAAGGACTTAATCGCACGCCGTCCAAGTCTACGCCGCGAAGAAACACCCCCCTAAAAGACACGCCATCGAGAACAGCCTCGGTGAAGCGTGCACGCTTCATGCACAATCCTACCCAGAGTTCACAGAATATCAACGATGCTCCGGAATGGGTCATGCCTTCGATTCGCACCGTGTGCAAGACACTGTCTACCCCTGCTCCTCGAATGAGCTTGTGGTCGCGTCCGCCGATCTCAAGATCACTGCCTCCGCATATCTTCGCTGGCGTCTCATCTATTCTCCACTTTATTACCGCGATGCCAGACAAGGAGTTTGATAAACTAGACGAGGATGCCTCTGAGTTCCTAGAAATCTTCCGTACACCCAGCAACAAAAGCACAGACGACTACAAAGAACTAGTCAACGCTCTGATAGTGGCTATCTACTTCCTGGTTCTTGCTCGGCGTCGTAGCCCCGGTCCGGGCGCAGAAAACAATGGCTCAGCAAACCCTGGAAGGGAGGAAGAATCCCGCAAAATGGACAAAAAGACATTCTCGGAAATGCGGCAAACCGCTTTGTCAAGCCTAGGACTGTCGCCGACGGAAAAGCGTCATGGCGAGGACGTCGATGCGTGGATTGCCGTGGTCATGGGCCAGAAATGGGCCAAGAGTCAAGAATGGTTTGAAAACATCCCGCTGGCGGGGGAACGCGACGAGGAATTTGTGGATGGCCATGTCCTTGAAGATGAAGACAACACCGACCTCACCAACGCCAAACGTCGGAAGACGAAATTGTTGGTGCAGACTGGGAACAGAGAAGGGCTGCTTTTGCCTGGTCTTGGAACTATGATGCAGGATCGAGTGGATTATTTGAGTGAGGACCGGAGAGAGGATTATGCAGAGTGGAAGACAGAAATCATGAAAAGGATTGCCAGCATGGAAAAATCCGCGAGCAGCGACGTAAGTGGGAAAAAGAGAGCTGCCGTTGCTGTTGCTTGATGTAAAACAGTATAAATATGGACTTGTAATATCTGATATAAATCTAACTTCATATGGATATAACTAAGCATATTTACGGCAACGCCTTGTCAATCCCACAGTCTATATTCATACAGGATAACAATAAAAAACGCGAATAACGAGAAAACCGCCGTATCTACTATGTAATTTAATACCAAATACTCCTCGTTCGATGGTGGGGAATAGTCTCGCGACCATCCCTCTCTAATTCTTTCATCGTATCATAGAGGAAAAAATCAATGAGAATGGCATTCACCCGTGAGTTCCCATTCCCATTCTCATTCTCATCCTGAGTTTTGCCGTCTGATATTGTCATAGCTGCTGTCTTTGCTTCGAGATTGCTGATTTGTTGGCCGTTGCGGTCGATGTCAAGCGAGTGCCGTGAGGAATTGGTGGCTGTCTGTGATTCTGAATGCAGACGATTGATTTCTTGTCTGATCAGTTCAACGCACCAGATACTGGCACCGCGGATCTCAATCTCGCGGGTTGAGCCTCCTTCGATAGGCTGCAGTCGTCGAATCTGGCTTTCAAGAGGGGGCGAGTAGAGAAGACAGCCCAGTTGGTTGAGGATCTGGGGAATGCGGTAGTCTAGAAAATTAGCAACAATGCCCTAGTTTTACAACCCTATTTTGTACGACGCACCGGCAAACATGGTAATATTCTCAATATCGTGAAACTCGCCGAACGACTCCCCCTCAAAAGAAGCCCATAAATCAGCTACCAGGATCTGTGCACGCTTGTAAAAGCGTACTTTGCGCCCATCAAACAATGCCTCGTCGCGGAAGCAAGCAAAATTCTCGGCTAGCAGATTTACCAATGCGGCAGCAGATTGATTAGCGTCGTAGATGCAGTTGATGAAACTGCCGTCGAATTTCTCGTCAAGCACCCGCCCAGCTTCGCGGAGACATTCTAGTCTCTCCTCGAACAGAGGGATTTGTTCGTCTGTGGCAGACCGGAAGACGTGTCTCAGGACGTCTTCTGTCAAGGCATCCTCATCGAGCCAGAAATCGGGGCTTGTGATGGGTATATCTGGTGAGTATTAGCTATTTCTCTATAGTCTATCAGAGAGAGGATTCTCTCTAGAGTGTGTTAGAGAGAAAGAAGAAGATAATTACCCTCGTCCAACGCCCTTTGCAAAGCAGCTACTAAACTCCAGTACCCAGTCCATTTCTGCCCGCGATACTCAATGGCAAACCTCTTACTCTCGTCTGTCTCGTCCGACCAGAAACTGAAATTAAGCAGATCCATCGTCAAGATGAAATCCACCGTGCCCTCATCTTTTGACTTTGGATGCAGCTCATGCGCCGACCACGACTTGGTCGAGTAATGTTTCTCCTGCATTTGCTGCCATATCGTCCGCGCGGCGGCCTTTGTGCTGCGCGGATCTAGGGCTACGTCAATCGCGTTGTCAAAGATGAAGCGCGCGTTTTGCAGCACTTTGGTTTCTGGTGCTGGCGGCGGGCCGTTCTTCTTGCCTAGACCGAGGGACTGGCGGAGGAGCTCTAGGAGCTCGGGGTCGGCTTCATCATCAGACATGTTTTGATTGTTCTGCTCTTGCTGCAGCCTGCTTGGTGCTAGATATGACAATATTGAATGGTGGTGAAAGGTGTCCACGGATATCGATCCAAATTGATCCACCTAAATCGGGCGGGCTTGAGTCATAGCTACAGGGTCAATTACTTTTGCAGCCAGTCGTATATACAGACAAACCCCGTACCGATTTTGTTTGATTTCTCTCAAACCAAGCGTTTGTTCTTGCCATGTCTTTGTCGTGTGCCTGAGAAAAATATATTTCAATCAGCCTTACATAAGCATATTCCTGGCGGTGATTGGCTCACATCTCTCTCCCCTGCAGCAGGCATCAAACAGCATGATATCACGTCTGTCTGGTCAGAGTGCTTCAAATAGGTGTGATTAAGATGCTCGTAGATGTGTATCTGGGAATTATATGAGGACAGTCTAATTATACGTATAGTGTCCTTGTAATTATATAGACTGTACGTGGAATGCTTCCGCGGTACGAATATATAACTATCCGCCAGACGTAATCGCAAGGATAACAGCCGCGCCGCATCTCTCGCTTTCTCGCTGCACCCACCCCATCTCCTCTACCTCACCTGCACCTTTGTTTTGCTCCCCCGTCATTTTGTCACCTCACTCTTTACCTCTCTCGCTGCCTCTTTATGGAATTATAGAATTCGATTGCGCCACCTCGTTCAGAGTGATGGATTCCAGCGCAACCGCCAAACCCGCGCAGCGAGACGCCTATTTGAAGCGCTCTCTCGGCACTCTCTCCAGGCGCATTCGTGAGGTAAGCCGGCTTTCTGCTCCGGTTTCCATCCCGATCCCTTTACTACAATCTCCGCAGCTCCCAGACAGCTAATTGACTTATTTACTGATAGTCTCGCGTACTCTTGGTCGGCGCTGGCGGCATCGGCTGTGAGCTTCTCAAGAACCTGCTCCTCACCGGTTTCGGCGAGATACATATCATCGATTTAGATACTATAGATCTCAGCAATTTGAATCGCCAGTTTCTATTTCGACACGAGCATATCAAAAAACCGAAAGCTCTGGTACGTTGATGCGTGATGAGCAGGTGGTGTTATCGCATTGTCTAATGGGGCTCTTCTACAGGTAGCGAAGGAGGTCGCTGGGAAATTCCGGCCTGACGCAAAGTTGGAAGCATATCACGCCAATGTAAAAGACATTCAGTTCAACGTCGATTGGTTCAAAACGTTCGATATTGTTTTCAACGCCCTCGACAATCTTGATGCCCGCCGTCATGTCAACCGCATGTGCCTTGCAGCCGACGTACCTCTGGTGGAAAGTGGAACAACAGGTTTCAACGGCCAAGTTCAAGTTATAAAGAAGGTGCGATGGAGTTTTACAACTTCAAAAGGTCCGAGCTGATGAAGACTAGAATCGTACCGAATGTTATGATTGTAACCCGAAGGAAGTGCCCAAGACTTTCCCAGTGTGCACTATTCGGAGCACCCCAAGTCAGCCAATCCACTGCATCGTATGGGCAAAGAGCTACCTTCTTCCGTAAGTATACACAGAGAGATTTTGCAACGTCAACTAACTATTCTAGGGAGCTTTTCGGAACGAGCGAAACCGACAGCGACGAAGATGGCTTTGACCATAGCGAGGATGCTGAAAATGGTATTTTCATTACAAAGGGTTCCAGAACAAATCACAACAGCTAATAATGGTAGCCGAGGAAATTGAGAATTTGCGCCGCGAAGCACAAGCTCTGAAAACAATTCGCGAATCTATCGGCTCGGAGGACTTCGCTCAAAAGGTATTCGATAAAGTCTTCAAAGGAGATATTGAACGGTTACAAGGAATGGAGGACATGTGGAAGACGAGAAAACCGCCAACAGCCTTAGACTACCAGACCGTACAAAAGGACGCTAGCTCGGTCGATGTCACTGTGTCGCAGAATGACCAAAAAGTGTGGACAACAGAAGAAGACTTGGTAGTTTTCAAGGACAGGTAAGATGAACTTTAACTATTTCATGGTGCTAATAGCTAAATGAATATACAGCTTGGATCGTTTGAGCAAGCGTATGAAGATGCTTCAGTTGGAAAAAAATGGAGACATTGAACCTGTGATCACATTCGACAAGGACGATGTTGACACCCTGGACTTTGTGGCTGCAAGCGCAAATTTACGATCCGTAGTATTTGGCATTGAGACCAAGTCAAAGTTTGACATTAAGCGTACGTTGTTTCGAAAGATAGTTTTTTTGGTGCTGATATTGATTTCATAGAAATGGCTGGAAATATCATCCCCGCTATTGCCACCACAAATGCTATGACAGCCGGCCTATGTGTGCTTCAAGCCTTTAAGGTTCTCAAGGACGATTACAATCAAGCCAAGATGGTGTTTCTCGAACGCTCCGGTGTTCGTGCAATCAACACTGACAGTCTGCGACCACCGAATCCGTACTGCGCTATGTGCTCTGTAGCTCAAGGCCGGGTTTTTGTCGATATTGAACATGCAACACTGAATGACTTAGTCGAAGACATCGTTCAGGGCAAGCTTGACTACGGCGAAGAATTCTCTATTAATACAGATGCAGGCATGATCTATGATCCAGATCTCGAGGACAACCTGCCGAAGAAGCTGAAAGATCTTGGTGTCGCCTCTGAGAGTCTACTTACCGTCATTGACGAAAAAGATGACGAACCTTTTGTCAACGTGGAGCTGATGGTGGTAGAAAAGTACGTTGAAAACATCTTATTCTGTTCCTTCTATGCTAATGATTCTCAGAGCTAGACCTACCCCCGAGGATAAAGCTGTTTCCCTTGCAGAAGATATTAATATTCCCAAGAAACCTCGACAACAAGCTCCACCCGAAGAGCATCTTTCCAACGGGACCGCAGTCAACGGCGGAACTGCCAAACGGAAACGCGACGCTGAAGAGGCTGATCTTGACGGAGAACCTGATGCAAAACGTCTTGCCAAACAAAATGGCGAAAGCAACCAGCCAATTGTTCTTGATGACCCTGAAAGCGGAGCCATTGTCATTGATGACGATTAGAGACAAATTCCAGACTATTGATGACGGCCGGGATTTCCTTTCCTTTTCTTTTTGTATAATACTCAACGACCGAGAGAAACATGGGCATATACCGGAGTTGGAGGCTATTGCGGGTTTTCATTTCGTTCATGCTCGGACTACATGGGATGGAAATGAATGGAGTGGCCTTTATATGGTGCGCTGGGCTAAACTCTTGCGAATACTAATACTTTAAGATCATTAGAGAATGGTTTCAATTGATGTACCTAAGACCATCGCCTGAGATACGATAACGAAGCTGATCGGAACAACCTTTTTCTCTCTTCTCATCTGGTAATTCTATATTACATCTATTACATCTTATACAGCGCTCAACCCGCCATCGAGGTTGAGAACACAATTGTTAGCATACTCGTTCCTCACAAGAAACACAGCTGCGTCTGCAACTTCTCGCGGATCCCCGAATCTTTTCAACGGAATGCGTGCGTTTAATGCATCTATCTGGTCATTGCTGAAGTCTATACAATCTTTGATTAGACACAATCTTTGAATTTAGAGATCTTGGTTAATAGACTTACTCTCTATCATCGGAGTTTGAATATACCCCGGCACAATAGCGTTACTTCGTAGGATTGTCTTACCACCCCTCAACATCTCTGCTGCTTCTACTGTCATTGCGCTCGTTAACCCTAATAATCCGGCTTTGGATGCTGCGTATGCAGCTGTGCCAGTCACACCTTTTAAGGCAAGTAGTGAGGAGATGTTGATAATGCATCGAGATGGTGGTGGATCGTTATTATCATTGGAGGTATCATTGACCCGATCCCTGGCGCGTGCGCGAATGCATGCTCTTAACATCGCCCGAGAAGCAAGTATCGCCCCTTCGAGGTTCGTCTTGAGAATTTGTGAAATATCGTCTGTGGAGGTTTTCGGGAGGATATTTGAGATGGATATTCCAGCAGCATTGACGAGAATATCAACATGTTCCTGCAAGAATCATAATCAGTATATATTTCTTAATTCCACAAATAACAAAACTACAAGTGATGATTCTCACCATCTCCCTTTCAAGTCGCCCCATCCACTCTTTGGCCATGGAGATATCACCAACCAGCAGCTTTACATTATCCGCAGACGCAATATCCTCTTCCGGCATTCGTGTGGCAATTTGGCTACTATAACCATTATCACTATCTCCTTTCAATACTGATGGCATAGATTCCGTTAACCGCTCCGCAGCTTCTTCTAGTTTTTCGCGCCGTCGACCAACGAGGATTACTCTACGGACGCCTTCTTGTAGAAATCGCTCTGCAATCGCATATCCAATGCCGGAGGAGCCGCCTGTTATCAGAGCTGTGCGACTAGAGAGGGGATTGGGGTTGTGTTTTCTGGAGTGTTTATTTGTGTGTGTGGAGGTAGATGAGGAGTTTCGTTTCATCGATATGCAGCTTCGTCGAATCTGAACCTGCGGGTTTGAGCATTTAAGACAGGCTCCGCTCTCCCCGATGCACCGGAGCAGCCTTGTGTTGGGCTTTGCAAGCATGGACGATATGTGTTAAGAATTAATCACTTTTGAATGTAGGCAGAACAGACAGTTGACGAAATAAGAGCGAGGGTGATTTCATAGTTCTACGCGACTGATCTCCGCAGCTTGAGCACGGACCAGCGCGGAGTTTAATCGATAAGATTCTCTCCTGTTTCTTATTATTTTCCCCTCCAAACAAACACGCCATCCATTTTCTTATTTAATATTCCCGTCTTCAAATAACAGCGACCTATTGAATGAAAGAAGATGGCGACAAACTCGCTTGCAGAGTTTGTGACGCTCGTCTCTAGTGACGGCTTCGAATTCATCCTCCCTCGCAGCACGGCGTGTATATCAGGAACAATCCGTCGAATGCTTGAGCCTAGCAGTGCGTCGACGTCCTTTCGCTTTTGATTCTTCAAAACACACTCGCTAATATTTTTCCACTACAGGCAAATTCTCGGAAGCGTTGACGGGTCGCTGTGTTCTTGAAAACATCACGTTAGTAGCCATACCCAAAAGATATGTGTCAGGAGAAAAAGACCCGTTAACATAAAGTTATCCTGCAGAGGCGTCGTTCTAGAGAAAGTCTGCGAATATTTCTGCTATAATGAGAAGAACAAAGATCAAAGCAATGTGCCGGATATGGATATTCCGCCGGAGTTGTGTTTGGAATTGTTGATGGCGGCTGATTATTTGGATACATAGGTATGGCTCTTGATGGATTATTAAAATGGCATTTAACTAGTGATATAGGTGGAAGAAGGCTATTATTGCGCATACACTACGGAAGATTTGGAGGATGGTTTGATGATACCTCGGTGTTGGAAGTCGGAGTCATATGGCGTCTATGGATTGATTTCTAAGCGAATACACATACACTTGTTGTGCGAATTCTGGATTCTCTTGATCTCAGCGACTTTGTTGATGGCAACCATCGCTAACTCGTCGCCGCCCATCTGAAGCATCGTCGCCTGTCTCATCGTACACTATAGACAGCTGACCTAAAGATGATGGGAGATTAATTCCTGGGCTAGACTGGTGTCTAGCCTGGTAATTCCCTCTCTATTCAGCCCGAGTCCTTTGTATGGGCTAGAGGGCCTTATTCTGTGGGAAACAGCGACTCAAGAATCGTCTCGACTCTCATCGAGTCTATTCGAATTATGTAAAGTCATTGCAAGCACATATCACCGCCCTCTCCCCTTCCCCCCGCCTTTATTGTTCCCTTGGAACGCGCCTTTTTTATTCCCCTTCGGAGGTCCTTGGAACTCGTAGATCTTCTCTTTCGAAAACCCTGCGTCGGCAAAACGCAAATAACTGACAATGCCCTGGTCCACAACGGCGAGGATTGCACTGCGATATCCGTGGCGGAGCCGCACGTACAATTGACGCTGCATCTTCTCGCCATGAGGTGGATCGTACGGACTAGTTTCGACGAGAGCGCGTAGCTGCGATAGAGTAGGTATTGATGTCTGGGTGCGTGCATCCACAACTGCGACGCGGAAATCCGGTGTGCTAGGGGATGTTTTCTTGAAGGGCGTGGAGGGCTTGTAAACGTGATATGCGAATTGGAATGGTGGTTCGGTTTGATGGCGTGCTGGTTTCTTGTTGTCGACTGTTTCGACCGGGATTATTGCTAGCTTTTTGAATAGATTATCTGTGTCAAAGTCAGCTTCCAATTCGTCTGGAGGATAAAAGAAGAGAGTAAGAGAGAAAGAGTGGTATCGGCATACTGTAGCTGTGGGGTACGTTCAACCCAACCAGTGGACCTTGCGCTGAATAATCGCTTTCGAAGAGCTTATGTATTGATGCATATAACCGATTCCAGGAGTTGGAAATGTTTGTCGCAAAGGGGAACCCATGCTCAACATCGTCGTCCACACCCAGGTCCTCGGTTTCATCCTCGCCGCCATGCCACGACGGAGCGCGAATAATGGTATATCCCAATCGTTTCAATCCAGTAAACACAGAAAATCTATCCAACGTGAGACCACCACGACCAATCAGGCAAGCATACGCTGCCTGTAGGCTCATTGGCACCTCGGCCTCATCGCTATCCGTAAGAGAGCCAGTCATTGAAACGGGCCATCTGATTTCGAGAGTCCCTCGTTCGAGCATATACAATGCCTCTTCTGGAAGTAGCCATAGCCGATTCCAGCGATCCGTCTTGCCCATCGTCCTGAAGAGATTTCCTTTCTCATTCGGAACGCAAACGCATGCATCGGCAGGGATTACACTCATTGGATCCCTCACAAATTTGGCGGGCTTTGTTGCTGCTTCTTTTCCATCACCGGATTTCTGCTGTTCTTTGACCTCGGTAACTAACGGGGTAGGACCTTCTGGGCAGTATACACCAATGATATTATTTTTTGCCGTGCGGAGGCGAGGGTGAGCAATCGCATTGTGCATTGCACTTCGTGAAGTGGATAATACATCAGATTGTAGCGTAGTGGGATTGGGCTCGAAGTCTTTTTCGCCGCGACGTGGAAGGGAGGTTTGAGCGTTATCGGCGATGCTATTGGCATGTTACTAATGAAAGAAGCTAAGGGCATTCTTGCCATACATGCTGAGACTGTTCAAGAAGCGGAAATCTTGCACTTCTTCGGAAAGATCGATATCTGCCTGCGCAGCGGAGTCGCCGGGCGCGGGGCGGTGAATCACATCCTCATCGACGTCGGCCATGGCCAGACGCGAGAAAGAAGGCTGTATAAACCTTCTTGGCCTCTATAGCGCAAAGGATAGGACTTGAAAGAATTTCGAACCAAGAGTGGGATCGGCAGCAAAAGCATAGAGAGTGGAGAGCCAAAAAAGTAAGACGGCTGGTTCCATTTAACTCGATGTCCAAGCCGAGTTTAGCGGGTCCATCCACGCTTGAGCTTATAATTCTTCTAACAGATCTACCCCACGGTGCCAACTATTGATAGTGATATTTACTCAAGCTGATATTAGCTATATTAGCTTTAGTTAAAAGAAATCAAGATGACTACCCCCGCGTTATCATATTACAATGACTTGCTTCTCGAGGTAAACCATGCAGCCCAAAGTATCCCACGAACTCACTGAACATTTGTAGATATCAACCAATTTGCAAAACACGCTAAACACATTTGGGCCTACGTCGCACCAGTACAGAGATGTCCTACAGACGCTGAAGGACTGCATTCAACAAATCGAGCAGAATAGCCAACAAGTCAAGCCAGAGTCATTGGATCCCTTGAGGCTGGGCCTGGCCATGGAACTGTTGAGCCTGAAAGAATAGGTATGGGTGGTGTAACAATCAATTGATTAGTGTGGAACGATTTATGATGATATGTTTTATTATTTTTTAGACATTTTGCGCTATATTCAAAATGGATACTGGATCACCAGTCTCGCCAATGTTCCCCTGCCATAGAAAAACAAACACGCTCCAGCGTGTAAACTCAGCACGAACCGTATAGATAAAACACGAAGCTTCGCCGACAAACCCCCCATAAGATCACTCGCAACGCCATGCCTGAACGCCAATCCATGCACAATAGTCATTTGCAATAGTGACCAAGAAATATAAGAGTCGCCACAGTGGGTATCAGAGCGCGCGTCATCACCCTTTACCTGAATCATAAAATCAAAGCCAAGACAATTAATATATGCATTATCTTGAGCCTTCTCTGCCAAATTCATTTTCAAGTAGCAACCAATCGAATGGTCTGTTATTCCTGTGTTCAACACAGCAGTGGTGAGAAGCTTGGTTAGATTCTGGTGGCTCATTGCCGACCACCAAGAAGATATTCTGCATATCGCGTTATTTCTTTTGAAGAGCGGTGCGAGCTAGATTAGGTCTAGCACCAATGATTAGACTGACGATAGAATTGATGTCATTCAGTCTATCAGCGGTTTCTTCTGTTTTCCAACGACAGCAACGCCAAGCGCAGCAAGGGCATTATGATCACGGTAGCGAATTATTGTCGGATGCGGCAGCATCGGGTTTTCAGGATTGACAAAGGCAGCATCACGTGCCGACTGTTCTATTGCTTCCATCTCTTCTTTACATCCAGCGTGGTCAATTGGGCATACGACGATTGGTTGCCTAATAATGATGTCTCTCGCAGATGTAAGGTGTGCCTAGTAGCGTGAGTTAGCATGACATATAGTCAACCTCAACCGGTGGAAAATCACCTTGACAGTAAGATAGTATTCGATTTTGTATAAGCTTGCAGTGGTTGTGAAACCAATCACTCCGTAGGCAGGAAATGCTGCCTTCCCCCTGGGAAGAATGCCGTCGGTATCTCTCAAATCCTTTGTCGGAAACACCAAGCCTATATTCGTTGAATATCCTTGCTCAGGTAACTTTATACCAACGGTTTCTGATCTCTTTGTTATAGTCTTGACTTTGCGTGACGGCTCATCGCCTTCATGATTGTATATGATTTCCTCATCGATTCCAATGGTGAGTTTGTTGATTGTGACTTTTCTGGCTTTCCCCAGCCAATCCAAATTTGGAGCCAGTCTGACATACACGCTCACAGGGTCGAGCGGTCCGTATGACCATCGTGGTAGCGATATGCCCAAGGTCACCAAATGATCTGTTACTTTCTCGGCTGTCTCCGGACGGTTGTACATTCCAAACGTTGACAATGTATCATAACGGCAGATGGGAACGGGAAATGCGTATTTCTTTTGCTCTGACGGCCCTTGTTGCACGGTAACAACCATTTCGTAGAATGTTTCTGCTGTTCGACTCGGTAGTTGCAAGCTAGCTGCAGGCACTCTGCGAGATGTCTCCTGCGCGCCTCTACCATACGGAATAAATAGCATGAAAGGCAGATCCATGGATATGACCTCCTCGTAGTCCCGGCCTGCAGCGCATCGATACAGAAGCATCTCCTTTCCGACCAGCTCGGTTATTTCTTTCCTGGGAGCTGCAAGGCGTTTCTTTGTGACTGAATCTGCGGACGGGTGTATGCTTTCTCTGCGCTGGAGACAGACGGTGACCAGCGACACGTTGACAGGGGCGGTGATGCCCACGCTCGGACGAATCTCGACTTTGCCTTCAATTCGCGGCTGCCATGTTTGTTAGAGAGATTCTCTGCGCAGCAAGGGGATTGCCTATCACTTACCAATGTCGCTGATATGCCGGGGTAACCGACGAGAAAGTTGCCATTGGGTGGGCCAGACACTCGCACAAAGGCGGCCATCTTCAAAGGGCGCTGACCCGGCCACCATGAGCGAGCGCCAGGAGAAGGATAAGCACAGCCAGTTGGAAGGTCAGCGGCTCAGCGATCGTGGGATGGACGTGGGAGAATTGTTGCATAAGTCCACCTGGGGAGGGACGGTGGACGACAGGAGGAGGTTAAGGGAATCGTAGCCAACACGGCAAGGCAGGATGACGCAGTTGGACGGCTAGATGGAGGGGGCAGCTGGGGATTAGTTGAGGGCGACGTCGCGGGATGAACGGGCGCTCTCTAGTCCCATCGCCGTGGAGAGCCTCGATGCAAGCAAGCTTGGGGTATGTTGGGTGCGAGCTGGTGCTGGTGCTGGGGCTGGCGTGTGTTTCCGAAATTAAACGCTCGCTTGGTTGCGCGATGAACCAGGAGCAGCAGCAGCAGCAGCGGATTGCGCCAGTGCTGTTTGGGCGGTTTGACTCTGGGCAGTTTGCAGTTGGTGGAGTCCGCAGCATTTGGATGAATAACAACACTATTAACTACAACTGACTGTCATAGTCAGTCGCAACTAGCCGCCTTCGACCCTACGAGGCTGCGAATCCAGGGCCACCGACGAGGATTTTCGTGCGATTTGCTCCTTTAGTTACGACTACGAGCCATTCAGGCTGCACGACCTGCCTGTCAGCAAGCGTGACTAGTCAGCCGCGTGTGGTTAATTCCCCGGAAGAATGCCATTATAATTCTTATAATTGATGCCTGCCTGCTGTGACATCAATCGCCATGATACTTCTTATTCCGCGCATAAGACGAGTCAGTCTCGCGTATTAAATATGTAGTATCTGACCTGAACGAGGCTGAGCGCAACAAGGACCTGGGATGCGACAGGCGGGTTGTCACTTGACTTGTAGAACCGTGGCCCCCGCTTGTTAAATGCTCAATGCTGCCGTAGTTCTGCCTGTGTAACCGATAATTCCGGATATTGGGCTGGCACCGCAGCAGCAGTCGTGTTTACAATGGTCTGTGTCGACTGTCGTGGGGTTGTGCGGAGACACCGCCTTTGCCATTCTGCCGGCTAAATTCTTCACCGACACCACCACCTGCAGCAACTTGCCATTGTAACTGCCATCGTGCCCACCAGACTAGAGCCTGCGAAGAAAATGTCGGTGACTGTAAGTCTGACCTTGCCTTCAAGTTATTCTACTTGATCTATGGCTGACCAAGAAGACAGCTACATACCACCCACGGCGACCTCAAGGTCGAAATTTTTTGCGAAACAGTCCCTCGAACCGCAGAAGTAAGCCACGACCCCGGCTTTCACATTACTTTACTTTACATGCTAACAGAAAACTGGGAATAGAATTTTCTCGCCCTATGTGCATGCGGCGCATACAACAACACCCCCTTCCACCGATTCATGCCCGGCTTCATGATCCAGGGCGGTGACATATCACTCAGCAAAGCGGCGACGTCGTCCGAACACCCCATCCTCCCATTCGACGACATCCCCAAAGGCGGTACTTCAGTATACCATCCATCTGCCCTCAACCAGGAAATTCACACCCCTGCACTTCGTCACAATTCTCGAGGTGTACTTTCAATGGCATCGAGGCCCGTCAAAGACCGCACACTCCCCGGTATGCAAGGCGCCACCGGATCGACTGTGAATGGTAGTCAATTCTTCATAACATTTGGCTCAGCGCCGCATCTAGATGGCGAAAGTACCGTTTTTGGGAAAGTTCTTAATCTGACGGCTCAGGATGAGAACGGTGATGTTTTGGGGAGGCTGGAAAAGGCTCATGCTAAAGTGGACAAGAAAGGCCGCGTGATTCAGCCTAAAGAAGGAGAGGAAATCGACGGCGAGTGGGAGGCCTTAGAATTGAACTCTGTGACGATTCACGCCAACCCATTCGCAAAGTGAACCTTTCTTGCCTAGGTGGAATTTTATAAACTATTCACTCAAGGGAACCCCAAGTCAACGCTCCCCGAGAAACGGCACGCCGCATGCTGCTCCCAATTTCAAATTAGTCTACGAGGAGACGTTGAACCGAGTTTCCATCTGAAACATGGTACAGGCGGCGGGCCGAGCCAAGGAGGCTTGACTTGGTAGTCAATTCGGCCCTATCCCTGGTTGGGCGCATCGTACAGTAGTAATCTTGATTGTATCTACTGGTACATGAGGGCTATTGCAGATAGGACAGCTTTTGTCAAATAATGAGAACTTTATCATTTGTCATTGGTATCTAATATTACTCTTCGCTAGAAGCCCACATGCATCTTTTGCATCTTTTGCCTCTTTTGCCTCTTTTGCCTACAAATCCAGGCATTCACTCGCATCTTCTCAGGAAGCCAAGCTCATTCTTTGCTTTCCTTATCGTTGTCATAGCCCTCGGTCTTCATGTCTTTCAAACCGAGGTCGTCCTCCTCTTCCTCAGTGCGAGTATATTCTTCTACTTTTATCTGAGGATCGGCGTCAGGAAGGTGGAGGTTTTGCACATAGCTGTTGGCGAGAGGATCTTCAAGCGTTACAACAAATTTTAATTCTCCTTTGATGGCCGAGTCGAGCTGATCGAAGAAACGCGTCCACTTCTCCTTATCACCAGAAGACAGGGAATCTCCGGCACCCGAGTCTCCTACATCGAAAATCTGGCCATGAAGTTGATCACGAACTTCCGTCAAAAGACCCTCCACAGTTGTAAATCTTCCACCGAGCGTACCGGGTTGAACGTCGAGCTGGAGCTCTTCACTATGCAATGCACACGTATCTGACTTGAGAATATCACGCGATAAATCCTCAATGGTCTCGACTTTAAGAGTGATTCGCTTTCCCTTCTCCGGGACCGCACCGCCCGTCTTCACTTCGTTTGTCCGATAGCCGCAGTGATCACAAACGGTACTCCAGACGAAAACTTCTTTGAAGTATGGGATGCTGACTTTTTGCATATTCACAACGCAAGATTTCGCACATCCCGGACACTCTGCAGGAAGGGTATATACTTGACCGTCAATGATATCAAGATCATCAGGATCTCCAGCGCTTTGGACCATAATCTGCTCTTCCGCCTTCTGTGCATCTGGGTCTGCTGCAATACCTAGTTCTTCGTTTTGCTCATGCGTCCGGGGATAATCGCGGCGCCTATATTTGTTCCCACTGTCGTGTGTAGTAGGTGCAATGAAGGAGTTGCCTGTGGGGTCGTCCAGTGAAATTGTGAAGGGGAAAGCTTCTCGCTTTAGCATCTGCTCAATCTTCTGGATGATTGGTTGAAGAGAATTGTAGAGCTCCGGGGCTTGTTCTTTTCGCAAAGGTTGTTCGCTTTCAAGTGTCGAATGTATTTTCTGAAGGACTCCCTCCACATTGGTGAGTTGACTTTCGCCTTTGGGCATTTCAATGTCCAGGGTTTCCAGTTTGAAAACAGCAGTATCACTCTTGATGACCTGTCGTTGAAGGTCTTCTTCATTTTCTGCTACCAAAGTGTATTTCGATCCGTATGTCCGAATCTGAGAAGCCGACTTGACAGAGTTGTCTTTGAAATAGCAATGGGGGCATTCGAATGATTCCAATATGATATCAGAGAAGTGAGCTGGAGATGTGAGTAGATTGGCTTCGTAGTGGAGGAGGGGGCAGACATACGTACGCGCAGGAGCAAGAGCCGAGTGGTTCCCTGCCCATGTTAGTTACACATCCACAAAAATGGAAGTGAGCAATGTACATTCTCATGGCAGTTCATGCAAAGGCTTTCAACCTCGACAACGCCATTGTCATCCTCGTTTTCGACAACCTCGCCTAGCTTATGAAACTGCGATTCGCTTTGATCCGTTTGGGTCATGGCATTATCCAACATGCGATCCATTTCCTTCGCATGTTGCTCTGCAGGCGCCGGGGTATTCTCTGCCTGGGACATCGTAAGCGTAAGGTGATTATCCGAGAAAAGACAACCTGAGAGAACTGGGGAGAGTAGAAACTGGGCAGTTTATAATCAAGCCGCAAGAACATTTTTTAAAAAAAGACTAGCAGCGACGGGAACATTCGCTCTGGTTCGCCGCCCGCCTTCAGCGGGGTACAGCAGCCAGCAGCCAACAGCGATAAGCGTAGCCAGAGCTAGACACCCCGCACTTGCCCGAGTTAGGGAAAGCGGCGAGCAAGTGATCGGAAGCCAGCCCCCGATTCTCCGAGGCTTGGCATCAAGGACGAGGACGCTTCTTTTATTGCTGCAGGAAATCCAGGAGATCTAGAGATGATGTCGATGCGCGGGCCGTCTGTGTGCGCGCTTTGGAGGCTAAAACTGCTTGGAGCCCTCCTTGCTTGCGCGCTTTCGCCCTTTTCTTGCTGCTCGCGTTGTCCAAGACGGACTTGGACACATCTGCTTCAAGTGGACTTGGCAAAGACTCCGTAGGAGTAGATAAATCCCGGCCATGCTGGTTGATATTGGATGTTATTTTTGTAGGGGCATTCGTTTGCTCGTGTTGCTTGCGAATCTGAGGCTGTAGGTATCGGGTCATTCTTTTGTTGCAACGAAGACATTGGTAGACAGTCGCGTCTCGGATGGCGTCTTTCGACGCCACCTGACCATTCCTCAGGCTGCGTCTCTGTTTGATTTTCGAAATCTTGGTATGCTCCTTGTCTCGTGGACTGCCACAAGCGCCACACCAAGTTTCATGCTGCCGCGGCTTCAAAGGCTTCAAGTTTTCATAGAGCAAGCCATTGTGCACGCTGATGAGATGAGCTGCCGTGGACACACTTTGTGCACCTAGTAATTTTGCGGAACTCTGCAGGAACTTGAGTCGCAGTGTAGAATCATTTGCAGCGGACATAATAAAATAGCTCTTGCTTGTGGTAGAGAATTTCGCTAGTCAATGGCGGAGCATGAATATGGTTGAGGTAGGCGGGAGGAGAAAGCGCAGAGCCTGAGATAAACCCGGAAGTGACGGTTTGTTCACACCGCACCGTCCATCATCAGACTCGACACCACCAATAGCCAAGACATCCCGCCCGCTTTATTCTCTCTCCCTCCCCTTTTGAAACACTCTGATTTAATTTTACTTCTCTCTCTTTCTATAACTTCAAAGTGGTTTCATGCACTGTCTCTTTCAATTATTGCTGCCGCATTTGACATGTCAGGCTGGCAGGCAAACGTAATATCATTCGACCCATGACAAGACCTTTCTTGGCTATATTGCACCTATCAAACTTACCCTCACTTTTATCAAAAAGCATCATCGTCGTCATCTAAGCCTCGCATCGTTTTCATTAGCCTCGATCTCGGGGTATAACAAAAAAATGTCACGGGACGGTATTAGTGAGCCGGCCGCTCGGGCGAGGATACGGGTCGCTTTAGAAGGCTGCGTAAGTTGAAAGAATCCCATAGCTGAGAATGGATCTATTAACCAAGATAAAGGGCCATGGAAAGCTGCATGATATTTACTCTAAAGTAACCGAAACCGCAGCATCAAAAGGTTGGGATGGCGTCGATCTACTCATAATTGGAGGAGATTTTCAGGTATTTTTTGCCCTGCTGAACACTCGTTCTAAATATACATTAGGACTCTAATCTGACATTTCATAGTCCGTTCGAAATGCGAATGATTTGACTGGCATGTCTGTTCCTGTTAAATACCGGGAAATCGGGGACTTCCATGAGTATTACAGTGGCAAACGCACTGCCCCTTATTTAACTATTTTCATTGGGGGCAATCACGAAGCTAGCAATTACCTCTTCGAACTCTACTACGGTGGTTGGGTTGCCCCCAATATCTACTACTTGGGTGCTGCAAATGTTATTCGCTATGGCCCGCTACGCATTGCTGGTCTTTCAGGTATTTGGAAAGGTTACGACTATCGGAAGCCGCACTACGAGAGACTTCCATATAACAATGATGAAGTTAAAAGTATTTATCATGTTCGAGAACTTGACGTGCGCAAGCTTTTGCAAATCCGAACACAAGTTGATGTGGGCCTTTCTCACGACTGGCCTCGGGATGCTGAAAAGTTTGGTGACTATCAACATTTATTCAGAATTAAACGAGGATTTCGCGAGGACTCAGAATCCGGAAAACTAGGAAATGTAGCTGCCAAACAAATTATGGATAGATTGCGCCCACGCCACTGGTTTTCAGCGCACTTACATGTCAGATATATTGCTACAATCCCGCACGGTGAATATCCCTACCCACACAATGCGGAGTCGACGAAAACAGCCAAAAAAATTACCCATCAGTCGTTTCCTCAAGGGTTCGATGGAGCGACTATCTCCACTCCATCAGAAATGCTAGGCACAGTCAATGATGAAGATCAAGAAATGGGGGGAGTATCACTGGAAGTTGCCGACACTGTTAGCGACCCTCTGTGTCAAATAAAGGGGTTTACTGCAGCAACGAATGAGGCAAATGCCCACTTAGCGTGGAATAACTTTCACGAAGTTGCTGCAAAACAAGAAGCTCTGGATAGAGAGAACTTCCTTCAGAATCAACCTCAGCCTGGAGAGTCATATAAATTGGGCGTGGATTTCACTCAGACCTGGAGAAAGGTTGAATCCAATGGCATTCGAAGGAAAGTCACTGATGTTCATACAACTGATCTTGGCGAAGAGAAAAAGACCGTCAAGAACACCAACGAGATCGATCTAGACTTTGACAGTGACATTGAAGCTCCTGGTATTCAGAAAAAGGAAGCCAGCGAACAGACAATCACCGTCAAAAATTCAGACGAAATTGATCTCGATTCTAACAGCGATTCTGAGGAAGTTAAAAAGTCGAACAATCTGACAAACACAGATACTTCTATGAAGGATTCCGACGAAATCAAACCCGACCACAACGTTGAAACAGCCACAGGAAGTTCCTTTTTGATGGCTCAAACCGCTGCATCTACGAAATTAATGGGCGGCAAGAGAGCTTCCGAATACGTGTCGGAGAACCTTCGTGATGAGTTGCCCGATGCCTTCAAACGTCTACGCCCGGAACCGGCTGTTTATGGCCCGTTGCCCGATGCCATCACCAACAAAACCACCGAGTTTCTGGCTCTAGGAAAGTGTCAAGATGGTTTTGCATGTAGTGAATATCTTGAGCTCATGGAGATAGTCCCAATTTCGGAAGAAAGTAGCGCACAGGCTTCTTATATCCTTGAATACGATAAAGAATGGCTAGCAATCACTCGTGTTTTTGCAGATTCCATTGAGCTTGGAGATCATAGGAGTCAGGTTCCCTCAGACCTTGGCGATGAAGTTTATAAACCGAAGATCCTTGCAGAAGAATCCTGGGTGGAAGAGAACATTGTCAACAAGGGCAAGATGGCAGTACCCAACAACTTTGAGATTACAGCCCCTGTGTACGACCCAGCAGTTTCGATCAACACGAAAGACATGCCACCTGAGTACAACAACCCACAAACAGCGGCGTTCTGCGAGCTCCTTGGCATTGAAAACAAATTCCACTTGACTCCTGAGGAGCAAGTACGACGAGCCGCCCTCGAGCCTCGGCCCTCGTCCAGTTACAACCATGGGCAACGACAGGGGTCGTACCGCCAAGGTCGTCATGTCTCAGGTAGGGGTGGTAGATGGCGTGGCAGTCGTGGCAGGGGATTTTCTCGTTAGCATTGTAACAGCATGTGACAATGATAGCCAATCGCGGATTTCAATACAACACCGTATGTCGTTTAGGTGCTTGTATAACCACCAGGAATCAATGGTAGCTACGCAAATTCGAGACGCGTCTAACCTAAATTAAAAAACATACATGTATCATAGTTTAGCGTCAATGAATTCAATGCTATGCTAGCTTAAGACTACCTACGTAAAATGATGAAATTCGCAGTAACCACAACATACCAATAACGTAACGTGTACTTTTAATGGGAAAAGTATGCATGCGTGCAAGGACCGAATCAATGAAGTCAAGCAACTCTTTGAAACAAATAAAACCAGTTCAGCGGAACAGACTAGAAAGGAACTCAACAATAACCCAGACGCACCCGAATGAAATCTACTGGGTTCGATAGTCCCAGCGATACCAGTTGTCACGAGGATCATTCAAGCACTCCCCAACAGTCACGGCCCGGTAACCAGCATCCTGGACTCGTCGCAAAATGTAAGAGGTCAAGTTGTACACAGTTTGCGCGTGAATGTCGTGTCCAATTGCTAAGAATGGACGGCCGAGGGGGACTTGCGAATTCGACAAGGCGTCGCCTACGGTATCCTTTGATAACTGGATAGCTTCTGGGTTATCATTCTTATAATCGTTTGTGTCAATATTGAAAAATATGACATGGTATCCGAGTTCGGCCAGGTCGTCCAAGCAGTCATCATCACAGTTTGAGTATGGAGGCCTCATGTAGGTGGGAAACCCACCGAGGATGTTGCGGAGCGCAGCTTCATTTTTGACCAGCTGATCTCGGCGTTGAGAGGGTGTGATCGTATTCAAGTCTTGATGAGACCACGTGTGGCTTGCAATTTGATGGCCGCCGTGATGCATGCGCTGTATCAACTTACCCCAAGGACGGCCGAAATCATCAATTTGGCCCTTTCCAGAATTCACACCAGTGATGAAGAAAGTAGCCTTAGCATTGAAGGCTTCAAGGATGTCCAGTAGATCGCTTGTATATTGATTAGGGCCGTCATCGAAGGTCATTGCGAATGTATAAGGAGCTTGGCAGGAATACACCTCTTGGCCGTATGGAACATAGCCAACATGGGGTCGAGGGATATCCTCCGTTGAAAGACCTTGAGGAGTTTTATTTGCATCGCAGCTTCCGTAGTCCAATTGACAGTCTGGAGCCTGACAGTGAGCAGTCGTGTTACCGCAATATCCTACTAGACGTTAATGCCGTGTATGTGCGATCTGCCTTGAGTGAGAGCACTTACCAGCCGGCGAGCAGCAGAGATCCTCATCACAGTAACCTACGTCGGGACCACATCGTTCGCCAAAACGAATCCTAGCAGTAACCAGCTGAACGTTACTGCTCTCTTCGGCAATCTCAGACGCTGGGATTCTCTTGGTACTTGTTTCTCGCTGGAGACTTTCGAGGACAAGACCAGGAGGATGGTGAAGGAGGAATGGCATGGAGAAAACGGCAGCGACAAAGGCCGTCAACAGGGATAAATTGAGACGGAAAGTCATGCTTGCAGAATGGATTGCTACAATGACGATGAGTATACAAGGGTCTAAGCAAGGCAAGGCGATACGTGGTTGATATGTGGGATTAGAAAAGGACGAAGAGAAAGCCCGCGGAGGCGACAGTTTTAATGCTACGGTTGTCCTCGCACAACAAGGAAGGCGCAGCCTAGCTCTACATTCACTGAAACATGGATTTGAGGAAGGAACGACTGCCATGCTCTTCACAAGCAACACAATGCCTCAAACACTTTCCTCGCTCATTCCCTCAAGCCACCCATACCATCGACACCTTCCAACACCACCAAGCCTGGTCTGATACAATCTCCGTCTGATTTTCCATCGCTAACACTTTCCTTCATTAATGAAGCTGCAAAGGTAGTTAGCCAGTCTTGCGGGCAAAGATTAGACAGGGATACTTATAAAAAATTAAATGGCCGTCCCCCCCGAAGAAGGACGGCGGTCCTCCACCACAGCCGTCATGATCTTGTTCTACTTTCTCGCAACACAAAAAGGTTAAAACCAACACAATTTATGGGCGACCTTTTGGTTGCTCGACAGGAAAGCTTCCGGCACAGGGAAGGCAGCCAATTCTTTTTCTGCACCATGATGTTTGATCGTTAACCAACCTTTTCATCGAGACACCAAGCAATGAGTGAATAAAAACAAATGTCAGTCCAGATAAGCCTAAGCTTTGATCCTCACTCGAGAGAGGTCCCATTCCGACAATCAGTTGAGTATTCAGAGAGAGTATGCTAAGACGCTGAATGAGAGCCAATGATTAACTCGAGATCACAAGGTGGAGCCTTCAGAAGCGAAGAAACGAGCCCTCAATCCCAGAAAGCAAACCCCAGCTTCCGAAATATGTTGGCACCAATCAAAAACGAAAGCTTTACAGTCTTGATCATGCAAAGAAAAGTGATTCACAAGAACAGTGGACGACAGCGGTCAGAGGACGAACTTCTCGAAACCCAGAGAACAGCCTCGCAAGGCTAGGTTCTGACAAGAATCACTTATTCAGACTGCTATATGCTCATCATACACCTTACCATGACTATCTATCTTTCAAGCTTCACGTAAATTATCATCAAATATCGGCCTGGATGAGTACGACTCTCGAATTCCAAACCCCGGGTAACGGGAGCTATCACATCTCTTGTGCGTAATACAGTATTCTCGGAGACTAGTCTTTGTTTCCTCTCCTAAATTTTGGAGATTTGGAGGGCATGACAATTGGCGGACAAAAGACATCCAGAAAAACCGCCGAGTGAAAGGGAGATGGAAGGGGATACCTCCAACCCACACCAGTGTCGGCGCCCGTCAATCGATTCCTAGGCTTGACCCAAGAAGAGACGGTTAACGCGGCGGATCGGAATCTTCAAGTAAAGCTCAATCAATGGCTGGTGCCGCGATTGGAGGTCGATAAGCGAGCTAAAATACCCAAGTATATACCGAGAGCCTGGGTTCGAGGAAAGGGGCGGAATTTCCCAATATTCCGGATTACAGAACAGTGCGGAACGATGAAAGTGTATTCAAGGCAAGCAACGACCGGAGCAGACAATAAGCCAAGTGGGGAAAGCTAGAACTTCCTTAAAGATACCTAGACCTCGCTACAAGAATCGTCCTGCAAAAGTTGGAGCTTAAGCAAAGTCGACTCCTGATTCCGACGAGCAGATCCAGTCACTAAAAAAATGGTTCCGGCTGTATGTAGGCATGTATATGTCGTGTTGTGCTCATCGCGACCTCACGAACACCTCAACATCCAGAGGCCACTCCAATAGAGAGATAACCCGACGTGTCCCACCAACCCTCTCCCGGAGTCTCTCAATATGCCCACAAAACCAAACATTCCATTATGATCCAGTCTATGCCCAGCATTGGAAGACCGACACGTGCCCCTTCTGGGGACTTTAAAACGTATGGAAGCAACCTTCTTTGGCTTTTCTGGGTGGCAATTCGAGTTTCTTTGACCCATCCCAGCAGCAGGGTCAGAATCGGCTAGTCGAAAACTCGATAAACAACACCGCGAGACTTTGGAACCGACCAAGTTCTTAGGGTTAAGTTCCAATCTCTACCTACCCTGAATCCGTCCAGGCTCGTACGTCCGGCAACAAGCGTAATAGAGACCAAGCGTTTTTCAAGGGGCATTGAAAGCATGAGATAAAGATCGGGAAACTATGGGGAGAATAATACTGTATAGAGTGCCACGGATGGCAAGAGAGTGGTGGAAGACGAAAGTCGTAAACAAAGCTAATGGCCAAATTACCTGAGATCCATATGCGAGGTGACTTGAAGCCAATAAACGATCAATCCGATAAAGTGTATTCGATTGACTGAGACGAAGCTGTCTGAATAGATCCTCCTAACAGACCTTAGTTTTGCGAGGATTCGTAAGTCAATGAGAGTTGGTCAAGAGAATATAATAGGAGCTGTGGCTGCAGGTTCGGGTGAAATGCTGGCGCGCACGGGTGACGCGTGAGCACGTGACTAACTGATTAATAAGCCGCGCCCCATTTTTGGAATGGGATCTATCCCAAAACGAAGCCTCTGTCAGAATTCGTGAAGTCATGATGTTAGAGGGATAAAAATACGCTGCAACATGCGAAAATATCGAAATGCCAGAGCCCGTACAACTCCAGGAAGTGTTCGATGCTGCAGACAATTTTTTACGTCCTGTTATAGATCGAGGCATGCATTACAAAAATCTCCGTAGAAGCTGATTTAAAGCTGACTTTTCGGAAGATGAAATTCGCAACAATCGTGGAGGCTCTCTTGTTGAGATTTTAAGTCAGAAGCTTCCTACGTCTCCAAAAAATGATGAGACCCAGGCTCGTTTGTCAATCATAGAAAAAGCGCTTCAGTATCTACAGGATATCCATAAGGCATTTGTCTTATCTGCAAACTCCAAGACACTTATTGAAAATTCTTCGGATGATCCTCGGGAAGATGCTAGAAGACGTCGGACTTTGAATACGCTCTTAGACTTGATTTCGATCGAAGGTGTCTATCCTTCACTTTCTACAGGTGTTGGAATACCATTGGAAAAGAGAGTTATTACAAATCTTCCTCCTGGTGTCATTCCTAAACATGTGCCGGAAATCGCAACTGATAAGTCGCAAAATGAAGCTCTTCTACGTCGTATACTGTCAACACTTATCAATATCGTACTGGATGATCGCGATGGAATCCAATCAATTGTTCGAGGACGTGTCCTGAGCGACATCATCAGTGGTGTAGCAGAATTAGCTTTCAACACCTGTGACGTATCCGATCAAGGGACTAACAAATTGCAGCAAGACTTTGACAGAATCATTGCTGAGTATTAATCAGATTTCCAAAGGTTCGACAGCCCTAGGAATGCTAAGCCACCTTACAGGTCGCCTACATCGGCTATACTACCAATATTGTCGAATTTCTTACAGCCAGAAGCTGCTTCCTGGTTCAAATCAATCATATCCGCTCGTATATCACAGATCCCTTTGCGCGAGGATGGTGTTATACATACCATATGGTTTCTTGCCTCGCAATTTGCCCCAACACTTGGAGAAGGCGTCACGGAGCAGTCCTCAGGCGGGCCGCCGATCACCGTTCAAGCAATAATGCAAATATCAAAGCTCCTGTCGTCAGTTCCACAGGGTATGGACCCCACCAGTTACTTCCAGAATCTCGCCCCAAAGCTGCTTACCTTGATCGACTGTGATGATCCCGATCTAAAGCGCACCGCGGCGTATGTGGTTGGGAGCGGGATATTGGGTAAAAGAGCATATGGAGCGCCTGGCACCATAGGACACTCCATTTTCATCGTACCTTTATTTAAAGCGATCACAGCAAAGATAGATGACGATGCTAGAAAATGGTTGAGGTCGTTCAACCCATCAGCTCAGAATGCAGAGCATGGAGACATCGAGCATTCATTAACTGAAGTCTTGGTTGAAGATTCAACCCTCCTTCTAGCTATAGAAAGACTTTGCACGATTACCTTACAGCACCCCAATCCTGGACTTGTGAAAAGGCTAGTTCAGCCTATATTGCTCCCTCTCTGGGGCTTAGCATGCCACGCTCAGGCCCAGAACACAGGGTATGATAAGCCCTGGTCTTTACTTCAGACTTATTTTAGTCTATCAGCGGGCTTGGTACCTTTCCAAAGACTTGCGGACAATTTGCTCTATGACGGGGGTGATGATTGGATATTTCAAAATTCCCTGGGTGGTATTTCGCTGGTAAAACGGACCAAATCAGAATTCAACCTGATCCAGTTAATGGATCAGTTAGACCATCGTGCTGAGAAGTTTACGAAGCTAATGAACATTGATCCCCAAAGTGAAGACCGAACCGGCGATATCTTCCTCTACGTTAGCCAAAAATGGCTTCTTGAACCGCCAGACAACTCTGTTACTCTTCAGATAAACCCAGCGGCAGGGTCAAATATCTATTCACACACTATCATGGCAAAGCTTGTAAGCGCCAAGATTGCAGAAAAGCTACTAGACGAATTCAAGGATAATATATCTAGACATCCGCTGAGAGTGTTAGAACTTGCGCAGCAATTAATACAGAGCGAACTGACAACAGCTAATGATGCAGAACGAAGACGCACCCTGCGTGAAAGTGGAAAAGCATCTCTAGAATCGTTAGCGAACATTGCAAACCCAACCATAGGTGAATCGGTATCCGAAGATGAACAAAAAAGCTCTACAGAAATTTTATCCGCGACATTTAGCTTGCTTTCAACTATCCTGGCTTCTCCCGAGTTCTCTATGTCACGATCAATTCTTCCAACTCTTGAGAGTATCAAGTCGCAGCTGGACCGCCTCCTGCCTAGCCTTCCAAAATTACTTTTGAGCCCAGGGCAAACGGCGTCTATGCTGCTGGAAATTCAAATCAATTCCCCTCATGACACGCAAGTCACAGCATCGACATCTTCGCATGTTACAGACCTTGACACCCATCGACAGGCTCTTCGAAATATGACATCATCGCTCCTCCCCGTACAGGCAGAAGGAATGTCGCTTTTATCAAAACTCATCAAAAAGTCCTCTCCGGTCCTCGACATACCTTCAACCCTAACGCTATTATTATCAATCATTACCGACCAGGGCTCAGAAACGTCTGGGGGTGAAGATTTTATCTACTTGAATGCAATCAAGCTGATGGGTATACTTGCATCCAATCATCCTCGCACAGTCGTGAAATCTCTTGTAGAGCGATATGCAGACAGGAATGAAGAGTGGACGCTAGATCAACGACTCAGAGTCGGCGAGTCATTGATCAGAACGGTAGAAGACCTCGGTGAAGCATTGACTGGTGAGACCGCACAGATTATCGGAGATGGAATGATCAATGTTGCCAGTCGGCGAGGTTACAAACCCAAAACGCATAAGGCGCGGAAGAGACAGATCGAAGAGACGAGACGAGCTGAGGAGAGGAGAGCAAAGGAAAATGAAATTAGATTACCACCTGGATGGACGGTCTCGTCACCAGCGTTGTCCAACCCCGAACCCGAGTCAATTCCCCTTGACGATGAAGACTCCGATGCAGAAACGCCAGAGCAAGCAGCACAGTCGGCCAACCTTCTAGCTGCTTGGGCTGCAGGCTCCCAAACAGACCTAGAGCCTGATGATATCCGGATCCGAGCCTCATCAATATCAATCCTTGCAAGTGCCATTCAGACAAATATAGTCGGGCTAGGCGTTTCCCTTGCAACGTCAGCTGTTGATCTTGCTATGTCTACGCTTACCATTGAGTCTAGTCCTGAGAGCGCTATCCTGCGTCGCGCCAGTGCTGTCCTCTTACTCGATATTATCAAAGCCATAGATTCAGAACGTGAAAGTGGTTCGAAGAGATTAGGTTTTGGCTTCTCACTCACTTTAGAGGACCTAGAAAACACTGGCTCATCTCGCAGCCTGGAAACAATCGGCAGCATTCCTAAAATTTTAAACTCATTATCTATTGTGGAAAGCCGAGAGACGGACAGCATCGTACGGGAACATATACGTGTGTTGGTAGAAAGCCTGGAAGCGTGGATGGAAAAGTCTCTTCTATGGGGCATAAGAGCGCAGTCAACCGGCGAGGATCTCTCAGGCGAACCTAGGCTTCAGCTTGGGGAACACATTGCAGGACTACATCTTGACCCATTGGCTAGACGCGATTCTCAAAATAGACCACGGATCGAAGAAATTGAATGATCGAATGGCCAGTCAGGATTTCTATGTCATAGAATGTCATTTCCAGAGCTAAATTGCACGTGCTTGTGCATTTTGAAAATAAAAAATACGTAACATGTTTATAAACGTTATTCCATCATCATCTCGAGTCCTCGCAATTATGATAATCCCAGAGAAAGAACCACATAAATACCATACATGCAGTGAGAGATAAAGTCGACATCGTGGACCATACATTAGAATAGACCACAGATGCAGTTTCTCATCATTATTTCCTAACGACCTTCAACAACGGTGCAATACGTGCTCGTCGGCTGAGTCCTACCCGGTAAGATACTTTGCCAGTGCTAGGAATCGAGCTGTGTTTCGCCGGTTCCCTGTTTGAATTGTTACTTTCATCATTGTTCTTTCTGGGTGTTGCCTCTTTCTTCACTGCAGTTTCTGGTAAAGGAGTCGGAGAAAGGATTGCATCATTTTCCAGCTTTGAGAGCTCTACAGAAGCGTTGTTATCGGCTTTGATGGCCGCACCTTCTGCTAGAGTGTCGTTTTGTCTCTGTTCATTCTTTGGGGGCAAGTGGGCCGTATTTGAGATGTCTTGAAGAACATCTGGAGACGCAGTGTCCACAACCGGAGGCCCTTCAGCCATTGATTTCCTCTTGCGACCGCGTTTCTTGGGCTCTGAAGCAGGTTTTTCAGGTTTCTTAGCAGGGGACTGGTCATTCTCAATAAAATTCGGCTCGGGAAACTCCTCTTTTGAAGTACGTGTGACTGGAGCGTCATCTAGATTAACAGGGTTGAACGTTGAATTCCCCTGCCAAGTAGTCCCAGTATCATCGATCCATACATCGCAATCGTTCTTCGATTTATTTGTAGTACTCAGTAAATCAGACGCAGTTTTACTACGCTTGATTTTCTTCTTTGCAGCCTTCTCGAACTTAGAGGTAGGTCCCAACACTTCTGTTTCATTGGTCTGGTATGTCGGCATCTCAATCACTATGAGTTCATCTGGGGAGGCTTCGCGGTCTATTTTCTTGGATCTGCCAGGCTTTTTCTTTTTTGCTGTGTCGCACTGATCAAACACATCGTCGGAGGCTTCTTCGGGTTGGCCATCAGCGTCTACCGCAAGTGCTTGCTTCTTGGGCCGTCCTCTTTTCTTCTTCAACGCCACAGTTTCGGTATCCACCTCGAATGCAGGTGGCTGATCGAATGAATTCTGGATTTCGGACGTTTTCAAATTTGCTAACACCGACTCTTGATATACTGAGTTTGGATTGTAAAATAAATCCTCGGATAATGGTACTGTAGGAGGTGGTGTTTCGAATCTTGGCGGCAGGTGATCTTGATAAGTTTGTGTATTATCTTGTTGAGGAATATATAGGGAGGCGCTTGGCGGTATAGTTACTTGGGGTGGGCTATTCGAGTCAAAAGATGCGAGACAGCTGTATGGCGTGCTGGGCTCCGGGTCACCGTTTGAACACTTTGTTAAGGAATCTTGAGTCAGAGATATTTTTCGTCGTTTTGAGGGATGTTCGAAGTCAGTTGCGTTTCCGCCTTCTTCCAGTAATGGTCCATTTGGGCCTCGTCCCGTATCGGCGGTTGAAGGAAGCGTACCAAGTGTAGCATAATCAGCATTCACCCGGTAAACAAAGCTATCATCCTGAAGATGTTCGCGGTGTGTACTATCAACTTGGAAGGCTTTATTTGCGTCAATTGGCGGGACTTTGTGTGGGGGAACTGAATATTAATTGCCTACCACCCGGCCGAGTTGCATTTGCAGTTGATGCCCATCTCTCATCTTCATATTCGCCAGCCATAATCGAGGATTCCGATCTCAAATACCGATCAAAATCAACCTGGGGGAGGTAAGATTCTGGAATGGAGGCCGAAAATGCTCCATCCTGTCTGGCGCTTCGCCCAGGATCACTATTGTTTGGGTGTGCATCTGGTGAATCTTGGGGTGGGTCGATAGAAGTCGCAATGTCGGGGCAGTCATCGCCGCTTTCATCTTCGGAGTCTTGAATGACCCGTTGGGAAGACATCTCTGGAATCCAGCGGGCAATTGTTCTTGCAACGTCTTGCGATGAATCCAAGAAGTAATTAGTGTTTATCACGCGCCGGGATTATCGCGATCAAAATACTCATCACGTGACGATACGGCCAACCAGACTGGAGTATAAAATTGTTAAAAATTAGATTTCCTGATAGTAATATGAAAAATAAGAAACGCATTTATCTGGTAGTAATTAATAATTTAAAATCAACAACTGCAAGTCTATACCCAGCTCTAGACCATGTCGGAATATTTGGCACTAAGCACATTGGGAAAGGATTAGAAACACCCAAAATTACAATGACATATAAAATATGGCTTAACTATAAAAAGGTTGGCATGAAACAACTGCTGCTTAGATAGTGGGGAAAAATAAAGAGAGTTGTGCAAAATTATGAAGCAGGTTTCGAATGTCTCTGTAACCAGAATGCATACATCCCTTAGATTATAACACAGAGGAATTGCAACAGCTCTTGTGCAGAGCGGCATCAGACATGCGGAGAAAATCGGTGTTCCTATATTCATAATGGCAAACAAAGCTGGTCAAAGGGTGTATGCGCAACTGGACTTTAAGGAGGTTGATAGGGTTATCCAGGATAACTCCCAGTATAGCGGCTAAGGTGTGTATGCAACGTATTTTATGGTTTATGTTTCCAAAAAGGCACAACAGTAGAGATAATTTGGAAGTTTTTCGCATCGTAACACATCTCACATCCATTGTACTTATTACAAAGGATATATCACTTGGTTGGACCTACATATATAAAGGCTATGATGGTTGCTAATGTACAAAGGTTTGCAATTTCAGTTTTTAATGCTGCTTGGAGATCAACTGGTATTTCATTATTCAACATTAGCACTATATTTACACACATTCAGGCACCCATTAAATATCCACTCGAGTTAAGTTTCATCTTAGCTACTCACTCTTCTGCGACTGCATAACACCTCTACCGAAAAACTCACTCACCGTTCCAAACCGATCTCTACTACGTTGCAGTTCGTTAAGAAAGAGGTCATGTTGATCCGCGGATTCGACTTGGCGCCGACGAATAGCCTTGACAGTTGCATTTTGTGGCGCACACACGGGACATTCTGCATCTTCACCAGTAAGATTGAGGCAGCGTTGATGGAAGGAGTGTTTGCAGAGGAAGTGGACGGTAGGTAAATCGAGTGTCCTGTTGCAGGATTGGCAGTTACGAGCCTGGAAGACAACTGGCTTTGAGCCGAGTTGTTCGAGCTCATATCTTTTAGCTTCTGTCTCGGTCGTGTAGCTGGAAATGAGACGGCGATTCTATAGTTATTAGTACGATAGCGAGTTAAAGAGGTGGTAGTCGTGCTTACCGTTGAGATTTCTTTTCTTTCTCTTTCGATGTTTGCGCTGAGATACCTCTTGATCATGCCCATAGTTACAACAGCATTGTTACTTAGGGCTTGAATGACTTGTAGTGGTGCCATTAACCTATCATCATCGATTTTCTTAAGAACTGCATCCAGCTCATCACTAGCTTCTGCCAGGATCTTGGGACTAGATGCGAAATATGCGAGCGCATCCACATAAAGCTGGGGTTCCGCTGGTCCGTATTTCCGTAACGCTTTGATCACACCTTGAGTATCTTTCGCCGCAGTGTAGGAACGGAATATATCAGATCGGAGACCTGCTTGCTCCTTGACCAATGTAACTCCTTCGCTGAAGTCCGACAGATTCGACAGAAGCAAAACATTTGAGGTTGATATGGGGATCTTCAAAGTGGTCAGATAGCTTTCATAAAGATTTATGAACCACAAAACTTACATCTTTGCCCTCGATCAGTGTCTTTGCCTTGTTTTCCCAGTCTTGCTTTTCTCCAGCATCTTTCGTCTTCTTTGCATTGTCTAGATACATTTCGAATAGCGTGGTGTAAAGATCGATTTTGTCGGATTCTTTCCATGACTTCTGAGTAATAAGAGCCTCTAAGAAGGTGATAAACTCGGCAGGGTGATCGACAAATGAGGAGAAAGCTGTCCGAGGCTTCGGGATATTGTATACTGGGGTCTCATCGACATCATCGGTCTCGTTTGAAAGCTGGGGTTCGGAAGGCTGAGACTTGGTGTTTGTATTCGTACCCACATAGGGCAGAGGAATCAAGGCGGCTAAATTTCGTACCGTGCTTGATGACTGTGCCTGTGTTTCTATAGGATGAATGACGTCCTTTCTTGGGCGGTACTTCCCAGTGTAAAACGATATGAAAAGTTCGGTTGTTTCTCGCGCACAGTGTCCAAGCAAGACTCGAGCGTATTTCATCAAATTGGGGTAGGCCTATTAATTAGCACTTGTTCACAAGTATCTTAGACAAACATACTACTTCAGCATCTAGGCGAGAGATGAATTCTAGAGCCTCAGCATATTTTTGCGAATCCTCGATGAGTATGTCAACAACCATATCGTTTTCACCATGTTTCGTAGCTAGATACGCTGCCTGTTCATAGTAGCCGCCTTGTCGACACATGGCAATAGCGGTTTCAAGGTCAAATTTTAGCTCTCCTGGAGCTTTGATAAAAGAATCTAGTTTCGACGTGTCTTTCAATTTTGCATAGCAATTGAGTAATAGCGTCGTATGGTCAGCCGTTGCTCTTTCGTGGTCATGGAGTTCTTCCAAATATTCAATAAGATTATGGATTCGCTGAGTATCTAGGAACTATAAGTTGTTAGTTCATTTCAGTGCAACAGATATAAAAAAAACCGTTTACCTTGCGAATGACTTGAGAGGGTTCGGTATTGTCTATTGCTCTCAAATATTGCTGCATGGCTGTATCATAGTCTCCTTTCTGGTACAAATAGTCACCGTATTTGCGAAATATCACGTTCTGCTGAAAAGCATCAACGCCAGCTTTCTGGGCAAGATTGATAGCCAGAATGTAAAGATTTCTTTGATATAGAATCTCAAGTTTTTGCTGTAAGCTTTTCTCATGGTAGCGAGTAATCTGTTACCCAACCTTAGCTAAATTTTAGAGTATGGCATTTGAATACTCACTTTTCCATCTATAGTTATCAAGAAAAGATCTCCCCATATTGCGAAAACGCTTTTCACAGTTGATATTACGGCTTCTGAGTGGGCAATAAAATTCAAATCCGTATCGAGGAGAGTAAATGTTGAGGTGTTGAGAAAATCATCCGCTTGGCCCATACCCCATTTTCTCAAGGATTCTAATTTAGACGTGGTCTTCGGAGGGCATACTAAAGCTACATAGCCCTTGAAAAGACCCAGAGACGTTTTCGGGCTGTCAAAGGCATAACTGGGACCCCGCCCGCGGGGTCCGTAGATATATATCGCATCCTCTCTTGCAACTAGAATGTCGCCTGTTTCTTCGTCAACAGTCATGCAGTCTACGGCACAACCTGCATCTTCAAGTACTCGTGCAGGCTGGCCCTGACCCCGGCCAGCGATAGTGAAAGTGAGAATACGGTTTGTAGTAGCGATATAAAGAGAGGTAGTGGTGTGCCCGCTTTGAATTTCCAAGCCAGTTATCGGCTCCTCCGATTCGAACACAATACGCTGTCGCGTTCCGCGATCGTTTATCAAGTCGCCTCGAATTATAGCAACTGAACCATTCGCAAAGCCTACAGCAATTTGAGATAGATCTTCCAGCGCTGTAAATGTTGATACCTTTATCGTGATTAGGGATTTTACCCACTGATCCGGTTGGGGAAGACTCACTGGGAATGGCCGTCTACCGTTCTGGACAGACAGCGACGAAAGGCAACGGGGTGACCCATTCTTTTTTTCAATCTTATCAAGAGCCCAGACCTTGAGGATCGGCTCGCTAGGCAAGTCTTCTGCGATCGTAACTAAAAGTGATGTGCCTTCAATCTGTTTCATGTGCCGGATTACTCCAGCGTCGTAAGCCTTGAATGACCGAACAACTTTGAAAGCTAGGGAGACAATGTGCACAATCCCATCGTTATTTCCGATGAACAAGTTATCGGAGCCCGTACATATGCACGTAACATCATTCTAGAATTTTCAAAACGTTAATTAATGGTGTGTCATCAGGAAAGTAGAGGGTCAGCTCACGCTCCATGCTGGCGAGCTATCCGCCGGAAGTTGGACTTGTGAAACCTCGAAGAAGTTGAATGCTTTTCCCTGCTAAGCCATCAGACAAGAACCATGAAACCCTAAACGAGTTACAAACTGGAGTGAAAGCCATTTGCCCTGAACAGACGCCATGGGCCGACAGTATTTGATGCGCGCGGGGGGGAGGTCAAGATAACGTGTAGTGAAAGCTCCGAGCGTCTCGGCGACGCCAAAGCCAGAGCAGGTCCGCACTAGAGGCTACGCTACACTATGATTGGACGAAGCTCACAAGTGGGTATTATTGTATCTAGGGTCTAGTTATGTATTATATCTAACCAGCACGAAATTAGGTAGGAAGTAGTAATTATATTCAGATCAAGTATGGTATAAATGTTCTGTGAAATAATCCTGCGCCTTTGGTTTGAGACCCGGTCTTGCAGAAGGAAACAAAAGTATATTAACGAAATAAATCCCGAAAATCTCGATTTCTGAGTAGAGGGTTTCCCCCCCTTCAAAGCTTGCTGAGAAGATTGTAAGCTTTTCTCACTCTGCTGCTTCAATTCCTTCCTTACTTCCAGCTCTGCTGAAGCCAGCTTCCAGCATCTTGGATCACCTGACTGAGATCAAATGGGTCTATAAGCTGTTGACCGTCTTGCTGTTCCGTCGCAGGAGTTGTGACAGATAGAGTCAAAGGAAGAGCTGGGAAAGAGTCGTATTCTAAAGTTTGTGGATGTAATTTCAATGGTGTGCGGGCTGGGTCGGCCGATTGTGACGAGAGTTGAGATACAGCGAAGCTTGCCTTTTTCTTCAAGTTGGAACTTGAAATTTTTGTACTCGAACAAGGTTTTTGATGTTGCCAATTGTCCTCTTTCTTCCATGTACCTGCACTGAAAGGAGTGACAGAAGCGATCATAGCTTGGGTATCAAAATTTTGGGCTAATTCATCTGGTCTTTTCTCGTTAGGAACCTGGAGTTCTAGATCAGATTGAAAGGCATTGACGCGACAAAATGGAGTTATGAGTTTAGCAGGCCAGTTTCCACGATTGCTCGTTTGTGAAAGAGTGATAATTTCTCCCCCTGGAGTAGCAAAATCCTCTTGAAAAGACTTCTGGGCCAGCTGCAAGGCTTCTTGTGTTGATAGTTCTTCACCCTCACCACCTGGATTTATACCAGTTTCCGTAAATACACGAAGTTCAGTCGAATGTAGTGATATGAAATTATCCGGATTCGGTATTGGTCTAGATACAACTTGAGCGGATGGAATCTTCTCGCTTGTTCCAGAGTTGAGTGCTTTAGTTTCTGAAGCCTCCATCGTGCCGCAATTCGCCTGAGCCCCTGTTGAAACTACCCGACTGCTGCTATCATCAAGAATAGGATACGAGGAATGTGGGTTTTTGTCGAGAGATAGTTCTTGGAGATGGTCATCTCTGAATGTTGTCTCACTTTGAACAACAGACCCGTCATGCTCGGCCGGTTCTCTGTTTAATTGATTTTTGGGCAGTCGGTACTTAAATTCTGGAAGGTGCGAGGACGGTGGAACTATGCGAACAGAAGGGCTGCTAGTTGGTATAATTGGTTTGTGAAGGTCGTGCGGCGTTTGTGTAGCACGTAAATATCCGCCGTGTCCAGAATTTTTCAATGCTTGGCTTTCTCCATTTTGGATATTCGAAGCACCACGGGTACGGCTTCCTTTCGACAGAGGGCCTTGGTGTGTCTGGCCTGCAGATATAAAGCGATGGTCTATAGATGAAGGCGCGTTTCGAATGCCATTTGAGGCTGATTCCAACTGCTGCACCCTAGGGGCATTTCTTTGGCCTGAATTTGTCCGCCCAATAAGCTCAACTTCACCCTTCCCATCCGGAACTTTTAGTCGCTTTTTGTTACCAGTTACTCGTACATCAGAGTATCGACTGGATGGAGAGGTCGGAGGATCGTAATGTTGAATATCAGCAGTCCTCATTTTTTTCTTCAACCAGGCATCGCGAGCCAAGGCTGCGGCGGATGATGGCTCTTTCAAACGTGACGTTGGAGACTCTACAACTGACGGTGATCGTTGTTGTTGTCCGTGAAACGCTGGTGTTGAGGGAACAGAGTTTCCCCGATAATGCCGGTCGCTCACTTTGCCTGTATTGATTGATGCAGTGTTTGTTGCCTCGTTCCTCCTATCACGATCTCGCCTTCTTGTACTGACAACCTCATTTGAGAGCTGTCTCCGATTCTTTTTCCAAGGGTTTATCCAGCCACTGTCGAAAGGTCCCCGAAGTGAGGCGGAGGCGATGAAAAGTGGTTTCCCCTGCAGGTACGAGTTGCCTAGGGTTTCGATCCTCCTCCGTTTTGCAGCTCTGGCCCGCTCGTCCAGTTCGTCATCCGAACCCAAAGGCATATCCGATTCGTAAGTATCTACGGGAAGTTCCTCCAAGGTGATTGGAGTCGTCTGTCGGCGAACGGGCATGAGGGGCAAGGAACTGCACCGGTGGTAGGGAAAGTCGTCGTTTGTGTTGCTGCAGGAGGCTCTCTCCTAGGAGCAACAGTAACAGCAGATAGCCGTCTCGCCATGTGCATGTTTCGAAATCAAAGAGAGAAGAGGTTAGCAGCGGTTGACGAAAGATGTGAAGTGTTCACGACGCATAATTCCCAAGTCTCGATAGCAGGAAGGCTAGGCCGCAGCTGCTCCTGATCACTGGACCACGTTGCGGGCCTAAGGGAGGCTCCGTGGCAACGCCGCGCTGTATTGTAATTGACAGGCCTCTGTTAGCGCCGCGAGCGACACCGATTGACACTTCTGGCCCGTCACTATTACCATTGCATTGATATTGATAATTCCATCCGCAGCGAGTCCGCGTAGTCGCAGCGAAAGAGAATCCGATGCCAGTTTGTCTCCTTGTTTGGCATGTTTGGCTGCTTCCAAACATGACGGAACCTTGTTTCTCCGTCTGTGGGGCTCGGCGTGCACTGAGTGGCTGGCGGCTAGAAGGGCACGATGCCCGATCAGGTAAGTTGTTGTGGCTCGCGGCCCGCCTGCAAAATACAGCGCCCTGACTCGCCCTCGCCGTGGTGCCAGGCGGTGAAAGCCCCGGGCCATAATGACATGGTCCGCCTCATCTATGTTGCATACAACCTGTATTAGATCAGAGGTTTTGGTTATCTTGCACAATCCTTACCCATGCCAGTATGTGGTAGCTATTCCAGTTTATCCTCTATTTTGCAGCTTTTATGACTAGCGAATCTCAGCATGTCCCATATCTGACAGCAATTGTGTTCCATGGACCAATACACCTTAGTTGTCGGGTAATCTGACGATCAAAACAATCAACACAAAACCCACAGCCATGTCCAAAGAACCTTGGCTGGCCGAACTCCCAGATGAGGACTGGGTCTCACAGCCGCCATCACCGTGCCCGCTACCTCACTCCCCGTCTCTTCCATCTAGCCCAAGTCAACAGTCTGCGCGCAAGTGTTTCAGTTGCTCGCACCGAAGCCGCATTCCTAAGCCGCCAGAGCCAGCGTCTCCGCACGCCAGAGGGAAAAGCACACCACGGGGTGGTAGACAAGGACAGACCAGACGTGGTGGCAGTACAACACCGTCTAGTGCGCGCGCATCGTCTTCTCCTCGACAATCTTCATCGACCCGGTCACCACGAGTGCAAAATAATGCCCAACCCAAGCCTTCACCCAAAACACGCCCGAAACCAATGACGCCCGGTCGAAAGAAACCAACTTCCACACCTCTGAAAAATGTCGTGTCAACAAGACCAAGCACTATGGATTCGATGCGCACCGACGGCCAGGGAACTATTCAAGTTCGGCCCACCCAAGAGGTGTCGAAGGAAACACCAGAATGGAAAAAGCGACTTGTCCGGGGAGAAGTGCCTTCTGATGAACAATGCGATCTTTTTGCGCCATTGGGTCTCGAGAATATATTCAAAGATCCTACGACGGACGGTGAACCCGAAGGGCAATCGCCTTCTATGATTTTCGGTAGCCAGAGGAACCGCACGGAGATAAACAAACGCCCGAATACCCAACAAAAGAAAGCACCCAACCAGCCTGAAAGCTCCAGCATTCGAGTGCAAGAAAGAGGCAGGGAAATGGGCACTGTATTCTCAAAACACTTCAAACTCGGTCCCGACGGTGTGTCAGAGGCTGACGACCGTTTACGAACCGCCAGCGGGGAGGAGGACCTGCGCAACGAAGGCATAACACCCATATTCCTGTCGAACAACAACACGGCTGATCGCCAAACCGGCTCGGATGTCTTGCAATCAGCCCTCAAACAGCTGAATGACCTTGCAGGCTCTAGGAAAACGAGCAGAATCGGCAGTCTCAAGGAGCAGAAGGGCAACAACGAAGCCTATGCTGCCCAGTTCGGCGATCTTCTCAATGTCAGCAGCCCGTATTTCCCAGAAGATTTATCCACGGGGACGCAGGAAGCAGTGTCGACGCAGCCTTTTGTGAACATTCGTCGCGGCGGGTACTCGGAGGACGGCTCTTTCCGTGTGCGACAACTCAGCCCGTCGTCCTTCCCATCCCAGTTGCAGTCTTCCATCATTGAAAACTCCGAATTTCGCAGCTCGCCGCCAGTCCACAATGCAGCAGTCACATCACTTGATGGTGCGCAAATACCTGAGGTGACGTTCTCGCCAACTGGCAGCCCGCCAGGCGAGAGGCCTTTAACTGCCAACATGAATAGCCCCTTGAAATTATTTGGCAACCATGATACTTTTACCAACAACAAACTGCTACGTCGCATGAGCCAGTTTGAGGAAACGTTTGGAGATGTCTCCTCTGATGAAGACGAACCAGTAGTTTCACCAACATTAGGTACGAGGAGGACGCGCGCAAATCGCAGCCTACCGAACTTGAGACGAGGACAGCTTGATGGCCAATCACCAAGAAAGCTAACTCGGCCTGTTACTCAAGATGCTGCGGATCCTCGCATGAACCGATTCGGCAATGGACAATTGGATGATTTTGGCTTCGCCAGTGAGAGCACAAACAAAGGTGGAATCCCAAATATATCCTTCAAAAGTAGGCACCCTCGAGGAAATCAACTAGGTCGGAGGTCGCACTCACGGGTACTGGGAAAAGACAATTTACGAAAAGCAAAGAGCTTTGACTCCATTTCAGAACGTCGTCGATCTTCTAGCTTTGGGCACCAGGCTACTTGGCGCACCCGTCAAGGTGGTATGGACTCCAAGCAGATGACCAGATCCCCTGCTAAAGGTTCTACTCCGAAGCGACGACGAACAAAAGCGAAAACCCAGGGCCAAAATGAGGCCGATAAGATAATTGAGTCGCTGTTGGAGATGAAACTGGATGACAAGGGGCTGAAGCCTAACCCATATAGGGATACCTCTAGCTCTTTTGCATTCAAACAGCCACAAACGAACTGGGATTCTATGCCATTGAACCCTCCCTACAACGATGACGATTCCAAGGAGGATGTGCTTACTCTTGATGATCACAAACGCTCTCTGACGACTGACGATTACATCAGTCAGGCGACGCAGGTAATGGATATGATCCGCGCCAAGGGCAAGTATAAAAGCGGCTTAACTAGCGTGGAAGAGTCGGATATTACTGGAGAAAGTGACGAAGACGGAACTTTGACTGAAATATCTAGCCCAGAAAATCTCTCTCGCCCTCCAAGCCGCGATGGCGTGGATATGCGAAAATTGAGAGAGCCATGTCAACTAAATCCACGAGTTGTCAGCCATCTCAAAAAGTTTGCCGATAAGGAGGATACAGAGCAACTCATGGCCTCGGTTGTCTCACACCTGGATCAAGAACCACGGTTGGCTTCCAGTGGCCAATTTGATGATGATTCTTTTGATGATATCATCGAGAGCAGTTTTCAGAATGCCCGTATCTTGCCTCAGCGAAAACGTAAGCTTTCTGATGATGATCAACCCGAGAATTCAATACCAACAAATTCCTCTACTGGCTCCAACGCTAGAGGTAACATTGCTTCTGGCATGGTTTCACATTTGATTCCGGAGCAGGTTAATGGGATGACTTACGATCATTCAACGAAATCCTGGGTCAAACAGAAAATTGGAACGGCAATGACAAGAGCGAGGGCGGACGAAAGCGAGGATGATCCATTCGCAAGCATTCCAGATCTAAGTGTTGATGAAGTGGAGGAGATTAAAAGATCACAGCAGCAATATTTCCATACGACGAAGAATGAACATCCAACCGACCAACCTACAAAAGCAAATATTGATGCATCCAAGATTTCCTTAGCCGCACAACGACCAATAACTCGCGATGGGCCTACTTTCATTCCTGATTCGAGCTCTGTACAATCTAAAAACACCCGTTTTACATCCAGCGGTCCCCAACCGGAGACTCGCGCTACCTCATGGGGAACCGAAGACTTGACAGTTAATGCCTTCCAAAACTCAAGCCCAGTTTCAAAAGACACGACGCTACACGAAGGCCGTACAATCGCACACCCACGCCGATCCAAGGTGTCTGGCCAAACAAGGGCGGCCACAATTAGTTTTTCGTCTCCTCTCGTGTCACATATCGTATACACAGATGATGTGAATGAAGGACAAGCGGAAGAGAATAGTCATAAATATCATAATGACTCAATTATCGGCCCTTCCGGCGGTATTTCTGTGGATAGTCGGCCATTTATACGTCGCCCTGTTTCTCGAATAGATGAGCAAAACGAAGAATCTATTGGAGAAATGAGTTTGGTTCGGAGAGACTCGTCGACTCCACAAACACATCAGATAGCGAATTCTACGATATATCCACCATCTGCGGGCAGCGGCAACTACAGTTTTCATCTGAGCCCCCTCGCCGATTTTACTGTAAACCAGCCCGACGATCCTGTGAATCTCGAGTTGAGCTACATTGCCCAGCGGACCAAGCCTTCTTCATTGCGTGAAGTCCATGGGACTTTGGCCCTAGCTGCTGAGGATCTCGTGAAACATATCACTGACGTAGAGCCAACGGAGCCATTTTGGGAAGATCTGCGTCGATTGAATCTTAGGAACAAGGGACTGATGACCCTTCACCGTCTGAATGAATTCTGCCCTCACCTAGAAGAGCTTGATGTTTCTGAAAACGAACTTGGGCATCTCAGCGGCGCGCCATTTACACTTCGTAGCCTGCGAGTGCAACAGAATTATCTCACAAATCTAACTGCATGGGGTCATCTCGTGAACCTTCAGTATTTGGACATTTCTGGAAATCAACTCCAGTCATTGGACGGCTTTTCAGGTTTGGTTCACCTGCGCGAGCTAAGGGCAAACAATAACAGAATTCGCACCATTGATGGCATTCTCGACTTAAATGGTCTGTTACGCCTGGAACTCAAGAACAACGCCCTAATATCTGTTGATTTTGGGGGCTCAGAGCTGTAAGTTTTTTTACCATCTTTGTTGGTTCGTAAATGCTAACAACCCTTCCTCAGATCTCGATTGGGTGAAATTGACCTGAGCAATAATCAGATAAGCGTGGTTCGGAATCTTGAATATCTCCCCGCTTTGGAAACTCTCAACATCAGCGCAAACGAGATCAAACAACTTCAACCCATCGTGCCGCTACAGGCTCTTCAGAGGCTTCGGGCGTCGAGTAATCGTTTCTATTCATTCGATGCAAGCTTATTCCCACACCTGAAGTTGCTTTATCTTGATGCCAACTGTCTTTCTACTGTTTCTGGGCTATCTAAATGTAACAATCTGGAGGTATTATCTGTACGAGAACAGTTTTCCGGCCAACCTCAGAAATCAGAGTCGCCTTTCGATATTGATATTAGTCCCTTGGCCGATATTCGCAAGCTCTTCCTTTCGTCGAATCGATTGTCGGAACGAACACTCGCACCATCTACTCCTATGCTGGGCTTACAGTTGCTTGATATCGCGTCATGCGGTCTCCAGGATATTCCTCCTCGGTTTGGCAAACGCTTTCCTAATCTCCGAGTTCTTAATTTGAACTTCAATTCAGTGAAAGAGCTTGGCGAAATTGCTGGTATGAATGGACTGAGCCGCTTAACGGCTGTTGGCAACCGTATCAGCAGGCTGCGTATGATTTGTCAGGTTATTAGCAAGGTTGGCCAACCTGCACAATATGGCGGCAATACCCTCAAGAATATCGACCTCCGAGGCAACCCACTTACCGTTGGTTTCTATCCTCCTGCTATCTCAGGGAGCGGACGAGCGGATACACACATCAAACTCTTGCAAATACGGCGTAAAGAGGCGGCGGTAAGCAGGAAACGTATTGAGTCTGAAATCGGCCCACTCACTACCATTGGTGGTGGAAGTGACATGGAAGTTCTCGATACGAAGGACAATGGAAACGGAAGTGACATGCATACGAACGTAGAGATTGATGACCCGTACACCCTCCCCCCAGCCGACGCGGAAGCTGATCAGAAATACCGGTCTCGGTTAGACGAATCAACAAAGGTGCGACGGATGACCATGGAACTGTTGATGTATGCGGGCACAAGGGGTTCGATCAAAGTGCTAGATGGACTCGATCTGAGGCCGATTCTGGAAGGGGAGAAGCGCGAAATCGATCGCATTTGGGGCAAGCTGGAAGCACTGGGGGTGTTCAAAAGAAATTGACAGGCATATTCACCATGGCAATGGAGTTAGGGTTTTGGTTGATTCATTTAGATATTGGTAGTTGCACCATATCACTTGGCGCCTGGTTCGCGGAACATGAAGTGCTTTTGGCACATGTATTGATAGTCTACATTATATTCTATGCTTCAATGGCTATTCTTCACGTTTGATTTCTCACATTATTCGGCGGGATATCTTCCGCGCACTCGCTGACAGATCCAGAGCAGATAAATCGCGCAATTGATATTAAATATTAATATTAATTAATATTCATAGAACAATTCATCGTTCACATGCGACAGCGGGGGTCGTGAGAACTGTTGTTGAGTCGTACATTCCAGCCTCTCAACAAGTTAACCCTGGAATGCGTATCTCTGAAGGATGAGTCGTGTTGCTAAGGGCTAGCTACATATCAATGTATGCATTTCTGTTCCAGCGAGTCGCGCACGTTGCCGGATGATTGGCAGAAACAGGCTGCATTTTAACCCGATGCGGCAGGGATGTAATCCACGCAGCGCCAATCAGAAGTAATCATGCATATAATGTATGCAATATAATACTTATTCAGCAGTCACCCATTGAAGCCGTAGTGATTCTCAGATATCGGCCATACAATTCAGTTCACGAGTGTGGTCTCAATGCAGACTGACGAGATAGCTAAACTATTATATTCTTTCGGCGACTAACATTGAACAATATCCATCCATTGACGGGTCGGTCCAATAACAATGAGTCGTGGTCCACGCCTAACAGCAATAGAGTGCGTAGATCTGCCCACCGCCTTTTCCAGGGCAGCGGTGCCGCCAATCAGCATCGCACAGCCGGCCGGACTAAGCCTACTGAAGCATAGCTACCGACGACCTTTGAGGCAGATTCCAGCCAATGGCACGCCGCGACGCCGCCACAGTCCAATTTCTTATCTCTCATTCTGTATTAATACTGTGTGCTGTATCATGATTTCTTGCAATTCCAAGTTTTGCCGTGGCTAAGAGAGAGAAGACAGCAGTCGCCCTTGCTTCGTACTAGCCAGCCGTTACGTAATAATGGACATTTCTGGTGCCAAGCCTGTCTTCACATAGGCTCGGCAGAGGTTCCGCGAGGCAGTGACGGCCACTCGCGTCATCGCTTGGATTCCTCCCTCTGCAACACCAAGCAAGATAGCAGCGAGGCCATTCAGAGCGCAATTGGACGTATCAATCAGGTCGCTCTGGTAACAGCTTGTCGTGTGATGCCACTATTATCTACGCACAACATTTAATCCTCGAGCCAGGCGCATCATATGCCCATGCCAAGCAAGCCATCCTTGTCGTTCATTCCACGCAAATTTGCTAATTTCTTAATTAACTAGTCCGTCTTGCACGGCGCCTGTGAACAGTCGATCGCCCACACGTGCCGTGGATCCTAGGCGGCATCGCACTGTCAGCTGTAGTTACTAACAATAACGATTACTCCGTCTTACCAAACTTACATTGCAGGACGTACGTACGGACCTTTAACTTGTAACTATAATATCCTCATAATTCTGCAGTGTTGTGTTCCCGCTGCGGCCTTTGATTGGCCACGCTCCTTCCCGCATTTGGCGTCAACCCGTCTCGCCGCTCTTCCCTCCCCCCAAAATATCCAATCTCGCCTTCTCTCCCTTCTCTCACCCATAATCCCTCGACCAAAAAAAAGCCCCAACGCACGCTTTTCCCTCCTCTGCGCCCGCACCCCCAACGCACATCCATTTCGCGCCCCTCCGAGGCGATCTGACCAATGTCCCCCCCATGTCCAGGCCTGGTTCCGCGACAGGTCATGCCCCGCCTGGATCGCTGGTGACGCCTGCTGCGTTCAATTCTCACCATGATTGTCCCGTCGGGGACCTCCAGTCGCAGGGCTCCAGCCTTGCTGAGCTTGTCCATTCCCAGTCCGAGCTGGAGCACGAGCGTCACCAGCAGTTCCTATGGGATAACTCCAGTGCCGACCACACGGCCACCGGTGCCCCAAGTCGCCGCACTGCCAGGGCTGCTGCACCTCCTATTACTAGTACGCCAGCCAACCCATCCCTAAAGAGAGCCAGCACTACTCCTTCTGAGCGCTGGCGACCTTCTCCCGCCTCGTCGAATGTCGGTGCAACTCACGCTTTCCGCTCGCAAACTCCCCAACTCTCCGAGCGGGACAGTATCTTCGCAACACACTATCTACCTTCTGATAACAACGATGTTTCCGCTGCCTCCACCCCACCATTACTTCCTGTGCGAGAGAGCTACCTGTCTGACAAGAAGATCCCCCTGAAGTCGACCCTCGGGGGTGCTCCTCGCCCTTCGGCTGGGTCCGCCGTCTCTTCTACTATACGTGCTTTCGCCCAAGAGAATAGCCCTACCCCCCCCTCCAATTTGGCCTCGCATTCGTCAACCTTGCGCCACCCATCAGATCTTGTTCTCCAGACCCCTTCTACTCCGCTGGCTGGCTCCCATGTCGGCTGGGTGAAGCAGCAGGAGACAGTGGAGAGCTCCAAGGTTGCGGGAACCCACCGCATTGCTATCCGGGAGACATTTCACCCATTGAGAAAGATTGTGTCCGAAGGCAAAGACAACGACTCCTCTCTTTCGAACGACCCCGAGGGTCCTTTACTCCCTTCAACCTCCTCTACGCCCCTCCCGCGCCTTCAGAACATCCCGATGGTGGATTCATCTAATGTTGACCATGAAAGAGCATTTCCCGACTCTTGGCATACCACACGGCACTTGGACCATGGAGATGGAAAGATAGACGTGACGTGGAATACTAAATTTAGTCGCAGTTCAAGTCGCGGGCGCACCACACGAGTAGAAGAATCAATTGAAGCCAATTTGACCAATGCCGAGCCCGCTGCCCATGTCCGAAGCCGCAAGTCGAGCCACTATCTCGGCTTATTCAAGGAAAACACCTCGCCGGATCGTAAGAGGCGTGAAGACCGAGAGCGACATTTGGAGGACGTCGAAGAACAAACTCGAATGGAAGAAGACCAGGAAAGTCCACTGACACCCCGCCCAGCTCATGCCACCCTCCACAAACTTGCCCCGGTCCAGCCTACAGAAGCAGAGTCCCCCGAGACTGAAGCTGCTCAAAGTCCAACCGACGTAGAAAGGATTGTCGATATCAATGCCGACCTCTCGCCACACCCTCTTCGAACCCTGCCACGAAATCTAGCGGAGGAAATCCGTAATTTTCACTTGACAACCGGCGGTGACCGCGGGGGTTCTTTCTCGCCCAGTGTACCAACCCGTTATACGGAAATAGTTCGGAACGAGTCCCAGGGTTCTAACGAAAGTCACTCTGTCGCTTACTTTGACGATAGTACCCCACCTCGTCAAAATCTCCATCCGGAACTTGGAATTGAAGAAGATGATGATGAACACATTTCGTCTGCATTGTATTTCCCCCATGAGTCTGCCCCCTCAGGACCGGAAGCTTCATTTACAAAGTACCGTCGTGACAGCGAAGGATATACTTTGACCAAGCAAGCGGGTTTAGATGCTGCGGAAGATGAGTCTTTGAATCATGTTGACATATCCTTACGCTCTCAGAAAGAAAGCAGTATTTTACACGGAGACTACCAGCCTCTTAGTGATGCTGAAGACAAAGCTTTGGCGACTATTTCAGAATATAGCCATGAATCTACTTCGGAGTCCGAAGCTGAAAGCACCTTATCCACTCAAGATGAGTTATCGAGCTTGACAGATGACGCAGATCATATGGCGGCAACGCCAACCCAAACGCAACGTCCCCTGCGACACCGTCGCAAGCACACGAAGACCGGCCTCATTGGTGCAGTAGAACTTAAACCATATCGTCACCAAGTGGGCGGGCACACCACAGTGTTCCGGTTTTCACGACGTGCCGTGTGCAAACAACTTAATAACCGCGAGAACGAATTCTACGAGCGTATAGAAAGACGCCATCCTGAGATGCTCATGTTTCTACCAAGGTCTATTTTCCTTTCTTATATGTGACGGTTTGCGACTGACATGATTTAGGTACATCGGAGTGCTAAATGTCACCTTTTCGAAAAAGCCGAAACATTCAAAAAAACGTAGCAATACCAATATGGAAAAGACCAGAGCGTCTTTGCCGGAACAAAGGCACTTTTCCGACACAAACGTCAAGGAGGCAATACCTCATGCTCCGAAAAGCCCGGAACAGCCTAGGATATTCAGTCAGCAACAAGTAACCGGTGTGATTCCCAAAGTCATTTTGGAAAACAACAGGCATATCATACCCTCGGATTTGTTCATGCCTCGATCGCGAAGTGCCGAAGATAATAAACCTTTGGGCCCAACTCTAACTGAAAGTCAATCAAAGTCTGGAGATAACACACCAAGGAGCAGTCTGTCGGATGATCTGCGCCGACAAGCACTTTCTCAAATAGGGCAGCCTAAAATCTGGGGTGCGACTACAGTAAATAGGAAATTACAAGAGCAAGTTCTTCGTGAAGTCTTCAGCCCGCCTCCAATTCATCATAACCGGCGCCATGCGCGCAACCATCCCAGCTTGCCGCGGTATCGTTCCGATACGGGACATTCTCGTGGAGATGTTGCAGACAATGCATCATCTAGCAGCAAAAGCACGAATGAGCCGAGATCGCCACCTAAAAGCCGCGCAATTGATATTGTGAAGGGCACTGCTGAGGACAACCAACTCTCAACTTCAGCTTCTAGTGCCTTGGAGAGGCATTCCAATCCCCTGGAGAGAAGTAGGACATCCGAAACGCCACCTCGTTCAAGTTCGTTAAACCGTGATCGAACGGTCCGTCGGCGTCATTCTGGTAGCGGCTTACAGAGGCGCCGCAGTATTACAAGTGGTGATAGAGGCGACCTTATGTTTTTTGAAGACGAAGGTTATGGAGGAGATCACGAGGACGGAATTTTTCCTATGGAAGGCGATAGAACGCTCGACCCGTCGCTGTCACCAGCTCATACAAGACCAAATGGAAGCGCACCAAGCACTAACGGGGCTTCCAATCTACCACCCGCGAAACTCGGCTCTCCTTTACAATTTCCGGCTCTTTCTACAGAACCTGATGTCGAGTCAATTCACGTCCCGATTAATCCAAAAGAGGCGCAGACAAGGCAAGATGAACGCGTTCAGTTTTTTATTCTACTGGAGGATCTGACGGCTGGCATGAATAAGCCATGCGTCCTCGATTTAAAGATGGGAACTCGTCAGTATGGATTATATGCGGACGAGAAAAAGCGAAAGTCCCAACGGCGCAAGTGTCAGACAACTACATCGCAACAGCTGGGAGTACGGCTATGTGGCATGCAGACCTGGAATATCAGGAAGGAAGAGTATCTTTTTGAAGACAAATACTATGGTCGAGACCTATCTTCAGGCCGTGAATTCCAAGATGCTCTGACGCGATTTCTCTATGATGGTGTCAGTTATAGAAGCGTTGTGAAGAAGATTCCTAGTATTCTGGGTCAATTGAGCACGCTTGAAAATATGATCAGGAATCTTAAAAGCTATCGCTTCTACGCCAGTAGCCTTCTAATTCTCTACGATGGTGATCCTTCTCCTGCGAAACAGAAGAAGGGGGCAGCTGATATAAAAGGTTCACAGGCTCCTGGGCGGCCTCCTATTGACCGAAGAACTTCTGATGATTGGCAAAGTGGCGAGGTGAAGCTTAAGATTGTTGATTTCGCAAACTGTGTCACTGGAGAGGACGAACTTCCCTCAGATGTGTCTTGTCCGCCTTATCATCCCGGCGATATTGACCGAGGTTATCTACGTGGACTCCGCACACTCCGTATGTATTTCCAGAGGATACTGAAAGAAGTTGGCCAAGAAGAAGTTGTAGAGCGAGGCGAGACTGAAGCTTCGGCTCTTGCACATCGCAACTCGACTAGAACGAGTTCTACTGACGCATTTTGGGTCGAAGACGTGGTCGAAAGCGATCCGGGTGAAGTTAGTTTTTGAAGTTTATCATTGTGATACCCGATACGTGTCTCTGTACTCGGAGCAGACCCCGGCTACAAGGATATTCGAGATCCACCTTGACGAATGTTGGGCGCGGAGGGGTTTCTTTTCTTTCTTTCTTTCTTTCTTCTTTCGTCATTTTAATCATTATGCACCGTTCATACCTTTCGTCCTTGTTTTATTGCATTCGGCCGTTTTCTATGGACTTAATGGCGTTCTACGAAGCATTAGAGGGATGTACTCATGGCTCATGATGTTTCTTTCTTCCTTACCTTCTTCTCCCTGTTTATATATGGACCCATTTTCCACTTTAATTTATGAAGAAAACCAATTTTTCTTCTGGCGGCGGTACCTCGGTCTTATTCAGCGATTCTTCGACGTGTTTTTATCTCTATACATATTTATTTAGGGAGGGACAGTTCCTCGGATGTTAGGAGTCGAATATGTATCGTCTGGCGTTGGGTTAGACTCTGTATATAATATTGAAATGGGTGCGTTTCAATATATTCATATCAAATTCTATGATGTTGTTGTCTGCCTAGATGCTTCAAGTTATACCAGGTGCCATGTAACCAAATTGAGGTTGAAGTCACGTGGCATTTTAACTGTTTCCCTGGCGAATATTATACTCGGAAAATGCCTAGGTTATTATTCTAACGACGATAGATCTTGGATCGAGAGCCTACCTACTACAACTAACAAAGTGCACAATCAATCAACTAAAAACTGTGCCACCTTACGACGTTTAAGCTTTGCAGCGGCTACCCATATCCCGGCTCCTTTGACGCTCGATGAATTTAGTAATTCGTACCGTCCGAGTTTTGGATAGAGGTCTCCAAATTGCTCTAAGTTGATGATTGAGTTTACAAAAACTTACAATGCTGGACACCATTACAGACCACCACGACCATATCAGAAATATTGGATTCAATCCTACAACTAGCGATATAACATGGAATTGTAATAGGTCCTTATCTAAGGACTTGACTCGAATTGCTTATGAAATACAAGGAGGGTTATTATGCTGCAAATCAGTACCTAGCAAAATCCATGTAAGGTAATTATTTATTCATTTCTAATAAAACTAATAAAGAATACTTAAAAGTGGTTTCTGAGAAATCCATATCCCCTGAATCATAATGCTCATTTTTCACCATCGAAGTCATTCCAGGGACCGTCAGAGTATAGACAATCAGTATAACCAGTGCCAAGATGTAGTAAGAATACAAAAATATTCATCTAGTATCCGGAGTTAATTGAGCAATCCGTAGCACCGTGGGACACAATACGATGACTTTACTGTTTCATTAATTTGATAGCATCCAAGGCCATTAAGACCTGCGACTAGATTCTTTCCATTCGTCATTACTTTGTTTTATGAACTCGCACCATATGTATTTCTATTAGGGTGAGGGATAGCTAGAGCTATAGTATATAGTCATGATCTTCTATGTCATCATTTTCTGCACTGTTAAAAGAAATAGAAGGCGGATTTGATAATATCAACTATATGCATCTACAACATATTTATGTATACATCACTCATTTCACATCAACATCTTCCTGCAAATGCACCGGATTATACTCATTCGGAAACGATACAACCATCTTCTCAATATATCTCTGCATCGGATCCTTACCATCTGCATCAGTCATCATAATAGGAGTGGACAAGAAAGCACCATGAATGCTCGCAGGATTGTCATGATCTAAGGGCTTTCACCATAATGTAACCATTCCGGCTATAGATAAATGTTCTTTGTATACCTTTGGCTATATATTAGAGCCCTAAGTCCCTCTCATGTGCCTAAAGGATCATCTTCCCTAAATATTCAGAATGCACACATACCTTATATCATTACAGTTTAGGCACCATTATTTTATTGTTGTCATATTACACATTCTCAGGCGATGTGACTGTTAATAGTGTAGCCATTCATTCTAGTCGTGAATTAAGCCTTATTCTTGTAGTTATATTATATACAGCAACTGTTAAGGCACATTACCCAAGTCTGAGGGTATTTCTTTTCCTTGACTGTTACTACGAGCCTACAATTGGATCCACATTGGCCTGACTTGATGCTACGTAACTGATCAAAGACTGTCAGTTACGTTTGAGCACAATGAGAGAAAAATATTAACCAACTTAAACGTTTTGCTTCTCGATAGAATAATCCTTGATGCTTTATATCTTATCGATAAGGGACTGTAGATAAGATAAGCGGCTTATCACATGACGTATTATCCCAACATGATGACAGCTGTATTATTATCCTAGCCTCACAGCCCAACTTTCGCGACTTAATTGCTGAGCACAGTAGACCGCCTGGCGGGTGCGAACTACCCAGCATTCACTAAGGATCAGTAGGAAACAATGCCATCCAACGTTATCATCATCCACCCTGATCTCGGGATCGGGGGTGCCGAACGTCTCATCATCGACGTCGCCCTTGCGCTTCAAAACCGCGGCCATCAAGTCACAATCTACACATCCCACCGCGACGAATCACATTGTTTTGAGGAAGCTCGAGATGGGACGCTTGATGTCCGCGTGCGCGGAAATACCGTTTTCCCAGCGCTCTTATTTGGCAGGTTTCATCTATTGATGGCCATGTTGCGTCAGTTGCACCTTACGATATCTGTTCTTACGGAGATGGGTCGAACGGATAAGAAACGAAACTCTAGTCGGGATGGGCTGGATTTTCAGGATGATATATTTATTATTGACCAATTGCCGGCCTGTGTTCCAATTCTGAAACTTTTTGGCGAACGATTCGCTAGCCACGGTATTCAAAACAATAATCATAATAGGTATAAACAGCGGATTCTTTTTTACTGCCATTTCCCAGACCAGTTATTGGCGCGACGCAATGAAGCGAACTCGGTGTTACGATTGTTCAAAAATGCATATCGATATCCATTAGATTGGTTTGAGGGCTGCGCTATTAGTGCTTCGGATAAGGTCGTTGCGAATTCAAATTTCACTCGCGGCGTGGTCAAACATGTCTTTGGTGAAACGCATAGACTGGGTGATGTTAGCATTGTGTATCCATGTGTTGACACTAAGGAGGGTCCTGTGAGAATCAGCAAACCAGTCATTGAGCAGGGTAGTCTTTGGGGCGGGAAGAAAATTGTGCTAAGCATTAACCGCTTCGAAAGGAAGAAGGGCACTGATCTAGCTATTCGCGCCTATCATGGATTGTCTGTGGAGGCGCGGAAGGGGACACGACTGGTCATAGCAGGTGAGTTATGATAGTCCCCCCTAAGTCAAGAGTTCTCTCTTTTAACTAATTGGTTAGGTGGCTACGACAACCGCGTTCTAGAAAATGTTCAGTATCACAGAGAACTGGACGACCTGGCGCTCGGCTTTGGGTTACAAACCGCGACTTCCAAGACTGTGATCTCCGCACTTTCAATTCCCGATTCGATCGATGTATTATTCCTTCTTTCTGTGCCCAGTGCATTCAGAGATACTCTTCTTCACAACTCAAAGCTTTTACTTTATACACCCGTCAACGAACATTTTGGCATCGTCCCCGTCGAGGCGATGCACGCCGGTCTTCCCGTGCTTGCATCAAACACGGGAGGACCATTAGAAAGTATCGTTGAAGGAGAAACTGGCTGGTTGAGGGATACAAAACACATAAACGAATGGACTGCGATCATGGAAAAGGTTCTATTGGAAATGACGGAGCAAGACTTTGAAAATATGGCTAGGAACGGAGTGGAAAGAGTTGAAAGTGAATTCTCGCTCCACGCGCTGGAGGATAAGCTTGAAGGTGAGATTCGGGGTATGCTCGGCGCGGAGAGAAGGCCCTTTGCTGCCGCTGCTGAGCTGTGGAAGATGTTTTTTGCGTTTCTTTTTTCGGGAATTGCTTTGGCATTCTTCTTGAGATATCTTGTATTATAATTTTTCTGTATATAGATACCTTTATATGTAGTTACGATTTTGCTATTTTAAATATCTTTATAACCTCTGAACGTCCGATACCTTCATATTTGAGTTCTCCCGTATTTTGTCATAATGTGCACAGCACAATTAAGCTCCAAACAGTTTCTTCTGCTGACGCTGCTAACGCTAGTGACGTTTTACGGATGCACGTGACACCGTGAAGACGCCGTGTTTCGGTCCGTCGCGTCAGGTTCTGGACAAATCTACTTTAGCACGACTCAATTGTTGTAAGAAGAGGCAGCAAGGCAAAATGCCAGTGGTTATTGACCTCATCGATTCCTCTTCTCCTCCACCATCGACCCAACCACGACCTCTAGGCGTGCGGCGTTCCCCTGCGACGAGACCACCGAGTTCCCCGAATTTCCTATCCGATAATTTTGACTCCTCGGTATTTGTCTATGACGACCCTGGACAAAAACAGCAGCAGAACGAGCGATTTGCAAAGACACGGAGAATCACACCAGAGTTAGACGATAAATTTCAACTCCCCAATGATTCTTCTCTTTTCACGTTTTCTGATGATATCCATGTCAACTCCCCCGCACTCCCACCTCTTCCACCACCACTACAGTCCTCAGTGAGCCGAAACAATGACAGGAGCGCCCAGAAAGATATACCCACAGGAAAGACCTGCCATTGGGATGGATATGAATCTGATCCTGTCGTATTCACGTCCTCTGCACCGGAACGAACAACGGCGACAGAGAGACAAAAATCGCGGATAGCAAAGAACAAAACGACTGCTACTATTACGATTGATGATGATGGTATTGAAGAATTTAGTGATCCCTTTGTTTGGCGGGATGAGGGGTCGGATAAAATCTTGGACGATCCGAGGCAGAAGCAGCAGTGGCGGCGGCAGCCCGCTTTGAAACGAGGCTACTCGGATAGGACAGCATCTTTGCTGGCGAGCTTGAGTGACAATATTGGGAAGGCTGGCAGCACGTCCAGTGAAAAGCCACGTATTGGCTCACGAGGGTTGAAACGAAGGGATAATTTCGACTTGGACTTGGTTTCAGACATACTCGAAGAGCCGGAAAAAGCAACAAAGCCGAAGAGAAAGCCTAAGCTGAATTTAAACGAGAAAGAAGCGAGGGCGAAAGAGCGTGCGGCAGCGAAAGCACGGCTTGAACGAGAAAAAGAAGCCGAAAAAGAACGAAAGCGACTACAGAAAGAAGAGAAGGCCAAGGAAAAGCAATTGGCTGCTGATATTGCCGAAGTCAACAAGTTGAAAACGCATAAAAAGGAAACCGTAGCTGAAATTATCGTTGATATGTCGACTACTTTTGAAGAGACTGGCGTTGGAAATCAAGTCGCTGAATATATGAAGCATTTGGGTGTGGACTATACTTTCTTTCAAAGCACGATACCTAACGTTGTCAAATGGCGCCGCAAGAAAAATGCAAATTACAATGAAGAGGCGGGGTTTTGGGAGCCTTGTCCGGTATATGTTGCGTCTGAAAATTACGTTTTGAGCACGCTTTCGGCTCAAGAGTTTGTCGATATGCTTGTTGATCCGTCATCAGGAGACGCTACAGAAGACTCAGAGACACTCGAACATCATGTATTGAAACTGAAAAGCGCCTACTCAAACTGCAAACTGATTTATCTTATTAATGGACTGTCGGCGTGGATACGCAAAAACCAGAACTCCCGTAATCGAGCCTTTCAAGCTGAGGTTCTCCGACAGGTGAACGATGCAGATATGCTTGGTGATGCGCATCAAAACAATAAAGACCACGGCAACAAACGACGACGCAAAAAGACTAAGAAGCCTGAGGACTCACCACCAGTGGATGACGATATCATCGAAGACGCCCTCCTCCAGCTTCAAGTCACTCACAACTGTATCATCTACCATACAACTACCTCCACTGAAACGGCTGAATGGATCAAGAACTTCAGTGAACACATCTCCACGGTTCCCTACCGACACGCTCAAATGGCTCAACATGACGGCGCTGCTTTTTGTATGGAAACCGGACAGGTGAAAACTGGGGAAGACAAACTGGACACTTTTGTTAAGATGTTGCAAGAAATCAACCGTGTAACCGCTCCCATGGCATATGGAATTATTGCGAAGTATCCCAGTGTTGTGGATTTGTTGAAAGGGATGAAACATCATGGCCCGACTTTGTTAGAAGATGTACGAAAATCGGCGAATAAGAATGGGGCATTGACGGATTCGAGAATTGGTCCGGCGGCTAGTAAACGGCTGTATAAGGTTTTTATGGGATTGGATGAGGAATCTGCTGATATCTGATTCATCTCTTTTTTTACTCGGTGGTTGTCTCTGAATATCGCGGTTGACAGAAACACCCTAGGACAACTTTCCAGTTTTGGACTGGTACTCTGAAGGGCAGTTGACTGTAATACTAATTTTTTATGTATATAGAACAACGTTCTATAAGTATTAGATATAAATGGGCTGTAACTTTTAACGAAATGAACAGTTGTGTCCGAAAATTTTGTCTATCTCATCGACAAGAGTCATCAAATCTATACTACAATTCCCCTTCTGTTCCATCCCCTCCAGGCAATCATCCAAACGGTTATTGCCGCCCATATACTCGCCGTACACCCGATCGCCCATAATCCGAAACATTTCCAACCAAAACACTGACCCTGGCGGTCCGTTGGATCGGCGTCGATTGCATCTTGGTAACCATGTGAATATACAATACCCCAAAAGGCGGCCCCAGCGGCAGGAACCATGGCCACAATCCCCCAATTTGTGCCAAAATTCTCAACGCCCCAGACCACGGATATTATTATGGGCATGAGTGCAAAGGAGGCGCCGTATCCGAACCCGACAAAGCCTGTAGTTACGTGGAATAGTTCAGGGTGGTGGAGAGTAAGCGGGGAGGCAAGGAGAAGAAAGCCAAGGGAGAGGACGAAGGCGGAAGGTAGGAGGAAGGTGAGACGAGATAGTGTGATGCCGCGGGATTGGGGAATCGGTTGGCGGTTTGGGTTTTCGAGACTGTAGATGAATTGATGGGTTGCGGGTGGCGCAAAGATATCGGTGATGGAACCGACAAGGAGACGCGCAATTGTCGAGGTTAGAGCATTGGTGCTGACGTGGGTTGATGCAAGACCTGCAGGTGGCGGTGCTTTTTCTGGATATGAGACGGGCGTTAAGGTCTGAATGATTGTGCCGAGCTAGAGGTTTGTCAGTAAGAACAGGGTAGGGCAATACAACCAAGTAGACATGTTGAATACGAACATTGTTGATGTAGGCCTCTCCAGGCCCTGTCACGAAAAAGAAACCAGCTGCAAGCCACCACATGGTATTATCTTTCAAGAACAGTCTCGTTTCTTGATTCAAAAGCCAATTCTTTTTTCGCCGTTCCTCCTCTTCCCGCTGTGACTTTCGGGATTGTTGTAGGCGTTCTTCCTCAGATGGTGTTACGAATTGTTCATCTGCTGATTCGTCATCGTAGTAATTGTTGTCGTTGTTCTCTTGGAACGTTCCGTACGAAGCTACGATTTCTTCACGAGGGCGAAAGAAACTGTCCTCTCCAAGGATGCCACTTCTCTCTAGCTCCGAGACGGCCTCATCAATATACTTGTCTTGCTCTTCATCATCGACGATTTGTAATGCTGCGGCGCCAATCACTCCAATAACCAACAACAGAATAGACAGGAAGAGAAAATATCGAAAGACATCGACTTCTCCGCATGACCCGTCGGGGTTTCTTTCGCACAACATATGGCTACCAATTTGGCTCTGCCATATTCCACTTAGGCCGAATGCAGCAATTGGGCATGCCAACATGATGCCCTTGTTCTTCCCTCTGCCAAAGTTCTTTGCGCATGTTGTTACCGCAGCTCCATACAGGCAGCAAGTGCCCATGCCGGTGAAGACGAAAGCCAGGATCATAACCCAGTATGGCCATCCTGTTCCACCCAAGTCGACTGGTGGACCGCTCCTGTATGATAACGCAGCAAGCAGGTATCCAACACCAAACAGTATTCCAGCCAAAAGCGACACCGGAGAGGGGGAGTATCGATCGCAAAGGTACCCAAAAACCGAAATGGGCAGGTACATGGCTATCTCGGCAGCAATTGAAACGCCATTAACGTGTGCTTGCGAGTAATGTAGTCGAGTAAGTAGGAGAGGGCCGTAAAGGGAGAAAGCCGTTAGGCTCCCAGCACCGAGACTACAATCAAGTTAATTGGGTCAGAAAACTAATGAATATAACAGTCGACGTATGAACAAACCATGATATGATACTCCATATGAAGCTGAATATGCGAACAATTTCCTTCTTCAATTTCTGTCGATCCCTCATAACAATATTTTCAACTACCTCGTTAAGCAAACCCTCGCCAGGCTGATCACCGTCGCCGGATAGCCTTGACGTGCGCGACTCTGCCTCTGAGAATCCGGCTTGGGCTCGCAGCCCATCTTCCTCACATGTACCGTAATCCGCAAGGAGCGGCCTATTGGCGTCGAAATCGCGTTTGTCGATTCGACTTCTATGACTTCCATTCCGATCCGCCATGCCTGACGGCTGGCGATAGGTTGCTGAAGCTGTCCAAAGCGGTTTCGTGGCAGGTGAAAAACAACCGACCTAAAATTCCAGAAGCTACACCGAGTTGTATTATGAGCAATCGAGAGCCAATTTGTAGCAACGTGGGTGAGGGGGTTTTAGGCAGCCCAGCTGCCTGCAAGGTGGTTGGCGTAGTAGTACAGTCAAGCAAGGCGCCGAGGCCGGATGAGTTGGCAGCTTAGTCAGTCGCCGACCTGACCCAGAGATTAAACACGCTAACCCCGCGTGTTTCTAATTTTCTCTTATTATTGTTACAGCTCTTCCCACAATACTTTCTATTTGATTGAACTATGATTTATCTGAAATTGAAATCTAATCTCTCTCTTCCCAGCACTTTCATAAGATATCCTGGTAGGTAAAGGACTACCTCGTATCTTCGTGTTCAAATAGTGGTACAAAGAGTCACTGTGATATACTACAAACATCATTTTCTAAATTCAATGCCGTCCCCACCATTTTCTGCGAATTGTTTCCATCTCCAACTCCATAGGGAATGGATCGAGAAACTCTTCTAGTTCATCTTGCCACTCTGGCCTCGTAGAATTGCCAAACCACGCAGACGTATACTCCCAGTAGTGAGGATACCAACCAGAAAACTCCCAGTCAACGATTCCAACAACCTTATCTCCACGTACAAGAATATTCGACGGGCTCACATTGGCATGTGTAAAAACTGGTGGAGGCCAAGGTCCATCGTGCTTGGTAATCACCTCTTTGATTTCCTGCCAGTTATGGTTTTCTTTCCAGCCCAGCAGTTTTTCCAGTGGTAAATTGTTTCTGAGTTGGCGATGAAACTCTTGAATGGTACGAAAACTGCCGAATCGTGGCTGAGGCCCGGAAACGCGGGGATAACGGAAGTCACGCAAAGAGCCCGCGGTAGTGCTTTCCACTCCTCTATGCGGATGAGGCTCGAGGGAACGTAGTTCTTGGAACATATCCCGCAACTGCGCATATATTTCGTACTTGGATACTTTGGATAACTTCGGCCAGGCCTCTGAAAGTGTCTCGCCTTGTATCCTTTCCATGACAATGTAAAAATGATTTTTGTGTCTAAAGGAGCAATAGACCTTAGGTACGGGAAGGGATGTTTTTCGAGCGAGAAACCTCAAAGTCGCTGCTTCTGTCTGATCCTCACAACCATACCAGTGTGGTGGCCCTTTCGTAAACCCTTTCTTGACAATCTTATATTTTGAAATAGGAATAAAGGTGCTAGTACGTGAGAAGAAGTGGGCGGTTGTCTTAAGGCCTAGAAGAGTGATGGAACAATTGATAATTGTGTTGTTGAACTCCAGATCTTCTTCGTTCGTCGGCTTTGGTCCTATTATATTATAATTGGAAGGTCTCATCTTTCAGGAGAAAAATTTCAGCTTCTTGCCAGTAAGCGTGTTTATCAAAATGGAATCAGTGGGTTGTATTTTTAGCTGTTGTTCGTTGTTGACATGAATCTCTCGGCCAGTGAGGGGCCTTGAGGCTATTGTCGGAATATTTGGCACTAAGCACATTGGGAACGCCCAAAATTACGATCAACAACGCCAAAACAACACCCAAAAATTTGATATATTTGAATTTTCATTATACCCCTGATGACAAATTTTAGTGTAAATTCGCATATAAATACGTCTAGATAGATGAGTTCTTTGCAACTCAGGCTTGTATCTCAATCCAATCGAATTTTCCACTAAACTCAATTTGTTCTAACGCGTAGAAAGTCCGACAGGCTTTACTATAGTGAAACCATTCAGGCTATATATAGATGTTCTTTGTATACCTTTGGCTATATATATGAGCCCTAGGTCCCTCTTATGTACGATAGAATAATCTTCCATATATAACCAGAATGCACACATGCCTTAGATTATAACAAAATCATTATTGCCTTGTCCCTATGGGTTACAGTACAGACTTACAGTGCACAAGAACGGTACTAACTCTAAAGGCTCATTGTCTTATTGTATTCGCGAACCATATCTGTCATGGTATCAGAGTGATTAGGTTAATGCGGTCTCCCTCTCCAAGTCAAGTTGCTTCCCCCCACACACAGGTGCGCTTTTGCCCAACGGGGCGAGACCCTCTGTCTCCTGTTACTCAGTGCAGGGGAGGAGGCGACGGAGAGGTAATATTGATGTACCGCGTCTGGGCCCTCTGGGAAATACTGGGTAGTCGGCATTCTCTTCGGCCGGTTCACAAGTGAAATTAATCCACGTACTCTCTGAGATGATATGCAGTGGGACTGAATACTAACCCATTTCTCAAGTATAGTTAATCCAGTATTACAAACTTGACAAGAGGTTGCCGAGTCGACGCGCCTTCTGCGTTAGCATTGCGCCTCATCGTCCATTTACACGGAACTTGCCTAGGGAAGCTGGTCACGACGACTGAGATAACGCGGCGAAGAGTGGACACGGAATTGCAAAATACACCCAAAGAACCGTACCCTATCTATTCTGCATGTCGCTACCAATAATTTTGTTCAGCTTCGGAGGGGGCTATCCGTTATAATCTAGGGCATGTGTGCATTCTGGTTATATGTGGAAGATTGTTCTATCGTACATAAGAGGGACCTAAGGCTCATATATATAGCCAAAGGTATACAAAGAACATCTATCTATAGCCTGAATGGTTTCACTATGGTGAAAGCCCTTTGATCATGACACTATCCCAGCCGATCTTACGCCCGACAAAAGCCATTAGATCCGACATCCTCCCTGCTGCATAACCAAAGTCGAGCGAGTGTTTCCGGGGATGATTTCTGCCTCCAGACAACCGGCGGCTGCGGAGTGGCGTCAACTGTTCCTTTCACCGGCAAGGCCGTACCCATTCATGTATACACCTCAAAGTGTGGTCTTGATCGGATAGATTATCACTCAGTTTACCTTGGCGACCTATTTGGCCGATGCCGAATCTGATACCAGAGTGGCGTCCAAAATCCGAAAATATTTTGATGGCGTGAACATGTAGTGTTGGAGAGCCCTAAGAGTCAACGTGCAATACCATCGCCGCCAAACACATACGCAGGGTTGGCCCACACGATGGAAGAGTCGGTGGCACGTTAGCTCTTCTTCCTGGTTGGTGTAACTGGGACAAGGATCAGATTGGGCTCGGCGAATCTAGACAGTTGATGATTACCTCGCTGTATTGTGTCATTCGCTACTTAAATGACCGTATCCCTCATGGCCGCAAAATATATGTACAATTCTTCCCTGAAATTTCACCGCTTCAGCAGCCACCGGTTCACGTAAATATGCCTCTACTTGAAGCCGAGCAGACCCAAGGAGTGGCTTGCGAGCTGCAAAACTCCTCTACAGCAAGCGCAGCAGTTGCGGCTAAGGACCGCGAGTTTCCTCGAGGGGCCTGGTTGAAGACAATGGAACTAGCTAGTTTCGCCATACAAGATGCTCAAGGTTCCAACACTTCCATACCACATGCATGGAACAGTTCATCCTGTAGCGAAACACCTTCGCTGTTACCAGTATCGAACGCAGAGGACACTCAAGCAAATCAGGGACTTCTAAGGGAAGCCTCACTGGCTGCCCTCGACGATGACGCTTCATGGACTTCTATAGGCGGGATGCATCCACCAAGTGATGATTCTTTGGACTTCTCGTCTCTACAGGAGGCTCGTTGCCAAGTAAACAAGCCACGGTGTTTCGAACATGGCTGTGGAGGTCGAACCTTTTCAAGCCCGGAAAACTACAGGTGTCACACCAGAGAGAAAACCGGTCTTCCAGAGGTTATCTGCATGTTCTGCCTCACTCCCTTCATTCCGAAAAGCAACCGAGACAATCACATCTTGACTGGCAGGCGCACGGCGCAGAGCCGGTATCACATATAAGTGGAACTACTTGACATTGCTTCAGGAGAGGGATCAATTCGATACAATGCCATCTAACGAATAGCCTCATGTCTCGCTTTGTTAATCTTGTATAGATGGATGCAGTCCGATTCGCTTATTTTTCCGGGGGCCCCGTAGATCAATTAAGCTTTTATGGAGGTCCACCGCTCCACTTACTGGCGTAGGCTTTATTCTGGCCTAATCTATTTTCGATTAGTGCTATACAATATCCGTTGTGACATATTATCGTTATATAACTATCCTGTTTTGATTTATAAGATGCTTTGTTGAATATGAGATGAATGGCGTCGTTCTCAACATATAATCAGGCTTTCGCCGTCAATTTGGCGGAAGGTCAAGCGATTCCTCTTTGTTAGATTGATATACACTATTCCTACGGATCGAGCTGCCATCTATCCCAAGCACGTTAGGCTTCAAGATGCCCCCAAGTCTTTCCAAACACCTCTCGCAAAAACTGCGAGGTTCATATCGTAAACCTGGTCGAGAGCATACTTGTGCACTGTCGCTGGGCATCAAAACTGGACGTTAAACAGACGTTTCTGACGAATGCGCTCCCCGTACTTCAAAAAGAGAATCGGAACTGGTATCATAGCAACCGCGATGAAAGCTAGCAAAGAGCTTTCCCAACCAATGCCCAATGCGGAGAACATTGGACCTCCTGCAAGTGGCAGCAGCGCACCGCCTAAAGAGCGTAGGAGGATGCTGGCGGCTACGGCAGAAGCAGCATATACATCATAGGCATCGACCAAGTACGTCAAGATAGCCATCTATGATTGTCATTAGCTGCCGAGTGTGCCAGACATGAACAAGATCAAGCGACTTCTTCAACTTACGAAAGCAAGGGTCACTCCGAGGCTCAAGACTGAGGTGCCGATAATAGGCAGGATCCAATGCAGGCGGAATTCAGCTGTCCAGCCAATCCAGAACAAGCCAGTAGGGACCATGAATGATCCAAGCACAACCAGCGGCAGACGGTACTCTGATTTCGGTTCTCCGCCTGCTTTGGCCTTCATGTGTTGTGCCAACCGATCTGAGCTTGCCCCGGAAACCAAAACGCCAGCAAATGAACCTGTACAATATTTCATTAGTCTCTATAGTTTTCAAGCGTTCCACCACTCTCCTGAGCATATAAGGTCTGTGACACATCTCATTTGTTGGCGTTTGAGCGTTCTGTTGATTTGTTATTGTTTGGCGACGCGGGAACGCGTGCAGAGTTTTCGGCCGAGGCTGCATCAGGGGTGCCTTAGGCGCCCCGTAGCTAAGGCCAGGGCTGACAGCCCTGCACTTTCTCTTCTTTTATTGGCAGAGAGGCCCACTGTCCATCAGCCTCGCCGCCAGCCACATTAGGCTTAGATGCGCGTATGAATACTACTACTACTACTACTACTACCAGCAAATGAACCGACACCGAGGCCGAGGTATGTCAGGCCGATCGAACCAGTCGAGAAGCTGTATTTGCTCTCAAATATGATTGGCATGGCAGTAAAGATAAGATAGAGGTAGCCATATACTATGAACATGTAAAAGGAAAAAAGGAAGATAATGGGCGAACAGACAAGCATCTTTGATGGTCGAATGATAGCCGTTGTTAAGATCTTCTTGGAAGAAATTCCTTTATCTAGGACGGAGCGAAGGTGTTGATTACCCGTCTCCTTGCAAAGCCTTTTGATCTTGCGGTTGAGAATAGCATAGGCATATGTTTCGCGCATAAAGAGGACGGAGAAGATGAAGACAACACCAGCCTACGCGCATATCTTGTTAGAACAGTCAGCAGGTCACTTCCCAGACGTACCGCTATAGTTACAACCCAGAATGACCACCGCCAACCTTTCACCTGGATGAGATATCCTCCCGCTAGCAATGCTCCTTGTCAGAGAGCGGCATACAACATCAATAAGTATCATTTACTGACCGATTGGTCCGATGACGGGACCTAGAAGGGGACCAAATGTCCAAGCCGCCATAGCCTTGCCACGTTTCTCGTACGGAATGATGTCAGCAATAGTTCCAGCGCTGAGAGCCAAAGGGCAGCTGCCAGCTAGACCAGCCAAAAAGCGGAATACTACCAAGGCGGGCAGATTTGGGGCCACAGCGCACGCCGCACTGAAAACAACAAAGAGGGCACTGCAGACGTGATACACTGGCAAGCGACCGTATATCTCAGAGAGTGGCGCAATGATCAATGGTCCGAATCCGTAACCAATGACAAAGACGGATACGATGAAAGAGCCGAGCTCTGAATTCTTCGATTCGAAATCCTGCAGAACCTGCAGGATGCCCGGAGCGAATATCGATGAGGATAAAGCACTGCCCAAATTAGCGAGTAAACTCGGAAAGTAAACCTTTTGATGAACCTAAGGAACGTTATAGTAGAAACAATTGTCACAGTAGTGGCTACCTTGCCAACTGTCCAATTAGTTGGATTTTCGGGATCGTCAGGCCCATTCCAATCAACCATGTGGGGATCTCGGCTACTGCGTGCTTCGGGGCGATTTTCGGACAATGGTGCTTGTTCCTCGCCACCATTGGCACACTTAGGAACTTCGGTGGGCGGGGTATCTGTGTCAGGAACGTTTGGTAGACAATCGCCTTTGACATCCATACTGTCTTGGTGCAGGTGTTACTAGTGGAGAAGTTGATTGATACTTTTAGAAAGTAAGGAATCCGGACATACAGATACAGCTGACAGAGCTCATTTTAAGAAAAAATCACATTTAACGCGTTTGACCTCGAACCACATTTGTCCACAAACAGTATGGCGGCTGCTCCACAGCGTAGGGCTTGTGTTTGGTGCCATGTGGCGCACCAGTCCTTAAGAGGATAGGTAGGGCGGCAATCCCAGGGACATGTGGGGCCTGCCTATATCCATAATACAGTCCCGCCAAAAGTTCCGACGCAAGTAGTGGGGCCGTAATCTTGTCAACACATTTCAATGGAGGACTTCATCCTTGCGATATCGCGCTTGACGATGGCTCAGGAATGGTATTCGTAGGCGTCTTGGGGCTGTATCTGTGTCTTGAGTGTGCTTTCCTGGACGAAACTGCATATCATGGGCGAAGCTGCCTTTTCTTAGACCAGTAAAGGACTGTTCTTGGTAGTAAGGCGTGAGTGCCTCGCCGCTTTGCAGATCTGTACCACGGGAGAAAATAATTTGGCAGGGATGAAGGCGACGATAGTACCCGACAGGTCAGCCTAGTCAAGTCATATCAAACGCAATCCGCCTATGATGTGCTCACGTTTGCAGTCAAGGATTGGTCCGAGTTTACTCCATCACAAACGCTCCCGTGGACGAATAATCAATAGGTGGTATGTTTAAGACTTTGTGTGTCGTGGGCCAAGCGCTGAAACTCGAGCACAAGCAAGTAACTAACTAGTTAGTGAGGTTAGTTAGTTAAGTTAGTTAAGTTAGTTATTTGTGTTTTGGATTACCTCAGCAAAACATCGCTTAAGTTAACTAGTTAAATATTCCCCGTCTCGTTTGTCCTGTTTGGCACCCACCGTAGTAAGCAGACATTCCTTCAGCCTCTGAGAGCCACTTTTGCCCACGACGTCGACCTCAACGCCGTCAACCATGCCTGCGACATCTGAACGCACCCGCCTACTGCCCGAGCGTGATGAGGTAGAACCTGCCAGTGTGGTCAGGGAATCAGAAGCTCACCTCAGGAGGGTGGCAGATTCATTTCCTCGCTCTGTCTGGCTCATCGCGACTATTGAGTTTTGCGAGAGATTTGCTTATTTTGGTATTGTCGGACCAATGCAAAACTACATGCAGAACGCAATGGACGACCCTCTGCACCCCGGCGGGATTGGTGGGCGCTGTTTCTATCGGTCGCTAGCGATCTACTAACGTCAGCAGGACTTGGACAGGCCCAGGCGACGATGATTAATCAAGGTTTTCTGCTTTGGTGTTTCCTCACCCCATCCATCAGCGCTGTAGTCGCAGACCAATATATCGGACGACTGAAGACGATCATGTACTCTTCGGCGATCTACAGTTGTGGACTGGTAGTTTTGTGTCTATCCTCGATATCGCTAGCCTATGACATCATTTTGTCGCGACTGGCACTGCTATTGGCCTTGGTCTTGATAGGCATCGGTACTGGTGGTATCAAGACGAACGTGAGCTCGCTTATTGCAGAGCAAATTACTGGTCCAAGCGAAACCATCCGAGTAACCAAGTATGGAGAAAAGGTGGTTGTAGACAGAGACCTAACGATACAAAGGTTCGCCTCGTGAAAGTATGCACCCAAGTACCCAAAGCTGAAACCCCAATAGCATATTCTCCATGTTTTTCTTGTTCATCAATGTTGGATCCTTTGCTGCTGCCGCCTGCACGGCTATCGAGCAAAGATACGGCTTCACCATGGCATTCGCTCTACCCACCGTGATTTTCATCACCGGATTTACCATCCTGCTGATAAGCAAGGACGGATACATCAGTCGTGCACCAGAGAGTTCTGTTATCCTCCACGCATGCCGAGCATTCTGGATTGCTATTAGGCACGGGGGCAACCTCGACTACGCACGTCCAGGTACCGAGGACTCAGCCCAGCGAGTTCCGTGGGACAACTCCTTTGTAGACGATTTGAAGCGAATCTCATCCGCGTGCAAAGTTTTCTTACTATACCCTTTCTATTGGGCCGCCTGTACGCAATTCGCGACGAACTTTGTCTCCCAGGCCAGTACCATGGAGACTCACGGGATCCCAAACGACATCCTGGTTTTCCTCGACCCGGTTACAGCGATCATCCTGTTGCCTATTCTTGACCGCATTGTTTTCCCGTACTTTGAACGGATTGGAAAGCCGGTTGACTATGTCCATCGAATGACGGCAGGGTTTATGTTCTGTGGCGCTGCCATGCTATACGCTGCTTTTGTTCAATGGGAGATTTATGCGGCACCTCCATGCTATAACCATCCACGAGCACGAGACTGCGTGGGAGGGAGTGTACCGAACCAGGTCTCTATATACGTGCAGGCTCCGGCGTACATGTTGATTGCCACTTCAGAAATACTTGCAGCGGTCGCAGGTATCGAGTACGCATATACCAAGGCGCCGGCCTCGATGAAATCGCTAGTCATGGCCGTTTACCTGACAACTACTTCCGTGGGAGCATTACTCGCTGTGGCAGTCTCACCATTAACGGTGGATCCAAAACTAGTCTGGATGTACATCACCCTGAGTATGGGACCTCTTATGGCTGGTGTTACAATTTGGTCTGCTCCCATCGCGGCCCCCTGGTGGTGAAAGAGCCGCCAGTATGGATCCTAGTGTTGCGAGTCTGCCATGATGTTCTCTGGAAGGAGTGCTATATCGTTGTATAGATTGTAACCATTCATGCTGTCAGTAACATTGATGGCCATATCTGTGTATATGACGTCATAATTAGAACGGCCCTCACTGCAAATGGGCACAATATCCCTACATAGTTAATCACTGCTTCAAGGTTATAGTTGACCAAGGGAAGATTATGTCTAGAAGAAGACTTATTCATTATATTACAGTCTCCATTGTCATCTTGTTTTCAAATGAAAATCTATTGATATTTGTCAATTGGCTATAGACGAATCCCGATTTAATTAATAGTTGAGTCATTAAATCTGCTGCCGCGACGCACCTGACCAGTAAGTGTTTCACATCACCCCTCAAATTGAAATATGACGGCCATCAGCATAAATGCGCATGCTCGTCCACGACTTAACACACCTAGAAGAACCATGTTCTCAGCCGTGCGTTGATACAACGCCCAGTCCTCAGTTATGCCAGTGCTCTGCCACCGCCATCCTCAAAACGGAAACCCACGGTTTGTTATGACTGGCTATAGCTGCCAGGGCAACGTTTCGGGAAATCATGAGGCTATTCGCAACCCCAACTGGCAAGCCTCGAGGTCGAGTCCTTTCTAGGAGGGAAGGACCGTGAGATCCTCGATCACGCTCTGTCATGATCAAAGGGCTGTCACCATAGTGAAACCCTTCAGGCTATAGATAGATGTTCTTTGTATACCTTTGGCTATATATATGAGCCCTAGGTCCCTCTCATGTACAATAGAACAATCTTGCACATATAACCAGAATGCACACATGCCTTAGATTCTAACAATTGCCCCTATGCAGGCAATCTCCATTCAGACAAGCCATGTCCGGAGTGTCTTCGCCAACAGTCAAGAGAAGTCATCGATCTCACTTCTTCACCAATCCAGTCACCTGGAAGTAAGGAGCGCCGGGGTGGACAAGGAACGGTTGTCTTTCAACATTATGAACAGGGTCGGTCCGAGACTCATCGTCAAAATTCCATGAGGCTGCTCGTTCAAAATCCCTTAAACATCCGACTCCTTTGTTCAGGTTGATCATTACTATGCTTGTATGGACAAGACAAAAGCAATCTGGACTACCAGGACTTCCTTTGAATATCTCATGCACTAAAACATGTAAGTGCTTTTTGAGTTGCTGAATGAGATAATCTTTTAATCAGGCATATAGTGAGTTTTAACGCCACTTTGCCGAATCACAGAATTGGCCCCATGAACGACTATATCCGGCAGTACATCTTGCCACATAATAAAGAGATAGCATCTCAAATACCATCTGATGCTTCTCTATGTCTGGCCTCTCAAATGGAGAAACTTTATCCAGTTCTTATCCCCGAAGCTGCAGAGCAAATGACGTTGGAACAACTGTTCGCGCAGTTTTATCCAAAATTTTCTGCAAACACCACTGTTCTATATGTTGTCGTGACCAAAGAACTTGAAGAGATTGATAGCGATATCAATCTAGGCTCAACAGTTCCATCAAAGATCAATGGGCAAAGAAGAGATAAGAAAGGATCTCCAATCAAAGGGACTAACATCAAAACAGAAAAGGAAAACAAACCTATCATCAAAACAGAACCTGGGACGAAGACCAAAACGCGGCTTAAATCACTGAAAGTTTCACGGAAAAGATCATTTTCTGATGCTAACCTAGCTAGAAGTATGGATGACGAGAATATTAATATTGGAGGCGGGGACGACTTAGACACTCTGCTAGGATTGGATTCGGACTTATTTAACTTATCTCAAGTAGATGATGCTGATAACGATGTCAGCAATCCCCAGTCAGAGGAAGAAATTGATGATGAGAATTCTCAGTTGGAAGAGACAGCGTGTGTAGCAGATCGCACAAGAAAACGGGCCTCACGCAGGGTGTAGTTTGGAATGATATGTTGTACTGACCTGTTATTCAACATACAGTCTTTGGATACGAGAGGATATGTTAAACTGTTTGTCGGAATGATTTTTGTGTTATCTCAGATGTATTTGATGGATGTTATTCAACATAATATTGGGCTATTATGTTTATGATTAACTGATTTATTGAAATGATATTTTGTTTGTGTGCGGATTGTCAGATTTGGATTAGTTCAAGAATTATTTAGTAGCCGACTTGTTAACTAGTGTCAGATTAATAAGGCCAATTAGGCATAAACACGTTTTATAGTGAGGGGCTTGAATTCTTCAAAACTGAGGACAATTCCCCTAGTAATTTAGGAGCAAGTTTGTCCAAGACAAGCAATCAAGAAAGTTGCAATTATCTCAATTTATTCTAATAATTTTGGCGTTTTTACCGGGTAACATCGCCCCACTAAATCCGACACTACTACTACTACTACTACTACGGCGTTCGATTCAGCAGATAAACAGTTGTTCGATCTATCTCTGGCCACAGATCAGATGGCAATTTTGAAGATTCTCGCATTGCACGACCTTTATCCTTTACTACACCCCCTGAGTGCTCAGTGCCTCCATTCAAATATTGTGTGTTAGGCGGCGAGGGCTCAACTTTAACGAATTCGTGCCCAATTAACCAATTCATAATGTTTGGATGCCTCAGGATCTCATTATCACACTCAATTACCGCTGGTTTTATTTATATTGGCGGTCTAGATGTCGAAAAAGGTGTTCTAATGCCATATGAAGAGTTGGCTGCCTTCGGTTCGTGAGATAATAATCCCATATCAGTCCCGAATATCTATCTGTTACTAACATGAGGCTGTTAAAGCCGCTTATGGTACTTTTCTCAATATCATGGAAATAAATTGCCAAATGTGCTCCGGGAGATCTTGCTGATGCTCTCGGATAGTGCCTTATAATGCGTTTTGCCTTGGATTTAGCACAGGCTTCGCATTCAACTGTTTTTGGGCCGGTCAGGCCGGTCAGGCGCACGCCGATGGATGCGCTTGTCAAGTGTCTCAGCGCTTCTGGACCAGGGTGTCTCATACGAAGGTGCCATTTCAAAATGTCAGCTTTTGAAGCCTTTCGCTCGGTGTACGTGTTATATTTGTGCCGACGCACAAAGAACACCACGCGCATATTGGGATGATCATGAGGAATATCTTCCAATACAAATTGGCTGTGCCTATCTTTCAGATGTGCCACAATGGTATTGTCTGCCCTTCTGAGGCAGTTGTATTTTGGGCGATTATCCCACCAATAATCCATCTTTTGAAGCTGTCTCAATGAAACAAGATTCGTTGCAAAATTAGGGCAGTAAGCAACGTTTGTTAACCTCAATATTTGAAGCTTCTGATTTGGGCCACTTATACTGATATCCACCTCTCCATATCCCACTATTTTGACATGGTTATCACCGGCATATAAGACGTCCAAATCCGGAGCCCTTTTGAAGTTATTAAAACGTGCTATCTCATTGAAAACATGAAGCGTTGATCCCGAGTCTAATATTGCTGAGTTCTTGAGCGGATATTCGCTTATCGACATAACCGCTCGACTCGGCTTCGACCCGAAGTCGGTTGGACCAATATAGAAGGTGCCCTCACAATTTCCAATGGATCGATATAGTCAATTCGAATCCTTATGATCTTCATCTGAATTCTTATCAATTCGAATTCGCTTTACTTCCTCACCTAGCTCATTATTCTCGCGGAGATTTTTCTCTACTCTACGCTTAAGGAAATCCCTTGGGATCCATGATTCTGGTGCCAGATTTGAGAACAAATAATAACACTGCCGCAAGGAATGAATGCCTCCACAGGCTTTACACCGAGTGCTATCTCGCTTCTCAGTGTCTCTTTTCCTCTTTTGGCCGGTTGCCTTCCTTTTCCGATTATTATTATCCCCTTTTTCGTCTTTGTCAGATGCTTCCATCTCATTTGACGCGGGGGGCTTTCTTCTCCGTGGACTGTCATAAACGCTCCCTTACCTATTCGGCCTGCAGTGCCTTTTGGATTATCGGATACGTCGACAGTCCTTCGGAATGCCCTGGATAATGCACGGTAGGTTAAGGTTCCTGTGTCTATTGCCTCTTCCTGTACAGACCTATATGAATCTACCCATACTGGATATCCTAAACGCACAGCATTGAAGAAATCGTTCGCCCAGATAGTGGGAAGTTGGGTTTGTGGAAGCCGATGACGATTGCCCTTCGTCATCAATATTTCCCATTCCATAATCCATTTTTGGATGTCCTTTGGGATACGCTTCCATGGCGTTGTAAGATGTTTATATTCGGAGTTCAATTGCCTCAGAACATCGGCCTTTCCACCCCCCGCGAGTGCCTCAAGGTTGGCATACTTTTCGGGAATCTCGCGTGCGGTGTCTAGGGCATTTCTGGCGAATTCTGGTCTGACAGTGTTTCTCATCCAATCGACAAGTTCCTGGTATTCTCTCGACTGCTTTAGGAAAGTGTCAAATAACAATTTATAAGTAGCTACCGCTTCGCCATATGCCTTGCGTTTGGCTGCGGTAAGGTCTTGGATATTGAGATCTCTTTTTGCTTGGAAGCTTGAGATTTGAGATTCTTCCTCAGTGTCTTGACTCTGCGTGCGTTGCTCACGCGCTTGTCCTTCAAGATAGTCATTAATAACGGGTTCATGCGGTCTCTTTGGAGCCTTGATAGTGCCATCGAGATAGCCCTCCATGGCACGACCTTGGACAAAGGTATTGAACGCAGTATCCCACTCATCCCACTTGGACGAGTCGGTCAGGATCACTTGGGAACTTAGATTTGAAGTCATATTGGGGTAATTAGGTGCAAATTTGACCGGGGAATGGAATCAGACTCTTAATTGTTAGATTTAGTGGGGCGATGTTACCCGGTAAAAACCGCCAAAATTATTAGAATAAATTGAGATAATTGCAACTTTCTTAATTGCTTTTCTGGGACAAACTTGCTCCTAAATTACTAGGGGAATTGTCCTCAGTTTTGAAGAATTCAAGCCCCTCCCTACAAAACGTGTTTATGCCTAATTGGCCTTATTCTCGCCCAGTCGAAGTCGACTCGGCGGCCAATCGGAGCCTTGCAAAATTACCCATATTAATCTGACAGAACTTGCGCAACCGCGACACCAAGCCTAAAACAATCAATATCTATACCAAATCTCCATGTACGCCCATCTCAACCTCCCTTTTCAATTGTTTTGCCCTCTCTGTCCATCAACCGACCGGACGCCGACTGGAGCAGACCAGGGAGATCGACAGAGAGCTCGATTCCCATTGGTCTAAGCTGCGACTGCACGGTCCGTCGGAAGTGTCCACGAAGTGGATAATCTGTACCCGCATGACCGCAACGTGCGGCCAAGAAGAAAAGCCTATTTCGACGACGGTTGAAAGGCTTACTCCTCCTCATGCCAGCATCAAAAGAGGATCAGGAAGGGTCTTACCTTCTTCCCCCATCTATCGGGCTGAGAACCACCATCATAGCACTGATCACTCGATTCATCTGAAATGGTGCGATGCTGCTATCCCATTCCAAGCCCACTTCACACCGGCCCTCGCCTTCTAGACTACGAGCTGCGTATCGCCTTTGATCGTCTTCGTTTCCTATCCGCCTCATTGCTGATCGACCGTAATAATCTGCCAGGGACAGCTGTGTGTCACGATATGAAAGTTCACGTGAGAACTACCTCGATAGACACCAGCTGCGATACCTACCCTGAGTGGTCCCTTTGTTAGCTCCAGCCAGTGAAGCTTTTGACTGCTTACCCACTAAAGATCTCGGGGTCGCTGGGAAAGTGATGGCATGTTGGTGGAATCGGGAACTGAGCTCCTCAACTGTGACCTTGAGCAGTAATACATTGATCAGTTTTACACCTGTCTATAGCTCAAAAGTATGCCGCTGCTTGCTTGCCCGAAGATAGGTTTCCTTGTGAATGTTTCCGCCTTCGAACCTCGGAATGGGTCTTTTTTTCATCCGGTAGGATTGTCAATCTCGCTGGGCAATGTTGAGTTCTTCACCAGCTCCTGCTGCTACAATCGGCCAAGGGAGTTTCACTCATACCCCGCAACACTTTCCCCCCACGGCGCTTCTTCTTTTAATTACTTTTCCATCCTCAGTGTTTTATTTAATCCTTTTGGCCGTGCCATCGCCCTGATTGGATTTTAGGGATCTCCTCTCTCATCTGCCTAAAGTAACTGGCATTTCTCTGAATCTGTCTAACGATGTCTAAACCATCTTCACTTCAGGGGAGCCATCTACGACGACTCCCTGTTGACCTGGTAGGGACTGGTCCGAGAACACGGATCGTTGTTCTGGCGTCTTCCACACGAGGCCGGGCCTCAGCTGGTCGCTTCAAGGTAATGCCTGAGACTATGGTCACTACGCATGCTAATCGTGGACCAGAGAAACATCCCCATAACGCCTAGATCAACCGGGTGATTGCAATGAGGACGGATTTGATGGACATAGCTTATGCTTGAAAACCATTGCCGCGCAGGTTGAAGATGCGGACCAACTTCAACGGGGACTGGGTCCAATGCAGTAGGAGGCCCAACATCTGCAATCGCTCGCGCAAAGAGAGGAGGACGTTCTACGGAACTAGGTTCAGAGCATCTCGACAATGAATGAGGTGATGGTAAACATCCCCCTGAACTTTTGGAGAAGAGCATCCTCACCATTCAACGAATCTACTCCGACAGCATGGCTGGCCTGCCTAGCCGTGATTATCTTCAATCCATGATGGAGAATCTCACTGTGACGGGGAAAGAAGGCATGACCACGATCCTCCAGCTGGCCACCGCAGCGGCTTTGGAACGAGGTCTATCTGCGCTTGTGTTGGAGACGGCGAACGACCCGACGGTCTTCAGCTCCCGAACCGACTCTCAACTTTCTGAGTGACAGTCGCGCGTCAGAAAACTCCACGATGGGCACCTGCTCTCCTTTGGGCCCAAGATACAAGCGTGGAGACATGGCGCTCCGATTAGTGGATCTTTTTAGGTAGTACAGTATATTGATTGTCTCGGCTCTGCAGCCATTTCATACATGTCTCCAGATTGTAAATGCCAAGACCCTCGGAATACGGCAGTTAGGTACATAACTAAAGTTAATGCGATGGCATGGCTAAGAAATATATTTTTGATCAGCATGTTGACAGAATCATTTCCAATATTACGTTGATTTTCTATCAGGTAGGTGCGATTCTCCTATCCGGTAACAGTGATGGTATTCAATTCTTTGCCATCTAAGACTTCTTCGCTATGGAAAATTGGGCTCTTAGTCATCTCGAAACTTCTAATCCGTGGCCACGAGGCAGATACTTATACATGTGATTATACACCCCATTTGGTCGATGCCCATTGGCCCCCCATAACGCATTTTCTAGATGCTTGTGCAATTTTGACCAGTGGGATGAGAATCTCTTTGCTAGGTGCCGATGTTGTCATGATCAAAGGGCTTTCACCATAGTGAAACCCTTCAGGCTATAGATAGATGTTCTTTGTATACCTTTGGCTATATATACGAGCCCTAGGTCCCTCTCATGTACGATAGAACAATCTTCCACACATATCCAGAATGCACACATACCTAAGATTATAACATTGGTAGCATGTCCAATGTTCGGTCTCAGAAGACGTTGATGTTTTTCCAACGTAGCAGCTTGACTGCCATATAGTTGACCAGTTGTCAACACGCCCACCTGGGGATCGCCAGGCCTTATTTTCCATTGATTATCGCCCACCTGGGGAACGCCAGGCCATTTCATTTTCATATCATTACCGCCCACCTAGGGATCGCTAGGCCATTTCATTCCATATTATCATCGCCCACCTGGGGATCGCCAGGCATCTCGACTCGGAGAAGTAATATCGAAAGCACTACTCGCATTGGAGTCTTTCAGACTGAAAAACTTTATCTATTTTGCTATTTTTAGCTCTTTCCCGTCTTTCTTTCTTTTCCATCTATTGATCTTCCTTTCAAGGCTTGGTCAAGCTTTGACAGCTTTGCCAAAGCGCTCCCGTCTCTATGAGCGCAACAATTGGCGCCTATCGTGACACAAAACTTCCTGATTTGTCCATCCGAGCTGTAGTCCAATCTGACTATATCAAAAAGTTTATTTCTTCAGATGTGAAGCATGCTCAAGATATCCATCCAAGGACAAAGGCACTAGCATATTTTATATATCTGAATTACTTTATCCCGGAGGTTGATCATCCTGACGGAGCAGTGATCCCAGAGGGATATCCTGCAGACTGGGCTTTAGAACGTTCTATTGTCAATCGAGCAATTCTACAGTTTCATGAGGACACGAAGATTCTCATTTATCTCTCAACACTTCAAGACTTTGAAGACAATTTCTTTATCGACAATCAAGAAACGGTAATTCCAGATCGGCCATTAGGATTCAAACGAGGGGATTCGAACGCACAGTTCTTTCGGAATACAGTTGATCGCTCAACAGCGAGTCCATTCCAGCTGGATCCGCATCATCCAACCCCAAGCAAAGTCCCGGAATCAGGACCCAGTGGACCGCGACCCTTAACTCGATCCAGACATAATCCAGCGAACAGTGAAGCGGCGCTCACTACCCCAGCGAGATCGCGACCGCCTCGAGTCCGCTCAAATTCTTCGCCACCTTTTTCGAACCCGGCAGACTTTGATAGGCTGAATCAGAAATATCACTTCACATCTGCGGATCCAGAGCTACCTTCAGTGTTTGACCTGTCCTCATTATCAGCAACTAATTCATCAGTATCAGAAGAACCATTGCAACAGAAGACGGCCCGTATCAATATCCTTGGCTCCAAGAAAGCGACAGCTGAAGAGCAGCCTGTCTCACCGCCAGGCAAAGGAAAGCAACGCGCGGATATTAGCACCCCAGAGGCACTTTTACAGACGCCATCTCAATTTCAGGTCCCTCCTCTGCCACATTCAGCGGAGCATCGACGGTGGTTAGCTGAAGGCACTTCTAAGGAGCAACCTAGTACCGCACAAGCCAAGATGACATCCCGTCAGTCAGCTGCTAGGCAAGAATTTTTAGAAGAGGTTCAACGCCATACATTAGAAACAATTACACAGAATAATGCGCAGCTTCTTCAGCAAATGAAGATAATGCTCAATACCGAGCTTAACCGGACTACTTCCCGCGAACCGCCAGAGCAACCCACCCAGACGGTACGGCCGGGGTCAGAACCATTCGATCAGACAATTTTTGTATCCCAAAGTCCAGATGTAAATCGGGGAGATCCTGCTCGTGATCCACCTCGAGACCGAGATCGAGATCGAGATCAAGGTCAAGAACACCGGAGAAGCGTGCCACGAGACCGAGAGGCTCATCCTCAGGATGAGCAGCCTGTTATTGGTCAATCAGTTAAGGTGGATGAGATTGGTGCCTTTCATCCTGATCTCTACTACCCTCAAGATCCCGCAGTTGTTTATATCGGTGGCACATCTATATACCGAGATGTCCGCCGCTTCTGCCAAAACCTGCGCAACATCGCCGATATTCGTGGAGAAGCCACAGTGCGATTACGTGTCCACACAGCGCTCCGCGGCACAGCCAGTGATTGGTTCACAGACCAAGTCGGAGAAATGGCAAAGCAGCTGCTTCGGACCACCCCAATCGACAAAAAGTATGGCTGGATTGAACAGTTATCATCCCGATTTAGTCCTTCAATTGACGAGGCTACTGATAAGCTGGAGCGAATGACCTTTTCCCTCCAAGACTTCCGAGACAATAAGAATCTAACGCAATGGGCCTCAGAGGTCATTCGTCACGCCAGGAACGCGGAATATGACTCA